GGGGGGGGTTGTTCCTAACGAACCTGCTGCAGCATTGATCTGAGCGGATGATAAAACACCCATCTTTAAGGCCTTGGATGTGTCTTTCGCCTTGGGCGTGGAGTGCATCCACGAGTTGACATATTGGTAGAGAAACGTGTAGCCTTGTAGGACTAACGCCATGGTTGCTGTGTTGGTTAGAAACTCGCAGTCGCTGTGTTAGATGTTCTCTGGATACGGTCGAGACTGGACGGTTACTCTCAATGCTGGGTGTTCAAGTTCAAGTTATCGAGGTGTGTCGGGGAAAGATCTACTGTTCTGATGTTGGAGGTCGTTGAAACAAAAGAATCGTTCAAGCTCGGGCTGGTCAACGTTGGCGCACTCCTTGTTGTGGACATTGTGTTACATGCAACTCTGATATCATCATCACATGTCGATTGACGACAGGCCAGTCCACGCACCTATGAATTTACCTGGACATGCGCAGTTGTTCTTTGCTGCGGCGACCCTATTGATGTCATATCCACAGACCTCACCACAGCACAGCACTACCCACTGCAGTGGTATACAACATACTGGCGGGATTCAAGATGCCAGTGCTGTTGAACTGAGGTCTCGAATCTTCTTGAACGGTCATACCAAGTTCAAAGTCGTCCGCTTTGCCCGTCGAACGCGGCGGCCAATCTACCTCTCATTACTAGCTTCCCTCTGCAACGTCGTATACTTTACCACTCGCGTTGCGCCTGCTCACATGCTACAGGGAAGCAAACGGCTCAAGTATGCGAAGATACGTCACACCTACGTGCCACATGTGGGTGATGCAATGGTTCCATGCACGGCGACAAGGCTGTATGTAAGTGGGGAAAGGCCCGGAGCAGATTGCCGACAGCCTTGTCGGCACGCTCGCTTTACATTATTGTTATGACAAATGTAGCTGAAGTGTGTTGCATACCTGAAAAGTCCAGCCATGCCGCAAAATAAGGTACGCATCGTCAAGCAAAGCAGCTATTTGCGAAGAGGTCCATGGATAGAAACCGTCATGTCGAGGAAGTCGAAGTCGAATGTGGTACTTACTTACCTTACCTGCATGCTGCGTTCGAACTGACTTGGCCAGAATCATGATGTTCTCCCGGTGCCGGAGTTGCCATACCATAATTTGCAACCAGCTAAACACTGCAGCAGACTCGGAGTTATCAGCGTCGGCTAATTGAACCAACATATCTACCTGGTACAACATTGTAGGTAAATAAAATGGTTGCAGAACTTGCAGCGCGCGTCACTGACACGCCCACCGTGTGTCGCGTGCAGAGCGGCAACTTGAATGTGGCTGCTGTGACGTCACCCTTGACATTGTGGCTGGTGGTCTCCAACTGGAAGTTCAAGTTCAAGTTGAAGTTCGAGCTCAGCTTCAGTTGGTCACGGACGTGGAATAGCACAATCCCGTCCACACACAGGACGCTGATTTGTCCTGTTCCTGCGTCACATCTGAACTATTATGAGCATACCTGGTAGTAGCTTGTACCGTGGTAAAGTCTGATTTGCCCTGCATTGCGCGTAGAGAAAGAATTGTCATTTTTCTAAAGTCGTGCCTCGATTGCTACCCTCCTAGCTGTCGATTTTCTGTATCAGGAACCTACCAGCAGTGACCGCGACTGTCGAGGCACCTTGCTCCCTATCAGCCTCTTATGATGGCGTCTGAAATACTGCAGCCCTTCCTAGGGGCTCTACAAGCCTCGTTAACCGTCCTTCTGGATGTTTTCTATGGCGTGGTTGCTGCCCAATTTGGGCTTTTGGACGATAACTCGGCTAATGCCATCTCCCATGCCGCCATCAAAATGTTCTTACCTGCTCTGATGTTCACCCGCATTGGATCCCAAGTGCATCTCGAGTCTGCCACCAGGTACATTCCTATTATTAGTAAGTATGACCATAGCCTGGTAACGATTTCTGCCAATGTATGCGCCATAATCGTACTGACGAGGAACTCCCAGTTTGGGGAATCTTGTACCATGTGGCCGCGATTGGTGGCACTCTGGCCATCTCCAGGATGTTCAAGCTTCCTGCTTGGACCACTCCAGCGATTTCCTTCAACAATGCCATCTCAATGCCCTTGCTGTTGATTCAGTCGCTCGAAGTCACCGGTGTGCTTGAGCCGCTTACCGGACCCGGGGACAAAAGCCCTTCTGAGGCAGTTAAACGTGCAGAGTCGTACTTCCTGGTGTTCGCCATGGTTGCCAACGGCATCGTTTTTGCCATTGGAGGAAACCTGTTGAGCAAGAAGAAAGACCCGGAAGACCGCGAGAATGGCTCGGCCGACGGAAACGAGGAAGGTAAGCTCGGGACTGAGGCCTCGACGTGCGATCAAGAGATCTAGTGATTAACGACCTCTGGCGAATTTAGACGATGAACCAGCCGAGCATACTTCCCTGCTCCCCGACTCTGCAGTGCGGCACCATTTGACCATCCAAGCAAAGGCGCAGAAGAAGCTGGACGAGTATAATAACAAGCTTCCACCCTGGGCGCAGAAAATCTGTCATTATTTGTACATGTTCTGCAATGGACCTCTGTTCGGCGCCGTGATGGGGTTCGTCGTCGGCATCATTCCTGCCCTCCACAAGGCCTTCTTCAACGAGACTCAAGAGGGTGGATATTTCAATGCATGGCTCACCTCCAGTTTGAAGAACATCGGCGACCTGTTCGTGGTTTTGCAGGTTGTTATAGTCGGAGTGCAGCTGGCGACCAGCTTGCGTAAGTTGAAGGAGGGTGAGGAATCAGGACCCGTGCCATGGGTGCCCATGGTTTTTGTTCTGGCCGCGAGATACCTCATATGGCCTGCGTAAGGATGATCGACCCTTTTGAAAAGACAAAAGCTGACAGTTCGTTTGTGTAGAATTGGCATCGCCATCATCTATGGGTTTGCGGCCAAGACGAACATCTTCGGAGACGACAAGATGCTGTGGTTTACCATGATGGTCATGCCATCCGGACCGCCGGCGATGAAGCTGTTGGCCCTGGCCGACACCAGCGGTATCGAGCACAAGGAAGTCATGTCCATTTCAAAGCTTTTGACGGTGCGCTTTCCCACTGTGACATATCACTATCCGCGAATGAGCTATGCTGACATCATCTGATCAATCCAGATTGCACACGTTGCCGCACCGTTGAGCTCTCTTGCGGTGGTGGGAGCCCTGAAAGCAGTGGAAAAGATTGGAGGAAGTTCGTAGGAAGGATAAATGCAAGGCAGCCAGTATTTACGGTGGTGGCACTGGGTACGGATCGACGTCGCCAGGGTCGAACCACAGCCAGAAAGCCTGTCACATTCACCGGACAGCCTCAACGCCCTCATGGTCCTCGCCATCCTTATCAAATAATGCTTTGCATGGGTCGGCTTGTGTGGCTCCTAGCAGCTTGTCAGTTGTCAGTTGCTACTTACTAGTAGTCAAAAAGTTTAAAATGTCAAAATTATGAACTGCAATTCTGCGCCGGCTAACAGTACTTGAATGAAAGCCTCGTGCATGTGACAACCAAGAAGGCCCACTATGGCCAACTTGAACCTGACATCGTATCTCATCGACATTCGGTCGTTGAACAATAATAAATGTTATGGTGTCACCGCAATCCCAAAAAGAGCCCGAACTTGAATGGCAGCGGACCCACGCTGTCCGGAGGACAATTCCGGTGGACATGGGGTAATCACCGGCAAATCCCGGATTCTTGAGGTCATCTGTTTCATCATTCAACGGCTAGTGGCTCGGGATACCCTTCAAGTTCCCCAGCCGAGACCCTCTTGACTTCACCCCGCATTCAGATTGGATGTTGCCGAAGCGTCATGCCCAATGGGATCTTACTCGGATACTAACTTACCTTAGTATTCCATGATCTTCGAGGTCGTTTGTTGAAACCGTCGATCAGTGGTGACACTACTACACTGTACAACGTCGCACAACTCATGCACCTGTGACACCACACTCTTTTTTTTTCTTCTGAGTACCATGTTAGGTAGGTATCTTGCAAGGTTCATATGCTAGGTAGGTATGCTACTGCCACCGACTTGTATGTCATGTCAGGGTAGTAGGACGATCATCAAACCGATCCTTGAAACTTGAAACTGGATTTTTAACAGTCTTATTATTGAGCCACTGCTGCTACTATGTCATGAAGCACAGTGAGCCGTAGAGTGCGGAGGACTACCTAGGTACTCTAGACCCAGCCGCAGGTACTAATGCCGGAACCTGAACCCGTAGTACAGTGTAGTACTCTTTTAAAACCAGTACTCACTCACAATGCCTTGATGTCCGATCTTCCAGACTCGCCGGTAACAACTTCCTTGGGCAGATCATCCTCGTCCGGGCCTTCAGAGTAACTTCCGGTCGGCTGCGCGCCTCGAGTCCGGCCTCCCTTGACAATGTTGCTCTTGTCGATGGCTTCTCTTTCATCTTGCTCTGTATCGTAGGTAGTTAGATCTCATTCTCAGTTTCAAAACGAGGTAGTTGTCTGTCTTACCGAGCTGTGCATCACTGTTGGATTGAGGTGGCTGGATGGGATCTTCGACGGGCGCCGAATCTTTCTGGACGGGAATTGTCTTGTCGCCGGATCGGACGTAACTGTCGTCGTTGATATCGCCGCTGACTTCGGTCTTGGGGTCGTTCTGGGCTTCGTACCGGTCGTCGGCGGCGCGGTAGTTGGATTTGTCGGTCATTTTGACTGCGCTGAGCTGAGATGAGACTAGAATGAGAGGAGTTGTTGTGGTTCTTGTTGTGTGTGAGTGTGAGTTCTGGTGGTATGTGAGCAGGAGTTGAAAAGTGTAGTTGGTAGGTTGAAGGTACGTTGTAGACTTACTGGAAGTTCGAGTAGAAAAGCGCAGTTGAAGTGCAGGATCTCAAGTAAAGGGGTGTTGTGGTGCTGTGTAGTGCAGTGGGAAGATGAGAGACAGAGAAACAAGTACCCTACCTAAGGTACTTCCTACGACCAGTATATCAATTGGCACCAGACGGCATCACGACAGTTGTAGTCACTGCGCTACTGGTACTATTCAATCATTTTCAGCCTTCTATCCCTGCAATCACAGCAGGGTGATGTCAAGATCTGAGGTTGATCTCAGAATCTCCTCAAATTGCGTCGATTCAACTTGACGGGGAAAGCCACCTTGTGGTAAAAGAATTTGGTTCAGGGTGTAATAATTATGTCACTTTTTGCGGAGATGATATACAGTGTACATACAACTAATAGTACGGCTTCATGTTCCTAGCTAGCGCCCCGATACAACGGACCTTACCTTTGCAGTGATGGAGACCTGCAGTAACAGCAACCCCTCAAGCTGTTTCGCGAAGCTTCGTCTCACTGGCAGGGGGGTCAAACATTGAAGCACTCAGCCTGTCCGTGTAGAGCCACTAGCAGCACCGTAGTACGACCCTACGGGGGGGCGAGGACCTGAAGTACTTCCACATCCATCCAGGCAGATTTGAAACAAGCCTAGTACATACCTAGTTACCTATCTGGTAGTAGGTAAAGGAACATGATATCATCCGCAAGCGGAGTGAAGATAGGGTCAGTATGACGTGAAACCTTCGCTCGATGAAGCTGCTGCCTGTAAAGACTGCCAGGTGATTCGTCAGTGGGCAAACCTGAAAGTGAAGTCACTGCGACTGCCACTGCATGTTTGGCCTCCATTTGGAACCGTAAACTCAAGACTCGCCCGACCTCACACCATCTTTTCTTCCCAAACATCGAAACCACAACCACAACGAGCACTCTTCGCCTTTTGCAACACATCTCCTGAACACTCAAGCTTAGATCTTTCATCTCAAATCCGAACTCAGAACCAACAAAATGGCGGAAGAAGCAGCCAACAAAGCGCGCGGATACAAGTCGTGAGTAGACACCGCACATCATAGCACCGTCCGCAAGTTTCAGGAGAATGAGCTGCATACTAACCCGTACTTGTTACGACTAGCACCCTCTCCAACCCCAACACCTCCGACGAAGCCAAGCAGCATGCCAAAGAAGTCCTCGAGAATGAACTCGGAGAGGGCGACGTCAAACTCAGCGATGAAGGCGGCAAGGATCCCGGCAACGTTGCTCGTGGTTTGAAAGCGTAAGATAACCCCCTCTGAATGCCCTCAATATCACTGGAGAAAAGTCGGACAAGGACAACCTCAGCACCGCAGGCGAGGCACTGGGTCCCTGCCCAACTCTGGTTGGAGGAAACGTGAAGTATAAGCATCTGACCTTGTAATTCCATTTAGTGCAATCAACAACCCCAACGTCTCCGAGGAGGGCAAGAAGTCTGCGCAGGAGAAACTGGATAACATGTGAAGCTTGAACTTCTTCCGTAGCCCAGCAGCAGTGCCCTCCAGTTCCCCGGCCTTCGGCTGTCGACATCCTGACCCGAGCGGGCGATCAGGGGATGACTGCGGACTTTCATATTCATGGGGGTGAAAAAGTCTGCGGAGCTGGCTGGGACAAGGACGTAATGGATGCGCCATAGGCATGACATTCTCAAGATAGCTGGAGAGTTCTCCTAGCTAGCGAGCACTGAATACCCAAGAATTGCAGCAAAATGCTTGGTCTTAGAATTGTTCCGAACCCATCGTAGCTTTTGAGCCATCGTGTCATCATCCGCAAGATACCTAGCCGTTCCCACGCAGCAGGTAAATTGTAGCAAGCACTTCCACGGCGCTGCAACACCGGGAGCTGCCTGCCCATAACCCCTTTATCGTCTCTCTTTCCGAAGTTTAGAGAGTATCTGGCACCAGACACCTAATCCATGCCTATCCCGCGCTCATAACAACCCAGGCTCTGTGTATAAGACAAGTCCATGAAGAAGTGAACTAATGAAAGGGTTAGGAGCGAAGCAGATATCAACAGGGGCCGCACATAACAGCAAACTATTCCCAACCGAGTCTAGTTCCAGCACGGCTGAGTTCTCCGGTCGATTACCTAAGACTGACATTTTACCAATCACCTACTAGGTGACCATGAGCACTGGAACCGTCTCAGCGAACTTCAAGCGTAACACCTCTTCTAGAGCATTGCGTGGCTGCCTTGATAAGGCTCTCTTTCCAACCCATTCTGCTTTATCTCGGGCAGCAAGGCGTAACGCCGCCCGCTCTTGCAAAATTTTACTTAGCGTTCGGACAAAACATCCAGAGCAACTTCAAGTTGAAGGCTGGAAAATGCGCCGCCGCCACCATTGGAAACATATGAATACATGGGCTCACAAGGCCGACACGGCGAGCGTGTCTTACTTGCCATCAAACGGCCAGATATACAACCAGGTAAACAGCCGAGGGCCTATCTACCGCCGCCCTTTCCGCAAGCTGCAGGCTTCTGCGAGAAAGCCCCTAGTGCAAAGATCTGACACTCCATATCCAATTGTTTTGCCTTGTACCAAGTAGCGGCGCATGACGAACATGTTGTATCTAGGGATTGAAGTTGTGTATGGGCTATCGCACAACGTATCAAACGCGGCGGAACAACAATTCCGCAGTGCAGGAACTATCTGACGACCAGTCAACCATGAACGAACGAACCGTCGGCGGCGGAGTCAATATTCACATCATTCCACATAATCTCATGCGTGGCACAGCCCTGCCAGTGATAGTACAATGTGCTAGTACTCACCATCTTGCGTGCAGTGCCGTGGCGGAAATTTTCTCCAGACTATGCATGATAGCCTTCTGGGTAGGTTCAAGCCCTCCTTCGGTTTCGCCCTAGACGCGAGTCTATCACGATTGGCAATCAGCATGATCCAGTCATGGCCGGTGCAAGTATTCCTGCCCCATGAGATGACGTGCAATTGACGTACAGGTCATTAATTGTCACATGCAGTGGTAAAAGGTCGATGGGCTGGCCCATCGGTTCACTTCCACCCCGAACTCTCTTGCATGGTCCAGGATTGGATTGTTCCCCGGCATGAACGCATTCCCGGCTCCTCGAGGATGGACTTTCCAGGCTATCTCTGCAACTGTACGCCGATACTAGGACCGCCTCTTGCCCAGCTTCATATAATATAACAACTCTGCCCTATGTTCTGCTCCCTTTCAACAAGGATCTAGTGCCAGGGTCGAGCATATCCCAAGACAGACATACAACCCCACTTTACCTACCGAACAAAGATACTCTGTACTATTGTGTCTCGAAATAACACGATACTTCCCTATTCCACCCTGTGCTTTCCGATTCCCCTTTTCTCCCACTTGAAGGCAAACCAAACTCCAGCCTGTCCTTATCATCCCTCCTCGGACTAAAGGTAGTTGACCCACGGCCAAGGGCAAAACAGCGCATACCGAGATTGATCCCAGCTAAGACGTGCGATAACAGCTTCGATGGTCCAGCGTGAGCGAACGCATCAACCAGCACAACCTTTGCACGTCACACATCGTGTGCCAGTCGCATTGCCGCACGAGATTGACATGGAGAACCAACACCAGCATCCTCGGGCGGCTCACAACGCCGCCAGCACGACGGCCACGTCTCTCGAAGATACATTATCCCGCTTGATCACGGCATTCCACATCCTACACCATCAAGGTCTCCTGGACGAATGTGGACACGTCTCGGTGCGCAACCCGGATGACCCGTCGACCTTCTTCACCAGCAACGTCCCTGCAATATTAGTATCGTCGAGACGACATCTGAGCCAGTGGAACGTGACGGATGGGTCGCCGGTCACCGACCCTGTCGGTGGATGCACAGCATCGGAGCCCACGCCTGATTCCGAACACTTCATGGACAGCTGCATCTACGACATGTATCCGGGAGTGCAGAGCGTCGTGCACTCGCAGTGCCTAAGCACAATGGTGTATGGTCTATGCAATAGTCGCGGCAGTATGTTGCAAGCGACTTACCAAGGAGCAGGGTTCCTGGGCGACCATACGCCGATTTTCGACGCGGAGCACCATTACTCAACCAGGTTATCCGACCCGTATCCGCGGAACCTGTGTATCAACAATCTGACGCTTGGTGACAGATTGGCACAGACATTCACTCGGGACCAAGATATGGAGATGGATGAGCGGATGGGCAGCGAGGTGGATGGGGCCGTTGGTCTAGACGACAATAACTGTCCCGACTGTTGCGTGGTGTTTTTGCGTGGACATGGATTCGTGACTTGGGCGGTCAGCATTGAGGACGCAGTCTATCGAGCCATTCATCTGCGTCGTAACGCTGATATTCAAACCAACGCCATGGCGCAGCGGAACAGTACGGATATGGAAGTGGTTTACCTCAGCCCGAGAGAAGCTAGGGACTGTAAGGAGACGATCAACAAGGCGACGCCGCAGGTGTGGATGGCTTGGTCGGCGCACGCTGAACGCTCGGGCTTGTACCGCACCGAACGAGGTGGAGGTGGACGCAGTACAGGAGCGGGGGAGGGAAGTACAGCCTCGTTACCTTGTCCCTAGAGGAAGGAGACCGCACTGATCAATGTCGCGATGCGTTGAGTTCGTGGCATGAGGACTGTTCTCTCACTGTGCAGCTTGCACCCGGCTTGAACCCCTTGGTGGGTCGATATCGACTCTCACTACAAATGTTATCCAAGCTCTCCCCGTGTTTTCAGCTGTTATAATCACATTGTCAAGCCATCTTTGAGACCATCAACTTCCCACAATGTCCTTGTGTCAGCTGTACATGTATACTCTATACACCAAGCACTTATATACACCTCAAACCAGCCAGCCATCTAGATTATAGTCTCATTCTCCCGTGTCGTCTCGTTCGAATCTTGGCTCTCGCTCTCATCTGCACATCTCATCATATCTCATCTCCCGGTGACTAACACAACACAGCTCATATCGTCAACTCTCATCACCTCATCACCTCATCATCTCATCCACCGGACATGACTTGTAGAACTAACACATCAAATCTCTCGAATCTCTTGACAGATGGGCTGATTGCCATCCCATTCTCCCTTGATACACTCATTCGCCACCTGCTATCCCACGCCATCTCCACCAACAGACACCACCTATTTCAACCCGTCTTGGGTCGAGACTCGAGTCTTTTCTTATTTCGAAATATCCTCCCCCCAGATCTTCTTCGCAATCTCCACCTCCAACTTAATCTTCTCCCACTGCTGGGATTCAGTCAACTCATTCCCCTCCATCGTACTACTAAACCCGCACTGATGGCTCAGACACAACTGATCCAGTCCCCGTGGACAATACCCCGCGGCCTCACGAACCCTCTGCTCAATTTGCGCCGCATCATCCAACTCCCCAGTCTTGCTCGTCATAACCCCCAACACGACAACTTTATTTTCCGGCAAATGTCTCAGCGGACTGAAATCGCCACTTCTCGCATCATCATATTCCAAAAAATAGACATCCACATTGAGTTTCTTAAACAACACTTCCGCCACGGGCTCGTACCCGCCCTGCGCAAACCACTGACTACGATGGTTTCCGCGACACAGATGAATACCAATCGTCATATCGGCAGGTCGTTTGCTGATGGCCCGATTGATCAGGTCGGCGTACTGGGCCGCTAGGGTCGCGGCGTCGCTGCCGTGGCGGGATTCGGCTTCGGACCGCATTTTCGAGTCGCATAGATACGCCAAATTGGTGTCGTCGAGTTGGACGAAGCGACATCCTGCATCGTACAAAGAGGCTAGTTCGGCTTGGTAGACAGATGCCAAATCGGAAAAAAAGTCGTCCAGGTTCGGATAGGCCGTGCTGTCGATGGCGTCGCGGCCGCCGCGGAAGTGGACCATTGTTGGACTTGGGATTGCTACCTTTGGTGAAGCCGCGGCGTAAGCCGATGCCGAAGCAGTCGCGGAGGTGGAATCAGAGCCTGAGGAGAGACTCTGTTCTGTTTTGGCCGCTTCGATTTGTTCTTTCAAAAACAAATAATCATCAACTTGGATCGCTTTGCTGTGGCCCAATTTGCCCGTCACCACGAGGCGAGGCGGCATCACGCCGCCCTTGGACTGGTTGGTCGACTGTAGGTTGCCGCGCACCTCGACGCCGTCAAAGTGTTGCAGGAAATCCAGGTGGAACCATGCGCGGCGGAACTCGCCGTCCGTGATCGACCGGAGTCCCGAGGCTAGTTGTTGGCGGACGACCTGGGCGATGTGTTTGTCTTCCAGGGCCCGGAGTTCTGTTGCAGTCATGGCGCCAGAGGAGACTTTTTGGCGTGCTTCCAGGATTTCTTTGGGGCGGAGAAGGGAGCCGACTTGGTCGGCGCGGTAGACGCCGGTTGGGAGAGGCATGATGGAGAGATAGAGACAGAAAAGAAACCTGGTGTGGCTTGGAAATGGGATGTGTTTGGTGTTGTTAAGTTCGAAGAAAAAGACGGAGAAAGATTGGGTTGTTAAGGCTTGGGTTTCTTTTTTCCTTCTTCTTACTCTTCGTGCTATCTCAACCTTGTTCCCGTATTAAGGAATGGTACTGTAACTGTAGATATTGTGTACAATATAAGCAGGACTGGTAATAAAATAAAAATCCCGAGCTCGTCAAGATTCAATTCAAACTCCGCTTTGACAACTCAACTTGAAGCTGTCTGGGGGTCCACGTCAGATACTACCGCTGTACAACTAGTAGTCGGCGAAGACCCTTCCAATAGACGAGTAGGAATTTTCCCCATGATGGAGCAAAGACCAGAAAAACAGCATTTGTCCAATCACAACAGAAAGAGACTCGAGTCGAGAGTGCTGGACTGTGGGGAAGAATGAGATTTCGATGTCATGAACAAGTCCATATTATTAGTGGGAGAGCTCGGTACTAACTTCCACGGTATCCATAATCCTGTAATCATTTTGCTTCGTTGTTCAACTGCCGAAAACTGGTTATGGCACCGTGCGTGAGATTTGGCTGATAGAGCTGGATCGAGCGGCATCCACATCCAGATCCACATGCGGCTTATGTCATCGGCTGCCGAGGTTACAAAGCTGGGCGTTTGGGATAAGTCGGACTGGAGAACCTGTCTGATTCACACAGCTGGATCTGAGAATTTCACCGTCTTTAAGAGATCAGAAATAGAGCTGGAGCTCGACCAGACGTGCATTGTTACAGTAGCCAGTTTAATGAATGGTAGGTTAACTTCTAGCAATACTAGACTGTACTCAATACCGTTCGTTTATCAACACCACTCACGAAGAGCAACTGCATTGGATGGCCCTCCTGAATCTCGGCACATCGCCGCAATATTTCTTTTCAATCTCCTCGTTCCATTCCCACTGGTCCTTGAAAGGATTCAGAGACATCTCCATGACACCTTCTAGTATCTTGCGGTCGTTCTTATTTTGCACTCGGTCGATAATGTCGTCGAGTAACCATCCTCGCGGAACAAAATTCGGGTTGACGGCTTTCATGGCCTTTTCTCTTTCCTGATCGGCAGAAGGTTCGGATCCCCAATCTTCTACGATCCGCTCACGCCAGGAGTCCAACCACTTGCCGACTCGTTCGCGGCCTGACTCGTTGGTTTCATTGAGACCCGTCACTCCTTCTCGGTGGAAGAAGCATTCTGCCGTCTGTTCGCGGCCTTCTTTGGTACTGACGTCGTCAAGCTTCACTGTGGAAAGACGACGGAAGAAATGGTTGAAGTCTAGCTCCAATGCCTCCATCGTGTCGAGAAGTTCAGAGAACAACTTGTCAAAGTCACTGTCCTTTTGGGTCTTGAGTCCCAGACGTAGAGACATCAGTCGACGATATTCGCTGAGAAACACCGCCTTGTATTCTTCACCGATCTGATCAATAATCGTCTCGGCACGTTTGATCAAGACGGGAGCAAAATCTTCTTCGACGCCTTTTTCCACAAAGACGTCGTTATCCACACGGTCGCCCGCACCAATCAGTTCACCGAGTGCCTCGCCCAGACGGACGAGGTTCCACCAAATAATACTCGGTTGAGCACGGTAGCTGTATCGAAGCATATAATCGTCGTGGTTGGGAGTGTACGAAGGATCGAAGTTGTCCATGAATGCAAACGGGCCATAGTCCATAGACAGGCCGTAAATAGAAGTGTTGTCCGTGTTGAGCACCCCGTTCATGAAGCCATATGCCTGCCACATGCCAACGACCTTCGCGTTCCGGCGAACAATCTCACGGTAGAGTCTAGTGAATCGGTTTTCCTCGGCACCCTCCTTGCCCTGGATTTCGTCCTTGGACACTCCTCTTTCTGGGTCGGCGTTTGGCGTATCAGCAGGTAGTGCGGCCGGAAGGGTTTCCCATCCACCAAAAACTTCTTCAGCAACATAAGTGGCTGTTTGGCGGATGAGATCTCGATCGCCTCGTGATCTCATCAAATCAAATGTCCCTAGCCGGAGCCAGGATTGGGCAATGCGACATACAATGGCACCTGGTTCTAGCCGTTCACGAACGACCTGCGACTTGGGGCAGAGCGTCAGGGATAAGGCACGGGTGGTGGGGATGCCGATGGCATTCAAGTATTCCGACACGACGAATTCGCGGATACTGGAGCGCAACACAGCTTTGCCATCGGCGAATCGAGAATATGGTGTTTTCCCGGCGCCTTTCAACTGTATCTCATAACGCACTTTGGTCTGGGGGTTGGTGGTCTCGAAAAGAGAAATGGCTCGTCCGTCACCCAATTGCCCGGCCCATTGGCCAAATTGGAAGCCACCATAGCATTGGGCCCAGGGGTATATGCCACCCTTCTCTTCATCCCAGTAAAACTTATTGCCTGAAACAACCTGTTTTAATTCTTCCGATGAAGCCTCCGACTCTGCAAGCCCAATGTCACGAAGGGCAGCGTTGCTAACAGCCAAAAGCTCAGGATCCTCGGTGGGCTCAGGCCGGACATACGTGTACAGGGCCCCTCGCACCATTCGAGGACCAAGTTTCTGGCGAGGCGCTCGATGGGAGTCGATTGGTGTAGGAAACTGAGGATCGGGAGGAAGATGAGAGGTAAAATTGTTCGACTTGGGGATGTCGGCTAGTGTATAGCCACCGTCAGATTGGCCATTGGAGTGGTTGCCATTTGAGGCGCCGTCCGCGACCTGCGACGACATTTGGGCAAGTCTTGTTCGAGCGATGGATGAGGGCAATCGATAGAGGCGCGATGCGGGCCAATGTCGTAAAAACATACAGGAGAGGAGTCGGAGGGCGAGCGAGGACGATTGAAGTGTGGTGAGAGGGACTGTGAGTATATTTAAATCCTAGTAGTTGTAGATTAAACTATCCTCCATCACTCAGCCTCGGGAGGCGATTCAGTGGGAGGCGAAAGACATGCAATTCGGTTCATCATAATTACCAATTGCTGCGACTCCGCTTGATGTCATTTGTCTGGGGAATTGCGCCGGCGGATCTATGATCCGTCCAAGACTTATTAGGGCGAAGTAGAAAGCCGGGCGTGATTATATGGTGGATCAAGCAGTGCACCACGTTGTTCTTCAATAGACCAGTTTGCTGGCTACCCGCTACCAATTGGAGGTAATTTAATATTACTTCAGCACTGACATGGAAATCAGGCAGTATCCGCCCGCTGCCGTTGCGGCCCGTAGGTGCCTGCATATTGGCATGGGCCCAACTTCATCCATCACTACTACTGCACCACACTGCATTGCCAGCATCAATCTCCCCTCTCCAGCTCCCTCTGAACCGACGGCAACTCGATGTTGCCATCATCCCACCTGACTCCATTAGTGCCTGCTGTTATTCAGCTCTATCCATGTGAAGCGCCCTATCAGCAAACACATTTGGCTGGACGGCCCATTGGAGCTTCGCGACGTGTCACAGACATCCGTCCGCCACTACTTCGCTTGTTATGTTTGCTGCCCGATGAGTCTACAGTATGAATCGTATGAAGACAGGAAAGTAGTGATTTCGGTCCACAACTTCTCTACATAATGCTGAGGACTCATTCTCAAAAAGTGTACAGTATATCTTCTTCCTGCAACACTGTTGCAAATTGGTTTGTCGGCCCAGACTCGCTTAACATTTTCCCCACCGACGTGAAACAATTCCTTCCATACCGCCAGTGACTCAACTTTCGGACAGTGTCGCTTTCCAAAAGTGCCGTTGACATACCGTCGAACAATTGACTCTTCAGCAGGCTGCGAACAACCAACACGTTCATCATGGCGTCTGAAAAGCGTCTACGACAAATATCCCAAAACAAGACTCGTCCTCCACTCGGTCCGAAGCGAACTTCAAGTTTGCGCCGGGCATACAATCGCATCTTCCGCCCAGATTCCCCTACGAAACACCAACCATCAGACAAACATGCCGAGCCAGAATCCCCCAAGTCACCAGACCATGCGCCTCCCAGGCCGCAGCAACCTCCGCCTGCCCCCAGCCAAAACGGATCCCTTGAAGAGGAGTTGATACAATGTCGAAAGGAGCTTCGAGAAGCCAGGGAGCTAGTTGTATCTCAAGACCAGGAACTGTCCAATCTCGAGCAGACCACTCAGAGACTGGAGGCGGAATACAGAGAAAAGGAAGCCTCACTGCAACGTCAAAAGGCCGCATTGGAGGAGCATATGGTCTCTGTTGTCGTCAAGCAAATCAAAGAAGCTCAAGAGGCAGAGCGTCAGGCGGTGCGGGAAGAATGCAACCGACAACACCAAGCAACGCTGGACAGCGTGCACCACAAATACAAGTCCAGAGTTGCCATTCTCACGCAGGAACTACATGAAGCACGTGCCGGATCCGAAAAGTTAAAGACTAGCCAGGACAACGAGATTTCTCGTCTCCGCGCCGAAGCTGCTTCTCTAACTGCGGATCTCGAAGCTGCAAAGGCCGCCATTGCCGAAACCACGGAGGCGTTGAAAAGCGTCCAACAAGTGTCAGCAGCCGCACTCGAAGAGTCCGAAAAGAAGAACAACATGCTTCGGGCGGGTCTGGAAGCACAGATAGCTGCCTTGACTGAGGAGCTGAACGACGCGCGATCAAAGTCGCAGAATGCAGAAGCTAGTCGTGGTGATTACACAAAGCAATACGAGGAATTGCAACAGAGCTCATCCGCTGCAATTGAGGCCGCTAACCAGTCGCTTAGTACTCTCCGACAAGAAATGGAGGCTCAAATTGAGGCTCAAGCAAAGGAACTGTCTGCGTCTAAACAGGCACTGGAGGAGGCCACGAAGAAGCATGAAGCCAACACTGCGGCGGAAAAATCTGTCCAAGACGAGCTTCAGGCCATGCGGGTCAAGATCTCAGAGCTCACTACGGCCTTACAAGGGTACGACCAGACGCGGGAGGCTCTAAGCACTGCCGAAGCCAAGATTACCGAAATGACCAAAGAAGTGGAAGATCGCTCGAAAGACAAAGCAGCTTTGGAAGCTTCGGATGCGAAAATTGCTCAGCTCATGGTAAAACTCGGATCGTTTGACGCGTGTAAGCAAGAACTCGAGCAGTCTCGCGACCGAATCGCTCGACTGTCCGTCGACATTGAAGACAAGGAGGTCGCCATTGAGAGAGCGAATGCAAAGATTGACGAACTGTCCGCTCAGGCCGAACAGCATACCAAACTTCAAGCAGATCTCGACGCTGAGAAGGAGCGCTGCACAAATCTGTCAAAAGAAATCGAGGCACATACGCGGACTGCTGCAGAGTTGGAAGAAAAGCATAAATCAGCAGAGTCCCACGCTGCTAAAGCTGAAGAGCGGCAAGGCACCCTTGTGAAGGAGCTCGACGCCTTGAAGGAGACTTTGGCCGCCGAATCAGCTCGCTATGCAGCAGTGGACGGCCAACACGGCGAGCGTATCAAAGAGCTAGAGGCTTCTGAGCAGACTGCACAAACGGCTTTGGACGAAGCGAACGCCAAACTGAACGATCTTGAAGAGGCCAATAAGAAGGTTGAATCAGAGCTTGAAACGAAGCTGCAAGCAATCAAAGCCTATGAGGAAGAAAAGGATGTAATAACTGGCCAGCTTGAAAACGCCCAGCAAGCATTGGAGGACGCTCAGAGTAAAATTGCTGCTCTCGAAACGGAGAAACTACAGCTCGCGGATACTCTGTCCGAAGCCTTGTTGGCAGCTCGGACGGCTACAGAGTCAAATACCGACCAGATTAGCGGCCTCGAAGCAGAAAATGCAAAACTGAAAGAAGAGCTTGATGCCGCATCAAAACAAGCACAGAAAGTCACAGAGTTGGAAGCCGAGAGGACGAAGCTGGTCGAGGCAATTGAGACACTGAATGGAGAGGTATCTACCGCAGCAGGTCGGATCCCAGATCTCGAGGCCGAGAAAGCGAAATTGGTGGCAGATGTTGAAGCTGCAGAAACTGAACAGAAAGCTCTACAAGACAAGCTTGTCAATGTTGAAGCAGAAAAATCGGATCTTGCTTCGAAAATCGATGAATTGGCTAAATCCGCGAACGCTAAGGACGAAGCACTCGAACTCGCCAAATCCGCCAAATCCGAAGCAGACACCAAACTTGAAGAAGCAGAAAAAGCGAGACTTGAAGCCGAAGGACGAATTGCCGAGCTTGAGACACAGATCAAACGATCCAAGACTGAAGACGAAGAGCTCAGTAGCAAGCTACAAACTGCGGAAACCGAAAAAGGAGCTTTAGAAACCCAGCTGAAAGAGCTTGAACAATCACAGAGCACGGCCATTGCAGAACTTGAATCCAAGCTTGCAGCTGCCGATGAGGCTCTTCAGCAGGCCGGCGAAAGCTCGCGCGTGACCATCAAGGAGCTTGAAGACAAAGTGGCCTCAGCAGAGACTTTGTGCAAGTCTACCTCGGAAACTCTGGACAATGTCAAAACCGAATCAGAGGCAGCCAAGGAGGCCAAGGCAGAGTTAGAGCAAAAACTCACAGAAGCACGAACTGCCCAGACCGCGGCGGAAGAAGCCCTTGCAGCAGTTCAATCATCGACGGATTCTCTGAAAAGTGAACTGGAGCAAAAAGTCCTAGACTCGGAAAAGGCTCGAAAAAGCATACAAGAGGCTCTGGAGGTTGCAACCGAAAAGTTCAAGGAATTCGGAGAAGTCGAGGCGAAGCTGGCCGCTTCCCTGGCCGCGCAAAAGTCGGCTGAGGACGCACTCGAATCGACGCGACGGGAGCAGGAGCAGGAACTTGACAAACTCAAAGCAAAGGCAGCTGCTGATGCGGCGAAACTCAGCGATGACCTTGAGGCCAAGGACCGTGCGATCGAAGCCTTGGTGCTCAGCAAAGAAGAGACAGAGTCAAAGCTAGAGAAGACCATGGCGGAAGTCGAGTCTTTGAAAGTGGAGATTGAAGATTTGAAGAAAGCTCAAAGTCAATCCCGATCTGGGCCTCAATCTGTTCAAGCTGCAGACGCCACGGAAGACAAGACGAAAACGGAAAAGGCAAATGGCGAGGAAATGGCGAAACTGCAAGCAGAACTCAAGGCCAAAGATGACCAAGTCGCCAGTCTCCAGGCGTGGAAGAAGCAGGTCGAAGACGAGATTGAGAATCTGACTACAGGCTCGACTTCGACTTCGACTCCGAATGCCTAGCGATATACAGGCGGCCTAGCTATGTAAGTACAGGTGCTGTGTTGTGTCCTTGTTGAATGGCGAAGTTCAGCTTTTGCGGTCGGTCGTTGCAGAGCGTGACAGCGTACAGTGGTAATCCTTTTTTTTGCATACCATTACCAATACCCTTATCCGTCAATTGATCAGATTGTTAGTGCCATCCATTTCATCTATTCAGTCAGTCATTCATTCATTCATTCACTCATTCAAACTTCCAATCTCGGATCGATAAAGCAGAGAAAACAGGGCTCACTAAACATCTCCAAAATCTAGGTCGTACTACGTAGTCCTTTAATAATCAGTCCCCCCACTGGAGCCGTAGCCGTAGCCGCTCACCCGTGAAGAAGTTAATCATTGTACAACAACTGAGCAAAGCCTTCGTTTCGACATCCGTCTTTCCTTCCCTCTCGCATGCCGACCAGCCTACCTATGTAGGTACATAAGCCAATATAAGTAACTTGTATTGACCGCTTAGGCTTACTAACCGCCATGTACTTTTGCACCAACCAATCAACCATACACATCCTGTTGTTTTTGTCAAGCACGCAAGGCTGCGGCCACAAATGGATTGTCCACCCTGATGTCCACCGTACCACTCAGGACATATACCTATTGCTTAGATGAAGTGGAAGGCGTCAGGAATTCATTCACGTTGACAGTGCACACCAGGGTGGACCAAGTTCACCAATTCACCAATTCACCAGACAAGACCATGTTTGAGATCATGATACGGCTATTGATTGCGTGTCTGTGGAGAACGTCTGAACTCTACTCTATCGTGTCCCCATCCCACCCAGCTCAAACTCGTGTTTTCTCAAGTACCAGAACGCCTGAGATACCAACCAAAACTTGGTCTTGACCACAGTGCCCCGGTGCAGCCACGCACATCCCACCCACGTCACGATTCGCACTCATCATCGTTCATGTCTCAGCAGACTCCCCCGATTTGACGTCCCCGAATGATGTCCACTGACAAACAGCCCAGGTGCCGGACTACTCGGCCGGCTTCGCGTGCCTCTACCTCCATGACCATCAAGTCCCGGACTGCCCGGCGGTTGGACACTAGATCCCCGCGTCTGAACACCACGATTGCGCTTCAGGGCTCGATTCTCCTCCTCCAGTTTGCGCAACAGCATATCCTTGGACTTGCGCTCCAGTTCGAGTTCCGAAATCTTGGCCAGGTGCCGCTTGATGCTGTCCTCGAAGTTGGTCTCTTTGAGTCGACGCTTCTCGTCGCCAGCCTGCTTTGACAGCTCTTCAACCTTTTCTTCCAGCTCTCGGACCTGGTTCGCAAATTCGGCCGCTTTGTTGGATGCGTCCTGATATTGGCTGCGGGTGAACTCGAAATCCTTCCGCGTATTTTCCAGCGATTTTTCCAAATGTACGTTCTTCGCTACCAGAGTTCGGGCTTCTTCTCGGGCAGCCTCTAATGCCGCGGCATCCCCTCCGCCGTTCTTGATCTCTTCCCGTACACTGGTCAATTCCTGCTTGAGCTCCGCCACCTTGCTTTTGAGGTTACTATTGTCTTCGAGCACCCTCTCGTACCTAGCTTTATTGTTCTCGATTGTCTTGGTGAGTTTCTTGTTCATGCTCTCTAATTCGTGGCATTTCGTCATTCTCTTCTCATAACGTCGTTGTAGAGCTGCATGGTCTTTTTTCCATTGATCCAGTTGCTCCTGAACTCGGTCGCGCTCCCTCTCAGCCTCTTGCCTGGCATTTCTCTCAGTGACAAGATCGGATTGCAATTTGTTGACAAGCTCCTGCAATTGTGCAGCAGTGGGTGCATCGTTCCCAGCGCTGCCTGCCTCTTGAGAGTCCCGGAGTGGTGTCAAACGCTGACGCTTGCCTAATGGTGGGAGCGCCCCATCGACGTCCAACAACCTCTTCTTTCCAGAAGGGGTATCGGCACGTGAGACAGGTGTTCTGGAGTGCGGGACAGGTTCCTTGGGCGTTTCAGCCACAGTCACTGTTCCGCTGGCCTTGGCAGATGTATCTTCTAGTTCCGTCAGCTGAAGCTCCGGCATCGGCCCCAAATTCCATTTGGCATCAAAATCTTCCGCCAGAGAAGCCCTCGCCACGATCGACGCAAGCATGGCGAGTTTTCGTTCAGGGCTCTTCCGCAGAGCTTTTTGAAGGTCCGAAAAGTCCATGGGCCTCCCTTCAGGTTCATCTGATGGGTCCGGCACGTATGTTGGTTTGCCTCCCAGGTTCGGTCCAGCTTGATAGGTTGCACGAACCAGAGCCTTCAACCTCAACGGAGATGGCATGCTCTTTGGCAGACAACGATCCACATGCTCCGAAGAGTTGGAAATCAACAGATGGATTACCGGCAAGAGTCTCGGGGGCAGAGGTGCGAAATGTCTTCGTATACGCGCCACCTGAGGATCTTGCGAGTCGAAAGAGGCATCAAAGGCAATCATCAGCAGGACAGGCTTTGGCGAGAATGACACTTGATGGGTGGACCCGGTGCTCACCAGGTGGACCTGGAATTCTGTACTGGGCCTGTCTGGAGTGGGTGATTGTGATGCAGCAACTCGGTCATGTCGTTTGACATTGATATGCTTCAAGTTCAGATATTGTTCAAGCAGGTCTTGAATCGGACCGGCTTGAGCCATGACTATAATGGAACATGACACGTTTTTGAGCATATCGACGAGGTGGCCAAGAAAAGAAAATTTCGAGCCTGCATAGTTTGCATAAGCTGCATGATGTTCGGATTTAATCGAATATTGGGTTCCAAATCCTGGCAGTCCAAGGTCAAGATGGGTGGTTGTATCGTGTAGTCGTTGCATCAACTCCACCATCTCGTTTCGTTCGTGTGTTCGATTCGGCGAGCCATTGGATGAGCCGATCGATTCGTGTCTATTGATAAACTTCAATATGACTTTCCGTTTCGCATTGATGGTGTCCAGATATGTCGACTGGATTTTCCCTTCTGCAGGCAGAGCAAGGGCATACTCGTCTGGCCCCAGAATTGGATGACTAGGCTGCACCAACCCATCGACTTGTCCGATATCCCTCTCATTTTCGACCGATTGCTGACTGGAACTCAACTTCGACTCGTTGGAGGATTGTTCATCATTGTAATCCTGTGGCTCCTCCTCGATCGACTTCCGAATGTGTAGGGCGCTGGAATAAGTAGTATCATATGGCTGGACCGAAGGAGCGTCATTGGTAACAGTCACAGGCTCGGTAGCAGGAGCAGGAGCTTCGGCAGGTAGACTGGCCATGGGTTCCATGTGAAGGCCGGTCTCATTCGATGAAGAAACCTGACCTACATCAGCCATTTGGTTTCCGACTGGTCTTGCTCTTTCTGCAATCCCTCCGGTTGAAGGCAAGTCTGGCAGCGACGACATGGGTAGAGCCGCGTCACCCGGCACCAGGCCAAGCCTACTGGGCGAGGGAACGTCAGGCTGGGCCATCCCTAGTCCCGATGTTTGAAGGCGACTCTGCGACCGGACCGGTGAGCGAAAGCCTTCACTCAATTGTCTTCTCCCGTTCGAGGGTCCAAATTCTGAGGGCTGCGGTGAGATGACGGACTGCTGCGCCGCAGGCACTTGGGTCTCGAACTGCCAGACCGACGAGCCACTGCTGTTTTCAGAGGGATTAAAGCCGGCCGTGGGAGGCAACGCGTCGGGCCTAGGAGCAGGACCACCGGCCAATTCCTGGACAGAGAGGACTCTCCGGGCCTGACTAGATCCCAGTTCACCGCTAACTTCTCTGTGCGGACTCGACTGCTGTCCTGTACTTGGCACGTACTCCGGGCCGTTGACTCCGCCTGAGGCAGGAGAAGTGGTCGAGCTGGCAATGCCTCTGGTAAGAGGCTGGGGGACCTGTGACGCCAGAGCTGCAGTTTGAGGAGATTGCTGTGATGAAAGGATTGGGTGAGCGTACCGAGGTGGCTGGCTGGCTCCGTTAATGGGTTGTACCTGCTGTGTGTTACCGCTACCACTGAATTCGGTAGGAGGAATGTGGCTGACTTCTTGAGTGGCGGATTCCTCGGAGGAGTTGGGCAAAACTGGATGTATCCGTTTCGGAAGAGTGGGACTGGCTGCTGGTTGCGAAGAGGGGTGTAGGGCCAGAGACTGGCTGTATCCTGGAGAGAAGGATTGTGGTAATCCCCCGTCGGAGAGGATCTGAGAGCTATGAAGTGACTCGTAGTCGTCTCTATTGATTTGTGCACGGGGAATGCTGACGGATATGGAGGCTGGCTGTGATGTCGCTTGTTGAGTCTCTGCTATCTCGATTGGAGTTGAGGACAGCACGACCAAATTGTCGTGAGACTGTCTTCGAGTGCCTGGTATTTTCGACGTACCCCAACCGTTTGTAACTTTGCTGGAGGACGATGCGTCTATTGATGCTCGGCGAGCTGTTGTTTGGGACTGCAGCTCGCTGGAAGACTCCCGGATGGTGCGTGTAGGTTTTGGCTTTCTTGCTGTGTCCGTCACAGGTTGGCCATTGGACTGCCGTCTGGTGTGTCCGTTTTGAGTCGTATCTCTGTGTTTGTTCTTTTCCTTCCAGGAAGCTATGAGTCCGTCGCCGACACTATCGGCTGCGACCTGTAAGCGATGTCAATGAACATTCTCTCTTTCGACGATCCTGTAAGTCCGTCCATACCCAAGTAGGCCTGAAGATCTCTTTGGTTTCCGGATGTGGCTCCCACGACACCAGATATTCCCTCTTCTTGCCCGAGTATCGCTCGTCCAAGATATCTGCCGCGGGCCAGCTTCCTTTGCCAACCTCGCGAAACTTCTTTCCCAGTCGCTTCTGCTCTTCCCAATCTACCCACCGATCGGAGTATTGAACAGGGCCGTCCGTGGACTTCTTGCGCTTGGGTGGTTTGTACTCTACAGTGTTAGGAATGGTGCGCCCAGATTTCTTCATTATACTCTTTCCAGGAAGGAGCGGAGGCAAGTGAGCTTCATGGCCGGTCTGCGAATCATGGCGACAGATAAAGAATGAGATACGACGCGAGAGGCACAAGCAAACAACTATGGCTGTGTGGACAACGGTCCTGGTGATGCTTGGTTCTGGGGGTTCAAGTGTGTTTTGGGAATTGGAGACACGACGAGGACCACGCTGCGCTGGCAACTTAGCCGAGTCGCCGCCAACCCCCTGGACAGTCACCACATGCAGTGCCAGTGCCCGTCCAACTTCACTTTCAGACCAGTACCCGCTTGTATCTTCCCGCAGAAGTGCGAGCCGTCACTTCTGGAACGGCGAGCGTGAATTTGAGGTGGTGTTAAGTTAAGTGAGGACCCGTCGAGCTTTGTCCACCATTCTAGTCGACAAGGCTGAAATCCGGGATCCCCTTTGTCTTGTTTGGTGATTGGCATATCCGTTCCATAAGCCGACACAAAATCCGGCCTCTGGACCGCTCAATTGTTTATCAGCTCTATCTATTCATATATACAATGTACAATATCATTGAGAAACCAAAGAGCATTTGGCCTTTTGAAACATGTCCAACTCCTTATCGTCAGCCTTGCTCCGCCACTCGTCAAAATCAAATCCCAGCTCCTCGATCGTCCTAACTTTATATCTATCCTCGCCCTTTTTCAAATAAGCAGCCTTGACATTCGGAAAGATGGATCTCAACCAGACCTGCCTCTCCAGCCATCTAGCACCACGTTTGCCCGCCCCATCATTCTCCAAACCTTGTCTCTTTCTCGCGCTCTCGGCCCAGGCATAGAGCTCATTGATCTGGGCAGCATCCTCCGGAAACTTCTTGAGATGGAAATACTTCCCATCGCCCTTCTCCTTGACCGTATCCTGCTCCCACTGTCTCATTTCATCCGTCGACGGCAAATCCAGGCGTCCACTCCAGACCCTCGCCAGGACGGCCGCCTGATTCTGCGAGAGCGGAAACGGTATAATCTTCAGATTAATGACCGGAAACGCAAGCGTGGGATGTTGAATATCAAATAAATGCTGATACACATCCCTGGTGCGGAAACCATCGGTGACCACTTGGGGCGAGACGGTCTGAAGAAACGGATAAGAGTAGAAATACCCCGTTGCAAAAACAACAGCATCGACATCCGTTTCAACCCGGCCACTTCTGAACCTTACAGCTCGATATTCGCCCTCCTTCTTAGGCAGAAACTCAACCAACTCGTCGACATCATCGCGCCATTCCGCGGGTGGCAGGGTTCCGAAGGCCGAGACAGAGCGCGCCGAAAGCAGTACGGGGGTCTTGCAGTACTTTCCGATCTGCGTGGCGATGTCGAGTCCGGACGCCGAATTGCCCACCACAATCACTTTCTTGCCCGTAAAGTCCTCGGGTTTGCGGTACGCTTTGGAATGTATAATGTGCCCTGGGTACGTGGCGTTCCACTCCGCCACGCCCTTGATGTCCGGCACATACGGCACGGTGTAATGTCCGTTGGCGACCACGACGGCATCATACTCCTCGCTGATAGTCTGCTTGGTTTGCAGATCTTCCGCCTGCAGAGCCCACCGTTCCTGGCCGGTTTTTGAGTCGATAAACTGTTTGACATCGCGCACCGCCGTGTGAAACCGGATCAAGTGCCGCACTTCGTCGGCATATTCATTCAAATACCTGAGGACAGCCTGATGGCTGGGGAACAGTGGTTCTTCGTCTGGGAACGGCTTGTCCGAAAACGCCATTAGCTGTTTCGGAATGTTGGTCTCCAAGTAGTCGTAGAGCGGGGATTCGAACTCCAGAGTTTCCTCTTCGGCATGACTGCCCTTTTGTCCATAGAACGGATCAAGCTGAGGGATAGGAATCCTCTTCGACCGCGTCGGCGGCGACAGGTTCCAGATCCCGCCTACTCCATCCCGCTGCTCGTATATGTCGATTGTATCAAATGCTTTTTCGGCCAATAAATATCTATATTAACTGCAAGTTAGTTCGACCCGATCAATTTTAATCTTCCACCGACAAAAACAGCACGAGTGGACTTGGATTTTAATGAGAAGACCTACTTGGCACAAGACACACCAACCGGACCACCTCCTATAATGGCAATCCTCGAGATCGAGGAGCTTTGCGCGGCGTCGCCCATCGCGGTTCCGTCAACTGGAAAACAATATCCGATCTGTAGTGATCTTGGGCCCGGGGTTCTGGATTGACGATCTCGATCTGGCCGGATCCTCCGCCGATGACTAACAGATTCAATCGTCGAGCGGAACCTGGTAATACCAAAGGGAACTTGAAATCCGAAGACCAAATAAACTTGGGCAACAGTCCGTGCAGGAACAGATTACGAAAGATGAAACAACGCCGGACAAACCCTTCTCGAATTATTCTGTCGTCCTATTTCAAAAAAAAAAAAAAGACTGTCTCTCTGCCAAAAGACAAACGAGCGAAATTTGCGGCCCGGTTGCGCCATCACTTGTTGCGGGCCCGCGCCCGCCAAAGTCCGATCAGGTGATGGATGGTACGATATCAAGAGTGGAGGATAAGGTACCTTGGGTAGGCCACACTTCGCAACAAGCCCCGTAGACCGTGATCATATTCTTTCTTCCGGCCTGGGTACCGAAGGTGGTCTGGTCTGTTGGTTATTAGCAATCTGAGATATAAGCAGTCACCTAGTTGATCCCGCCGTCGTACTGGGAAGAGATCGGTCCGCTAAGCTAGGTACGCCTGAGCATGATGGAGGCCAAGATAGCGACTCCGACCGATAAATGCACCAGACGACGTCGAGTTTTATCTACGCAGACAGGTTTGGGAGCATTTCTGTACATTATATAAACGACTCACACGCTTCAGCCTGCACAACATACATGCTTCAGGCTAGAGCAAGCCTCCGTGGAGGCGTAGGCGTAGGCGTTCATTTTTCCCGCTTCTTCCTTTTCGGCGAGGGTTCGTCCACCTCAGCCTCGTCCCCTTTCTCCCTTTTGGTCGTGAGATACCTCTCAATACCACCACTCGATGCAGCTCCAGCTCCAGTATCCCGACCATGTGCAACTTGAAGTCCATCGCGTTTCCCATTCCCCCAATTGCCCACAACTCGCTGACGGCCCGAGTCCCATTCGAGAACCATATCACGAATACCCTCATCCCTCTCTCTGATCCAAGTTGCCGCAATCCTCCCGGTTTCCTTCCCAATCTCCTCCGTCCCCTTCTTCAACTTCGCCCCACCCTTAAGGTTCATGCCATGATCGGCACCTTTGACGGTGACCAACCATGATCTAGCCTTCATTTTTGCCCTGACCTTGGCCAACAAACCAAAATCACACATGGAGTCGCCGTCGCCGGAAATGAACAAGACATCCGTCCCCGGGTTGATATCTAGCAGAATCTGGTCTCTCACATCGCGGTTCGGCCCAATCAAAGGATACGAGACTAGAACAAGTAGTCTGATCGCTTGGGCTTGACGATCATGGGCCGCTAGAACCGCCGCACGTGCACCCATGCTCCGTCCGCCAAAAGCCAGATTTGATGGTCTTGCACTATCGCCTGTAGTCTCGCCTGTCTTCTGCTGCTGCTGTTGCTGCTGTTGCTGCTTCTCGTAATCCAGAACGGCAGCGAACATGCCCGCACGACCTTTGAGATTCATATTCCCTTGAAAACAAACGATGGCGGCGCCTGTTGATGCAAACCCGTGCGAAAAGTTCATCACTGCCGGCGCAGATAGGCCTCCTCCGGCGCCATGGGTGAAGATCAGCGATGCTGGTGGTGACCCGGGGGGATGGCTCCGTAAGCATGGAATCGGTTTAGTCTTTGACGGGACTTCGTAAGACGTGAAGCGTGGTGTTGCTGTCATGTTACCAGTAGTCTTTGTAGACGGCGGGCTAGTAGTGCTTCCCAACGCGCTTACATCGTCGTCCTTACCGATATTGTTCGTGTCAGAAGAGGGCTTTGGGGCCGCCGCCGCCGTGCTGGCCTGGCTCTTTGTTGGCGACTCGGAGCTGGGTGGGTTTCCAGAAAGTCGAGAAGACCGTCTTTTTGGCGGCATGGCTGTGGCTGCGGCTGTGGCCGTGGTAGTCGCGCCGTGAATTGGATTGGATCTGGAAATTGAATGTGGTCGGAGTCCTTATTTGAATGGCATACTAGTACTTTGGTCTCGAACTGCTGGCCCAAATATTGATACTGGTTGTCGTCTGCTAGCTGTTGTAGGCAACGCGCAGCTAAGGCATTGAATTACTGCTGCCGCATGCAATGATCTTGCTGGCACGTTGGGGCTGCCTCCGGACAAGAGTGAGAAACACTGAGCGGTAAGGGAGGTGGAATATTGAGGTCACGGACACTGCAATGAATGTATGGTCACAGGTTGAGAGTTGCGGGCTGAGGTCATCTTCACGGACAAGGCTGAAGTGGCTGGACTGGTGTTCGAGTGGTACACAGTATACAAGGCTGCTAGAAGTACATGTACCTCCCTATTAAAATACATAATATACAATGCTTCACTTTACCAGCAGGCATCGGAGTCTACCTGAAGGAGATCCGCTCCAACTTCAATCCTCGGTCATTACTTTACGAACTCACTGCAGATGAAGTTGAAGCTGCAGGGAAACTTCACCTCCTGCCGGATTGCAGACCACCACTTTTGGACGTGCACTGGCACTTCGAGTTCCCAATTGTTCCTTGGTATTTTGTAATCAAAATCAGCATGGAAAAAAGTATCTACATGAGAAACACCAAAAAAGCCAACTGTCTCAGTGGAACAGGATTAACGAAATAGTACGACATATTTGGAGGCTACATGACATCCATTAGCAATACTCGGAGCTTCAGCATGAGTCCCGACATAGTCTGGGCAATTGGCCGTCTGTGCTGATTCGAGCGGACCACCGGTTCGTCCGCTGAGGATACTTCACGAAGCTATTGCATGATATCCCAGGAACTGCTGGAGGATTTGGTCGAAATATGCCTCATCAATGACAGCACCGAACCTGTGGCAAATGGTCAAGATGGGGCTTCTCAGGTCAAGATCTGTGGTTCTTACCCATGGCATTGGATTTCAGGAATCAGTGCCAGCTTCATGGCTTCCAAGCCCTCTCTTGTCACCCTCACGAAATTCGGATGCTGTCGTATGCGTTGCCAGGCCTCGACCGGTGTGATTTCCCCACTCAGATTGAGCTGGTTCGAAAACTCCAGCAGCTTTTCCAGTTCGATCGCCGGAACCGTCCACCGAGTGCCGTTCGGGATGCCTGTTTCAGTCTGCTTCGTTTGAGTCGGTGACGGGGACAACTCCATGATCGGGTTCGTCAACATCATTGTGTGTCCATTGCCGTCATCATTACAGGCGTGCTGGGTATGGTGAGTCAGACAAGCCTGTTCGAGAGCCAGGACAAAGTCGATCCCGACTTGAATCGAATCAAGTCCATCTGGATGACGCACAGCTGCCGAAGCGGCCGGAATTGAGGAATTGTTCAGTCTCGTGCTGTTGGTGTTGGTAGTGACCGGCATAGCTCCGCTGTTAACAGTCGTGGATCCTGAAGGCCAGAAGAGCGCGGACCTTGCGTCTGAGGCAGACAGTTCATATTCTTCTGGCATTTCGGCTCGAATGCTCTGCGAACGCTCGGACAGGCCCACCAACTCGATAGTCGCCTGAGGAGTCGAGACATGTGGATCTAATGCCAAATCCGACGGCAGTGGTATGCCGTAATCAGAGCAAAGCTCTTTCAACCGTCGGATAGTCCGCCTGTATGACTGGATCTCCGCCGCGTGGGCCGCATCCAGAGAACGTAGTCGCGCAACTTCGGCTTCAAGAGTCTTCAGGTATGTAGCCCTGCGATCTCGATGGGTTCTATAATCCGTAAGATCAAACGAGTACATCGTCAGGGCATACCTTGATCTTCATCTCACCTTTGAGCGCGTCTGACCTGCTCTCGTCGGCGAGCTCGAGGGTCCGTTCCCGCTTCATCCTCTGCAATCTTGGGGGTCGAATCTGCATGATCTTAGCCGAGCCGCTTCGGTGACTGCGAGCTTGCAGTCGAAATGAGCGTTAAGGCCGGGCTGCAAAAGCCAAACCCCCGCCCCCGTGACCGACTAGGAGCGCTCACCACGTTGTGACTTGTCGGATCTGACTAGCCTTGCTAGCCAGTTAGGTGATTTACTGGCCATGGTTATCTGACCCGCTGACCGCAGTAAGTTGACTTCGCACTGTGCAGTATGACTACCTCGCTGAAGCGAGTCGTAAAATGATGATTTCTTCCAAACGCTTGAGTGTCAGTAGACGGTTAACCAGAAGGGACCTTCAAGTCGAGCGTTCCAGACCGTGGGGCGGCCCGATCATGCCCACGATTATGGCATCCAGATCGATAAAGAGTGAAATATCCACGATCCTGGCATGTCCTACCGAGTGGTGCTGGGGAAGGGAGGCCTGAGGCTAACAAACCTCGACGGCTTCGCCCGCACCATGTGCCGAGTGGTCTGGCGCGGCGGTCCGACAGGGATCATGTTTTGATGCTTTGAATGCATGGTTTCGTGTTTCATCCCTACCTTAGGTAGCTAGACATAGACACTTGCACCTAGGTCTCCCAAATATTATCCTGCCCTCTGCCAACCGAGATTTCCAGGAACTCGACATAGCAGGATCAGGTACCAACGGGTTGGCGGCCAGCGCAGGCATATAGAATGTAGCAAAGCACGAGCAGGCATCGGCAAGGACTGGAAGTCAGTTCAGCCCCGGCGTGATTGTTGGAGACACGGTTGGATACATCAAACGGCCGGAAATATCATGGTCCAAGGGGAAAATACCTACCAAGGTACCTACCATGCGTCGACATCCAGAAGAACAGAACCCCAAGCAGCCAGCCTGGTGACGAAGATAGTCCGCCGTATTTCGTATCTCTTAGCCCCGGCCGCGGTTCAAGTTGTCGCCTCCAAGCTGCCTACCACGACTCCGGTCTCACCAGAGCCTCGACAACATGAGGCGTCTCCTCTTAAAAGTCTCCCAGCGATGTGGCAGGACTCCCATTGCTCGACGAAGCTTCTCCGCCGGCAAAAGTGACGCACCACTTCAAACCCCTGCCAAGCAAGCCTCAGTCCGAAGCCGGTTTGACCGGTTCATCGAACGAACTCCACGTTTCCTCCGGCCTACAGTGACCGGGCTGCGACAGGCTCCGGTGTCCCATATCGCGGCATTCATCATTCTTCATGAGTTGACTGCGGTCATTCCGTTGTTTGGCCTCGCCGGCGCATTTCACTACTGGCGGTGGCTACCTCCATACTTCGCCGAGGGTGCTTGGATCAATGCTGGGGTGGAGAGGTTTGGACGGTACTTTCGAAAGAAGGGCTGGATCAGTGAGAGGGACGAGCTAGACGTGGAAGAGAAAACAAAACAAGCAAAGGCGGGAAAATTCGAGAAGCAGACGATTTCCAAGTGGTTCAACCGCGGCGAAGACACGACGAGATGGGTTGTGGAATTTGCTACGGCCTACGCCGTGGTGAAAGTGTTGCTCCCTCTACGCTTGGTTATCAGCGTATGGGGCGCTCCGTGGTTTGCCAGACTGGCTGTCATTCCGTTTGGGAAAGCCACGAGATCGATCTTCCGGCGAAAGAAATCATGACAGGCTTATAACGTCACTTATTATCGTCGCAAGGCTTAGATCACCAGACTCAAAAAGGGTATATGGTAGAGTGTTTTTCAGGACGTGCGATCCAAGTCGTCATCATTTTTTGACTCTGCAAGTCTATGTGCTCTGTCTTGTATGTTTTGGACTGTCGCAACGGCAGGTTGGAGGATAGAACTATCCGCTGCCGTGCGGGTTATGCCATTTGACACTTGGCAAACCGTTTATGCCTTCTCGTAGATCCAGTCGAACTGAGCGGACTTGTAGCTCTGGATCTCCTCTGGCTTGAACCACAGAGCAATCTCCTTCTTCGCGCTCTCAACAGAGTCGGAACCGTGGCAGACGTTGCGACCGACATCGATGGCATAGTCACCTCGGATGGTGCCAGGGGCAGAAGCAAGAGGGTTGGTGGCACCGAGGATGGCTGAACGAGTTAGTCATTGCCGATTGGGACGTGAGATGTGTGGTAACTTACATCGGCCGGTCTTGCAAGCATCACGACCTTCCCAGACCATGGCCACGATGGGGCCGCTCAGCATGTCTGCGTAACCATTAGCTTAGGCCAGATGCTTGTCAATCTCGCTTTCCATACATGTAACCAAACCCTTGAAGAAAGGCTTGTCCGAGAGGTCCTCGTAGTGCTTCTCAAGGTGCTCCTTGGATGGTGAGACCATCTTCAAGGCAACCAATTTGTACCTTCACCGCTTAGTTGCTATTCGGACTCAAATTGACGTTAAATGCTCACCCTCTCTTCTCAAAGCGGGAGATGATGTCTCCGACAAGTCCACGCTGAATTTCTCGTTAATAGGCTAGCCTAGACACCGGCCATTAGGCGTAGAGAAGCATACCTGGACGCCATCTGGCTTGACGGCAATGAAACTGCAAGGACCGTTAACACTCTGCCGCAATGAGAGAGAAATCGAACACCCACGTTTGCTCGTTCGACATTTTGAAGAGTGATTGAGATGTATGAAATTGTACTTGATCTGTTTGAGAAGAAGAATTTGCTTGCACGGGCTGAGAACTTGAAGGAAAGATGTTGCGGTCAACGGTGTCTGCAGGAACAAATATTTTGCTCCGCTGAGCTTCCTCTTGCAATTATTGGTGGGGAGAACACGGTGTGACGGAGGGGCACGAACTGCCCACTGTCAATGCCAGCGAAACTGCGGTGATGCAGTCAGGGGCCCGCCAGATGAGCATCCAGCCAATGATCCGACAGCCTTGACGGTGTGTTGACGGCACCGCGGTGTTCTGAGCGACTCGCCGTAAGGACACTTTTTGGAGACGCAGCCTGCCTCTGCCTCTCGCTCTGCCTACACTCAGCACAGGTGCCAGACATCTGGGTAGCTGATCTCAAATATGGCACGGTCATCGAGGCGTACGCCTCGATGGGCAATCTCATCTATTTCCATCCTACTAGTGCTCCTTTTTGTTTCTCCCGCAGGTAGGCTGCACATTTGTCTGATATATCCTCAATGCCAATGCTGACGTATCCTAGTTATGGTAAAACACCATGATTTCAAACGATGTGATCAATCTGGGTTCTGCACTAGGAATAGAGCTTATGCAGACTTGATGACCGAAAAGGGCGAGCCCAACTCTTCACCATACAAACTAGACGCGAGTTCCCTCAAGTTCAATGGTGGACAACTGGAAGGCTCGGTAACAAAGAGAATCGCGGACACCGAGGAAGCCAAGTTGCCCCTGACCATATCCTTCCTCGAGCGTGGCAATGTACGCGTCACTGTTGATGAGGAAAAGAGACGAAAGGGCGACATTGAACTCCGACACGGCAGCGTCGCTCGGAAAGAAAGGTACAATGAGGCTGGAGCATGGGCGTTGACGGGAGCTGGTCTCCAACCCCAAAAATCAGCTACCTTGAAAAAGGTTTCTACGGATGTCAGTGAGGTGACGTGGGGGCCGGACAACACCTTCAAAGCGATCATTCGTCACGCTCCTTTTGGAATCGAGTTTTGGTCTGGCGATGACAAGCAGGTTGTCCTCAATGGTCGCGGATTTCTGAATATCGAACATTGGAGACCGAAGATAGACAAACTGGTGGAGAATGAGAACAGTACCCAGGCGGAAGCTGTCAACCCCGCTGAAGACGAAAGCACTTGGTGGGAGGAGAGCTTCGGCGGTAATACGGATTCGAAACCGAGAGGACCGGAGAGCGTTGCAATGGACATCACCTTCGCTGGCTACGGACATGTTTACGGCCTTGCAGAACACGCAGGACCGTTGTCACTGAAGGAAACTCGTGGTGGGGAGGGAAACTATGACCAGCCATACCGAATGTTTAACAGCGATATTTTCGAGTATGAGCTTGACAGCCCCATGACCCTATATGGGTCGATCCCTTTCATGCAGGCACACAAGAAAGGCTCAACAGTCGGAGTATTCTGGCTGAACGCGGCTGAAACATGGGTGGACATTGTTAAAACACGGCATGGCGCCAATCCATTGACTCTCGGCTTGAGCGGCGGCGAGATTGACACCCATACCCATTGGATGTCCGAAAGCGGGCTCTTGGATGTCTTTGTGATGCTCGGCCCAAAACCGACCGATGTCGCAAAGTCATATGGTGAACTGACCGGCTATACGCAGCTGCCAGCAACCTTCGCGATTGCGTATCATCAGTGTAGGTGGAACTATGTCAGTGATGAGGATGTGAAGGACGTTGATCGCAAGTTCGACAAATTCAACATCCCATACGACGTCATCTGGTTGGATATTGAATATACGGACGACAAGCAATACTTTACATGGGATCCTCTGACCTTCCCCGATCCCATTTCCATGGAAAAGCAGCTTGATGAGTCCGAGCGCAAACTCGTTGTCATTATTGACCCGCACATCAAGAACAAGGACGGGTACACTGTTGGTCAAGAGCTTAAAAGCAAGGATCTGGCCGTCAAGAACAAGGACAACAACATCTTCGAGGGCTGGTGTTGGCCAGGAAGTTCTCACTGGACTGATACCTTCAACCCCGCGGCACGAGCCTGGTGGAAAGGTCTTTTCTCTTATGACAAGTTTAAGGGGACCATGTCCAATGTCTGGCTCTGGAACGACATGAATGAGCCTTCGGTCTTCAACGGCCCGGAAATCACCATGCCTCGCGATAACATCCACTATGGCAACTGGGAACAGCGTGATGTCCACAACCTCTACGGGATGACCTTCCACAATGCTACCTACCATGCACTAGTTGAGCGGAAGAAGGGCGAGGTGCGTCGGCCTTTTGTTCTGACAAGGTCGTTTTATGCGGGCTCTCAAAGGACCGCTGCCATGTGGACCGGCGATAACCAGGCCGAGTGGAGCCATTTGGCAGCTTCTCTTCCAATGCTCTTGAACCAAGGTGTCAGCGGATTCCCATTTGGCGGTGCTGATGTTGGAGGATTCTTTGGCAATCCCAGCAAGGAGCTGCAGACACGGTGGTACCAAGCAGGGGCTTTTTATCCGTTCTTCCGGGGTCATGCACACATTGACACTCGCAGACGTGAGCCGTACATGCTGGGAGAGCCATACACTACCGTCATGACCCAGGCTTTGCGGTTGAGATATGCGCTGCTTCCTGCTTGGTATACCGCTTTCCATGAGGCTTCTACAGACGGCTACCCGATCATCCGGCCACAGTACTTTGTGCATCCGGAAGATGAGAAGGGTTACGCGATTGATGACCAATTTTACCTTGGCTCAACAGGCATATTGGTTAAACCAGTCACGACCGAGGGGGCGGAGAGCGTGGATGTTTATTTGTCCGACGCCGAAAACTATTTTGATTATTTCGACTACACCATCTATACCGGCGGGTCGAAGACGCACCAGATCAGCGCACCGTTGGAGAAAATTCCCATGTTGATGAAAGGTGGTCACATCATCCCGAGAAAAGATAGGCCGCGAAAGAGCTCTGGTCTAATGAAATGGGACCCGTATACTCTTGTTGTGGTCCTGGACAAGAATGGGGCAGCTCAGGGGACAATCTACGTCGACGATGGCGAGACGTTTGACTATCAGGAGGGAGCTTACATTCACCGCAATTTCTCTCTCTCTGAAGGTGTATTGAGAAGCAGCGACATCGGCACCAAAGGGCCCAAAACGGCGAATTTCTTGAAGACAATGAAGGATGTCAAGATCGAGAAGATCATTGTGGTCAATGCTCCCGCCGAATGGTCGGCATATGCCGAGGCCACGGTGACCGAAGAAGGAAGTCGAGGTTCTTCGACAGCAGAGTTGACTTTCCATTCGGCGTCCGGCAACAAGGCTGCTTGGGCGGTGGTTAGGAATCCCGGAGTCGGCATCGGATCGTCGTGGAACATCGTCTTCCCCGGGCCATCCAGTCCAAAGTCCGATCTATAGACTGAGTGTAAAATACAATAAAACATGATTTGACAGCGAAAGGACGCCATAATTCAAATCCCATAGCCAGTCTACACGTACTGTCTCCGGATTACCTCAGGTATATGCACAACATCGTAGGATTTAAATAAAGGCTAACCGTGCACTCCGTCAGCACTCGTCGGTTGTTCTCGGTTGTTCCCCCCACCGAGGAACAACCGACGAGTGCTGACGGAGTGCACGGTTAAGCATTTGTTGCAGTGGACACACGTAGAGGTGAAGCTTCCTTGACAGGGGGAAATCAGACCCTTAGGAACGCGTCTAGCAGAGTTTGGGCTCAACTAGGCGCGGAAGCCAGAGACGGGATGCCATCATCGTCACCAACAATTCTCGACGGCGCGCGATCCTGGTCATCAACAGAGATTAAAATTAGCCTCCACTGGCACCGTCCACCAATGGACCATTTTCAAGATAAAGGATGCGCGTTGTGTCCAAATCCTCCAGAAGAATGATATTTTGTCAAAAGATCAACATTCTCCTACAGCATTTCTGCGGCTCTCCTTTGCGAGATTCTATCCTCCTGCGGTTTTCGTGTTTACTTGTTGCGAGCAGCCTGAGTATCGCCAAAACGTAGCGACGCTTATCCTTCAGTAGGATCTGCTCCTGCTCCAGATCCTCTCCGATCATGTTGCGCCTATTCTCCGTTGTTGTCGACTATTTTGCGCCTCTATTGTCAGTTCTGAAGCATGAACGTCGATTCCGTGCTTGCTGATAAAATGGCTACAGTCTCGTCGTGTCTCCAATTACCTCCTATGCCGACCAGATAGTATCCATCCATCGCCGGAAGTCCAGCGATGGCTTTTCGCTCGACATTCCTCTCATCATGCTGGTAGCATCTATCCTAAAGTGTGCTCCGCCGCCCATGCTCACGAGGACGTCACTTACAATAAATCAGGGTCTTCTACTGGTTCGGCGCATACTATGACAAGGCACTTCTATTGCAGGCCTCGATCATGATTGTGGTCCAACTTATACTGTTGAAGGTGGCTCTGGACAACAGGGCCTCTACGGGTGCAAGAGATGGGCTAGAACATACTCCGTTCCATGGCTACACGGCTGAAGATGGGCTGAAAGATTTGTTGTCAGGCCGTCGGCCATATGGCTTCTGGCAATGGAACAATCCGAAGTCGTATGTGCCATGGAAAAACCGTCCGTCCTCTACTGCATGCATGATACTGATGTGTCACATTAGATACTTTCAGTTTCTGGCATATCTGGCATCAGGACTCCTTGCCATCCACGTCTTGCTCCCGTTTATTTCTCAGTCACCCACATACATCTCCTTTCTTGGATACCTGGGCTTGACCATCGAGGCATTCTTGCCCGTGCCCCAGATCATACAGAACCACCGCGCCCGATCTTGCAAGGGTTTTCGCTTGTCGGTCATCGTCAACTGGCTTGCAGGTGATGCCATGAAGATGAGCTATTTCTTCCTTAGCAGCGAATACGTCCCCTGGCCGTTTCGACTGTGCGGCATGTTTCAGGCCTGCTGTGATACCTATCTTGGGATACAGTATTACATGTACGGCGAGGGACCGGCGGGAGTCGATATCCCTATGAGCAGCACAGGCAAATCTGGCCTCTTTGGGTGAAAGACGCCATTAACCTTGAAAAAAGGCGTTCAAGCCCATATCGCAGCAAATTTCCAGCAGCAAAAAAGCTCCTGTCGCGAGGGTGAGCATGTGGCCATGACCGTGGTCTACAACACGACAGTAACATGGCGACTAGCATCTCAGTTTTGGGATACTGTGGTTCTACGCAACCGGAATACCACTATACGGTCCATGCCGGAGGAGCGCAGGCCGAATCAGATGACGCTCGAACAGAGGCTGGACTTTCGCGCTTTAGCCTCGTCAAGCACATTTCCGAGGCCTTAATTGCGGTGAAGGCGAAGTTTGACTGAGAGGGATCCAACAACGCCTCAATCTCTTCATCGTTTTACTGGCCAATAAACGGGCATGCCTAGGACCACTTCGGCCAATTGCTGTCAATTTTTATCTCGGAGAAGACGCAAGCATGGTGCCAGTTAACCTAGTGACCAGCATAACAATCCTAGAGGACTTTCCTTCGACTGAAGACACACTCTACTAGATAGTAACGTGGTTCTGAAGAGTCTCTAGACTACCATGGACTGGCTGGCTAGCCACAAGGCACACGGAATCATTCGCCGGCCGTGAACGTCAAGAACCGCAAGGATACGAGAGCTGAGAAGGCTTCCACTCCCGGGCACAAGGGCAAGAAGCTGTACGAGAAAAAAGTCCATGGCTGAGATCACCACAGATTGATGCCAAACCGGGCGAGTTTTAATCTGCCAGTTTGAAGAGCTACCCGCCCTGGCCTTCCATCACCTGTAATGAAGAGATGCTGCCCAAGATTCTTCTCAATACGCGCCCTGTCACTACCAGGAAGGCAGACGGCACTTACAACGAACCATATCGGAATTACTTTGGCACTCAAGGGTTTGCCGTTGACGTCAATATGGTTCTTGGATATGTCGGCGGCTCTCTACCGTTGTCAATCCTACCGGGTATTGATATATTGGTTGTTAGTCTCACTGGAGTCAATCCTACCGGTGTTGCATCTGCCGGTATTAATCCTATTGGTGACGACCCCACTGGTGAATGTATAAGATCGTCAGATTCGCAGGCTGCACACCTAAAGAAAATCAGCGATCTATCACGAATAAAGAGCTCGACAACTAGTACTGGGATCAGAACCCTAACCAACCGAAGTCAGTTCAGCATCCCGTCCATAATGTGTATCGGCCTCGTAGATATCGGACCAGGGCAACCAAACCATTGCGCATCTGCCGTACACGGTGAAAGAGTAAGAAATGGTAGTTCGCAATTGCTGGAACTTCAAGGGTGTGGTTGTCTTGTCGTCGGTTTATGTATGTCCTGCCGGGGCGGGAAAATATTTACCCGCCAAGAGGCCCGACCTCGACCTCTCCCACAACCACATCCACGACTCGGACTACAACGTCTTGAATCTCATCTCAATTGTCACAAGCAGCATCGCTAGACACTTTTCAACAGGGCTGACTTGCACGAATCGATCCGCTTACTCTGTCATTGCACTTCGCTTGTCTAGTTCCTGCCGACACCAACTCCCGACGCCTGCATGAGTCAGCATTGATTGGCCTACAGTGCCATATCACGATTTCCACAATTGGATCACAGTGTACTGCTTCAACGACAAGGAATCGCCTTCCTATCGTCGGACACTGAAGATTGTGGAAAACTGTGCCCTTGGTAAATCCCTCATACAGGCAGAAATACGTGGTAACCTGGGGAGCTGCCTTTCGGGGTTGATGTTCGTCGACAGGGTTCGACCCGCACCCTGTCTAACCCGCTTTACCATGGCCCAGGTAAAGCCTGAGGTTCGGTGACAAAAAGAAACCGTCAGTGAGACTTAGTGCAGAAAGTGGGAAAACGTTTGCGCGCTGCGCGCCCCCTGCAGAGGAAATGCCGTCGCGCATCAGTGGCGCCTGTAATGGGTGCCGAATGAAGAAACAAAAGGTAAGTCAGACTCCTCCCCGCAAGCAAAGTCCAGACTGCGGAAGATGGCTCAGTTGTGTGATGCCGTCCCATTTCCTCGAGGAAGGCGGTGCTTGATTTGATCGAGGGGATCTGCCAGAATATATGCTGACGCGCATTCGCGAACAGTGCAGTGGAGATAAGTGAGTCGACCTGGCGCATTGAAACTATTTGTTCGAAAATGCCGGATAGAAGAGACTGTGTTCTCTGTTTGATCTGTTGTCGAGGATACTCTTCGGTGTTACAGAGAGTTTACTCCGAGTTTCTCCTCTCGTGATCGCGTCCAAGAGAACCGCTTTATCAATAACCACCGCTTCAAGCTAATCTGTTTCCCGGCATATCGGTTCCGTTGGAAGGTTTTGGACGGACAAGCTAACAAGGGTCGCACCAGATCAGGTTGTTCACAATGCGCCACTGCTGGGATACGGTGCACGTGGCCCGAACAGAGGAAAAGGTAGGAACTTCAAGCCCCAGACCGGGTCTTCTCAACAAGTACAAGTACTGTCGAGCGCGCTTGCTCAGATACCTTGGAAAGGAGGTACTCAGTTGCAGATACTCAGCTATACCCGGAACCCATCCTTCTTCGCCCCTTATCTTGCATCTGGTCTCAAACACATACTAAAACCAAACCTTTCACCTAGAGGTCCAGCCAAAGGTTACATCGAAGGCCTCGAACACCGTCTCCATGAAGCCGAGTCTCTTCTCCTTGCGCTCCTTCCATTAGTTACGACCGAACAGCTGAAATGTGCCACCAACTCCCTCAGTACCATTTCAGCCTCAACAGCAAATACAAACACCAACACCAACACGGCTGGTGGTGTTGGCATCAAGTCGAATTCTAGCTCCAGAGACTCCCAATCACCCGCGCCTCGCTCAACCATACGAAGTAACCGGCCCGTACTGAACAAGAAGACCGGCATAGAATACTGGGAATCCTTCCCCCTCGATACGGTCAACAATATCCGGAGATGGCAACAAGACTGCAGTGGTACCAGTACGCACTTGGCTGGTAGTTCCGCCCACCCTCAAACAACAGCAGCAGAGAAAGCAACAGTAACAACGACAACAACATCCACACCCACATCATCATCGTTAATGTCGTTATTGTCGCCGACGCAACCACAACCCGTCTCTCTTGTGAATCACGCATCTAGCGGTACAAATGCGCTGTCTACGCCAGGGTCTGTAGATCCGAATCTGGACGATCCAAGCAGAGGACAAGAAACCCATCAAACGACTACCTCATTCCAAAATGCACCTCCTTTGCACTCTCCAAGTACAGATACCTTGGATCGCAGAAGGAGGAGTAGTAGTCGCAGTAGCACTACTAGCGGGCCAAACACAAACACTGCTTCAAATAATGGGTCTGGGTCTTCACATCAACAACCCCAGCAAGAACGGCGAGATTCACATCATCTTTATCCTGGGATTCATCGACCCCCGATGATCAGGTCTCCATCGACCGTATCAATACGAAATGGATCTTCAACTCCAAAGTCGGCTTCAATATCGATCTCGACAGCCTCACCATTATCATCGTCCACCAGGCAGCAGCAACCTACGCAGCAGGATCAAAATCAATCACAATCACAGTCACAGTCACACTCCCACCATCACCCTACAACCACTAGTACAACTTCATGGATTGAGACGGTACAATCTGATTCTCAACCCAGGACTTATGGCGAGACTGGTCTCCAGACAGAGGCCGCGACGGGGACGAAGATAGGGACGGGTACAAAAGCCACCGTCGACGCAGCCGCTGCTGCCGGCGTCACGGCCACAGACACGCCCACCCACATCGACACCGTCATGGATGCGACTACTGCCGCAACCGGAATTCCATCTGCCGTTGTCCGCCCTGGTCCTGCAGATTCAGAACCCGAACCCATGGACCTCGACACCACGACCACGGCCAGGTTTTTCACGAGTGATTTGCAACGGAGGTTATTTTGGTGAGAAACAAATCAAGAGACCAAGAGTTGAAGATCAGCTACAGTAGTAGCATAGAAATGCGAAAGAAATTCAGCCCCTGGGCATAGCATAAACGAACGGCGACAGAGTTCACATTTTGCGAATTTTAATATTCGGAAATTGAATTCGAATCCATGTCCTCTTCTGGGTGTATCATATTCATCATACTGTACTGTAGAGCCCCAGTTTAACTGCACAATTTTGCACAATAACGCTCACTTTCACTCAATGGGCTCCTCCTCCATCCACCGGCTGGCTAGAGGGCTCACTCATGAAGAGGCAGAAAGTAGGATGTTTTCATCTTCCTGTCCTGCAATCAGTCACACCTCACAGACGACCTCATAGTGGCTAATTCAGCTTTTAAAACTCCCACCCTCCGCCATTGACACCCGCACCACCCGGCGCAAACGGGCCCGTCATATTCTCCCAGGTAGCCGAGCCAAAGATATCCGCGACATTATAATCCATATTTCCCCAGAACATCGGGTCGGAATATTGATCCTGCAAGTCGTTGTTGTTACCACTGCCAGTACCGGTGCCATCACCAGCGTTGTTGTTATGGTTGTTACTGTTCCCATTCCCACTACCAGACGTCGCATTCATATTGTTGTTATTGCTATGCTGGCCACTCGACAAAAATCCCGGAAGAGCCATATTCATATTCATATTCATGGTCGATTGGGCAAACGCCAGATCCTGCGGCGTCGCATACACGGCACTACCGAGCGCAGGGGCGCCAAAGTGTAGTTGCGTGGCATTATTGGCGGCGGAAGACTGCTGGCCACGGTCCCAGGCGGAAGTGTCGGCGTAGAAGTCGAAAGTGGATGGCGAAAATTCGCTTGCTGCTGCCGCGCCGCCGGGCCCGGAATTGTTTCGACTGGTATTATTACTATGAATGAAATTCGGGTGGTGGGGAGGTGTCGGGTCATAGCTGCTAGATAAAGAAACCCAGGACGGCATTCCGGCCGGTGAGAGCATAGAGGATCGGGTGCGAGTTGGGGGTTTGCTGGCTTGAGACGACGATGTTGGTGCGGCGGCAGAAAGAGTTGTTGCGGCGGCTGCTGCTGCTGCTGCTCCTCCGGCTGCCGTTGACGATGATGATGGTGGCGGTATTGTGCCACCCAGATGATGTTGGTTTGGCGAACCAGAAAAAGAACTTTTGCGAGGACTAGTAGTATTCACATCCTCCACACCCCCTGTGGTGCGTCGTCGTTTTCTGGAGGGCTGCTGCTGGTCAAAATCATTAGTCGTGCCGCCCTGCGGCGCCTGAGACTGAGACTGCTGCTCTGGTTTGGGAACTGTTAGGAAGCCACTGCTGTTGGCTTTTCTTGATTGAATGTTGGCCAGCAACAAGCCCAAAACCTTATGACAATTTTGGACGGTATACCATCGAATGTTCATGCTCTCGAGCAACGAGAGACACGACTTCATGTCGTTCAGAGCCCGAGTCTTGGCGTACTTGCCTAGCTGGCATGCAAATGCTATTATGAGGCCCGACATCCATACTGCCGACAGCAGACCTGGTAGAAACATTGACTGACCAGCCGCCCTGTGGGCCTTTAAGCCGGTGACGATCCCTCGGGACGCTCGAATGCAGAGCTGTAGTCCGTGCTGGAACTCCGGGGTCGACTGGTCCAGCGACAGGCGTGGACGATTGACCAAAAGCAGGAGTCGATGATAGAGGATCTTGAAGAAGCTGGCCAGGTTTTGTTGAGGAGGCGGCGGAACTGCGGTGTCGATTGGCGGGCTGTTGGAGGTGCCATTGCCGGACTGGATCTCTCCTGCAGCCGAGTCATGAACATTACGGTGGAAATCGGCAATGTCACTCTCCCCAGTCAAAAATCCTGGCAGATTGTTCCACCAGGTCTCAATGTCATTGGTAAGCCGGAGGATCTGTTGGTGCTTTGGGAAGCGGTGATTGATGCTCTTGTGGAAGATTTCGATGATTTGACCGGTCAGTTTGGCCCATTGCACATAGGCTGCCAATACGGCTTCTCTCAGCCGCTTGTCCCGCGCCTCCGGTCCGTTGTCGTCGGCCTCAGCAGGTCGAGGATCCTCTGAAGGGACAGGCGGCGGAGGCATATGCATTCCCCAGTTCGGGTTGGTGATCATGTCGCGGGTGGGAACGGCTTTGTGCAGCTCTGGCCCGTACAGGCAGACGTCAATGTCATCGTCCTGGATGATGTTCGGATCGCCCAGACTCAAATTGCAGTGACGGTCTAGAGCATAAGCCGACCAGAAAATCCGCTTTCGAATCTCGCATTCTTCCGAAGACAGCTGGGCGTAGCGAAGTGGACACCGATGAAGACCGGCATGGTAAATCAGTTTGATCATAATACCAGCGACGCTACTGGCTTGTCGAATAGCCAGCGTCGCACAAAGATAGAGCTCCGCCGCAAGGATTGCTTGGATAGTAGATAGATCGTGCGACAGCGCCAGACACGCGGCGACCCGGCTGACATCCACCGTGGTTTTGATGCGCGAGTCCATTGGAAGGTGAATGTCGGTTCGATCGAGAGATGCTACATTGATGATCAATTGAAAAGTCACCAGTTTGGAAAGCTCGACAGTTCCTGGGTTTTCTTTCATGGCGGCGGACGATCGTGCCTCGCGAGCGTATATGGACTCCATGTCCTTGAGGAAAGTTGGACCGTGGAGGAAAGGAAACAGGGGGTGCCAGGCTGTGAAGAACGACATGACCAGTTCCATGGCGATCTTCTTCGGGGGCGGTTTCCCGAGCGCGGACGCCAGGAGTTGGGGGAACTGGTCAGTTGTGCTTGGTCCATCGTGGATGGGACCATTATACGAACGTCCCTCGGCGTCCTCGCCAGTGAGAATGTCTTCACTGGCCGGCACCGCATTTGGACCGTCGAGGTGAGAAGATGCAAACGCGGCGGAGAAGGCTCGGCGGACGGTGTTGACAAAGTAAACACCAGAGGAACTGCCCAGCCAGGCTGTGCCTTGGTTGGCGAGCTTCTTAAGCGTACCGATTTCGGAAGTATGCGTTGGACGTTCTTCGGGAGAGTTGTCACTGTCTGAGTCGATGGCCGTTGTTGTGGTGGCGGCGTTGGTGGTGGAAGATCCAGCTGGAGGCGTGGGCTGGCCTACACTGGGAGATTGATTGCTGGAATGCGGTGTCATTGTTGAATGGAGTAAAGAGGCACGCCGCGAGGCTGACAGATATGATGGTCGTCTTACTTCTGAGGCCGGCCCGAAGGTTGTCACCGTAGTCGCATGGTGGATGAAAACCCAGTCAATGGACTTCGGATGCCCCGGCCCGGTGGATCACCGTTCTTGAGGAGGCTGGCCAAAGAAACTCAATCTGGTGGGATGGAAGTGTCGTCGAGGGTAGAGCAGACTGAAGGTTGTGAACTGAAGTGTTGCTTGACACAGACTGGGCTGGAAATCCTGGCCGTTGTTTGTGTGTTTCGGGTGAACCTCCAGTAAGCAGCCTGCCAGCGGATCAGATCAGTCCAACATGGAGATAGCTGCGAGACTAAACTGAATCAGAAAAAATGCTCTTCTCCCCAGCTAGGCAGACAATCTGCTTTGCCCTACAGTGGTATACTGAGTAACTGGTGCCGAGAGAACAAAAACGTTTTAACATCAAGTGCTCGTGGAGTTGTGGAGTTGTAGGGAGATCAGCAGCAGTTCTACACTGCTATACCATTGAATTCGTGGCTTAACTGGGGCAGAGGAGTGACAGATCGTGGGGGTTAGGCAGGGCAGGACAAGCCTAATAACCGCCAACCAGGCCTCCCAAGCCTATAATTTCCAACGCTGCAGGCGCTTCAGGCCCGCTCGTCAGCCTTGGCTGCCCCAAAAATCGGCTGTCAAGCACGCAACGGCCACTGCCTTCAAAACGGCGAGTAACATGCACAGTAACCCAGTAGATAGCAGGAAGCCTTTGAGCCTCAGTTCTCTCATAACGGTACGTCAGCCACGACGGTGCCATGGCAGAGTCCTGTCAGGTTTTCTGTTGCTTCGCGAATAATACTACTTGGTTCGTCTCATAATGTCTCATGGTATCTGTCTTTATTCCTCGTGGTCGTCCTCTACCGGGCAATACCGACCACTCCATCTCCTTCCTTGATGGTAACTTCGCGCCCAATGACCCCAGCGGTCTTCAAGACATCGACGACACCGCTCATTACCCCGGCATCTACACCTCTTGTACCCTCAACAAACTTGACATCCTTCAACCATTCCCTCCCATCCTCCTCGGAATAGTGGCAACCGGCCTCTCCCGTGCCGAGCATGCGGATACCTGCGTCCGTATCTTGATTGAAGGCTTTGATCCCTTGATCTAGCGCATCAAAGATCTGCTTCAGGGTCTCGTCGTTCGCAGGATCGGGGAAGGTCGACCGCGACGCAGCGATATGCCAACTAGGCCATGGCGTGTAGATCTCGCCAATCTTTTTCAGAGGAGTATCTTCTCCGTGAAAGTAAGGCTTGGTGGTGAAATGCTCCCACATGAAGAAGTCTGCGGTCGAGCTCGTGACTCCATCACGGAGATCCTTGAACGGCCCAAGTGGCACGATTGTGAGGCCTTCAGATTTCGAGTCCTTGGTCTGATACAGCCAACCTTCCTGTTGCGCGAGCACAAATGCCATAACATGACTTCCACTTCCGATCCTGCTGACGCCGACTCTGCGATGATTCTTCAAGTCTTCCACCGAGTTAATGTCGTCCCTGTTCCGGCCTGTGACAATGGCCCACCGCAACGGCGTCGATACCCAAGACCCTACTATCGAGTATCCTTTTTCTTCTGCTGATTTATTGTATATGTCTGGGTTCAGTAGTCCGGCAACCCATCCCTCGGTCAGGCCAATCGCGAGGTCGATTTCTTTGGAACGAAGAGATGTGATCATGTGTCCGGTGCCCGAAGGGAATGGCACGAGTGTTACGCGGATAGAGGAAGGGAAGAGGTTGTGCTTGGTGCAGAAGTGAAGCGGGAGGAGGTAGTGCTCTGGCACGTAGCCTACGCGAATTTCTCGCGAGGACATATTGACTGCTGGAAGTGCTAGGTTATTGTCCTTCAAAAACAAGAGGATCGATGGTATGTCGGGGGTTGAGGACAGTCAATCGGCTAGGAAATAATATTGTTGTATAAACTTGAAGGTATGATGCTGATGCAAACTGCACCCGTCACGGTGCCAGTGCCTGCACCCCTCCCCCGCAACGTCCAGGTCCGACCGCAGTTTTCCCGGTGGTCACATGCATCCCCCGCCCATTGGCATACCAGGTACTGTATCACCGCCGGCTCGGGTGCGAGAGTGAACTCACCCAAAACATCAGGGGAAGGCCAAGCGGACTGAAGATTGCGGATACTTTGTAAGTATTAGGCCTCTACACGGCTTCCAGCCAAAAGCAGACAAGCAGTAAGAAGGGTTGTTCTCCATCGAAGAATTTGAAACCACCAGCCCGGCCAGCATCCGACGGAATCAGCTCCGCGCCAGATCGTGGAGAAAGACGATCGATGCCGCCCCTGTTTCCGCGCCGCTTGTTCGGTCATATATAATGAAGCTGTGCTCAATCTTTTGCAGACAATAAAAAGCGAGGAACCCAAAAAAAAACCCCCCCGCTGACAGCGGCGTGGAAGATACTGTACACCTACTCATACTTCGCCAGCAACTCCATCCATCAGCACCAGATACTAGTCCACCAAGAGTCAGGCGTTCACTCTCGAGCAGAGCTGGATCACAGTCCTAGTATCTCATCTCTATACAACCAGGGTTGCTACCCAAGCCATCCCAATCATCATCATGGCCGAACGCCCGCAATACAAATACACACTATACACCTACTTCCGATCCTCATGCTCAGCCCGGGTCCGCATCGCAGCCCACATCAAGGGAATCGAGCTCGAGTACAAATACATCCATCTCGTCAAAGGCGAGCAACATGATTCAGAATACACATCCCTGAACCCCAGCGAATCAGTACCAACACTAGTCGTGACCGACATCCAGTCCGGCAAAGTGGTGGCCAAGATCCGGCAATCCGTCGCCATCCTAGAGTATTTGGAAGAAATAGACACGAGACCCGATTCACCGAAACTATTACCTCCTCCCAACGATCCCGTCGGCCGTGCCAAGGTCAGGGAGTTGACGGATATTGTGGCCTGCGACATTCAACCGGTCACGAATCTGAGAGTGTTGAACTTCATCAAACCGTTTGGCATTGAAGCGCCCAAATGGCAGGTTCATTTCATGACGCTGGGCTTCCGTGCGTATGAGGGTTTGCTCAAGGACTATGCGGGAAAGTATAGTGTTGGTGACGAGTTGAGCATGGCGGACTGTGCCCTCGCGCCGGCTGTGGATGGCGCCCTGAGGTTTGGGGTCGATGTCAAGGGAGAGTTTCCGCTCGTTTGGAAGGTGTGGGAGAATTTGAAGCAGGTGGAGGCGTTTAAGAAGGGGAGATGGGACAATCAGGAGGATACGCCCGAAGAGTTGCAGGGGAAGGGGCAGTAGATTTTGGCAACCAAAATAGCAGAATGGTTGAATAGGATTGATATCAGCTACTGTGCCTCGTCGAGTTCTATCCCGAGCCCTGATCAACCAGCCCAATGCAATCCAGCCCCAGCCCATGATGCCAGCAACTTCAAGTTGCCCACCTATATACCTGCCGGGAGTAGAGACCTACTCTTGTCGCCAAAACCCATTATATTCCAGACCGACCAGTATCAGTAGTCATGGCAGGAACAACAACACTCCTTACCAATGCCACCACCATCAACAACACCACGACGCCTTTCGCCCTGTGCGGCATTATTGACTTTCAAACTACCGCTCTTCCACCTTGATCCAGACGGCCACCTAGACCACCCTCACTCACCCTTGGATTCCGCTTTCTTTGACATCAGCCTGATTCTCTTTCGTCTCATCAGCATTTTCCTCCTCTTCTTCATCATCGACATCCTCCAAATCACTCTGCCTGAGCGGCCGACACGCCCCTTTCTTCGTACAGATCATGACATCAGAGACAAACCCCCTGACCACAGTCCTTCCCCAGCCCTTGAGTCTTCTCAACTGACTGTCGCGCATGGCCATGGGCGCAATCAGCGTCTTGACGCCAACCTGCTCCATGACCAACGCGGACAGTAAACTAACATACAGAAAAGGGTGTTGGATGATTTCAATGGCGAACGCGGCCAACGTGGAGCGCGATTTCGATATATATTCCTGCTGCCGGGATAGAACGTACGAGGACAGGGATAACAGATTCGTGGCGATGATGCCGTTCGGGGACGGGAGAGAGGTGTCGGTGCCCGGTTTCAGACGGATGATTTGGTCGTCGGACGGTTCGGTTTGGTAGTAACCTGAGATTTGGGTTGTCGATGAGCCTATCTTGTTGCTGCTGGTTGCGCCGTTGGTGGAGATACTAGCACCATTCGCGGAAGCACCCTTGTCAGTACCAGCACCGCTGGTACTACTTCCTTCAGTGACATCCGCAAAGTGAGTATCCAAGTATTCTTGCAGTTGGACCGCCCAGTCGAGATACGGTTGGGACAGAGTCAGGTCGTAGAGCATCAGCGCCGCTTGGGTCATGTAAGCGTAGTCGTCGACGAAGACGATATTGCTGCCGCCGCCGCCGCCGTTGCTGTTGTCGTTATCATTATTGCTGGCGTGTGATGCAGATTTAGACCTGGACCTGGGCCTTGATTTATCGGTGGCATTGGCGATCCGTGCCAACCTGCCTGTTGTGGGATCATACATTGCACAATGGACAAATGTCGCGGCACGCTCCGCGGCTTCCTGACACCGTGCCGCGCGGTGCTTGTCCACTGTAGCGAGTGTGTTGGCAGCTCGTGTGAGGGAGGCGATGGCAAGCCCGTTCCACGAAGCAATCACATTCGTGTCGACTTGCGGCGGCTCTCGCTCGGCCTTGCGGTGCTCCAGCAGTTTCGTCCGCCCACGCTTGATGATGCGCACAACCTCGTCCTCGGCAATGCCAAATTCTTTGGCCAACGTGGACGGCGTGGCATCGACATGGAGAACGTTTTGGCTCAAGAACTCGTCGTGGATGTCGTGCTGCGCCGGCACATTGCCGTGGGGCTTGACACCGAAGTGACGGGCGATGATGGGCGCGTCTTGTTCACCAAGGAGGGACTCGAGCTCCTTGTACGTCCAGACATAAAATGCCCCTTCCTTTTTCTCGTTATGCGCCGTCTCCGTTCCTCCCCCATTGCCCGTCCGGCTCGGGCGAGAATCAGCGTCTTCGCTGGCATACCAGCCGCCGCCGGGGCGGACGATGGGCGACTCCGGGTTGGTGAAGTACTCAACCAGATTGTAGATGGTGCCTAGGATCTCTGGGTCGCGTCCGAGCGCCCACGCGTCACAATAGCACCCGAGAAGCTGGGCATTGTCGCACATCATCTTCTCAAAGTGCGGCAAATTCCAATCGGGCGTCACGCTGTACCGGTGGAATCCATAGCCCAATTGGTCCCTCAGCCCGGACCGCGACATGGCTTTCAAAGTATGGAGCGCCATCGACGCGGCTTTGAGACACGAGTCCTCTCCGAGGATACCCAACACAGGACTGAAAAATCCAAAGCGAGTGTGCGTCGAGGGTTGCGCAATCGCCGCCCCGATTCGCAGGAGAAATGCAAGGTTAGACGGAGTCGGGAACTTTTGCCCATTGGTGCTCGCGCTGAAGCCGCCGTTGGTCGAGTCGTAGCGAGCGATGAAATGGTTCAATGCGTCGTCCAGAAGGTCGAGTTCCAGCGGTTCCGGCTCTTCTGAACCACTTGATCCGCCATCTCGCACGGACCCATTAGACTGAGAATGAATACCTTCGGCTGCAAAGGCACGCAGTTGCGTGGTAATATCGGTTGACGATCGACGGCATCGTTCTCGTTGCGTCGACCAGACTTCCTGCATCTTGCGGAGAATGTCGAGAAAGGATGGAGCCGCCTCGTCGTGCGATGCCTTTCTATGCAGGTTGGTCGTCGACGATGGGCCCGGCCAGTATGTCCCGCCAAACACCGGCCTCAAATCAGGCGTGAGAAAGACGTTGAGCGGCCACCCGCCTGACCCTGTCGTTGCTGTAACATAATTCATATAGATGTCGTCAAGGTCCGGCCGGCATTCTCGATCTACCTTGATCGGAATAAAATGTTTGTTGAGGAATGAAGCAACCTCGGGTGAACTGAACGATTCGCGTTCCATAACATGACACCCTTGGAGACAAAGCGTAAGGATCAGCAATACCAATGTGCGGGCAAATCGTCTGGCTTACAATGGCATGCATTATAACCAATACTCAGAAAGATTAGTCGCTGGTAACTCTTGGCCAGAAAAATGGTGTCTTCGGACCATTCCTGCCATGCAACAGGGTTGTCCTTGTGCGCTCGAAGCTGTGGCTGTTAGCCATGGCCGTGAAGTTGTCGGACTGGTCTTACATATGGTGATGGACTGTTGGCCAATGCATTGTGCAATACCAACTCAGGCTCGTCGTGAACCATCGAACCAGATTAGGACTGGACGATCTCCGCTCAGAGTGGTTGATATAGACGAGGTGGCTGATGAGTGTGGAGAGAAAGTTGAAGAATGGACCGGGAAAGGCGGATGATCACGCGGGGGATCTGTGCAAGGCTCTGGGAAAATTTTCGGCTGGGTGCAGCAAAGCCGCGTGATTCTGCAACAGAGTACAATCTAATAAATTCTTCTGGTGCTCACGCCGTGGGTGTCAAAGAGAGCAGTCGCCCATGTCAAATGAAGAGTTGGTCCGAGTTTATCAGATTTTTCCTTCCGTTCCGACAAGCCTGCAAAAGGTTGAAAGCGGCCGAAAATGCGCACGAGGTCGTGGAGGAGCCAATCATGGAACGAGCTCCTATCACGGCATATCAATGCACGCTTATCTAATCTGGGGACTATTGCACGTGATCCGGCTGGGGGCTGGCACCGGCAAGACAAGGCTCTATCGCTGCGACGGTCTGGACCAGGCCTAGACCTCACTGCTCATCGCGGGCCATCTTGTCGAGCAATTCCTCTTCCTCCGCCTCCATCAAGGCCCGCAACTCGGCTTCTTCCTCCTCCGTCAACATGGGCAAGTTACTGGTGGGCTCAGGCTCCTGTTCGAGTAGTTTGGGATTCCGGGCCTCTTGAACGGCCTTTTCCAGGTCCGCTGGGGCAAGGCTCCACCTACGCAAAGTGGCATCAATGCTGACGCTGATAAGCAGGTCCCCGGTCAGACATAGTCGGGTGACTTCCTCAAAGTGTCCGGTGAAGACATGGTGCAACTGTCCGGTTGATTTGTTCCAGACTCGCACCTCCTCATCACGACATGCGGTTATCACCCAGCCATAAGCGTCATGGGTTACCACGTCTTTCACAAAGTCCGGATGCGCCAAGATGGTGTCGACAGCCCATTGGTCGTTTCTGGAAAGATGCTTCGCTGTCTTGTCGGCAGATGCGGTCCAGATGTCACCATCCTCGTCAAAGTGTATCTTGTACACACCCGTATCGTGTACAATCACTGGAGGAGAGAGCTTCAGTTTCTCCGGCTTGATGCTGGTGGACTCTGGCAGCGTGAAGAAGAATATTTCCTGTTTTGATGTGGAGAAAGTGACCACAGGGGAGTCGGCAGATGAAAGAGGATCAAGCGCAATGCATTCGATCCCCCGGCAATTCGGTTTCAGAGCACCCAATGATTGGCCATCCAGCGTCCAGAACCTGACGTCGCCGTCTGCACTTCCTGATATTAGAATATCTTGCTTGTCAGGGGTCTGCGCAACAACGAGGCATTTGACAAAATCTCTATGCGCCGGGAAAGAAGTTTGTGCGGTAACTTGTCGCCCCTTCTGAGTTTGATCAGCAAACCGGAAGGTATACTTCCATATCGACTTGTCCCAGCATCCTGCGAAGATTTGCATGGTTGTGAAGGGATCTAGTGGAGTTTTGGTTGCATGGTAAGCGAGGCTTGTGACAGGCGCCTGAGGCCCTCTGGGAGTAGTCGACACTTCATTGGTAGATAGTCGCAGACCAGAAACCGAGCCTCCGGCCTCAGCAACGAAAACTACGTCTCCTGAAGGGTCAAAGTAATAGTTGACCTCGACATCCAACAACTTAGAGGAGAATCTGACTGGATCGCCATAGGTGTTGGCAGCCTTGCGGAGTTTCCGCTCGTTCTCAGCCAGAGACGAGCTGACAGAAAGAGAATCAGTATACAGAGCAGAGCTGGGTGTTGCACCGACTCACTCTGTCTGGAAGAAGTTCCCCGCCTGGCTTGAGGTTGCCATGATCTTATTGCGCTCCTAGAAATAGACCGAAGCCAGGGGAGCGGCAGGAGATTCTACAATGAGAACGGAGAACATTCAAATGACAGTCAAACAACGGTGACGCCTCAGTCCCTAAGGAGCCAAGATTACAGTCGCGCACCGGAAGACAAAGTGCAGATTTTAATGCGGATCATACCATCCCCCACGAGCTGTTCCTCGCCGCGCCAATCGCACATTATTATTGACTTACTAGCTAAATTGACTTTAAGCTCGAAGCTAAACTCGCTCAAGCCACCGTGACCTTCAAGTTCATCTCACGTCGCAGCCTCGAATTCCTTTTCTCTTCCCATTTCTCCCACACTCCCACAGACCAACCTCACCCCCCAGCCACCTTCTACCTCCTCGCATTTTTCTTGCCTGTTCTCTTCTCATGTAACACCAGTTCTTTGTTGATTGCGACTCCTTTCGCGCGCTATGGACATGGACCATCTCATAGGTCAGAGGTTCAACCTCATCTCTAAAAGCGAGATCCGGTATGTTCTAGATACTCTTGCGCTGGTTGTCTGAATCGCGTGCTGACAGCTTTGTTCACACAGCTACGTTGGCACTCTCCACGAAATCAATCCTGAACAATCAACCATCGCGTTGGAAAATGTTTATTCGTTCGGCACAGAAGATCGCCAGGTCGAAAAATTCGTCCCTCCCTCACAACAGAAATATGGCTTCATTGTCTTCCGTGGAAGTGATGTCAAAGACATTAAGATTGCAGAAGAAGAGCCAACACAACCTTCGCCGCCTCCCAGCATGCCCAATGATCCCGCCATACTGGTACGTTACATACAATCTTTATCGACTGCCGTTCCTTCAATGATGAAACATTTCGGATGTAAATTCACAGACCTGTTCTGAATGCGCAAAGCCATGTGGATATTTCCGTTGCCTTCCTTCTGATATAACGAAACACTCTCGACAGTTTCTTCTCCTTTGTGTGTCAAGCATTTGCTAACATAGGGTGACAATCTAGAATGCTTCTCGGCCTGGTCCCCCGCTTGACGGTCCTCCTCGCGATTCCCCCTTCTCCCCGCCAGGTTACCCTCCCCACCCTGGCTTTGGCGGCTTCTACCCCCCTCCTGGTCAATTTGGTCGTGGTTATGGTCCTCCCCCTGGTGGGTTTGGGCCTGGTCCAGGCTTTCCGCCTTATGGCCCGCCTCCGCCAGGATATTTTGGTCCTCCAGGAGGCCAAGGCTTCCCTCCTGGTCCGGGTCCTCAGCCTTTTCAGCATAGCCAGCCTCCCATTGGACATCCTGGACAGCGAAACAACATTCCACCACCTCCGCCACAATCTCATCAAGCTCCCGAACCCAGGCTACCCACCCCTGCTCCCTCCTCCAACCTGACATCCGAACTACCTGACAACAAGGCCGCAAAGTCAACTACACCAGTACCACCCAAAGACGTTCCGACCACTGCGCCTGCACAGGCGAAACCCTCACCAGCAGCTCCTGCGGTCAAAGCTGCCACAACAACCACTGCCGCGCCTCCAGTACAAGCACCCGCCGGGCCAAAGAGCAATCGAGTCACTCCGGCAGTGCCCTTTCAAGTCAATCAGAAATCGTTCACGCCTCCAGTCCAACCTACCACAGCTCCAGCGACCAATGGTTCTTCTGCATCAAACCCTTCAAAGCCGATTCCATCCCAAGCGGCGATGGATGAAGCTGCCCGGCAGGCAAAGGAGGCGGTTGCGGCAGCAATGGCCAAGTTAAACCCGCAGGCAACAACAGCACAGTCAAAGCCTACGCCGTCAGCTGCAGCAGTTGACGCTCTTTCCAAAAGAGTCGCAGAAATGTCCACTTCCACCGGTACCACCAACGGCACTGGACGAGGTGGAAGAGGTGGACCCCGAGGTGGTCGGGGTGGCTCGTATCCTCGCGGCGGTGCTGGTTCGAAGAAGATCGAAATACCCAAATCAGACTTCGATTTCGAATCCGCGAATGCAAAATTCAAGAAAGAAGACCTTATCAAAGAGGCAATCGCTTCTGGATCTCCTCCTGTTCCTGGATCAGATGAAACCGCTCCTGCAGAATCAGGTGAGGACAATACGGCCACTGCAGCACCGGAAAGAAAAGACAGCGTACCTGGCTCTGGAGCAGCGTACAACAAGTCAACATCATTTTTTGACAATATCTCATCCGAGGCTAAAGACCGTGAACAAGGCCAGGATGGCCGTGCGCTTGCTCGACAAGTGCGAAGTGAAGAATTCAGAAAGAATATTGAGACGTTCGGACAGGGCAATGTAGACTCTGGATTCCGTGGACGAGGCAGGGGAGGATATGGCCGAGGCAGGCCGTACGGTGGCACCTATCGTGGTGGTTACAACCGTGGATATGGAAATGGCGGTTATCGTGGAAACAGAGGACGCGGTGGACAAGGACAGGGCCAGGCTCAGCAGTCTCAGGCTCAGGCTCCCGGTGATCAGTCCGCGGCTGCATAGTCGTAGATGCAGTGGAGGATCTCACTCCGTCGAAAGCTTCCTTACTGCAGCAAGCAGTATGGCAGTGTCGTGGACCAGCGTTGGGCCACCTCTCACGCCATGTCAGTCGATGCCAGTGATGCCAACAATGCCAACGACGAGAGGATCAACACAGGGGTCTCTCCGTCTAGCTATGAATTCATGTGTTGACGACGTGGAAAGAGCAGAAGAGCAGAGAAATCAATCATGACTCTTCACGATACATTGGGCGGACAAATCCCAAAGCGGGGTCTTCTCACGTCTGTTTTGTTCAAGTTCAGAACTTGAATAGACAGAAAGAGTACCAAATCTCCCCAAACTGAGATCCGAATGGGTTGTATCGACTGGATCCAGTATCTGCTGAACAGTAAACAACAATGCCGCGACGATTACTCAGGCCTTTTTATGCTGTATTGTGACTTCATGTCCGCTGTTTCCTATTTTAATCCGGTCAGGCTGCCCTAATCCTGTCTACCAGTGCAGTAATTTTCTCCTCGACCTAGAGAATGCCCGCTCATCTCCCTCTCCCTTGATTCCCATCCTTGCCTTGAGGGCAATCCAGGACCTTGGACACAGCTGGCTTCTGACCAGGTAATGGTCAGAAGGAGATCTAGCATATCAGACCAATTGGACAACAGTTCCAGAGAGTCTACTAGTAGAGAGGTGTGCATGTTGTCGCTGGGGAGAAGGAGGAAGCGTTGGCACTTGGATGATGTTGGAAGTCGTTAGCATTTTGGTGTGCCTGGTACGTAGCCGTGTTCCAACTTGAACCCCACTGCAACACAACTCTCCAGATCGATCACTCTCACCTTATTGCCTTGAAGCCGCCTCTGTTACGTTAAACCTCAAAAACTTGTTACTCCCGCTCACAGTACTGTTAAGAAGTGAGGATTGCACACTCGGCTACGCGTAATAACAATACCCACGGTTACCACGATCCATCATGGGGAGCGAGGCACAGTTTGACGCGGCATTGTGAGTTCAAGTTGTCCGGCCATATCCATTGCAGCACGTTACGGTTCTCAATGCACCATGTGTCTGCGCGGGCAGCGCAGGATGCACTCTAGAGGCTTATGACTAACTACCTCTATCTCCATCCAGAGATCTTCTGCGCCGACTGTCGCCATTGAAAGTATCCGAGAACCTCAACGCAATCACGACCCTCGTCCCCGATCTGACTGAAGATTTGTTGTCCTCCGTCGACCAACCATTGTCCTCGGCACGATGCAAAAAGACTGGGCGCGATTACCTATTATGCGACTACAACCGAGATGGCGACTCTTACCGAAGCCCCTGGAGCAACGAATTCGACCCGCCGCTCGACGACGCGACATACCCCAGTGACCGGGTGCGAAAGATGGAAGTGGAGGCCAACACTGCATTCGACGTCTACAGACAAATGTACTACGAAGGCGGCACGGGCAGCGTGTATCTGTGGGATCTGGACGACGGATTCGCCGGAGTCACTTTACTAAAGAAGAGCGGTGGCCAGGATGCAGGCTGGGACAGCATCCATGTGTTTGAGGTGGACGAGAGGAGAGGCAGTGGACGCACATGTCACTACAAATTGACCAGCACGGTAATTCTGCATCTGGGCCGTGAAAGCGAGGCTGTGGGCTCGTTGAACCTGGCGGGAAGCATGACCAGACAGGTCGAGGCTGATTTGGTGGTCGAGAGTGTAGGCGCCCAAGGCAAAGACGGCGGACATGTGTGCAATATTGGTCGGCTGGTGGAAGATATGGAGGGCAAGATGCGGAATATGTTGCAGGAAGTGTACTTTGGGAAAGCGAAGGATGTCGTGGGCGACCTTAGGAGCGTGGCTTCGTTGACTGGTGTTAATCAGGAAAGACAGGCTCAGAAAGAGGTTATTTCCAGCATGGGCGGTGGGAAGTGAGCTCATTGCAGCTCCTACTATGGTGCTTGAACTTACGACCGCAGACTGAGACTGTTGTCGTACTCCCAGCTTTATTAGATGGAGGATTGAGAAAGGAAGTAGAAGCTGCACAGCGGTCTTCTGGGTCCTCGAGGAATTCTAGAGACTCTCCGCGCCGCTGCGGTATTGATGCAAGATTCGAAACATGTCCAACGAGAAAGTCTACTATAGCAGTCTATCCGACCAAGAGCCGCTCGGCTCGGGGCTGAAATGCCAGTGTCAAGACTGACAGAGTTCGTATAAGGAATTGCCCTACGCCGGAGCCTGACAGAGGGGTACAACATGAATGCCGTCGTCAGCATCTGCAAACAGGACAACTTGAAGGCTTGCATGCCCTGGGTTTCCTCTACAATATTAGTACACGACCACCAACTGCCGTTCATCCAGCACCCACGGGCAACGCACATGACATCGGATATACTATGTAGACTCCTCCTCTTTCGCACTGCAGGCCACAATGGCCCGTTTAAGAAGCTGATCTCATTCATGGCCCCTGTCTCTTGGGCGGTGATCGCGGGGTTGCCAAACAAGGTTGCCGCTCGTCCAATCCAGCGGCCACAACCCACTGACATGTTCTTGAGCGCGAGCCACCAAAAACTCTAAGCAAGTATGGCTTATTTACACAGACACCATGGACAGAAAGGCTTCAGCTTCAGGATCCCTAAAACTAGAAAGAGAACTCGAAAGTTGCTTCGCCACGGAACGAACCCAACTCTCTTCCGTCACGACCGCTATATTCTTTGCTCCCATGACCCATTGACCCACAAGGTCGTCCTCGCAATCATCAGCGGTGCGCACTGACAAGTTATTCAGATGTTGGCATTTCATATCCGGCATCGGCTGACGGGCTTATATGATGTCGGCGCCTCCGGTCAAAAAGGCATGCGATGCGTGCCATCGACGAAAAGTACGGTGTACGGGTGAACAGCCATGCAACAACTGTGGGCAATCCAACCTCCGGTGCACATATCTCGCTATTCCGCAGAAGAAAGGACCCAAAGGCTCGAGGGCCAAAGTGATTTCAGAGATCAGAGTCACGCAACAGAAGACCACTACCACTCAGTCGCGGCCACGGCTGGAGAGGTTCGCTACCGAGCCGCCTCCTCTAGACTTCAACAGCCCTCCCACAACCCCTGCGCATATCCGCAAACCGGCGTTGCTCTCTCAGCAGACGATCGAGCACTGTGTCGACTTCTTTTTCACAAACATGTGCACGACGGCTTGGATTCTTGACCGCCAAGCTCTGACAGAGCTCATTTCTTCTCGGCTCTCCACCGACGCCGATGTCTACTGCTTGACAGCATCGCTGTGCGCTTTTGTCATGGTTCAGCCCGGCATGAATCTGGCAGTTGGACCCGGCAACTGCTATAAAGGGGAACCTCCGGGGAACCGATATGGGTATGCGAACATGCTTCTGGAAGACATCAAGCGGGTACGCAAGTCGATTGACTACATCTCCACTCCCACTTTGAGTTCTGTTCAAATATCGTTCCTCCTATTTGGATGTTATTTCACCCTGGAGAAGCAGAATGTATGCTGGTTCCATCTCCGCGAGGCAGCCACGTTGGCTCAAATGATGGGCATGCACGAAGAATCGTCGTATTTGATCGGCGACGCGACTGAAAACAAGTACAAAAGAAGGGCGTATTGGTTACTTTTGGTCACTGAAAGGGCATACGCCATGGAACGACATAGGCCTCTGACTCTCCACCCTACAGTTGAACTTCCGGCGGCCGAAGAAGGGGCAGGCGAGGAAGCAATCATATCTGGCTTTTTGCATCTCATCAAGCTCTTTATCTGCATCGACGACGAGTTTATGGCATTATGGAATAAAGCGAAGACTCGGTGTACTGCAGCCTGGTTTTCGGAACTGCAGCAACAGCTAAGCGATGCCTTGCCTGTGGAGCTCGAGACCACTGAAAATCAAGCGGCAGACATTAAGATTACTTACCATTGGCTGCGTATGATGGTCTGGCAATTGTCTATTGCCAATGGTTGCGTCTCCTCCAGCTCTCCGGATGCTTCGCTGACGTTTCTGTTTCCGATCCAAGTCGCAAGGGACATGGTGCGTGACGTGAAAAACATGACCCTTGACGCGATGGAAGTTCACGGCATCGGTCTGATTGAGAAGTTGTTCGATGTCGCATGTACATTGACCGATGTGATTTCGTGTGTCCCTGTTCCCTTGGAGCCGGAAGCGACGGACGAGACACCTTTGAATCTGCTCAGTCACTTTCTCAACCTCATTTCTCGCCTTCGCGGCGGCGCGTCTCGATACTTGCCTTTGCTGCTGGCCAAAGTCTCGGAGACACTTCCCAGCGTGACTCCGCCAAGCGGGCCGGAGAATATCACTATCAAGCAAGGCTACGCAGGGGCGAGCGACAATATCCCTACCCCGGTACATCCGAACGGCCTGCCATTCACCATGTCGCGCGAAACAAGCGGCGTTCTTGGTATAGGACAATGGGGTGTCGTACCGACGCAGACCGCACCAACGCAACAGCAGCATGTCGTGCATAACGGTGAAGGCCTTTTTGCCATGTACAGTCCCGGCACCGGTACTCAGGGAAGCGACACGAGTATGACGTCTTCGCCTATACCGACTCCGCCTGACTGTCATGTTCTTAGCAGACCTATGCAAGTGCACGCGCAGACCGCGCTGCTGCCTGTACCCAGGAGTGTTCCACCCGATATGGGGACCGTTCAATTCGAGAATTATCCTGGTGTCTAATATGGTTCTTGGGGCGGTAGAAAGCGGCACGATGTACAGCTCCTACAACCTGGATTGGTGCTTCACATATACGACCGGCATATTTCTTACGTGCTGGGTGAGACTCACATTGGGAGTCAAGGCAAATTTTTATTGGGCTTGATATGCAACGGGGGGTTCTCCAAGATGTCCTCCCATGAGCCACAGGTGACTCGCAGGCTGTGCATGTAGAAGTCGACTCTCGCTGGATAATCTGGTTCAGCACCTCATTGCTCACTAGTATACACAAGCCAGCGCAGGACCCCTGGGGGGTGATAGCCGCAATGGGCATACTGTAGTCCTCTAAGATGAACCAGAGGCGTACCTCTGGTAGTATGAGAGCTCAGGGCAGAAAGGATAGCTACTATCCGACACAGTCTTTCCGCATGAGCGAGAATGAGCTCAGGGAAGCTCCTTGCGATCGATACTCGTATGAATCTGCGGGCCGATGGCTCTGCAAGTACAATGGAAGTCTGTTGTATCTGGGTGCAACGCACTACTATAGAGTGTCAAGAGTCGTGCGACTGCTACTACAAGATAGTAGTAGTACGGGCGAATCACCAAGTTCAAGTTGTAGACGAATAGAGATGCAATGGTATTGGAAGCCAGCGGATTGGAGGTTCAAGTCGGCTCCGTGCAGTGGCTCTGGCAGTTCAAGGCCAAAAGTCGAAGTTGGAGGCGAGCGACTCAGAACAAACGACATCATCGCAACCTGAACTTGAACTTGACTCCCTTGCACCTCGATCAAACCACTCACTCCAGGCTTCCACCAACTCACCCACTGCACGGTTCTTGAAGCTTGTGTCCGGCACAAAACAATCGGATATGCTCTCACTGTTGTACCTATAACGTCCCAAGACGTGCACAGTGCGAATCAGACCAACTCTCCGTCTCGCGGAAGGACTCGAATCCCGAAGATTCCATCCCAGCTTCGGCCGCCACTGCACTATCAATTCGAACCGCCGCATACTAGCACAACACCTCCAATCCGTCGCTGCTAAGACTTGCATCGTCTATCTCGCACATTATCACAGAACTATAGCAGGAAAGATACCGATACATACACTTCCGCCATTCCAGCCATGCCTTGCCCAATAAGCATCACCAAGTTCGTAGGGACCATCTCTCTTGGTCTCCTGACGGTACGTTTACATCCCCTCAGTCCTCTCTGGCTATGAAGACCGTTACAGATAGCGGTGACGATGCGCCAGTTGTTGGCTCGCGACCGACTGACACGATTATCGATGCTAGGGAACATCCTACACCCTCACCACCATCACGCTTCCATCTCTCGCCTTACTCCCTTCCGCCTCGTTGGCTTCACGCACCCTGGCCACCATCCAAACGAAATCGACCCGACACATCCTCACCCTGGCCTCCATCTCGTCGCTGTCGCTGCTGACGGCGTTCACACTCGCGTCACCCCGCGGACGACACCCATATCTGCTCTACACTGCCTTGGTCGCATTCATCGGCGGCCAGGGCGTTGAATATTGGTTCAATGGACTGTCGAGATTTCCAAGTGTTAGCAGCAGCAAACGATCCGGTAGGGACAAGACGGTTTCGGCGACACCCAGAGGCGCCAGCCCGGGTGGGTCGGATAGCAGCGGATTCATCGAGGTCGAGTCGCGTGACGATGGCAACAACACCAGCAACAGCAGCAGCAGCAGCAGCGAGGATCAAGTCAATGGCGAAAAGGTCGAGATGGAGATGACGAGGGAACGCAAGATTCAGAAAGTGAGAAGTTGGATCGCCGGACTGGGGTTTGCGATGGGTGTTATTGGGATCTGGGGAGATGGCGCTTAAAAAGCTCATAATGGGGGTGTTAGGTGTATTGGGTGGCGCAAGTGTGGTGACAGGCTGCTGAATATCGGGAGCATGGAATGGGATATTGAGCTGCGCTTTGTGTATCTTGGGGCCGTGCAGGAGAGGGCATACACCAGCATACGAACGTCGGGCTTAAAATTGTTGCTGCGCCCGCTGAAGCGATCGACACCGGCATCGATATCGTCAACGAACCGCCGTTGGATCGACAGCAACATTGGACCTACGAATGAGCATATACATATATCGGCATATCGATGGATAGGAATGGCAACGGCAACCGCCATGTCGACGGCTCCCACTCAAAGCGGCAAGGTACTCGAATCGACGTTGCAGAAGTCCATCTACCTCGCCTACATCCAGGTCAGCAATCGATCGAAACGACACAACTGTCAACACTACACTACACACTACGCATTACGCACTACGCACGACAAAACGTTACTGGATCACTACAATAGGCATGGAACTCCAAGCTGGATTGTCTCGCATCCCTTTGTTGACAATGGTACTCCTCTCCGCCCCTCTCAACTCAGTTTATAGTCAGTTGGTCGGTTTGCTTGAAGTCGGCTTTTGACTCGGCTCAATATATGTTGATTAGTAGTGACTATCTATACATTCTCAAGAAACCACCGACATTGGTAGGGCCTGTTTATTGCTTTTTCGCTGTGTACTAGTAGGTGATAGCATTGAGTTGTATGGAAGGACTAGACCCTTGTGCCTTTTATTGAACCGCTGGCAGTAGTAACGTTCGAAGGGCTGCGTCAAACCTAGGTAGGTCACGGTAGGTACCTGAGGTAGGTGGGTGACGACCGTTCTATGACATCCCCACGCCGCGTGCTGACTAAGATCGTGCTGACTAAGATAAACGCAACGATGAACCTCGGTATCTCCCGGCACAACAACAACGACATCACCACATAAGGGACATTTGTAAAATGACTTCGGGGCAATATCCAACAAACATCCCCCATCGCCGTCTTTCTCTGCCCTTTCAAGCCGCAACATCCGCGGAGGACGTACATACAGTCCATATAACAAAGAACGGCAGCGATTCCATTGCACAACACGACTCGAGCCGAATCGAGTGGAGTCACGCACGCAGAGACACTTACGGTATACTTCGGCGGACGGTACGGCCGTTAGATTTGACCCCGAGTCTGATTGACTTACCGACATTGTCGACAAAGCAAGACCATCTATTTGCCCTGGTCTCTCCTGTCCTCTTCTCCGTCTCGACATACTTGCTTTGTTTCTATCATCCTATCTCATTTCGAACCGGGGTACACATTAAAGTCCTTTAAGAAAGCCTCCTATCTACCTATTTACCTACGTACGACCCTCAAGACTCCTATTTATCGACCTAGAACTCCTGTCTTACCATCTGGACCCAGACCACAAGAATACCTAAACCAGAACTGAGTCTCTATATCCATCCATCCATCCAAACATCTTTCCTCCACCAGCAAAATGCCCGACTTCGTCTCCTCAGTATGGAACCCCACCATCTTCACCGGCAAAGTCGTCTTCTGCACTGGCGGCAACGGCAGCATCTGCTCCAACCAAGTCCGCGCCCTCGTCTATTTAGGTGCGGACGCCTGCATCGTCGGCCGCAACGTCGAAAAGACAGAATCTGTCGCTAAAGACATCGCGACCGTCCGGCCAAACAGTCGCGTCCTAGGCATCGGAGCCGTGGACGTCCGAAGTATCGAGTCGCTAAAATCCGCCATCGACACCTGTGTGAGCCAACTGGGCGGAATTGATTTCCTCATCGCCGGCGCAGCAGGCAATTTTCTTGCCCCGCTGGAGCAATTGTCTCCCAATGCATTCAAGTCGGTCATCGACATTGATGTCTTGGGGTCGTATAATGTGACGAAGTTGGCGCTGCCGCATTTGATCGAGTCGGCGAGGAAATGGAATGAGATATCATCTCTTCCGAAATCCACAAACGCGGACACTTCCGCTTCCAGCTCCGCCTCCGGCTCCGCTTCCGCTGGCCCCGGCGGCCGCATCATCTACGTCTCCGCCACAATCCACTACACCGGCCTCCCGCTCCAAACGCACGTAGCAGTCGCCAAGGCCGGCGTGGACGCCCTATCCAACAACGTGGCCATCGAATACGGTCCTCTTGGAATCACATCCAACGTCATTGCACCTGGTCCCATTGCCGGCACAGAAGGGATGGAACGGCTAAGCAAACAGCCCTCCAAAACTGAGAAGCATCCGAGTAAAAGAATTCCATTGGGAAGGTGGGGTCTAGTCAAAGAAATCGCCGATGCGACGGTTTATTTGTTTTCTGATGCTGCGAATTATGTCACAGCCCAGACGTTGGTGGTTGATGGTGGTGCCTGGCGCACTTCGGGAGCAGCAGATGGGCCGGGACGCGGGTTCGAGTATCCTGATTTCCTGCTTTCTGGACAACAGGTTAGTGGAGTTAAGGGGTTGAAGACGAAGAAGGAAGAGAAGGCCAAGTTGTGAAGCGGGAGAAGGAAGAGACAGCAGCACCGGGAGGTTATTGATTGGATAAGGAGAGGAAGCTTGACCATGGTGACCGTGATTGTGATCCCTGATGCTAGCGATGAGAATGGTACCCTGGGGCCAGGCAAATGTGTACTGTGTACATTGTATGGAGACTACAAAGAGGAAGAATGCAAGTTGTCTGTCTACTACTTGGTATCTACCTTACCTTATCGATGTATTCCTGATGGTATTACTGTATGATCTATACCATCTTACAATCGACATCAATCGCCTCTATTAAAATGTCGATTCCGATTCCGATTCCCATCATTCCGATTCAGCGGACCCACTCTCGAGATTGAGGAACCGATTCATGAATCGAATTGAATCAACTAAACGAATCGGATCCGAATCTCCGAGGACCCCCTGAAGGAAATCGATTCAGTTCAAGTTGGCTGCATGATTCCGATTCTTATTAGGGGTATCGACACCTGCCAACGCTCTCAAGGGCAGAAGAAACCCGGAGATATCCCAAACTCGAATCATATGTATCCGGGTCAAGAAACCGGCCCCTGCCATACTAGTAGTACACTGTACATGGAGTCACCTAGTGGTTGTCAGAATTGATTGCTAACCCGATATTTAGCCGAATTGCCTACACACCTATATTCCCTTCTATATACTACTAAGTACTGCCTTTTATGCGTTTACCACCCGTTTCTACTAGCTCTGCGTATCTCTTCGGCAGCTTTTCAATACGAGCGCGGATCTCGTCCTATAAGATATTTCGCTAGATCTCCTAGAGCGTATCTACTAGTTACTCTCGTAGCATACTAGTAACGCCAGGCGTACTCCTTAAACGCTATTTATAGATATTCCACGCGGCCTCTTGGGGGTTAAGATCAGGCGAGTTCGCGGGGTGCGATAAGTTAACTATCTAGTTAGCGTCCCTAAGCCGTTACGTAATCCTAGGACGTCTTAGGCCGTAAGAAGGGTTACCGTCCTCGACGAGATAGATAGACTAGTAATATCTTAAGCGCGTACGCTAAATAGTCTTCGCGTATATAGGAAGAATACACTCCGTATAGTACTACTGCGTTATTAAGTTACTACGAGGCTATACTTCTATAGGAGGAGGAAGAGTAGCTTCCTACTCCGCGAGACGCTATTAGTACTCTTCTTTCGTCTCGCGCGTAGGTCGACGGCGAGGCTTTCGTATTCTTTTCTTTACTCGTACCTCTTGTACGGCTTCTTCTACAACTTCCTCTACCTCTACGCTAGCGTTTTAAGCGTTTTTATCGTTATATATAATAAGTTCGGGGATCTTCTCGTCGTAACTGACGTATCCGGCACAGTAAAGAGTTACTCCTTCAGGAGGCGTACGATTTACGATATTCTCACGCTTATAGCGTATACTACGCTCTCGTAGGATACGCGGAGGGAAGAGTCTTGTCTAATCTACGTGTATTTCGTCGATCTAGTATATAAAACGCTAGAACTCGTCGACTATTTTCCCTTTATACTCCTCGCTAAACGTAGTACGCTCCTTCTCTTATTTCTTAGTTAAATCGTCTTTTCGATAGATAGCGCGATAGAGCTACGCTTAATTTGTCTCTTGCGTAAGTCGACGTCTTAACTGTCGCGTCGAGATATTTAATTGATATATCTTAATCTAGTACTCGAGTGGCTTAGTTCGTACGGGGTTCGAGGGCGAGAGTAAGCGCTATATTTGGCGTTTTAAGACTCGAGACTTACGTCCTAGTACTGGCGCGCGCTATCGGGTATATCGATAGGTAGGAGAGCCTAGGGTTTATCGTTGGCGTAGCTAGTAGCGCGCCGTCGATTAAGGTACGTATAAGCGCTTTGCAATTGAGTTGAGGCTCTCGTTATGCGCGTTTTCGTCGTATACGTTGAAAAAGCGTGACTTTCGTAGGGTGTCAGCTTCTTTCCTAGTACTAGTACTCCTATCAGGAGTACTAGAACGGAGTACTATCAGGAGTACTAGGACGGTACGTTGAGCGTGTTTAAGGCGCCATGAGTGTTAAGAAAGAGTAACTGTGTACGTGGTGTTGATAAACACGTTTTCGGCTAAATATCGGGTTAGCAATCAATTCTGACAACCACTAGGTGGGAGTGGTGAGAAGCTTTCCTGCCCAGCATCTCCGCCCCCATGTTTGCCCTGCTATCCCCTACCTAGGTAGGTACTTTCCGCCCACTCCAATCCCCACCACCCTCGGACGCCCCCGCCCCCTTCTATCACTCCCGCCGCGACCATCCTTCCACAGTAGTGCAACGGCACTGGCAAACCACACATACTACAGTGGTCGACTAAAATTAACCCGGCAAACCACACCCTCCTTGCAAGATAACAGTCTGTACCTACTGCCATTTGTACACTGGCTAGTTACCTACAACTTAGCCACAGACGTTGTACTAGTAGTCGAAAGACTGGGCTTGCATTTGCATACCACACTCTGACACCGGTGCACAGGGATAGAGTGAAAGCCCAACTGGATGAGTGCGCCCCGGCGCTTGGTGATCCAATGACAACTAAACAGTCATGCTCGTCGGGCTGAATGAGACGGGCGGCCTAGTAGTATGTTGCATACTCGTCAGGCAGACACAGGATCATGCATAAGGTCATGGCCATGGACCATCCGTTTCAGCCTCAGCCTCAGCCTCAGCAATGTCTGCCTTTTCTCCTTTTGCTGCATTGTCCACACCTCAACAAGTTGTAGAACCCCATCGCCGTCGCCATCGGTGGTAGAGAGGGTTTCCAGTTGTCCTTCCATAACATAACATAACCATAATTCTGATACTGTACGCTGAGCCGCGAGAAATCATACATCCGGCCATTGATCCAAAGAAGACCACACCAATTGGCACCATCTCCGCGCCTCGACTCACAACGACGAGATAATAACAATGGGGGAGTCGCATGCATTGGATCTATTTCCAACCTTCGCAGAGACCCGCGATCGCCTCAAAGAGTCATTCTGTCAATGTATTTGGTATCTGCCTGATAAGGGAAGACACTGCAAAGTCGAAATAGCGAAGAAAGACAAGAAGGAAAGCCTCCGGCTTGCCTCAGAGCTCATCCAAGTGGACCGCCTTTCGAGCCAGGAGTCGCTACAGAATAAGCTGGCCAAGATAGCCGAACTCAGCTGCTGTTCTCAATATCATCGCAACATATTCTGGGGCAGAGGTCTGGTTGATATGCTGGCGGAGCGGTGGCGGAAGGAGATTATCGACTCTTTGCCTCCCAGTATCACCACAGCCTTTGTGCCAGTAGTAGCTGAGCCGGAGGAAATAAAACATCCTTTAAATGGCGGGGTAACCGGACTTGTCCTCGACCAAGTGCTCGAAAACAACACGCAAAGCCAATATCCATTGCGACCGGTGGTCTTTGCGAAACATGCCGTCCTTGAAGGGCAAACGTTGATGTCAACCCTATTATCGAACATTGATCCTTCCGCGCCCAAGGAAGGGTCGGTCTATATCTTTACCTACACGGATGAAGCCTTCGAGGGAATGCTTAAGATTGGCTTTACCAGCAGACTCGTTGTCGATCGTTTGGATGAATGGGCAGAGTGTGGCCATGGGAAGCCATCCCCTCCGGAAACCTTTTCTGGAGTCAGGCACCCGAAACGGGTTGAGTGTCTAACCCATTTCGAGCTGATAAAGTATTGGTATGCGTGGAGATGGTGCAATGAACACAAACAAGCTCATATCGAATGGTTTAAGGTCGACCTCAGCACCGCGACCCGGGTCGCCCAAAACTGGGCGTCGTGGATGGAGCGTGCTAATCCTTACGATAGACGTGGTGGTCTCCTAGCTTCCTGGCGCGGGAATATTGAGTTTCTGAAAAAGTTTGAGATCGACATTACAGCCGAGCTGATGATGGAGATTCAGCAGGTAGAGGAAGGATTAATCGATGTGACAAGTTTCATCGACGATGACGAGCTGCGCAGGCTCCACAAACCCATGGTGAAACAAAACATTCCCATCAGGTCCAGGGCTCGAAGGCGATGCGTCAGCTCCACGCCATTGAACAGTTCAGGAAACCAACTCGAACGATAGAAAACAATAGGCGCAGTTCTCAGCCGACGCGTGGAAAGGAATCGGCTTCAGTATTGGCTCGTACTGTGCTGCCAAGGTACCTAGGTACCTAGATAGTCTCGGCCCCAAGGGTCTTTCATGGCTCAGGAGATCAGAAAGCGACGATGGCAGCTTCATTGTTTTCCCGTCGCACCGAGTACTGTAATGACATCCATTTGCATATCACTTATGATGCAAGGCTGTGCCATGGACGATGCTGCTTACCAGAAGTATCAACTGGTTAACTCTCCTTGTCCACCTCCGAAATTTTGGAAACGAAAATAAGTTCCACTTTCTGTACTCGCCTGTCTTAATGACCCTGGAGGCTCTGTTAGATTCTGTCGTTCATTGGCCGCGGCCGTCTGTCGCGTTTCTGCCATTCGTTCAGGCCGGTGGCATCCATAGCGTTCTCTTCTGTCGACGTCCTGGCTCTGTTGATGCTGTCTCGGAACGCCATCGCAGCGGTTCCTAGCTATTCTGCCAGGTTTCCAAAGAAGCAGCATCCGCCATGACCCATTGAGGAGCCGGCTGTGACTGTGGTTGTGACTGCGCTTGTGGTACGATGGGCGTTGATGGTGTGCCAGTACCCATCCCGGCAGTCCCCACATGCTCCGAGCCCATGGAAAAGTTAGTTCCCCCATTGACAAGAGGATACCCTCCAGCACCGTTAGCGCCCGTTGATGCCTCCTCGCCAAATGCCACATCCTCAGAGCCCTCGGCGAGTCGGACTCCTGCCAGACCCCAGCCCAGAGCGTCGAGTTCCCGCTGGAAAAAGTCGCGCTCTTCGTCTTCAATCTCCTGTCCTCCTTGATCTTCCTCCTCATCATCAAGGTCGTCAACATCGTCATTTATGAGGTTGTCGTCGAGCTTCAGTTCCGAAATATCAGCCTCGGCCAAATTGTCAAGATCAACCTCAGCACTTTCTGCCATTGTGGCCAATCTTGAGGCCAGGCCGGCTTCTGCTGATTTGGATGCGGGTGCCGGTTCACTCTTCTTGGTTTTGGCTTTTCCACCTCTCTTTCTCCGCCTCATCATGCCCGGATAAGTGCGTTTCTGCCACCAAAAGGTCAACCCACGCAGTGCCCATTCCAGAGGCACGGCTTCGTCGACTTCCCCCTCGACATTGGCATCGTGCATCCCTGCCAGCCATTCATCCCTCAAGTCTGGTCGGCAGTGGAGATAGATGGCCGTGATGACTCGCATGTTGCTTTGACGCCATTTCCTCCCGCAGTAAGGCACTTGTGACTTGAACAGCTTCAGCACATATAGCCTCAGTGTTGGGTCCGGAACACGTAAGATGCGGCGAAGGATTTGGGACGACTTGAACTGTACGAGAAACAAGATGCGATGCGATTTGCCCCGAGTGACCTTCTGTAGGATTCGAAGGAGATGAATAGCCGTTTGGAATTGGCGAAACGAATATTCCGTGATGGGGGTTGTGGGAACAGGTCCAAGGGGGTTGCCGAGCTCATCCACTGAAGGTCGCTGGGCTTCGGCTCCCTGTTCTTGTGCTGCTGCATTTTGTTCTGGAACGGCTCCTTGCAACTCAGACTTGGCGGTGGGAGACCTCCGATGGCGCGAGATGGGTGGTGGCATCGCTTCGTCAACACTCGACGTTTCTGACTTTTCGTCTGGGCCTGTGGGAGAAAGTGGAGGATGATCCGAATGGACCTGACAATAATGCCAGAAGCTCAGATCATCGCGGTCGTACTTGAAGGCCACTAGATCCTCCAAATTCTGATGAGCAAAGTACTTCAGGGTGAGCTGGACGTAGTTTGAATCCAGAAGCAACTGAGTAAGGTACTCGAATTTCAAGACATGGGACATTTTGAACCACTTCAACATCAAAAAGATTGCTCCAGACACTGCCTTTTGGCTGATCTCCCGCGATCGGACGTTATCCAGGTCTTCCAATGTCATATCTGCTGGCCGGGGAGGCGGAGGTGGCATAGGTAGTGATTGATTGGTTGTCATGTTGGCGTTCATTTTGCTGCGGTTAAGCCCACTTGCTTGTGCTGGGTCCTGAAAGCCCCCGTTACGCAGTGCAATATCCTGGACATTTGTGAGCATGACCTTCATCATGACGATAACCAGCGATTGTAAGTCTGGTAGGGCTTCACGAAAGAAGTCTTCAACAGCATCCATCCGTGATCGAAGCACTGGATCGGACAAGCTGTCAATATCTTCTTCTTCTTTTGAGTGAAGCCCATTACTGTCGGCGTTCTGAACATGTGACAGGTCGCCCGTCCAACCTCTCTCGTATTTCATGAACAAGTCCCGTTCCTGCCAGAGCTGACGCATGGCCCGCGTCATCCTCATCCGACTGGCGAACAATTCTCCTGCCTCGACAATGGATCGAGGTACATCGTTGCTCTCCCACTTTTTGTCTGCCAGCATATCTTGCAATTCTGTGGACCCTCTACCACCGGTGATATCACATGACCCATCTGAGGGAGGATAAAGAAATGGAAAGTTCTGGTTGGTTTGATAATTCTGCTTTTTGCCTGCTTTTCCCCCAGGCCCTATAGGCGAGGGAGGAGGTGACGGGGCCGGCGTGGCAATATGAACAGGTTGATGGAATATAGATCGATGAGTGCCTGCAGCGCCGAAGCCTTGCCCCGGAACACCAGGAATAGCTTCTGTTTTTGAGACCTGTGGCGGCGGTGGCAGGATCGTTTTCTGATCAATCTCTAGGGGTATCAGAGGCAAGGGCGGATTATACGCAGGGTACTTTGACGTGATCTCCTGTCGAAACATATGATAATCGAGAGGAGATGCGGTGAGCACCGGATGGGCTGCTTCGGCTGAAAATGGCTCAACCCGTGGCTGCAATATTTCTCTGATTTGTTCCAAGTCCTTCGTGACGTCGCCAAACACCAGAAGCAGACTCTTCCAAAAGAGCAACAGTGCATGCATAAGGGGTATGTTGTACGAGTCGTCCCATCGTAGGCGCGAAATCATGCTGACGAGGAATGCGAGAAAGTTTGGCTGCAAGGAAGAAATTGTCTGGCGTATGCTCAGGCCAGACTCCGTCTCAATCCGTACTCTGGCCGATTCAACCAAGAGATAAAAGCATGACAGACATAAGCTGAGTTCTCTGTATTCGTTTTCGCCAAGGACGCCGTCGTATATTTCGTCTCCATCTGTATTCGGCGGATTAGGGGCTGAATCGGTGACACTGGCCGCCTTGATCCAACAGGAGTACAAATGTGGTATGATAGAGCTTTTCTGGACGATATCGGCTCCTTTGTGCATCCACTGGATCTGCGAAGCATTGACCCGATCATTTTCGGTCTGCGGATGACCACCGTCTTCTCTCGCGGCCTCTTCGTCCACCAGGCCAGAGGTGGTAGTCCACGCGCCAGTCAGGACAAAATAGAGACAAGACAGGGCTTCCACACGCGCCAAATAATCCCCATGCTGCAGATCCTGGACCAGATCCGAGATGAATTGGACCCGCTGGTCATCGTTCACATCGATCCAGGTCACTTCTTCAGGAAGCTGTTCAGATTGGCAAAAGTGCTTCCATTTTTGCTCGAACGCTTCCAGAGATGCTAGAAGGTACTCACGATCTTGCTCTAGTTCGGTGTAGTGGAACCACTCGTCGATCTCGGACTCAAAGGAGTCGGTGTCTCGATACTGGAAGGCATATGCTCTCTGTTCCGTCTTCGGAAACTGTCCCACTAACTGTCGTAACTGCGGTAGGCTCAAAGAGTCTGTAGGATCAGTACTAGTATGAGGGGGAGGAGCTGGTGGTGGCTGAGACGGTGGAGGAGGGGGCGGCGCTGAACCTTCTCGCCGTAGCAGTGGCCGCGGTGGCGCTTTAGGTCGAGGACCAGGAGGACCAGCGTCAGAAGGGCTCAGTGCACTCAGCGGGACTTCATTGCTCGGGGAGAGTATAGACGTCCCTGAGTCCACTTCATCGGCTCTGACGAACAGTTGTTGTGGTTGGGGCTTTGGCGGGTCAGAAGCCATGAAGAGCGGAAAACGTAGGCCCAGAAGCCAGTGTGACTACCGTGAAAACGCAATTGCAGGACGACAAATGCACCATCAAAGATCATCCATAGCCATGAGCTTAGCAAATACAGCCGTGCGGCAGAAACATGAAGACCATGAACTTTATGTACAGCGACAGCAAATAATGGAGGAAGTGAGCGCCAACATAACGTGTCGAGGCCGTGAAGTGAATGGCTGCGGCATCGGGCAGTCGCGCCAAGCTGCATTTCTATTGGCGGAATGGAGACATCAACTCTGTCTACCCGCCTTCAAGTTCTACGAACTGAGCTACGAAAGCAATGAGATTCTAAGTACTTGTGTTATCGAGCTGTGAAGCCATGGGGTACAAGTTTCCTGATCTCTAGTCTCTAATGCTAGCCCTCTATGTGCCTGTATTTACCATGCTGGGCCACCGCTATGGCGCTGCTTCGAACTGAATCCCAACCGCCTGTTGGGTGTTGGCGACAGGACAAATCAAAGTTGTCCAAGCCAATTACTCTTGCCTAGAACAACCCAACGATCGTATGCTCAGTTTCAATCCTCATAGCAACGAGACAGATCCCTGTTTAGCTGCCGTCAAAGAGACCATCAGTAGTGCAAGAAGTGCCCATGAAACTGACCAATCTCTTCGGCACTTGTATCTGTGCGATCGGAGCCCGGACTGTTGAGTGACATGCGATTGGCTATCTTGTTTACGTTGATGATGTTCTTTTGTCTTGTTTCTTGTCTGTGTCTTAGACTGATCCATCTTGTTCGTCCTTGACTTGTTCAGCGTTAGAATCCGCAACGGCTGAATTTCCATCTTGCGACGGATGTGCCGCTCGCTCGATGAAATCTCGCGCTTGTGCCAGAAGTTCTTGTTTCTTCTTCAGCCCCACCTTATCTGTGGCTCTCGCATTCAGCCAACTAGGATCTAGAGGACCACCACCGGCGGTGTTCAGGCCGGAATCTCCGCCCAATATGCGCCCTCTTCGTGCATCCCTATCGGTGCCTGGCCTTATGAGATTCGCCTCTTCTAAAGCATAGACTTGACGCCGCAGTCGAACCTCGATCGACGATAGGGTCGAGAAGTAGGTTTCTGCTGCAGCCGTAAATGCACTGCGGGCGGACTCGAGGTCGCCGAGTGGTTTCTCTTGGGATTGGGAAGGACGTGCGCCTGACAGAATGCCAACTGCGTCAGCTGCTGCTGAGAGGAGGGTGGAAATAGACTGATCGATCTCGTTGAGTTCAGCAATCCGAGTTGCAGGTGTGAAGGAGAGGGTTGCCGGTTCCGACGATGGGGGTGAATCAAGGTCCATGTCCGCCATGATCGACTGGCCTCTTAATTGTCGATCAATTCATGTTGTAAGTTATGGTGTGTCTCTGCCGGTCTAAGCCTAAGGAACGTTGTCATCTCTGTGTACAAAAGAGGTGATGAACGCAACAAACATAGCAAACAATGGGTGGCCGTCTCTGGAAATGGTAGGTTTGCCGGATGCCTCTCTCAAAGTGGTTAGCGTAATATCAAAGCTTGGCGAGGCTGGCCCGTCGCATTTAGTTGTCGCAGCGTCTGTCTTCAACTTCGCGGCCCTCAGCTTGATCTCTTTCTTCTTCTCAACGCTTGTCGCGCCACTTCCTTTTCTCTGTAATTTTGTTTGACAGAGCAGTTGTCAACATCAAGATACGGCACTGCGACACTCACAGCGCATGAGCAAACTGTAACCATGTCAGGGCAAACCGCGCCCAACCCGGCGCCTGGAGGTGCAGCATCGGGTCCTAATGGATCTTCGCACTCAAACAATCCCCCGTCCGGGAGCAATGCGACAAATAGCTCGGTGCCTGCAGCCTCTGCCACTACTTCTACTAATACTGGGAGTGGTGGTGGAGGCATGTCCCAACAGAACCTCAACCAGATAGTGAGTATTTTCCTGTCGCGTTTCTTGATGTTGTGCCCCATTGTCAAAGGATTTGTGTGAACTTGAACTCCGCGACAACCGCTTCCTGTTGTCGACTTATCGCAGCCAGTATATCAACTGGCAGCGTCGGTCACAGACAACGCCATGCGCTTTAGCATAGTGGTGGCCCTGAGCCTGCTCGCACCATTTCGTTTTAACCACTTCTGGCGAGCACCCTCAACTCTTGGCTGTCTGTTGCTAGCCCACGTAACGGAGCATTGCCATGTTCTCAACCAACATCCCTGGCCTCCCTCTCACAAGTCTCTCATCTCTTGTCCAAACAAAGAACTTCCTTCTTGAGGACTTGCCCTCGATTTCCTTGCTTGCACATCCACCATGGCTTCCGAGCAGCCTCCAGATGAGGGCAATGGACCCCCGGGCTCTGGAGGAAAGCAGTCCACCCCGAGACGCCTGCAGCCAAACTCCCCGGGCAGAACGCCTCTGCGCACGCTTGTTCCCACATCTCCTAGTGGCAAATCCCCAAACCCTGTTGGAAGACCACGGAATTCTTTGTCCAGACCATCAACTCCTGTGGCTGCTGGAGCAACTCCTGTAGCTGCTGCAGGAACTCCCATGGCTGCTGGAGGAACTCCTATGGCTGCTGGAGAACCTCCTGTGGCTACCGCGCCCCATGCGGAAGCACTGAAATCCCTCCCGGCCTTTCATCAGCCAGGAGCTGGTAACATCTTCGTCAACTATTCAGCGACCGACTTTGGGGTGCAACCGCCTTCTGTTCATACACGTGCCGGCGTTGTGCTTCCTCATCTTGGTCCTGTATCTAGTCGTGCCTCATCCCCATCTCCCGCACGGGCTCCGCCACCACCTCGGGCTCCCACGCCTGCGCCGGTCAATCCATATCATCCCTATGCATACGTGGAAGATCTCCCAAAGGAAAACCGGCATCAGGAGTGGCTCTCCAAATACCCAGATCCCGAGTCACATTTCAAGTCTAATCCTGAAGCATGTTTTTTCTTCTGCAAGCGCTTTGAAATAAATGAATATTGAGCTAACTGTTGAAATAGGTTATTGACTATCTGGCGAAGAAGGGCTACCACCGTACCGAGGCCACCCTCCGAGCCGAATCTGCGAACCAAGAAATTCCGAAAGACGCAGACATCAAACCCACCCCTCCCGGTCCTCCTCGTTATTTCGAGTTCTTTTCACGCCTGGTCGCTTGGACTGATGACACGCTGGATATCTACAAAGCGGAAGTCAAGAGACTGCTCTGGCCCATTTTCGTCTACGCGTATCTTGACTTGGTGAAGAAGTTCTATCCGAAAGAAGCAAATCGACTCTTTGTTAAGTACCAAGACGATTTCAAGGGAGAACACGAACCGGAGCTTAGAAGCCTCCAATACATCACTCTACCGGAACATGGAGATGACAAAGTTGCCAAATTGTATCGCGACAATAAGTACCGGGTCAATATCACGCTCGCAGCGTTCACCACCTTCATGACATTCCTCGAGAGTCTCCCAGATACGGGTTTCAAACTCTTGGCCTCAATTGTCGAAGAATATATTGACGTTCGTACGGTTGATCGCGCCGCGGATGATCGGTATAGTTTTGCAGCCGTTATCGATCGAGCCAGACAAGGGCAAGACATGCCTGCCGAAGACGAAGGCATCCCAGGTCATCGTCCTGGCAATGCCATTTCTTCCACTGACCCTACCGTCGGCAACAACCTGGCGACACTCAAACTCGGCAAACTACCGATGGAGAAGGATCTGGAAGAAGACGTGCGTGGGGACTTGATGGACCTGGACTTGGTGACGACACCCAAGGAAGGTCGAGAAACTCTGGTTCAGACGCACGAGAGATTCAACATCAAGCAGGAAGACGAAGACGAAGGACCCAGCCGATCCGAAATTCCGTTTCCACCATCCACCGTCTACGACGTTGCCATTGAAGTGCAGAGAATCCGCGAGGTGCGCGACCGCCTGAAGATAGATTCTCGTACTGGCGGCGTGGGCCCTCAACTCAATGTGGTCATGTACACGTTCCACAACACCCACGACGGAATCAACTGCTTTGACATCTCCGGTGACTCGAACCTGATTGCCGCGGGATACTACGCATCCATCATCCGCGTCTGGACCTTGGACGGCTCGCCTCTTGGACCAGAAGTCGACGGCAAGAAACAGAATTCGCGCCGCTTGATTGGTCACTCCGGTCCCGTCTTCAGCGTGTCTTTCTGCCCAGCATCGTTCCGCCCAGACCCCAAGGGAATTGATCCGACCGCGAGATGGCTTCTGTCATCGTCCGCCGACGGCACCGTCCGTCTATGGAGCTTGCTCACCTTCGCTCCCGTCGTCATTTACAAGGGTCACGTCGGACCGGTCTGGGACGTCAAATGGGGACCATTCGGACACTACTTTCTCAGCTCTGGTGCGGACAAGACAGCACGTATCTGGATGACAGACAAGATCCGCCAAGTGCGCCTTCTGGCCGGCCACGACGACGGCATCGACTGTGTCGCTTGGCATCCGAACTCCAGCTACGTCTTCACCGCCTCCAGCGACAAGACGGTTCGCATGTGGGCCGTAACCAACGGCAACGCGGTTCGCATGTTTACCGGCCATACTGGTATGATCACCGCGATGGCATGCAGTCGTGACGGCAAGCTTTTGGCGTCTGCCGATGAAACCGGCGTCATTCTCATTTGGGACTTGGCTCCAGGCCGTCTGCTCAAGAAGTTCCGCGGCCACGGCAAAGTTGGCATCTATTCCTTGACTTGGAACGTCGAGTCGACTGTCTTGGTCTCTGGTAGTCATGATTGTACCGTTCGCGCTTGGGACGTAACTGGACCTGCCAAAGAAGGTACTCCTGCTACCACTACTGCTACGGCCACCAATCCCACTGCCACAGCTACTGCTGGACCTTCTTCCACAGGCAAAGCAGCAGATGGCGCCACTGGTTCCAAGGACGGCGACGGCACTACCGCTAATGCCTCGACCACCTCTGCGCCTCCTGCGACGTCCGGATCAACTGGCGGCAGCGCTACAGCAGGCCCATCTACCACTGCTGCTGGCGGTTCTGCTGCCGGTGCAGCCGGTCCTGGTGCTGCAGCTGGTGCTAGTGGTGCTAGTGCAGGCCACAAGAAGCGCGGCAAAGAAGCCGGCGTCAGCAACGACCAAATCTCAGCCTTTCTCACCAAGAACTCGCCCGTCTACTTGACCAAGTTTACCAACATGAACCTCATCCTGGCTGCCGGCTGCTACCTGCCTGAGCAGGCCAAGTTCAATAACTAGTTGAGTGAGCGAGCGAGCGAACCAAGCGGGGTGGAACGAGCACCCCGAATGTCAGTCGTGAACACAACACTGACATTTCAACTCTTGTACACATGTCCTTTTCGAAGCGAAGCCTGGAGTCAAAGGTGTGGATTGGTCCGGTTTGTTTCGAACGAAGCACGATTGAATGGCATCGAGTGGAACGGAGTTTGGTTTGGGTTTTCTCGGAAACGGAAAAGGTGTTATGGATTTGGCGTTGCTGTTGTGCCCGATTGAAGAGACACTCTCACACTGGACATTCAGTTGTTCTGGTTTGGTCATCCCAACCCAACTTCTTGAAGTGATCAGTTGAGCAGTGAGCTTGCTTGGGCTTGAGCTTGACTTGCACTGCACACTGTTTTTGTTTTTGTTTTGTGATTTTCTCTACCAACTTTGGGTTGAATGGTTGTTAATATGGCTACTATGGCGCACAACCACCTCGGCCCACACACACAAGTTGAACGTTACCAGGTTTTCAGGAGAATGTGCAGTTCTGCGGTGCAGTGCAAGTGTGTATGATCAAAATCAGGATAGAATTGAGCAATGCGATGAAAAATGCGACGATAAATGATACATTTCCACATGCGGTGTTCTATCTCGTGAACAACTCGTAGTGTAGCAGAAGATTCGCAACTACAGTACCTAGTTATCCCCCATTGGAATGTAAGTCAAAGATTGCGGTCAGCCCAAGCCATCCTCGCCGAACTTGAAACCGCGAACGCCTAATCGCCTGTCTACTGGCAGTACCAAAGCGACCGAGAATTCCTGTGGAGTGCAGTGTGCTCGAGAGGACATCCTTTACCACTGCGGTGACGAAAGTGCGAATGCCACATGCCCGACGTGAAATGGAGAGTGACCGTTTCCCAGAAACTTGCACCGCCAACAAATGGCCCATTCATGTAGGCATACAGACGGTACAGTAGATCTGGAGGAACACACAGGAGGCATACGAGGCATAACTCTCAATTGACCGTTACTAGTATTTATATCCAAAGAGTGGCAGAAGACCATGCTTCTATGACATCTAATGCAAGGCTCGTACAATAGGTATGCGATGATAACATTCGTATGCCAACGGCAGGCTGCCAGTACCCTGGAACGTAAGGTCCATACCTTACACAGCAACACATCCGACATGACGACAACAGAATACAGGATACAAGAGTACAATTATTTACCTTATATATTATTTACATGTATACATGTCTAGGCACTAGAAACCTGCACCAATTCTATCCATTCACGGAGCAGTAAAAGCACTAGCAATCTTACTCCTCGCCCGAATTTTGGGCCCAAACAGAGCCAACACCCAGGGCACCAGCGTCAAAGCCGCACCAATACCACCCAGCAAACTACTAGCGGCGTGAAATCCCATACCATTGAACATCTGGACAGTGATCAGAGGGAACGATCCGCCCATGAGATTCCGACAAAGTCCAGAAGCAGCAAGGGCCGAGCTTGCATAGACATGGTAGACGTCCGCAGTGTAATTGAAAGTGGCGAGGTAGATGCTGAAGATGCCCATAGTGGCGACGCCGAGGGCGATGGTGGGCACAATCCAATGGACGGACGAGTAGCACGACCAGCCGAACCAGAACATGCCAATGGGCATGAAAGCCGATTCGACGCATGTGAAGAGCAACCTGCCCTCGGGGCTCCCATTGACCTTTGTAGGGTAGTACCGCAGCGCCCATTTCTCCTGATATATGCTCAAGAAAGTGGACAGGATGCCGCCGACGCAGATGGCAGTAAACACAGCACCGGACTGCTCGAGCGTGAAGCCGTGGTTGGTCTCAAAGACCAAAGGAACCGCTCCAAACGTCAAATACAGCACTGCCCATGAAAAGGCTACCCACAGACTGAACCAGAAGACCACGGGTTCTGTAAACAGCATGTGGAATGGCCGGTACAGCGAGACGGCGATCATGCGGCCCAGAGAAGATCGGTCCTCGTCGGTCTTCACCTTCCATCGAATACGCACCGGTCGGGAATGCTGTTTTTCTTGGTTGCTGTCGCTGTCGTCAAGCATCCCGAGAGCGCCGGCATCTTCGAGCTTTTCGTACCATTTGTTAAGCACCTTGGCTTTGCGGCTCAGAATAATCGAGCCGCGCGTCTCTTTGAAGAATATCGTAACCAGTGACACCAAAGTCCCGCTGGTAATAACTTGAATCCAGAAAACCCATCGCCAGTCAAGCCGCTGTGCCACGAAACCGCTGCATACTGGTCCCAACCCGGTTCCTAGCATCGTCGCTCCGGTGAACAGTACCATGGGAGTATTGCGGTCCTGGGTGGTCCACACATCCGCCAAAATCCCGCCGACCATGGTCGAGAACGTCGATCCTCCCACGCCTGCGAAAAACCGCGCCAACAACATGCCCGCGTATGAGTCGGTTAGCGCGCTGCCCAGCTGGCAGATGACGAACAACAACCCCGTCACAATGAACACCGGTCGTCGTCCGTTGATCTCGGAGAAGGGTGCTAATATCATCGGTGCGAACCCGAACCCGTACGTAAATAGACTAATGCCGACGTTGTAGGCAACGTGCGACACGCCCCATTTCTTCGTGAGTACATAGGCTGGGGCGGCGTAAGAACCGGCCGAATAGGCTGCCGTGATGTTGACCGAACACGAAAGGTACGTCATGAGTCTTTTGCGCGTCAACGACCAGGTGAACGGGTCGTCGTAGTCACGTAGATTCGGGCATGGTGGTATTTTGCCCTTGAAATCGGGTGGAAAAATCGGCGTCAGAGGAAGCTCGCTTTGAAAGGTTAAGTAACGATATTCGATCTCTTGAGAATCGGTTGATAACCGTGGCGCGTGGAATGTTGGGGTGTCGGAGATGGGCACATTTTGAATATTGGATCGGCTGTCCTTGTCTTCAAGTCCAGGAGTTAGAATCTTTTGTTCAGCCAGTTCATCGGCTGAAAGAGAGCCATGCTGGCCCGGCATGGCAACAAAATCTCGACGACAAGTCCGCTCCCCGAAGGTATACCTTTTGTCCCGAACCCTTTTCAATCAATCTCATGTGGTAAATAGAGGATCGGGGTGAGTCAGAATCTGGATGTGAAGGGGTTTTGTATGAGATCTCGTATACAGCGGGTACAATGTTACAATTGGACGATCCATCCCATTTTGGCGTCATGGTGCCGATGTGCCGATTTGTACCAACAAAATGCCACGCCCTGTGGGTGGAGAGGAAATGGAGAGAAACCCGCGTTTGCGTGCTTCGGAGTTTGGCATAACTCCCCGGAGAGCCTCCGTTTCCCCAGACTGGCTCAGAAGATGGACGGCAGTGTGGGACACGGACCGGTTCTAGTTGGGGGTTGATTTTTGACCCGACCATCACAGCAGGTTAACTCGGCATTTATATCAAGTGCTGCTCGGGTTGAGTCTGTCCCTGCTGTTCGGTCGTGAGCGAGAGCGCCAGACGGCGGTCTCATCGATCGAATGTCAATGCTCATGTTCCGCAGGAGGGCTGGTACAATCACCCAGATACTACATTGTAGGTACGATGCGGAAAAGAGCGCTGAGAGGGTGTGAATTATCAAGCATTCGCTGAGTGGCGGAAGGTGTTTCCGATGCTGCGCATCACGGGGGCGATATCTTATCTTATCTCGGATCTGCGTGTTCTTCAGGGTCCCTCGCAATAAGATCACCCTCTGCCATTGGCATCTTCTTGTCGTCGTCGCGGAGAAGCTAATTCATTCTTCGGCTCGACGAGCCAAGCCGGCAAGATGAGCAAAAATACCAAGGAGATGATGAAAAACAAGAATGGTCGGTGCTCAGGTGTCCAGTCCGAATCCCCTGATACTCGTCTAACTGCTCCCAGTTGCTGGTGGACAACTAAGCATCCTGTCTACGGATCCCCCGACGGGTTTCTATAAGGATGGATACTGCAGAACCGGCCCGGAGGATAAAGGCAATCACTCAGTCGCCGCCACCGTCACACAAGAATTTCTCGATTTCACGGACTCGAAAGGAAACAATTTGAAAACGAGTGGAGTCAAGGATGGAATGAAGTGGTGTCTCTGCGCCAGTCGATGGAAGGAGGCCATGGAAGCGGCTCAGAAGGGACAATTGTCGCAGTCAGCCGTCCCCCGCGTGCACCTGCATGCATCCCACGAGAGTGCTTTGAAGGAGGTCAAGTATGGTGACCTGAGCAAATACGCGGATCAAGGGACAGCACCCAGTTCGAACAGATCCAGACAAGAGACGTATCACAACCCAGAGACACCCAAGGGTCTGGCAAAGGAGAGCACTGAGATCAGCGGCAATTCCGAGACTACTGGAGGGAGGGGTGTGCGGACAGCCAAGGATGGAGTATGAGACACCAGTACTGTCCTTTCCGCCGAAGTGTTTCAGCAGAGCAGGCAGCGGGAGCTTCAGTTGTCTTGTACACTGTGTAGCCAATACCAAAATCTTTATTGCTGTTGCTGCGATTTCCATGTTAAACATGAATTGCTCCAGCGGACTATTGCAGGTGATGCGCCGTAATGGTAGAACAAGCGCATTGATCCGCCATAGCAAACATCAGTGCCAAGGCCGAGGCCCCTTTGGCCGTGGAGCCGGACTGCAGTGCCAGTGCGAGCGCGGAATGCGCAGGCCAAAGTTGCCAGCGTCTGCCAGAACGTCGATGCCAGTGGTCTCGCCGAACACTAGAAACTCAATCCAACAGCAACCCGACCACCACAACTTTCCACTTCCTTTGACATTTGGGGTCCCATTCCCTTATCCACCTCACCAATATGTTATAATGTCCCGACCGCAAAGCCATCCACCGAAAACAGATAATATCAGGGAAGTTCGATAGTAGCCGATTCTCCGCATCATCACTTTCGGCACAATCCAGTCCATGCCACCTTTGCTCGCGCCTTGGTCCGCCGTCTGAGGAGGCAGAGCAGCTGTGGCGACTAAGAACAACTCGACCTGAGGCTCGGCGCGGCGGTGACCATGTCTGACTCTGTTGGTATGCTCAGCCGACGCTTTGAATCAGTCTTGTTGTCCTATCTAACCGGGCTCAATAACCAGATCGCGTGTTCGTCCACGCCCTAGCCACCGTGCGTCGTCTACCGCGTACCGGGTCATCCAGACCGCCACCATCAGCTCGACTCCGTCTCTATGGCCTCTACAAACAATCTATGGAAGGAGATGTCGAATCTATACTACCGCGGCCCACTGTTCCCTCGGTATCACCGGACCCGAACAACGCCAAATCGAACAATGTCCACCGCTACGCCTCGCGAGACCTAAGGATACGAGAAGCAGAAGCCGAGATTGAGAAATGGGACGCATGGCACAGTTGCGCGGGCATGTCGCGCACAGAGGCTAAACGGAAGTATATCAGCACCTTGATTGAAACGATGAAGGAATACGCCAGCGGGACACAGGAGGCCCGGGAACTGGTGGCCGAACTTGAGTTCGTTTGGAACCAGATCCGCAGTCAGAGCGGGAGCTCGGAGGACGAGGATGCAGATTCACCTACACGCCGCCTCGAGCGGGCTGGATTGAAACAGACACAGAGTTTTGGAAGTGGTAGTATACCGCCGGGTCATGCTCATCTGAACCCAAGCAGTGCCGGCGGCGGAGGCGGGTTAAGCAGGCTGAATTCGAACTCTGGTGATCCAAATCGGTTACGGGTCCTGTCGCCCGTTTCGCAACGAGACAGCGATGGCATCGTCGAAGGTGAAGAGGTGGAGGTCGATCCGGAAACGGGGGTCGTGATTAATCCTACGCCTCAGCCTCAGCCTCGGCCGTCAGCGATGACTGAAGTTGAATGGAGACATCAGATCGACTCGCATTTACGGCAGCTGTCGACCGAGATCGCTGCCCTGCGCGAACAGTTGTCGGCTAACCATCTTCTTTCGTCATCTTCATTTTCGCCGTCGTTGACGTCCAGGCGAAGACGGCTGTTTTATAGGGTATCTACATGGGTGAGATGGCTGGCTTGGGTCTTGGTCCGCCAGCTCCTCATGGATGCGGGACTAATCCTGCTTGTTATCCTGTGGGCGAGGTGGAAGGGGTACAAGGACCGCAAGGTCGAACACTGGGCCAGACGCCGGTGGCATGATGCCGCCCAGGCTTTGGGATATGTCCAGGACTGGCTGGCGCAGTCGTTACGATCTGTGCCGGTGCCTATACCTGGGATATGGAAGGGTCCGTAGTGAGGGTCATTCCACGAGAGTTATGCGAATCTGAATCTGAATGAGAGAAATTTTGAATCTTTGTATCTTTTTTTGGCCATGCTATTCTGATTGTTCTTGTTCGCCTGGTAATCATCATACCATGGCTTCTACCGGATTGTCTGTTGCAGTTATGTAGCATACGAGACACCAAGGCACTGGAGACACCAGGGCACTGCTTGGGAATGGTCGCTCCGGACTATTACTGTACTTCCCGTTTCAGGTCTAGACCTCGGGTTCCTTCTGAGGATCTTTCGCCTACACAAGGCCCCAGGCGTAATGGAGTACAAGTAATCAAATCACTGCATAAGGTAATGATGAGGAATTCATTATTAGGTATTCCTGGATCATCGTCATCGTCATCGTCGTCGTCGTCCTTGTCGGTACCAATCAACCGGTCGACATAGGCACTTGAGGTGCCAGTGGGACTGCCTCGCCTTGTCTACCCGGCTTACTCATGCGCTTTCCAGACATCTCGCTTGAGAGAGTGAAAATAAAGAACACTGCAAAGAAGAAACCGAGAAATAGAAGGATCGGATCAACTGGCACTTCCAATATCCTCGACGCTATCACCTGTCGAACCCCTGGCGTTCGGTTCTTTCCCCATTTTGGCTGTGCGAGGCCGAGAGATGTTACTTTCCCATTGAAACTCGTGATCCAGACTCCTTTGGGGCGGTTACTATGCCCTTCAAACTCATCCAGTAATACTATCGTCCGTGTAAGTCGTTACTCGTCATCGTCGTCGCTGTCCACGACCCTCCGATTTCGGGTATTATTGATCCGAGGCGGTGGGCGTGGTAACATATCCGGAGATGCACTCAGCACGGTAGGCTTGGACTTTGTGCCAATGCCAGGACCAAGAATGGCTTCCAGTTCGGGGAATTCTTGGCTCATCCCATCATAGTCAATACTTTGCTGAGACAGGAGAATCTGGTTCTTTCGACGAATCGGTGATGCCAAAAATGGGTCGGGAAGAGACTGGAGAGATGGGGATGGATCTTCGTCATCATCGTCATCCTTGTCGACGTTGTCACTGTCGTCGTCGATGAAGCTGTCGTTGCCGTCGTACTGGTTGGGCGAAGAGCCGCCGGCCTTGCTTGACGACCGGATGAGGAGGTCTATCTCTGTTGTTGATCCGTGAGGACGCGGACGAGGACGAGACTTCTTAGTAGTCGATGATGAGACATTTTGTCCTGTTCTGGTTGTTACTGTGGTATTTGTTCTACTAGACGGTAGACAGCACTTGCTTCGCTTTTTCTCTGACGTTTGAGCTTTACGCTTCTTCTTGGCTGTTTTGTCCGGGCTGAAGTCCTGGGGCTCTCCGACTTCGACGTAATCCCGTGGACGCTCCCATTCAGCATCAGGTTTGCGCATAGCCTTTAGAGCCCTAACGAGAGACTCTGTGGCTCGGGAATGTTGGACTGCATTGGTCCTGCCCAGTCGCCGTTGCTGCTCTGGGAACGCTCCGAATCTGACATATTCGATGTATTCGTCTTCTATGCCAGCGAGTCGAACGTATCTCTGGTCCAGGGTGTCCTCTTCCTCTGCTGTCAACGAGACTTCCTCAAGAGGTGGAAGTGCCGCAATTTCCAGGTCCGTTTTCTTCTTGGCGGTCTCTTCCTTTTTCTTTTTGCTGCCATTCTTTCCCAGGAAGGAAAACCCGGTCTCAACGCCGTCAGGCATATGGAACTTCTTCGCGGGCTTCTTGAGATTTTTGGCCCTCCGCCGCGTCGGCTCGAGAGGCGCATTCTGGGTGTTCTCAATTGGGATTTCAACCACCCGTTTATCCACCACGGGATTAATGTCCTTTGGAACAATCCTGGGCGATTCCTCCTCCCGAAAATCAAACTCTTTGCCGCTTTCGATCTTGGCCTGCATCTTCTGGTAATTGTCTTTTGCTTGATAGTAGTCTGATTCCTCCTTTCCTTTCATCAGCAGCAGCACGATCTTTCCGGCCCTTTTCCGGCCCGTCCGCCCCATGCGCTGCAACATCCGAATTGGTGACTTGGAGCAGTCATAGCAAACGATGAGATCGACCTCGCCTATGTCTAAGCCTTCCTCGCCGATCGAAGTAGCGACGATCGTGTTGTATGTGCCCGCTTTGAACTTTTGGATCACGTCCATTTGGGTCTTTTGATCCATTCCCTCCGACCCCTTTGTGCCTGATTGCCCGACGAAAACGCGCGCTCGGATCAACGGTCCGTGTCTGTTAAGCACTCGCACAATCTCCTCGGCACTGTCCCGATAATGTGCAAACACCATGATCCTGGTGCTTGGTCGTTGTGTGACGTTGCCGCTGCCTTGTTGTCCTTCTCCGGCATCCATAAAATGGTTCAGGACCACAGTCTTCAGGTAGGCCAGCTTAGGATGCCCAACAAATTCCGGATCATTGACCCATATCCTCAACCGGTTCATCAGCTTCTGAAAGTTCTCGTTGTTCGCTACTTGTTTGGCGTACTTCCCTTTTCCTCCGGCAGCTTCGTCGGCGAAGGCCTTCATCTTGTGGTAAAAAGGTCCGATGCCGTGGTATTTCAGGAGCTCGAGGTTATGGGCCAAGCTCATAAGGACGGCAAAGATCCCTTGCATCTTCCATTTGAGACCGGCCGGTGCCCGTCGGCCGGCCTCCGAAAGTCTCCATTGGTCGCTGGCTTTCTTGAGACCATAGAGTGTGATCATACTAGGATCCTTGCCCCAGTAAGCGTTTTGAGAGTTCAGTTCTCCCATTAGAGGTCGAACGGCTGCGCAAAACAGCTCAAGAGACATTGCTATCTCATCCGAATTCTCGAAGATTTCCGTTTCAATGTCTCGAGAGTGCACGAATTCGCGAATGTCCAATGAATCTTCTGTCCTGATCTCGACTCTAGCGATTCCAAGACCGTTGATCACTTCTTGTACTGCCTCTACCGTGGCCCCTGGGGTTGCTGTCAACGCCAACACACGGAAACTCTGATTGAATCTTCTCAAGAACTTGACGACTTCGACGTAGGCATAATTTCCCGTCGCTTTGTGTGCCTCGTCCACCACGATGAGGACAATTTTCTTCGGGTCACACATGCCGTTCTTCAAGTCATTGATCAAGGTCTGGGGCGTCATGAAGAACACTCGCTTCTCTTGCCATTCCTCTGCTCGGATCGCCGGTGGAACTTCACCTGTTAGCATCGTGGTCTGTGATCGTGGAATACCCGCAATGTGGAAACACGCGTCAACTTGTTGAGACACGAGCGGTTTGGTCGGGGCGACAAAAACCATCTGCGCGTTTTCGGTCCACCTAAACCAGTTCAACATGATCGTGGCGGCGATGAACGTCTTCCCCAGGCCCGTAGGCAGGGCCACGAGAAGATTGTGGAAAAGTCCCTTGTGGACAATATTGTACTGATAATCCCGGATTTTGCCAAGGTTGGTCGGGTACACCCAGGTGCGCATGGCACTTCGACTGATTTGATGATGAGTAGGAGGCTCGTTTTTGTTAGCTAGGGGCCAGTTATGCACCCTATTTGCGCTCTGGGATTGTGTTCTGGACGGCTCCTGTTGAGTGGTATGAATGCCATGTAACGTGGTCTGGCGAAAAGACGAGGCTCGTTGTATAGGAGCACGTGGGACACGACCTCCTGCACTGCGAGAAGGGTTAACAATGGTTCCACCCTGTTCGGTGTCCTGTGGAGCGTTCTCCGCTGCCTCGATGGCCTCAAGTAATGCAATGTCGTCGTCATCCTCACCATTGTCGAAATCCTCGTCCAGAAAGGATGTTGTTACCGGTTGAATCGGGGCTTTATCATGGGCTTTCGGCTTTGATGGCGTTGCATTGATCCCTTGACGAGGTTTCACCCAGCGCGGACCTCTGATCCTTGAAGGACTGGACCATTGCTGAGTTAACTGAGTCACGAAGGTGTCCACAGGGCGGTCAGCACATAAAGGTACATGGATGCGATCTTCGTATTTTGACTTTTTGTTCGACCTTTCCCCTTCCTCGGCTTCAACGTCAACATCCTCAGCGGATGGATTAGGAGGCAAGTCATAATCTTCCTCGTCTGAGGAACTGGGCCGTCGGCCTTTCAGGCGCCGCCGCTTGCCGGACCGTGGATTGTCATCGGTCTGCGAACTGGGGACAAGAACGTGGTCGGAAGAGCTGGCATCAGCTTCATCATCGATGAAGTCCATTTCAAATACCTAGGTGGGGGGGCGTTTCGTTGTCGATGTCTATAGCCAATGGCCCGTACCATGGAGACATCTTGACGTTGAATCTGGCGCCTGCGAGAGGCGCGAAACGCGCTGCACGTGCTGACGCGTTGGAACGCGCCCAGACGCGAGATCATGTGACTGTCTGCTTCAATTAATTTGTGCTTTGCAACGCGTCAGCGGCAGCGTTTGTGTGACACGAGTCAGGCTGTTCTTTTTCCTCCTTCGCCCCATCGCTCTGTTCACTGCTAAATATAGCTCCCTGGGGCGCCCCAGAACTGACTGATCGTCTCTACAACATGACAGTCTCCCCATCAGCTTGACATACAATGTTGTACACAACATACAATGTAGACCAGGCCAATACGATTCGAGCGCTTCGTCCTTGGGTCCTGGAAATGCGTGCCCAGAGCTCTATGAACGAGGGTTTTTCTGGGACTGCAGCCTCGTAAAAGACATGGATAGGCGAGGTAATCACCGGCCGACCAGCCGCTCTACGATCTACCAATCTATCTCAACCGCCATACGGCCTTCCTGGACCAGTGCAGAAAAAGGCCTGCTCTCATGGCCATGATCATGCCTGCAGAAGTCGACTCGCTCGACGATTCAGGCGAAAAGCATGCATGGTGAGATGGCATAGGAAAAGTTTTGACAGACACAGCCTCTGGCCGAGAATCGAGACATGGGTCCCCGCCACAAACAATTTGGAGACGGACTGCGGCGCGAGCCTTGGAAGGCTCCATCGATGTCTCAGCAGATCGGGTCATGTCGAATCAGCGTCAACGGCGGTGTTGCCCTTCGAATTTCGACTAAAAGAAACTAACACGCGACCGGGGCTTTTCAACCTCACTTCCAGCAATTTCTGTTGACCATGCCATGTCGCCTCAGCTGGTTTGGAAGATTCCACTGGCTAGACCCCGGCCACAATCCAACAGGATCACTTCCTGTAAGCCACCCGAAACACAAGCCCTTGTTGAATATGCAATCCGGGGGACGACGTTCCAATGGTGTGCAAGACGTTGCATCCGGCCGAGAGCCGAAAACAGTCCATCGGCGCCTGATTAATTACAGTGCATATATTTATCTCTCCTATGTTCAGCATCTGATATTCTGGGTCTCATCCTTCTGGCAAGTGTTTTTTACAACTGTACAACGTACACCACCACATTCGTTCTTACGGTCAACGTGACCTGTTCACATTCGCTTCGTAACCAGCATTACCCAATCTTTTCTGCCCCTGCCGGCACAACTCTCGCTTTTTCTGTCGAAGTCCACGTCCTTACAACCGTGAACCTGTGATTTTACGTCAGAATGCGTTTCTTCGCTGCTCTTGCCTCCTTCGGCCTCGTTGCCCTGGTCGCCGCACAAGACGCGACTTATACCAACAGCAGCAGCACTGGTGTTGCTTCTGCTTCTTCCTCCCCAACGCTCACCGCACAGGCGAAATGCCTGCAGAAATGTGAGAAGGTTTCCTAAGAGACGTATGAGCAATCGAGACAGAGACTTACGTGAGCCAGGCAACGCCGCTGATATCTGCTGTCAAGCGGCCTGCGTCAACGTGCCATGTCCGAATGACGCCCAGGCCAACCGGACCACTGAATGTGCCGCCAAATGCCCGCAAGGCAACGGCACCCAATCTGAGACTGAGCAATACGCCAGTTGCCAGGCCTCCTGCGTCAGCTCCTACTTCTTGTCCACCGGCACTGCTGGCCCAACTGCCACCGGAAGCAGTAGTTCGGCAACTGCAACCTTCGGATCAACTGACGCCACTACCACGGGTGGCTCGAAGGGATCTTCGGCGTCAGGTGAGTTCAATACCGGGAATGTGCTTTGTTGCGGCGGCTAACCAGACAGCAGCGACTGGCGCATCTGCTTCTGCTTCGGCGACTGGCTCTTCTGGAAATGGCGCGGACGCCCTCCATGTTGGTAAGGTCGGCCTTGGATTCTTGGGCTTGGTCATTGCCGGCCTTGCTCTGTAAATCGAAGCAGTTTGCATGTTCGGAAAAGACGGGGACGGGTTAAGACGTTGGAAGATACATCATATAATGAATGGGGCACATTCCTCGCCACATCTTGATCCAGGTTAAACTTGAATGGTGGCTTCTCAAAAAGCAATTTCTTGCAATTGAAGGACACTATTGTGTCGGGGTGGTTTTGGTGGTCGATCCACCATCCTCGTCCATGTATTCTGCGCCTGATTGCATGAAGTTGAGATGTAAGAGGGTATGAATGTCCATAGCACCTGTTTTGCCTGCTTCAAGTTCTCTATACAAAAGTAATTATACCTTCATATGCAAGTCATGTCCTTCGAGTTGTTAACTGGGGCGATATGGTAAACACACCGTGTTCGGATCTGCGGCAGAAATATTAATAAAATGCATAAATATAATAAATGAATAATAATAAAATCCTCCGCAGATGAAATCATCGGGGCGCCTGTTGCGGGCCTCGGGGAAGCGTTGCATCAAACAACTCGAACGCCGAGTGTTCGACCTGCGCAGTGGTATCGCTTCACTGCCTCGAGGTCTCTTGGCTTATGCTTCATGCTTACATGTTTACCTTGGCTGCCCTTTGACCTCTCTCATCCCCGAGTGCACTCTGCCGTCCCTGATTCCTAATATACGTTCTCACTTCGACACAACCGGAAATCCCGGGTATGCGATGCATATTCCCTGAAGACTTACGGACGCCTTAAGAACATTGTATAACCATCATACCTGGAACGGGTCACCAGGACATACATCTGCTTCGCGTGCGAGTCCATCCCACTCGGCGCGAAATTCCAGGCCTGTTCAGCGACCGAACATCTATAAACACCACGAGCGCGTCTCGAGAAGTCGGCAACAGATTGGAAGGGAAGGAGGCGACCCATTAATGTGGTAAAGAGGAGGCGTCGAAGGAGAAGGAGATTGAGACAAGACTTGGATCAAGATGCCGGACATACAGCTACCCAGCTTCCGCTCCAGCCAACGGCATCGCAAGCCTTTGGTTGAATATTGCACGAATGAATGGCGCAAGGCTCCGATGTACGATCCGTCGCCCGTCCCAGGTTTTGCTGGCGATAAGTACTTAGAACGCCTCGAGGTCTTTGTCGACAGAGCGATTGCCGTCATCAGGGCTCCCAAGTTTCGAAGAATGATTGTGGCGCTGCTGGTCATGACGATAGCTTCGGTTTTTTTATGGAAAAAGATCCTTGTACCGTTCCTAAAGGAAGAGAAAGCAGCATGGTCAGCACTCAACGCGGCTGCACATCCCGCCGCCGGGGGTGTGTTTGGGGCCAATGCCCGACCTCAGTTCACCGATATGGTCCATTTGCAAGATCTCGATCCCAGTCTCGTACCCGGATCGCTCAATGAGAAAGGAGAGCTCTCCAAGAAGAAGAGACTGGTGTTCATCGGAGACATCCACGGTTGCCGGGAAGAGTTGGAGGAACTATTACAAAAAATCAAGTTTAATCCGACGACAGACCACCTGATTGCCACAGGGGACATTGTCAACAAAGGTCCGGACACGCCTGGTGTCATTGATCTCTTGCGAAGATACAACGCTTCTTGCGTCCGGGGAAACCACGAAGATCGTCTTCTTTTGGTGGCTGATGAGGTGCAGTCCACTTCGTTGACGTCAAAGGGAAAGTCTCCAAAGGATCCTGATCAGCCGCAGGGGACGAGTTCAAAGGCCCATGATGCGGAACTAAAGTTGGCACAAACGCTGACTGCCGACCAACTTGCCTGGCTCAAGTCTTGTCCTGTCATCCTTCGCGTCGGACGGCTAAAGGCATTTCCTGGTGACGCTGTGGTCGTACACGCCGGGCTCGTACCGGGTCTGCCTTTGGAAAACCAAGACCCAGCGTCGGTAATGAACATGCGCATCGTCGACCTCTCTACCCATGTGCCGTCCAAGAAGCACGAGCGCGAGGGAAGCGTGCCATGGTATAAGTTGTGGAATAAATACCAACAGTTATTGCCTACACAGCAACGACTTGCTCGACTCAAGAATGGCAGCAAGCCACAGTCGGATGAAACGCAAATGACTGTCATCTACGGCCACGACGCCAAAATGGGCTTGCGGATGCGAAAGTACTCCAAGGGACTGGACACGGGCTGTGCCGCAGGAGGCAAACTCACTGCATTAGTGGTGGACGACTCGGGGAGGCAAAGAGTCGTCCAGGTCAATTGCAAGGATCATCGCAAACGGCCACCGATGCATGTCGACGTGGACGATGTTCTTAAAAACGGCATGACCGGACCGCCGCTAGGTCAAGATGCGAAATAGACGTTCCTTTGGGGAGTGTCACCATTTTTATTGTTTTTGCAGAATGCATAGCAGGCTGCTCTGGAGCCTTGGGTCATAGTCAGTGGACATATGTTTGGCTAATAAGAGTTTTTGGAAATGGCAGTTGTCGAGTTATCGACTCACCCCCTTGCATACCTAGAGAGGAATACTGTGCTTGCTGACCTGGATCCGGATTGAAGGATGTTCAGATCAGGACGTCACCAGGGATAGAGTGCCGGGAGCAGACGGACCACCTTGAACTTGACAAGGGTGTTCTTCACCTCAGTGTCACTTACGGTTGGGTTTCGAGTCGTGTCCTGGTGCCGGTTGCTGCAGGGCAGGATATGGAATGTGAGCATGGTCCGTGTCACTCTTTGTTCACTTCGAAGTCACAGAATTTCCAAAACCGGGTGTATCATAATCCATGTTATTGGGTGTTCTCACGAGTCTCCGGTTGCAAATGTTTCTTTGTCGCTTCTTCACTTCGATATCACAATGGTTCTACTCGATGCAATACCCGCACGTGCTCACATGTAGCCGACTAACTCAGCAGGATGCTCACGAAATCCACATATCACCGAGACCGACGAGGCGGAGAGCACGATACCCAGCGATGGTAAGATCGACTGCACTTTGCAACATCACCGACAAGCCCGCCGATCACTCTACACATTTGTGTCCTCAGTTGGCTGCTAGAGCGGCCACAACATCGAAACCATGGACGACACCTCGAACAACCTGGATGTCGAGGGAGAAAACTTTACAGAAGACCCCGGCCCCCGTGAACTCGAGGAAGTCGCTGGCCTGGGTATCTTCATCTCGCCTCAGAGACGGGTGCGTCCACGAACAGCCAGCAGACGTGCCCAGTTCAGTCCACCTCTAAGTCCGCCTCGCAGGAGCCCTCCGATTACGAATCTTGTGGGAAGCATGTACGACACGATCCTTGCACAGGCGTCTCCGGTGCTCAAGGCGGCTGCAAACCAGGAAAGAAAATCAGAGCAGACCACGGACGAGGTAGAGCGGAGAGCACCACCTGGACAGGATCAAATTTCACCCGCGCTATCGCAAACGTCCGGTAATGTTGTGGACTATTTCGACCAGGGTGAGTTCCAGGAGCCTCAGGAGATGGCAGAGTCAAAGGAGTCTGAAAGAGCCCAAGGCCCTCTGGAAGCTCAGGATTTGCATGACGAAAATACCCCAGACCAATCGCAACCCGATAAAATCTTTTCCGAATTGGAACTGCGAGCCAGATACAGAGAGCTACTCGCGGAGAGAGACAAGTTGCGGCAACAGAATAAGGAGCTGGGCGAGCAGGAGGTGGACATGGCGAAGAAACATCAAAAAGAAAAGGACCTGCTCCACCAGCAAGTAATTGAAATGGAAGCCCTTTATCGCTCGCGAAGGCAGAAGGAAGCATACCTCGAAGAATCAGGGGAAATGCTTCACAAGAGCTACTGCGGCAATCAAGCGGACCTGGCAGAGATGACACGCAAATATTCAGAGCTATCTCGGACAAAGGCTGCATTGGCGAAGGAGTTGTCCGACATGAAGGAAGCAAAATCCAAACTTCTGGAAGCATGTCAAGCCAAAGACGAGGAGATGGCCAAACTCAACAGGATGGTCGAAGAGGTCACGACGTGTAGTCTACAATTTGAGACTATGTCCCAGGTCAGTGAGCAGAAATGCGAGGAGATTCGCCAGCGCGTCAAGGCCTGTCACGACTGGGTCAAGAATGTCCACCAAGAAGAAGTTCAAAGAGATCAGGACCAAGTCCGATTCTGCGACACTCGAATGAATGCGCTGTTGCCCAAGAAGCGACGAGTTCGTCACTCTGCAGCATCGGCGGCAGCGCGTTACCAGACTCTGGAGGCATTCCTCAACTCACCGGGCAGCAGCGTCGCCTCTCCGTTGGAAAACCTAGTCAATTCTCCTAAGAATGCCACTGTCAGGCACACGCCGCCCGTGGACAGAGACTCGATCGGGTCTAATCGTTCAAGCCTGCAGTTTTCCCTGCACAACTCTCCTGATAACATTCTACAGCGGACCTCGTCAATACCATCAGGCTCCGCGGGAAGCACTCCGGACTGGTTCCGCGATGCCCTTCTTGGCCTGCAATCGGCGGCAGCCAGCCCTGAACTGCTAAACTTGGCTGTAGTGGAGCATGAAAACGCTTCTCCAGGTCACTCTCGCATGTCTCTCGACGTGGCGGATTTAAAGAGGCTCATAAACGCGTCAGGACTACAGTCCTCGGGTCCTCAAACCAGCCCAGACCATATTCTGCGCATGTTGGACAGCCCAAGTCGTCCTGAACCCTTGAGACTGCAGACTAGCAGCGACCAAACTGAAGATGAGGACAAGGTAGAGGCAGGTGAGCCGATCTCGGTTACAGACGACGACGAGTCGAATATATCCATGGAAACAACTGAAACTGAAGACGGCACCGACTATGTCACTTCAACCAGTCCTCAGTGCATGCTCGTGCAATCAGAAACAGGACAATCTGATAATGTGCCTCTGGATAGGAGCGAGGCAAGGTCCATGAATTCTGAACGGCATTCCACGGGCACAGACAAGCCCCCTAGCTCAACTGATGCTGATCCGGAATTCAAAGAGGACGGCGTGGAAGTGGCTTCAGAGGGCCAGCGGTTGCCGGAAGCTGGGAATGCCTGTGCGGACGAGTCGACATCGAAAGCCTCCATCAATCTACCTCAAAGCCCTGGCAAACCTACTCGGCGAGTCAATGTGCTTCAGATGACAGGCATTGGCAGTGTCGGAATCACAGCATCGAGCGACCCGCTGCCTGAATCCAGCAATGTAGCGGGTGATCGGTCATCTGGAGCCAACATCAGCGGAGTCATTACTCCACAGAAAACTTCAGTCAAAGACATCGTCAATCAGTTCCAAGGGCTTTCCCAAATCGACCCGTCACCTAGGAGGGAGGGCTTTGGCTTGAGCTCTGTTCGTGCAGCACTGCAGTCTCCTAGCAACAATCCGAATTCGGATAAAACCATGACATTTCCGTTGGTTGAAGACGTTTCTTCTGGGACACAACCTGGCACGCATAGTCTCCCACTTGAGAATGCCTTGAAGGGGGCCAGAGACCAGAGGCGGACCAGCATGAGCGAAAAGGCTCGCGTGTCGGCGAAGAAGCTCGCTCCCATCAAAACAAAACCGACAGCGCTTCCGGCTTCAACTTCTAGCCCGACGAGAAGTTCACCACTTCGACAATCCATTGAACCTGTGGAAGAAACGATTGCCGAAGAAATCATGTCTCCAATCTCGCCTTCCGTGTACAAGGACAAGCTTGCAGAAACTGCAGCCACAAGCAGTGCCATACAGTACCCCGAAACTCCTGGGCTTCGCAGACGGTCACCCATGTCTCCGCAACAACCGCCGCTCACGGCAGTCCCAGTCCTGTCCCAGGATGACCGGCGTGAAGGGGCGCACACTGGCGCCAAATCGAGGTCACCATCGCCCGCAGGCACAGACAGTACATGCTTCAGTAGGTCCCCTGGAATGAGCCAGAGTTCTCCTGGAACGACGCATAGTTCCCCCGCAATGAGTCAGAGTTCTCCTGGAACGACACAGAGCTCCCCTGGCACGACCCTCGTGGGCTCAGAGTATTCCGGTGGTTCTAAGAGCCGTGAGGTCAGCTTCTCACCGGAAACCCAATGGGACAGAAGGAGTACAAGAAGCAGATCGTCAAGTTCCTCTAGGCTGGCTGAGAATCCACCGCCATCGTCTGTTGGTAGTCCTAGCGAACGCCATTCCCAAGTGGTAAAAACTCCTGTTACAGCCACGAGAGCCACCATGTTCGAACCTCGACAACCAGTGACAGACATCTTTATCGTCATTGATGATAAATCTGAAAGCACGCCGGACCTTTACGACAGTATCTCTAAAGGCGCTCTCAAAACTTTGTCCTCTGAGTCTGCACCTGCAGGTCCGATGTCTAAAGGGTCAATACCCAACAGTCGACTCAGAAAGGGCTCTGTTTCTGGAACCACGATCAAGGCCGCCACCGCACCAGTCGTTTCAGCGGCCAAGTCTTTCGCAAATACACTTGGCTCCCTCGGCCGCAAGGCTTTAGGCAGGGTTCCAGCTGAAGACGAGACCGACTCAGAAGCCGAAGCCGGCTACGAAACGGTATTTACTCCGTTCTTGGGAGCAGGATGGAAAGCAGAGAGTTCTCCAGCTACCACAGACCAGGGAGCCACTTCTGGACCTACAGGTGGAAACGAAGCAGAAGCAGAAGCAGAAACACAAGCAGATCCTGATCCGAAGTTGGAGATCGCGGAAAGTGACTCTGACTCTGACGATGACGATGATGAAGATGAAGATGACGATGAAGGAGGAGTGACCATCAGTCAAGCAGAATCCTCGACTCCTCGATGGCAAAGCAGTCCCTCGTCTACCCCAAGGTCCGGGCCACCAAGTCCCTCCTTCTGGTCTGGCCTCGGAGACCAAGGACCCCGACTTATCTTCGTCTCTATCGTCGTGGCGTACGTCGCTTTGGCGCTGTTCATCCTTATACGGGGTCCTCTGTTCTCGGCTCTGTATCTCGACGGGGATAAGATGACATCTAGGGGTTTCTTGCACCGTTCTCAGCAAGTCATCAACCCTTCCCGAACCGATTCCACCGGTCCCGTCGAGTCGTGGCCTGAAAGAGGCGTTCCTGGTCCGATGGATGTGGGCATCGGTATTGATATTGATATTGGCATTGACGACGACACGACATTCCCGTCCAGTGCTCCAAAGATACCAGACACGCAGGTGCCCATCGTGGAGGTGGATGGTGTTTCAATGGTTTCAACCTCCAGCCCAAGTTCCAGTTCAACTGCCATAAACTCAGTCATCGAACCCGAAGTTCATGTCACCTGCGGTCCTAGCGCCATGCCATGCCAGGGTGCAGCTGATCATCCGGAACCTGAATCCACGGCTCCAACATACGAAGAAACGAGGCCGCTGCCGCCAATGACCGGACAAACCGATGCTGCTGGATCGTCGATAAGAACCACCTTCAATACTCCTCTCACTGCCACTGACTCTCGCTCTCGCTCTGGCCCAAGACCAGCCTGTGACTCTGAGACCGGCGGCGCTGCGGCAACAAGACGGGGTACCAAGACCGGGACCGCGACCGCGACTCCTGGAAGCCGAATTGCCCAAACGAATTCCTTATCGCCGCACAGTCTTGCCATCCGCTCCATCATCAACAGGGCCATTAATCTTGTCTCTCAAGCCAAAGGCAGAGCTGTAGATTACAGATTTGTGTTTGGACGAAATCACCCACTTATCCAAATTGTCGAAGAGAAGCAGCAGAAACAGCAGGGCATTCCTCATCGTCTGGCTTCTGCAACCATCACAACCACAACTCGATCCAGCAGTCGGGACATAATGACCGAGACCCAGACCCAGAGCCAGGAGAATCAGAGTCGAGTTTGGAGTCAAACCCAAATGGAAATTACTCACGACAGACACCACACCGACACCGACGCCAGCACAAATGACTCTGAGGCGGACACTGATGTCGTCTCTGAGACAAGTACTTACCCGGCTACCGATCCAGTCTTGGTAAAGACGAAGTCGACTCCATTGGCTCCGCCCAAGCCGCCGCCGACGTTGCGGAGATCTACCATGAAAACTGGAACTGGTCCCACATACTGGGGCTTCGTGCCGAGTATTCAGCGCAGAATTGATATTGCTAGGTTCGATTTCGGGATTGGAATTTGAATTTGAAAGAGTGGAGTGCTAGAGGAGATGTATCCTTGAGGGACACGGTTGGAAGTGGAGCAGTGGTGTTGGAAAGAGGTCCAATTTGAACTCGTAGGGTACACTGGCACGGTACACTGTGAGCAACTGCACAGGTACTGCTGGTGGTTAGTTAGTTAGGTCGTTGGTTCTGCCTTAGGTACCAATACTAGTACTTGGGTAACCTACTCCTAAAAATCATGGTGGTGGTGTGGGTGGTTATAATACTGTCGTACATTATAGGTAGGGGGCAAATAAACAATGAATACCTACCTACCTACCTAGTTAACAAGAATGTGGTTAAAATTTGCCGGGCAAGTAAGTACTAATAGTACTAAAAGCACCACCTCATGCTGGAAGAGAGGCAAAGGAAATTCTATGTAGAATCCTGTTAAATGGTGGGATCGGATCGAATTGCATCGAGTCTGCCTTGGATTGATTGGATTGGATCTCATTCTCTCAACGCCATCCTGAGAAGGCTACACGTAACATGGAAATACAATGAACAGCAGTAACAGACCCTTCTGTTCTCCTCAACTTGGAAAGAGACGAGACGTGCTGATAATCATAAAAAGACTCCATCCGAGCGGAGTTCTAGGGATTTATTCGCTAAATTGATAATGTCGAGCTGACGGGCTGCAAGTCCAACAGGTCCAGGGTGTTCCTTATCACCTCTTCGATCTTTTTGTCTTGTCCCATGTTCCTGTCACTAGCCTACCCCTTAACTTGTTGCAATCGTTTTTAAAATACTTTCTTTTCTTCTGTTTCAATGCTTCTGATCCGGCGAGTCGACTGCCGTATCGCCATTATTGTGCTCCACATCCTCGTATTGTGGTGGAGGAGGCAACTCGCCATCAATCAACAAGGCATCCTTCTCGTCCTCGTCAACGACAATCTCGACAACTTGCACGTCTGAGGCGTGACCACGGCGGCCGTTGCGGTGGAATTTGATCCAGAGATACGAAATCAGCTGGCCCAGAAGCATACCGATGGCACTCGCGGTGAGACCGCCAATGACGCCGAGAAGGGCAGGGATGACGAAGAACCGTAGAGTCTGGTGTAGCGCATGGCCGAAGCGGTGCATGTCATGGTGTCCTCCCATGGTGTTGTGGTGGCCATGTCCATGGTGGTGCATGCCTTGTGCTCCCATCTTTCTTCCCTTGCACCCTTTGCCGCCGTGGACCCAACCTTTGGTGGCGTGAGCACCTGCTTTGGCAGCCTCTTTGAGGGATTGAAGTCGAGCGGCAATGATGGCTCTCAACCGACATAGAGACCATTTGGAAGATGTGTTATCGCAAGTGGTTGCGCCCGGTGTCTCTTGGAAGGGAATGTTGGCGATACGGGCAATTGAGGTGCCCTTATCAGTTTGCAAAAGATCGATGGCTAGCTCGTCCACTTTGACTGGGATTCCTTGTAGGCCAAGGATGGTGAGTCTGGTAGGATGGATGATGATTTTGTCTGATTCGTCGTCGGACGTGATGGCGGGCAGTCTCTCGTACGCAAAGTCAAGTAGGATCGGCTCGGTCTGTTCTCCATCTTCGACTCTGATCTGGGGCGCTGCGAGAGGCACAAACGGAGTGGCAGTGGCTCCTTTCTTGGGGACGATGGAGACGCCATTGACTGTTAGGCTGTTGTCTGAATCGACGTTGAACTCGAGATGCTAGACATCGTCAGTACTGCGATTCTATCCAGCCATGATCGGCACGTGCTGGTGCTTACTATCTTGTTTTCAACGCCATATTGCAGTTCACTCGTGTCCTCGACGCCGAAGAATGGACATCCGGGACAGTCGAGGTCGACGGTCCGGCCTGTCTTTGCGAAGAAGGCGGAGGCAATCTCGTTTCTGATGTCTTCCCCAGTCTTGGTAACTTCGAAAGGCACGAGGAACGCAGAGGCCTTCAAAGCCAAAACACTGGCGAGTACTGGTGATCGTAAATGCATGATGAGGCGTGTTTTTGGTGATGTGGTGATGGATAACGGAGGGGACGGATGGAGGAGAAGAGGATGGAAGGGAGGTAGGATGTAGGTATGTATGTGCACAGTACAACTTGTGCCAGTGCCAGTGCCAGTTGTATGACAAGACAGGCTGCGCTGGGGTCAAGTTGCGGGTTGCTGAGGAATGGAATGGTCTCGTGCATCGGCTGGTTCGGATGCGGAAACATTACGGGACTCTGAGGCACGAGTACAAACTGTACAAAAACATAAAAATAACTGACAAATGCCGCACTAGCGGATGATTGTCATGGGCTCAGGACCACTCAGCGTGCCTGGTGGCTGAATTGTGCAGCCGCTGCCGGCGAGTTAGTACCTGGGCACAAGGCACTATGACGCTTTCCCGGGCCACTAAGCTGTTTCCGTCGCCGCCTTGTGTCAGGGTACCACTAGTACAATAATGTACCGTGCTACTAGTAGCAGAAGCAGGAGTCCTCAACCGCTCACGTGATGGCTTGTCTCAGCCTCAGCCTCAGCCTCAGAGCCTTGTGAAGATGTCTAAAGTGTAAGAGGTGTGTCTGGGGTTACAAAGGAGTATCGAGTGCCTGGATAGTCTTCAAACATATGATAATAGGGAGTACCTGGGTTAGACGATGCATAGACAAGATTGTAGTGGTAGGTAGGGTTGGCATAGGCTTCCTGGCTAACGCGCTACTCCCTAGTATAAGGCCATGTGTTCATCCCAGGCCAGTGCATCGGTTCTGTTGCCCCTACGATGTCAACCATCATCTACTCTTCTTGCTTGCCCCGTCTGTGCCAGTCTCTCGCCTCGCTTTTCGCCTTGATTCCCATCGACCCCAACCAGCATCCTGAAGATCTTCTGTCGTGATGAGATCCCTAAATCTGAGTTTGCGGGACAGCCAGGTGTCCAGTGCCCAATCCAACCACCCCGATTGACGCAAATACGAGGTAAAGGAAAACCAGAACAGGGCAAACATGGCTCCAGCGCCCGCCCCTACACCGACCTGCATTGGTGTGTGGTAGTTCAGATACACCCGACTGGCGGCCACAGCTCCGGTACCCAGGCAGGCCACAAGAGAAAGAAGTAGTCGTTCCGAGAATGTCGACGGCGAATAACTCGTCGACCGAGCGGGTACGTGCCGAATGAGCAAGAACAAAGTAAGTGAGACCGAAAAGAATGCCACAAATTGTGAGTGGGATGATGGCATGCCATACCCCTTTCCATGCATTTCTACCCAGGAGTCAGTGCTGGCATACTTTATATAGAACATATTAGGCCATACGGTGTGGTCTTTCCTCGCGGATCAAACGCTTCAAAGCGAAGTTGAGAGCTTCACAGGCCATCTGACCCGTAAACATGAGAAGGATCTCAACCTCCCGTGTGGCCCATATCAGCGTCACATAGGCCACACAGAGACCCTGTGGAACTAGTGCTAGCCATGCAGACAGGTACGATACCGGGTCATTGGGATTCTGCAAGGTCAGTAACCTGATCTAGATAGTATATCCGAGTGGAAGGGGCGCATACATAGCGAACATGTGTCAAAGACAGCGATGCAAGAGCAGGATCATCGACCTGGTCCATGCTCGAGCTCTAGAATAGCAAACGTGTTTTAGCCGGTACTCCTAGTAGAAGTCCTCCCAATCAGCTGTATCAGGGACAAATGCAGGGACATGCCCGGGTATAGATGAAGAGGACACAATAATTAACAATAACTCCAGTAGGAGAGTTGAAGAACACCAAGATGGAGATCATAACAAGTGTTTCAACTTAGTGAAATGTACTAGTGCCAGCGGTTGACTAATTTGTGACTAATGCGCGTCTGGCCACGACTTTTGAGTTCGAGTTCTTCAAGTTCAACCCCGGATTAACTGGATTAACTGGACGTTTCCGATTGGCCGGCTCGCAATTGATTGGCTGATGCGTCACGCTGCGGTCCCTGACTCAACGCCGCCTCCAGCCAGTGACTGCGCTGAACTGCCTCTGACTTGAGTGTACACTGGACTTCGGTACTCTATGCTTTCAAAAAGTTTCTCAAGTTAATATTTTTTCCTCACTTCTTTCTCCAGAAGTTCATCTTCTTCTCGCATAGCTGAGCCTCTCCATCCGGTGTCCTCTCTCCTGTGAACTCACGACCTTCTATCCTGCCGGACCCCTGCCACCTACCGCCACCATTCAATACCCACAGTATGCAAGATGACCCGGGTACAGAAGACGACGAAAGAACCATCGAACTCTCCTCCATTGCAGCCATCTATCCAGAACTGGTCGTCGATGCCCAAGATCCATACACAGCGACCCTCGAACTATCGGTGACACCCATCAAACCTTTGCGAATCGTCTTTGCGCCGGCAGCAGATGGTGCGCCACCCGCACCTCTCACGCCACCAACATCTACCGAACAAGATGAGGATGACCTAGTGGACAAGCCACAGTTGGAAGGGCTTACTCAGCTCGATACTCATGAATTGTCTCATCTTCCGCCCGTCTCTCTTCGAATCACCTTACCTGAGGGATATCCTACCACCAAACCTCCAGTCATATCAGTCTCCGTGACGCCTCCTTGGCTGCCGCCTTCTGTCCTCAACAAGTTGAAGGAAGATAGCGCCGCCCTCTGGGAGGAACTGGGAAAAGACCAGGTAGTCTACACATACATAGACCATGTCCAGCAAGAGGCGGAGAATGCTTTTGGTCTGGCGGGAAACCCCAATGTTCAGTTGCCCGGCGACTTGAAATTGGCCCTGCTCGATTTTGACCTGAAGACAAAGAGGGAAATCTTCGAGAAGGAGACCTTTGATTGCGGCATCTGCCTCGAGCCGAAAAAGGGCATCAACTGCCATCGACTCTTACTGTGCGGCCACGTGTTTTGTGTTACTTGTCTACAGGACTTTTACAAGAGCTGCATTACGGAAGGGGATGTTGACAACGTCAAATGTTTATCGCCGAACTGCGGGAAGGAACAAGCTGCAGAAACTGGACCGAACGGTCGGCCATTGAAGAGACGGAAACAAGATCGAACGCTCAATCCGAGCGAACTTCTCCAGGTTCCCATCGAACAAGAGCTGGTACAGAGATATGTGCGCTTGAAGAGGAAGAAGAGGCTCGAGGCCGACAAGAACACCATCTACTGTCCACGTCAATGGTGTCAAGGAGCCGCGCGATCCAAGAAACACCCGAAACCTGACAACCCTATGGGCGACGTCATCGAAGAGAGTTCCGAGTCGGATGAGGAGGAAGAATCGCAATTGCAACAGCCAAAAAAGAAGAAATCTGTCGACCCAGAGTCTCTACCCATGTCGGAACGTCTAGCCGTCTGTGAGGACTGTGATTTTGCCTTCTGTTGTGTCTGTCGTAAAGGATGGCACGGCGAACTAGCCCGATGCAGTCCGCGGCGACAGCAGGAACTTAACGAAGAAGAAGCTGCTTCTCTAGCCTACCTGCAGAGATACTCTACCGGGTGCCCGACCTGCAATGCTCCATGCCAAAAGACCATGGGCTGCAACCACATGATTTGCTTCAAGTGCAAAACCCATTTCTGCTACCTGTGTTCATCGTACCTCATGCCGGACAACCCATACAGTCATTTCAACGATCCCAAAGGTCAATGTTACATGCGGCTGTGGGTTCTTGAGGCGGGCGACGGGGAAAATGTGGACTTTGATCGACCTCGTGAAATCGAGATTCCTCCAGACTCGGACGACGACGATGGACATTTATCGGATGCTGATTTGGACTCGGATGATGAAGAAGACCACCTTTTTGCACAGATTCAGCCTGTCATCCTTCGCGAGGCCGATGACGAGGACGACGACACAGAAGACGAAGAGCCTGCTCCAGACCAGCGGCGAAACAGAGACGGGAATGGAAATGGAAACAGAAACATGCATATTGAAATCGTCAACTTTGCCGCCCGACCCGGCGATGCCGGTCAGAATCCTCGTCGCATAGCCCTTCCTGAGCGGCCTCGAGTTCCGGTTGTCGAACCTGCGCCTGCGCCGAATCCACCTCGGCAGGGGCAAGGTCCAGGTCGCCGAGGAGGCGGCGGCGGCGGCGGCGGCCAACAAGGCAATCGGCAACGCGCCATGAATAACGAACCTGCACGAGCTATGCGAGGAGGAGGCGGAGGCGGACCTCAGCAGCGCAACAATAATGCTCCTCCGCAGCAGCGTCAGGCTCAGCCTCGACCTCAGGTTTACGCACGCCATCCAGCAGCACCTGATAATGTCGCCCGGCGTGGTGGTCGTGTAGGTGCTGCTGCCGTGCTGCCACAAGTGAATGGAAACGGCAATCACATTCATAACGGCAGAGGAGCACCGGCACCTCGAGGCCCTCAACCTCGACCAGTCGCTGCTGCACCACGTCAAGGTCAAGGCAATCATAACAATCGCCAGGCCCGGGCCCAGGGCGCGCAGCCCGCGCAGCCAGCGGCAGCAGCTAATCAAGCAGAAGCACGACGGGTAGTCGGCCTAGAGAGATTTCTACAGCTCGCCATGGCGGACCAGGAAGACGAATGGGACAGTGATGAATTGGACGAAGACGACAATCTGGATCTAGTCCTCATCCACGAAGAGATGCGACGACAACAACGACAACGTAGAGGTCCATTGGCCGGCTAGTGAATGGGTTGGCTATTCTGTTTCGCTTCGTTTAGAATTTTTTTTTTTTTACGGAAAGGGAATTCACTTGATCCCCCCTTAATGAGAAGCCAAAGCCATAGGCGAGACTAGACGAGACGGGCTTTGCAAAGCTTCTGTAGGAAATGATGTACATGAATGAGTATCACGATTCAGCTGTGAGATAATGAAAGAGCAAGAGATTCAGAATAATAAACAGCATGAATACCAAGGTAGACAGAGATGTCTTGATTAAATCGTCGCTCGAAGTGTGGTTGTATGTTGTAGACTCGCCCTCGCCCTCGCCCCAGATGTTCTTGATGTGATGTATGGGTGTCATGCGGGTTTTATTCTGCATTTCTTTCTCATTGTCGACTAGCATTGAACATGAACATGCCTTTTTCCGAAAAGTTTCCATGTTCCAAGACGTTCTTGCTTGCTTGCTTGCTGAGACTTGTCCAGGAAGTTGTGACGAGAGAGGTTCTTCCAGCGATGCGGAAAGTGTCCTCAGCTCAGGATGCCTGAACGGTCATAACGAAGGGAGGCTCTTCCATGCAGGAACGTGTGGACAGCTCTAGGGCTCGGTAGGTGCGTTGGCTGATTATCGTACCCTTCACAGGCTCTCAATCAGTTCTCATCTTGCAGTCTGGCGCAGGTGCACGCGGCGAGTCTACTACTTAATCCTCACTGGCATGAGATATGTGGATTGTCGCAATGGGCAGTGGCAGACGTGTCCAAATTCCATGTTTCCCAAATCTTTCTATTTTAGCAGGGCTGAGCTGGACCGATGGAAGTACATAGCTTGACTCGAATGTTGCGATGGCTTCAGGGAAGGATGAGAGCCCCCATCGTTCCTGACGAGGTCTGCTTGGCGGCTCTTAAGTAGGACGTGTACTGAGGTAGTCAGTACAAAATGAAACACTCTATTTCATAATGTTTTGAGTGAGAGAATTGCTCGACAATTTCGCGGACGTCTTTCAGGCAACGTGCACAAAGGCTTTCAATCAGCGCTCGATGCATAGTGGGTTCAAGCTGGGTGTGGGGAAGACTCTGGAGCAGAGTCTTCCAGAGTTGTTGCTACAAGCTTGCACGGCAGTTTGGTCAAGGCTGTCATATTGGATATGACAGAATGAAAAGATAACACACCCTGCCGGTGTGTGTACATGTCAAAAATCTCTTTTGATGTTGCTGCAAGAAGCCGAGGGTGGGTGTCGAGAAATATTTCTCGAAAGGGGGCCCCAGATTGCCACAGCAGAGAAAGCGTCCCACGAACGGCAGAGAAAGTTGTCGCTCCATGGTCGACTGGGCGAGTATTGGGAACACGTCGAAGCCATCTCGAGACTGAGAGGAGAAAGACCCTGCCGGAATGCTGTTCAGCAGTGGGCTGCGTCTGTGACTGTGTTTGTGTTTGTGTGCCAGTGTCCGTGTCATGCCTTACACCCTCGCCATCCCAATGAGGCACTGCATACCTCCCGGGGTCAACGTAGATAGCAAGCAGGCCAAGGGAGGCTCACGGAGTTCTGGACCAAGAAAACATGCGCCATGAGTATAAGGAAACTTGTGTCAGGGTCCAGCCCATTTAGAAACTGGAGGAGGGGGTTGGCAGGGGGCTATGGCAAAATGCAAAGCGGTAAAACCACGCGCAAGGTATACACACGGGGCCCCCAGACTGCACTACTTCCCCCTCCTCAGCGGCCGCATACATCCCTTAGCATGAGCTGTCCGAATGTGTTGTAAGCACTGGACACACAAGAAGGCCTGCAAGGAGAAGGGCCCCAGCCAACAGCTCGAATGTCGCGATTTCTGCGGGAGGTGTGCTGTTGCTGTCCGGTTCTGGACGGGGTTCTGCATACACCGCCCCCCATCCCCGAAAGATGATGACGACTCACCTCTCTGGTGCCAGTCCGAAGTCGCTCTTTTCAGTCATCAAAATATTTCAACGAATGACCATCAGTCCGCGGAGCTCAGAACAAGTAGCACCAAACAATCTGTGCAATTCCTTCCTGCATAAGCAAGCACGTATTGGGGGAAAAGAAAACAACGCCTTTTCAGCAAAGTTAAACTCACTTTACGCGGGTAATGGCAGCAGATTGATCCGAGAAGATCTCGCCTCTGCAATGATTGATCCCAGATCGATTTCGAGGACAAACGTGGGAGGGCGGCTCTCCAGAGGAGGCCCACGGGATCGAAGGGTCAGACGAGCCTAGCCGAAGCCAGGTTTGGTTCGGTGGATGCACAAACGCCAATGAAAGCAAATCTGCAAGACCCAGGCCACTTACAACGTCTTGCTGGGGCTAGACTGGGAGTACAAGACGCGCTACCTAAGCAGCAGGGGAGGCGTCGTCTGAAGCCGTGAGACATCTGATTCTTTTTGGGTTCAGTGCAGACCATCGTATTCAGTGAGACGGCTCAAGTTCCGATTTGCGCAGTTGTTAGTAGTGGGGTATTCTGCCACAAGGGAAACGGCTGAGGTGCTCTCGGTAATCTTTGTCGTTTGCTTCGCGACCTGCATGGCGAATAGGTACGATAGCCAGATTACCGAAGGGTGAGGGGCGAGTATCAGGTTGAGACCATAAATCGTAGAGCTGTCGAGCGGCAGATCTGGGAAGGATGGAATTCGGTCTTTGGAGGTCCGGACAAAGAAGGCCCGTGGGCATCTACCGAAGCGAGCCTATGTATCTGTGGCGAGATGGCGCTGAACTGATTATAATCGACCAGCAATGATTGCTGAGTTCACAAACAAGAAACACAGCCAGCCAGCTGTGTGACATGCTGGGGCCCTGTTCCGGCATACGCTTTTCTGAAGTCCCAGATGGTCCTCATCCATGCCACATGCATTGATGGTCGAACGCGCATCGCCGCTTATCAGGGAGGGTGGCATCTTCGGTAAAGAAAACGCTGGGATTAGTAGACCCGACATGTAAGCTGATAGGTCATTAGACAGTTTGTTTGGGAGTCCTCAATTGAAAACAAGGATGCAGGCCGTTCAGCCTGAACCTCCGCCAGCATGAGCTTCCAGGGTTTCCCTCAGGCATAAGGCGTGTCTATTGCGAATAAATGTGTCTGTCATTGCTGGTTGAACCAGAATGGACGTGCTGAGCAAACATGAAATGGCCAGGCATTGGCTGGACTGACCTAGACCCGAGCTCGAGAGACAGCTAGCCGGGATACACCCGCAGAAGAAATCGTCAAGGGGTAAACCCTCTCCTATGCAACATCTCTTTGGTGGTTCATAGCACGTTTTCGGTGGACAGCCGGCAGCTTTTTCGGTAGGGTTAGAGAGAGCCTCAATCCAGCGCATCTTGCAGTGCTGTTTGGAACGATGGCGCCGATAGGGAGTATATTTGAGCACGACAACTCGAAGTGACCTGCAGAAGGCCTGGGACGACAGCCGTGTGGCTTACTGCAGATCAGTCCGTAAGCGACTTCAGATTCGAAAGGTTCAGGCGCTGTGTTCAGGAGGCTGCGGTCGGACAGGGAGAGTCGAACATGGAGCAGATACAAGCCAGCTTAGGTACTGCTCCCAGGTACTGCACGCTGAACACTTTGCAATCGCTGGGCTGCGGCTGCCACTGCCAATAATGCGCTGTTTGGCTCGTGCACGTGATGTTCACGCATCATCGTTTCGCCGAACCCGGGCGTGGTATCCGACTTGGGTCTGCTCAGCCTTTTCGAGCTTCATCCAACGACCAACTCAGCTTGTCATGCCTGCTCTGCCTGTGGCGTGAGCTCCCCCAACAAGCAAACAAACAAACAAACAACCGTATATGCACCCACAGCTGGAGTTGGGCTGTTTGCTCCCCTTGTAGAGCTCATATTCCTGGCTTGATTGCTTTGAGTCCTCAGACTGTTTCTGGCCTCTCTTGTGGGCTGGCTGAAGTCCGACTACCGCGAAATCTATTCCCTTGTATCCCTGAGGTCCGGATGTTACACGAACCGGACTGATCCCTGCACCTAAGACAACGTGGAGAGGCGCAAACCGGGATGAGTGCACTTGCACGAGCGCCTTGTTTGAGACACTGGGCAGGTGAGTCTTCAAGCTCGTTACTGACGACCAGATGGCCATTTGGGATTGGAGTCTCCCTTTGGTGCGCATGATGCTGCGAAAGCCCCAGCCCTGTTAACTCGGTATCTCAGACACGCCGAATCACCGCAGGAAGGAGCGGTCAGTAGTCGAGTTCTGCAGATTTCTGATGTTGCTCGGGATCCTTTTGATCAGGCTTCCAGGCCGGGCCCCAGATCCGAAAGTGTACCTAGAGCCAGCAGCTAGGCATCCTGGATCTTCAGATTGGCGAAAATCGACCACCAAGCCACATTCGTCTTCCATGTCTTCATGCTTGCCTTGTTCATTCAGCTGCACCTACGTCAGGTAGCAATGCCAGGATGGCGTGCAGACGGCAGGCCCATTGCGGGAGGGGCAAGGCGCGCGACAACGGGGCGATCCGTGTCCGGCTCCAGCATCAACAAGGGCCGAGGATCGAAGGGGGCAGTCAAGCTCAAGGCCGCCTTGCCAGCGCCCTCGGGCATCCTTGCGAAAGCCTCGATTGACCCAGCATTGCCACCACCGTGGACGTCAGCGCCTCGCCTCTGCCCGTTGAAGGCCACTTTGCATATCCTGCATCTTTTGCTCTGTCTTTGCTTTGAGGAGCCACCCCCGGCCCTTTGCTGTCCCCACTGCTGAATCTCTGGCCTTTGTCTGACTATTTGCCAATCTCTTATCGCATCTCCACACAAACTAGACGACGGGCTTCACATTCCAGTCACGCAGTACTCGACTGCAGGGGTCTCTCCCTCCATCCTTCCAACCTTCGAACGCTGCTGCGAATATCAAGCACACATCTTGCCGTAGTCAAACTCTCAACATTCTATTCCACCTTTCTACTTTATACTCGAGCACATAACGAACACTAGCCGATCGTTTTGTTCACGGATCCCATATTCTGCCTTGCCCTGAAACCCAATTCTTACCTCTCCTGGTCAGTCTTTTGATACTTTGTTTCTCGTGGTCGCTGCGATCACTCCTAGTCGACGAATGACCAGTATCTTGCAGCAAGCACGGCGTACATCAACCGCAGTGGCCTTCGAACTTGTCATATTGCTTCCATTTTGACAGCCGTGACAGCTTCAAGTCTTCAAAGCTGTGTCTGTTTCCTTCGCAAAGTTTGCATTTGACTGGCGTTTGGCTGAGTTGTTGCACTTCCAAGAATGACCGACTATGCGCCACGAAGCAGTCAAGATTACAATACTTTCTTTCCCAACCCGCACGTTGCTGTGTCGCCCTATTCAAATGGCAACGGTATCAACTACCTCTATGGAAACGGTCAAGTTCAGTATCAGGCCGTAAGCGCCCCGTGTCAAGCCTATGCGACAACCTTCCCATCGAGTCAAGGCACGCTCTCTACCCCCGTCTATATGCCCAACGGCTCTGGACACCACGTTCAATATCCCGTCACAAATAACAGAGTTCCCACTCTGCCATCTCAATCTCGGGCCCTTCCGCATGAGACATATTACCCGACGACCTCATCCGACCCACGCAGCGCAGCGCACCAGCCACGCCTCGTTCCACCGAGGGACTTCAGTCAGATGGACAGCACTGAATGTCAAGAATCCCCAAATGAAGATACCATGCTTTCGGAACCGGTCATGCCTCCTCTGGAAGGCTATCCCGACGTGCATGAATTCGATAGTCTGATGAAACGGTAATTAAGCTATCACGGTGACCAGCCGTTGCAGCACACGAGCGATCAGGGTTCTGACTTCAGCTATGACAGTTACGTTCAAGGTCTTTCCCCAAAGAAGCAAGATAAAGCGTTGATTCATGCCCGTCGTGCCGCCAATATCAGACAGGTCCTGATCGACAAAAAGACCACTTCCATTGAGTCCGCGCAGTTTCGGTAAGCTCTGAACTAATAGATCTTTGCCATTGATCACAGAAGAGGCTTATACCTTTCAGGTTTTGGGTGAAGAAGATGTTCACGCTTCAACCGGGAGAAGGGAAGGCACCGGAAGTGAGTCCACAGCGTCATTGGACCGCCAAAGATGACGAAGCTGATTGCGTGGGCCAGGCCCGAAAGATATGCCATGAGGGGAAACCGGTGGCAGTACGGGAAAAGCTTTTCAAGATCCTCACCAAAGCACACAAACAATGCCAGCATGGTGGCCGTGACAAGACGTCTGCACAAGTGAGGCGGGTTTATTCATGGTATGCTTGGATAATCAAGATGCAGCAGTCGGCTGTTACTCACCCATTCATTTAGGGTACCGAAGGAGCTTATCTCCAGATTTGTCAAATTGTGCCCAACTTGCCAGGTGAGAAGAGGGACTCGCAATTCCCCCCCAGAATCAGAGAAGAGTCCGGAAGCAAGGATGGAAGAGCAATCCCCAGAAGCAATCTCGACGACCAACTCGAGAAAGAATTCAACAGCAAGCCGACAGCTCAACACCAATGCGAACTTACCATTACAGACGGCCGGCTTTAACAGCAGCCCGACATTTCAACAGCAGAACCGCTGGATGACTCCATTGCAGCCTCCGCAGGCAGATCCACACCGCAGCAACCACATATCACCAGCAGGCAACCTCAGTACGCACGACTCTTACAATATAATCCCGCCAATGCCTATGAACTGTTCCAACGCTACGCCACCAGGACTGACTTTTGCGTCTGTCAGCTCGTATGGAAACACAAACAACCCTTCCTCCACATATAGCACAGGCTCTTTGGCCCAGGTTGCGCACGGGCATGTTGGAGCCGAAAGCAATTATCTGGTCAAAGCCGACCATTCTTACATATGAACGGGGCTCGACCTTTTGGGCTGCGCTACTAACTTCCTGGCGAGCTACAGTGCCCAGGCTGCGTTCTGTGTTGTTGATGCTCGACGAAGACTCAAGTGCTATCAAGTCGTCCAGGACAACACAAGAGTTGGGAGTTTCACTTCAAGCTAAGCGACCATGCCCAGGGGGCACAAAGACACTAGGGATGCTGGCTATCTGTCGAAGTTTCCAGACAGCATTGCAGGAGCACAACAATCCTGGCGTCTTTGACTAAGCCTGGTCAATACTATTTCGACACATTTTCGGTATTTAATGTTGTTTGGCAACTGACGGTTGCATTGGTTGGGTTTCGGAAAGGATATAAAAAAGGGACCGGAAAAGCAAGGCAAGATCATGACGGGTCAATCTGGTCAGACGTCTGCAAGAAAGTATGCTCTCGAAAGATCCTGCCATCACATGGGCCACTCGACACTACAACGGTGGCCCGAATTGGGGAAACTGGGTTCACACAAGGCTATATATAGATGATTCTGGCAGAATCAACAGATGCTGGCAAGGTTGTCCTGTACCACTGGCAGTTGGTCTAAGGCAGAGGAACATGACAACGTTGCACGCAGAATGTATTTGATGTGCAGCGACAAGTGTGAGGCCAACCAGGCCCAATAGATGGTTACTGTTGTACTGAGTGCAGTCGTTGAAGTGTAATGTGATCTACTGAACATCAAGTCATTCACAATGCGGTTCGAGTTGACTTTTGATGGCCTCTTGGCGTGAACACGAGCTATAATCCGCCTAATCTGTGTTCAGACTAGCTCAGTACTAGTGGCATACGCCATGCTTCACGTGCAAGGGGAATTGGAAGGAATGGAAACTCTCCCGCGCTTTCCAAAAGTTGTCTTGTTGTTGAACAGCCTGGCTTCACATTTCACCTCCGCTGCGCGTTCTCAGATTCCACTTGTCTACTCAGCAGCAGTTCACTCCAGAGTCCAAAGCTGTTACGTCTGCACTTCTCGGTCACTGTCCTTTAGTTCGTATTGGCGCCTCCTGCGTGTCCCCCCATTAAAGCTCTTGCCCGCAACCCATCCGTCTTGCAGCACCGGCTGCGGAATAATTGCCCACCATGAACATCTTCAGGTTACTCGGTATGCGCACCTCCTCAAGCCCACGGTATCAGCAAGAACAGATCGGGCGGAACAAAAGCTAACATATAACTCTCGCAGCGGACCTTTCCCACCTCATCTCGATATTCATCCTCCTCCATAAAATGCGAATCTCGAACGTACGGCCGACCTCCTTCCAAATCACCAGGGGTTGACACAGCCTGAAGTGTTATGTGCACGGCTAACACGAATCTCATGAGGACAGTCATGCGCAGGGATATCCTTCAAATCACAAGCTCTCTACTTCCTGGTCTATGTGACCCGCTATCTCGGTGCGCATCCCTTCGCAAGGCGTTTCATTCATTCCGTATTCTAATCGTGGACAGACCTGTTCTGGACATTCACCGACAGCGCATGGAACACAATCTTCAAGCTCATCTTCCTCACCTCGTCCGCATACACGCTGTACGTCATGTTGAATGACTACAAACCCACGCACGATCCGAACCTGGACACCTTCCGCGTCTCCTATCTGACCGGAGGCTCTGCCATTCTCGCAATCCTCTTTCCCTACAAATACACTGTTTCGGAAATCCTGTGGGCCTTTTCCATCTGGCTGGAGAGTGTTGCGATTCTGCCGCAGTTGTTCATGCTGCAGAGAACCGGCGAGGCCGAGACCATTACGACGCACTACTTGTTCGCTCTGGGTATCTATCGAACATTGTACATCCCCAATTGGATTTACCGGTACTTTGCCGAGGGATATTTTGATCCGATTGCGGTGATCGCGGGTATCATCCAGACTATCTTGTACTCGGACTTTTTCTGGGTCTATTACACCAAGTAAGCACTTCAGTTCAGAGCCAGCCGGCGCAGCATGTCGGTGATTTGTCTAAATGAAAGTCCATACTAACACTGTCACACAGGGTCCTCAAGGGAAAGAGCTTCAAGCTCCCTGTCTGAGCTTGATTTTCCAGTCGCATTTCGTCGGACAGAGAGAGTTGGTGGGACTTTTTTGGTCCACTCTGCCCGAGTTCAGGCGGGCTTGTTTGGAATGCAAATGCTGGTCATTCCTCCCTGAAGATGGGACAGAAGATGACCCACATCTCATAAGTGTGCTACACGATGGAAGAGACACAAAAGGGGTCTTGTGACTGTGTACAGATTTGACGTGCGTCGCATTAGGTATGCAGCAAAGGACGAATACGATTTGGCGGTCCAGCTGCCCAACCCAGACTGCTTAGCAACTCGACAACGGCTTAGGGCACCTCGTCCACCAGACCAATCGACAGAGAACCCCGAGAAGACATGGAGCAGAGAACGCAACAGCCGAACTGAACTGACTGGGGCCCAGAGAACACACCTGCTGAACAATTGGATTGAGAGTGCCGTGTTGCTGGAATAGACCAGTCCATGTAAGGTAACTACGCGGAGCCAAGACGCCAGGGGCCCCGGGCCATTAAGCTCCCTCTTCCTTTCCAGCGAAAACAAAACGGGTCCTGTTGCAAAATGCCATGCTCGAGCGTCTCGCGTCTGAGATCTGGACTCGGGGTCTATTGTTCAAGTTGGCCGCGATGGTCGTTGGCACGCCAGCCAGAAGGTACTCAACTGTACCAACAGGGCCAAAAAAAAAAGTGCTCACTGCACCAAGCTCAACTTTGTGCCCCGGTTGGGACCCGCCAGTTTCTTTCTTTCCACAGACGCGACTCGCGTGCGGCATAAGCATTGTCAATAATGAGAAGGAATGAAATCAAGTAAAACAAAACCCTTAATTAAACGAGGCGGCTGTCGACTTTGAACGGGCAGACCTGCCCTGATATGATCGTCTTAGAGCTACTAGTCACTACCTACACGTTCGAGCCCGCGGCAGCTTGCTTAATACTTAGTTATGTACCAAGGTAGAAGTGGCATCAAATCAAAGCATGACCGAGTGAAAAAAATTAGATAAATATTTAAAGCAAGTATATACTATACCATTCTACTATGCGCTGACTGGCTCAGTAGTACAAGCCGACACTGTACTCTCTGATCCTGGCAAGACCGTCTCTGAAGGGGGGTATACAAGTAACATCAATGAGTATAAGTCGCAACTCAACAAGCACTCTTCGTCATGAACCTGGGCACCAACCAAAGCGTGACAGGACGACAGAGACAAGAAATAGGGGGCATCTCCTCAACTCACTGAGGACCAAAAAGATTATGTATAATGAAAAGCGTGAAATCGCAAATTCGTAAATCGTAATCCAAGGGTGGCTCAACGCAAACGCAATGCAAAATCAAATTTCAGTCAATGTCGGGACGCAAACACCGCGACGAGGACAACGACGACGATACAGACGACAACACCCACAGTGCACATCCAGCGGTTCAAGCGGCGCCACCACCGGGCATTCTGCCACCTCAGCTCTGCCACACCGCCGAGCTGACGCTCGAAACGCAGTCTATCGATCACGTCCCATTCTTCCCAGTCCGCGAGAGATTGGTCGTGCTGCTGCTGTGATCCTGATCCTGAGTATCGATGAGACCGCAGTTCTGGTTGTGATCCTAACGCCTCCGGACTTTGCTGCTGCTGCCGTTGGGCAGAGAATGAAGCATAGACTGCTTTTTCGATATCTTGCATAGTAGCGGGACGCTTAGGCAGGGGCAACAGGGCGCCCACGAACCAGGTCAATGGACACACAAAGCCTATAGTGAAACAAGCAATTTGAGCGGTCCGCAGATCCCCTCTTAACCAGAACTTGCCCCGGCCAGGCTCGGAGATGACGCTGGGTGCCATCCAGCGCGATTTCTGGTTGAATGGAAACCCAAAGCCTCGGGACTCGGTGGAGCCCGTGTTCAGTCTGTGGTCGTGGTGGAGGTGCGGAGATGAATCCCAGAGCTGCCGAGAGTTTCGATAACTGCCAAAGCCACCCACATGATGGATCACAGATGGGTCCTGAGATCCAGACCGGCTGATACCGTAACTATAGTCGTCATCGAGACTTGTAGGACGAGCGTAATGGTGGTGGTGAATTGTATAGGTTGAGCCATGACCATCCTCAAGTGGTTGTTGGTGAATTTCAATCATACCAGTCCAATGCGCTCGAGGGTCAAGCATTGGCAGAGGAGCCGAGACGGAGCGGCCGTGCGAGTTTGGACTGTGTGGAGGTGGATACGACTGTCGCCGCGAATCCCAAGTCCTCGCGCCCGTCATTGCAGCCGTCGCTGGCCCGCGTACTGGATTTGACACCAGCGGACCTACACCTGGAAGGACATGCGATTGACGGGCCTCAATTTTAGGTCGTGCTTTTGATCGACGCATTTCTTCCAAGCGACGCCTCTTGTTTTGGACGATATCTGTTCGGTTGGCGCTATTAGCTGTTCGTTGTGTCTGAGGCCCACCCGCAGCGGCCATGTACTGCTTATTCAAATTCGTGGCGCTGGCATAGAGATACTGAAACGAATCCCTGTAGATTCCGGAATAATACCGTCGGGCCCACGAGGGAACGGGGACAGCAGCATTGCTTGATGTACTGCCGGAAGATGACGGTCGAAGAGATGAAGAAATGAAACTATTTTGTCGTGACAGCGTAAATGACTTCATTGAGTTGAGTCGAGAATGAGACGAGGTGGCCGAGCTGATGTAGCTACCACTGCGAGCATGTCGTAGAGGAGGCGATTTATACCCGTAATCCTCAGTGGGTAGAGCTGTGACTTCATCCGTAGCCTCATGAGAATCAGCAGCATACAGATCAGAGTCCGAATCGCGAACAACTCGGATCTGCGATTGGCAAGCGGATTGGTTGTTGAGGATATATGTTGATGCCGGAGCCAGTTCATCTGACGTGAGATATTCGTCCAGGTCGTCTGGGACGGAAGAAGCATTACTGACAGGCCGGGACCTAATCCAAGAACCTTCGGACGGAACAGCGGATAACCTGTTTGAATACTTGGGACCTGACAATTCTGTCGACATGGATCTCGAATTCCGCTTCGGAACCACGAGTCCAACCCGCTGACTTGGGGGAGGAGCATGCACAATCGGGTACTGGATACGAGGGGGACTAGAGCTTAGGACTGACTGAAGGCTTGCGTGAGTCTCGGACAGGCCATCAGAGCTAGGCTCATCTCTCCCCAATATCTGAACGACAGAACTCGACTCGTCGAGGGATTCGGCATGACCAAGACTCCGCGAATCCGACGATGCGATTGCTCGGTCTCGAGATGAAATGCTGCTGGCTATAGCAGAGGTCGAGACATACATGTCACCAGGGGGACTAGATGGCAACGGGTGCCTTGCACCGCTCCTCGGCGCAAAGGAGTGGCTTCCTTGGTCGCCCCATCTTTTCCGCTTCCTGGAAGAACTGGATGAAGACCGTGAAGGCGAAAAGTAAGATGACGGTTGAGGCTGCCCAGCGGTTGGAGAGGACGTTCCCAATTTGATGACGTTCGGACTGGACGACTGGTCGGAAATTGGCAACTGGTCGGTACTTGAAGTATGGCCCAATCGTACAACATTCGGACTCGAGCAGCTGTTCTCGAAGGAGTCACTACTGGGCCCGTCGGCCGACCCCGTTGCAGGATCCGACAAGCCTCTAGATGCTGCATCTCCCGAGCTTGAAGAGACACCTAGTACTCTGAAGTTCGGACTTGACGTGGTTCCGACCTTTGCAGCCTGTGATACAATCGAATTCCTAGGCGATATCCTCGTTGCCAGGCGCCCTTTTGCTGGCAGAGTAGGCAGTAGGGCTAGATCATCCGACGAGATCTTGCGGAGAGATTGCCAGGCATATGCGCCGGACAAACTGTCATTGGAGCTGAAACTTCTCAGTCGAGACGAGTTGCTGGTGGTGGGCCCAAGAGGAGGCGAGGTCGCCGTGGACGGGCGCGAAGTTTCTTCGGCCTGGGATTCATAGAGATCTCGCAACGCCTTGACCGATCGCTTCAATTTCACCGTAGGCTGCACAGCGCCCCGCGGACTTGTCTGACCATCGCCAACTCTTCTTGCTTCTGCATCGAACGGGAAGGGCAAAGCCTGGCTCGCTGGACCGGGACCGCCTCTCTGTTTCTTGAGCGAGCTCGGGAGGAGGACATGGGCAGGCTTGGTTGGGAATGGAGTTGTGTTATATACAACCACGTTCTCTTGGTCGGATTGAACTTGTCGAGATAGCCGTGCGGATATCTCGTTCGCTTGAGACGGTGTTCTTTCTCGCAGAGGTGTTCTTTGGGATGAGCTCCGCTTCGGCGATCTCTGCTTCACCGACGAAGGGGGCGAGGACATAGTTATTTCATCGTATAGGCGACTGGCACAGGAACCGTTTCTGATCTCGAGTGCGCCGGTTACCGTCTGAGGAATGCGCAAACTGCGACCGTCGAGTACAGATTCCAGGGAAAGGAGCGACTGAGGGTGAGGCTGTGCAGAATGAATCAACAAAGCTCAAAGCTCAAAGTTCCGCCTTTCAGTTGTCAGAAAGTATTTCGCCAGCGTCATGGCACTGCATGAAGATGCCTGGTTCTGGATGGGGCCGAGGTGCATATGCACGCTGCAGGGCGAGTTAAATTGGTCTGATGGGCGGAGAATTGACGGGAGGCGTCGAATTTGACAGCTGGGACTCGAGATTGCCTTTACATGTACAGGAATGTCCGTTATGTTGTTTTGTAGCCAAGTATGTGCACTCAAACAATGGCTGTTGCCAGTGAGTGTCACAGTCGCTCAACCAGGACATCGCCCACGCTGATACCTCCAGACTTGTATTCTCTGCTGCCAGGATATCTTCAAACATTTTTATCCCACCCTTGCCCGGGGGCCCGGTTAACTCAGCCTAGACAATGGTGGGCTCGCGAATGGACATTGGGCCGGCTCCAGTAAATTGGCGAGAGCCACCGAGAGCCACCGACTCCTCTTCTTGCTCTTTCTGTGTCAGGGAGTCGCGTTGCGTCTTAGATCGCATGGAAAATGCTGGGGCATAAATTCGCCTATTGGTGGTGCTAGGGTCGCGAGATTAACGCGTCAATCTGGCTGAACAGGGGAAGTGGGTTTTCCTGAGCAGCGGCGGAGCCTCCATCTTCGATTTGGCAGATGAGCAGACTTCTTGATTGCTGGTCTGTGTGTTCGTCAGCGCCAATGATAGGAGTCGACAGCAGGACACGGTGAAGTGGTCAAATTGGTACCTTATCGTTGGACGTACAGTACAGCAAGGGAGTGAAGCGGCAGTACTGTAGGCACCGCGGTAGGTGTAACAATTAGGAGCTGGACACGCGTCTGCCACACTACCTAGGAGGTACTGCTGCCTGTGTGTGGTGTGCGCAGGAAGCCCAGGCGCAGGCAGACGATTCCTCACTCACGCGCCTTTTGGCTGCATACCACTGCACGCCAGATCAACCACCAACAGCCACCACAAGATTGAAGTGCTATCATTCCTCTTACTGCATCCGAACCCACGTTTAGGTCACAGCCGTTGAGCAAACGGTGGCCGTCTAGTCGTCCTCATTGTCGTGGCCGTCGTCGTCGACGCCCACAACGATTGGTATCCGTCTTCCTATTCCGACCACGACCACACTGCGACTCCGATTCTGCGACCTCGTATCAGCCTGTCTCTCTGACAGTTGCATTTGTGCCTCCGGCCACATCATATGCATGTTCCAACCGCCTGGCGTCCGAGTTCCTGCCCATGGCTCCCGTCAGCGTACTATCCAAACTGAAGGCCGCCTATTTCGGCTACCAAGGTGCGCTGTCCAGGCCTATTAGGTCATATTTGTTTGAAGCCCTAGATTTTCGAAACTAGTCTCTACTACCCGCTGAAGCCCTACGTGAAATCTACGCGACTATACCTCTCTGCATACAATCGTCTTATCATGGTTTATCATAAAGCGGTCTAACACACGATGTCGACAGACAAAGATGAACCCATTATATCGACCGCAACAGCCACCATCCTCTCGGTAGGTTGATGTTGTGGCCTTCCTTAGAGGCCTTTGGACGCCGTGTCTCGTGTTGTATCTGACCACTTCCTTCTAGATCGCCTTCACGCTGATCTACGTGGTACCCTTCTACTTGTCGGCATCGACGAGGCCATCGCCTACTCTGAACCGAGATGCACCATCAGTAATACGAGCTCGCGTTCGGACTGTAACAGGTGCTTGCGTTGCGGCATCAGCAGCAACGCTTTATTTACTTGTCGTGACAGCAAAGCTGACGGCCGTCGACGCACTACACTTCCTGGGTTGGTGGCCTATTCGGCCCATCGACGTGGCCAAATGTTGCGCACTGACGCTTCTGCTTTACATTGGGCCTTTATTTGAGAAGATATTCATTGAGCGTGACCTGGATGATTTTCATCGAGGCCGCAAGATCGTCGAGTCTCTCAGCAGCTGGCAAGGCTATCGGAACTATGTGGCGGGTCCCATCACTGAAGAGATCATCTTCCGCTCCGTGTTGGTACCATTGCACTTACTGGCGAAGGTGTCGCCCACCAAAGTCGTCTTCTTGACACCGTTATATTTCGGAATCGCCCATGTACACCACTTCTACGAATTCACGCTAACTCATCCTTACACGCCACTTGCACCGGCAATTCTGCGTACGGTCTTCCAGTTCGGCTATACCACCCTGTTCGGCTGGTTTGCAGACTTTATTTATCTTCGATCCGGCTCGCTCTACGCCTGTATCATCATCCATGCATTTTGCAACTGGGTTGGCCTTCCTCGGTTTTGGGGTCGTGTGGAAAGAAGAGAGCAATACCCGCCCAGTCCAGTGGCCATCAGGGGAAAGGATGATAGTGATGCCATTCAGCCAGAGGCCAAGGGAGGGCAACTGGGTCTCAAATGGACAGTGGCTTACTACGTGTTGTTATTGACCGGCGTCTACGCCTTCTATGCTGGGTTGTGGCCACTGACCGAGTCACCGCTCGGCCTGGCACAGTTTGGGAGCGCTGCCCAGAAGACAAAGAAGTCATGGCCATAACTGTAGACGAAAAGTATACAGACACCAATCGAATCGTGATCATACTTCATTAATAAGCAGCATTTTTAGGCACGAGGCAAGGCTGCCAACTGCACGATGAAAGGTCACTTGTGGAGCGCAAGGCTTAACTCCGATGCAAGGCGCGGGACGTAAATCCGGGCGCGGATAAAGATCTCTGTGAACGCATCATTGAATCATCGAATCCTCGCCTTCTGTAGAACTGACCGCGGCCAACTCCCTCTGTCGCTCGTTTACACTGTACGTTACTGAGCAAACCCGACGTCGAAAAGTACATGTAATACTTCTTCCTCACTCATGCCTCATTTGAGGCCATCATTGCCCCGGTTAGCCCAATCGACCGGGTCCAACGCTCGAGCCGCTGCCCGCGCAGCCCTCGCCTCCAAGTCTCCCAAACCACCATTTCCCGTGATTCCAAAATGTCCGGCCGCAACATGTACATGTTCTCTGATGCCAGAAGGTCTGGACATCGACCGCGAAAAGAACCTGAACGGAACAATGTCGCCATACTCGCAGCATCTCATCATTCCTACTGGGCGGTCGGACTGGACGAGCAAGATCGAAGATGAAAAGGACACTGCTGTATGGGGGAGATTCACGGCGGAAATAAAGACCTTGTTGGGTCGCGGAGGAGAATTTCATGATGTAGGTGAACACAATTTATTACAGTCAAGATCAATTGGCTCATACCTAAAGCCTCGAGGGTGGCCCGACAAGAAGACAAATCCGTTACACAAGACAGGACAGCTGACTTACACCAGCCCCTGACATCTACATATAGCCATACAACAACATCCTGATCAGCACTTCGTCATTCACGCCGTGGGAACTGGCGAAGCGGAAGAAAACAAACACCGCCGACGGCAGTGTGCAACGCGAAGTGGACGCCCTTCTATTTCCGGCCTTCCAGCATGTTCGGGGCCTCAACCTCGACGCAGATCCAGACCTTCCAAAAAAATTCGTCCGGTCATGTCTTCTCCCAGATCCTGACCGGTTGCACCCAGTCTACAAGGACATGTCAGAAACCGAGCGACTGGCGAAAACCCGCGATCCCAGCGCCGGCAAATCACTTGTCCTCAAGTCTGTCGAAGCCCCCACGATCCTCATTTGCAGCCATGGCCAGCGTGATAGCAGATGCGGCATTCTAGGTCCGTTGCTTCACGGCGAGTTTGCGCGATACATGGGCCGGCGAGGAGGGGAAATACAACTGGTCCCACGATCCAGCGAGTTTGTACGGCGGCGAGCAGACGAGGCAGGCTCGGAAGACAAAGACTCCAATGCCGAGAAAGATATCTCCTCAGATGAACATGTTGATTTTCCAGACTCGCCATCATCATCCATTTCACAGTCATCATCATCTGGCTCACGATCATCAAGACCCACCGACGGAAAACTGAAGAGAATCAACGTCAATCTCGGTATGGTCTCCCATATCGGCGGCCACAAATGGGCGGGCAATGTGATTCTCTACATTCCACCCAACTTCACCCCTGACAACGGAATAAAACACCCCCTGGCCGGCATGGGGATCTGGTACGGCCGCGTCGAGCCACGGCATGTCCAAGGCATCATCGAGCAGACTTTGATGCAAGGAAAGGTCATTCAAGAGCTATTCCGAGGCGGTGTGGCGAGAACGGGGGATATTCTGAGGCTGTGATGAGCGAGCAGAGGCTGCCTGAGTGGAAGAGCCTGAGTTAGAGAGAAACAGACAGACATCCTGGGCGTTTGTATCTATCATTTTACGGGCACATCCCAGGGGTCCTCCTCTCCCCCTGACTTCCATCCTCTTTCCTCTGTTTCGGTTTCGGTTTCGGTTTCGGTTTCGGTCTCGGAGTTCAAAAGGAGAAGAAGAGAAAACATAGAACTTATGATTGTAATGAAAGACACTTTACTCTCTCCTCTATCAGCCAGACACTCAATTCATCCAATCCCGCAGCATACACAACTAGTACTCGCTCGTACTCTCTCGAGTGAGGACGAACCACTGCACGCCAGCTTGTCTTCTAGACGCCACATGATGTTGTATACAGTAACTGAGATCTAATCGTCCAATGCATCTGAGATCATCGAGATCGTGATCCGCTTCAGCTCCTCCACTCACACCTCCAACACCCCCCGCCTCCACATCCCTCACTGCAGTTGAGCCTCAGTGGCAACGAAAGCACCCGTAAGTACCCAGTTCATAGTAGTTGGGGTAATATGTGACATCATTTGGGCATGCACATCATGATCTTCATCTTCAGCAGTAGTACCTACCACCAGCCTGAGGCACTCTTGCTCTTCCAGTACTACTGTCAGTCAGACATTGAAAGACCTCAAGTCTCTTTTCCAACGTCTTTCCATCAAGATGTAATTGTAGATCACCGCAAGTCGAGCTCACCGATACACTATTACTATTACAGCACTGTACTGACAGTCTGCTACGTCTCTACAGGCAAGGACCACTGCAGCTGTGGAGTACCAGTAGTAAACCAGATCGAACAGCAAGAAATCCAAGGAGCGAACAGGGACATTCTCAACGTAATTGCAGGACTAAAAGACTAACTAAAAACAAGCTGAATCCGTCGTCGGGGGTATCAAGGCAACAAACAGCCTGGTTGACGGTAGCAGCTTGCCCAGCTCACGCAGTAGCTGAATCGATGCTAAAGAAACCCCAATCCCATGCATAAAGCTCATGACCAGTGATGTTGAAACCACTTCGAAATTAGTAGGTATGCGATAACATCCGTTGTGGGATATCCTGAGGTGACTCGCACTGGTCAATCGCCCTGCCTTAAACGAATTTCCCCAAAAACATAACAAAAACTCCTTGCCGCAATCAAGTTGTGCAACACGTAGTAGTGTGCGGGTATCATGGTTTCAGTCTCGTAAATGCATCGCGCCGTTAATTTTCCACACCAATTTCCGTCCCCCGAAAATATGACATGTGTTGGCCCCTTCCCCCATAACTCCTCTGTGGTACCTAGGTGTTGGAAATCCAGTTTGCGCCGGTCCGTGTGCTTTCGTAATGCTCATTCTCTCGTTTGTCGTTTGTCGTTTGTCGTTTGTTGACTCGATATGTTCGTTCATGCCGTGCCTGCGGGAGGAAGCTTGGCGAGCTGCTTGAGCAGTGGATGCGCTCTTTCGTAAGCATGAAGCTCCCGCATCAAAGGACGGCGATGGGCTTCTGGGAATCGTCGGAGGTAGTTTTGCGAAACGATCCATCGCTTTGTGATCGGGTCTTTGGTGGCCACGGGTTCGACCCATCCCCAGGTCTCGAATGCTTGGTACATGTCGCTGGACTTGTTGACATCCATGTTGTTAATAAGTTGGCACTGTGATTTGCCCGCATTCCACGGCTTGAAGCTTGCCGGATCTTCAGTCATTGCTTGGTAGTTCCATTCGGTGAAGACGGCAAGGCCTAGGAAGAAACGAGCTTTTTGACAACGATAGGTGTCACAGGTGATGGCCAGTATCTTGCAAACCTGGACTTCCATGGGATGAAGACCGCTAGTATCGCCGACGTCCTCAAAAACAACACCGTCCTCGGGGATCTCATGTTTGAGAACAGGCATGCTGAGGTTGAGATCGGGGCGATTGTCAGGTAGAATGGCCTCCGAAAACGCTGCATAGTCATTCTTGTCTGACGAACGCAGGTTAAGCATGCCTTTGATGTGCCGGGCAAGAAGCTCAGCTGAAGGATTTACCTTTGATTCATCAAAGATACTAGATCTGCTGCACTTCTTCTTCTTGGTTGCAATAGAGTCGGCGCCCTCAACTTCTTGAGTGGCCTGCTTGCGTTTCTTAGGTGCCCTAACGCGCGGTGTTGTTTTCTCGCGGGGTTCAGGAGTCGGCTCCTCGTCCACGTCAGGTGTTGGTTGTTGGGTAGCTTCCGCCGCAGATTGATTAGGCGCTGGCGTCTCGACTGAATGCTCTTTGCTTGCCGCGACCTGATGAGTTTCTTGCACGTGGACTGGGGTTGCGACATCATTCTCGGCTGGTTCGATAAGATTGGAAATAGACATAGCCGTGGTTTGGCGAGTGACCCGCCGGCCCGGAGTTTCGGCTACGGTTGGGGCCGACACTGACGGCATTTTCGGCTTGGAAGCTCGGCGGGTGGGTGTTGATTTGCCTTTTTGTAGCCCGGCTGGCAACAAATCGGACTTCTCCAACAATGATGGCTTGCCGTCGTAGAAGTACTGGCGAATTGCATACAGCACATCGGGGGTCCCAGATGGGAAATCCTCAAGCATCCCGTACATGGCCATCAGCTTCGCCTCATACCATGGGTATGGAGTGTTGAACAAATGACGATCGACAACGCCCCGTCCTTGCTCGGGCTTGACCTTGGGAATGCGAAAGTCGAGAAAGTGCTTGGCCCGCTTGATGAGTTCGGGTGCAGTCGTGACTTGACGGTGCTTGGGCAGACTGCGATTTATAGGCAACTGGAGGGGGCGTCCCCTAGTTTCAAGTAGGAACTCGGCGAGGTCCCATTTCCGCTCCACTGCTTCGAAAATGAGGTCGATCTCCCCCGAGCTGAGGACAAGAGGTTTTTGCGAGGAGAGTTGTTGTTCGTTTTCGGTGTTTGAGAGATCGATCAATGCCTGTGCGGCCTGGGCGTTACGAGCGGCTTCCGCAGCGTCAGCTATGTTGTCAAGAGCCGGATACTCGGCGGCTGACGCGATCGGAGAAGAGGCTTCGGAAATAGTATCGTCCTCAGTACCAGTGATCGGAGAAGAGGCTTGAGAATTAAGCAGATTGCCGGTCGTTGAAGTCAGAGCAGGCGACAGAGGGGCCTGGAATTGAATGACAGGGCCATTGTCGGTGTGTGCCGGGCCCGGTGAAGGAGTGTTACGTTCGAATTCTTCTTGATCTTTCCCCAGATTGTGATGGAAAAGCGGTGGTGTAATGGTCTGGACAGGTGCCAGGTTGACTTGTGGTTTGACGCTCGCCTTTCCTTCGGCGGCTTCAGGATGTTTGGTGGCTGTCAATGCCATGTTTGGTTTCGGAGGAGTGGCCTGGGGCTGTGCCACAGAATCCATGATTGTAGCAGAGTGTTCCTGATCTTCTTCACTCATATGTTGATGTTCCTCCAGTACTTGTAGTGTGTAGATGTTGTATGGAAAAGAGCAAGAGGATGGGGGAGATCGAAGGCGATCGACACCGCTTTATATCGGTTCTTTGCGAAAGGTCCTCCCGCCGGTCTGGAGTTGTCCGAAGAAATGGAGAATTAGGTTCAAGGCTCAGTGGATGAGAACCTAGAGGGTCAAAGTCTGGTTCGTGCCAAATTGCGCGGTCGTTTCTGGGAAGATAGAGAGAAATGATTAAGGTTTGAAATGCAGTGGTAAGTTAAATGGGACGTAGGAAAGATTTGTAGCAGAGGACATGGGCCAGATACCCAGATGTTTTGAATTGGGAAATGATGAGAGGATTGAATAATGGATTGCAGTGGTTGGTATTGTGCCGGCAGCCTATTCAAGCCTATTGAGGCTACCTTATTGATGCGTGGTTGGTTCCAATGGAACAATAGATCGGTGACAATGGCACTGGCAGTGAATGGTGAATGAATCAGGTGTTGCGACGGGCAGAAGACAATAGACAATCGGTGCTGTGTTCAAGTTCAGTTTGAATCAGCGAGCGCAGGCGCAGGCGCAGGGCGGGCGTGAGGCGATGAGGCGTGGGAGGAAGCATTGGAGGATGAATCAAGACATGCGTCATTCGTCATTTTGCAGCCGCGCCGCAGCCCATGCGAGGTTTGCGGTACAACTACTACTTTAGTCATACCAGTCAGTCTAGTCAGTCCAGCCAGTCAGTCAACAACAATAATCAGCTATTGTCAGGCAATCGCCGCAAACGATCGTCCCTGTGATTCGATGGGCACTCTCTCCCAAGCACTGCCGCCATTACCAACTTGGACTCAGGCTGCAGTCAGTAGTGGCGGAAAAGACTTTCGACCAGACTTGGGCCGGGGTGGCCAAACAATGCTCTGCCGCCGCTGTAAAGTCGCGCAGAATCTGCTGTCCTGAGCAGTGCCGGTGCTCGAGTGGCGCGTGTGGGCGGTAGCGCCAGGAATCAGATGGTTCGCATCAGAAACGGGGCATGCATTACTGACTGGTACCAGGCCAGGCACCGCAGCAGGAGGGATAGCACTCGTGTCCTTTCCATCCTGGAAGATCGTGGATAGAGTCATGTGGAAGAAGGAGGAAAACTCGCGGTCCAAAGCGCGGAAAATCAGCCTCCATCTCTTGGCTTTTTCGCCCCCCATCCCCGAGCATGGATTTTGAACAAGTGAAAGATCGTCGATATCCTTTGAAATGACGAATACAACACAGCCAAATAAGACCGCCGCTTGGGTTATCCACTTGAAATGACCTTTATTCACTGGCTCTCATGACCACCTGCAGGGTGCCCAACTTCTGGGGTACCAGGTGCCTGTATGTCGGCTTGCATTTCAATGCGAGCCACGCTTATGTGCACTGCATTCGAAGTTGAACACACCAGGCTCTTTCTCTCCAGCGATGCTACCTAACCATTGCCTGCCTCAGTATCTTTGCATTCGAAAGACACCGGCACTACTACAGGTGTTGTTCAGAGGATACAATTTCTGACTCGAAGTGCACTATTACTGCCACTGCAGTGTGCATCACTATAGGTACTGTGCTAGCAGAGTTTGCCGGCGATTCCGTGCCAACCCCGTGGGCAGTTGCATGCCGTGCCAGCACCAGGCTGTACAAGGGCGTTTGCTTGTGACTGGAACATGCAGAGTTCGGCACCAGTCCGAGTCAAATGCCACTACTCCCGATATGCTTTAGCAGATCTCATACACTAACCGTGGAAGGCATTTTTGTCTATAACGTGTTCCGTTGTGGAACACTTTCTGAAACTTCTTACTGACTTCGTGCCTGCCTTGCTGCAGTGTGTGTACCTCCATCACCAAGTTCAACATTGCTCAATTTCAACGATCGACTGCAAAATTGCCTGTGACTGCTTCTCCGTCGCCGGCAACTTGAAAGGCTGCTCTGTTCTCCCAACCCGCCGACTGGTCTGTATCGGTAGTTCCACCAACCGGAAAGACCTCCAGAGTCAAATCCCAATTATAGGCGTAAGTAACTAATCCTGGAGGGAATAGTAGCGCTAAGCATTCAGAATTATGGCTCCTGCCAGTGACACTTCGTCTCGATCTGGTTCCCCACCTGTTCACTACGCCCTAGCAATCTATCCTGGCTTCCAGCTCCTCGACCTCGCAGGTCCTCTCGATATCCTGAACCAACTGTCTGAACTCAAACTCGCCTCCCAGGACAATCCCCAACGCCTCGACTTGACCATCATCGCCGAGACCCTTGACCCGGTTTCATGCAAGCCGATCGCTCCTCCCAATGCAGACTGGACTTTCGATCTGCAGGCTGCCGCACCCAATACAGGCGGCCGCGTCAACACCCAGTTCACCCAGTATTTGCAGCCCGACTCCACCTTTGACGATTACCTAACAGCAGTGGAGGGCGGCACGAGGGAGATAGATGTTCTCCTAATACCAGGGGGCGTTGGGTCGCGTTTGACACGGGTCCACCACCACCGTCACAGCGGCAGTGCCGATTCCAGCACCAGCACCACTCTCAACGTCCAGAGTCTGTACGATTTCCTCCCCAAGATTGCGAGGCACATCGGCACAGCCATTATCACTGTCTGCACCGGCTCTGACATACTGGCAAAATCGGGGTTACTAGACGGCCGTCGAGCAACAACGAATATGAAACGCTTTGACTTTGTCGCTGGGCGGAACCCACACGTGGCGTGGCAGAAGGGAGCAAGGTGGGTCAGAAGTCTGCCGTCAGAAGCATCAAGCAGGACGGCAGACGGTGATGCAGCTCGCGCCAGTGCCGTCCAATGCGAGATCTGGTCGTCTGCAGGGATCAGTGCCGGCATGGACGTGACTCTAGCGTTCATCGAGCATTTCTACGGCGGGAAGGAGGTGGCGAGAGGTCTGGCAGAGGCTTTGGAATACGACTGGCGCGAAATCAGTGAGGGAGAGAGGGATCCCCTGTACGAAAAATTCTTTGCCCTCTGATTGCGGCTACGAGCGTGCTAAAATGGTTGGCTTGAAAGTCCTACCGTTCAATGTGTCAATGTGTGAGTTGAGGCTTCAGTTGTGTCCCTGCATTGCCGGAGGGAGTGATGCCATTTTGGCTTCTGGAAACCCACAGCCACGCACCCAGAGGGTTGTGCCGCGGACAAAAATACCCTCAAAGTCTATTTTTTCTTTTCCTGGAAGAGGACACATTACAGATTGAAAACTGAGCTTGTCCGTCGAGCGTGATCTGAATGCAGATACGTCACACGACCTTCTGCTTGGTACCAAGCAACAGACACGCGCCCTGTTACGCGACACAAACTACCACGGTTTATGTGACACGTCTCAGAGAATGTCGGGGCAACAGAAAGCGGCTCTGCTCGCCCGACTTCCCCGATGCTGGGATACCTTGCTAATTCAAAACGCGTTCCACTGGCAGTAGAGGATTGGGTCTGGATATTGCTGCCTACCTGCTTGCCTGCAGCAAATACAAGCTGATCGTCACTGCCAGTGTCACAGTTATTCAGTTGTTTCTGTATCTAGACTTGTCTAACATCCAATCAACCCTGTCGACGGCGAACGGACCACCACAGTCCTTTCTCGTTAGTTGGCCGATGATCACTGCAGTAAATGAGTCCCTGTATCACACGAATGCCGATTCTGTCTCCAGTGCATGATTCTCAGAGATCCTAAGTACAATGTGTAGTGACTGAGGGAGCTGTAAGTGAAGGGCTGCACACAATGTAAAAAGGGGTCTCAGCCTTGTGATCTGTCCGGATGTGGGCCAGCCAATCACCATGCAGCAGATACACAGGTTCAACTGTGCAAGCTTGACCCGGCATCATCCCTACACCCACTCCCTGAATGTAATCACTTAGGTACTAAATTGTACATGCACTCAATTTGCAGGAGCACCATCCGGGACATAGGCTTCCGAACTGCACTGGAAGCCATGCATTGCTGCTGGTAGTCGGTTTCGAACTCCCCAAGTCCAGATTCGGCAGGAGGAAACTGGTACTGGTAGGATCTACATTGTACAGTACTAGCCACGTAGACAGCCCACACCCGCCGTTGCGGTGGCAATAAGTCATGGCATGGCACGATTACACTCTCACACATAGTGGAATACAAGTATGTGGCTTGTCTACAAGATCCTGTGATCCCTGTCCACCGCAGAGTGGGCCAGCTCATTACTTTCAAGCCACATGTGCTAGGTTGGCACCTACACCTGTATATGGCGACGATCATGAGAGATTCGTCCACCTCTTGACACTTCAGCGCTGCGGACCTGTAAATTGACTTTCTCGGACATGCGAACCATTGCCTCTGATCCGCGCTCTTTCTGAACCAGAAGAAACCCAGGGGAAATTCCAAAGGCACGCCTTTCCGGCCTGGTTTTGAGTGGAGTGACCGAGCCTTGCAAAGGAAGATGGTAGTAAAGCAGCGTTCTGTGCATCTGATCTGCATCAACCTTGACGCAGTTTTTGCTGTCCCGTGTCCCTTTTGCAGGGTACGGACAGACCAGGCAGCCATTGCACCCCCGGGAAAGTCTCTCACTGCGTTGCAAACGAGGTGCTAGTGATAGCCATCCGTTGGCGCGTCAGGCATATGCCAGTGTGCTCTTTTCTTAGACCGGGTTTCAAGTTTGGGTAGGGCACACAGTGACATCGAAGGGAAGTCCAGAAGCAAGACCAGATTCAGCTACCAATAGTGAGTCAGGCAAGAGAGAAAATCTGGTTCCGTGCGATGTCCTGCGGTCGAGCCGCGGAGTCAATTTTCGTACCGCCAGTCTGTCATCCAGTACTTATGCGTAAGTTCGCTGGAAAACACTCTGTCCTCCGGGTGTCTGCGAAGAGGGACTCTTGAACGCTGGATCAGGCACGCTGATGAGGGCAGCCGATACTGTCGGTGTTGTTGTTGGGCCTCGACTGTAGGGTATATCAGCTTGAGAGATTATCTTCCTTCCAATGTCACACTGACACTCATATCAACGTACTACGCTACCACAACAGTAGATCAAAAGTCAGTACTTGGACATCATATTCGACACTTACCTTTCTCGAACAAGCTTCCACTCCACCAGCTTCAAAGCCCAGTTGACCGCACCTTTCCGGTTTATCACAGTTCCCTTTTGTCACGCCTCCGGGGCTACTTCCTCCAGGAAAGATGTCATCCCCGGCAGCTCCCAGCTTGTTGTACGCTGTACTGCAACTCCTTTCAACAATGATATCTCTTGAGATGATGATTCGCTTGAGGAGTGTGGGCGCCATTGACGGAGATGGGGAGGGCAACTATGGATATGACATCGCACCAAGCTTGAGAGAGGAGGAAGCCGACAACGTCCGGGGCTCTTCCCAGGCTCATGGAGATGACGATACTGGTGTCGGAGGAGCCGTCACGCTAGATAGCAGTGACGGCGACCTCAGTGAGAGCAACGATGAGGAGGACAGTGACAAAGAGGAGGTCGAGGAGGACGGGGAGGATGAAGAGGAGAATGAGGACGGTGGAGAGGAAGACAACGACAATAAACCCACTGAAGTCGATCAAGTGAATGAGGAAGGCATCTTGGAGCACGGCATCCGTGGTTTAGGCCACCGCGCCTATATTGCAGCAGCTGCAGCCTCACTCAGAGGGTCTCCATTTCAAGAAGACTTCTTCAGTTGCCGAGGTGCTTCTAGACGGCGTGCTCCCAAGTCGATTCCTCTAGTCCTTGATGATGAGGACCAAAAGCAACTCCCGCACAACAGCACCTTCGAACGTCGACTGCGGCGTCGACTCCCAGAGCGCTTCCCTGCCAGAGACACGGCCCCAACGGAGAGACAGACACACACCCGAACTACGAATCCATGCCTCAACACGTGCATGCGATTCCCATTGACTGAGGCTAGCTGCCTCAAGTGCGACATTCACACGTTCGTCTACTTCATCGCCTCGTGCCTCTATCTGTGTCGGATTGTGTGGGAGGTTGTTCCACCTGAGGAACGGGCGGGGTGTTGGGAGCCGTCGTCCGACGACGATGATGAGGAAGGGAGTTCCCCAGAGCCGAGGAGAATGTGTGGATGGAATGTGTGGTGGATGTTTGTGGAGGATCGTACTGATGGCTCCTTGTATGCATGGAAGGCCGTCAAGAGACTCTGGAGACTCGTGAAGAGAGTGTGTCGTATTGGGTCCTCGTGAACCAAGGAAGACGAAGCTCTGAAAGTACGACGAGGCGTAAAGGATGATTTTGTTCGGAGGTGTGCGAGAATTCGAAAGCACAGCGCATACAATATATCCAGGGTTATGAAGCTGTCAAGGCTTCTGTACAATAAAATAATCCTTCTCAAAAAGAACTTTTTAGGGGCTTATGGGTGCCTAGAGTAGTAGCTGAAGCAGTCATTTTTAGGCATCCATGCCGCTAAGCCCGCTCCTGCCAGTACCTAGGTACCTTATTCAACAGGCATCTTTGGCGGCCTCAGCCTTATTTGAAGCCTGAAGTGCCTGAACGAGCCCTGGCCGTGGAAGTCTCAGATGAGCTGGTGCCTTGCCTGGCCACATGACGAGGCTGTGATATGGGTGACTCGGATGTGGTGCAAGTTGGGTTGAAGTGTCGGCCGCAATGTTTGATCCCGGGTCCGAGGTCCCGGTGGTAAGTCCGCCCTACAGCATGAAAATCAACATTTGACCCTTGCCCAAGGCTCCGAAGCTTTGGCATCGCCTGCAGTCGCTGGTTCGTCTTCGGCTCAGGTTGCTGACCGAATGCACTGGCCCTGAGCAATCATGAGTCCGTCCTAGGTAACAGGTTTGTGAATTAAAGTCGACCAGCATTTTGATCTCATTGTATAAAAGACTTCAATGAGGCTGAACCGGTGTCCCAACTCCCCAGAGGACTTCTGCCCAGCCTAAGAAAAACAACGCTGCTACAGGACTACAAATGTGTGACCAGTGATCACCATTCTGGAAACGGTTGGTAGCTTCTGATTCCTTGCCTCGTCATCTATTCTGGGCTATATCCAGTCCCCTAGGACGGGACGTCGCACTACGCACCTGTATCCATGGCACCCAGCATAGCAATTGTGGGTGCGGGCCCAGCTGGCCTCACGCTTGCTCGCCTGCTCCAAGTGGCCGACATTGAGGTGTCAATAACAGTCTTTGAAAAAGACGCATCGCCTACTGCACGATCTCATCAAGGAGGAACGCTCGATCTCCATCCCGAATCGGGGCTCGCCGCAGTTAAGAAAGCTGGACTCTGGGTTGAAGCGTCCAAGTACCTCCGATATGACGCCGAGGAGCTTTTCATCACGGACAAGAACAATACGGTCCTAACGCACATGAAAGAGGTCGAGAAATTGTCCTCGGCAGCAGAGTATGCGCGCCCGGAGATTGATCGCGAAGATCTAAAGGAGGTGCTCCTGAAAAGCGTCAAGCCAGAACTAATTCGCTGGGGCAAGACGCTGCAGTCAGTCAACGAAGATAGCACGGGAGCGACCTTAACTTTCCGTGATGGAAGTACAGAAGGACCATTTGATTTGATAGCCGGTGCGGATGGTGCGTGGTCGAAAGTGAGGGCTGTTCTGACAGATGTGCGACCTCGATATTCCGGCATCTGTGGCTTTGAATGCGCGATATCGACCACCAGCGGGCACTATCCAAGAATTTCAAAGATGGTCGGGATGGGGAGTTACTTCTCGTTTTCGAACCATAAGGGGCTGACGGCCCAACGGATGGGGAACGGCAGCCTCAAGATCGGGATGTGGGTGACGCGCGAGGAGAGCTACCCGGGCGACCTGTTATCTGCATACGGGGATGATGAAGAGAAACTCAAGTCCAAAATCCTCGAGAACTACCATGGCTGGGCGCCCGAGTTGCTCCAATGCGTTCGCGCAGGCATGAACTTCCGGCCCTGGCCACTTTACGAGCTCCCTGTCGGCCATACTTGGGACCACAAGCCCGGATATACTTTAATCGGTGATGCCGCAAGCCTCATGACTCCATGGGCCGGCGAGGGAGTCAACAAGGCAATGAAGGATGCGTTAGAGTTGGCTGAATCACTGGAGCAAGCGTTAAAAAGTGGTCAGGATATGGATGAGGCGACGTGCAAATATGAAGCCAACATGTTCCCCCGGGCCAAGCGGGTTCAGACGCTCACTCAACAGAACAAGACTGCCATGTTCAGTGACAATGGAGCCGTCAATCTCATGGTGTCAATGGTCGAAGTCGTGGCCATGGAGATGGGCAAGGATCTTAACGCTGGATGGTTGGCTTGGATTCCGTTCCGGACCTTGATGTTCTGTTATGCCTCGTGCTGGCAGGTCCTGGGAATCTGGAGGAGGAAAGTGAGGGATTGGCTCTTTACTTCTTCTTGAATCCATAGCTGCTCTGTAGCAGCAGACCCCTTCAGACGGAGCTAACTGTGCCGGTGGTGGCGCTGCGAATAACACCGAGGACGTAACGGTAAGAAGGATGTGGGATGCATATAAAACACTTTTTCTCCTGTTCAAGCATGATACCCAATGTTGCTGATTCTAGATTCGATTATGCTATAAACTCAACCATTTTTGTGACCACACTCCACTTTGTGAAGATTCTGACCTCGAACATCTTGCCCGCGTAGGCTACCATACATGCACCTAGAGGCCTGGGTAACATGGGTAGTACTGTGATACATGTCCCGGCGATGGGATTGAACAAGGCTGAAAGATCAAGGCATAAAGCGGCAAGGCAGAGTCCACGATATGGTAAGCGCCAAGCCCCGGGCCAGCCAATCACGGCTCTGCTGTTTGGGGTTTGCGAGACAAATGATCTCAAAGAAACATCTACGAGCTGGACTGCAATTCAACCGTCGAGAGCTCCTCGTCGACGCCACCCTCCTTCCAGCAATCTGAAATCCATCATAGCTGAGACCAGCTCTACTTGCCAACATGCGGTCTCAGCTTCTCCGCGCAGCCGCGCGCTCCAGGGCTTGCGCCCTCACCCGAAGTTCGACGCGAACGTTCGCTTCCTCTGCCCGACGGCCCGCAGACATGGTTGAATTGACGATTGATGGGAACAAGGTGTCAATAGAGGCCGGATCAGCTTTGATCCAAGCCTGTGAAAAGGCTGGCGTTACGATTCCGAGATTTTGTTATCATGAGTACGGCTCTTCCTGCGCCATTGAACAAGATCTAGTCGAAAGTTCGTGCATCCTACTGACACTTGTCGTGGCCTAGAAAACTTCTTATTGCCGGTAACTGTCGTATGTGCTTGGTCGAAGTCGAACGAGTTCCCAAACCGGTCGCTTCCTGCGCATGGCCCGTCCAACCGGGCATGGTCGTCAAGACCAACTCGCCAATGACACACAAAGCTAGAGAAGGTATCATGGAGTTTTTGCTCGCCAACCATCCTCTGGATTGCCCCATTTGCGACCAAGGTGGCCAGTGCGATTTACAAGACCAGTCGATGAGATACGGCGCGGACAGGGGTCGCTTCCACGAGGTTGCAGGCAAGCGTGCGGTTGAAGACAAGAATATTGGCCCGTTGATCAAAACTTCAATGAACCGGTGTATCCATTGTACGAGATGTATTCGATTCGCCAACGAGATCGCCGGTGCACCCGAGCTAGGATCAACAGGAAGAGGCAATACTTTGGAAATCGGCACATATCTCGAGCGAAACCTGGATACGGAACTGTCTGGCAATGTGGCTGACTTGTGCCCCGTCGGTGCTTTGCTCACCAAGCCAGGTGCCTTCACCTACAGACCCTGGGAGCTCACCAAATTCGAGTCGATTGATGTTCTGAACGCATTGGGCTCAAATATCCGGGTGGATGCTAGAGGACTAGAAGTCAAGCGGATCCTGCCTAGATTGAACGACGATGTCAACGAAGAATGGATCGATGATAAGACACGATTTGCGCTGGACGGCTTGAAAACACAAAGATTGACTACACCATTAATCCGAAGAGACGACAAATTTGTGCCGGCCACCTGGGAACAAGCGCTCACTGAGATTGGAAATGCCTACCTCAGGTTGAAACCTGCCGAGAACGAGTTCAAGGCCATTGCTGGACACTTGATTGAGACAGAGTCACTAGTCGCCATGAAGGATCTGGCCAACCGGTTGAACTCGGAGAACCTCGCCCTCGACCAACCTGGCGGCAGCGCCCCGATCGCGCACGGCGTTGATGTTCGATCGAACTACCTCTTCAACTCCAAGATCTTCGGCGTCGAAGATGCAGATGCCATGTTGATTATTGGCAGCAACCCCCGATGGGAAGCCGCCGTCTTGAATGCCCGTATCCGCAAGCAATGGCTCCGAGCACCCCTCGAAATTGGTTATATTGGCGAAGACTTCGAAAGTACCTTCCAGTATGAAAACCTGGGTAAGGACGCCAACGCCGTGAAGAAGGCCCTCGCTGGCGACTTTGGCAAGAAGCTGGCATCAGCAAAGAGACCTATGATCATTGTGGGCAGTGCTATTGCCGAACACCCTGACGCGGCCGCCATCTTTGAAATGGTCGGCAGCTTTGTGGACAAGCACCAGGCCAACTTCAACACCGACGAGTGGCAGGGTTACAATGTTCTCCAGCGTGCCGCTTCCCGCGGCGGTGCTTACGAAGTCGGCTTCACCACGCCGTCGCAGAAGGTGGCCGAGACCAAACCCAAGATGGTGTGGCTGCTGGGTGCCGACGAGATCTCCGAAGCAGACATTCCCAAGGATGCGTTTGTGATCTACCAAGGTCATCACGGTGAGACCGGTGCACAGCTTGCTGACGTCGTCCTGCCTGGTGCCGCGTACACCGAGAAGTCCGGCACGTACGTCAACACCGAAGGTCGTGTTCAGCTTACGCGGGCCGCGGTCTCATTGCCCGGCGCAGCAAGGACGGACTGGAAGATAATCCGCGCCGCATCCGAGTTCTTGGGTGTTCCACTACCCTATGACGACCTGGAAGTTCTCCGCGACCGTTTAGAGGAGATCAGCCCGGCTCTTCGACGCTACGATTCACTGGAGCCAACCACTCTGGCCAGCTTGAGCAAAGTCCAACTCGTGGATGCTAACAAGGGAGCCAAAACCTCGGGCAAGCCGTTTGAATTGCCCATTAAGGACTTTTACATGACCGATGTCATTTCGAGAAGGTGAGTCAACCTCTTGAACATTCCGAGTCCCTTTCATTTTCTTTCCATAGACGAAACCTTATTTCATATCAAGAGAGTACTAACTTGTTGTCTTTTTCACAGTTCTCCCACAATGGCCCGCTGCTCGGCCGTCAAGAAGACCGGCAACCCAGAGACCAACTTCATGGCCCCCGGCGAGCCGGACCCTCAAATATCGTACGGATGACAAATGAAGAATACGGCAAACCCAGAAAAAGGAAAGAATTGGGAAAGAAACCATTTTGCATTTTTCAACTACTACCATCGGTTGAAAGCGGGAGTTTTGTTTTGGGTTGGCCGTCTTTTACACCACTTTAAAGTTAGGGTTTTGGGACCGTGCCGGTTCGTTGTCAATGGCCTTTGGCTTCGGCTCACCATGGTCAAACTCAACATCATCATGATCCTGGTCCGGTCCACGGGATATCGCAGAGGATGGACGATCCTTCTTTCTCTTCAAACGCTCTATTTTGCTGTGCTGCGGGGCCTTCAAGAGAAGAAAAGGAAGGAGATGGAGAAGGCCAGTGCTTTCGGGTTCCCCGAACAACCCCCAAGAGCAGCCTCACGGACTACTGTTAGCTTACCTTACAGTAGCTACGCCTATGGACCATCTATGTACAGCAAAGCTAGCCTGCTGGCCGCGGCTGGGATGATGAATGTAGAAAAATGAACCACTGCAAATTATTTGCAAACTTGAACCTTCAGTGACCAAGTATTCCCAGTAGTGGTACATCAATGTAAGGCGCTCAAGAAAGGCATTCGTGCAAAGTACTATTATTAGTACGGTATTATATGCTAACACTGCTGTACTGCAGCGCCTTTCAAGTTTTCATTACTTGATACTATTCCTTTTCCATCCTTTCCCGGTACCTTCATCAACCAACATGAGGCCCATGGAACTCCTGCTGCTCCTGCTGCTGCTGTCGTCGCAACTCGGCAACCTCGTCTCCATCACCCTCTTCATCATCATCGTCGTCGTCATCATAATCTTCGTCTTCATCACTACTGCCAGCCTGGTAACTGCGGCCATCAGGGCCATCAGGACCATCAGGACCTTCGACTTCGGGTCTGCGCCGTTTCTCAAAGTCCTGGGCATGTGCGCTGGCGATGACCGTGCCGACGCGCTGCAGAGCCCGCATACCAGGCGTGCGTGGTGTCGGCGGACCCCCGGAAGGCCACTTGCGGTGACGCAGTGACGGAGACGAAGCGGCCGTGGTGGCAGTAGGGTATCGTTCCACGTCAACGCCAGTCGCGTGCTGCGGCTGGTGTTCATAATCTTCATGTTGTGCGATGGGTTCTTCGCCTGGCGCTGTCGTGGAGGGCTGTTGTTGCTCTTGCTGTTGCTGTTGAAGTCGCTGTTGAGCAGGTGAAGCGGTCTTGCTTGCCATTTCGGGCGATTCGGGGATTTCATAAGGTAGCGGGATGTCTCTGGAGGCACGGAACTTGCCTACGTTGTTGCAGTGTTCGTTCTCGACTCGGAACAGAGACCACATGCCTCGACGGAGGACTTCGGCCAAACTAACAAAAAAGGACAACAGCGCCGAGTGTTGCAAGTCCCTGGTGAATATCGCGTACAAAATCCACTGCTGTCTAAGCACCACATCCGCCACTATGGCAAAATAGTAGAATGAAGCTTTCTTGTACGCGAGCTGGTCGCGCAGGAACGGATGCTTGGCCCAAGGGTTCCCCAGACTGAAATCCATGCACACGTCCCAGAAGGAAGAGTAGACGCCGTTGATGGCCGCAAAGGTTATGAACACCGCCCTCATTTCGTCCGTCATGTGGATCCGATAGAGCGACAACGTCATGTAATAGGAGATATTGCCCAGGTACTTAACAAAGTTGGCCAGATGTGGGAACCAGTTGCGCGTGTCGTAGTATCGGCGCAGACACTGGAATGCACGCCAGACAGCCGGGAGGGCGGTGAAGAAGCCCAGTAGTCGCGAGTGGTTCGAGTTGCATTGTGCCGGATTGTTCCAATCGTTGACATACAGACAGAAGAAGACTTCGATTTGTCCCATGGCATACGTCTCCGAGCAGTACATGTCTCCCAAGTAAAAGTCCCGAAACTCCACAGGGTACAAACCGGCGAGCAGAAGCCTCCAATTCGAATAACCCCACCATCTTCTCGCATTGTAGTACAATGCCTTGAATGGGAGAGCCATGATAATCAGTGTAATTACTATCAGCAAGACTGGCGAGTAGAGAAACAACCAATCGCTCGTGTCGGCCTGGAAATTGATGTATAGAAACAATCCGTTCAGGAAAAGAAAAAAGCACGGTAGCTCTGCCAATTGGCGCCAATCAAGAACATGCCTGGTATCGAACTCGAAGATGAAGACGTAGTTGATATGCGCCTTAGTCCAGATCCGACAGTCGAGGCAGAAAAGGAGGAAAAGAAGCAGCGCCAGGAAGTAACCCGCATAGAGCTGTAGGAGATAGCTGATATTGGTCGACACTGGTGGACTTGAGTCGAAGAGCCGCTTTGTCCCCTGCACGAGGCCAGATATACCAAAGCAAACGCCGGCTGCCACGTAAAGACCGTTGCGAAACGTCGTTCCTGACTGGTCACCAGGCCCTAGCTTGGACCGAAGCTTCCTGACCGCAATCTTATGGTTTCCCCGTTCAAAATAACGAGCATATAGGTCTTCAACCGCCATCAGCAGGTTATCCACGACATCACTCTGGACGAAGTAAGCATCATTCACCTTCTCCGACATGTATCGAAGCGGTGGTCGGGCTTGCACAAGCTTGTCGTACTTCTTGTTGATCTTGCGGAACGCGGTTCGGTTCAACAGAGCATAGGATTTGAGCAATTCTAGTCCTCGATAGTATTCCTGCAAGGCCAGCTTTAACCGCCGCTTCGCGAACCTGTACGGGACATCATTTGGTCGCTTGTGCTGAACATAGTCTCGTTTGGCGTCATTTATACGCTTCTGTGCTTTAGGTCCGGGCGGGGAGCTCAGTTGCTGCATTGCCTGGGTGGTTTTACCGATTGTGCCGCGACGGCCCAGAGCATCTGGGATAATGGGTTTCTTGGTGATGCCTGTACCGTTTGTACCATTCTCAACAGGCAGTGCGTTATCTTTGCTCGGGACTCTTATGAGATCGGCCCCAGGAACAGAATTGTCCACTAATAACTGATTAGTTTCCTTCGGCTTCCTGGAATTCAATATCTCTGCCAATCTGCGATCTCTCATTTCGTGTAATTGTCTTCGAAGGACTTGTAAACGTTCAGTTGCTTCCTCCTCCTTCATCTTGTAAAAGTTCTCGATTTTGTCGAGTTCTCTGTCCAAAAAGGCGAAGAATTCTGCTTGTTTGGCATCAAGATCTCGATAGGCCTCCAGTTGGACATCATTCACATTTGGCTGGTCTAGTGGATAGGCGGAGAAAAACCTCTTGAGCCGGGAACGAGGGTTAGGGCTTGGCTTCGTGTCGACCATTGATTGATTCTTTGTGTCTTGTCGATTCTTAAACATAGATTTCGACAGGCTAGCTCCAACATGGTGTTTGTGGCGTGGCCTCGTCTCGCCGACATGATAGGGATCAGGAGCAGGCGGCACCTGAGCAGCCTCAGGCAGTGGAAGGTTCTCGTGAGATGGGGGTATCTCTCCGTCGCCCTTTGTTCGAGTCCTAGCAGGACTAAGGGCTGGATCAGGTAGCTCAAGGGCCGTAAATTGGCCGGGCGTTTCCTCTTGTGGTAGTGAACCGATGATGCTCCCGTAGTTCATCTGTGTCTGACCAGGGCCATACTGCCCATCTTCATGCAGAGGCCTCCGCTCCGGCGTTGACGCATAACTTGCGCCTCGTCGAGAGGGAACTAGTATGGGAGGTGAGTGCGCGAACAAAGTCCGGCTCTGTGCAGTGTCAGGACGTTGAAGCTGGTCTTCCGGCCCTTCTCGCGAAAGCCCCTCGCCGTCCGCCGGTAGTGACTGAGCGGTTCGTCCCGTGGTCGGTCGAGGGCGGTAAAAGTCATAGTGTGTGAAGGGTATTCTATCGGACGAGTCTTCGGGTAGTAGGGCTGGCCGAGCAGGAGCGCCAGGCGTTCGGTTAAGAGCCCGCAAGGCTCGGGCAATCGCTTTAATCTTTTTCTTGCCTTGCTGCTCACAGTTAGCAGTAAATCCACTGTAGGGCCTCACTCTGGTACCTGCCTTGTAATCGAGGTATTTCACTCTCCACTCCGGGACGGCTTCGTCCTCCAGTTCCCTACTGAGGTCAGCGCATCTGCGGTACAATCCAGGGAGGGCACTCTCGCGTACTTTGCGAACTTCATTTTGAATGTCAAGCCCTTTCCACCTCAATGTCTGGCGCACTAGCCATACTCCAAAGTAGAGGTGTTCGAGATCCGAAGAGAGATCCGGGGTAGGCGAGGTGGGACGGGCAAAAGGACAGCCATGGAGCACCAAAGTCTGGCCAACGCTGCGTCCGTCTCTCTGTGCGTCTGGCTGGTCAACAGAAGCGGCAGAACAGAATCACGGAAGACCAGCGTCATTTGTGGAGATCAGCGATAAAATGTACCACGTGCAGAGACGACACGACCGGGTGAAAGCCTGGTGATAACGTCTTGCCGAAATGACCACGTCATTATATTTGCTTTGCGATAGAGAGCGGGCAGATTGGTGGGAAATCCAATGAGAAGAGCCGTTGTCTTTTGAAATAATTATTACGCTGCCCACCTCCCAACGCGGCAACCAGTCAAACGGCTTCGAAAGGTCAAAGGAAACGACACGTCAAGCGGAAGATTCAACCGCCATTCTTGCACACCTTCTACATTCTTTCCCTGTCTCTGCCTCTCAAAAAACCACCAGGGTCCGTCAGCATCACTACTACACGAAGCCAGGTCTGCGAAGCCTAATTCGTCAACATGGTCTACACAATTGTCGTGCACATGCGCGCAAAATCCTCCGACCCAGCTGTAATCCGGAAGCTCAAAAATAAGCTGATCGAAGCCTCCCGCGTGTACTCCAAGGACAAAGAGACGCTATCTTGGTTTGTCATGCAGTCAGTCCATGACGAGCGGGATTTCACTATCGTTGAGCGGTACGAAAAAGAGAGCAGCCAGAAATACCACCTAGAAAACCCATACTGGAAGACCTTTGATCCTTACGTGAAGCCCTTATTGGAGGGTGAAATGGATCTGAGAAGGTATGAAGAATTGGATACCAGCCAGGACGTCGTGGTGGAATAAATCAAGGGATGGCGGAGCATGCAACAAGAGGTTATGGCCAAAAGTTCTGTAACATTTTCAATCATCGTTGATGTACTTGTCAAACACTTCAGGATAATGCCTCTGTCCGACGTCTCTATGACTTCGAATCTTGGTCCGCAGTTGCGCTTCTCCCCAAGTATCATAATTTCCACGCAAGAAAGGGCTGTCGATTCGTTGGCCCTCTTCTGATTCTCTTGTGTTCCACTTCTTGTCGTCAAAGTGCTCCCACAGTGTTTTCAGGTCTTCTTTGGTCAATTCCGGTTGAACTCCCTGGAAAAATGGCACACTATACCTGTCATAGTCGCCTGGGGGCAGGAGGACGCGGTGCGTTGTGGCCTTGCATACCCCATTTGTGACTACTTCAAACGCCTGACCCATATTGACGACGAATGTGCCGGGAACGGGAGGCACATCGAGCCAGACGCCGTCCTTTGAAAGAGCTTGGAGCCCCTTGATGCTCGGTTCCGAGGCCTGAAGAAGAAACGTCATCCATCCAGAACTGTCTTTGTGCGGGCCGACGCCTTGGGACTGGGCGTCGAGAGTGGCATCCGGCGAGGGTCGGTAATGTGCCAGCTTGAGGCGATGTTGTGGTCCAGTGAAGGGACTGAGGCTGCGAGGCGGCAAGCCCAGAGCTTCCGTGACCACTGTAAGAAATCGAAGTGCTAAATGTTGCATGGCTGCAATGTACGCTGACACTATCTCTCGAAATCGCGGAATAGCATCTGTCTCTAGCCACTGATTGGGACCTTGCAACCGGTTATACAGAGGCAGAGTCGGATTGAGGCCGTGCTTGTCAGGCAATTCAGTCGCATATTCGAACTGTTCCCTCTGGTCCTGGACTCGAGCAGTGACCTCGGCGCCAAATCTGCTGTATCCTAGAAAATGCGGAGACTGTACCATTGCCACCGATTCCTTTGCCTTCTCAGGTAACGTAAATAGCTTTGGGAGAATCGACCCCAGGTCCTGGATGATCGCTTCGTCTACCCCATGATTGGAAAGATATAGAAAGCCAACATCGATCAAGGCATGTCGTATCTCCTCCAAGGACTCTGGGCGGCTGGAGGGATCCTCAGCCTTGCGCAAGTCGATCGTAGGTATTGATGTGGTTCCCGGGCAAGCCTGATATGGGCATCGCATTTGCTACACGACAACAATTTCAAACCATAACTCTTTATAACAAGTGATCCCTGCATTTGCCGAGCGCCCAGGGCCCCCAACAACCTGTCTCCAAGTGATGAGGTGCTCGATGAGGTGCTCGAGTACCATTGGTGGTAAAAGCGGCAAGTTCAGGCCACCAAATGCAGCAACGCTCCGCTCAGGGAACTTTTGCGGCGTTCCAAGTTCAATAATTGACGAGATGCGCTTCATTGAGAAGCCATTGCAGAGTCGCTATTCACCCGGTTCGGAGCGCCTGGTGTTAAGCTAGGGACATAGAACATGTCTTCAGCTGGGTCGCCCCTCATCTACGTCTGCCGGAGTTGCAGGCAGAATGTCCGGCGGGCTTCGCAAACTCCACGATCATTCAGTACCACTGCTGCCAGATCAAAAGGTGCCGTTCAGAATGTTTTACTACGACCAGCAACCGCGTAGCTAACAGCGCTCCAGTGATACCTTCTTTCGCTCCGACGCCTTTTCCAGAACTTGACGAACTTCTGTTGACATGGCGCCACAAAGTGTTCATGCCGGCGGCGCTCCAGAACCACCACAGAGCCCTCATCTACAAGAAGTCGCGACACCAGACTCTCCTGAACGAACCTGGCGTGACGGTGACGATGTCCGACGACGAAGAGATCAAACTCGAGCCGATGAACTACTTCGACAAGCCTAATAAGCAAAAGTCTCTACGAACGATTGCCGAGTTCCTCAGCAACACCAACAGCGATGCCGTTTGGAAGAACCTGCCGTCGTTCCTGTCCGGGATGGTGCTGGCCAAACAGAAGATCCCTACATATTTCTACCAGAAGATCACGCGGAAAGCGGGCGAAAATGGCAAGGAGCGTATTATCATCCTGTGCGCGGAGAAGGCGGAGGAGACCGGCCTGAAACTGTCCAAGGGCACGGTTGCGAAAGAATTGATGCTTGCTTTCCACACCCGTGCGGCTCTCGCTGGTTTTAAAGGCGGTGAGCTGGAAGCAGCTATGCGCCGGGCGGAAAAGGTGGTGCGAATGCTGGAAGACGAGTTATATGATGCCGACAAGCTGAAAGAGGACGAAGTGGATGCTCGCAAGTCGCCCTTGGTGGCAAGTGTGATGACCGAACTTGCTGCGGCGAAGGCAATTGAAGGGCAGGACTCTGATGTTGCGAAGGTCGCCAACTACGCGACAAAGATGCTCCATCTTGCAGCAAAGGAACCTCACACTGGCTTGGACCACCCTCCTAAAGGGGACGGCATTCGCGAGACCCGTGCAGCCGCCAACATTGAGCTCGAGAACCTGTTGCCGATGCAGAATGCCATCAAGCTGGCTCTGGAACTGGAACCCATTAAAAACTCCCAGCTCGGGAAGGAGCTGACGGAAAAGCTGAGGTCCGTAACTGATGAGGTTGAGAAGAACGTGAAGGTCCTTCGTGACACCGCCGACGGTGAACCTAGGCGAGGCTTGGAGATGTATGATCAGATTCACGGAACGGAGTACAACCCGGTTGCAGCCAACGAGGCTGACGGGAAAAGCTCATAAACGGCGAACAGAAAGTGTCATATATAGATATTGTCTTATATTCCATGGTCAGGAGACGGCGATTCTGTACTATCATACTTGGAAACTTGGATTCGAGTATGTACCCAATATTATCTGGCGGATACGATAGTACCATGGTACTTGCAGATGGCATCTTGTGTATTGCCCCATGATATCCGATGAATGCTGTTGGTACACTAACTGTATAAGATCATGTACATGTATGCATCCTTATAACATTGCAACGGATGACCTGGTGTGGTGGTGCGAAGACAGCATCCCTATCAACTTGGGCGAAACATCCTCCGACGATCTCAATGATTATTATTATTGACCTGCGGCATACTAGGAGCCAGCGTCCATCATCCACACTGGCTACCCTTATTACTATACTATAGCCAGGCTCCCTCCGACCCTTTTCGACATTCCTCACGCTCACACCAGGACAATCATGTCATAAGACAACCTAGAACCCAGGGCAACGCCCTTTCCTCTTAGAGCAATCTATCTGCTTTCTCCTCTCTGTTCGGCGATTGCGATTTCACCAACCATGGCGAATCCTCAGTCGGAAGACCCCTTCCTCGAAGTCCAAACGTATGCAATATATAACTCCCTACGCCTCGCAGCGAAGTCAAACGAACTAACATTGGCCCCCCTCTGGGTCTCCTATCTTCCAGTGATGTCCAGGCAACCCTCCAATCAACCCGCCACCTATTCTCTTCCTACCTCCGCATCCGCACACTATCAACATCACCCACATCTCCAGAACTGCAACAGTCGCGGGCAGACTTACAGTCGAACCTCGAGACTTTGACAGCTGACCTCGCGGACCTACTTGAATCCGTGTCTGCGGCAGAAACCGACCCCTACAGATTCGGACTCGATGTGGCCGAAGTCCAGCGACGGAGACAGTTTGTCAAAGATGTCGGCGACGAGGTCGAAGGCATGAGGCGCGAACTTGAGAATATAACGGGCGAGACTTCTCAACATGTTGCCGCTGGGGCAGGATCCACGGGCCGCCTCCCGTCGACGGTCGCTGGCTCCCGGCTCCCAGCACCAGCGGCCTTTGAAGACGACGACGACGACGACGACTACAACAACGACAACGATCCTTATGGCGAATTCGAAGCCCAACAGCAAGCTACAATCATGGCCGAACAGGATGAACAGCTCGATGGCGTGTTTCAGACGGTTGGCGTGTTGCGTGGCCAGGCGGAGGATATGGGTCGCGAACTCGAGGAGCAGGGTCAATTGCTCGATGAGGTTGATACGTTGGCCGATCGGGTCGGTGGGAAGTTGAGTGTGGGAGTTAAGAAGGTGAACCAGGTCATAAGGAAAAACGAGGACACGGTCAGCAGCTGTTGTATTGCTGTCTTGATTGTCGTCTTGATTATACTGCTGATTTTGGTTATTGTGCTTTGAAAAGGTGTGGGAAATAAACCCGCGAAATTTACTAAAGGCAGGAAAGACTCGAGAAAATGGCTGCGAGAGACACAAAGGATGACCCGACGGCTTAAAAAGATGCAAACTTGAAACAGGTTCTTATTCGGTCACACAACTGATATTACATGTGGGAAGGTGGAAATGGAAGGCAGCAAACGTTCAGTCTTTGCGCTGGCGTTTCTTCGGTCTGTCATCCTTCGCATCCTCTTCTTCCACTTCCTGGACCTCGGTGGTGATTTCGCCCTCAACCAACTCCGGGGCGTCATCATCCGAGGATTCCTCGTCGTCGTCGACAATCTCATTGACCTCGGAGGATGAGTCGGATCCTTCTTGAGCAGACACTGCACGAAAGTCAGTACGACCGATTTTGGCAACTTTAGAAGGAATGCAATGCGACTCACTGAAATAATCCATGGCATCTGCCCAAAGTTCCTCTGCAAGGACGATGGCAACCTCTTCACCAGCCGGGAAGATCTCGACTTCCAACATTGGCTCTTCATCTTCGTCGTCTTCGTCGTCCTCATCCGCCCCGTTGGCTCCGTTCTCCGCAACAGCTGGTTTGGGTTGGGGAGTTTTGACGGCGCCGCGGAAGCCGAACCAGTTGAAGAAGCTTGGTTCCAGCTCGGGGCTCTCGTCCAGCTTGGCCATCTTTTCGCGCAACTTTTCATGCTGCCACAACGACTCCCGCTCGACAATGTCGATTTCGTTCTCCCCATTCTTCAGCTTCAGGGCTTCTTCTGCTTGGTAAAGTTCGACGGCCGCATCAAGCAAGCCGTGGGTGACGTCCCGCCGCTTGTTCTTCCATTTGATCGCGACTGGTTTGGACACCAAACTACCAGGGCCATCATCCCGAGGCTTGTACTCAAACTCTTTGACCAACTTGGTATCCTCTATGAAGTCGTTCTCGGCAAATTCGAAGGTGAATCGCAGACTGCGAGGCTCGCCAGCGGTTTCCGACTCAATTTGATATCGCTCCACGGAGAAGGATTTGATTGCGGAAATCAGAGCAAGGTCATCTGGCGACAAGAACTGTTGGATTTCCTCCGGTCCATTGCCGAAGACGGTAGGCCAGAAGTCGGGGATTTTGTCGAGCAGCTCTTTGCGCTTCGAGTAGAGAGGTTTGAGGGCAAACTCTTTCCTTCTCACTAGACAAAACTGTTAGCCGACATATACACTAGACTGGTATTCCTGCAGAGGCAAACCTACAGGCATCGAGTTCGACCTGTGCAAAGTCTTTTTCCAGGTCTCCAAGTTCCGCGAAGAGAGTGGTAACGTCTTCTGTATCGGTAGCCATGGCTTTTGGTGCTATATTCTGAACGGAATATTGTAAAATTAAGATGTTTCGTGTTGATTGTCTACAGGTCAACTTCGGTTCAAGAAAGAAGCCTCGAGCGCATTCAGAAAATAATTCTGCCGCGACTCGAAGTGAACTTTGAAAGGCGGTCAGCGAATGGAACGGTGCTACGTTGTTCCGCAGATGGCACTAGTACAGCATAATCATTGTATCACCGTTAAGCTACTACAAGTAGTAACCGTATTGGTACTAGTACTGTCGTTAGCTTGTTTGGTCGATCTGCTGCCACTGCAACTGCCAGTGCTGTTGCAACTCTTCTTGCGTGGTCCAAAGTTGTACAGCGTTGCAATGTTGTACATCCATCCCAGCAACCACATCGCGTTTGCGAGCCTATAACGTATATCAAATCAACAACTGTTGGCACAGGTTTGCCGAACTTATGCTCACGCCATACTTGCGTTGCCCAACCTTCTCTCGGGCGCGGGAGGGGCATTGTTGACTCGTGCTCCAATGTCCACTCCGGGTTCCGGGCTCAAGCATGTGGTGTAACGGTGTATACCCCTGACAATCCTGGCACGCTTCCAACAGGCCGCCAGGAAGGTACCCTGCATCACACTGGCGCAGCTGGGGGCGCTACTTGACTCGACAGACGACGTGCAAGCATGGAATCGCATTCGCTTCAGCCTCTCTACCTCATGTGCTATGCAACGAGATGTGTATAGACTTCGAGTACAGGCGGTCTAGAATTTGCCTGGCTGGTTCCATCGTCCGTCCCATGTGTCAAGCGGACTCGTTCCCAGGTTTGTTGGACGTCCCATGTGTTGACCCATGGCGTTCTACTGCAACATGCATGTTTCTTTTTGCCGGGTGCAGTTCAAGGTGCAGCAAGCTAGCGAGCAGGGAATCATGCACCCTGGCTTGAGCGACCACGCAGAGAACTTGTTGCTCTGTGGTTTGGAATCACCGGTCACAAGTGCTACCACGTCCTCCCTCTCCATCTCTCATGCCTGTCGTCGCTACGACAGTATGCTGCAGGGACTGCCGGGGTAGTCTAGTACGCCAAAGCACTCTCTACGGACACTCTTTCCCTTTTGAATGGTCACTCGCCTTTGACGTGATGCATGGAGTCTTTGCACGAATGCTATCAGCTCAGGTGGAAGGCTCCCATATCAAGTGTCAACAAGCTCATGGATCCCGCCCCCAGGCCTCCGCGCACTGCAGAGCCTGAACAGGCCTTATCCTTTAGCGGCACCGGCTCCGAGACTTGTGGCGTACGCTCTTGCACTACGGTGCGCCTCCAGGTGATCTGCTGCAACTCATCCTCTCATCATTGGAGCAACAGACGTTGGAACCTGTGATATGTTTGTCGGGTATGTATCCCATCTTCCGGCCCCACACCACCAATATCAGGCGAGGCGTGGTAAGAGTAGCACTTCCTGGTGATCAACGTCTGGATTGCCAGCGCATCCAATGCGAACTCGCGAAATGGACGGTGGTCGACTACCTGTAGCTTCCCCTCTCAGATAAGCGTGAGCGAGGCCTTGTCTCGCCTCGACCACGATGTCTAGAACCCTTGCACATAACAGCAGAAGGACTCTCGAAGCCTTGAGAGGTCAAGTATCCCACCGGCGCCCATGTACTCCGGTCGCCTTCTACAGTACCGATTTTTCCTCCTCTCATCCTCTTCCTTGCTGTCTTTTGTTGCGCTTTCTACTGCGTAGCTGAGTACTAACGGCAATATGACGGTGTATACTTCAGATGCAGCTGCTTTAGAGGCAGCTGGTAAGAAGCAGGTCTTGAAGGTGAGTAATCTGACGAATCACCACTGCTGCCTTTCCCGTTAACAAACTGGTCCCAGCGAGAATGGAATTTTTGGGCCTTGCTTGGTATGTCAGCGACGACGCTGTGCACATGGGAAGCCACAAGCGCCTTGTTCGCTGGCGCATACACCAATGGTGGACCTGCCTCTGTGGTGTACGGCTTCATCGTGTCTGTGTTTGGTACACTATGTATCGCAGCTTCCTTGGCCGAAATGGCTTCCATGTGCGTTGGACGACTGTGAAGCTCAAGAAACAATTACTGACTACCGGGCTAAGTTCACCAATTGCTGGGGCACAGTATCACTGGAGCGCCGAACACTCGCCGTTGAAGTGGCGCGCCTTGATCAGCTATATTCAGGGCTGGATCACCATCACCGGCTGGGTCGCCGCTGTTGCATCGGTGTGTTACTTGATTGCAACCATGATACAAGGGTTAGCCATCCTCAACTATTCGGGATATGAAGCGAAAAGGTGGCATGCAACTCTCATGATGATTGCATTTGCTGGCGTCGCAGCTCTTGGAAATACCTTTGGCAAGAAGTTTCTTCCACTTTGGGAGACCCTTGGGGGTGTGCTGCACGTTTTGTTCTTCTTCATCGTCATGATCGCCATCTTGGCTACAAGCACCAAAGCCAACAACGATGATGTTTGGGGAACTTTGATCAATGACGGGGGCTGGGGTAGCGATGGCGTCAGCTTCTGTCTGGGGTTTCTCACGCCAGCCTTCGCCCTGGCCGGCGTTGATGCCGTGGTACACATGAGTGAAGAAGCATATGATGCTCCAAAGAATGTGCCTCGAGCAATGATTTGGTCGGTGGTTATTAATGGAACGGCGGCCTTCGCCTACATTCTGACCATTCTGTACGCCATCACCGATACCGATGCTGTCTTTGAGACACCAACCGGATATCCCATCATTGCTGTTTTCCTACAAGCAACGAACAGCCAGAAAGGCGCCACCGCGATGATGACAGCCGTCGTCCTCGTCTTTACTATGAACCTTTTTGGGTGTATGGCCTCGGTGTCACGACTGATCTGGGCCTTTGCTCGAGATAAAGGGCTTCCCTGCTCCCGAGTATTCTCTCACATCACACCGTGGAACAAGTGCCCGACAAACTCGGTTCTAGCAATCTTTGCTGCGGTTTCCCTTCTGTCACTCATCAACATTGGTTCAACGACCGCCTTTAATGCCCTGATTTCGTTGACCACCTTGGGCTTCTATTTCTCCTATGCGATCCCAACCGTCATGTTTGCAATTCGGCGATTCAGTGTCGACAATCCAATCAGCTTTGGACCGTGGACCATGGGAAGATTTGGCTTGTCCGTCAATATTGCGTCTTTGGTCTTTTGTCTCTTTCTCATCATCTTCCTGCCGTTCCCGCCAGTCCTCCCGGTCACGAGCCAGAACATGAACTATGCTTCTCTTGTATTCATCGGGGTCATGGTCATTGCCGCGGTCAACTACTTTGTTCGTGCGCGGAAACGTTTTCATGGACCGATTAAGGAGGTCGCTAGTGAGGCAAGTAGCGAAAACGTCGCTCATGAATCGGTGGTGGCGGAAAAGCAGGCACCGAGCACCTAAAACGACCGATGAGATTGAGGGCTTACTCTACTACGGTGCACTCTTTTCTGGATATCGGGATCAACGGCTGCTCATACGGCAGTGTCTACCTGCAAGTCTTCCAAGCATCTCGTGAAATCCTGGACCAACACAAGAACCATCTACAAATAAATAAAAGCAATACCTTGCGAGTTGCACATATGCTTCCAGCTTAGATAGCAATCCTTACATACAATTTTATTCTGCAATACCACCTTGGAGTCGACTACCATTGCCTTGCTCCGCATTCATACCAAAAATGATCTTAATCTCGGAGCCTGACCTTGAGCCTCAACGATGGCCAGCAGACCACAATTCGAGGCGGCGAGAGATTATCTTTCACTGAAGACCAGCAGCAAAGAAGGGAGTTAAGCCGGAGCGAGTAGTTTGGTTAAGCTAGAAAGCATGGCTGACGGTTGTTTCGAAAGGGAGATTGACGAACTGTGATCGCCATGATCGTCCTGTTGACATCGGACGAGCAAACAAACACACAGCGAACGTTGATATATATAACCGAGATCCTGGAGAAGACTATGACCGCATAACTATTGATTGCCAACAACAATGGGTAATATTTTCGTCTGAAAGATGAAGGCGATTCGAGATGACCCCTCAATAATGGCTTGCGTGTTAAGGTCGGTCTGCAGTCACAAGGCAATATGTGAGCCTACCCCGAAAGAGGACGGGGATTCCCTGGATCTAATCATCTAACTCGGAAGACTGAAAGAAGAACGGGACTACAACGTACATTGTACAATCATCTCATCGTGGACAGGAGATTGTATGAAATAGCCAGGACCAACCATTCGCCCAACTGGTTTTGGCGGGCATGAGATCTTCTATTCTATATATCTAGCGCGGAGGCGGAGTCCGTTTCTATACAAGTAAGTAATCTGGAGGGTGCGGTGAGAACGGAGGAGCGCGGTGCTTTGTCATCTGCTTGTGCCTGGCTAACAGGACTAGGCGAATTTCGGCCAGACCAGTGTTTGTGTATCTTGTGGATCGTGCAGATTGCAATCTGGGGATTACAAGCATCGAATTGTGAGCGCGGAAGGTTGATTCGATGCGCTGAGGTGTTGTCGTTCCTTTCAGTGTTGAATCTCGCGCGTACAGTACTGTCCAACTCCCAGCCTCGTCACACGCGCAAAGAGAGGATGGTGGTTTGACCATGGATGAGGGCTGGTTTCGGTCTTGAACGATCTCGAACTGACAGCACGCCCAGAATTAATTTTCCGGGGACCTGCGACCTGAGATTCGGACACAGTCGATCCGCTGGGGTGGGGGCCAGAGGGAGTCACAGACCTGAAAGGGTCCCGAGCTCGGCGATGAGCACGTTGTATACAACGTTGTACGTTGTACCCGGAGATGAGGCTGGTCGGAGGCTGTGTTGGGTGTTTTCGTTGGCGTTGGCGCGGGAGAAAAAGATGAAGTGAGGTCGAAGCTGGAGCCCCTGAACGGGCCAGCCTAGTCCGAAACAGGAAAAGGAGGCACCCCCTGGCGGGAAAGCGACTTCAAGCACTTCAATTTCCTCGAATCACTTTGTCTGCCTTGCGCTCCACCACGTCTGCTTCCTCCACCCTGTGTTCCTTGCAGACATCAGCCTGGAGATTAGCATCTTCCCGTCGCGCGCAAACACGCCAAAACTCTTCCCAGACACGCTCAGCAGCTTGCATAGGCGCCTGGCCCTAACCCGTTCAGTTCGTTCAGGGACCTGGCAAGCCCGCTCTCTAGCCGTCGTACATTTGGAAATCTCTGACGTTTGCTCTTCGACCTCATGGTTCAATCACCAGAACAAAGGGGGAAACACCACCCCAGGGTGAAGAAGTTACAGCCACAGGTAACACCAGGCATCATGGGGGCATCATGGCCTACCCGTAGTCAAGCTTTACCGTTGTTCATCCGACAGCCTGATTTCTGAATGGCCAACGGTAGGTCGTTCCAGATTGACGGTGGAGAGATTCTGTCATCGGTCCATCCAGGCCTGTTGTCCCTCCGGCGCGAGGCCAGCCCGCCTGCCATGCGCTAGGTAAGCTTCGTTCATATGGCCTCCTTGTGCCTTGTGCTTTTCACGGTTTCCTCCTGGCTTTCCTTTCTTCACACTCTCCCATACCCACGGTCCTTACCACTCGCGCTGCAGGCTTTTGCTTGCGTCCAGTCTTTCCTTTCCACTGTTCGGGCCTCTTGTTGCCCAGTCACTCATTTCAAACTCTGAAGAAGCGCTTTGTTTTTTCGTGCCTTTCATTCTCTCTTTTTTCCAGTCTTTTACATCATGGCTCCGACGAGATTGACCGCCAGCTTGCTGGCGGCGTTGAGCCTTGCTTCTTCTACTATCGCATCACCGATCGAAAGCTCATCCAAGAGGGATTTCGCTACGACGCCAAAATTGGCAGTATACTGGGGAAATGGGAACGCTCAACAGAGACTGGCCGATTTCTGTCGCGACACGACAATCGACGTCATCCCAATTGGCTTTGTGAATACCTTCCCGGATCACTCTGGCAACAATGGCTACCCGGGGACCAATTACGCCAATGCTTGCGGAAGTCCGTACTGGGTTGCCCCGGATGGCACCCAGACAAAGATGTTTACAGAATGTTGGCAGATCGCCGAGGACATTCCTGTCTGCCAGGCATTGGGCAAGAAGATTCTTGCCTCTATCGGAGGTGATACTGCAGGAAACACCATCTCATCAACCACTTCGGCCAAGGACTTTGCCGACTTTTTATGGGGAGCCTACGGTCCGCCTCAGGACACTACTGAGACGTTGTATCCTCGTCCGTTCGGCCAGAACGTGGTGGATGGTTTCGACCTAGATATTGAGTCTGGTGGTGGCTTTGGGTATGCGGACTTGGTCACGGAGCTGAGAAGTAAATTTGCCAGCCAGTCCAAGCAGTACTACATTTCTGCAGCTCCGCAGTGTGACGTTCCGGATCCTCAGCTGGCCAACGCGATCCAGAACGCCGATTTTGACTATATGTATGGGACCTTGTCCGCTCCGTTATTCGGATTCTGCTAACGTAAACCCTAGCTTTGTCCAGTACTACAACTCTGCTCGATGCTCTGCCTCATCGCTGTTCAGCTCTGGCAAGCTGAACACCGCAACCGACATCACCTTCGGTTGGGCACACTGGCTGCGGACGTACTCGAAGAATAAGGCTGTCCAGCTTTATGTTGGCCTTCCGGCATCCGAGTCCGCCGCGAACGATGCCAGCTTCTATCTGTCTCTACCCGAGGTCAAGGCACTACTTGAGGCGTATGCGTGCAGCTACACCTATCGTTCCATCTTCGGTGGAGTCATGCTGTGGGAAGCCACCTACTCGGCCAACAACCAGATCAACGGCAAGAGTTATGCTCAGAACGTAAAGGAACTCTTCAGCCAGTTGTCTTGTGCTCCTGCTGTAACGACGACCACCACTAGCACGACCACCACCTCGACGACCACGAGCACAACCACAACGACTACTACAACCCAAGCTCCAACGACTACAACTACGACCACGACCACGACTGAAGCTCCAACTACTACTACCACCACAACCACAACCGTAGCCTCAACCACTACTACCACTACTACATTTGAAGTTCCCACCACTACTACTTCCACCACCACTTCGGAGGCCCCGTCGGCTACTACTACCACTTCCTCAAGGAACGATGTCGGTCCTATCGGCGGCACAAGCACCACCACCACCTCGACCACCACCACGGCTACAATAACTTCCGCGACCATTACGACATCCTCGGGCAACGACGTTGGTCCCATTGGTGGTTCGACCACTACTACAGGTGCAGTAACCACAACCACCACTTCTTTCGACCCCAACACCAGCACGTCCACCACCACTTCTGGCAACGCGGTCGGTCCCGTTGGCGGTGCTACCACCACGACTACCACCACGTCCGCAGTCGGGGCTCCTCAGGGCACCTCTACATCAACAACCAGCACCACTGTTGCGACAACCACCACGCCCGCCGGTACATGGGTCGACTGGACCGTCGGAAGCAGCTCCACAAGCACCTCGAGCGTTGTTGTCGGCCCAACCGAGACTTCTGAGACCAGCACCACGACCACCACTCCCTTTGCCTGGCAAGATTGGTCGGCGACCGTCACAGTGGCTCCTACTACGACCACTGCGTCCGAGACGGTCGCTCCCGATGTCACCACTACGGTCTTCGTGACTTCGTACGTCGATATCTGCCCAACAGGCTTCACCACTCGGCCATATACTCTGACCACAACCATCACCGTTACACCCAGCGCGACGGTCAGCTCCTTCGTCTGGCCCACAGAGACCAACGGCCTTCCAAGCGGCTTCACAACCACCGTGACTGTTTGCACACAGTGCGCCGAGACCACCACCACGGTGACATTGACAATTCCCATTGCCACCGCGACGGCCGTGCTGACTCAGACTGTGGTGCCCGTTGTGGCTGTTCCGGCTTCCAAGACCACCGTTACTGGTGTTGAGACTGAAATTCCTTCGCCGTCCTTCACAGCAATTACTTTGGCCTCTTCTGTCCCTGCTACCATTGTCAGCGCAGCCAAACCCACCGAGACTGTCGTTGTCAACAACGCCGCAGTGCCCGGCGCCCAAGGTTCCGGCTCCAGCTCCAGTTCCAGCTCCAGCTCCAGCGCCTCGACCGCGATTGCACCGGCGGCTACCTCCATCAAACCGGCCAGTAACAGCGGATGGCTTGCCCCTGCAGCTGGCCAAAACTCGACGTCCTCGGTGTCTCCCGCCATTGCCCCGTACACCGGCGCTGCCGCCCAGCAGCAATTGCCGGGGACCGTCTTGAGTGTGGCTGTTTGCATGGCTGTTGCTGCTGTGTCATTGTTCATTTAATTCGATTAGCCGGATCTGTCAACTGCATGATGTCTTTATTTTCGGACATGGTTTGAGCGTGCAATTCTAATCTGGGAAGCGAGACGGCCGAATTGGGTGTGTTTCTGTTTGGACTGCCGAGCAATTTTTATGTCGATTGTTTAGCTGCCAATACTGATGCATTTGCGTTTGTGTGTTCCATTGGCTGTGTGAGTGATATCCATCACTGTCTTCTGTCGCCCTGAGGGCCTTGCAAAGATCTTGTTGCAGACAGTTTATCAAGTGTGCGAGGAAGAGTCGAATCCATGCTCAAGGCAAAGCTTGGAACAGCGCAAGGTTGATGACCTGTTGAGTGGATCCCTTGTCTTTCGGTACACGGGCCCCACTCAGCGAGAAAACCTGCTCCACGTTCAAGTCTGTTTTTATCTCCCTGTTCGTGTTGTTTGTCCATGACCACGGACCGAGTTTTCATCCATCTGCATGTTGTCTATCTTTCTGCTTTATACCACTGTTCGTGTACTTCCTGGCCATATCGTTTGCCTTTTCTCCCTTTTATGATGCTATTTTCCCCAGCTTTTTATCCACTTGATTTCCCAGCTTTGTCTTCCCCCCTGGTGCAGTACTCTGTGCCTGCCCCGCCTGGCCCTCCGGCTTGCTTTTCCGAAGCAATTCCTCGCCCCGTCCCGACTTGACTTGGATGCTTTCTGAAGCCATATCAACCATCAGTGTTGTTCCCACTTTCCGCACAAGGCTGAAGACTACGTTTGGCCCTTTTATTTCTACCCTTGATTAGTCTCGGTCCCATCATAGGGGTCGATCAATATCTCATGTCTCTGTTCCGTCTTTCAATGTCCATCCTGTTCTGCCGCTATACAACTACCTCCTTCGGGTCCCCCAACATCGGTTTTTCTTTTGTGTTCTCTCATAGTTGTCGCCTGCCTCTCTCCCCTACCTATCTCCTTCCCTATCTACCTCCTTTCCTTCTTACTATCTACTTACGACCTTCCTACTTTGCTATCTCTCTTCTTTCCTTGTTCTCTTCTGTCTTCCTTACCCCCTCCCGCTCTCTCTCTCACTCCCTCATTCGCTTTCTTGCTCCCTTTCTCTCCTTAGTACTCCCCTCGCACTTTCTCAGCCCCTTGTCTTTCTCACTCCCCATCTCCCTTCCCCACCCACTCCCTCCCTATCTACCTAAAGCACTCCTAAGACCTGAAGACTCCCCAAAAGGAGCAGCAAGCATACCTCAGCTTGCATATTTACACTGGCATCCCCTGCTTTCTGGTCCATTCAGTCATATATCACACACCACACACCACCTGCTGTAGGTACCATCGACCCCACCAGTCCTGTTTTCATCTCTTCCTTCCTCCGTTCATCCTTCCTTTCCCTGTTTTCACCTTTTTCTTCCCGGGTGCCCTCCCTCCTCAACGCCCAATTCTTACCGGGCGCCCTCCACCCGATTCATTAATTCACCACTTTATCACTTTCGATTTCCAAATTCCTCCCAACATTCACAGGTTGCACACACTCCCATGGTCCAACATGGGTGGAGGTGTCACACACCTCTACGGTCTCTTGGCCTGATTGATTTGTCGCCATCTTTCACGTCCTGAGATCCGTGCTCCTGTAGTGCTTGGCACTGGGCGCGTTGAGAGAGCCACACTATGGAAACCATCTCCCGACTGACCATCCCCGACCGACCGATCCAACATTGTGGGATGTGTTTCCTTATCGGCTCTCTCTCTCTTCCGCAGGTGACCTTAAATCCAAAACCCAGCCGAGGACATTAACGGTTCTATATACCGACTATGAGGCGAGGTTAACTCCAACGCGCGAGATTTTTTTGTCCTTGAAAGGTTTGGGGTTCGCGCTGCGCTTGGAGCAGGCTTCCTTTTTTGTGCCATGCCCCTAAGGAAAGAAAGTGGTCCAGCACTCGGGGGTTGGGGGTTCGAGTCACGCTGCGCTGGCCAGATTCTTTTTTGTGCCATTGTTTTTCCTGTCCGATGATGATGACAGTGTGTTTTGGTTCTGGTATCGATCCATTTCACGTGAGATTACTTGCTGTCCTTGCTTTCTTCCTTGCACTTCCAAGGTCGAACTGTGATTTGAGATGACCAAGGTCATCACCGTGCAGTGCCCTGTATTCCTACTTGCTTATGTACGAGCGAATCCACGTATATTTACACATTTGTACCTTGCTTCCGTCTGAAGTGTGGGACTACTCTATTTGACTGTGATGTTATTGTATCTAGTGCACAGCTACCAGCGACGGAGGAGAGAGACTCAGAGATGTTCAGGGCTCTGCGAGACAGCTACAGTTCATTGCTCAATCAACGGCTTCACTTCCATTCCATTCCATTCCCTATCCTTTCTTGCACATTCAAGTTTGGGGGGGTTGTTTGCCTTTCATCTAGCCCGAAGAATCAGACGACATGGCATAGTCATAAGAATTTCTAAGGTAGTACATAGAGAATAGGTAAGTACGTAGGTGAGTTGGATAAGGTATCATATGCGCTACCGGGGTCGATTTCACCATTCATAATCGTCTAACATATGTGTTTTGAGGACTCCTTCTTGTCGTTTGTCGCCACCTACTTGACTCTGCTCATGACGGTGTCCAGACCGCGCTCGGCATAAGTAGTAGCGGCAGCCTGTTTAACAGCCGTGATCATAGCACGATCCCAATCATCTCTTGTCTTGAGCACACCCTCAACCCAAGACAATTGAAGATCCCAAAATTCGCGCTTGAACTGCTCGTAAACAGCAACGACCTCAATTTTATCTGCTTCGAGCAACTGGACGGTAAAATTCACGGCCTTCCATTTCGGTTTGATGGTCTCATTAAAGGAGTCGGGGTATTTTTCAAAGAAAGCAAACGCGGCAAGAACATCATCCCTGAATTTGGCAGGGAAGGGTTCGCCTCTTCTAAACTTGACGCCTCGGTTAGACTTGATGGCGGTCAAATAATTCACCAACAGGGCATCCGAGAGCTCTTCGATCAGAATGTCCAGGAGTGACGGATGCAGAACCGAGCTGTAGTCTCCAATGTAATCGTCGAACGTGGTGGTGATTCTCTGCATGGCTTGTTGTTCGTACCATTTACCGGGGACGAACAACTCTGTCAAAATGGTGCGGAAATCGACTCGGAAAATCAGCTGCACGAAACAATTGATACAGTGAGTCGCTAGATCCACATATCCGTCTCGAAGGGCGTCTAACTCGGTAGTTCCGTTCGTGGACATGAACTTGGCTGATGGCGGTGTGGGCAATCTGGCGAAATCTTCGCGGAATCGCGTCAGATAACCCTTTTGGGCAGTCGGGTCGTCGATGATATCGCCCGCAGCGTCGTCGACGCAGGCGATCTGGTCGTTGGCAATGGCCAACAGCCAATCTTGTAGTGGTTGTAGCGTTTCAAGTAGTTCGGGTGTCGGGTTGGTCTTGTACCGATCGACTTCTTCATCAATCAATCTCTCCCATTGCTGTTGTCTGGATTTCAGGGCGGTGAACATGGCGCTCATAACGCCTTCCACAACGTCTTCGCGTGCTGAATCCCCAGCTGCCTGCGCTTGCTCGTGCAACATGCGCCACATGTCACCTAGGGTTTTCGTTCGGAAATGGCCGTCCGGGTCCTGCTCGATGGCTTCGGGGCTTCTTGCCAAAAAATTCTTCCGGTCAGAAACATACATTCTGTCCATCCATGAAGTGAGCGCTTTGGTAATGATGTTTCTGTACTCGCGAATGAGGTCGGCTTCGCGCGAGTCCAGGACATGTGGTTTCAATTGAGCCGACGGCACTCCGATCTTGTTCATTCTGGTGTAATACAGATCGACGTAATGGACGATGCCGAGCATCTGTGGCGGTCGGAGATCCTCGGCATCAACAAATGAGATGAGGAAGTCGTGCATCTGTTTGTGATAAATGTCGACGTAGGTCTGGAATATCCTCCATTTCTTCGGAAACAGCTTCTGCATGCCATCTCTGCAGGCGACGAGATCATTAAAATACCACCTGGTGTGTTTATCCAGTCGATCTGGATCTGCTTGGAACTGTTCCCTTGTCACCTCGAATCTTGACTCAGCAACATTCTTGATCGCTTCAAGGAATTTCTCTTTATAGCCACGGATGGACTTGGGGCCGATTGTAAAGGATGTAAACTTGCTGACGAGATCTTGATGGTCCTTTTGGGCGTCTTGGATGGCGCGCACTCTGGCATCGTTCTTCTCTTCTGATGCTATCACAATTGCAAGCCGGACAATGATTCCCGCGCGGTCATCTTGTTGTACCAGGTCCATGAGATTAAGGCAAATATGGCCCAGGTGCTCGTCAAACATTTCGACCACATTGTCCAGCGGCTGAAACCAGTCTAGTAGCGTTTGCTCCAGACTGGAATCCTTGCCTTTTCGGATCTGATCCAGCGCTTCGTCTCGGAAGTCGCGCAGTCGCGTCAACCGCATGTGTGCCTCTAGCAGGTTCCGCTGTTCGTCCAAATCGTTCTCGTCTTCCTCCAGGAGTCTCTGTACGTAGGCGCAATCCTTCTCGAAACTGTCAAGTCCGGCCTGCATGGCGCGGGTGGCCTCGAAATTGCGATGTACCCGCGCGAGATAATCGAGTTGTGGAAAGTTGCGCCGGATGGCCTGCGCCTGTTCGCAAAGGTCGTGTATGCTCTTCATTTCCTCTTTAATTTGTCCCACGAGCTTTTGCCCTTCTGATAACGTCGACATGCCATTTTGTGTATTGTCCAAATGCTCTTGCAGTCCTTCTCGCAGTCGAGCGTCCACGTCGCCTTTTCGACGACTGATTTCTGCTTTCAGTCCTGTAATCTTTTCCAGGTCTTCTGGAGTGCGTAGCGCATCTTGTATGCGCGGCATACCCCCGCTAGTAGTCGCACTCACGGAGGTAGCCATGGTAAATGACTAGTAGGGCACGTTTGAAGAGCGATTGGTTGTATGTGCAGGGCCGTCGGATATCTTGTTCCATCAGTAAGCCATAATGAAGGAACCCAGAGTGCCGGCCTCTGGGAGATATTACATGTGGCCCGCGAACAAATGGCTGCCAATGTCCATCGCGTCGTACTGTAGGTATGTTGTAGTTGCACATGGAAGCGCAGTTGACGCTGATCGATAATGGTTTGTAGGCAGCCTTACGCTTGTTGAGGCGCCGCAGCCTGACGCCGCTTCAGCCAATCAAGTCTCTTTTTGTGCCCCTGATTTCTAGCTGCATAAATTACATGTCTTCCATTGCAAATCCAAGGCGATACAGACCTCGTTCAATGTTAAGTCAACGGTGGTTTATTCAATGGTAATCAAGGATGTTCAGAAAAGGTCCCAATGTCTCATCATTTCCACGTTTCAACGAAACTAAGTATCCATCAGAGTTTCATTTGTAGTAATCACTGACAACCGCCACTCCATCCCCTGTATGACCTTCAAAATCCGTACTGGTGGCAATGGCATTGCTTTCCTTGAATGATTCTTCTAGCTCTTTCATCACGATGGAAGAGAGTTTGACTGCATCTCTCCCGAACCAAAACCTGCTAGTGTTTTCCAACCCTTTGGCCAAGCCGGTGCCGTCGACCACATCGACAATACGCTCACCAAACTTTGTCGGATCTCCAGGCATTTGCGAGGGATCTTGGGCCAATGTGCCGACTGTGTTCAAAACCGGGCCCAGCGGTGCCAGGTAGGACTCTGAAAACCCATTGGATGGTTGTTTCGAATTAACCAGAACGTTGGTCTTGTAAAGACCGGCATTGATGATGACTGTACGAATGTTGAAGCTTGCCAGTTCCTTGCCCAAGATGCTCTGAAGTGCATCTTGCGCAGCCTTGGGGCAGCTATACATTGCACCTCCTGGACAGGGATAAAACGCGAAGATTGACGAGATTGACACGATGGTGCCGGATTTGCGGGCCCTCATGGAAGGCAAGGCGCCCTTGAGCACTCGAATGGGACCCCAGAAGTTTGTGTCCATGGCAGCCTGCATTTCTTCCTCGCTGTACCATATATCGTGAGCCAATGTCTTGGAGTCGTTGGGCAGGGAAAACAAGGCTTCAAGATGGACTTACTCAAGATCTTCGATTGAACCGGCCAGAAAATATCCGGCATTATTCACCACCACGTCAATTCCTCCAGCATTCTCGGCAGCTTTTTGAACGATATCTTTGGTTTCCTTTGACGTAACATCAAGCTGCAACCACTGTCCGCCGGCCTTCTCGACCTCGGGATGGGCTGAAGCTGCTGCTTCAGGGTTTCGAGCACCTGCGATGACCTTATGACCAGCTCTGAGCGCAGCTAATGTTATTGCAAGGCCCAGTCCCTGCGAAGCTCCAGTCACCAGCCATGTTTTGCTGCGTTGCCCTTGAGACATGGTGACAGGCTGTCTTTGCAGATATGATGGCACATCCCATTGTAAACTTGAAGGATCCAACGAGCACTTTTATACCATGAGGGGGGAGCGAAGGGGTTATACGATGAAGTGGCCTAAGGCCAGGGCTGGCCTTACCCAGGAAAACCCAAACAACTGGGCAAGCAACGTTATGGTTCAGCTGAGATGCATGTTCACCTTATCCGCCAATGTTAGTTCAGAAAGTGTCAGGCACACATCCTGGGTGAACGATACGAGGCGTCCACTTCCGGGAACAGATAATGGCTGGCTGATCAACTGCATTTTCTCACAAGCAAGCTTTCCATAAGATAAACCAGCGGGCTCGTATATCGAATCCAACTCGGTCGCGATAGCCTCTGTTAACATGTATGACGGCCTATTCCCCCAAACACTGCCGAGATGTTGCTCGGGAAGTCAGCTCTGCATGGCGGCTCCGGGCAGCGTCCCAACGAACAGAAGCAGCTTCAGAAAGACGACCGAAGCAGAAGCACCGGAGGGTTTCCGAACACTGTAGACAGCCGATAGACCATGCAAGCTCGACGATAATACGAGCACTCATTGACGCGGAGTTCGACTTTCATGCTACAATACGAGTAGTACTAGTAGCTGGTATCCCTTCCCAAAACGGCTAGCTCAATTTGCGTTTGTCTCTTCGGCTTCATTTTGTTTTCGTGAACCGCAACCACAAGAACATCTTCATATTACCCATCATTCCATTACACCTCAGGATTCGAACGACGCCTCAGGCCGATGTTGAGATAAGAGACGCTCAAACCTTTCCAGCGACAGTGCAGCCCCCATCACAGCTCCCGAGATGTCTTATTTCCGCATAACGTTAATCCGATCGGCCATTGGTCTTCCGGCCAAATCTGGCAACGTCCTCAAAGCTCTTGGGCTGCGGAAACGAATGGCAACAGTATTTCATCCGGTCACACCGTCCGTCGCCGGCCAGATCATGAAAGTAAAAGAGCTTGTCGCTGTCTCGGAGGTGGACAAGCCTTTGACGAAGGAGGAGGTGCATCAAGAACGAGTTCCCGACGCCGGATTCTACGTCGAATCAAGAGCAGAAGATATGAGACAGAGATAAGGGGCTTGATCACTAGAGCGATCACACGAGGTGCCTAGAATGCCTCGGGGCCGGGTTTATCGGACACACGTTACCACGAGCCTAAACTACCACAATTTCTACGAGGGCCTGACAGGCACCTCATGCGGCGCTACCGGCTCACAAAATCTCCCAATCACAAATCAGCTTTCTGCCTTGTGTCCAGACTTCGAGGTCCCAAGTTGATGTCCATAGCGGGAAATCAAACGGAAAGGCGTGGACAGACCCAAACGCGGAATATGATTCGACGGTTGCAAGATGGATAAACAATTGAGTCTACTTCAAACTCACTATGTGAAAAAGAATACCCCACCGCCGGTATCGCAATGTATAATTGCGCCCAGCTGCGTCCATCCCACAAGGACTTCGAGAGCTTCAGTGCGGCTTCAGCAAGCTTGAAGAGGCGATCGGAAAGCGAGAAGGGGACATGTCCGTCGCTCAATTGCATGTTTGGGCTCTTGACGGCTGATATCAATGACGGAACTTTCTTGGGCCGTTTTCTAGGACGAGCAGAGAATATGGAAGAGCTTGAGTTATGTCTGGGGAACTGGCGCAATATCATCTATGGGCGGAGCTTAGGGGTCTGTGTTTCGAGATCTGCCACAACCCCTTCCCGGTAGGCTCCTGGAAACGGTTGCAAGCGTATGAGAGGTTGTCAAGCTCATAGTACTAGTATATGGTGCACACGGTTCGCTTTGAATCTGAAAAGACTACACCTCATTGTTGGTCGTTCGTGGGCTCTTGGTGTATGAAGTGAACCCCAACATGACCCTTCACCTCTGCAAATGGCGCATACTTAATGTGTTTAAGCGACAGGTAGATTGAACACCTCGTGAGACTCAGCATTCGGATTCTTGATCAGATATAGAACGGGTGCATGTATGCTTCACGTTGTAAGGGAGGACATAACTCCACCGTGCACCAATCAGGAAGCTTCTATGCTGCTGCTGCGATTCGTTGTTGGCGGGTGCATTGAGAGGCCCCGAGTCTGTCGTCATTTCAACGGAACTTCGAGAAACACACAGGCAGTGCACCCCCAGCATCTCTGGGCTTGAGTTCCAGTTCGCAGCATACCGAAACCGAACTGCTCCAGTCCATTTACACTTGCAGCAAAAGATCCCAAACCCACGGTCACTAACGTACCTAGCCTACGTGTTTCCTTCGAAACCCGGTGTCTACCCATACCTCTCTGTGCCGCAATGAAAGCAAGCACCCTGCTCCGCTCCTCCCGAGCACGACCATCTACTCCTCTCAACCTCGTTGTCCATCGCAGCAGCACAGCTTCCACGCGGCGATCAATACTGCTCCCGATATCGACAGCCTCGCCGTCCTCTTCAACTCCCCACCTGTCCCGCCGTCTAGCAGCGGCACCGTTCTCGACCACCCGAGTCGTCGCAAAGGGCATCCAACCGGACAGCGCAGAGCCCACAGCCCCCAAACCCGAGTCGTCCACCACCGGCAGCTCTCAGCAGCCAGCACAGATTTCGGACGCCGAGTACCATGAGATAGCGGACCAGTACCTGGACACCTTGGTGCTGGCGGTGGAGGAGATGAGCGAGACGAGCAACGAGGGGATTGAAGCCGAGTTCTCAGTAAGCATACCACATACCCATAACATCCATACGACAACTCCCACTCGTTCGGAAATGTGAAACTAATATCTTCTGTTCTTTCAGGCCGGCGTCTTGACCATCACCCACCCCAAGAACGGCACATACGTGATCAACAAGCAGCCGCCGAACAAACAGATTTGGTTGTCCAGCCCGATCTCCGGCCCGAAGCGGTACGATTGGGTCGCCTTGGGACCGGGACAGCACGAGAAAGAAGATTCGACCGTCGAGGCTGGTGACAATGGTGCTGGTGGACGCTGGGTGTATTTGCGCGACGGCAGCTCGCTTTCAGAACTGTTGAAGAAGGAACTGGGTGTGGAAATCACGAAACACGATGAAAGCGATGTCGTGGGCGGTCGAGAGGGTCCTGCTGGTGGTGGTGCTAAGCTGGAGTAATGAGAAAATTGTTCGTTTACTACAGATTTGTCTAACAGTCTACATCTGATTGTACGGCAGCAATACAGAATTGGCAGCAGACCGGAACAGCTTTTTTTAATTTCGAGTGGCCGAGCTCGGGTTCACAGGCCACCCATTATGGCAAATCGAATCAATATATACCCCCCCCCTCTCTCTTCAAGTTTCTATGAATTACATTGTACCAAGCCAATGTTCTTTGACTTCCGAAGCCAAGCCGCTATTCAGACAAACAAGAAGACTTTTTGGCCCCAAATATATACCCAGCAACCCTCCTAGTAGCCGATAACATGCTGTGTGCCATGGTATTTCCTCCCTGTAAAGTTACAAGCCCGTTCATTTCCTCTTCCTTCCACCGCCAGACTTGGGCGCCGCAGCGGGAGCAGGTCTGCTCGGTGTCTGCCCTTGTTGGGCTGCGGGGGTGGCCTGGCCTTGAGCAGCAGCACCAGCAGTAGGAGCCTCCCAGCGACCACCTGTCATTCTCCTGCTCATGAGCTGCCTTGACACAAAGCTGATGAAGATCATCATCACCCAGCTAGGAGTGGCGCCCAGTCCCCACATGAGATAACCAAACGGATGGAGCAGGCCCAATTTGGCCAGCAAGCCATCCAACGGGTGCAGCAGTCCCGTGTACTCGGGATACTCAAGGTAGCGGGCTTTGGAGGCCGCGGGGATGGAAACAATGTCTTCGACGGTGGCGCTGGTCATGTTCAACGGCACAACGTGCAATGGAGTTTTGGCCTGTGGCTCCGACTTCTTGGGCAGGTTGAAGTGGTAAACGGATGGCAAGTTGACCGCCCACCCTGTGCAGAGAACCTCCTCCTTTTCACAGTCGATGTAACCGAGGTGGAGGGGAGGAGAGCCAGCCGGTTGAGGCAGTGCTGCGAGCAATGGAACGGATTCCTGCAGAGAAGATTGATGATTAGCTTCGCGTGTCTTTTCTTTGTTGCACGGGCTTGCGACAAGTGTGTCCTGTGTCTAGGTCGGTTACTTACATTCCATTTCTGGTCCACGTTGCCACATCGACCAAAACAAGTTTTGTTGCCGCCCGTCATGTAGATCATCCACTCCTCCTCGGTGTCGGGCTTGGGCGCCAGCTTGCGCTGCCAGTTGCGAATGTTGATCTTCTCGACAACTCGGTCTGCGACCACCGCTGCGCCCGCGTCAATCGGGTCCGGTGGTGTGCCGCTGGGGATGTAGGATTTGGCCTTGTCAAACCATCCTGCCGCTTTTTCCTTCAAGGGAACTTGGTCGGCCGCGACCAGCAGGGGGAGGAGGAGAAAAGTCGAGATATGCATGATTGCGAACACGCGAGATAGGATGGTGGCACGTCTGGTCGTACAGACGGCACTCGAAGAGAGTGGGAGTGACGTAACAAGCACCGCTGGTGTGGCGATGAACAATCAACAACCTCCAATGCGTACGGGTGATATGGGATGAAACGAAGAGTGATAGAATGAAATGATCCAGGGAGAGAGGACCCGAGGGTGAGATAGATAGATACCGTGGTCAATTTGTTCGCTACCTGGTAACTGCTAGCATATCTGCTAGTAGCTGGTCGACCACGAGGAGGAGGGTCTTCACCACCGCTCTCCGCGCTGGGACTGGCTGATGCTCTGTTTGTCCTCGTCGGTTGGAGCATGGCGTCAGTCGTGGAGACCCTGCGCAGCTTTTGCTCTCCTAGTTACCCACTCCTGTAGGCTCTCTTGCCGTCCGAAGGGGTCTGAAGACCCTCCAGACAGGTGCTCGGTGTCCTTCCAGTTGTCCCCCGTTGCATTGATTGAACGTTGCCGGCTTAAGCTGTGGCTCGCCACCTGCCAGTGGTTTCTTCTGTGGTACGACCTAAGTCGCTGCTCTGACTGCAGCATCTCCCCCAGGAGCCATGCCCTCCACGTGGATGACAAGGTGGTTGGTAGGCGGATTAGGCGCCATCGGCCCAGCAACTCCCTGAACTTCTTACCTAGCACCTACCCGCTTGGCTCCCTAAGCCTCCTTATCTAGGTCGCTGTACAATCTCTCCTTAGATGCCTCGCTGCCTGGAATCAGTGATTTTCAACTGGTTCCTCCCAGTAGTACTACAACAGCTTTTTCATTTCCGAGCATACCCTATGTCGAGTGCTTTCGCAAAGCGTGCTCAGCATCTTTCCTTTTGCGTTGGAAGAAAGCCGGGTGAATGATGGTCATGCTGTCCTCGTTGTCCATAACGAACGAAGTACGTGAGGTTGAACATGACCATAAACTACAACTATTCGTGTTTTATGTGTTCATGCTGACGATTACATGGGCGAGCGCTCAACTACGGCGGTAGAAGAGAGTCCAGCGGCACCCTAGGTTCGTTTATCGAGCTTAGTATTGCTGTCCTGAGTGGCATTGCTTTGACCGATAGAGCTGTCTCATGGCTAGTCCAGGATGGAGGTGCCAGCCCAACCGCAGCGGTCACTAAGCGACTGGAGTGAGCAGCTGAAATGTTTTCCTCACACTGTCCAAGGGTACTACCAAGATAGTTGTCCATGTAACATTTGGTCCGTATCCAGATATTGATATTTTTTAATATTCTCATTTCGACCTCGGGCTCGGCCAGAGCAGAAGATACTTTGGGGCAGTCGAGCTGGTAGTGCTCGTCGGGGATGAAACCGTTTGCCAGTCGTTCGTCAGGGCGCTATCCCAAATATGCTGTGTCCCATCAGCCCGTCCTGGACATAAAAGGTGCAAAAAACTCGCCGACACGAGGAATACGCATCAAGGCTTCGGGACACCTCCCTGGGTAGGGACGAGATGGTGGTATAAATGTCCAGTAATTGAGAACTGCAAGATGTATAAAAAACTGCACTTCTCCCATGGTGTTGCTTGACAGGAATCGAAGTAATAAGCTCTCAGGTGCGACTCCTGGCAGTGCGACTAGTAATGGTTGATTTACCCCACGATTGCACCGCATTCGCGGGGTCTCCGCAAGGGCCACTTCGAGTTGCGCATTGGCACGAGACTTGAGTTCTACTTCACCGCGGCAGCGCATCCCTCCTACTACACATCGCCAAAGCCAGCCTGTCCCTCACCTCACTGCTTTCTCACCTCATTCACACCGACGTTCTAAGCCAGACACTCTGTTGTCTACCTTATTCTGCCGCGCAGCCTAATTGTCTCTATCATCAACTCTTCCTTGATCACCGTGTTGTTGCGTCCTGCCCACGCCCTTGCCTTGAACGGTTCTGTCTACACTTGAAATCATCAATCACTCGGAAGCTACGACCTCTAAGCCGTCAAGATGAGTGCAATTCGTGAGACCGATGTCGATGAGCCCATCCAGGTGCTCATCACAATGCACGACAACATGAACCTCCTTGACTTCGCCGGTCCTCTCCAGGTCCTCACTCACGCCCAACACAACCTCAACGATCCAGGTATGCCCAATACCCAATGTTACTCACAGAACGCACCTGTCAACTCTCCTATTCACTCCTTATTACTGACGCGACAACCCACCCTTATTGGTACAAGCACTAACCTTTTGTGAAAACTGTAGAAACCAAAGCCTTCGACGTCACCTTCGCTGGCCCTCAGGAACATGTCCTCACCGCACAGGGAGTGACCATGTCAGCTCAGATCTCCTACAAAGAAGCACACAAGCGCCTCAAGGAATTCGATGTCCTGGTGGTTCCAGGTGGAAACGCAACCGAGGTCTTGAAGCAAAAGGCAGAACCATTGTCGTTGATCAAGGCTTTCGCCGATGTACAGACAGCCGACCCTACGCGTGAACGCACCCTGCTGGCTGTGGATACTGCATCGCTGTGGCTTGCGCGTCAGGGTATTCTTGAAGGCCTCGGAGCCACCACCCACCCAGATTACTACATCAAGTTGGAGAAAGAGTGTCAGGACGCCGCGGCCCGAGACATGGGAGAGCGTACCGACGTCATGGAAGAACGATATGTTGTCAACAACGCGCGCTTCGATCTGGGCGAGGACCTCGAGGAGAACCCGTACGTCTTCAAGAAAGGCCGCAAGGGATCCACCGCTCGCAAGGGCAGTTTGGCTCGCAAGGAGTCCAATGCTCGCCACGAGAACCTCGTCCGTCGTCAGAGCATGAAGCTTGGTGGCATGCGTGTTGTTACCACCGGCGGCACTATTAGCGGTATCGACGCCGGCTTGTATCTCGTCAGCGCGCTCGTTAGTCATGAAACCGCCCAGGAGGTTGCACGGCTCATGCAGTACGACTGGATCAAGGGGGTCGTTGTTGACTCGATTGATGTCTGAGAGATGGTGCACATCCGCATCTGGTATTGCTGATCTGTTTGTCGGTCAAGACTTTCGACTACGCAGAAGCAAGAAATGGCCAAAGCAGCCTATGCCAGGAAATGAGCGATTTGACCATTAGCAGGTCCCAGAGACTGACACCGGGAGAGGTCTGTCAGAGCAAGGCAGTAGTTCTCTTCTAAGCACGAATGAAGAATTGTTTTCAATGACACAGGCCTGCCTGTGCAAGCGTGCCGTAGCCCGAAATTGTACCACTATGAAGGAAGTTGAGCCATAAAATCTTCATAGAGCAGATCCCAGTTGTAAGTCACTCAACGGCGCACAGGTATGGAAGATGCCAATGGCACTATTCATGGAATCCAACATCTGGATTGGCCCGCCGGCAGAAGTAGTACCACTGGTAGATGATGGAAACGGGCAGCTCAATTCGAGCAGCGAGACCTGAGGCCGGGAGAGAACACTGTCCTTTCACATCACACAATGCTCGTAGTAGCCAACCCTATACAGGAGCCGGTATAACCACAACGCACCAAGCAAACAACAAAGGACATTCAAACCCTCTCCAAATAATGGAATGCATCAGGCCTCGACAGGTTGTGACCATGGCCTAATGGCACCACGCACACTCTTGGCTTTTTCAAGCCCATTGCAGGCGGTGCCATCTTTTGCCATCGTTTTAAGCATCAAAAGTGCAAACGTTGATCCGCATCACAAGCCCGCAGTGATCTGCAAAGTGGTGTAGGTACACTGAGCACAAAAGTGCAGCAAGAAGGGAAATTGTGGTGTCGAAGTCGGAGTTCGATGTTCCCTACGAATTCGGAGCCAATAATTCTCGAGGCTCAATGCCAAGGCAAGGCTGACAAAGTGCCAAGATTTCAACCCCAACACAGCCTAGCGCTGCCACACACTCCAATTTTCGCACGCTTCCTCACCGAGTTGGGCCTGCAAAGCGAATTGACGATTCGACTTGACTTGACTTTCTACCAACACCGACCGACCTCACCTTCGACAACCGACCACAACACCACCCTCGCACCCGCAGTCAAGATGTCGAGTCGTCCTACCGTCGGCATCCTGGGCGCAGATGGCTCCAGCAGCGGCGAGACGCACCCTCTGCCCGCTGTCTTCAGCGCCCCGATCCGGCCTGATATCGTCCAGTATGTCGAGAAAGAGTTCTGCCCGATGCAGAGAAACAACAGAGACTAACCACGCAACTCCTCAACAGGTCTGTCCACACCGGCATCGCCAAGAACAAGAGACAGCCATATGCAGTGAGCGAGAAGGCGGGCGAGCAGACTTCAGCCGAATCATGGGGAACAGGTGCGTGGAAAGAATCAACCAGCGCACACAAAAAGCTGGATTGAAACAACATGAGCAAGGGAAAAAGGAGCATGGTCTAACATGGACAATCAGGTCGCGCTGTCGCACGTATCCCTCGTGTCTCTGGTGGTGGTACACACAGAGCCGGTCAAGCAGCGTTCGGTAACCAGTGCCGATCCGGTCGTATGTTCGCACCAACCAAGGTTTGGCGCAAGTGGCATCAGAAGATCAACCTGGGACAGAAGTATGTTCAAACTGTGTGACCGTCCAACCAAAAACGTATTTCTAACAAAATCTTCAGGCGATTCGCTACCGTCTCCGCCGTGGCAGCCAGCTCCGTCCCAGCGCTCCTCCTGGCCCGCGGTCACCGCATCGAGACTGCTCCCGAAGTCCCTCTGGTCGTGTCGAGCAAAGCCTTCGAAGGATCCTCGGTGGTTAAGACCTCTGCGGCCGTTTCGCTGCTCAAGGCCGTCGGCGCCGGCCCAGATGTGGTCAAGGTTCAAAAGTCCCGCAAACTGCGCGCAGGCAAGGGTAAGATGCGAAACCGCCGATACCGACAACGCCGCGGCCCATTGGTTGTGTACAACCCGGAGACTGATGGCAAGGACCTTGTGCGCGCGTTCCGCAACATCCCCGGTGTCGAGACCTCGTCCGTCTTCGCCCTGAACCTCCTCCAGCTCGCTCCCGGCGGTCACCTGGGTCGATTCATTATCTGGACCTCGTCGGCTTTTGCTGCTCTCGACACTATCTACGGCTCGACCACCGAGGCTTCGGGCTTGAAGAAGGACTTTTTGCTGCCGTCCAACCTCGTCAGCAACGCCGACATCACCCGTCTGATCAACAGCTCCGAGGTCCAGTCCGTCCTCAAGGAGCCCAAGGGCTACGCCACCACCAAGCGCTCCGCTGTCCAGAAGAAGAACCCGCTCCGCAACAGACAGGTTCTGCTCCGCCTCAACCCGTATGCCGCTGCTTACTCCAAGGAGAAGCTCGGCCAGAAGGGTGTCGAGGAGAACAAGAAGCCCGAACGTGTTAGTGACAAGTTCTTGGAGGTCGTGCATGAAAACTAGATTGCTCGGTCGTCGGTTCTTGTTATGCAGTCTATTTGATGGCGTGTGCTGTGCCCCGGTGATATGGGGTTTGGGAAAACAAATATTCAGTTTATGTGGTGTGTAGGCCGGTTGGTAGAAAATCAATCAATCGACTTAGCCCCTCTTCAGAGCCACTTTTTTCAGGAAAAGGATGGCGCGCAAAATCGTCCCCTCCCGGCTCCTGGCCCATTCAATGCACGCGCTCTCGATGTCTTAGGCCGTTGTTTTGTCGCTTTTATGGCAGCCTTACTTATGGACAGAAAAAAATCAGAATTTGAAGAGATATGGTTCATCTCATGGTGTTCGATCCATTTGCAATTTCTAAACACTGTAGCAAGTAAAAGTGAAAAGGTAGGTGTACTCGTCTGGAAATCGACATCTCACCTTAGCATACTGTTCACTCTCCAGTATAGTACAGTCGTACGGACATGAAACGAGAATTGAACCATGAGACTGTACTTGTATCAATAAATTCATCCCCCAGCAACTCCTTTCCATCCATTCCAATCGGTGGACACCATACTTCTATAAAGATGAAGATGAAGTAAGTTGTACTGAGGAATAAATATCAAGAAGTGCCAAGTAAACAGTCTTGACGTCTCTACGACAATAGTATGTCTCTGTCTATGTCTATACACACGGGAATCTAAGGTAGTTTTGCCAGATAGATGATCAATTCAGACTCTCGAGCACGGCCAAGCCCACGAGGAGAGCATGGGCCACGAATTCATATGACCAAAACACGGCTCTAATTACACGATCTGTGTCAATCCAGGGAAAAGAACAATATAGCCAACAATGACTGAATCAACCTGCTTGTCCCCAGGCAGCACTCCTCCTTATGGCGCTGCTGGCTGGAAAGAACCCAGAGAATCCTGCGTCGTTGTCAACCTTCTCTTTCAGTTGCTCCCACCCCTTTTCTCTGAGGTCGAAGTAGTCAGATGGCGGAAATTGGGACCCACAAGATATGAAGCAAGAAAAGCAACGAGACATCGAAAAGAATAACATGACAATGAGAGTGAGACCAAATATCAATCAGGCGGATATGAAGACGGGAAAGCCTTTGGCCAGCTTCCTGGTAGAGTGACGTTGAACCAACCTACCTACAGTATAGGCTACCCTTTAGCATCGTCATGATCATGTTTGTGGTCTCCTTTCAATGCTCGGTGATTTGATTGCATTCTGCCTCGTTGCAAGGGGAAACGCAAAGCAAAGCCGTCGACCGTGAGTAACTGGAGGATAAACAAAACACACGTTTGTGACGCGCCAGATAGAGACGAACAACCTCTGGCGACCCCTCGATCAATATCCGACAGCCAGCGAGGAACTGCAAGAGGGATAGATGATTGGTATCGAGCAGCAACATCGACCACAATGAAAGCCGTGAGCGCGAGGAGCGCTTCCAATGTACTGGGATGCACGGCCCAGGTTGCAACAAAGGAGGTCCCAGAGGCCCAGTTTGTCGATCGCTATAGCTAAGCGGTAAAGAAACCAGGACGGGGAAACAAAGCCTGAAAGTGAGGAAAGATATTGCGACCATATCTCCGGGGCAAGGTACAGTACCTTACAGTGAGGTAGGATCACCTGCGGCTTAATCAGGCCCCCTGACCGAGCGCTGGGAATATAGGTCTTAACCACCCCCCGACAACATGATTTGGAATTGTTGCTGAAGCGAAATCCGAGGAGACAGGGAAGCTGAACCCCTGCGAGTCGAAGCTGACACCTGGGAGGGTATGACCCGGGAGAGTTTCTGTTTCTTTGCGTGTCTTTGCTTCGCTTCGCATCGACGGCGGTATTCCAGCACCACCATGCTTCAAACGCGGCAGAGCGCGCGCACACTCTTGTCCGACCGCCACCGTAATGCTTGTTGACTTTCAGCCCTCCCTGGGCAGACATTGGACTCGGGCAAGCCACGACGACGCGCCTGGCCCCAATGCAGTTCGGCTATGACGAGAAGGCTGACCGAATTTTGCCAGATATGCCGTGAGTATCAAGCGCCTCCGGAAATGGCAGCGGACATGTTGGCGCGTGGTGAACAGAGTAAGCAGACCAGGAATTGCGTCTTTATTCGGCGAATAGCAATTAAGCAAGCTTCTCTTGCAATGTGATACTCGATCCCCGTGGTCTCGACGTCCTGCGGTGTGACTGTAGGTGATTCATCATATCAATGTGACAACAACGGGCGTCTGCATCTGCCACGCATTTCCTGCCGTGTCATGTCAAGAGGTGGGTGCTGCTGGTAGTTCTGCCTCGTCCAGTCAGATCACGGGACAGTGTTTGATCCCTCCTCTTCATTTTGGCGGGGATGAGCAGGGGGTTAGGAGCAAATATACGCTACAACCCTTGCAACTCCATTCCAGGCCGCAATCTGAAAAGAATCAACTAACTGGCAATCTCGGAGAATACTGAGAATAGACGTAGGTACCTGCCGCGGCTGGTACTTGAACTTACCATAAATCGTACCCTGCGATCAAAAAGACAGGCAATCTGGGGGAAAACCTCGGAATCGAAATCAATATACACCGACCAAAATCGAAGCGTCATCGACTGACCCGCAAGCTTAGAAGTGTCTACTGAAGCATTCCAGAAGCTAGGGTCCAGGTCAAAAGGGAAAGGGTTTTTGGGAGAGATTATTGCTGGCCATGTCAAGTCTTACATCCCCCTTCGAGCCGAACTGTCTTGTCGAGAATCATAATGCGGGTCTCGTGCCTCGACATTTTTCCGCTGGCATCCCTGATGTTCGCTCCCTATATCGTCAGAGTCTTGACAGCAAGGATTATCTTCAATACCGGGTCATAGTGCAAACTGTCACAGTAGCCATGCTTCCGGAGATAAAAACGCGCCGTACGGCCTCCTCGATCTTCGGCCATGTGGCAACTTCTGGGGCCATCGACCAGGAGGGTTCGGATGCCAGATCAAGATGTCGGATGAAGACCAGGTTTCGAGGGCATTGCCGTAGGAAGACTAATCAACCAGGCCCTGGATCCCTTACAATCGGCATGCCTGTCACTGATCCCACGAGGCGGTTCATTTCGAACAATGCAACATAAATAGATACCCGATATTGACATGAGATCTAGCCGGAGACATTCTCCGAGATGGAACAATTCTCAAGCTGCCATGATTCTCAAACCTCATCGAGACGGGATGAACTCTCGACTGTGACAAGGGCAGGGGCGGGAGGTGCCTACCAATGTAACCGCACTTCATCCGGTGTGTTTGCCTTTTGGAGCGTGCTTCCATAAAATATGTAATGACACCAAAGTCGGTTTTTCAATGGTCGGATCACACATGTGTGGCCGTAAGCCGCACAAAAATGCAAGTGAACTACCCGTCTCAGCAACCAGAGACAAGCAACACCGCGGCAGGCAGAGCAGGGGGCCCGCATATTGGTTGCGCACATCGGACTCGTACCAGATCGACGACCAGTTACGACAACCTAAGGGAGGTATAACCCAGACGATTCGAAAAAATACCGGGGAGAAACAAGATAGAAGAGGAACAATACTGACATGGCGCAACTGGAGCCAGAAAGCTGGTCTCAAGGCATTTTCAATAATCTAGCACGGCGCAACTGCAGTGTGGTTGTTTCTCTCGTTGCGTGCCAGCTTGATCTGCTTCGTTATGACGTCGCAACCTGTCAATGGATGTCAACGCAGTCGTGCCTTTGAATTTGGGAGTTTCCCCGTCGATTTTCATCCTCATGAGCTTTTGTCTGCAGCACAGCATGGGGTGAGACTGTGGCCTTTTCCTCTTTTCCAGGGTTGGCATGTGCTATGCAGGCAACGAGGATGGTTGTGGAGCACCCCGGGCTCGACCAGCCCGTCTTAGTCGACAGAGCTGGAACCCTCTGTCTCGTCAGGTGATTCTCAGGTCCACGTTGCCGTTGAGATAAGACATTGTGCAGGGCACAAGCGTCCAGGAACGTATATGGCTCTGAGAGAAGCAAACGCCCAATAAAACACGGGTCCGGTAGCCACTTGAAGCCCAATTCAATAACAATGACAGCAACGTCAGAGGTCGTGCCGCGCCAGTATAGCCGGTGGATTGCAAATACCTCTGTTCGAGCCTCGGTGGTTTGGAGGCGAAATTGCGGCCATTTTCAATCAAGAAGGCTGAAGCCGATACGATATAGCTTACAAAACTGCAGTGGGACTATAGTGGTGTGACTTGCCACCGAGCAAGAGAACTGGTCCTGCGAAGTGAATCAGCAAGCCCGCTTTCTCGAGAGACCCGCGAACTCGTCCAGCGTCTCGAGCTTGGCAGCCAAGCCAACTTGAAGTTGTGGTCGGCAGCGAAGTCAGGAAATCGCTAGAGGACAGAACAACAGGTGTGTGGTGAAAAGCATAAACTGGAGCTCCAGACGTAGGCCTGTGGTTAAGGAGGCAAGCCGAAGCGATCCTAACTTCCCGAGTCATTCTTGTGGACCGTTGAAAGGACGGCTTGTGTCAGCGTTAGCATTTCGGGGACTATCAAACTCTCGACCAGGCGTGCGCATGGTGGAACCCAGTAGTAGGTCGAGCAATCTCAATGATAGCACGGCACCACGTTGTGTACGTTTTGACCTCGGAAAGAGCTGTACGCAAGGACCAATAGGGGCAGACTGACTGGAGCTTCAATCCGCGCAGGCTTTGCATTGTGAAAGGATCTTCCTTGTATGCCACGATTTCATAGACAAGAAGTACAAATCAGCGCGGAGCTCAGAGTTCGGCCGCTCGAAGTCAAGTCCGGGAAAAACGGTTGGAACCAAGGGAGGGCCGGTCCGCTCAAAAGATTGCGCGACTTGAACGTTACTCAGCCAGTCTCGCCAGGGATTGCCCCGAGACGGTGCGCCTTATCTCATTACCCGAGAACAACCTCGCAAAGCTCGGGGTGTGTGTGCCTGCTCCACGATGCGGGCCTTACTGGGAAGATGCGATAGGCCACTCGAGCCCTCGCAAAGCTCTGTCGACAACAAAAGTGCAGAGACAGCGGTGGAAACGGAGCTGTGCCTCCATACAGAAACGCGTGGTGGCCGGCGAGACAATCTCTTAACGTTTTGGGATTGAATAACGCCGGTCGAGGGATCCACACTGCACGTCTGGGTGTCCCTGGCGTGCGTGCGTCGGACGTGAATCATAACTTGTTTGTGCATCCGGGCAGCCTAGAAGGGCTTCCGAAGAATAGGACCCTAGACCTGATTACTCAGGGGTGAGCGGGACCTCAGTCTCACGGAACGATGAGAACAGCCAGTTGATGGCGATGCACGCGACGTTGTGACCGTGATAATCATAGACACACGTGTCTTCCCTCTAAGTCTAAGCCGTATTTGCTGCCCGTCGGTTGAGCTTAGGAAGGCTACAAGACTGGGGCGGTTTGGTGGCTGCCACGGGGTCGAAAAATGAATGGGCCCTAGCCTTTGACATATGCCACACAAGAGGAGTAGTACAACTGTGGTCGAAGTCGCTAAGGGGGCATTATCATGATTCGGGAGGCTCCCTGGGGTGGTTATCTTTTGCAGTTGTGCGTCAGACGGAGCTTCAGCAATGCGCTATGATCTCAGAATGTGCCATTTTCTGTACGCCGCCAGGGTTTTCCATCCGGTATGTGTTGGCAGAAAGCCGAAAGTGAAACTGGCCGTTAAATGCCAGGAATTAGGCCCGGCTTTGGTGCTCTCCGCAAGAACTCAAATTTGAAGGCGAGTAATAAAGACGGGCTTCGCTGGCCCACGATGGCCCCCGTTCAGGCAAGATGCGTCTGCAGCATGTCTCAACGGTCCAGCTGGGGGATAGGAGGACCCAAGCGGGACGCTTCGTGCCATGAGGTTACCCTCCCCCTTCCGCCAGTATACTACTAGCAAAGCACCGTAGCACCAGTGCTTGTGCTGGTTATGCGACTCCTGTTGTTGCAGACCAGCATTGGAAGCTGCAGCGGGAAGTGGCCGATTCTGTCCTCTGGAGTTTGGGCTGTTCAACAATGAGCCCCTCGAGGCCGGCCCCGGCCCGTAGATCCAAACGAGCAAAAGTCTCATTTCCTCCATAGCGATAGGTGAGCGATCACCAGTAGTGCGTCTCAAGAGCAATTCGCACCTACAAGTCCCATTGCGCTAGGGTATGGGACCCCGAGCTCACAAGCTCCTGATGACGCCAAAGCCACGAGTTATGAAGACCTTCTTGAATGTCACTCAAGTCGTGCGTAGGTGTTGAAAGTCCCAGCAGATAGCTGAATAATAGGTCATCATGTTGACGTATGCTGACAGTTGACACACAGGACAGCTTTGAGAATGTTATGCCATCTAGATAGTGAAAAAGATACTTGGTTGGCCCTCAAAGCAGTCAAGGCGACTGTCAGCCTTGCATGTGTTCCGGGCTCCGCTGGATCTGCGCTAGATGATGGGCTCGTGGAGGAGCACCAGACTCCTGGCGGGGATTGTCTGATTGCTCCCGTGAACAGACGAGATGAATTTGTACATAAGAATTTGGATGAAGTGGACTACGATACGGGTAGACTCGAGGTAGCGTCTAGCTGCCGACGCATCGTCATGTGCATGCGCGTAACAGCTGAAAACATCTGTCCACAAGTGGAAAGCAGCGCAGGCTTCAAGGGCCTCCTTAGCCTTACATCTAAAGGGCTCTCGAGACCTGGAGTGTAGTGTGGTATAAAGTGCAGGCCGGCGACAACTAGGTCGTACTCCTGGTTGAAGCCGACACGGGCCCTTGGGAAATATTTCGTCTCGTAGGCGCTTGCCATTGTTTGTAGGCTGAGAAGAACCAGCTGCAGCTGTAGGGCTTCCTGCCGTCCGAGGACATTGCTGACCAGAGGTGGTGAATGTCTTGCGTAGTCACGTCCGACGTTCCGTTTCTACGGAATGTGCCCTTTCTTGTCGTTATTGGCGACGCCTCAAAGTTCTTCGAGCCTTGGGGCAAGAGGCTTGCTTCCTTCTGCTTGCGGGCCAGCCGGTCATTTCGTTGTGAGTCGTACTGACAACCTGATTCATCTCAGGGCCGACAGGCGGCTGTCAATCAAGGATCCAGAGATTGGCAGTGCTCAAGTTCATCGCGCAACTTGCCTTGCTCGAAGACAGAGAGTGCGCAGATGTAGGCTTCGTCTGGCACGAGCTCAGGTCAGTTCGACTGGGCTCTCTTCAACACATCACATAGCCTGTGCCATCACTCAACCTCCGTTGTAGCTGGTTTCTCTTGTCATAAGTAGAGTTCCGTCCCTGTAGGCATAGGTTGCCGATCATTTGCAGAAATTTACCTGAAGCGTGGCACTTTGACAGACGCTGCCGTGGGACAGTCAAAGCGCCACCACCCATAGTGCACTTGGTATTCGAAAACCTGGGGATGGATCAGCTCAACACCGCGATGGCCGCTGTTGGTTCGTCCATGCAGGATGGAGCGGCTCCATTCCCGCTACTGTTAGTGAGACTCTGTCCAACTTCGCGCCGGCCCTCACCTCCTACCAGCGGGAGTCCGTGCCGACATGGCTGATGCACGCCTTAGCTGAAGACTAAAAGCACACCTGTCATGAAATCAGACTCGGTCCAGCATCTAGGCCCCGGGGAACCATAACGGAGACAGCAGTAATCGAGGGAATTGCTAAAGGTGGCGTCACGCTCAGAGGCGAGAGAAGTATGCGTGGATCTTTCGTGTGATCTTTCGTAGCCCTTAGCCGACCGCCTCTCCGTCTAGCCCACATCTAGGCTATTCTCATCCCGGCGAAAGATGGATGAATGGGCTGTCAAAGTCGATGCTATAGCTGTGGTGACGCACACAAGAATGCATGACCATCAGGTGAGAAAGGTGTGCGATTGCACGGCAGTACAGTAGTAGTTTAGCTGCGGAAAGGCATTTCAGCTTTCTCGATTTGGGAGCCTGTGGCTGCCTGTCTGTCCGCCTAGGATCCATCATGACTGCAAACTGAATGGCGCCGGTGGGAGCGGGCCTCCTCGGGTCAAAAAAGAGCCTTGTTGTCCCTGCCGCTATGCCCTCCTGCCGGCAACACGAGAGAGTTTTGCCGCACGGTAGTATCGAGGCATTTGAGCACCATGTCGATTACATCCTAGTATTGCCTGCCAGCGGCATAATCCTATCTGGCAGCTGTTTCGAGCCATAGTCGGAGGACGCAGGGTTGGGGAGACCCTGTGGAGTGTACAGAGTTGTAGGTAAGGATCCTCGAAGTCCGGTGCTGGAGCTCTCCTTGCTGGATCCTTGAGCGAAGCAGACGGCCTTGTCATTCGACGGCGGTCGGGATGGTGCAGAAAATAGTGCAAAATGGTCGGCTGATGGTCTTGTCCATGGCACGTTTTCTCAGCCCGTTCGTGACGATACCGGCGGGGAAGTGTTTCTGACAGGCTGCGAACCCCCTGCCTGACACTAGTAGAACTGGCTACGCGAGCCGCATGTACAGCACTGTGATCTTCTCGTTGTCCTACCATGGCTTCAAGATACTACTAGTACTGTCGTTGGCGAGAATGGTGGCGGGCAGTGCACTGTGGTAGCCAAATCTCCGCCTGCAGCTCATGGGCAGAATATGGCATTGCTTTTGTCGACTCCGTACTGAAAGATGTATTTTTGACCGTGTACAACTGTACTGGTACCAGACCTGAGAGGTGATGACTCCATGATGATCTTCTGCATCTCCTATTCTCTTGCGGTGGCCATTGCACCATCCTGCTGTGTGGTTACTACTCCAGCTCTTCCAACGATGACCGCCAGTCGATATATATCATGATCTAGCGGAGTGATACCCCGATTGGCGTGCCTAGTAGCGTGGAACGCGGAAGAGACACGGCGACAGGCTCGAGACGCGGGTCAGCTTGGCCTCACCATAGTGGAACGATAGCTCCGTCGTGTCCATCAAGTCTGGTCGCAGCTAGTTCTGTCTGGACGACTAGACGTCCAGGTCCGGCCCTTCGCACAGATGTAGGGGAGTACGGGCTCAAAGAGACGAAGGAGTTCGAGGTCGGTGGCATTAAAGGAAATCGCGAGAGGAGCTGATGGTCAAGGTCAGGAATGCAGAAATACTGTAGCAACAAGAACACATGGTTCAAGAAGCAACCTTGGAAAGCTGTCAGTTAGATTCAAATTCTTGGACATTGCGTACTAGTACAATTGTACACTGTACAGTACAACAGTTGTAGCAAAGCAGTGGGTAGCTACGGTATACCCATCTATCCTGCTTCTGCCAGTGTTGCAGAACCGCGTCTGGCTTTTTCCTGCTAGTAGAACTAGGTAAATGAAACTCTCTTTTCGACTATGCTCCGACTCAGGCTCCAGCATCGCCTGCGAGTGTTGTTCTCCCCCTCCCTGCGGCCCGTTCATCTCCCGTCTCACCCCGGCGCAGCTCGATCTCCCACTACTCCAGCAACATCTATCGGTACTTGGACCACGGTACCTAGGTACAGTGGTACTCCCGGCCTCTCCGTGGTACAGCTTAGCGAACAGCATCCACTATTCTCACCTACTACTGCGCGGTGCCTGTCCGCTGTCCGCTTCCTGTACAATGTAGCTTCGTCGCCGTGCCAGTGTCTGGTCAGCTCGACTAACGACGCAGAGACCCTGCAGTGCCTTGGCCTCTTTCATCGCAGACCCGGTCCACATCCACCTCCCCCCTCGCTTCTGCTGACGCCGTGTCACAGACTAAAGAGGAGGATCACAATGATTACAATACAATACTGGTGGGTATATCGTCGACGCTCACACCTAGGTAACCTACCCACCCTCCACGGCCGGCTAGCATTGGTTCGTCCGCAGACAGACAGCGGTGCCACTTCTCATGTCTCAAAGTGCCTCGAGCCCGTCATCTGAGCGCTCATCCTCTCCACCATATCCCGTACCAAGATGAATGTTTCTTCAGATGATCGAAAAGATACATACCTTTTTCTCGCGCTCTCTATTTGGCCTCGCGGGTGCCTTTGGTCCCCTTGGGATTCCACGAGCCCGAGGCATTCTCTCCTCATTTTTATTTCTGAATTGGGTCCGCCCACACTCGGCTTGTCCTAGCCTGCACGAAGGCGCCTTTTCTTCCCGCCTCCCGTCACGGTCCTTGCCATTCGAACCCCTGCAAGCGATCGGCAAGGGTCAAAGATGGCATGCGTATGGAGCCTGGATGGACTCATGGTCGGTTCACGACTTGACAGATGAATGCGAGTCCACGAGGCCGCCAACCCCATTGTCTCCCATGGATCCATGTCAAAATGCAGACGCCATTCCAGTCCATCACTTTCACTGTCTGCCTCTAGAACCACATAGTCGTCCACTTTGTTGATGAGCATGCTCACACCAAGTCTCCCCCTGCTCGAAGCCTGTTTGATTTGTTCTATGTTGTCTCTTACCCAAGACTAAATACTGAATCGACGAGCACCCTCCCTGACATGTAAACCACTCGAGCATGGACACCACCACCACCACCACTTTGTTTTTCTGACATTTCTCTTCCCGCCTTCGATACTTGTAGCCTTTCCTTTCCTCATAAGGCGGCCGCCTGGGGGTCAGCAGTCCCATGCTATTTACGAGGGCCACAAGGCATCTGCGTTACTATCAGTTGCGCCCTTGACGGAGACCACCTCCGCCGTCTGCTTATACGGTTCTCACTGCCACGTATCCAGCCTCCTATTACCCGGTGTTCTTTACGGCGCGGTGGACGTGGCTACTCTGTGCTTTTGCGGCTCTTTCCTCTAGGTCATACAGATTAAACTGGGTGACACAATAGTCCCGATTGCAACTTCCTTTTGTGCAATCTCATCTTTGTCTTGGGTGCCAGTGGCTGTCTCGAAAACCTGATCGACGCGGTGCAATGCAGCCCGTCCTTGATCACAACCGGAGCAGAGATCTACGGGACGGCGGCGCTGTTTGAGACAAGTGCTGGGAAGGGAAAGGCAGTCGTTCTGCCACGGCTCGGGGGTTGAACTTGGACGGCTGTCTCGTGTGGCGGATTTCGATCTTTCAGGACTCAGGCTGTGCTATCACTTCAAGTCGAGCCGTCGGTGTCTGACAAGTGCCACTGCACGTCTTGCAAACTTGAACACGGCTTAACACCACAAGCCTCATGGCCCTGGGCACTGTGCTAGTCCCAAATTTGAGATTGGAAACCAGGCACGCGATTGAGCCCTCGTCCCATTCTTGTCCCACCCTCCGAGAACTGGCGAACTTGCCTTTGCTCTCAATGGCTCAGTCGTCGGCGGTCAATGAACAACATGCAAGCGAGTATTCGCACCGGCCACGTTTACCTTCGTTCAGCAACTTCCTGTCGGGCGCTGGACGCTCAGACCTGAACCTCGCACTACCAAGGCCTGCATTCAGCCGGCCCAATATCAATGCCACCCATCACGAGACATCGCCTCAAAATGGCGTCCATGCAACTCAATACACTCCTACGGCTGGGCCACCGGCCGCTTCTCCCGGTTTCAATCCGCGACCTCACGACCAACATCCTGAGCCATCTCGGCCACCCTTCTGGTCTTACCCAACACCGGCCCACTCCGACCGCTCCGCAGTATCGACTAACACTGTACCGCCGGTCCCGCCGGTCGACCGTACATATAGCCGGGTTGTGGTAAGGGAAGAAGTGATACCTGGCAGGGGCCTCTGTCAGATATATGACGACGGCACCGTAGGTCAGAGAATGTCCGATAGTGACGCCTTCAATCCCAAATGGGGTACAACCAAAGCAGGCAAGCCGAGGAAGCGCCTGGGTCAGGCTTGCAACACTTGTAGGGAAAAGAAGATCAAGTGCGACCCCAGCGTCCCCAAATGCGCGCAATGTCAGAAGTACGGGCGGGAGTGCAAATTCGAGATCGGGTCAAGTTCCACCATCCTCTCTATCATTTCAACTACTGACAGGTCTGGAGCAGTCCTCGTTCTGGACAGAAACGATCAGGATCTGTACCTTCGGCATATTCGCCATCATATTCGTCACCAACAGAGCACACTTCAGCTGGTCTGTTTGACAGAAGAGAGTCAACGGCATCGACCGAGTTCAAAGGCCAAGAGTCGCCTCTGTCAAAGCCGGCAAACCGTTCCTCCCTTCCTCTCGAGAGCCTCTTATCCCCGGCGTCGGACAACGAATCTACACGCAATCACAGACGAGAAGACAGAAAGCCGCCATCAAAGAGGGCGAGATATTCGGCGTCTCCCCGTCCTGTTTCTGAAGGAAGCCTGTCAGACTGTGTAATTCTAGAGTCGCAGACCAGCTCAACAGCACAGTGGAACTCCACGCCACCATTCTCGTGGCAAACCGACCCTTATCAACTGCATCGAGGTCTCACCTTGTACTACGTCGGCAAATATTTTGCACACGTGGACAGTGCGGCATATTGTACACTGCCTAAGAAGAAATTCACACACTGGGTGGAGAATTGCACCTCGAAATCGTTAGAAGACAAAATGATGCTGTATGCGATTCTCGCTCTTGGGACGGTATTTGTTCGACAGCCTACTTCCGAGGTCCATCGTGCTACCTTTCTGAGGATTGTGCACGACGCAGTTCTGAAATGCGGAGACAGGTTGAGCTTACAGCTGGTCCAAACACGGCTGATTTTGGCATCGCTGGCTTTGTCGCAAGGAGAGTACAATCGTGCCTGGGACTCCTGCGGCGCAGCACTGCGGACAGCGTTCGGCCTTGGCTACAACACCGAGGAGGGTGTCCGGGTGGTAGGCAATCCGCAGACCTTTGATCTTGGTCTGGATGCTACAGCCTTGGTCGAATGCCGCAGGAGGACATTCTGGGCTGCATACGTGATGGATTGTTTTGGCAGCGGCGGCGCGGCCTATGCCAGTTCGATGTATGGCCCAGAATGTCATCTGCGCTTACCTTGCGATGAGGCAGCATATGAATCGGGCAATATTCCAGCAGCAGCCTTCGACCTGACGACGAGCTCTAGTGCTGAGGTGGAAGCTAATGAGCTGTCTACACAAATACGGCATGTCGGACTCTTGGGTTACCTAGTGCAGATGGCCAAGATTTTCCGTGAAGTGGTGAGCAGGATTTCCCGCCCCGGAGCTCAGTCGGAGAGCGACTACTGCACCGCTTTGGAGTCATTCCATCAGGAGACCATGACGAAACTGCAGACTTGGTACACGCACCTAAGGACGCATCTGAGGAGAGCGTCTACCGACAGCAGCGGCACAGAAACCTTCAACGGCTTGCACATACTGTACCACTATACGGCGTTGCTTCTTCATCGTCATGTCCGACATACCGAGATCAGTCCACGTCAGATCAACACTCACGTTCAGGGAGCATACGGTCACGCTCGACAAATGTTGGAAATAGTACAACGCCTGAGCAACAACAACAACCGTTCGAACACCAACAAGAAGAAGAGCAGCAGCAGCAGCAACGACAAAATCGGGAGCAGTAGCCACAACAATAAAAGCAACCAGGAGCGGGAATCTGCTCTTCTCCGCTTTACGACCACCAGTCCGTTCAGTGCGTATGCCATCACTTCGGCACTTGATGCCATCACGGCCGCGGGGCTCTTGTCCGAAGTGATGGACCATAAGAGTCGGACCATGTCGCTGATCTCAAGCGGGCTAGAAGCTTTAGAGGGTCTGATGGAGTTTTGGCATAGTGCACACCAACAGCGAGATATGATCAAGCAACGACTGAAAGCGCTCTTGAACGCCAGCCAGAAGGCATCCGACCACAATGGAGCATTTTACTTCTCCAATCCCATGCAGAGCCCTTTCGGCTTGGATCAGGACATTGTCTATGGATTACCACGCATGCGCTATTTCCAGGCTCTGGGCTGGGATGACAAAATTCAAAGAGGAGAATTTCATCAGCTTGACCAACAATAGTGTTGAAAGAAACAAAAAAAGAAACCACCTAAAACCAGCAGTTTAGCGATTGAGCAAGAGTGCCAGATTTTAGCAATCAGAGCTAATGCGGGAAAGCAGCCAGGGAGAGGCCAGAGAATTGAATTACAGAAGGACGAACCAGCGGGTAATGAGAGAAAATGATATGATTTGATGATGAACCCAGGGAGAGGACATGTTTTGCTTATATTATGGTATTCAAGTTTGATTCTGGCTGGGTGTCTTGCCTTGCCTTGCACTATAGTATCTGTTCTTTGCTCCAACGCCCGCCCTAAAGTTTTCCGCATTAATGGAGTCTGGAGTTTGCGGTGGCTCAAGAGGCGGGCAGCACAATACACCTTTGTTGTTTCTAAGTCAATGCTCTTCTCTCCGTGATAGTTTGTAGGCGAGCGGGACTAGTAGGGAAGACACTCGACCTCGGAAGTGGACTGGGTACGTGGGTTATAGTACCTTACTGGTACAGTAGTAGGTGCAGTAGGTAGACGGTGGTAGTATACTAGTATGGAACGAGAGCACTTGCAAGAGAGACAGGAACTAGGAACTTGAACACTTGAAACTTCAAAACTTGCATCAATCGAGAAGAACCCCACTGCAAGCAACAGACTAGTAGGTAACGCAAGCAACTGAATGTCAGAGATGTACAGATGTACAGTACCAGTACTCCATCCAGCCCTAATCATCATTAACTCCACGGCCGTTTCGTTCAAGAGAAATCCACCCACAGAACACAGAGCACAGCAGCAGGCATATAATCGATGAACCCCCCGGACAGAAACCCACCCGCAGAACACAGCACAGCTTCTAATCGACGAATCCGCACAACACAAAGAGCATAGGTACCTAGATGTCAGGTGCCGTATAGTAGTTGCTAGACTTTCCCAGTGCACCAACCCAAACCAAAAAGCCTCCGAGTTACCCGGCGTGGAACAAACAAGCTTGGAAGGTAAGAACCATACAGATGTTGGGTGCCATAACAGACCCCAACAACGCAACACGTCACATCACAACAGACCGGACACACCAGGACAGGACGTAAATACGAGGTACCACACAGCTATGTTGATTGACAATAAGGTAACTTTTGTCGATTCGATCCGATTCATCAATAGACGAAACGACAAGGAACCGGGCGGTGTGAGGTGACGCCCTCACAGCTCCTGCAGTGCAAAGACATTCTGATCACCCACGGAGGCGGGACTGCCGGGGACCGAGTTTGGGTCTGGCTTTTCATTCTCGTCTTTGGCGCTCTCGCTCTCCCAGATTTCAATTTCTGCACCGGCATTGGTCTCTGCCATTTGTTTCGAGGTAGCGGCCTTGAAATCGAACTTGTTCGAACCGATGGCACCGAGGATTTCATTAATGGATGGAACTTGAAGACTTTCAATGACTTTGGCGGTTGAAGAGAGTGAAACACCGTTCTTTGCGACCGAGTCTACCTTCTCAGATTCAACTTCAGCTTCAGCTTCGGTGGCTTGTTGAGGAGTATCGTCATGGACAAGGACGACACTTGTTGCGTCGAGGCCTTCGGCATAGTACTTGGCAGGGTTGAGGTCAGCCAGAGGTTTACGCTCGTCTTGCGAGTCGTCCGTGATGAGTGAGTCGGTGGCAGCAGCCACAGCAGCAGCAGCAGCCATTGATCGTGTCATGGGAGCAGAAGGCAGCTCATTCGGATCGACGTTCTCTTTGCCTCTGTCCAATGATTTTGCAGCTTTGCTCTTGCTCTCGTCGTCGCTGATGTCTAGCCCTGTCGCGCTCTGTGTCATGGTCCATTCGTTCATGCGGTATTCTTGCGTTTCTTGGCTTTCTTCAAAAATGTCGAAGAACCATGATGACGGCTTGGATTCTTCGATCGTCTTGGTCGTGGGGGCTCGTGCTCGTGCTCGAGATTGTGTTCGTATTTGTGTTTGGATCTGGGTCTTGCGGGCCTGGGATTGAAGTCTGGACTTTTTGGTGCCGTTTAGTGCTGCTGAGATGGATAGGGCCGGGGATTGGTGGGTGCTGTGAGCGAAAGCGGGTGGGTTGAATCGTTTTCGAGTCTGCAGAAGGCCCGAAGAGGATCGTTTCCGCGTCGGCGAACGCCCTGCTGCTGGGGCTGTTGCTGGTGTGCTCTTTGTGATGAAAGTGTCGAGACGTGGTGTGGTTGGGACGCCGGTATCCAATCGACATTTGGTAGAAGGGGCAGCCGCATTGACGTTCAAGCTGAACCGTTGGGCTTTGGCGACCGAGACGTCGTCGTCAAAGGCCGCTCGCTTGCGTTTGTTCATTGAGTGGAGGATGTTTGGGTCAATGTTCTCGCTGTCGGACCCGCCCTCCGGGGATTCGGCGCGTCGTTTGAGGCAAGGTGCCGAATTGGGAGTGATTGCTGGATCGATGAGTCATGTTAGGTGGTGGACTTGGGAAAGAAACAAGGTATGCTATCTTTGAGAACGAGGTCGGCTGGGTCTGGGTCTTTACCATTTTGTCTGTTCTTCATGCTTTGCAGGCTTCGAATCTTGGAATCATTGAGCACGCCGAAGGGCTGCCGAGCAGGTGTACTGATGGGAGCTAGAGCTGCCATTGTGTTGGATTGATGGTTGATATCGTGGAATAGGTTTCTGGTCGGTTTTCAAGGCCTGGGTGTTGGTGTTGGTGTGCTACAGAAGTGGTTGAGAGGCACGACGCGAAAAGGTAAGGTGAACCTTTGACCACAAACAGGTGCGTGGCTCAACAGTGAATGCTGTGTATCCAGGCAACAGAAAGGTGCTTGAGTGACTGAGCCTGCGTTAAGCAATGCCGTTGAGTGAATGGAGGGCGGAGGTACTCTACCAGGAGACTCGAGGAGAAGGAGGAAGTTTGCCAACAAAAGAAGTGGGCAGCTCCCGAGAGTATATGGTGACGGGCGTCCTTGTGGGGTCCAATGGCCAACTTGATGACCTTCAGCACCGGGAGGACGTTCGCTCTGGACGCGGAGTCTGTGCTGGACGCGAGATCCCTGGCGGGAGGGTGACAGACCCAATGGGATTGCTTGATGAGGAGGGCGGATATGCAGGTCAGAGCACCGCCTACGAACGGCTTCGAGTTCTGAATCACGTTGAAGCCGGCTCAGACAGAGGCAGCACTCGGGCTGCTGGAATGGTCTTGTTTGGGGCGCTGCGAAGCGTTGCAAGTCTCTATTAGACGTTTGCTGTCTGGGAGGCAGAGTTCACTGTGGACAATTGAAACATGAGATGCAGTGGTCGGATGGATTCGCGCTTCCAACAGCTCAAGGAAGACGGAGAAACCGACGTTGAATCAAGACGCGCATTGAGACGCGTCAAGTGGAGTTGGCACAAGCACAGACGCGTCGGGAAATGAACTGACGCGCATCCCACGCGTAAAGTGGTAAAGGAGACTCAACCTATTATACTCTCCATGAATTGCTCACAGAAGAGCACCTTACTTGATCATTCCTAGTGCTGATTGCAATTCAAGCCCATCTCGCTCCCTTCATCGTATATTCTATTCATGCCCCCAAAATCCCAAAAAAGTAGTTGTGCGGGAGTCAGGTTATGAGTTGTCCGACCCTTGACCAAGTGGCAGTGCTAAACCGAACTGGACGCGTCCTCTCCACCGACCGCATTGGCGACCCGTTTTGTCTCACTCTCTTCTACCGGTCGAGCCTTCGTCTCCAATCGACGCGGTCATCTCCTAAGATCATGATGTCGTAGCAGGTCGGATATTGGGCCGGCATTGTCATGTTCCCTTTGATTTGAGGGCGTCGGCCAGCGAGGCCAGAAATGTAGACAAAGCGCCGTCCAGCTCCCTGTTACAAGTCTACCTGTTTCGACCATTGCGCTCGTACGGCTCCAACTGACGCTGTCTCATGGTCGAAGTGATGTCAAACAATATGACCAGAGCTTACCGGCGCAAGGAGCAAAGTAGAGGTAGGTCAAGAGTGTCTGAACCATGCAAAGCAGAAACGGAAACAGGTCAGAAGTAGCCAACTCAGTCAGCACGACTTCCTTTACACAAGTAATATTGCCAGCAGGTGCTGTGTATATATCATTTCTGACTTCATGCACCTCAGATGATGCAGCCTCAAGTGTCCAGTTCGTCTCATTCGACCTCTGTCCCAAGTATCTGTGTCAAAGATGTTGCTAGGTGCTGGCACACCAACGAGGCTCCGAAGCCGTTCTTTCTCTTTACAACCCATTGGTCTAGATGTCCTCTGACACCATATCTATGTCTGTCCGAGACTCAGGCTCCCGGTCTCAATCTAAGCCATAACATCTTTCTACCAAAAGTGAAAGAAAAGCATTGGCCCCCATTTTTATAGTTTCGCCTTTGGCTCTACCAGATCCACCAGATTCTCATCCTTTGCGAACTGATAGTAATAGTCAAGACTCTGTGGGTTGAGCAATGTCCCAGACGGCTTGATGACCTTTCCAGAAACAATCTGTTTCACCGGCAACTCGACCTTCTTAAGGTTCACCGTTGTCTATTGACAAACCACATCAGTCAGCAATGCATGAATTACAGGGCTTTTTTTGCACGACCGCCACAACAAGACGAAAACAATTAATACGTACCGGAATCTCTGGCGTCTCAAAGACGAATTTCGGCACATGTCTCGGACTTGTTTCTTTTCGGATCGCATCCTTGACCTCCCTCACCAACTGCGGCGTAAACCTGTGACCTGGTTTCATCAACAGGAACAAAATCACCCTCTCGTCTGGGTCCTGAGGCCGTCTTTGTCCGACACAGATACTATCACTGATGCGGTCGGCAAACTTGGATTCGATAATACTGTAAATCTCGGCCGACCCAAATCGAACACCACTGGGGTTGAGAACGCCATCTGCACGACCGAGGAAAAAGACCTGTTTCGTGATCGGGTGGATCATGATGAAGTCGCCGTGGACCCAGACATTGTCGAAGCGGGCAAAGTAGCTGTCAAAGTACCTTTGCGGACCGTTGTCGCCATAGAACGTCACCGGCATGGTGGGGAATGCCTTATCGGCGACCAATTCACCAGGCACGCCGTCGGGGACTTCAACGCCTTTGACTCCCTTCCCACCCTCGATGGTCGAGTCGTACACTTTGACAGAGATACCCAAGGCGCGAGACTGGCATCCTCCAACATATAATGGAACAATGGGATTGCCTAGGCCAAAACAGGCCGCGAGATCCGTGCCGCCCGAGATATTGTCCAAGTGCACGGAAGGCGGGAATGCATGGTCGTAGAACCATTCGAACAATTGATCCGAGAGCACCATGCCCGTACTGGTCACAACCTTGAGGTGGCTTAGGTCCGTGACTTGTTTAGGGATTATATTGCTTGACTGCAGCGTTTGCAGGTACCGTGGGCTAATGCCCAAGTGTGTGACCTTCTCCTGACCAAGCAATTTGACGAAATTGGTCAGGTTCGGCGTGAACGGACTCCCGTCGTAGATGACCATGCGACAACCCACGAGTAACGACTGCACACTGCTGTTGTACATGATCCATCCCGTCGTGGTGTATTGCAGCTGGATCGAGTTAGAGTCCATGGAGTGATGAAGCCTGGCCTCTTTGTGGGCGTTGATGATAGGACCACCAATAGAGTGCACAATACATTTGGGCTGGCCCGTGGTGCCCGACGAGTACACGATGAGATATGGATCCGAAAAGCCGGTGGGCTCGAATTCCAGAGTCGACGAGGACGCCGCCGATACGAATTCGGCCCAGGTCTGCGCGCGAGGGACCGACGAGACGTCAGCAGGTGCATGGGCAAAACGAACCTGGGACACGATGCCCTCGAATTCAGCAACGCCGCTCATGCCCGCGACGACCTCCTTCATCTTGGGCCGCAAGTCGATCGTCTTGCCGTTATAGACGGCCCAGTCGTCCATGAACAGGTACTTCGGTTTGATCTGCGTCAGTCGGTCCAGGATGCCCTTGACGCCCATGTCGGTCGAGCTCGAACTGAACAATCCCCCCAGCGCCGTGGTTGCCAGGAACACAGTCAACGTGTCCACGCTGGTGCTGGCCACAATGGCGATTCGATCGCCCTTCCGGACTCCTCGGGCTCGCATCGCCTGTGACAAGAGGCCTACTCGCCGCCGCAGCTCCTTCCAGGTCACTTGCTTGATGGGTTCCAGGAAACTGCCCTCGCGGACTTCGGTGCAGGCAATCTTGTCGTCTGCTTTGGCCGCGTCGATCACCGCGTTTCCGTTCTGGTCGCCCGAAAATAAAATGTTTTGGGCGAAGTTCATCTGTACTCCCTGGAACCAGCGTGGGATCGAGTCCATGCGTGCGGACTCGTCGACTACCGGGTTCGGGATCTTCCCACCATAGACGATGGGGAAGTATTGCATGACATGGCGCCAGAAGTCGGACCGGTGGTTGCACGAGAAGTCGTATAACGCGTCGTAGTTCTGTAACAGTAGATCAAAAGTAGGTCAGATCAGCCTCCTGCAACGTCCTGGTCGTTTCAACCGGGGGCGGGCGGGTGGTGTGTAGGTTGGAGGCCGGGGAGGTGGAGGGTGAGAAAGGGATGTGTTGGGAGGATGGCATATCAAGAAGCCTCCCGACCAAGCTGTAGTAAGGTAGCCTTACCTCGAATGTTTTCCCACTGGCCTTCTCCAAGCTCGTTTTGAATTTCCACATCTCCGTACTCTTCGGGTCCGGATGCTCCCACAGCTTCCGGGGGATAGGGTGTTCTTCAGCCATGATTTGAGACAGGCCTTGGGACTGCTGGCAGAGTATGGTATGTCGTTGTAGTTGACAGATAGAAGAAAACCCGGCAACAACAGACGTTGTCAAATCAACCGTAATTGAAATAGAGCACCTGTGTACCTGGTATAGGTAAATCCCCGTTCAAGTTCCAGACCAGATGGCAGCACGCAATGGTTTTTCCAATGCGCACCTCTTCTATGTCAGTGCTGACAAGCCTGCTTCCTTCTTACCTGACCAGAGTACTGTACGTTGCTGACCGTCTGGACCGTAACACCCCAATATAGGTATGTGTATATGTTTCCTGTCTCCTTAGTAACTCACCTGCGAGTTGAAACGAACGAAAGAGTACAGCGAGTACTCCGTCCAACACTGCATGACTCTAAACCTGCACAGACGGACATCCGGTGGGAGAAGGTACACTACCTCGGCATAGAGAGCGTTGTTCATCAATTGGACCCACGAATAATAACCTCGAAGTTCCCCCAGACATGATCTTCAGGTTCCAAGGCGTCGCGCAATTCCGTTGACTGATAGGGCTGGGTCCCTTTCGGCAACCCTCTCCGAGGGTCTCCGTTAGCATGGATTGGCATGGCTGGCAGGGCGTGTTGGCCGGGCTCCACGACTGATACTCATACCAGCGATACAGTACAGTATCTCGAGAGTTGATATATCAAAATCCCAAAGGCTTAGGGGCAGCGAATTTATCCACGTCGGCCGCTGGGTCGTTTGGCATTTCATCTTGTACGCAAGATTCGGTCTCCCAATCTGGCAGCCTATCGTTAATCTAGGTACATGTAGGTAGTGGTCGGCTAGCCTTCCAATCGTCACGCGTACCCTTGCGACCACCCTCGCTTGGTTAAATGGGTCGATGCGGCCATGGCCTCTGAAGAAATGGACAAGTTCGCAAAGATGGAGCACAAGTGCCAGCTGAACCAAGAACAATAGCTATAACTGACTCCTAATAATGATATCCGGTTGTGATGTAGGTTCAAGCACCTTGCGAAGAAGTATTTCCCCTGTCTTCTCCAACGGATCCTAATTGCAAATCTCTCCTGAACGCGACCAAACTGAAAGAACCCAAGTCCTCTGAACTCCTTAGCGCCTCCCCAGATTTGAAGCATGGCGATGCAGCCCCGTTCGGTTTCGGGCTGTGGGGACGAGTGTCCGACACAGAAAGGAAGTCCGCCTCATCCTCTATGCTGCCAATATCTTGCGTCCTGCTCGTATCCAATAATGAAGAAGTGCCATGGGATCGAGCTGACCGAGCTGACCGAATCTCGACTGTAGACAACTCGAGGTCTGTACCAGTACCCAGGCGGACATCAGGGCCTGATCGCGTGACCTTTTTCTTGAGGTCCGTCAGGAGTGCTATCAGCCTGGAAGCAGCACTCCAGGATCGTTCTTTGTCCGATGGCTGGTCTCGGCCATCTGTTTCCCCTTCGGTAGTGACCGAAGTGCCACGTGCCTCTAGGAGCTCTATTCTCCTTCGTAATTCAGCATCTGAGAGGTAAACTTCATCTTCTACCAACGTGCGCGTAGACGACGTCAGTGTATCCGGAATGGGAGACATATTCGAGGTCCGACTCCAGTCACGGTTGCTGCGCATAACCGTTTCATGGTCATTCTGTTTCCGCCGTCGAGCGCGGTTTCTCGCCACCCAGTATCCCAAAACAACCGCCACGAGACCGACCACACCTGAACAACCCAAGCTAAGGAGGAGGACGCCAGTATCGAGTATGGAGTAGTCGGGTGTAGCAGAACTCATGTCGAGAAGTAACTCGTCCGATGCGTCAATTGGGATTTTGGGCAAAAGAATCGCGAGGCTGTAAAGGAGTACCTCGAGCGAACTGGAGCAGTAAATAGGCAGGCGTCTTGACACGCCCAACAGAGTGGTCACTGTGGGATGGGGGTTTCGCTAAGATACAGTGCCCATGGGAGCGGGAATGATATAGGCGCGGATTGTAGAGCACCATGAGCAGGTGGACAAGTCAGAGGCAAAAAGAATGAGCCTCAACTTTGAAGAGACGACCAAAGGCGTACAATCTGCAGTCCGATGGAATGATAGTCGTGGGTATGAGGATCAGTGAGAAACAATCGGGCGTGTCGAATAATTCATTCACACGTACGAGATGTAAGATGTCGAGAGTGCTTTCCCAGATTGAAATCAACTCTTCGTCGTTCTTGACAATATGTCAGAGCATCCCCAACGCCGGAACCAAGGTGCCTTTCTGGTCAAGCATATATACACTGCCGCTAGGTGTCTGGCTCATGCGTGAGAGCCATTTTCACGCAAAACTTTATCTTCAAGGTGCAATTTGAATAGAACTGAAGTGCGAATTTCCGATTTTATTCCAACGAGGCCAAGTCGGCGAGCTCTGGGTTCACGGTCGAGTTTCCTCTCCTTCTACGTTCCACCGGGGCATCTCTCTGCTCGATTCCAGGCCCGATCGAATGCGAGCTCCTGTGACGAGGCCACACCTGGAAAGAGTTGCCGTCAGTACCATATACCAGCGGACAAAAGTAACCTAACAAGCAACAATGCTGGGGACGATTTCTCTTACATTGGTTCCACTCCAGCCCAGACGGAAGGCGAATTCATGTGCCAGTAGCTCCCCGAACCCTAACATCATTCCGTTCACAAAAGGAAGTAAAAGATTTATGGCAGCACCTCGGAGGATACCCCAGAGTGTGGGTGGCTGATATATGATCACATTCTGTGCCCCATTGTTGTCGGAGGATTGAGGTGGGGATGACGAAGGAGGAGATATTGAGGAATATGCTTCGGAGTCCGAGGGTATAGTCAATTGAGACGCGGAAAGATCGTGAGGAGGTGAGGGAGATTGTTCGGATCGTGAAGCCATGGTCAGATGTATGACAATGTTGACCACGAAGATCTAGCTTTGGAGAAGTAATGAATTGTCAAGACAATTGTGAAACCGCTGGCATCTTCGGAGAGACGAGGAGAATAGTATCTGTCGAGGAGTCCCGAACAAGAATAGTCAATATATTGCAAAACTGGTGATCAACTCGACCGGTTCGTGAGGTTACAGAAGGGTTGAGCGGGACAATCAATCTGCGTTGAGATGCTGCGCTGTGTCCCGCCTGCGGATACTGTGCAGTGCTAAGGTATAGCACACAATTATTAGGTAGCCAGGCTGCGCCAACTAGCACGGTACCTTAGAACTGATGAGTAGCTCCAACTGGCCGCTGGGAACGATTTCTTCGGGCCTTTATTACATAAGCCTCGCTTGGTCGCTTTAGGCCGCTGTAAGTGACGTACCGCTCGTTACCACCGCCTAAAGAGCCTCCAACCGCTGCAGTGAACTGTACCGTTCTTTGCCTTGCAGCAAGTTGAACCACTAGGTATCAACAACCTGGCCTTTCTTTTCAGCCTTTTACAGTGTCACCCTTGCATTCGTGAGAATCGGCATTCACTTGTTGAATCTACCTCACTCGACCTCGATCGAACGGGCTTCCCCCTTCTGCCTCTTTCTTAACCTCGTTGGACCCCTCTCCCCTCTCTCTCCCTGCCTCTTATTCTGGTTTTCCCTCAGGAGCAACCATGGCGGACTCACCCGATCACGACACTCTCATAGCGCAGTTCTCGACCATTGTTGGGACGTCTGCGGACCAGGTATGGCCGACATTGGGGTTTTTTCCAGGGGACTGAAGCTAACCAACCCCGCAGGCGCACCAGTACCTTGCCTCAAACGACTGGAACCTAGAAACTGCTCTAGCGACTTATTACGCTGCTCAAGATGATAATATGGAAGACGAAGGGGATGACTCAGACTATGACGATGAAGACGAGCCGGCCACATCCCACCAACCCGAGTCTCAATACGGTGGTGGTCGAAGATTAGGCGAAGGCCCGTCGGATCCCCAACCGATTCCTGTTGCTTCTACATCTGGCTCCTCCTCGCGACCGAAGAAGGCGCCAACTACAAAGAAGAAGTTTGCTACACTTGGTGATTTCAGCGCAGGGGGTACAAATGGAGATGACTCCGATGACGACGAGAAGCAAGATCTATTTGCTGGCGGCGAGAAATCTGGTCTGGCAGTGCAAAATCCAGATGATCTCAAGAAGAGAATATTGGAAAAGGCGCAAAAGGCTGGCCCGCCACCAAAAGATACGCCACAAAAGAAATCCTACTTCACAGGATCCGCCCGTACCTTGGGAGGCGACGATGCCCCATCGCGGGAAATCCCTGCACCTCCTCAGCCTAGAGGTCGAGCGGAACGGGTCGAGCGTGTTCTGCACTTCTGGCAAGATGGATTCAGCGTTGACGACGGCGACTTGTATAGGATCGATGACCCGAGAAATGCCGAAATCTTGAATCTGATCCGACAGGGACGGGCACCATTGAATATCATGAATGTCCAACCTGGTCAGGAGGTGGACGTCGAAATCAAACAGCATGACGAGAAGTATGTCAAGCCAAAGAAGAAGTTCCGGCCGTTTGAAGGATCTGGTCATCGTCTGGGAAGTCCTACTCCTGGAATTCAGTCAATGCCTGGTGCTTTCGCCTCCGAATCATCTGCGTCAAGTGCTGCACCTGCCGCTCCGGCCCCTCCTACAGCAGAAATCGACGAGTCAAAGCCTACGGTGACTCTCAGAATCAGCTTGGGCTCAGGTACACGGTTGACGTCCAGATTCAACACGACGCAGACGATTGGCGACGTTTACGACTTTGTTCGACGAGCTGAGCCTGGTGGCAGGGAGTTTGTGCTGCAGACCACTTTCCCGATTGTGGAGCTGACTGACAAGACAAAGGTTCTTGGGGATATGCCGGAGTTCAAGAGAGGCGGTGCAGTGATTCAGAAATACATCTGATGGCTGACAGAGCGGCCAAGTCAAATAAAGGACTGCTAGATTGTCTGGATTGGGAGAGCAAAATGCTCTACCTACAGAAGCCCCATGAGAGAATAAAATAGACCTGTATGAATGATTGAGTTCACAATCCCCAATATCTTCTGCGCATGCTGTTACAATGTATATGCCAATTAGCAGCAACTGAATGACTGCGGACTTTTTGGAAACCACGCGATCATTCGGCGCACTTTCCCCATTCGGACGGCAGTACTATTTCCTTAGAAAGCTTTTGGCATTGAACTCGAAGCTGGCCGATCATCCTGAGCATTACTGGTCGTGTCCTCAAAATGTCGTTATCCCAGGGACTGAGGTGGTCTGGTCGAGGCATAGGCAATGGCCGCCAAAGATTAGTCCTCGGTGTGCGAGGTGTGCGAAATGTAGGCATGCCCAATTGTTCTCCATGGACTGACTGACTGACTGACTGGCAATCCAGTTCTCTCTGCACACTTCTCGAGTCGCTCGTCCACAGGCGAAATTGACACGGACATCGACCGGTACAGTCTTTCAAGGCTCATATCAAACGCGCTCGCTTTCTTTATTTGGGTGGGGAGGCAAAAAGGCTGCGGAAGAGGTTGCCAACACACCACCGTCTTCTGCCGCGGAGACTGCTGCTCAGGCCTCAGGTTCACCACAAAATGTGGTCGAAACAGTGAAGTCGGTAAAGGCATCACATGCGACATCCGACGCTCCAGATCTTACTTTTACGCACCCTCATCCAGTCAGCCCGGCCGAGCCAGAAGCCTTGCGAAACCTGGAAAACGAGATTCTCAAACCCCACGGCGCAACACCACCTGCAACCGAGACCGGCGATGTTCCTGATCTAGCATCGATTCCCGAAGGTTTGGGATACCTCAAAGATGCCTGTGGGTTGGACTTTGGCTGGGGTCCGACGGCCATTTTGGAAGTTTTACTGGAACACCTCCACATCACGGCTGGGCTATCGTGGTCCGCCTCTGTGATCGGGCTGGCTATCCTCGTGCGGACGATATGTCTGCCCGCTTTGGTTGCTGGAAGTGACCAGAGCGCCAGAATGAGAGAGGTACAAGGAGTGCTAGCGCCACTGAGGGAAGAACTCTCGGAGGCCCTCCGGAACAACAACAGACAGGCAGCCATGGAAAAACAAGCCGCATTGCGATCAATCAACAAGGAATACGGAATTTCCCTTCCCAAAGCGTTTGGAGGAATCCTTCTCCAGATCCCCTTGGGATTCGGAGCCTTCCGACTGCTCCGCAACGCTGGAACCCTACCCGTCCCTGGATTCGAGACTGAACAGTTTCTCTGGTTGACCAACCTCTCCTCGGCTGATCCACTCTACGTATTACCCATTTTGACCGGCTTGATGACCTATCTGAATGTAAAGACAAATCAAAGGTCGACCAACATGGGCAACCTCGCACGGATTATCACACCACTTTTGCCCATCGTTTCATTTGCTGCTCTTTCGTTCCAACCCGCCGCGCTACAATTATACTTTTTGGCCAACGGCATATATACGCAGATGCAGTCGATGTTGATCCTGAACCCAAGGTTCCGACGAATGCTGAAACTTACACCGTTGCCGTCCTCGCCCAGTCCATCGGGCCCGACCACAGCGACGGCGAAACCAAACTTCGCCAAGATGAAGGTTGGAGGACAGAAGCCTTCTGTTGTTGAAGAGCAGGCTCCACCCACCGACCGAAGTGTCATTGACAAAGGTGTGGATCTGGTCAAGGAAAAAGGATCCCAAGCGATCAAAGGCGTGTTTGGGAATATGAACGAGGCATGGCAGAAGGAGAAGATGAAGAGAATAGAAAAGGAGAGACAGGAGAAGCGTGCCGCCACGATAGCCAAATACGAGGCTCAACGGAGACAAGATCTCGAGGAGCAGAGATATCAGCGAAACGCTGGCGCTGTCGGACCCATGCGGATTAACCAGACTTCAGAGGCGCCTTTGTCTTCGAAGAGAAGGGAAGAGAAATAAATCTGAGTGTGATTAAGATGGAGTCATCACCGGCCGACCACTGTTTGAGGCATGTTGTCCCGCGACTATATCCCGCTTGACATGCCACTTCAGGGGGGCCGCCTATGCAAGAAAAGGACCTCTTGGGTATTGTTGCATGAGAGCTTCGAGGGACGCCGGCCGCAAAAAGGGCGTAGGGGTGTGGCCTCCTAGAACACCTGGAAGCCGTCTTTTGAGCCAACCGAATGACATCACAATGGCCGTGGTCATTCTGACAACTGCAACTGTAGGCAGTTGGTGTCTTCCGGGCCGCCGGTGGCGGTGGAGTCGAAGCTGGGATCTTTGACACGCCATTGTATATTGGTGAGATGTACGAAAATTAAGTGTATGGCAAGAGACTCCTGGGGGATCCAATACTACTACTACTACCACCGGCCTTTCTACTCGGGCGTCCAAGCCGTTGGTGATGGTAGTGGTAGTGGTATCGAAGGTGGTGGGTGAGCGGGTGTTTTCAAAACCAAAGTCATGCTTGTTGTGTTCGCAGAACTGTATATTTTACATACTTTGTGCCCCCGCGAAGGAATCTCAAAAAGAAACTCTGATCACCACATACTTTTGCATTCAATCGTGGCATTGTCTTCTAAGTATACTGCTGAAGTGTCGGGGCGATAGAAATCAATGCATTTATGTGGCCTACAGCACGAGACGTATCGACATGATAGCATGGATTCAGAGTTCAAATTCAGTTCAATATTTTCATTTGTTTTAACCCAGAAACTCTATCGCTCGCTGCTAAGCAGATCTAGTGATACACAATGCATTCGTTTCCTTTGGCATCCCATTCCAACCAGGAGGACCACAAATGCTCCATCGAACTGCCAGTGTACCGCCAAAACGATATATGTACTTTGTCGACAAAATGCAGTGCTGGTAATGTACAAGTATGTATATAGGGTTGTGCGAGGAGGACCGTCCTCGTCAAGACGGCTCTGAACCAGATGTCGTTGAAGTCGGCTCGTCATGGTCGCGGTCCACGTATGCAAAACCGCGCCGGAGAAGACTCCCAAAAGCCATCTCGAGCCGGTGAATGCCGGAAAAAGTCGATCGAGGTGAGCGGCAGTCAGGGGAGATCAAGTGAGGCGAGGCGAGGCCAAAGTGTCTCGAATCGGACCAAGGACTCAAATGACACATGGGGCATTCAGATGCCTCCACTATCCGACCGACCATCCGAGCAGAATCGTATCTCGGATGGCACTTCATGTCATGTCGCAATTTTACCACGCAGTATAGCCACCATCGATGATCAGCTAAAACAGATCAGTTAGAAAACCACCACATTGACCAGAGAGTTCCGGGGGGGAAACGTACCTGAGAGCCCGTCATAAACGTACTCGCATCGCTCAACGCAAACAACGCCGCGCCTCTATACTCGTGCGGTTCTGAAATCCGACCAAGCTATAACAGACAAACATATAACGTTAGCACCACTGTTCCGATGCCTCCCATCCCCAATACACTAAACAATCACTCATCACAACTCACCATGTTCGCCGCTTCCCAAGTCGGTCTCAGCTTCGGATCGTCCTCGAAATTCTTGAGAACCATCGGCGTAATAATGTTCCCCGGACACAAAGCATTGACTCTGATCGGCTTCCCATTGACGGCTTTACCCCATTCCATGGCCAGATTTCGCGTCAATTGGCAGACCGCGGCCTTTGACGAATTATACACCGACGACATGAGGCCCTTGTTGGCCACAAAGCCACTCATGCTGGCGACCATGAGGATCGAGCCGGGACAGTTGTATTTGATCATTTGCCGCGCACAGCTGGCGGCCGTACAGTAGACGCCCTTGTAGTTGATGTCGAGCATTTCCATGATTTTCTCGGGCGGGTATTCGAGTGCCGGTTTGACGTATTGCACGGCGGCCGCGGTGATGGCGCCGTCCATGCGTTGGTGGCGGTCGGCGATTTTGGAAATCACGCGGTCCACGTCGTCGCATTGCCGGACGTCGATTCGATCATACAACAGTTCGCCGCCGTATTTGGGCCCAAGGCGTTTTTGCACGTCGTAGAATTCTTCTTCGGGCTCGGGAAGGCGGTCGAGACAGTAGACTGGAACGGAAAACAGACAGACGTCAATATGCTAGGTGAATGGAAAAATGAGGGAAACTCATGTTGGTGTTGCTTACCCTTTCCACCGGCTTCAACTAGTGCTTCGGCCAGTGTCAGGCCTAAGCCGCGCCCACCGCCGGTCACGACGAAGACTTTGTCTTGGAGGTCGAATTCCTTGAGCCGCGCGGGCGCTTGATGAGGATCAGGGAGTTTTTCTTTGATTGATGGTGCATTCTCGGTGGCGGCGGTTGTGGTTGTGGTTTTGTTTGAAGAGAGGTTCCGTCTTTGTTGCTGGTGCTGTTGCTGCTGTTGGTGTTGTTGCTGTTGTTGGATCTGGATTGCCGGTTGGATGGGCCGGGTGAGGGATGAAAATGGTCGGGGGTTGTTGTATGTTCGGGCTATTGAGCGGGTGCTGGGAAGACAGCTCCGGAACATGCTCCCTTGTACGCGAGGAACGGTTAAAGGCATGGTGTATCGATATCTCAAGTTACTTGGTAATGTTGATGCCGGCGAGATTCAATGATCAGAGTATGAGGTACTTAGTTTGAGTATGTGAAAGTAAAACGGAGGACAAAAGAAACAATAACGTGGACAGATGGATGGGTTGAGAGAGATGCAGTGGTGCCAGGCTGTTAGGGCTCGAGCAAGGCTGGGGCCAACTGTTATATTGGTTTCGACAATTTCCTGGATGTGGTAATCAGCATGACATCGTAAGGTACCTACGGACTACCTAGGTACTATACCACTCGCACCTCGTAATAGGGGCACTGAGGCGGTTGATGGCATTCTCTGTGATGTACTTTTTCATGGGCAAATTGTTTGGTATGACGTTATAGCCTCGAGCGAGCAACATCACGGCGGGGCCAAGATGGAAGATTGTTCGCTGGATACAAGACACGAGAGATCGATGGATGGATCTATCCACGCCGCTGAGGGCGATCAGTTCAGATTACCTGTTGACTGAGTTACCATGGACGGGACACGACTTTCATCATACTGTGTGCCGGTGGGTTGGTGGTTGGTTCGGGCAAAGTGCGGTGTTGAGAATGCATACCTCAAGATACTGTACCTCACTACATGACCTTAACCTGCCGGTGCAATACTGTGATTATCGTGATTGAAAACTCCCCAAGACATAGCAGATAGCTCTAGCTCAAGGTACCGTAGCAAGCCGACCGGTGAGTTGTCGGTGGTGGTGGTGGTGGTGGTGATGGCTACGTTGTGGCTGGCTTTCTCCCTGTGACGGAAGACGAGACGCACTGCAAGGCTCCACGACCACGCAATGAAATCTCCGATTGGCCTCGCGGAACATGCGTCCGACGAGACACGGCCACGAATCAAAACCAGTGGATCGCGATGGGCTCAGGCTTGACGTCGTCCCTTTTAACTTCCATGGAATTGTGGTACATGGCATCGAAGATTGGGGACATAAGAGGCGACGGTTGACGTTGCCTTTTTCTGGGCCTGCCAGCTTACAACTAGCCACAGCAGATCTCTGACCGCCGGCGTCTCTCAAGCATGAAATTCGGATTTCTACAGTACCATTCCGTCCTCTAGGTACCCGCCACGTACAATTATCTCGATCAACTGCCAGCCCACAAACAGTGGGACTGGAGCATCATCAGACCAGGTCCATCGTCTATTTCCCGGCCGGACCCTTCCTGGTCAACACCTTAGTGACTCTGATGCAATACCCGGCCCCCAACGCCGTCAAAATATGCCACCAGCCATGCAACTCGAGGGCAAACGCCCACGGCAGCCCGACATGACTCCTAGTCTCCCGCAACCAGCCACAGACGGCGCCGTCGATCAGCCACACGACGAATCCGGCCAAAAAGCAAAAGCCACCCACTCGGAACCGGCCGATCCAGTAGGCTTTTTCCTGGCCCTCGAACCGTCGATGAATAAGATAGAGCACACGTGGCCAGATGGCCGTCACCAACAGGGCAAACGTCGCGTTGTGCAGCCACAGTTGGTACAAATTGTAGTGGACTGCACTGATGACGCCCAGCACCGCCGTTAGAGTTGACCCGAATGCGATTCGGAACCCCGCTGTCTTGTCGAAGGTGTATAGCTCGTAAATGATGGCCGCGCATACCCAGAACATGGACAGGTCGTCGCCCATCTGTGTGGCATATTTCAATGTCAGATGGTATGCGAACGAGGTCACGCCCACGAAGAACAGTGCGAGGTTGGGGAATGCAGTTGTCGACAGTAAGCTTTCGCCGGGCTGGAGGGTTTTGAAGGCCCAATACACTAAAGCAAACCGAGAGTCAGTCGGAAGGTAATACTGACTGGGGAAAGTAGGTAAGATATGTACACACCATATGCCAGGTTGGTGAAACTGTTGATCAGCTCCGCGACCATAAAAGTGACGCCGTAGTCTTCTTCACAAAAGCTACAGATAGAATATATGCGTTAGCACACCTCCTCAATGTATTAGTATGGGACCCGCAAGCCACAGACAGTGAGAGCTGCTTAGGTAGATGTTGGTGATACCAGTAGTGCTTGTTGCAGCGGTGCACTGCACTGGACGACTGGAGGGGGAAGAATACTCACTTCGCAATTGATGTCGGCGGTCCCCAAAATCCATGTTGGGCATGAACATCGCCTACAAAATTCCGTTCCACATGAACCATGGTTCCGAATCGTAGCAACAACTTTCGCTGGCGCTGTCGACGTCGAAGTCGTTGTATTCAACCTCTGTGCACTGCACGGCACGGAGCTCGTCTAACAAATCCGAATCCTCGACAAAAACTTGAATTGTCCGTTGTTGCTGTTCCGGTGATACGATATGCGAGAGCAGCACTGCAGCCAGCGAGTATGGAGACAAACCGATGCGGGAGCTATTGCAGTAGTAGGATCGAACGACAGTGTCCGTATTATTAGTCAGATCGTCTTTCTCCTTGCAGCAATCTTGTCCACACACTGGGCCCCAGATAGAGAAGTCGATTCAAGGACTTGCGATGGTGTTTGTACCGAGGAGAAAATTGTAATGATACCTTAGTGATCGACGAAGTTGATGGGCGAGGTTTGTACTGCTTATTATTAGTAGTTGTAGGTGCATTGAATTATTTCAAGTTATTTTATTTGGCTGACAGTGGCTGGGGGCCAGGCACCAAAGGTTACAGCACGCAGTAACAAAAGCTTCCGCCTAGTAAGGCTGAGATTGCTAGGGACTTACTGCACCCATGTAGATGCCATATCTCGTATTATAGTCTTCCCTAGCACGCCCTTTGAGACATACCCTGGTACGTACGTACCTGGGAGGTATCCCAGCACTCGGGTACCTGCATCTCAGGAATGTGGGTGCCTAGGTATCCTTATATTGCGCACAGTACCTGAGTACCTAGCTAACTATTGTATACCAAAGTACCGTATCCGCCGTTATCCAACTACCGAATATGCCTTGATAATGTTCAAAATACCACACATCATATACTGTGCTATATGTACGCTGTAAAGCACTGCAGCCGTGCCACCAATCCAGGTTCAAAATACTGCAAATGGTATATACCGCGGTACAGTGATATCTCCGGTTTGTCTCGCACCGGAATTCAATAAACTACTAGCATCCCTTGCCAGGGCCTCATGTTCAGGAATCAGAATCAGTCTTCTGTCTTCAACAACACTCTCAACCCCTTGGACTCCAATTTCGGAAACGGCGAGAAGAAATCATGTTCCATCTCCAGATCCCGCTCGGAGGTCTGGAACAGATCTGCATCAAAGCGGGCAAAGAAATTCGCAATGGTCAAATACAAATTCATCAAGGCCAATTCCTTGCCGATGCAGCTGCGTCCGCCCCGGCCAAAGGGGGTAAAGGCCTTTTCGAGCCGTTTGAGTTCAGCGTCCTCGACCAGCCACCGTTCAGGTTTGAACGACAACGGATCTGGATAGACGTGTTCGGCGGTATGGTTGTCTCGAATGGTCATGCTGATGACTGTGTTGGGAGGTAGGACATAGACGCGGTCGTGGTCAGTCGTGTCCTTATCCCTTTTCGTTTCGCTCTTGTCCTTCTTCTCGTCAGTGGATCCGGTGTGCGTGTGTGCACGATAAGTCCAGGCATGTTTCCGGTCGACCCGGGGTAGTCGACCAGAGACACTGTTGGAGAGACGCAGGCCCTCGTTGATCACCGCGGCGAGATAGGGGAGTTTCCTGATCGTGGCATAGTCGTCTAAGGGATTCTCTAGACCTTTAGCACGCTCTGAGGTGAGCACTTGCTTCAACTCTTCCTTCAGCCGCCGTAGCACTTCCGGGTGGGTGAGCACATGGAAAACGATCGTCTCCAGAGAGATGCCTGTCGTTTCACTTCCGGCACCTACGAGCGTCCGGGCTTCCTGCGTCAGACGGTCCACGGTCTTGTCGCTTTCTGGAATGGCATCCGAATTGACGATTCCGTCCAATACTGACTTGTCGCTTCGTTTCTCGGCGTGAACGGCTTCTTCAGCTTGACGGGCTAGATCCTGTTTAGGTGACATTTCGTTAGTCGTTCGCAAATTTCTCAAGTGATATTCTTGGCCATCATTTCGTAGTTATGCTAAAAAAAGGGCTCATGCTTACCGCTTGAAACTCAAACGTTTTCCTTCCGCCTTCCGTGGCCGTCATATCAACCAGCCATTTCGGCATCCGCATGAAGAGTGGAATAATGATCGGAATATGTCGATGCCAGACTGCAATGTACGAAATGGTGCGAGCCTGTCTGTTGTAGTCCTCGGCGAAATCAATCGAGTCCAACAGATTGAATCCCCGCGGCATGCAATAGTCGGTGACCGAATCGGCCGCGAGACACCGGAAAGCATTAGACAGGTTAACAGGTTTGCCCTCTTTGCGCATCTCTTCCAGCCGCTGACACAGTTTGGCTACCTTTTGACGCGACGACGACTCCAGGTTCGAAATGGCCGAAGTGGCGAAGAACCGGCTCATGGCCTTGCGTCGCGCGCGATGCAGGTCGACATTGGCCGTGCCGAAGCCGGCATCTTGCGAGCCCACAAAGGCATAGTACCACGGATCTTTGTCAACACGACTGGTGACATTGTAGAACTCGTCGAAAAAGTCCGGGTCTTGGATGTGAACTTCATTGGGGCCTATGCGAACAATGGGTCCTACAATCCAGGGGAAGCAAATTAATTAGACCAAAGCAAGGCTTCTCGGACCGTGCCGGGCATATTTTGGAAAATCCTCGGAGACCCGGCCTGTGACACTTGAACTTACCATATATGTTGTGTAACTCTTGGATCTTGAAAGCGAACTTTCCTCCGAGAATGCAATCGTAGTAGAAATCATAAAGGCGTGAAACGGCAGCCAATTTCGGCCCAGGAACTTTGGACAGAGGGTGGAAATAGAGATGGTAGACAGCCACTGACGCGATGGCAGCAACGCCGATCAAGGCCAATAAGATCGGCAAGCTCAGGTAAGCAATGGCCCCCATTATTTCCTGATGGACGGATGGGATGAAACGGGGGTGGTATTGCGCCTTTGACGGTGAGATACGGGGCGTCTTGAAAGGGTGAGAAGAGTAAGAAAAGTATCGCGAGGGAGTGACTCGGCACAACTGGTTGATTTCACTCCATGTGATGATGGCGATTTGGTAATCAGATTCACCTGGTTCTCTGCTGGTTGCGGGAGTCGAACTTGGAGGGACCAGCAAAGGACCGAGCTTTGGTTAAACAGCGACCTCCATCGGTTGATGCGCGACCGTCTGTCTCGGCTGGCATTTTAGTCTGGGAGGCTAGAACCAGAAGTTGAAGAGCTCCGTCGATTAGAGCTCGCTTTGACGATGGAGACTGTACCGAGCTTAGCTGGAAATCACAGACCACAGACCACTGCCATGCTGGCAAATGGTGGCATGAGAGGATAAGCACGATGTCCTCCACAGCAGTAGTTTGCTACTACTGCCGCCACTACTTACTGCGCATGAGGTTGGGTTGTGCGAGTCTCCAGATGTGATGAAGAACTTGAATGCAACGTGGCAGAGGGGACAGCAGCTAAGTTAATTTAGTACCTTAGGACTGCAGTGCTAGTTGTAGATTGTAGCAGGAGCGGGAGGTGCCAATGGTGGCTGAGTCTCCAGGGCATTAACCCACTGCCAATGCCAGTCCCGGTGCCCGTGGCCGCCCACTGCTCTCTCCAGCCCCTGCAGTCTCTAGGCGGCCAGCGCCCGGGGAAGCCAGGGCGTGCGTCCGCAGTCTCTGGCCTTCGTGATCTTTTCCACAGCGACAAATGATAGTAGAAGCCGTGGGTGCCTAGGTACAGTAGGAGTTAATAGGATGCATCGGCCGAGACAGATGCGAAGCTGTCAATCGGCATCGCTTGTTGTTCCTGCGAACTGCTGGTGATTTGGACAGCACCGACGACTAGTGGACAGCTACTGCAAAGAATGCTAACAACCACCACCATCACCACCATCACTACCGCTACCGCTATCTTGCCACCGCCACGGTCGGACAGGCTAGAATCCACATCTGCATGACAGATTAGCTGATAGTTGCCATGCGACAATGTCTCGAACCGAGCCGAGAGACCCTAGAAGCACATCATCGGCATGTGTTGTCGTCGAGGTCGTTTGGTGCTGCTGCTCCTTTGGACCGAAGACGAGAGTTGAACTCTCAGGTTGTAGCAGACATCCCCGGCCTCCAGAGCTCCTTGAAGCTCACCTTTCGATCATAATGGGTGCAAGAGTGCAGAATCAGGTACATACTCATTCCAGTTGCATATCGACGGCTCGCGATTCTTGATGATATTTGATTGGGGTGGTCTGTCAATTGGCACACGGCGAAAGACGGGTCTTCGTTTCTGGTTGGTGCCAATCCCAATCCCAATCCCAGTCCATCACGGACCTCTTCTCCCCTGGAACTTGAACGGGGTTCAAGCGGGAGCCACCTTTAGCCACGAGGTGATCCTCAGGATCCTCCAGGCCGCACAAGTAAAGTGAGACCCCGGAGCTGGACGGTCCAGGCGCAAGTTGCAAGTGGCTGCGTGCCGCCGGGCCTGACTCGAGCTGTGGTTAACAGACCAGTCCCTAATCCTTCCAAGCCTCTTTGCCCCGTTGTACCCATTTTATTTGGTGCCCGCCATCAATAATCAGGCTCCGATGTCGAGCCGCCTTTTTATGTCGCGTGGAAGTCGTCAACTTCAACCTCAGCTTACGACCAACACCCTGAACCTCCGCCCGCTATCTCCTGGATGAACAAATATCGCCAATCGTGAGTCAATCAACAGTATGAGCGACACGTAGGAACAAGTCCATCTTCAGCTTCAGGTTTCGACAAACATCAATTCACCAAAACTATTACTTCGGGCCTGGCCTCTCTTTGGCCGGCCATGTCAATTCCCCACGACAGCGACGCGGATTCCGCGTACGGCGACAGCGTCTTCTCCGAAACGACATCTCTATCATCCAGCGTCTTCGACTACACATACGAGAACGGACGACGCTACCACTCATTCAAAGCCGGCAAGTACTTTGCGCCCAACGATGAACAGGAACAAGAACGGCTGGACCTTCTGCACCACGTGCAATCCATGGTCCTAGGCGGCGAACTACACCGAGCGCCTGTTGAAAATCCGCAAAGAATTCTCGACATTGGCACCGGCACTGGAATCTGGGCCATCGACATTGCAGACAAATTCCCCGAAGCCCAAATCATTGCCACGGACTTGTCGCCCATCCAGCCGTCATGGGTCCCGCCGAATTTGCAGTTTCTCGTCGACGACTGTGAGGCCGAATGGACCTTCGACCAGAAATTCGACTGGATCCGGATCGGAAACATGGGCGGATCCATTGCCGATTGGCCCCGTCTGTTCCAACAGTGCATGGACAATTTGAATCCTGGAGGCTGGATTGAAGTCATGGACTTTGAGGCCTGGGGGTCCACCGACGACAATAGCTTGCCTGAAGACAGTTCCTATCACAAATGGCAGGTTGAACTTGGCAATGCGGCCACCAAGTTCGGGAGGGTCATGAATGTGATTCCTCAGATTAAAGGCATGCTTGATGATGCTGGCTTTCAAGATGTCAAGGAGGAGGTCTACAAGGTATGACTTGACCAGACACAAATTTCTGGCTCATATGTGGCTAAATGGATTAACCGTGTAGGTCCCTCTGTCGCCGTGGCCGAAAGATAAGCGGTTGAAAGAGCTTTCTCTTTACATGAATCTCACCATGACTGAAGCTGCGCCTGCTTATAGTCTTGCGCTTTTCACTAGAGTGCTCGGCTGGCAGAAGGAAGAGGTCGAGGTTCTGATGGCTGGTGTGAGGAGCGACCTGAGGAATCTCAAGTATCATCTGTACACACGGATGTAGGTTGATCCCGCCTCAGTATCAACTAAAGTTGCTGACCAACTGTTCTAGGCACGTTGTTTGGGGGCGAAAGCCGTTATGATGGACTTGGACCGGGACGACTATGTGTAAATAATAACGACGCAATGGGATGGGATGGGAATTTGAATTGGGCTTTTGACGTGAAGTGACGATTGGGATTGGATTGAACGGGACAATGATCGCCATGCTTGCTGTTTGGGTAGACGGGACCTTAGTGAACGACCGTTGACAAATCTGATGGGTGGCTCGAGTGAATATTGTCTTGTTGAGAGGAAGCTTCAGATGGCGCAAACCGAAAATGATGGACGGAACGACACTACGCTCTCAATTCAAATGTGTTCTAGCAGGATATGCTAGGCCTCTGTGCTTCCTGCGATATTCCTTCTCTGTACAATTACACAACTCTTACACACCAGCCAGTGTCCTGCTCTGACTGGGCCGTTACTAAAGCCTTAACTCCAACGGACCAAAGCCTAGATTTCTTCACAGGATTCGAGCCGATCTTCTATCCACAGCCTGACTACCTAAGGTATGTTCCTTATTAACACCGGCCCACAAGGCTGTGGATTCGCTACCAGTACTACTACTAGTATTTCGAGCAATAGAATCAATCCGCCATGCCATGATATTTACAGCAAGGGTACGCCAGAAGGTAAGGTGGTTGAGATATCTTCTTGGTTGGGTATTCAATATTGTACATACATGCTGCACTCTCAGACTCTCTGCACAAGGCAGGTAGTCCCATCTGTTCAAGTTCGGGATCACATCAGATGAAAATCTTCGATGGATGACAAACAGCACAAGAGCAACAACAACATCAACTTCAACGACGTTGCAAACTTGCATGTAACCAGGTTTCATTTCGTCCATCTTCGCCCACATTCGCTTCATTCCAGGCACATATTGGGCATCTTTTGCTCCTCGTGTCAGATCGCTTCGTTGCCTCGGTCGCTCGCGTGGCTTCGCTGCTTCACTTCACCTCTCTCCTCTCCTCCTCGCTGTTATATTGCTTCGCTGGTTCGCGGTCATGGCTCCGCTTCACCTCGTCTCGCGCCGCTTCACCTCTCTTCGCCAGCTCATCTCTTCTCCCTCCTGGTAAGATTACAAACCACACCCTCCTGCTGCACAAACCAATGATTGCAAATATGCCACTCCTTATCCGGCTGTGTGAGCTCGACCTTAAACTCCCGGAACAACTGCGGCAACACCTTCTGCATCTCAATCATACTGATGTTCCTCCCAATACATTTCCTGCTGCCTCCGCCAAAATTCAACTCGAGGATATTGTCCATCTGCTTCAACTTCTCTTCCGAAGCATCGAGCCAGCGTTGCGGGTTGAAAGTATCCGGATCCTGGAAAATCGATGGATCCCGGTTCGTGACCCACGGGTTAATACCGACGATAGTACCGCCGGGGATATAATGGCCCTGAATCTCGACGCCTTCAGCAGGCACATGGCGCTCCATCAGCAGTCCAACGGATGGATGGATGCGCATGGATTCTTTCAGGACGGCGTTGAAATAGGGCAATTCGGTGGTAGACTCCTTATAGGAGATGGAGTTGCTGAGTTTGCCTTGTTTGTCGGCCGAGTCGATCTCTTCGACTACTCGCCGCATACAGTCTGGGTTCTTGCATAGGTAGTAGATGACGGCGCGGAGGGCGATGGCGGTAGTGTCGCTTCCTATAAAAAAGATTTGTCAGACTCTGTACAATACGGTACAATTGGCAATGTTGGCAAAGTGTTGTTCTTACCAGCAAACACATTCGTGGAAAGATGAACAATAATATCCCTCGTATTCATCTTGTTCGGATCCGAAGATTTCACATACGCCCATCGCGACAACATATCCCTTCCCTCAGTGTCGGCATTAATCAGCTCGCCGTCACGCTTGATCGAGGCGCGAGAGTTGATGGCTTTCAATGTAAACACCAGTACTTGATTCCAGGTCTCCATGGCGGGCATGAGGAGTGCAAACAGCGGATTGCCCAGCAAGTACTTGTGGTATTCGGGCACCTGGCCACAAAGAGCCGCATAAGCCAACATTCCCTGAATAGCCTGGATCATGCCGTCGACGTCCTTTCCCTGCTCGAGAAACCCGAGCTTGCTCGCAAACGTGACTTCGCCGACGACGTCAAAGGCAAAATATTGCAGCCACATGCCCAAGTCGACGGGTTCGCGGCGGTCCGCAAACTCGCCTAGTCGCTGCATGAATAGCTTGATGCATGAATCAATGGCTTCTTCGGATTCAAGCAGGTTCGGCAGACTGTACGCGTGCCCGACTTTCCGCTTCTCGATCCGATGGTAGTTTGGGTCGCGGGTCGAAAAGAGATTCATCTCAGGTCGTTTCTTCCATGAAATGCATTGGATCGGGTAGAAGCCGGATTTTGTGTAGTTTTCTTTGATGTTGTAGAATACCGGGATCATCGCCGGGTCGGCCACTGACACGACATTGGGTGCGATCCGTACTAGAGGTCCGTATTTTCGGTGCACGTTGATGGCGGTGATGTGGGATTTTCCCTTCCAGACGTCGTAGAGTCGCCAGAATTTGGTGTATGCTGCTAGTGGAGGGCCGGGGATTCTCACGAGGTGAGGTTGGAATTTGTTCCATAACAAGCGAAATACAATGAAGGCTGCGATAAGTTGCAGCGGATAGGTTAGTGCCACATGTTTTAGTTGTGCTAGGTATTGAGAGCTGTTGGAGATGGCTGTCGGAGCCATCTTGGTCGAGAGTTCGGTCAATCTCCCTGTGTAGATAGAGCTGGTGGTGGTTCACAGAGACCGAGGGTGGTTTGACTCGCGCCAGACTGTCGGTGACTGAGGCTGTCATTGTCGTTATATAGGCAGGCCTCGGATCCGGCGGTGTGATTCTCAGCCATCGGATCTTGCTCCTCTTGCTGTGCCTACAGCATCTCCATTCGGACGTGGGTGGCATTTGGTTACCCTGCTCTTGATTGGCTCTTGGTGGCTAGCTAAAGGCTGGGTCGTATATCCACGGGGCAGAAGCCTTGCGGGGTCTGGAGAAGGAAGGTCTGGGAGTGCTCGATCCGGGGACCAGGATCATCGCTGGGCAAGGGTGATGAGGAGGCTGTTGTGGGTCGCTGCTTGCTTTGCCCGTTCCATGATTGGTTCATTGCTACCCCATTGACCCGGACTGGGGACTGGGGGCTGCGTTTGGGCTTTGTACTGGCTCTTCTCCATGACCCGAGGAAAAGGGCGGTGTTAAGGTTTCGTCTCCAACCTTTTTTCGGTCTGTGTCAGTAGTAGTGTGTGAAATTGAGACAGCCCTGCTGACTTGCTCGGTCCGGGTCACCACCAGCCCTGATTGCCTGGCTAAATTCTTAACCGAGAGTCCTGTGTTATCTCGAGACAAATGGCAAAGCAGCGGCTGTGTGATGCAGAGCCCTACAACACATATCTTGCCTACCTGTATGCATGGTACCTGTTAACGAGAAAGCGCCGTCCCTGGAGAAGGAATTCTGTCATAGCTTGTTTGCAGCATCGGGTGTGTTCTTTTGCACAGGTGGACGACAGCCCGTGCCTTCGCATCTGAATGTGTGTGTGTGTGTGTGTGTGTGTGACGGGCGTACCCGCCATGTATAATTGAACAACTCATAAAGCGGTCCTACCTGTTAACGAAACTGCTTTGTCCAAGCTGTTCGTTCATCAGGAAGGACAACAACGTCTTATATTATAGGAACATATGGTGTAGCTGATAGACTAGGTGTTTTCCAGTGCCTGATATAGTGAGTAAGCATATTTACATCAAGCGGCCTCAGGACACAACCAAGGTGGTATACGAGCATAGTCTATTCGCGAAGGAGGGCGACAGCGCTATATATAGTATTCACAAAACGATAGGATTAGCATACGCTTGATGAGAATTGTCCTTTCCCAGTGAGGCGGCCACAAGACATAACAAGTCAGTATCACAAAAGCATTTGTTCACGAAGGAGGACGACAGCGCCCTATACAATATCACATACGATGGGAAAGGTGTACGCTCCCGATGGAAATGGACGTCAAAGCACGAATTAGAACGAACTGGCTCAAGCTGCTGTATTAATCAGGCTACCTAGCCGAGGATTGTCAATAACGACTCAGCCCAGCGCCAGCTCTTCTCTCCCATTACCACCAGCACCTCTGCCACTACCGGCCCTCCTCCTCCTTCTCGGCCGCCGTGACAACCACGGTGCCGGTGGAGGAGGCGGGGTCGGAGGCGGAGGCAAAGGAACCAGAAGAACCCTTGGAGCGCTCGTAAGCAGCATTCATCATGTCGAGGTCACTTTGGGTGATGGGGTGCCTGCCAAGTGGATTCATCCAGGACCGTCTGTACTCGTGGCCGAAGCAGCTGGCACGGTCACCTTCAATATCCTGGTACTCTCCCTGTTGGCGGCGCTTCATCAGCCAGTAAACAAGAGCAGCGATGACAAGGAGCAGGACAAGCGTGATTGGCACGACAATAGAGACGGTCTTGATCAAATGCGATGCCTTTTCCCCTTCTGGAATCGGGGCCAGAGTGTTACCTGGAGTGACGGAAGTGACGGAAGTGACAGAGGAGGCAATGGCTGGTTCAGTCGTGCTCGGACTTGGAGAAGAGGTCGGGATGAGAGCTGGAATACTGGTTGTAGTCGATTCGCTCGACGCCACTGGTCCGGGAGACAAGGTATAGGACGGACTGGAGACTGTGATCCGAGTAGAAGATGCCGCGGTGACTGAAGAGCTACTCGATTTGAAAGTAGTCTCAATTGACGACGGTGTTGCTGCAGTTGTTGTAACGGACACAGAGGATGGCGTGGTGACCGAGTGAATCGTCGACTTGACAGTAGTCTCGATCGAGGATGGTACTTCTGCCGATGTTGTGACCGAAACAGAGGATGGCGTGGTGACTGAAGCAATACTCGACTTGAAAGTAGTCTCAATTGACGAGGATGTTTTGGCGGGAGTTGCTGCAGATGCTGTGACAGAAACAGGGGATGTCTCGGGCATCGGGAGAATAGACGGCTCGGATGTGGTCTCGGCTGACGATGATGCTTCGACAGATGTTGTGACCACGACACTCAAAGTTGTAGTGACCGACGAAACAATTGGTTCAGCAGAAGAAACATGCGAAAACAGGATTGAGGTCGGCGGAGCAATCGGCGGAGCAGCAATCGAGGCCGCAGAGACCGACTCGACACTCCATGGCGGAGCTGCGGGAGTGGTAATACCGCTTGGAGCATGAGTTGACAAGACAGACGGGAGATTGTCGTTGGTGATGCTACCTTCTCCTGGAGGAGCTGGGGGAGTGATAATACCGCTCACAGCATGAACCGATAAGACACTCGGCAAATTCTCGTTGTTGATGCTACCTTCTCCTGGCAAATCAGTCCAAGGAGGAGCTGCACCAGTGATAATATCGCTCAGAGCAAGAGTCGACAAGACGGCCGGCAGATTCTCGATGGTGAAGGTACCTTCTCCAGCGAAAGCAGTCCCTGTTGGAGCGGGAGCAATAGGGGGCAGAGCGAAAGGGGCAACAAGGCTTGCGACGGTGAGAAGGGTGGTGAGAAGTTTGGTGAGAGACATCGTTTCTGTCGGCTAGAGTCGAGTCAGCCACCAGTGAAAAGGGAAAGATCGGTAGGTAGGACAGTGGTTGTAAGCTTACCAACAGCACCGTGGCTGACGTGAGTTGCACTTCTGGACAGTGTCTTGTCTTTGAGATCGACAGTTAGTCAACCTTGTGTGGTTGCAACTGACGTGTCAGAAAAGGAGTCTGCAACTATCACAGTGTCGCCGAGGATGGGTGCAAAATGGGCTGAAGGATGTGGCAGATCGGTGTCGAGGGTGGATGAACCAGGATCAGTTCTCCGAGATAGAGAGTTGCGCCGAGGTCAGGCGTGTCAACCTGTTACTGCTCTCGAGGGTAGAGACAAGAAGAGGACCGTTGATATTGCTCTATCGAGTCGCAGTTCGCAGAAGCATGAAGCAGGATGAATGGGGCTGGAGGAGGATGGAGGATGAAGGAGGATGAGGAAGGTTGAGCTGCGACCACGAGGCAATTAGTATGATGAATGCAAGAATAGGAGTGCAGGCTGAAAGTACAGCTTGAAGCACTCGTTTTGTCTAAATCTTCAGAGAGAAGTTCTGACTTGATATTGACGAAAAGGCGCGAGAAATACATACCTTCGAAACTCGAAAGGACCCAAAGTAGCCTGTAGTCCCTTTCCTCAAGAGTGTTGACAATGTTTGTTGAAGAGAAAACAAAGAGAAGAGGTGATGAATGGTGAAGGACAGAAGAGTTTCATGCGAGAAAGAATAGTATCAGGTTATGAGAATGCCGAGCTTCACTCCAAGGCACTTAGTGACCATTCAATAGACAACTCTAGCAGAATAACCACATGTCGACCGCGGGAAGACAATGCCTCACAGGGAGGTATGAATTAGACCGACACAGAGAAGCGATACATTTTGGAACCCGCGGGTGGTTTGTGTTGTATGGCTGTCGACATGATGTAGCCTTGCAAACAGAAAAGGGGAGGGCACAGCCCGTATATCACTCAATGTGCTAGCCGCGATACATCGCAACCGAGTGACAACGGCTGGCATACCGAAGACGACACTCAAATTACATACTGGCCCATGATTAGTACTCTGCTCAAGCGAAAAATAAGAACCACTTACCGGGATGAACAGGTAAGGAACCTGCCTCTCATACTCCATCCAAGCTTTTCCATACCTCCTACGGCAACGTTCAATATCCCGCCAAGCTCGATGGATGATCATACAACAGAAGAAGACCGGGTAAAACCATGGAAAAGGTGAGCGGAAGCCTGTCACGGCCGCCCATGACAATGCAAAGAAGAAATCGCACGTGTAGTGAATCTTCCGGGCGTAGCGAACTGATGACTCGTTAGCATGAGAAAGCCAATGACTAGATGTCCACGACTTACACCACCCGTCTGCAAGAATCGTGCCGCCGTCCTCCGTCCTGATAATCCTCGGATTTTCAAGAGATCGCCACGGTAGCTGGGGGAAGGCCTTGCGCGTAGTGGCCCCTCCGTTTTCTTGTGCTCGGTAACAATTCTTCTGGCTGTTTGCGGTATCCCAGACCCAATAGACAAACAAGTACACGACGTAAAGAGCGGCAAGAGCGTATTTGTTCCAAGCATACGTACTTGGATGATGGTTCGCAAGGTAGATGGTGCAGTGGCAGTAGGTGAGCGGGACGCCAGCCAAGTTCCAGAAGATAAGCATGAACCCCCATTTTTCATAGTACATATCCCAAGTGGGTACGATGCATTCTTCCCCTTTGCTGCACGCATTTGCGTAGAGGAAATGGGCCATGAGTAGAAACCCTACTTCTCCAGAGATGTAACCATAGCGCTCATATTGCCGGGCAGCTGTTCCCAACGTCGTGAGAAAGAGTATGTACCATGGTAGTCGAACCTCGAAAAACATCTTGAAGTCTAGGATTCCAAACATCCGTGGATTGAGTTCGGCCCCCATAAAGAAGTCATAGACGAAGTAGCCAGTCATGCGGTGCTGCTTGCCACGGTAAATGGCCGAGAAATATGCCACAATCGACACCAGAAATCCTGAAATGATGGCGACTGACATGAGTGGCCCGAACTCGTCGATAATCTGGTAGAGCTTGAAAAGACCCGAGAAGTGTAGAGCGAGGGCCAGGACGATGGTGGTCCACCAGGACCACACCGCAGAGCAGTAATAGTCCAGTCGGCGACCATTCTCATGAGGTAAAGGTTTACCCTTTGTCCAAATACCCGGCATCAGGCAGTAGCAAACAGCTTCGAAGACGAAAAAGGTCCAGTACATGGCCCACGCTTTGGCAGACGGCCAGGCACCATAGTATGCCATTCGAACCAGTCCACGGAAGAATTGTCCCAGACTTTCACCTTGCCTGGGCATCGGTAGTTTACCGTCATAGTAGGTCGCACCAATCCACATATAATACATTAGGAGAGGGAATCCAACCATCATCGCCGTCACTCCCCATGGGCCTCCAAATTCAAAGTGGCCAGTTGTATCGATCGTGGGGTCTGCGATTTCCGCTCTTTTCTCGGCAGGTTTGCTTGTATAGCCGCTCGACAGCGTCTCGGTATGGCCATTGGCATGTCCGTTCGCCAGCTCCTGGGGTGGTCCATTGCTGGCACGAGTTGTTTTGCGCTTCCTCTTACTTCCGGTGTCCCCAGTGATGGTATCCTCTACACCAGTAGAAGAGTCCTGGGGATCCGACTCATCTGTTACCGCGACAGACCTCCGTGTTCGTGGCTTGCGATATGCACCAGGTGTCTCAACATAATCGGGGCGCACAGTTTTCCTAGATCTCTCTGTCAGGGCTGAGTGAGGTTGTATGACTTCGTAACATACCTGGGTGTCTTGCCCGCTTGAGTGCGCGTGACAGTCATCTTCCAAGGAGTGTATCTATACCAATACAATAATGAAATAGAATGATCGGCTCAGCGCGACATATTAATGGGAAAGACAGAAAGAAGTTTCGCGCAAAAAGAAAAGAGATGGTCGGGATAGACACGGCACCTGCGCTGGTGTTTATGAGGTAAAGTTAATTTTGTATTTATTATTGTTGTTCCGATCTGAAGCCGGTGGAGCAACACAGTCAAAGGGAAGGGGGAACGAACAGTCACAATCCCGGCCCGACCGACAATTTCCTGACGCCACCACACGCGCAACCACGTGTTGGGCTGCAACCCCTTTATTACTCCTAGAACTACTACTACTACTACTACTACTACTACTACTACTGGTAGTACCTGGTAGTTAAGCTGCACCAACTAGCACACAACCCAGCACTGTGTATCTAGACGTGTAGTTTACACGGAGATGGACAAAGATTTGCCTCGCCTTCATGCTATTCAGGCTGTGTTGACTCAAGTTGTTTGGAATGATCAACCACTTCTCTTCCGGAGCTGTCACCGCTCTGATATATACATATACACAAATTCATCAAATCATTACATTCACACGCCGTGGCCCTCAAGCACCCCGTCTATTGTTGGTGGACATCAACGTGATCTTCTTCTTCTTGCCCTTCTTGCTAGGCCCGCCTCCACGCTTAGGTTGCGAGCTGCTTCCACCGTTGATGCTGGCTTCGACCATGGCCACATGATCGTCCTCATCCAGTAAGTCTTTTTCCCAGCCCTGAAGCCAGCCATCGTCCCGTGAAGCCGGTTCAGATGGGGGAGCAAGGACAGGCGAGGCAGGTGCTACAAGCGCCGTACCCCAGACTGTTCTTGGTGCATCAGGGCTGGTGCCCGGACTGGCTAGTGGCGCAAACGAAGAATGGCTTCTTGAAGTGGCCCATGGAGGTGTGACTGCGAGTGCCGACTCAACAGGAGATGAGCTCGGATGAGTATGCGTGCCGACCAGCGGTCGGAAGTCTTCCTCTGTAAAGGCTTTAGGAACGGAGCTGGGTCGCCGTCTTCTCGTGGACGCCCATCGTTTCTCATCCTCCTCCTTCTCGGCACGGATCCTATCCCTCTCTTCACGCGCCTCCTTCTCCGACTTGCGCTTGCGTCTCCTTGCAAGATCGTCATGAAACTGGTCGAGAATGGTTGGGCTGATGATATCTGTCCAATCGCATTCCAGGAAACTGACTTCATAGCCGTAGGGCAAGTGCGCCATGTACTTGGCCCGTTTGCGTAACTCGTCGTCTATAATGTGACCAGTCGAGATGTGCTCGACCCGAGGGAGTATCGTCGAAGGAAAAGCGGAGAAGTCACCAAAGGCCGTCTTGAGGATCCGGATATCTAGGGGCGAAAGGAAGAAATTGGGCAAGGCATGGTAGAAATAAAACGGATGTGACGGCGGACGATTGCTTCCAGGCCCAGATTGTGTCGTAGCGGAAGTAGGTTTTGCGAGACTGGAACCTTGTCCGAGAGACAAAGTATGCATGGCATTAGTCAGGCTTGATGGTCCTGCTTGCACACCCATGACAGAGGGTGTTGTAGCTTCCGCGGTTGCGGTGGACGTGGCGGCCGGTGCCGAGGGTGGTGGGTTGCCCAGACCAGTCAATTTCTGTTTAGCATCCTCAATCGACAATACAGCCTTCTGTGTCCAGGTCGTGTCGTCACCAAATATCAGTTCATCCTCCTTTTCCTGGGCTTCGATGGCTGCAATCTCCTGATCATACTGTGCTGTCATGTAATCCTCGCTCCCTTTCATGAACCGAGCGTACTCCATCATTTCTGCGACGTGAAACCATGGTATATCATCTGAGCGGCCGTATCCATCGGCCGTGTCGCGGGGCAGCGCCAGGGTCGACCCAGGGTCACGCACTAGAAGCTTGAGAAGAACATCACCTCCTTCTCTTAACATATGCGCGTCGTTGCCGGAAATCCATCTGACGGGTCTAGCCTCCGACATGTATATACTGTCTTCGCAGATTGGGCACTTCTTCCACCTAGGCTTTCTCTCCGGAGCCGGGTTTGCTTCATCGCTGGAATGCATGTAGCGTATCAAGCAAGGCAAACAGAAGATATGACCACATTTTGCCATCCGCGGAGCAACAGGAGTGGACAGACATATCGGACAGCTGGCGGCCTGTGTTTCGGCAGACGCGAGCACCTGCAACACGGCGTCCCAGCTCACGTACACATCTGCATCGACCGTCTGGGCATGGTATTCTCGATCGGGGCGGACTATGAACCGATAGTTTGCATGCACATAGCGAGCTTTATCCACTGCATGGTATCCAGAACCAAGTCCCCATGTAGGGTTGCGTCTCTGGTGTCTATGATTGAAGTGGTGCTGGTAGTGTTGCTGAGGGCGGGGTGGGAGGCTGAAGTTCATGAGGTGTGTGATCGACGTCTGACCTTTGCGACTGTTGATGGACCTCATGGCGGCGGTTTCGGCAATAGCATCGTCATCCAGCAACCGTGGTTTCCTCTGCCCTTTGTGCTGCTTCCGGAGGGGCTGATTCCCACGCGCTTGGGCCGTTTGACGCGTCGAAGTAGCAGATCCGAAACTCCCCGAGCTATTGTTGCGTTTCGATAGAGGCTCAAACCCGGAGGTGGAAGGGGACTGGGCGTAATTCGAGGGATTCGAGGACGGAGGTAACTTGGTTGAGGCCGGGTTCGAGGTGGCGCTGGATGACATCGCTACTAGTACGCGGATGATGTGACCTTTTCGGATGGGGTCTGCCCAGGCCAGCAGCAGAGCGGACAAGAGGCCTCGATAGTATAAGAGGCGATAGAAAAGGTAGTGAGATCGGTGGGTAGACAAAAGCAGACAGGATACCACAATCGCCGTAGCGAATGGGTATGGTAAGAGGTACGGAAGTGAGGACGCATGGAGGGGGAACGTTATGAGATGCCACTGCAGAGTCATTGCATCTCCGACAGCCAATGGACGGACACCAACAGCTGACTCAGCCACTTTTTCTTAACACCGCGCTAACAGCCCAATAAAGATGTAAACTCCGTTAGCCGGACTAGCGCCGTGCCACCCACATCAAGTTCCAACACCAACTGAACTGAACTGACTGACTGATCACTGACTGTCTGTTCACTGGCTGCGCAACCCAACGTGCCCTCTCAACTCCAGACTCTTGACTGTCCGGTTCAAGTTGACTCTGATAGATCGTCGCGCCCTTCAAGTTCATCTTCTTATCTCTCCACTCCTTGTCGCGTGCTCACTGTTCTGTGCTTGACGACCTCCTGGGACGGTCTTACCGATCTTGTCTAGACAGTTCCAACCATAGCTTCGCAAACGATCGAGCTGCCACCGTTAGGAAACACAGTCGGCTCCCAAACGAGACCATCCTACCATCGATCTGTCCTGGGCCGTGCGACCCAGGATATGAACGACCAGAGGGTGTTTGCATAGGATACTACTGAAAAAAGAGTCGACGGCAGTCGCGACGCGCACAGCTCTGACACAATGTCCTGGCGAAGAAAATCATAACGCGATCACACCAATATGCAACAAAACCATCTTCCTTATGGGCAACACCACCCTTTGCCTATGCAGCCTCCTCCGAGGCGGCATGATGGCTCATTTGCGCCCATCCCACCTCCCATGAGGCATAATCCTGGATACCAACAGTTCTACCCTCAGCAGATGGGGCCCATGATACCTCAGTATCCTCAACATTTCGCGCCAAACTGGTACGGATATGCCCAGCATCAGATGCACCCTATCCATGGTAATCGACCGATGTATTATCCTCAGCATCCGATTCCTCCACCTCAGTATGGTCCGCCACATGGACCTCCGTTCATGTCGCCGCAGCCACATGTTCAGCCATCTCCACGTCCTGCACATGTGACAAGCTCCATTCCTGCTCAACCGCCACCGAACTCAGCATCGACAACGTCTACCACTATGGTGCAGACCCCTCCATCTCCGCCTCTCAGCACCACCAGCACCGTGAACACAAGAAAAACACCAGTCTCGCCCGCCATATCACCCGCACCGCAAACAGCCCAAAGTCCTGCTGTTGAGGCACCGCGGGAGCCATTTCAGCCTCCAGTAAGTCTTTGTGGTAGGATTACGCTTCCGCTTGTGACATGCTAACTTACAATCAGGTTCCGTGGCTTTCATTCGAAGAGGGAGATTTTCCACCACGGGCGCCCCGCCGAAGACGACGCATCCTTCGTTCATTGCTGGCCACTGAACCAGTCGTGTACCCTCAGGTGGAAGGCCCGGTTGAAGAAAAGACAGCGACAGAGGAGAAGGAAGTAACATCGGAGGGTACTGCCAGTGAAGAGAAGGTCGCGGAACCAACGGAGCAGGATATCACAGTGTCCTCGACTCCGTTGCCATCAGAAGTGCCCTCTGACACCGCCTCCACTCAGCCAACCACACCCTCTTCTGCCGTGCCTGCAGCGCCCAAGGACACACAGCAGACACCCACGCAACCAAAAGTAAGACCCGTGGGTCCTGTTTTACCAGCTGTGCCAGTCCTTCCGCCCAGCCCTTCAGCGGCACGCCGGACCTCAACAGTGTCAAATCAATCAAAAACATCACAACCAGCACAACCAACACAACCAGCACAGGCTGTATCAGGAGCAGACCAATCGTCGATTGGAGAAGATGCTGCTATAAACACTAAAACCGCTTCTGAGCAAGCTACCCTCGTTGTCTCACCGCCTCCCGCACCCAAATCCTGGGCAAACCTATTCCGCGTAAACGAACCGCAAAATCCGTCCGCAACGACAACCGCTTCCGCTGCTAATTCGAACGTTTCCGGGGGCTCTAAAACCGAGACTCTCTCCAGTGTCCTGCATGATATGAACTCGGTTCCTGAGAAGCCGAGTAAAATTTCCTTCTTGAAACCCCGTGGTCTTGTAAACACTGGGAATATGTGTTACATGAACTCGGTAAGCAGCCCCCTCGGCTCTGTTATCTTTGTGACTTTCTAACTGCGATGATACAGGTGTTGCAAGTTCTTGTTTTTTGTTTGCCGTTTTACGACTTTCTGGCGAAGGTGGCTCAAAGAGCACCGCACGCCTTCAAAAGCGATACTCCGCTGATTGACGCGATAATTATGTTTATTCAAGAATATCCCGTGATCTGCTCGGCCAATTCGGTCGAACAGCTGCGTCTGCGATTGAAAGCTGAGGATTATGAAAATTATGGCGACTCGTTCATCCCCGAATATGTCTACGCTGCAATCAAGGATCTGCCGCGGTTCCGGGAAATGCGAAGAGGCCATCAACAAGATGCACAGGAATTCCTGGGCTTTTTGTTGGAGGAATTGCATGAGGAATGTGCTCGTGCTATGAGATCCGCCGGCCCGTCTTCAAACTCGGGGCGAGCATCTCCTATTGGCAGTGTCTCAAATACATCTGAGCATGTGGATGCTGAAGGTGGTTGGATGGAGGTTGGACATAAGCAGAAGCCGGCCATCACTCGGTTGTCTGGTGCTGTGTCAGGGGAGTCACCCATCACCAACATCTTTGGAGGCAAGCTCCGATCCGAGCTCAAGGTGTCTGGCAACAAACTGTCGGTCACTTTGGAGCAGTATTCGCCTTTGCAGCTTGATATTGGCTCTCCTCAAGTGCACAACATAATTGATGCTTTGAAAGGAATGACCCGCCCCGAAAGCATGCAAGGAGACTTTTACACCCCAAGAGGACAGAAGGCGACCGCTACCAAGCAAATCTTCATCGAGACCCTCCCTCCGGTGTTGATTCTGCATTTGAAACGCTTTCACTATGACAACACCACTAAACGTGTGGAGAAGATTTGGAAGAAGATTGGCTATCCTCTTGAACTCGAGATTCCGAAGGAGGTGTTCCCCATGCAAGCTCGGAACAAATACACTGTACACGGTACCTTGCCCAAGTACCAGTTGGCCTCAGTCATCTACCATCATGGTAAAAATGCCAATGGAGGACATTACACTGTGGACATTCGTCGTCAGGATGGCCGTGAATGGATTCGCATGGACGATACTTTGTTGCGTCGGATTCGAGCCGAAGATGTGGCGGAAGGCGGCAGTGAAGAGGATCCCAAGGTTCTTGCAGCAGCTTTGGAGCGTCACAACGCCGGTGGAAATCGATTCGAGCAAATCGAACAGGAGGATGAAGAAGAAGACGGTGCCGACAAGGTATGGAATCAGGTCAACGGCCATTCTCGAACCAAGTCGAGCATGGGTGCCGTTGTCAATGGTGCTGCCACCCCTGCCAAAGATTCATCAGGCAAGCAAACTCCAAACCCGAGGTATGGTGTGAAGGATAACAAGGTCGCTTATCTGTTGTTCTATCAACGGATTCCGAACTGAAGCGGATTGATCGAGCGGAGTGGTCTGTGACGGCAGACCTTCTTACTCGGCCGAGACAGGGGACGGTCTACAGCGAAAGCTACAGCGAGAGCGACTAAGACGGTGACAGCAACAGGGCTCGTGCGACAGGCGAGCCTGGTACTACCGCCGAAGTTGGTCAGGATTGTCCATAATTGAACTCATGGTTGATGGTTTCCTGAAAATGCCAGCCTACGGACAGCTTTCTGTAAATAATTTCCCACCATGGCCACGAAGCTGGGTGGTATTTCAGGCAGAACCATTAGAAAAAATTTCATGACACGAAAAATATACCCTTCTGGTGATGCGTAGCGTATGTTGTGACGAGACGAAGCCTGCAACTTGAAGTTGTCTGAACTGTCCAATTGCGCCGCAGGTCATTTTCTATACAAATGGCGAGTTCGAATAGCCGAGGTCCCGACTCTTTTGTTCCAGGGGCCGAGCCTCGTCTTCCACGACCTCTTGCTTAAAGTACAACTATCGTGCCTGTGCATGCACCATCCGTTGAGGTATGATACAGAAAGGCATACCGGGTCTTCCCTTGGCTTGTCAGTCTTTCTTGCGGTTACCTGTATGTCTCCGCTCGACCCAGTACAACCCGTACCCCCAGTCGAGTTGACCGGATCATCTACTTTGGTGAACAGTGTCCTCATCTCAAGGACGAACAGAGGAATATTACCGGCTGAGATGAAACAACACTAATACCGAATTCAATGAGGCGTGAAAAGCGGGCTATAAATCATCTCTGGCAAAGCGAGCAGAAGTGGTTAAGACATTCCACGAATTGAACTTCAGAAATCGCAAAGCCGAACGGACCCTCAACATCGAAGCCCGGACTTTAGAGCGACAATGGGGTCTCGACGTGAAGTCGAATCCGAGGCCGAGGCCAAATCCAAAGCGAAAGCGGCGGTGCAGGAAACCCTTGATTTGTAAGTTTGTCTGGACTCTGTGTCTCCGGCAGTCTTTCATTTTTGGTTTCTGTGAGTGCGTATATTTAGCGGTTTTTCCTTTGGTTCCGCGCGAGCAATTCCAAGAGATGAACTGGTCGGGGTGTTTGGCAGTATCTTACTCCGCCTCTTGATGGCAGGAGATGTGCGGCTAGATGAACGACGGATAATAAAGGGCTTGCTTACGCTACTACGGTGCTTTCAGGACAGCAATGTCTCGAGCGAGCTGACCTTTACGGGTTTTATATAGGTTCCAATACATTATGCTCAAAACTGGATACCAGGTAAGCAATTCCGTACCTACGTTCAAACACCGTTGATCCTGCCCTGGTTCCATCCGCAGACAGTCCTGAGTCTACGAGGCTGTGGCTGGGACTGTGAGAATCCCTTCTCGTGGGGCGCATTTGCATTTCAGAATACTGTTCCAATGGCCTCCAATGCCCAGACTGACATACAACGTTTCTTGACCTTTAGGGCTACGATGTCGAACTCATGACCAAAGTCGTCCTGTTGGATGCTGGGCCTGAGGGTTGGGTGCACTGGGAACTCAAAGTCACGGAATTTTATGCAAACCAAAACGGTACGTACGGTGATAGCCGTCCTTTCATGTCTCAGCCTGTGTTGTGTGCTTCGACTGACTTAAACTCTTCTCGTCTATTAGGTGTGATGCACGGCGGTGCGGCAGGCGTGATATTTGGTGAGTTCTCATACATTACCTCCGCGCCCGCGTGCTGGTCGGTCTCGGCCTATCGCCGGTGACACTTCTTTGACCATGGTCTCCTTGGATTGGATTATCGCTCGGCTTTCTTCCTGGAGGAGAGACCAATCCACTGTCGCTCTAGCTTCCAGGGAAGTGCTCAGCCTCCAAGGATGAAGAAACCAAGAGTTACGAGGGCTTGAGTCACGTCTGCCCCAGATCCTCGCTTGAGCCAGACCCACCTCCCGCCAAAGAATGCAGATACTATACGGTCCCTTGCTGACACCATCTCCATGGGTTAGACATGTGCACCACGACGGCACTCTGTCCTGTAGCAAAGCCTGGATACTGGGAGTAAGTCCGAATTGTCTGATGGACGTGTCTCTCTTCTGATTCTTGTCACCACAGTTTCCAAGGCGGCGTCACCAGAGCATTGAACATCTCCTATCTTCGCGCCGTACCTATCAGTAAGTCGGAAGCTTTCTCATCCAACCCTCCCCTAGGGTGTATACATCCGCCTCCTTGTCCAAATATGTGCTTACTTGTTCCGTTCAGACACCACAATCCACATCCACAGCCAAGTCATCCAACACGGTCGCACCATGGCTCTGATCCGAGGGACCATGACATCCCCCGATTCCGACCCGGCACGCAGAATCGTCTATGCCACCTGTGACCATCATAAAGTCAATGTTCCCGTGAGACCGGATCACTTGGCCCTCCGGGATGAGATGAGGATGGAAAGGAGAAAGCGAAAGCAAACTGAAAATCACGACCGTGTAGGCCTCGAAGCACCAGGCAAGGCGAGGTTGTGAAGGTAGACAAATATACTTACAGGACCGACCTAAGGACCTAGGTAGGTAACTTGGATAATATACCAAACTGCCCAAACCAGGGCGGATGTTGTTCCAATCAACTAATTGTACCTGCTGATGATGGTTAAAAGTCAATTATCCAATTCTCATGACGGGTCTCACTGCGATTATTATCCATTCATTCACTTCAATTATATTATATTACCTATGCTTTCCCATACACAGCACCGAAATTATACACAAACCAAGCCACCCAGGCCGAAAGCAAGAGTAACCGTTCGGCTTTTGTGTTGCTGCGTGCCGAAAAGACTGAAGTTGACGTTGGGTCCGAAACTGAAGAAGAGCACAGTTGTGTGTCTGTGTCTGTCTTGGACGTTGGCTTGAATAGCGGTGTTGATGCTGGTGATGGTGATGGCGATCGATAACAAGAAGAGACAAAAGGTGAGGATGTTGATAACCTTGCTTGCTTGGTGTCACGCTCTTGCTCTTGCTCTCGTCCTGTATGTATCGTTTCCCCTTCTCCTGGTCCACCATTCTCTTCGTGTCCATAGCCTCCTTCTCCGTCGCCATCATCACCACCACCACCACTATCACCACCTCCACCTCCTCCGTTCCGTTCGTCTTCTGCTTCGTCCATCATGTCCCAATCTCGTTCTCGTTCTTCAGCCTCCAATGAAGCACGTCGTATTGCCTCTACTGCCACTGCAGTTGCCGCTGCAGTACCCGCTGCCACTGCCACCGCGGCCGCAGCCACCTTCTGCTCATCCATCTCCATCTCCGTATTCACCTCCAATCCCTTAGCCTCCGTCACGCCGTCACATTTGTCTGGGGGATCAACTCGTGGCACTGGCGGTCGAAGAGCCAACGTCTGCGCGCGGGAATTTATTCTTTTCAACCCGACAACATTGGGCGGTCTCAGCTTGATGGTTCTCTTTCGCCAGTAGGTCGTGGTGGCAAATATCGAGAGAGATAGGGGAGAGAAAGAAAAAGCCAAAAAAAGAGGAGCAAAAGCATTGAGAAAAGAACAACAACCAAAAAAAAAAAGAAAAAAAACAAAAACAAAAACAAAAGACGATCAACGGATTCAAGTCTCCCCGTTCAAGACTGACAAAAAGACCAAGCCATCTTAACAAGAACAACATAATCTTGAAGTAATCAAATTGCTGCCACACAGACTTGTATTATCACACGCAGCACAGATAGCAATCTCAAATCTCACACAAACACTTTGACATCACAAAAACTTACTCTTCATCATCTTCTGCTTCGGCATCTTCATCCGTATCCCCACCCTCTTCCTTGCCATCTTGCTCTTCTCCGTCTTCCTCACTCTTGACATTCGGTGCATCACTATTGTCCGCGCTGGCAGTGGGAGTGGCACTCTCATCGCTTGCATTGACCCCGTTCGGACCGTTGCCGTTGGTATTGCCATTGACGAATCCAGGCCCAGAGTTGTCCTTTGTTTCAGACGACTCTTCTGTCTTGTCAACCTCACTGAAGCCAAGATTGTTGCTGTCACCGCCGTTCTTCTGTCTCCCGCGAGTGGTGCTGAGATCCCGGGCGTCAGGAATGCTGCGCTCTTCGATATGCCATTGTTGAATGGCTCGAATGATATCCACGGCCAATTGACCGTTGCGCTGTAGCGCCGAGGCCCAATGCGAAGGAATCTTGTCGCTCGTGGTCAACTGGCGAGCCACCGAGGAAACCATCATCTCACGCATCTCGTTGTCTTCATCCGTCTCGGCATAGATGTATTGAACGCGGCGGAGGCCAGGGTACGTCGAGGTCTTGTGGTACCATTCTCGAACCAGGTCGACAATGTCGAGGCCGAGTTTGCGGATTTGTAGTCTCTCCGACAAGGTGTAAAGTTCGAGGAGAGGACCAATGTCCTTTTCGGATTTTGGGTCTTGAACAGATTGCGAATACAACCATCCTACAAGCAATTCAAAAGATTCGTCGTCTTCGTCCTCGAGACTGTACGACTTGTTCCCGCGGGATTTCTTCTCCTCGTTCTTGTTTTGCCCATTGAAGATGGAGTCGAACAGCGGCGAGTGGTGGCAGAGAAGCTTTTCGTGCAGAGTCCACCGGGTCGAGTCTGGGCCGACGTAGATGTCTACGAGGGACGATGTAAGGAGTCTGTATAAAATTCATCAGCCGGCTGTTCTATTCATACAAGACAGTCTAGAGCACTGTCGTGTCATGGCAAGACATACTCATGGAGCTTTTTCTCCTTTGGTTGCTTGGCCTGCGAGTTTTGAGTATCCATTGTGAAGACTAGGCTTGCTATTGTCCGCGGCGCGAGTGAGTCTGAGGAGCAGTCTTTCCGTTCGGGCGCAATTGGCTTCCAAGATTCGGGTGGAGGCTCGTTCGCAGGAGGATTTCGCGGTTTCAGAGAAGTTCGCGATCGGGGTCAGGCACAGTAACAGCAAGAGTCAACCGCAGGTAGGGATTTTGGGCCAATCCTTCACCTTGGAGAAGAAAATAAAGAAGAATATGAAATCAAACATGCACAAATCAAAATGAAAAAGGAGGAATGCCAGACGTCAAGGAAGACAAGACAGCTCATCCATGCGCGGGGGAAAGGGAGGCTGGCACTGGCATGTCAGTTGTAAAGTCTCATCACCTTGTCCCTGCCAATGTACTACTACATCAGCTTCGAGTCCAATGTAGAGGTGGTCGACGTCGACGTCAGAGGTGCAAGCCACAGTCAGGCATCGAGGATCCATGGCGCACTGGCATCACGGCCCGAGAGCAGAGCGAGAAATCATGACGAACTCGCGTGGAGAATGGAGCGAAGCCGTGGGTCTTGACCGAAGATGGTCTTGTTGCCAGCACTGCTACTGGCTGGAGAGCTCGTGGCATTGTGAGCAGACAGGGATGAGGTCGAGCTCGAGATGGAGACGGGCGGGAAGTTCAAGCCAAAATGTGGAGAGCGAAGCGAGGCATGCAGTGAGAAGCGAGAAAAACCGGTTTGTGGCTGAACTCGAACACGGTTCAAGTTGCGAATCTGGCTGCGAAAAGTGCAGTCACGTGTAGTCACTTTGCTGAACACAACTTTACTAGGTACAACATTGTAGCTTTCTAGTACGACATATTATGCAGTGGTACCAGGCGAGGTAGCGTTGCAGTTGTCTACTTTCCGAGTCTACTAGCATCGATCTCCCAGCCACAATCCAGAAGTGACACAACGGGAGAAACATTTCCCCAGGAGATGGTTGGAAGGAGACCCATGGAGTTGTACGGGGATATCAGAGTGGTCAAACGCCCAAGATTGACCTTCATCAACAGTATATACAGCGTAGTAAATATCTCGTAGATATCTGAGGTATGTACGATGACTTCCTCAGCTGTCCAAACTTCTGTACCATGGCATCTCGAACGCCAAACGAACATCCAGGTGAGATTCCCGCAGAACCTCTCTCATAGTAGCTTCCCGACTCACTTCTTGCCTTTACCCTTTCCTTTTGTCTTCTCCTTCTCCTTGTCGGCTTCATCCTTAACAAAGCCTCCTTTAACCAGAGCTTCTCTCGCAACCTGATTGATCAGTCGAAACCGATCCGGGCCCAACTTGACGCCTCCATACCATCTCGTGACGACGACCAGAACGTTCCAAACGTCCATCAACTGCATGAGATGCAACAATCTGCCGCCTGCGGCAGTCTCACCGTCATCATCGCAATCTTGAATCGTGGTCATTGTGGAAGCAGGGCCATTGCCTTTATGTTGCTGCGACTGCGACGACTGAACATTGCTGCCCTGAATCCTCCAGGCAGTTATATTATGAGTAGCCCCCGCCACCTTTTTATTCGTAGCCAGCAGATGAGATATCGAGTCCATGGCCTCAGGCAATGACGAGACAGGACACGCTCGTGCGACAAAGGTCGATTTGTTCACCGTCAAGGGCTCCGACATGGTCCACGCCGGAGGCGTTATGGTCGAGCTCGACGCGGCAGCTGTGGGATCAGAAGCACCAGTCAGAGTCAAATCCATAAGCTTCTGGTCCAAGCCATCATCGGTGGTGGAAGGAGGAGAGTAGTGGTGGTGTTCATGCTCGGACCTGTTCGTAGCATCTTGGGAGTAATTTTGAGCCGAGCCATGCTGCTGCTGGTGTTCCTGCACTATGGGTCCAGCTTCTTCCACCAGATCAAATAGACACACCTGCCCAGGCGTCCAGACTCGTCCAAGCACCTCCCGCAATACCGTCACCGCCGCCTCCCCTTCGCCTTTTCCACTGCCTCCTGTCGATTGTGTCCCGACGATCGTGGGAGGTACATCGGGATAGTCCCCGGGGAAGGTCACAAGGAAGGAAAACGGAAGATCTGGTAGTCGCAGAACTGCGGTGGTCGCAGCCTCGGTGGGATTGGCACTGGAGCCGGAGGTTGAGCCGTCGCTTTCAACTACGAGGGTTTCTGGATTGTAAATCGCGTTCAAGGCTTCCAGCTCGTCAGCAAGAGCCGCATTCGAGGTTACAGCGCCATCTTCCGAAGGCATGAGGGAGGCATGGCAATCAGACAATACAATTCAGTGGTTGACCCTGCAAGTATTCGGTTGACTTGCCTAGCAATACTACAACATTGTAGTCACGGTGCTAGTAACGACACAAGAGCTTGATTATCTAATCTCTGACTATTGTGGTAGCTGCGTTTGCCTTTTCACACAGGTTCGAATTCTCTCAGTTCATGATCGCAGTGCTCAGATATTTCTTTTCGTCCCGGCTGAGTGGTTTTGTCCATTAGTACGGTAGCTTTTTGGGCCGTATCTGCTCTTTGAGTCTCTTCCAAAGATGTGTGCAGCCGTCCAACATACGCTGGCGTTCATCCGACTCCTCAAGTGATGCCACGAGATAGTCGTTTTTGGAGCGAGGTACAACTTTGGTCTTAACGTCTCTTCGGCTAGGTAGCCGGCGTTTCTGTTCATCGTAATGGAGCTTGAGGATTACCCCCGTTATCCAGGCTATCGAGGCTTGCCGGTGCGATCCAAGTTCAGGCTGACCAAATTCAGGCTTCGTGGTTAGCGGTTTGACGCCCGTCTCAAACTGCCAAAGACGTTCGTCAATTTCGTTCTTAAAATCCTGCAGTTCGCTCTGAAGATTCTGCACTTCACCCAGAACATATGCCATTTGTTTCTTGAGCTGGTCCATATCCTGCCTGTCAGTAATTATAAGGTGGTCGATGTAATCCCAATCATCGATTCTGGATGTGTGCGTCGTGTCTGCTCTTGATGGATGAACAACTTGAAAACCTGTTACTGGAACTTGAGAATTGTCGCCGCCGCTCTGTTCGACGACGTCCGTGATGTGGTCTTTTGCTGCTTCAGCCATGACGTTGTGAGAAGAGATAGTATTCGCCTAGAGACTGAGGGAGAGGATTCTTATCTTCCTCGTCGTTGTTGAGACGAGCTCATCTTTGTGATGGTAACCGTGAAACCATCACGGCAGGCATCCGGCTGTCCTTTGGGATCGCCGTCGGACGTCCGTATCTGCGTCAAATGATCGGCAGATTAGTGAGGGTATGTGACTCATCGAGGCTCCTCGAGCGCTGAGGTTGTAAAGACGTTGAGGTGAAGGGAGATACAGTAACTCGTAAGAAGTTGGGGTTTGAAGTGTTTACGGAGTTTTTGCACATTGCTGTGCAGTGGTACTGAATATGCCTGAAACCCCAAGCGACCTCTCCCAAGGCAGGTACCAGTGTCATCAAACTATCTAGTCTTCCATGTAAACGTCCCAGTCCATGTCATCTATGTATCTATGCAGCAACTCTATCAGCATCCAGATCAGTAACTCATTCCAACAAGCACGGCCCTCTTCGCAATGTCCTCATGTGCATAACTCAACCCACACACGCCGCCGGGCTCCAGCATCATCTCTAGTCTATCGCTCAGCCCAAACCCCAACCATCTCTTGACAAAAGCTCTCAAGATATGGCCATGAGCCACGACCAAGACATCGCAGTTCCTTTGACCGTTCTTCATTCCTTCGCCCTGCAGAGCCGTGATGCGGGAAATGATACCGTCCAACCTCGCCGTGACTTGAGCCGGAGCCTCGCTTCCGGGCCCTTCACAGCCATCGCGCCAAATATCCCACGGGTGGTCCTGATCTAGACCTCGTTGTTTGCGCAAGTCGCGGATCTGCCCGGTCAAAAGTCCTTCATAGTCGCCGTAGCCCCATTCGGCAATCTCCTCGGTGATTTCGGCTTTGTCTTGCAAAGCCTGTTTGGCCGCCGCGGAGCCCTGATCATCGATCTGCTCCAACAGTAGTTCGAGTGTCCGCGTGGCTCGCTTCCGTGGACTGCAAATGACCTTTGCCAGTTTTGCCGGGTCAATCAGTCGTCCAGGCCCGAAGACAACCGATGCAGTGTGTCGAACCTTTTCCTCTCCCTTTGGCAAGAGAGGAATGTCCGTGATGCCGGTATATCGCCCATTTTGAGACCATTCGGTTTGTCCTGCATTCAAGTTTGTGGTATGAGTGACGGTGTTCTTGACTTTGACGCTTTCCTCCAAAAGATATGACTTGTCCGATGTCTCCTCTCGCCTGAGGCAGAAGCTACCACATTGTTGTGGGGTGAGTCGGGAGTTCAGCTTACCATGACGCATCAGGAACACTCGAGGCGTTGCCGCATCTTTTTCTGCCATCCTGGAAGGTGCCCCAGTTGCGTTGTGTTGCGCAGCGCTTGGCCCACTGCACGTTCAACAGCTCTCGTTGGCAAAAGGCCTGATCCAATTTTGACCTAGGATGGGCAAGCTTGTAAAGTTGAAAAGCTTCGATTGATCCAGATTGGGAAGATGAATATCCTTTTTAGAACACCCGGCGATCTTGCAAAACAAAACCAAAAATATAAAAGATCCGACCGTGCAGATGGCTGTATTCTCCAGACTTTGCTCTACAAATTGAGGACAATGCACCAGCCCCTCTAGTCGGAAGGCACCATGTTGTTTATGAACGTGGTTGACAGGTTTGACATTAAGCCCCTCCCAACAGATATCGACAACAAGATACTGTACAGATCTCAGGAGCAAGCAGCCTTGGCAACGGTCGCCAGTATGTTCTCAGTTACCTGCAAATTTGGCCTGATAAGAAAGGTAAGCTGTCAGTGGCAGTGGGCCCATCCACACCAAACTTCAAGTCCTTAGTACCTCTCAAGCTCTTGAAACAACTCAGAGCACGTCTCACCCATCATTTGCAACCGAGCGATGCAAAAACATGATGAACTTTTACCTCCCGTCTTCAAGGAGTGAACTTTGACGCGAAATGCGAGATGGAACTTGGCGACTCAAGGTGCGATCAATGCCGACAACGGCGATCATCTGGTGTGCCAGTGCCAGCCAAGTCCCCTCCAAGCTCAAGATCCCAGATCTAGATCCAGGTCCAGATCTACGACTGCATCTCCGCCTCCGCTCGGATCGGCGGGGAAGATACAGTACCTAGGTAGGCTAAAAGCCATCTGATTACGCGCACTGGCAGGCAGTGATAACAAAATGGTCAGAGACGAGCGGCCATGACCAGACTGCTTGCTCTGCAGTGCTAGTATCTGTCTAACCAGAAAGCTGAGACATCCAAGCAGCGATGATCGTGATCTCAATCTCTTTGATCAGCTTTACCGAGGCTCATCTCTCGGCATCCAAGTCTCTCGAGGGAAGAGACCGGGGCCAGGGTGCCTACTATAGTAATGACATCCAAGTCGGGGGTTGAACTTGAACTTTTGCAGTTGAGTTACACACCCACCCATCCATCCTTGAGCCTGGCATGCCGTGCCATATTACCATGCTTTCGATAAGTATCTGTACCTGTACCTCCAATTGCTTTCATCTCAACTCTATTGCGTTCCGTATGGCTCCTAGTGACCACCCCACAATAGAAGATACCAAAAGGGAAAAGGAAACCCGAATCCCCGTCGCGCCCACGCCCTTGATGCGTTTTGTTTGCGCAAACTGCGCGCCTCCATTTCGACTCGACAAGAGACACCGCTGTGATGGTGTGCAGTGGTGTTTCTGTAGTCAGGTTTGTCCACATACTTTTCATTTTTCTCTTCCCAAGCCCCCCCAGAAAATCCTTTCCCTCACGTCGTAAGCAAGTCGTCTTTCTTTCTTCGTCCGTTCATCCTCGTCCGAAATTGAATTCACATTCAAAGTTTCGTAATCCCGGTCGAGGTTTCATCCCATGTGCCATAGCACCCTCAGACCAGGCAAAGGCACTCTCATTCACTTAGATAGTGAAGGCATGCCAATCCAAGTACCTTAACTTTACCCATCCTTACGGAAAGGTGGCTCAAGTACTCACGCTCTTATCAATCATCCACGTCTTCCCATTCGCCTCCTCCTCGACAATGAACGCCGTACTAACATACTCGCTCAACGACCGCCACCCAGGCCACAGTTCGCGCGCAATATCAGTCAATTTCCCCGGCTTGCCGGCGGCGGCCTTGCGATCGTGACCGTGACCGTGACTACCGCCCATAGTAGCACCACCACCACTTGTAATCGTGTCGTTACTCCCTTTCCGACGAGAATTGTACTCAAAATCCGGGCCAGGGAAATACGGCGCGTTATAGATGCCAAATAACACCTCGATTCCGGCCAGTTGTTGGCGGTAGACGTTGGGTATGGGGACTTTGATCTCAATGTGTTGGTCGAAGACGTAGCGGCATGGGCGCTCGAGGGCGCGGCCGAAGATGTCGCAGACTTGAAGGGGGGTGAGGTTTTCGAATGCTAGAGGGATTCTGACGATACCATTGTTAGCAAATTCCGACTTCGGAAACAAGATAGGATTTGACGAGTGAATGAACCATCACCAAACAGAGACACCGCCCGAGCAACACCACACCGAAACATCATGTCCGAGTCATCTTTCCTAGCCACAGAAAGAAAAGAGATAGACAGAAGAGAAAAGCCAAAACAAAGCGAAGCAAAAAACTCTCCAGGATATCAACGGGATTAGTGGTATGCTCACCTCTGACCAACCCACTTCTTCGGCCCATCCTTGAGTACCTGCAATACCGCGGGCCCAACATCATGTTCCGCATCGAGCCAAGGCAACTTCGTATCCGGATGAAACGGCGCTCTCCACTCGAGGGTCCCATCATCCTTGAAATCCATACAAAACAACGGATACGGCAAACTCGTAAAGTTATTATTGTAAATACCCGCATAGACGAACGTGGCCGGGAGACCCAACTGTCGAATATAATTCTCGACGGTGAACTTGCACGCCCATAGGGGCAGAGCAGGCCAATTCGGATTATGGATCGAATGGTCCGGCATACTCGAATAAACAAAATGCTGGATGTTGCGCCTTTTCGCGGCGTCCGCGAGCGCTTTGCCGATCTTGATCTCGTCGCCGGCCAGGTGGATGGTGTTGATGAAGGCGAGTTGGGCACCGTTGAAAAGCTCGTCGATCAAGGGCTGGTTGTCCAATAGTCCTCCCTCGAGAAGGGTCACGTTGGGTAACTCCGAAAGTTCTTCGGCGACCAGACCCTCGGTCGAGTAGACTTGTGCCCGTACTGCATATCCAACTGCCGTCACGGCCCGGATCACCGAGGCTGCTTGCCGTCCTGTCCCATTGACAATGGCGATTGTCTTTTTCGGTTGGGGCATGTGGGTGGAAAAGGGGCCTCTTCAAATGTTGGAGGTGGTGTAATATACCTGGGAGGATGCGCGCGCGAGGTACTACCTAGGTAGTAGTAGTAGGTACCCAGAAAGAAACTCTGCTGGAGTTCCAAAATAGATCGTAACCACAACAATCGAGACACACCAACAACAACAATAAACTAACAACCACGATCAGGGAGGGAGAGGCCCAGAGGCAGCGGCAGGAAACATTTGTTGCGAGAGAAGCAACACGTAAATAAAATAATTGACACAAAACAAAGAGTAATCACACCATAGCGACATGGGCTTCAAGTTCGACGTTCGAGTTGTTGAGGACATCCATGTTCAAGTGGTACTGTAGCAGCAATAGCAGTAGTAGTAGTAGATGATACTATGTTACTAGAGAATATCGCCATTCCTGCCACAAAAGGTAACAGAAACTCGACTGGATTCTCTGCCGTAATACGGTTCCAGTGAGGACCCTTGGCTGAGCAATTTCTGCGGCAGCGTTTGCGAAAAAGTCCATCACCAAACCTGATGCAGCCTATTCCTTTACGTAACCGCGATCGAACGTTGGCCGGCGGGGTGCTGGGGCCGTTCAGCAACTCGAATTTGCACGGGGCCGAGAGTCCGGCGACAGGAACAATCAGGAGACAAAAAAGGGCCGCTTGGAGCCTGCGATACGCTCAGGAAGACAAATGACAGCTGGTCCGAAGTTGAGTTGCACAACATGAAGGGGGGAGGGCGGGAGGTGAAGGGAAACGGTTGTCGTAGGTTGACGGCCGGAAAAAAATGCCCTTCGACACAACTTGAATGCAACACTGGCACTGACACCAGGCACAACTTGGACCGACAAATCGAATGCGGGGGCCGGTGGAAAGGCGGGGGATGACTATCTCATCATTAATCTGTCTATTATTGTTATCCTTTATCAATCGGTCAAGGGTCGACGGCATCAAGTCGCGTCCAAAGAGAGGAGGCCTAGCCTGCCTGGCCTGGCGGACATCGGTGTAGCGTCTTACTGAGAGAAAGCTGGCGTCAATGGCACCTAAAAGATTCATAATAACTGGTTCCCACTGGCGACGTTGAGGCGGTAAACTCGAGAGGCAGCAGTCAGCGCAGCAGTGGTCATTGTGGTTGGATCGGCCTTGAGCCTGACAACTTGAAAGCCAGGGGCACAATAATCTGCCAGGGGGTATACCCTTCAGGCAGGTGTAATCGCTGGGCACGGTGCATCGGTTCGATGTCGGATACCTCCGCGGCCCCATCAAGAGAGATCATGACCTGGTGGATTTTTTTGAGCGGTCTGTTCACCTCCGGAAAGCAATGTTCGGGCGGCAGGGCACTGCTACTGCTACTGCCACGGGAGGTCGAGGCACAACAGAGCAGCAAATCGTCTTCTTTCGTAGCCGGCGTGGTCCTGTTCTGTTGTTGTCTTGCTCCTCCTGGTCTTTACGCTAGTCCAATGATACGTGGGTGCCACAGGTCATGTGTTGGATTGTCTGGAGCTTAGTAGTTGTGTTTCTGGGCATTTTACCCACTGGAGCTTGTATGGACTTCCAATCACTATCCCAGACGCCTAGTCGACGTCCAGGCCGGTATGTCTCCAGACCTCTGGTCTCTGGCTTGCATGCAGTCTGGCGGTGTCTACCTCTTCCGGGTGGAGATGTGCGCCGGCCTGTCGAAGGAGCATTACGTGTGGCAGGAGGCCGGCATTTGCAGCTACAAACAAGGGTGTCCTGCCCGAGCCTGTATGGTTGCGCAGATGAACTGACGCTCCTAATGATAGCAGATACCGCAGGACGGCAAGGCTAGGTCCCGTGGCCGCCAGATGGACAGGAGTGTTGCCGGAATAGTCTGGCCGATTCATAAGTTGATCGTCCTGCCGTAACAGCTCCTTGACCTTGTCGATGTCTCCGCTGGCGATCGCATATGCAATGGCGGTGAGTTGAGCAACAGGTGACGACAGCTCGCCCGTTGGATGGCTGAAAACGGTTTCCGAGCGTTCCGTGAGCTCGCCTCGAAGGGAGATGGCCATGTTTCTGGCCACGGATTCCGGTGTTGCTCCCGGGAGGGACAGCAGATAGGCCAATTTGGTTAAGGCAGCTTCGCTTGTCATGTCACCACCGGCGACCACCCCAGCGCGGCCAAGAGCCATTCCTGGCGCATATAGTGGATTGACGCTGCCCGTGAGACATTGAGTGACATTAACAATTACAATGCCTCGTTGCACCGCGTCGGCTATGACCTGGATCAACTTGTTGTCGTGCCCACTAGGCGCATTCCCGGCGCCAAAAGTCTCCAGGACCAGCCCTCGCAGACCTTCTGTTCGCAACACTGCCTCGACCATCTTAGGCTTGATGCCGGGAAATATTCTTAGACATGCCACATGATGGATGTCGAGATCTGGTTGAACGCTGAACGGCGCAAGTGACGTCGGTCGGGTAACCAGATTCCAGGCCACTGACGTTTCTACTGCTGTGATTCTAGCCAGTGGTGGGAGGTTGGGAGATGCAAAGGCGTCGAAGGCGCTGGCGGATACCTTGGTGCTGCGATTTCCCCGAAATAACGTCGAGTTGAAACAAAGGCATACTTCGGGTATCATGAAGTGCGCAGCAATGTCGAGTGAGTCCAGCAGGTTGTCTAAAGCATCGTTTTTGCGCTCTGAGAATGGCACCTGGGATCCTTCTCCACGGTGAGTTTGGATGCATCCCAATGGGTTTCCTTCAATATAGGACTCACCTGTGAGTATAATGGGCTTGCCCAGATTCTGTAACATGAAACTCAGTGCTGAACATGTGTAGGACAGACTGTCTGTGCCGTGAAGAACCACGAAACCGTCGAAAAGCTTGTAGTTCCGATAGATGCTCATGGCTATTTGGTCCCATCCTTTGCTGTCGATGGAAGAAGAGTCCAGTAGCTCTTCATACTCTAGCACCGCATACCTGCAGTAGAGGAGCAGGGTGGTCAGTAAAAGGACGTGAAGGACTTTGCATGAGGAGTACTCACCTCACACGTTTCCCGTAGACACTGGTTGGTGTCCTCAAGCATTGCAATTTGCCCAGGCCGTCCGCTCCGTCGTGGAACATGACTTCCATGGGTTCAAGACTTGATCCATCGTTGAACTCGGGTCGTGGAGCCATGCACCGGTCCAGGAAATTGCGGGCTGGTACGAGGCCATCCGGCGACTTCTGCATACAAATGGTACCTCCTGTCATGATGACCAGGATTCGGGCCTCAGGAACATAGCCTTGTGACATATTGTCGGTCGCTTCAACACCGTTAGCCAAGTGTCACACAGATCTTGCAACCGTCAAGTACATACTCTGCCTCAAGGGACTGGTCGATTCTTCACTCGCTCCTGTTTGTCTGTGAGCCCGATTCGGTTATCGACGTAACCCAGCATTCTCCGACCTACCGTCCATGCTTTAAAATTCTCCTGCTGCAGCATCGAGGTCAAGCTCAAATTTTTGAATTAAGGAGCGTCTGATTATAAAAGTATTAAAGTCATATTTCCCAGAGGATGAGGACCTAAACCTTGTACCCTGGTGGAAAATTGTATCCGAAGGTTAATGTTTGCGCGCTACTCCATGACCGCGTTGATGGAAAGGGTACATTTCCGCCGCCCGGACGCCTTGTAGATCCGCCCAGACACGGGCGGTCCACAAGCAGTAAGTCCAGGCACGTACCAAGGAGTATTGGAGGGGCGTGCCGGGATCCAGAGTTTATTCTTGCGAATTAACTCGATCTGATGGTTTCTGCCTGCATCATGTTTGTCGTTTGTTGCCCGCAAAGGCCTTTTTCTTTCAAAACGTCCATTTTAGTTTTTGAATCCAGGTCTGTAAACCCAGTGGTGGTGAGCTTAATCTTCGGCAGTGAGCCTGCAACTCGCATGGGCTAAGGGCGCCCCTTGCAGTGGTGGCGCACCCGTATTGTTGATCCTGGCCGGCTTGAGCTAAGTCTGAGAAGCTGGCAACTGGATCAGAGATATGGACTAGGTACTTAACTTAGACCACCCTCTTTCTCTAACATCTTGCTTGTTTCCAGTGTTCGACAACTGACAGCTCCTACTCCCATTCGCAAACGCAAACGTGGACGCCTGCCAGGTGTCTTCTTTGTAATGCTTTGTTCTGAGCTGCTGGCTTCTGATTCTTGGGCTGCTACACTGTGTCTGGAACACAGTCACGCAAGCAACACTGCCATGTTGACATATGCAAGCCTGTGGCTGCTATTCCGGTCTCAGTGGCAGGTCCGGCAGGCATTGCTCTCCGGCTTGCAATCTGTCTCTTGAGACGATGCGCTCCAATTGCATCTCTTTGCGGCTGCCTCTACACCACACTGAGCGCCTGTGGAAATTAGTCGACGGCAACCTGCAGAAGCAATGACAAAGAAGTGCCATGCACACGTGCAACAACAAAGAAGTGAAAGGGGAAGAGAGAAGCCAGACAGACCTCTCTTTCTTTGTGCTTTGGCACTCTTCCAGGATTCAAAACAGGAAGCCAGCAGACATTGAGATTTCATCTGGGCGCTCACCCATGGTTCAGCAACCACTGCAGGATCTGAGCCTAGCCTGGCCCTTGCATGCTGCATTGATGATGCATGTTGCAAACGAATGACCATGTCTGTAAGATGCGCTCAGGAGATTTGTGCCTCATCATAGTGCATTGAAGCTGTCTGTGTCTTCCGCAATGAGTTTCCTATTCCCCGTGGTTTTATTGTTTATCTAGGTAGTGCTGCTCTGTGTTGCAAATCCGTGAGTTCTCTTTCCACTGTTAGTATGTCGTCTCTTGCTGGACACCGTTCGGTTCACTTGTTGGCTTTGACATTGGCCATTGCACCCATGATCAGTCTTGAGCCCCGTGATTCCCATCCCTGTGTGTGAAGAGGAACAAGATGAACATGCGCACGTGAGAGAAGTTGGGAGAATTGCTTTCGGGGAACCCTCCCGCCGCCCAGGAGCAGCCGATTGCTCCTGAGGGACGCAGTGTGAAGAGTGCAAGAGGGTGACTGAAGGGCCAACAGATCAGCTGGAACTCAGAGGCTCAGCTCGTGTCAGAGAAACGGGTCAGAGGACGGAGAGAAGGTCGAGGAGGATCTCGTGCACTTGCTCCTGGTGAGCATCGCAGCTCGTTGCATTGTCACCGACTGGAGAGCAGTGTAGTGGTGGGCAAGTTATCAAGACGCCGGCCGGATCTTGTCTCTTCTGCTCTGTGTTGGAACATAAAGTCTCGACAAGAAAGAATCGCGACAAAGACACTCTGCAATTCTGGCACCGCCAACAAAGAATTGCCTGCGTTTCTAAAGTAAGCACTCAGCACTTTCCCCTTGACTGCGACCTCAACTGACTTACCACACGACCTCAACTCTTCCCTCTTCCACCCACACCATCACCATTCATCTTCCACCTCATCCCCAAGGGCGCGAACCGCCTTTATCCTTCTCCGATCTACCCTTCTTCGCCGGCAGTGATTACCTCTCCTCTCTTATCGACATTCGCTCGATATCAACTCTTTATCCCTGATTCAATCCCTCACCACAACAACCGATCTTAACCCCCAGTACCTTATCGACATCAACCTCTCTTAACCAACCTTGACAAGACACACTCTCATCGTCATGGCTATCCCTCGCGTTAAGCTCAAGTCTTTCGCCCTTGGCCCTATGGTCCTCTTCATTACATTGTTCCTCTACGTCGCTCCTGCTCATGCCTTCTTCCGTCACTTGTGCTTTGGCGAGCTGGGTAATGGACGTGTCGATCCTATTATGGCACCAGGACAGGCGTCGCAACATCTCCATGTCAGCTTTGGCGCATCCAGTGAGTATGATTGAGAATGTGACGGACAAGTGAAAGCTGACCATGCCGCAGACTTCGGCCTCGACCCTACTCTCGACGACTTGTTGTCCTCCAACTGTACGAGCTGTTCCATCACACAGGATCACTCGGTCTACTGGGCTCCGCGCATGTACTTTGAGCACTCCAACGGCACATTTGAGATGATTCCAACCTCTGGAGGAATGACCGTGTAAGTTGAGAGTCAGTTATATCTATCAAATCTTATTTGCTGACAACTTTAGCTATTACTTTACCGAGAGTGGCATAGCCAATGTTTCATCCACTGCATTTCCGCAGAACTTCCGCATGATCGCAGGAAACTCTGTCAAGCGTGCATTCTACGGCCCTGATCCTGACCCTCCTATGGCAAAATGGACTGCGAGCGACATGACTCAACAGGCCCTGATGGAGAAAGCACTTGGCTTCAACTGTCTCAACTACAGCAGAACCCCGGAAGGCGCATTGGAACATCATGGTATGCGCGACAAGAGCTTTATTGATGCCACGTGTGCACAGGGTGTGCGGGCAGAGATTGTGTTTCCATCCTGCTGGAATGGCAAGGATCTTGACAGTGACAATCATACCACTCACGTCGCGTATCCTAGCGAGATCAAATATGGCATATGCCCTGAGGGATATCCCGTTAAGCTGCCGATCTTGTTCTACGAGACAATCTACCAGACGGATCTCTTTGCGGGCATAGACGGCCGGTTTGTGTTCTCCAACGGCGACCCTACCGGCTATGGCTATCACGGAGACTTTATGTGCGGCTGGGAGGAAGGTGTCCTGCAAAATGCCATTGACAATACAGTTTGTACTGGTCCCACCAGCACTGGTATTCAAGAGGCTTGCCCCATATTCTCGGTGCAAGACAGCTCAGCTGCTGTACAGTGCAAGATGGAGGTTCCAGAAGTCTTACAGACTGAGCCGATCAACATGGTCCAGGAATTGCCAGGAAAGATGAAAGTGCAGGCAGGACCTGAACCGGCCACCATGCCCGGTGCCGCCGCACCAACTGCAGCCTCACAAACCGCCAATAGTACTGTGTCCAACGCAGTCGCGCAGCCAACTTCTAGTCTGTTGTCTGTGTCTGCGACAGTTGCGGCTACTATATCCTCCAATTCAAATGCGACCACTCCATATTCAACAGTTGCAGGTACCCAGACGACTGTCACCACAACCTACATGAGTGGCAGTATGGAGGTGCATGAGATTCTGGTGGAAGATATTGTTACAGTGACTGTTACCGAGGTCGCAGCTCAAGCAGCTCCCTCCGCAGCGGCCCGTCACAAGCATCGTGGCATTCACCGAAACGGTCATGCAATCGGACTGGTTCGGCCTTGAAGGCTGGTGACCAGGTTTCCGGATGAGTATAACTTGTCAAGGTGGCGTACTTGGGTAGTTACAAGCCCAACTATGTCTTGGAAACGACTCGTCAAGAACGGAATGATGCAACGATGATAATGACCTTTTCTTTTGCACGATGAGGTGCCGGGAGCACCATAACATTCAACAGACATGAGATGATGACATTGCTCGAATCAGGACGGAGATGGCTGATCAATTTGGTGAAAGAGAGCTGGAAACTTTCATGGTCAAGCTGAACATGAGAAAATGACCCGGGGATGGACATTTTGTGAGCTGTAGCTGGTGACAAATGAACAATGATTCAATGAAAGGTGTCTCATCGTAGATCGTAGAGACCTAAGACGTGAAGCATTGTGCTGGAGTATAAGTCTATGGGTGCGTAGTGACAGGCTGCCTTCCCTTGGTGCAGCCTTTTCGACCGCTGGCTTGACGAGTACGTTGCAGATTCAGTCACCTTTGGAACTTCCTCAACATGAGCACCATTTAACAGAGATGGATTCACAATAGGTTGTGGATTGTGAATTTTGAGCTGTGAACAGTGCAGTTGATGGATGGGTGCAGTGGTAGTACATGGATTTGCGTCTTGATAATGTGAAATCTGCCGTATAAAATGCTGTTCAGGTATCGGCGGAGTATGCTGCCACTCTGCGCAATCTGATATTGGACGCAAAATGTCTCATCGATGTCATCCAGCTGCCGGGCTCTCCGACGGGATACTGTACTAGTACTTGTCACGTTCTTCAAGTTTATCCTTGACCGGATTGCTACTAGTACTAGCTGTGTGCACTTCGTCTCACATCTCATCTTGGGCCGATATACAAGGGAAGGGAGTGATTCAGGATCGATCCAGACAGGGTCCAACTTATCCACCCGCGGCGGCTTCGTCGGACTCATCAGTCCTCAGTGGAGACAACACATTGATTCAGAAGAACCAAGCTCAAGCAGCCAAACACGACTACCGTGTTCAGGAATATACTTATATCGTACCAGCATTGGGATCCATCTGGTTCCCCAAGACCAGCCAAGGTTCAAGATCAGGCATCAAATCAAAGCCAGAACCTCGACTCGGCTCCGCACGGTCAAATTCCATCTCGATCGCCTTTATCTCACTCGGCGCTCTGCTTCGCTGCATTTGAAACAAAGTGTAAGCCTCTTCAGAGAAACTCAAACAATGTCTTCCGACTCGCAACCAAAATCAAAAGGCAAAGACGCAGCCTCCATCATCGCCGCAGCATCTCGCCCCAGCAAACCGGCACCCCAACACACATCGTTCAAAAACGACGACAAGAAAACCGTCTGGTGCGAGACGCAATGGACGAACTTGAGCATCCAGGCCAAAAAACTCGACATGCCGACTCTGCCTTACTTTGATCCGGAGACCATGTTGTTGAGTAAAGAAGTGAATCGGAAATTGTGGAATCAATTGGTACGTTATGATTTGAACCAACCAATGTCACTTTCTACTACTTAACCTACCTACCGTCTTTTTGTCCGCGTACCAATTCTTCATTGTTGCCCTCAGTCCTCTATACAGACATTACGTGGCAAAGCTACAACCCAACCCGTGCTACTGGTAACTACCTACTATTAGCTATCTGTTTACCTACCCCGGCCTCCCCAGCAAGTTCAATTCATGCCATACTATTCCCCGACAGTAGAGCCACGACATCAGATGTTTTCTTCCTTCGAACGCATATCCAACCCACTTCACATCAACACATCAAATGAAACCATAGACTAACAGGTATTCTGATCCCTTCGGATGCTTTCAGAGCAAATTATGGAACTATCTTGGCCCCGACCGCGCACCGTACGCCACTCCCATCCTCCATCCTGGTGGCGAGGTCAAATGGCACTCCTTCCTTGACGGGGATCTGGGCTCTGAGGCCGAAATCTACGACGACGCTGTTGACGCCTTTATGAGCGATGCTCCAAGACCAGGATGGTATGATTTAACTGGCTGAACAAAAAATGAAAAAGGCAGACAGAAAAACAAAATTGGGCAAAGGCTCATGTTCAGCTATCATGTGCACTATGGGCTACATCGTCCTGATCATTCTCGGTCATGCTGCCGCTAAATACATGCTCAGGGCTAAACTTTGCCTTATCACCCTCGGCAGGACAACTCTGGGAGACATGCTCGGATACACCCTCTGTCCAGTATTGAACATTCGCCCTGATAAGCCTGTAGCTCTGAAATATGTTCCGCCAACAGTTGGTGGCTTCAATCTCTCTTTCCATGCGGAGAGCCATGTCAATTGGATTGCTGGCCGTGATCCGTAACCCCTACGGCACATAGGAAGAACTTTTTGTTGATATTGGATAAGACATACAATGTGCATGATCGGAATAGGATCGTCTGGTAACAAATGCAGCAAGATGAAAGGCCAAGAGGTGCATTCAGCCAATGCGGATCGACTGATGGTCGTAGTGCTGAGGTTGTCGTGTCCCCTACCCAGTGGTCATGCCAGTATTCCAAGCCATGGGGGAGTTACTCCATGTTTGTATTGACAAGTCGTAGAATACCTTCATCTTGAGCACAGATGACCAGTAAGTAAATGAGATAATCGGCAGAAGCCACGACGACTGACGCTGAGGTGGCTTAGCGGAAGCGAGGCCACTGGCTGCGTGGTTGGCCAGGTGCACCAAATGGATTGACAGCTGCTCCAGGACCTGGACGAGTGACCGAGTTGGGATTGCAGCAGAGCATGGCAACACGAGAACCAAATTTGGAGCCGCGAAGAGATACCATGTGCTTTCGAATATGGATGGCAACTTGCTCGCGCTGGTGATGATGAGTGTTCATCAGGATCCATTGGATCAAGTAATTGCCATACTGGTCACCCGCAATGTCGATAAGAGGGATACGTGGACGGTCTGGGTGGGCGGTAGTGATGACTCCAAGATATCGATCCAAGAACTCCGGCCCTCCAATCTTGAGACACTTCTCCACCACCTTGGATGCGAATTGGTCAATGCTGTAGTTGTAGGAATTGGCAAGGATGTGGTCAATGACACGACGCTTGTCCGGTGGGGAACCGTGCTCGCACAAGTGCTGGATGCACCAGTTTCCGAATTGTCCATGTGCAATCAGATCAATGTTGGCAATGACCTCCTCAATGGCAGGGCGCTTTTCGTCTTCGACACAGTTCTCAAAGATGTTTTGCACAACAAGGCTGCCGGTCTCGCCCAAGGCGACCTCGTGCCACATGCCTCGGAGAGCTTCGTTGACCTTCAACATGATCTGTGGTGGCTCACCGCTCCAGCGAAGTTCAAACAGTTTCTGCCAGACATGACAAGCATAGCGATGGATGACAGTGTCGGGAATACGACGAAGCAATTCTCGCACCATGTCAGCCTTGTGATCTTCCGGAACAGAATCAAACGCCTTTTGAATGACGTGACAACCGAAAGGGTCCATGCTGAGCGAGATGACATTCCCATGGATGGCATTTGCAATAGCCACGACTTGATCCGGAGTGCCATGCTCAAAGCATCGTTGAACCAGGAAGTTTCCGAAGCGATTGATCATGAGAGGGTATGCTTGGTTGACAATGGACTCCACAATTTCAAACTTCTGTTCGGCTGTGCCGACCTTGAGCTTCTGTTGCAGGAAGATGCTGGCTTGTTGATCATTGTTACAGACAATCTTGTCAACGATGTACTTCCAGTCACAGGACACTGATTTGTCAAGAAGACGCCGATAGTTCATTGGCTCAAGCGGTGTAACATAGGTCTGACCGCTGACTGCTCCAGACTGTCGCATTTGTTAGCAAAAGGCCAAGGTTAGACTAGACCCGAATGACTTACTGGAAGAGGCCATGGATTGCCCGCGCCGTGAACAGAACCAGTGGGAAAGTCGGGTGCAGCCGGGGTGATTGGTGTTGCAAGTCCTCGTTGATAAGAGTATTGCGCAGGAAGTGCCATGGGACTGATTGGTGGCGGAGTAAGAGTAGTTGCGGCAGAGGGGAAGCTACCGTATCCAGCCATTGGATCAGTGATGTTCGAGTTGATGCGCAACTGTCCAGCATTTCGTCTCATGCCGACTGATGCATTGTACGGCATCATCTCAGAATTTGCACGCATGTCGTAACCAAGAGGACCTGCCGCTGCTGAGAAGTTGCGTGGTTGGAAGCTTGCATCTGCAGGGGAAACAGTGGCTCCGTACACTCCATTGTAGGCTTGACCAGAGAGGCGGGCATCACGAGGGTTGGTGTAACCTGCCGCAGGGGCATTTGTAGCCAAAACATTTGTCATGGATGCAGAGGGATTGTTCCAAATGGCCCTACCACGTCCGTAGTTACCAGCACCAAGAACGTCAGCTTGCTCGGCACGTGGCTCTTCCTGAGCAACCCAAGTGTCGGTACGTGATGTGAAGGGACGAGCAGAAGCGTTGAAGGCACTCTGTAGATGTCCAATGGTCTGCTCCGATATGTCATTGGGAGCTCCAAAGTCGACTTCAGAAGGAGGACCCATGGCCTGATCCATGGTCTGCTTCAGGTTGCGGGTCTCAGCCAATTCAAGCTCCTGGCGAGTAATGACCGATCTGGCGGCTTCCAGTTCTTGCTTGACACGCAGCATTTCGGCGAGATCGACTTGGCCTGCGAATGGGGCATCTTGGCTTGCACCAGAGTTTGCCATTTCGATGTGACCAGGGCCACTGATCCTAAAGTTAATAGTGGGCGCTTGATCGACGATTTTGCGGGTATCAGTGTCTAGTGCGTTCTTCAGCTCCTTCTCTTGTTCCTTCAAGGTCTTGTTCTGGTCTTGCAGGTTGTTGAGTAGTTTGTTCAGTGTGCCAAAGTCAGCCTGTTGAGTCTTGTTCTCGGTGGGAGCCGTAGGTTTGCGAGAATCATTCAGCTTGAGGCGAGAGAGGATGTCCTCCATACCGGTGGCGGTGGTAGACTCTGGGTGTTCCATGCCAACAGACTGTAAACGATAGAGTCAATAAGATATTCACAAAAGGAAGACAACAAAGCCAGAAAGTGATAACCCACCTTGTCCTTGTGCTTGGAAGGCTGCATGTTGTTGAGCTTGTCAGAGTGCAGAACTGCGAAAGGGGGACGGATCGAGGTCGAGTGGTGAGAATTTGTGGCAGACTGCGGACGCGTGAGCAAGGTGGTCATCAATAGAGATCGGTAGAGCGGATGGAAAAGTCTTACAGAACCACGCACATCCTCGCTTTCCTCCCGTACCATGATGGTTGGAGTCGACTTGCGACTCATCCTGGGTGACCCTGTGAATACCAGCCCAGCCATGAGAGAGTCAAGTTCGAGAACACCAGAATGTTGACTGATGTCGTAACATGCACGATATCCAGGAATAAATCAACGAAGGTCTGGCCGATGACAAGGGCCGTCGAGGCGGTGGTAGGGGAACACGAGATTGCCAGCAAATGGGGAGATTTGGGAGACAATCAGGATACCTGCGACGAAGAAGAGAGGAATGGAAGTTGAGGTGTTGAAGGTGGCAGGAAGTGGAAGGAGGAACAAAGCGTGCAGGGTGCTCGCGTGAAGACGAAGACAGGCAGTGAATTGCAGGCACAAGCACGAACAACACAGGCAGCTGCGATATGTCTTCGCGTTACCATTCCTTCCCTCTAAGTTCATCTCCGCGACAATTCAACCTCACTTTAACCTCACGAGACTCTCACCGCGCAGTAGTAAAGGAACAAAGGAGCAGTTCAATGTATCACCTAGTGTTAGAGCTGGTGGACTCCAGGAAAACAACCACCAACTATGTGAAAAACAAACATCGCCACAATCAGCCCAACAAAGCAGATCTTGCTTCGACCCAGAAGAACCCTTCCTCTTTGTATGATCGCGTAGTGGTGCGACTTGAAATCCCATGCTTCGAAGACCCTATGGAAGAAATGAGGCAGACGAAATCGACCATTTATAGTCGAAGAACCCCAGCGCCGCAGTCCCCGAGCTCCCCTTCCATCGTGCTTCATTCTTCAAGATGACGAAATCAGGCTGACCTGCACCAGTAAGCGTGGGGACCAGCCTTGCAGCTTGCCTCGTTCCAACTCCGTCATGGCCCCAAACGATGAGTTCTAGTCTTTCGTCAGGAAGCGGTCGGAGCCAGACTCCGCCCATTCCAGGCGTGAGAGGGATTCGTGCCGTTCCTCCAGTTCTCAACCTCAACGAAAGGCTGCTCTGCCCAAGCTGCACGGGAAAGGAAGCGAGATGTGCAGGGGGAGTGGTGTGCCCCGAGCCGACCACGATGATATTGCCTTCTCGCTTCAAAGCTTCCTTGTATTTGGGGCAGGGGAGGATGTTCGAGTCAGCCCCATAGTATTGCAGAAAGTTCCGGCTTATCTGAATTGCAAGTGGAAGAGCATCGTTGGAACAATAGATAATCTCAACGACCCCTGCGGTCCGGAGAATTGAGTCAAGGAACCCTCTTTGGCGTCCACATCTTTGTTCTATATTCCTCCAACCCTGATCGGCCAACTTGCTCCATACATTCGACTCGGACTTCACGAATGAAACATCCTCCGTCACCACGTCGGTACGAAAGAGATAAGGCATATTGTCGAGTAGGATCTCATCAGGCGGATTGGAAATTCGGCCATTGAAGTCAACATGCAACCGGCGGACATTCTCGGTCTGGATGTGCCAGCGGTTACTGGAGTCGTTCACATTGGTGGTGACTGTTATCTTGCCCAATTTATCTGGGGTCATCAGTTGGTCGATTAAAATCCCATATTTCGAGCCTAAATCATGTGAGTTCGGCGCAACGAAGGCAAATTCGGCAGGGGCAGTGGCACGGAAATTAGAGCCATTGAGGCAGTCAAGGTAAAATTGCATCATTGGCTCAGTGGTCATGACTCCCGTGAACCAGTGTCCCCGGCCTTGTAGTTCTGTGTAATTGACGACTTGACCGGCTTGTGCAAGTAAGGTGTTCATGAGGCGGGAGTGGTAGGCGGGAACATTGTCATCCTCGGAGCCATGCTGCTGGAAGATAGGAATCCCTGCCAAGTTCTCTGCCAGTAACTCATGTCGGAAACTATTCCTCGAGGTTTCAAGGATCCTGGCTTGGAGAGGGTCTGCTTCCGTCCACAGCATGTACGGAACATAATTCTCAATGGAAGAATATCCCGAGGCCACAGCAGCACCAAGAACCCGATCCGGCTGGTGAGAAGCAAAGAACCAAGTCCCTTGTCCACCGTTGGAATGACCAGCGATCAGCATCTGCCCAGATGTGAAGCCAGCACCGCGCCACGAAACATGCTCCATCCATTGTGGAATTGCTAACAGCGCAGCTTCAATATCAGCAAATCCCCAGGTATGCCAGTCATCCCCGCTCCAGGGACTCATTCCCGATGGTGACAATATCCATACAGGAAGGTCATGGGCAGCATCAAACATATGGCGAGAGAGCGGACCGTCCGTGTCGACACCTGCACCATGGAGGTTTAAAAGCACAGGGTAAGACTTGTTGCATACTTGTTCAGACATAGTCGGTGGTGGTCTTAGTGTCGCATAAGACACAGCGCCACTAGGATGCAAAAATGTGATCTTTTGCGTGGAGGTATTGCTGACGTGAGTCAATGGGATGTGGAAAGTTATCTGATGATGTGCCGCAGGGCGCACAGTGTAGAGGACCTTGAGCTCGAGGGCTTCTCCCAAGCTGTCCAAGGACGTGAGGTTCATCTGCAACGGACGTGATTGACCTGGAGCGATGCGTATCGACTCTTCCAGCACGTCCACACTCTTTCCAGGTACGGTTGCAGTGACATGGCGGACTTCAACCCAGGAATTGGCATGATTACTTACGGTTATGCTCCCAACGTGAGTGCAAAATCTACCTGAAACCACGTCAGGTATCACCAAGCTGTGGTTTAGTATCCCCAAGGGAGCCGATACCACATGGGTACTCAAAGTCGCCCGGAAAACAGGGGGAGATATACCGCCCATCGAACGAATATCGCCTGTGAGACGAATACTGATATCGTTGGAGCCAGGTCGAAGATCCACGACAACTGGTGCCCTTTGAAAGCCATAAAAGTCTCCGCCAAATACGTGATCATCATTAATCCAAAGTTCGAGAACATTTTTTGGCTGTAACACCACACGCCGGAAAGCGGTATCGGCATTCCAAATGGCGCCCTTCACCCAGCCCTGAAATTGAAGAGAAGACCAGCCATAGATTCTCTGAAAAAACTGCCAATCAACGTCTGGAAAGTCAACGGCCACCTCGACAGAAGTTCCCGCATCCGAAGCTACGGTAGCGAACGTTCGGTTGCTCCATCGGACAGTTGCCCCTGCGGTAAGAGGGCTGCGATAAAGAGCTTTATCGCTGGAACTGAGTGACTGGATCCCTCCATAGAATTCGACAGGGTCGGCGCCCCAAACAGCCTCTGCATAGATGGTCAGATGGCTGCTTTAGAATACACTGCCGGAGACCTAGACAGTCGTACCTCGAGTGCCCAGTCTGAACGGCCCAAGTACATCCCAACTGCTAAGAAACGTTATCGGAGCGTGGGAGAGGACCTCGTCGGCATCGAGAACGCCTTGGGATACCGCAGTGCATACATAAGCAATATGGAGGGTTACACAAAGGAAAAGCTCGTGGCAGTAAAGCAGTCTCATTCTTGTGCTACATTGTGAAGCATTGAGTGAGAGCGATTCGCTTACGACGGGGAGTTGAGGTTGCACAGCGGCCGGAAATTCGCTTGTCCCGATCCAGATCTAGCGGCACCTCAAATAGACTTAAATAGAGTAAGATGGAGGCTCCACCTATCACGAAGCTTGTTGTCGGCAGGTAACGGCAGACCGCCTTCCGCTCTGGATCTAGCGTCATGCTGCCGCGCAATATCGGCATTAATCTGCAATGGCGAATGTGGTGCTCTCCTCGTCAACTTGAATAGATACGACGCTGATTGTCCTGCAGTAAGAGACACAGAACCAATTCGGCATCCTTCCGGTTTACGAGCAACTACAGCTCTTGAATCAATTGCCCTTTCCCGACGCCTCGTTCAGCGAAAGAAATGGCGACGTCTGCCTCCTTACCCTGAATCTGGGCACCACTCTTGCGGAGACAGTAAAACAGGGTGAATCTCCCTGCAATTCCTCGTTGACGAGTATGACTTCCACCATGACTCAAGTTCCCGAACCGCGTACATTCACCCACCGATCTCTTTCACCTCATAAGCGTGCCAATGATGCCTCTCCTAACGAAAAATTCCCCTCTTTCGACGAACATCGCATCAACTTCCCCAACGGTCCCTCAGCGCTCGCAGACAGCCCTTCCGAGATCAGTCCGGGACAGCACCCCAATCTTGAGTTCAAATGGCCCGTAAGAAAAGCGAGCCAACGATTGCGCGACGCACGAAATTCTGGAGTCTACACTCATAGACCGAGGAGGAGTGTCAGCGATGCCATAAATAAATTCCGCACCCGGCAGGGAAGTGTCAGTGAAAATGCGCATGAGTTGGCAGAGGCATTGAAAGCACCAGTGTCTTACAAGCTCATTGTAAGTGATGGCGTCTTGAGCTGGTTGTACAAGTCTAACAGGAATAGGCACTCTGCATCATATGGTACATGACTTCTGCGCTCACAAACACATCCTCAAAGTCGATATTGAATGCATTGCCAAAGCCGGCCACACTCACAATTGTTCAATTCGCCTCGGTGTCGTTCTGGTGTTTAGTCCTTACAGGCTTATCCTCCACCTTCCCGTCCTTGAAGCGTGCGGTACCGGCTCTAAAGAACGGCCTGCGGCGACCGTCATGGGATGTCTTTTACACGGCATTCCCCCTGTCGATCTTTCAACTTCTGGGCCATCTGCTGAGCTCTTATGCTACCTCAAAAATCCCGGTTTCACTGGTCCATACAATCAAAGGCTTGTCTCCGTTGTTCACGGTCCTTGCCTACCGTGTTGTGTTCCGCATCCGGTACAAACGTGCGACATATCTGTCTCTGATTCCGCTTACACTTGGAGTCATGTTGGCCTGTTCTACAGATTTCTCTACCAACTTTTGGGGGATAGGCGCCTCTCTGGTGGCAGCCATAGTTTTCGTGTCCCAGAACATCTTTTCAAAGAAACTCTTCACGGAGGCAGCTCGTGCAGAGGCAGAAGGCCAAGCACATATGCCGCGAAAGTTGGACAAGCTCAATCTTTTGTGCTACTGCTCTGTTGGTGCATTTCTGCTCTCGGCCCCGGTTTGGCTCTACACCGAGGGATTTGAGCTTCTCCACAACATGTGGACTGCAGGCGCAGTGCCTCTTTCGGAAAAGAAGGGCGCCATGGATCATGGAGAACTCATGTTGGAATATGTGTTCAATGGGCTTTTCCACTTTTTCCAAAACATCATGGCGTTTGTGCTGCTTTCCATGTTGTCACCGGTCTCATATTCGGTGGCCTCCTTGATCAAACGTGTGTTTGTGATTGTTGGTGCTATCATCTGGTTCCGCAGTCCGACCACGGCAGCCCAGGTCGTTGGGATTGCCTTGACATGTCTAGGTCTCTATCTTTACGACCGGACCAGCATGGAGGACGCCGCAGAGAGGAGAACCAGAGCCGACCATTTCCGCCACAAAGCAGCTTTGTTACCTGTCACTGAGGTCCAGACTCCCGGCCTCAAGGACAGTTACGCTGTGCAGGATGACTACATGGCAGAGATCTCGGAATCGCACCCTAAGAGGGACGACAGCCGGCATCGTGCCCACGACAATGCTCCATCAGGTTGGCTTCCACCTGGGACTAAACAAGAGGACACATGGGAAGTGAAAGACCAGCAAGAAAAGAGATAGCCACTGTATCATCACTTGTAGCATAGCAATGGCGCTGGATTGGCCACTGAGAATTGAGTATGGCCACGATTGGAGTACTGAGATAGATTCTGTCCTGAATTTTTCCACCGATGTGACAAAATCACAACCACAGAGATGATTCCTACAATATGTTTTGTTTTAATAGGATTGTGGCGTCCGTCGGTAAGGAACTGTAGCATCATGGACCTCTTTTGTAGAGAGGATCGTAGCCAGCTCCAGCTACGGCGCACTTCTGATCTTGGATCATGTAGCAGAGGAGAAAGAGATTTGAGCAGGACTGCCACCCTGCCTCCTACAATAAATCATGTCCGTGAATGAGTTATGGAAAAAAAAAAGAAAGGAGGCAGAAAAAGATCGCGGACAAAAATATGAGATACAGAAAAAAGAGGCAGGAGGCTGTGACATGGCGCTAGACTCGGAATTGCCTAGTGCAGGATCTCAGGGAGTGGCCGGCATCCGGCGCATGCAATTGAATTGTACACGGCGGATGCTGGCCTTGGACGGGGACAGTGCTGAGCTGATGAATCGATGGCAACAACCGAATCGAAGAATACACTTTCTCGCCTCCTCAGGTAGTACTGTGCTTCTCATCTGAGTTCTATCTGCTGGCCAGCGCTCTTCTACGAGGCGCCAGTCCGCACTCCGCATCCTCCCTCCTCGTCTGTCCCGTCCACCATTAGTCGCCTACCATGTCGCAAACCCAGGTTGAACAACGCGCCGGCTCCGTTGGGCCTGCTGATTCAATCGAAGGGGAAGACCCCCATAACGAGCAGCCTGGCAAGAAGCAAAAGAGCAGACGCCCGGCGAGTGAGTCTGGCCGTCCATCGGTTGCCATGATTTGTGCTAATGCCCTGTCTGGACAGACACTGCGTTTCGCCAACAGAGGTTAAAGGCATGGCAGTATGTTCATCCATAAACCGTTACTATCCGTACTTTGAGGCTGACGACGTTTTCTAGGCCTATTCTCACTCCCAAAACCGTCCTCCCCATCTTCTTTGCCCTCGGAATCATCTTCGCTCCCATTGGCGGCCTGCTTTTATGGGCGAGTGCTAGTGTGAGAGAACACTGCCGTTTGGACTATAAGACATGTACTGAGTGTGCGATGACAGGTACAAGAATTGATCATCGACTACACCGACTGCAATTCCACCGCCACCTCCGAGTTCCAGCCTGTTCCCGACAGCAAAGTCTCCTCCTCATTCAAATCTGCTAATGGCACGGTGCGACCTCAATGGAGAAAGACGTTGAACACTACACACCCTCCGTACAGCGTCGAGATTGAGAATACTCCTGTCTGCACGCTTCAGTTCTCGATCCCCAACGACATCGGCCCCCCCGTCTACCTCTATTACCGACTCACCAACTTCTACCAAAATCACAGGAGATACGTCAAGTCGCTGGACACAGACCAACTCAAGGGCGATGCCCTGAGCAATAGCACCATCAAGGGGAGTTCGTGCAATCCTTTGAGGCTGGACCACAACGGCAAAGCGTACTACCCCTGCGGTTTGATTGCCAACTCCATCTTTAACGATACACTGAATTCCCCGGTCGCAGTGAACGCCGCCGGCGGCCAATCCAGCCAACAGTACCGTATGACCAACAAGAGTATCGCATGGAGCTCTGACGCGTCACTATACAAGAAAACAAAATACACCAATGATCAAGTTTCTCCGCCTCCAAATTGGCAAAGACGGTATCCGGATGGATATACAGATGAGAACCCGATTCCGGACCTGTCAGAATACGAAGAATTCCAGGTATGGATGAGAACGGCAGGCTTGCCAACTTTCAGCAAACTGGCATTACGGAACGATCAAGACACCATGACTGCTGGAATTTATCAAATGGACATATATGACTGTGAGTTGCGAGCGTGATTCTGCCGATCCGGCCGGTTTCTGACTCTGTAAAGTCTTCCCAGTTCAGCTTTATGACGGGACCAAAAGCATCTTGATCTCGACACGGACCGTGGTCGGCGGCAAGAACTCGTTTTTGGGGATTGCTTACGTGGTCGTCGGCGGGCTATGCATTGTGCTGGGGGTTCTTTTCACCGTTGCACATTTGATCAAGCCCAGGTAAGCTTTAATTCGAGACTTCGGTGTTATTGACAGGTAGCTGACATGAGGCAGAAAACTCGGGGATCACACTTACTTGTCCTGGAACAACGACACTCCAGCTACAGCCGTTTCGACCGGGCGGGAAGTTAGGCCGGGAGGGGCTTGATGACTCTATTGAGAATGCATGACTACCTGATTTTTAAACGTTGATGATGGGTTAGGGCTGGACTGTGATCGGCGTCGGCGTTTGTGCAGAAATCATTCGAGTCTTGGATGACTGGGGTGGCTCCAAAAGAATGGTCGAGCCTTGAAAGAAGTGGAATCTCATTGCTGCATTACATTTCATTCATGCACCGACAAGTCGGCCTGTCAGCCGCAGCGGTCCCATTCCACATTCCAATTCTGTGGCAACTTTTGTTTTGTGATGATTGACGTCTGTGCATTCGTTTTTGCCTGTTCATTTCTTTTGGAGTGGTCTTTGAACTCAAGATGATTGCTGCTTATCTTGATTCGCGTAGGTTGATACAGTTGCAATTATCTGAACGAAGAGTCTCTTTTTTGGGCTTGCAGCATGGGCCCTACCAACAGAACCCCGATTACTAGTATCCGTTCATTTGGCATCCTCCTCCTAACTCTAGGCGTGCTTCCATATTCGACCTTTGGTGCTGTCCCAAAATACAGACCGATCGAACGATCCTGCGGCGTCAGCGAGCCCTCGGCCGAACTATACGAGTCTCACCGCAGGCTTCAACACAACGAACCGTTAGATAACGACTTGTGGAATGCGACCAGCGTACAGCAGAGACATGCGGGAGGAGGAGCATTTCCACACGGAGATGATGGGCATCATCATCATCATCAAGGCCGTCAGGCCAGCAGTGGAAAGTCTCCACTATACACCATCGACACGTACATCCACATCGTCGCCGACACATCATCCTCAGTGTCATCATCACCCAATTATGTGTCCGACACCATGATCAGCAACCAATTCCGCTATTTGTCGGCAGCCTACGTCAACGCATCCATCGGCTTTCGTCTCATGGGAATCACCCGCACGACGAACGACACATGGGCATCCAACGGCGACGACGGGGCCATGAAACGCTCACTTCGACAAGGGACATATAGTTCTCTGAACATTTATTATCAGTCACTATTGCAGGCCGGACCAAATACGCCGGGAATACCTGCTGGCTCGACGCTTCTGGGGTTTTGTTCCCTCCCTGCGGCGGGGGTAGGTACGGCTACGCCGAGGGAGCTGTATGTGGCTGATGGATGTAATGTTTTGTCGGGGACGATGCCCGGAGGGAATGTTGCCGGGTATAATTTGGGTGGGACGACGGCGCATGAGGTCGGACATTGGAATGGGCTCCTGCATACTTTTAATGGGAATAGTTGCGACAGTGCGGATTATGGCGATTATGTGGCGGATACGCCGCAGGAGATGACGAGTACGAGTAAGTGTTGAGTCTGAGTGAATTGTTACGCATGATTGATTTGGTTTGGAATATTTACTGACATACCTACCCTGTCCTTTTTTCTTTGCAAACAGACAGATGTCCCGTCTACAAAGATAGCTGTCCACTCTCCGGCGTCCCTCCAGGCAGTTATACCGGAGGCGGTGGAGGCGGAGCGACGGCCCAAACAAATCCGTACGGTCCCCAGGGGTATAGTGGACCAGATCCGATCCACAATTTCATGGACTACAGCAGTGATGAATGTTATCAGGGGTTCACGCCGGGTCAGGGGGCGAGGATGTTGAATATTTGGCAGATTTATCGGGAGGGGTTGTGACATGATATACATACAGTACCTAAGGTAGGTAAGTGGCCCGGGGCAATCGGCCAAAAAGCGAGCGAATGGAATTGGATCTGGATTGTACGGCGATGAGGATAGAATGGAATGGCTGCTGTGGGTTGTTTGAATACCATGGATTAGACTGAATGAATGGATGAATGAAAGAGAGGACTATATGCTTGGATAGAAGAGAGGAAATGAGATGAGATGAGACCGTCTGGATAAAGTGGAAAGAACTGAAAATTAGTGTCCTCTGGCACTACATGCAGAGTATTCCAAGTGGAAACAAGCAATTGTCACTCAATCACGGTGCTTGCAACATTGCTCTTCTGGTGCCATTCAGGTTTGTCCTGCTTTGAACCAAGCCGGTGCTCATTCGTTTCAATCATGTTGGGTATTTGATAAACTTGAACCCAAGGCATCCATCAAGGCATCTCTCCTCAGTTGGAGTACCATCACGACCACCACCGACATAGCAGCGATTTGATCAAGCAGCAGCCAGTACTAGTACGTACCGTGCGGGGGTATAGAGCACGGCCAGGGAGTATACTGACATTGTCAAGGCGAACATGAGCATGCATCCGTCCATTGCGTCTTCATAGGCCTCGTGGTCAAGTTTCTCTTGACTATCGTGGCCACTGTTTCTAGCATACCTAGCAAAGGTATTCCATCCCCGACTGGACAAATCAACCTCCGTAGCTTGGAAGGAAATCTCGTGGATTGATGTTGGAATGTGAGGGCGGTAGATTCGCTGTCCCGTGGATGACATAGTACATGATGTGCACAGTTTGGTATATTCCAGCTTCGGAACGCATCTGACCACTGACAACCAGAGGTGTAACGTCTCGCGGCATCCAGCATGGCGTGCTCATGAATGAGAATGACCTCGAAACGTGTCTTCTTGTTGCAAACATCAAATTCAGGCGCGCGACATCATCCAGATGATAAGTGGCTGAGGTAAATCTTGAGTCCAACCCCCCTTGGAGCGGGACGGTCCTTGTGAGATCTCTGGCCAAGAATATGGATAGCCCTTCAACCTCGTCGGAGAGGGACGTGAGTATCTGGATTCGAAAAGTTCGATCTCATACCCTGATGAAGCGTTGTGCGGTGGCCCAGGAATGCCATAGATCAGAATTCCATGCTGTCTCAACCGAGCTCGGTCGACTCTCCCACTCCATACCGTAGTCAACCTTTGATGGTTTCATGGCTGCGACCACGTGGGGACAGACACCACCCTGAGGTACGCCAGGGATAAGAGTGAGTAAGAGCAGAGCATGATGACGGTGTTGCTTGGGCATCGTTTGAGCATGAGCACAATGTTGTCGACTCTCCTGTCTCCTGTCTCAACCTCATACCTCAACAGCCATCTTCAGTCCAATATATCTTGCTAGATACTCAAGGCTGGGTCTGATTCTCTCCTTGACCTCTTTCAACTCCGTCTTCAGCTTCACCTGCAGCTTCGCCATTTTCCACCTCCACATCATCCATAGTCGTATCCGCCGCTTGTGCCTCGTCACCACCACCAACACCCCTCTCCAAACCTTGGCAATTCTTCAACAACCAATTCGCACACTCCTTGGCCCCCTCATTCGCACTACACTCGCTCTCAACCACGGCATCACGCCCCGCAGCATTCACAATGCTTGGGTCTGCGCCCGCCGCCACAAGCGCCTTTACCACTTCCAAATGTCCATTTATTGCTGCCCAATGCAAGGGTGTGTTTCCACTGACGTTTTGGCGATTGATTAACGACGACGAAGACGACGACGATGTTAGTCGTTGTTGTTGTTCTTTTTGCTGCTTTTCCACCTCATTCTCACTCGACGTCTCCTGGATCAACGAAATCAAATACTCCACCACCTCAAAATTCCCATTCGCAGCCGGATAATGCAGCAGCGTCGACTGCGACCCAAGTCCGTCGGCGTCGACGTCAATCGCCGATGCGAGGATTGCGGCCGGCGAACATGAGTGTGACCGACATAGTGCGGAGATGAGGTCTCTGAGGCCTTCGAGCTCGCCCGTGCGCGAAAAATAGATTAGGTCTTCGACGGCGTCGGGGTCAAGGGAGATTGGTAACGTGGGATTGTTGTTGCTGTTGCTGTTGCTGTTGCTGTTGCTGGCGTTGGCCATGGTTGCGAAGGAGGTGATAGAGCAGAGCACAGCAGGAAAGATTGATTGAATCAAGTCGAGTCGAGAGGATTCAAGTTCGTATCAGCGCCGCTCTTGAAGAGGAAGTGAAAACGGCAGAGACGATGTTGGGCGGATTGATTTAGAGCCAGAGAACATGGATCTGGCACTTAGTTTGCTAGAAAAAGAAGGCCGGGTCGCTGTTCTTTTATATCGAACACCAATAATTGATCGAATCACAGCGTACAACGTTAGAGAACTTGAACTAGAAGGGTAAAGAAGATGATGCTCCGCGCAGTGAGTGTATCGTTTGTTCGTTGTTTGCGAACTTGAAGTCTTCAACTTTTTTTTCTCTGGTGACGTCTCCGATTTGTTTGGGGTGAACTTCAACTTTCTCCAAATTCGGATTCTTCAAGCTAGGCGCAGGAATTAAAGGTAAATGAATATTCGGAACTAACAGCTCCATGTCATTCATTTGAAACCAACTTGGAGCCGGCTGATTGTTCGACTCTACCTACAAAAATTGTACTCTATCTAGTTGTAGTAGTTGTATTCGGAGCACAGTACAGTATATGCGGCGGCCAAAAAAAGTACCTCGCCCCCCCGTTATCCATGTACACTTTATTTCAACACAATGTATATATACCCTACCATATGTATATGTATACTTCTCAAGCCTCATTCCGTATCAAACGTGACGTGTTCCAAGTTGTGCAAAGACGTCGCTCACGCTCTCTCCGCCGACGCGAGTCACATAAACAGGGACGAAACAAGATCTAGCTGGATGTCATACTATTGTCCGCTGGCGGCTTGCTCGATCGATTGAACATATCGCCACTAGATAGATATACCAGCTCAATCAGCCGACACGGTCCGGGTCGGGCCTGGGCACAGATCGTCTCTGTGAATTTCGTTCTACGACCCTTTTCTCCAGCCCAGGGTTGCAGTGGCGTGGCCGAATCAGGACATGCATGAGACAAAAAGCATCGCATGGACATTGGCGGAGAGAGGCACGTTCGGTTTGCATGTTCACCGAAGGAGTTGCCTATATGGTATAACACGCCCAATTCTCGCCTGATCCGTTCGTTATTGCTTGTTGCTTCTTAATCGGATCTCACTGCTCCTGAACTGCTTCGACCAGTGTGCCGTGAGTCGTCGGATCTGGTCGAGGTTGGGGTGTCAAACCAGCATACTTTGTCATATAAAGGCGTCGTGGAGAGATGAGCCCGCAAAGTATGGGTCCGACCGTCCAAACGAGAGCGAAGTTGCCACCGCATTGACTAGGTAGGGATGGCTGCGATGACTGCTCGAAGAATAATAGACGAAAATCATGCCGATGCCGGTGCCGACGTCTTGATCAATCCTCGGCATTCTGGAAACGTGTCAAAGATGGCGCTTTTAACCGTCCAGTTCTCCGGGACCAAGACATGACGGACAAAAGCATCAGTAAGAACAACATGTCCGGTGCCATCCAGGCGCTCCACGCACATGTCGAACTTGTACGGCCAGTTACAACTAATATTGCCGGCCAGCACGGGTAGGAAGTCGCGATATTGTCGACAAAGCGCGTCACGCATATGAGGAAAAGGACAGAACTCGACCGCAGCACTGTGTGGAATGCTCATTTGCATCGGGGTAGGTCGGTACAGTTCGGGAATGTCGTCGTAGTTGGCGGAGGAACATAAAATCATCCACTGAAACAAACAAACACAGAGTTAGTCAAATCAAGCCGTACACACAAGAAGAGCACCCGTAACCAACTAAACTTGGTCAAACTCACTCGAATCAGCGAAATAAACATAAAAGTCAACCCCAACCTTGCAGCAGGCTCCATTCCTTCCAGGCCAGAAGTGAGTTCGCATGCAAAGTAGCAGACGGAGTGAGGATCCGTCTCTCTTCGCGATCGAAACAAGAGGTCCACCATCGGTCGACGAGGGCCAAACACTTCATGTACGGAAGCGCCCTCGGACAGCATCGACCGCGCCAGGTCGAGGTAGCTGACGATCGCGCAGGCCATGGGCTCGTCGTCCAGCTCAATCTGCGGCAATGAGATGTGTCGTGCCATGTGGCGATTCGACGAGTCCGAGACGCGATGTTGACTCAGGAAAGATTCGTATGTTTGTGAATATGTTGCATGACTACTCGGTCGATTCGGTGTCGGCGTCGGCGTTGACGTCGACGTCGATGATACGGCTCGGGACGTTTTTGTGTCTGGAATGACATGGTCGGATGCACCGAAGAAAGTGGGAGGTGGAAATGCTTGTGATGCTGGTGTGGACACTGCTGATAACGGCCTCTTCCTATCCTGAGATGTCGGGCTGTCCAAGTCCCTGTTTGGGACATGAGATTCGCGCCTCTAATCAGAATGTATTAGCGTTGAGACCTGTCATGTCAGGGTAGGTAGCATTATACCACAAGGGTCGTAAAACTGGTACTGGTACTGGTACTGGTGCTAGGCTGCGACTCCTCTACCTGCCGCAACCGCAAAGCTGAAGGTGGATCTGGAGACTGTTTGTCAGCAGTGTTGGCCTTGGATGATGCACAACCCTTATTCCCACTCACGAGCGCCGACGAAATTTGTCACGGGCATCTTGTCTCTGACTTGGCTATACAGCCATTGCAGGACTTTGTCCAGTCCGATACCAGACTCAAAGCCGTCGGACGCAGTACCCGCGTCCGCAGAGAACCACTGGAATGGAGTCTGTCTCTCATAGGAATGAGAAATACCCTCGTGTTGCAACGGCCAATACTGTGAGCCCTCAACCATTGCCTCTCGCGGCGACTCCCATTCACGTGGTGACTGAACTTTTCTTCTTCGTGGTGGACTGTTACCATCGACGTATGGCCGCTGATTGCCTGCAGCGGGAGCTGCTCCTGCTCCAGACTTGTCCGACTTGGAGTCACACGAGGTCGCCCTGTCTTCCCGGCCATCTTCCATATACTGCTCGAGTTGCTGTTTGAGCTGCCAAACATGTCTCTCCACCTCTTCAGGGACAGGGGTGTGTGTTAAGCTCGTCAAGATAGAAGCAGCCAGAGAAGGTAAAGGCACATCCAAAGACACCTTCTCCAAGACGTCGATCAGCGCCGGCCCTCGGGAGAATTGCAGACATGTCCGCAGTCCATCAAGAATGCTTTTGTGATGGATTAATTCCTCCAGGCGCCGGCTTAAGGCTACCTTTCTGCGTCCGTCCAGGGTTTCATCAATCACACATCTTGTATTGAGGGAAACACAAGTTTCACATGGTGCAACCCCTGAACACTGTATTTCCGACAGTTAGAACCATCAAGGCCTTGTTCCTAGAAGCTGGATAGGGACTTGCTATTATCCATACCCTGATCTTGCGATTCTTGCACACGATACAGGCAACAGTTGCCCTCTGTCGGCTGGGCCCGATAACATGATCCGGGGGCTTGGGGGCGGTGACGCTTGGTCTTTCCATGACGAACGGTGAGACTGCATGCAAGGCTTAGTCGAAACTTAAGAACAGACTGGTTATGGACTGCGCTGGTTCATGTTGAAACGTGTGCACACCAATAGACCATGCCGGAAGCTGAGCATCTGGTTCTGACCATCCCATAATAAGATGAAGGAAATAGGAACGCGCTGGAATCAACCCATCGTATGCTCGGGAGTGATGCCCAAGTGTTGACATCGTGAACAGCTATCGCCGAAAGAAGCTTGTTTGAATCCGTCCTTCGCATCTGCATAAACGTGACAGGGTCGGTCCGATTTCACACGACTCTATAATTCGACGGCGGGATAAAGAGTCCATCCCGGAACAATTATCCAGTGCTCAGGAATACATACCCGGCTTCCAGAGGCATTCGTCGATCGCAGTACGTCGATCGTCTGGCCATGTCCAGCTCGCAGGGACCGGAACCCACTTCCTTCCGAGAATAGTCTCGCCATGGCAGGTCTCGACTCACCGTCGTTCAAGGTTGGGGCCGGACAGGGAGCTGCATGGCTCTTCCCCGTGTTCTCGCTGCCCGCTGTCCCTGGCGGTTGGCATCGGGCTCGGTGCCGACGGTCTGTTCTGCAGCCGTCGTCCAAGGGGCTGTAGGGGTTAGACGTGGGTAAATTGCCAGTGCCAGCCGTTGTCAAAGCAAACCACGACAGGGAAGAATCAGCTCTGCATCACTCTGGCAGAACCGGCCCAATGCATTTCACCGCAATTCTGGGCTGGGGACGAGAAATTCTTCGATCAGGCAATCTCTAGCGACGAGCATCCTCGTCGGCCCGCGCACTACTGGACGTCAAGGCGTAGATGTAAGTATCTCGATACCAGCATTCTAGAGCGGCATAGGATACGAGCAGCGGTGTGCAGCAGTTGGCGGCGTTGCTGTCGAAGAGGAATGGCATTGACCTTTCTTCTTCTGGCCTAGAGAACAAGGCGAGAAGCCACAAAGTCCGCAGCTAGTAGGAGCAGAGGGACACAACCCTGCCGTTGGGCCGTGTCCGGTACATGATACGAATCTGAGACCGGCAACCGACGAAGAATAGGCTCGGACATGCAATGCTGTCCTCGATTGTAAATTGAGGACTTCTGTCAAATCCTCGGTAGGATAATCGTAAGCCACATGCGTTGAGCACCTGGAGGACAGAGTGCTGCCTTCATTCGAACGTCGCTGGGCAGGCGTCGTCCTACAAGAGCAGTGGCGTGCCCTTTGTTCTTTGCGTTTTGATCTGCGTTCTGTGGGCCTCTGTGGGCATTTGACACATTTCTAGGAGGGCCGCGCTGTGGAAAAACTTTCCGCTGGTGAATGTGAAGACCTCAACCATAATGTCTGCTCACAGGTGGTGGCATTTTGATGGGCTGTCAAAACAGCGGCTAAAAATGAGCTCGAGGCTAGAATGTCGACGGCCGCTGATCACTCACGGTCAGTACGCTGGAATGCCCCGAGTACTGTGTTTCAGTTCAGTGAATCATATGGATATCCCTGGTCTCTATAATACCAATTCGTAGTGTTAAGATTGAAAATGAACGGTAGGGCTGCATAAGAATCAGGACAGAGCGAAATGCCAACTTCGGATGAGTTAGATGGTTGAACTGTCTACCTCTTGGGGCCTACGCACTGGTGCAGAAACGTCAAATCGAACTGCTTGTCCGGGGTGATGCTTGAAGGCTGCGCTCCGGACGCTTTGCACGCTTGATATGCCCTTGCGATCACGATCGAAGCACCGCCGTGGTTTCGTCGAGAATTTCAGACTGTCTGCGGCATCCTAAGCTGCAGGCCTTGCCCGTTATGGAGCGCGATCACCCTGCCCCAAGTGCTTTTGCCGCGTCTGTGAGGATGCGGGTTTGAAAAGCTAGCAACCAATGCACCGCAAGGCGGAGCGGTAGGAATGTGTGCCCTGCTATGGAGGAGTAGTGATCGTGCGACTTAAAGATAGCAGCAGCGACAGACAAAATGCTTCGGCTCGGCGTTATAAGTCGTACATGACGTATTTTGTTGCAGGACATCTGCACTGAGGATTTGGGACTTCATCCTTGTACATCTGGCATCCGGACCGCAATGTCGCCTGATTGCGTGATATATCGTACCCATGGTAAGGACGGATATTGTAACTGCAACGTATTAGTGCATTATAATTCATGAGGTTTACGCCAGGACTTACCTTGGGCTCGATGATTTTCAGGTAGCGAACTTGGATGCCGCTGGTGGTGAAGTAAGGAATTTCGAACTTGACGTTGATCGGCCGCTTGCCTTTGCCTTCACCCACGATACCCCCCATACTGCCTCCGAAGCCACCAGTCATGCCACCACCCCGTTCATCGTCCCCCTTGACACTCGGGAGTCCAAGTTCCGCACGCATCAAGAACTCCTTGCCGCCACCGAACTGCTTGATCTTCCACACAATGGCTGATTTCTCGGGCGCATAATGTACAGACCCAATGTTTGTGCGGAATCGCGGCGTATCGGCATCGTCAGGCACAGGAATGATGATCTCGACGTTGTTGGCCGTAGATCTCCTTTTGAACTGGGCCTTGGCCTTGAGCATGTATTCGATTCGCGATCCGGAATGTGATTCCACCACGCACTCCACCCAGATTAATGGCTTGACGGCGGTGTTAAGGCGGTAGCTCATCAATTCGAACTCTCCATCAGGAGGGATGAAACTGATCGTCCGGTCGTTCTCGAATCTGGACAGTCGCACACACTGATGAAATTTAACGTCTTCCATCTCCACCGCCTTTCCTCTCGTTGTCCGTCCCGTGGTCTCAAACATGACCTTGTCATTCAAGCCAAGCCGCAACTCAGGCATTCCCGAGAGATAACATTTCATCTTGATCGCGCCCAAGATTTCGGACCTGAGCACGTTGCCGGACGACGATACCAGCAAGTTGAGTGATTCAATAACGTCAAGGAACACCTCGTTCTTTCGATATCTAATTCCCTCGCTTCTCCATGACACGGCGTTGGTCACGGCTATGGGTGGTCGCGCCTGGACCTCGAGCTTGTGCGACTCTTGCGTAATGTACTCTTGAAGGATCTTAGACTCGGTTGTTTGGGGGTAGCCAAAGTCCATCATCTCGTCCAACAATTCGTAGATGACGACAAAGTTGTCCCGTATCGACTCCTCTTCAAGTTCTTTGAAGTATTCTGTGAAGACCTCCACAATCTTATGAAGGAATAGGAGGATTTCGGCGGCATTGGTGTTTCTTTTAGTCAAGGCAAGAAGGTAGAGGTTATTATGGCGGATGTAAAGGTACTATTGGCATGTGAGTCTTCCAGGGGGTCACTGTATTTCTGGCGCTGCGGCACTAACATTGATGCCCTCGTCCGAGAAACAAGGGGGAACAGCTGATGATTCTTCTTCGGCTTCGGAGAGTAGCATGGGAAATTTCTCAACTGCGGACATGGGAATATCTCCTCGATAGTTGCGGGCAAGAAGGGTCTACAGGCGCGTCAGTCTGGCACATGTGTTATCCCGCAACTGACAACACCCACCTTGCCCTTTAAGTCGAGGAAGAAAACGGCTGAGGCCATGGTGTCAAGCACAAGGCAACGAGTGTACCAGAAAGGGACCGGATAGGAAATGGGACTGTTGTCGCGGTATCAAGAGTATTACCGCATTGTGATGGAGTGCCGCACTTGGGAGTCTGTTGGATGCAAGTGTCGCGGTTGCGGGTGTTGTTGGTCTAGTAGAGCGATGCCACGGTTGGTGCCTTACGCTGTACATTATTGTACGGTGAGTCTGAGACGCTAAGGCGCAATTCATCACGTGCTTGAGATTTTACAGTGGAGATCCCACGTGATGAGAATTAACCTATATTTTGACACTCTAAAAATTTCCAGCTTTTTCCCTCTTCCACCAACGCGTCCAACAGACAGTGCAATGCAGCATTTTCCCAGACCGTGGCATTTTGTCGCGGTTCTGCGGTTTACTCGATTGCCAGCCTTTGCGATTCAGAGACGCGGAGACCAAATCTCCCAGGTGCCATAAGAGCTGGCTGAGCACTCAACTCATTTCATGATCAAAATTGCTCAGGCGGTGTCAGAGGCCCCAAACATTATTTGTAGTGTACACGATCATAAGGCTATTGTGATAGGAACAAATGAACCTGTGGCGTTATATCTGCGAGGGTTCTGCAATCTCCCCTCTGGGCTTCCAATCTCTCTTCAGTCCCAGAGGAATAAGCACTCTTTCTTTCGCTATGCGGTTTGCGACCGCGCCGCCTTGCTCCAAAGCCAGCGCCCCGATGATTGCAAGAACTGCTTGTGCGTATACGAGGTCTGCGCCAGATGCCTGTAGGCGTTCGGGCTACAAGAGTCAGTAACCTCTATTCCCGCCGCAGTAGAGTGCTTCAACACTTACATCTTTGGGATGCCACCGTATCACTTCCGGTAGACCGTACTGGGTTGCTATATTTGCCAGTTGCTTGTGATGTGTGAACCATTCGTGGGCTCCTCCAACCAGGCATTCTGCAGACTCGATTGCAGGATGCCGGAACGGTTCGCGACCGTGAGGATCTTTGTCTTTGTCTTTCAAAAATATCGCGGCATCCGATACACTGAGCAGGCCCAATGAGCACTGGAGCTCAAGTATTCGTTTCCCTGCGGCAATAATTAGCCCTGGTATTGTAATCATCCAACAAAAACCCATACCGAAGAAGGCGAGACGATCATTGAATCCTCGACGCCCATGGTCAAAACTCTTGCTCGTGACCGCGAGCCATTTCGTCTCTTCTGACAATAGCTTATCCCCTCCTCGGCCGAGGAACTTCACATATACGTCGTCGAGTTTCCGTTGGTCGGTATTGATCTGGATTGTCTTCACCCCTTGTCGTGGTGGGCTCGCACGGACAGGAGCTTTCATGGCAGGGGGTGTCTGCGACCACCGTGGAGGTAACTCTGAATCCACCTCCATCTCTGAGAAGTGACTCGTGGCCGTGGAAACATGTCGACATTGGCGCAGGACTTTTCGGCTAACAGGTCGAACGTTTGCACAGTCGCATCTTGATCGTCTGGCAGGTCGCAAGAGGTCGAGGATGATTCGAGAGGGAGTAATTGCGGCGGACGACATTGCCAGAGGATACGCCGTAGCGCTGGTAGAACCTAGAAATTCCCTCCAGAGGCCCTAAGAATTTCGGCGACCGAACAACTTGTTTCAAGGCAGGGCACTCCAAGTCGTAGGTGACAATTGAAAAAGTGCCGGGACTGCATATAGAAATCCGGCCTGGAGTTTGTAGTACGCGAAATCCACCTGCGGGAAAGTCGGACCAGGAACAATACTCCGCCTTACAAATGTACGGCGGAGTAGAAGAAATGCGCTGCGATATGGTGATAACTTGAACTAAAGGCCCGTTTGTTCGTATTGCCCGCGACGGCTTTCCAGGTACTGTATTGCATGTCCCATGGATCCTACTAGTAAAGCACCTGGCGCACATGCAAATTTTCTCTTCAATGAGGTCGAGATCGACTCTCCGTGATCTGTGCAGCGTCCTACTAAATCGGGCTCTACCTCAGTCGGCGCCCCCGATCTTTTCAGTCCGTCCTCGGCCGGAGTTTGCTTCCGGGCTGTTGATACGGCATCTTCCAGATTGGCCCAAAGCCATCAGCCTGACGGCAGTGTACGATGTGAAAATGTAACTCCTCGAATCAGGCATGTTTGATTTTGGTGCTTTGTCCAATGGCTGCGCAGAGAACGTTGTCCTTGATTTGACTGACCAACTGGCCGACCCTCTTGAAGAGTTACCAACATTGAACACTTTACTCCGGTATTAGTAGCAGAGCAACTGTTGGGAGGTTTCCTGCCTTGGCCCCATAGCCAAATTGTTCGGTCATCATTGGCTCCCTTCTCCGTCATAGGGGAACAAGCCGGAAGCAAGGCCCCCCTAAAACAACTTGAATCGAGTAACAGTTCTCTCGTTCTCAACTACTAACGAGCCAGAATCAGTACCTGTCGGCCTTGAAACCTTCTGCTATGTCAAAGGCATATATTAAACTGTTATGATACAAGCAAAGGTTCGGGAATCGTACGACGGCCGGGTGGAGATGATGGCCAGGCTGTCATGGCGAGACACCAGCAGCCCTACTAACACACACCTACTGCTGGGATGGATATGCCTTCCGGTGGGTAACTGCGTGTTCTAGTGGATGCTCCGAACTCTGGACCATGGACCTACAGTATATATTTCCACCTTCGGTCTGTCTCGGGTCTCTACCATGCTATTCCCCAGCAACCGCATTTCACAGGCGTTGATTGCCCCGGGCATCCGAATCAACATACACGACACTGGGAATGATCCCTACCACGACATGCCCGCCTGCGAGCGACGACAGTAGTATTGGCAATCGCCACCCACGGCCCATCCTACCCAACCCCCATGATACCTCTACTTCGACCGTGTCAGCACATGGGCTACCGTTACCAAAATCATCTCATCGTCAAAGGAAAAATGTGGCTGTTGCCTGTGACCAATGCAAATTACGCCGGGTTAAATGTGACGGCCACCACCCGTGCACTCGATGCATTGAGAAGCAAAAGGCGTGCAGCTATGAGCAAGCCGACGATCGCCGACGCCATCGAGGCTCCTCTGATGAGGCACAAGCTCTGACGGAACAAATCAACAGGTACCGACAGTTCATTCGAACCTTGCGCTTGGCCTCACCTGAGAGTGCTGTCCGTATCCTGCACCACCTAAACTCGTTTCCCGGGTGGGTCACTGATGAAGCACTCCTGTGCAGTGCTTTGCAATTCGCCGAGTCTTTGCAAGTGCCCCCGCCAACGCCGGAAAGTGCTTTACACAGCCCTGCCTCGTCTTCCACACGTCCAGGACCGGCGCGTATAGCTGTGGAAGGACTCCTGTCCTCCTCGCCCGGAGGACCGCAAAACAATACGGCGCTGAACGGTCTCGTTAGCGAGGAAGTCAACGACCGGCAAGGCTTCAGACAGTTGGTAAGCAACCATGCTTTCTTTTCCTTCTCTTCACGCAGGCCTCGATACTGAATGCGTCTGCATGATCCTTGATTTGTGCCCCGCGACTGACATTCTTATGATGCTTAGCAATCCACGGAATCCCTGGGCTATGCAGCGCCTGGTCTGGTTGAGAGCAAAGCGTGAGCTCCCTACCATATTAGTATGGCATGTTCGGCAGCCGCTGACCTTGTCGGTTACCGATCTGCTAACATGTCTGGCCAGATTTGACGGTCCAACAACTTGCGTGGAGTCTACATCTTGTGAATCGAGCCGATCATCCTTCTTCAATCACGTATCCAAAAGTCCCGAAAACCAGGTGCAGTCGCCAGCCATGTCCTGGTGGTATACGCCAGGGACCACATGTTATAAACGAGCAGCCTCCTGGCTGCAATCAGACCTGGAGGCCGCGGCACGTCTGCAGCCAAAGAGACCTGCTGATCCAACGTCCCCGAGATCCTGACTTCGATGAAGTCTTGAACTGATACATCAGCTTTGCTTCTGTTCGCCAATAGTTGTGCTCGGAATTTGTTGATAACTGGCGACGAATAACGGCCCTACCTTTCAACAGCGCCAATCAACAGTGCCGAAGACAACATACAGTGCGGAGGTCCCGGATCAAAGGGATTGGTTTGATTGCCCGACAAGGCATGGACCTGGAGATCCCACAATCGGGTGTCTGCAAGGGTCTGCAGTTTGAGGGTTTCATACACTGAATCACAGTTCCAGCCCCCTGGGCTCCGGATGAACAAGCCGGGAAGTTCAACTACCAGGTCTCCAGGTTATGGCCCGAAAACGTGACAGGCTTCGGTCATTGGTTTCATCTGCCGACCGCTTTACTGAGCGAAGGGCGCGAGGATAATAACACAAAAGATCGAACGGCACGCATATGGTCGAATTGCATTGGCAAGTAAAGCATGGTCTAAACGTGGTCATGCGGGCTTTCGGAATGTTGGCCATGACAAGGCCGTGGTCGTTTTGATATGCGACTGACTAGGTGCTCGAGTTACCTGAACAGCGAAGGGCACAGTGTCACATGAACTTTGAAGCTCGATCTCCAAACTTATCGCGGCAGGGGATGGTTTTTTCCCACTGGGGATCTGTGTAACTATATTATCTGCTTCTTTACAGGAAGGCGGGGGGCCAATGGAGCCTTTTCGCCGAAACATCCATGTCATTTCGAGCATTTATCTACAATATGCGCATGAAGGAGGGCTATGCTACCGCAGGGTCCCACGACAAACTTGAAGGAGACGCTACGCCGGAGGTAGCGCCCAACTCGCTAGTGTCGATGCGCCACGCCACCAGCAACCAGTTGAATCATTGTCCGACATAACTTGATATTTAGCTGGCTTGGAGAGAGTGAAATCTTTGACGAGCCTCGTAAAGGGACGAGACCTGGCCTACCTAGGAATCATATCAGAAAATGTACTCGATATCGCAAGCACCTCGTCTACTCGAATGCTCTGTTCCGATGTATGGCCCGTCGAGGGTCTAGATCAGAAAAGGTAGCTTTTTTGCATGCTATGGATTATGTACTCGTTGATAAGCATAGATCCCGGTCATAGGTATATATATCCCTCCAAGCACCAATAAGAAATAACTGCATTATATCTTCATCTGTATGGGTCCAGCCGTACTAGGTAGTAGTAGTTAGGACATCCAGAAGCGTTCAGTTTCATGCGGGCTTCTCTGGAGGCATGTTGACCTCATATCACACAGACGGAATATCATGTCAGTGTCATCATGCCTTCGAAGCTCCTCCAACCGGACCTGCTGCTGCAGAAGCGGATGTCGCGCCGTCTGGACCGGCAGCACCGCGAGCGGCAAGACGTTTCTTGCTGACGAGTCGGTACCCACCGACGGCAATCACCAGGAGTTCAAGACCCAAAATGACCGCGAGAGTGACCATGGCACCAATGACACCAGCAACGGCCTTTGAGACTCCGCCACTGCCACTGCCATTGCCATTGGCGCTTTGAGAGGACGAAGCAGAGGAGCTGCTATTAGTGTTGCTGCTCTCACCCAAAGCCTCAGCAGAGCATTCACCAGTCGAGTTTCCACACGCCGAACACCAATCCTTCTGACTCTTAATACGGAACTTATCCATGCCAGCGACAAAGTCGGTCCAGTGGAGCGGGGACTGGTTGCCGCCAAAAAGAGGATACTCCACCGGTTCGCTGATATTGCTAGCGGTGCCATTGTGAAACAGAAATCTCACAGAAATATCGTTTGTGGTTGGGTAATTGTTGTTATCCACCGTGGCATTAGTGACGAGTTCCCAGACCAACGTGGACGCATAGTCCGGAACACCGAAGAAATCCGAATTTGCGACCGTCAAATTGGCCAGACCGAAAAAGGACATCATGCCGGCGTAGGCGCCGAACTGGACATTGAGCTGTTTGGACTTTCCGCTGGCGGCAATAGTCGAGTTCAAAGCCTGCACGACCTCGTTGGCTATGATGGCGCCCGTGATGGCGCGGACGGGTTCGGACTCGTTATATGCCAGTCCCCACTCGTGCTGGTCGGCCAGGGTGCGCAGTTGGAAAAACACGCCGTCGGTCAACAGGTCGGCGTTGGGGAAGTTGGCGGACGAGTTGTGGATCGATGCCACGTTCAACAGGTCAAAAATGGTGTATGCGTTCTTGAAGCTCGTTTGTGACGCAGTGAAAGTCCGGTTGATCATGGGTGTGAGCCCGTTGTAAAAGTCTTGGGTTCGCGATAGGGTTTCCAAGTACTCGGCGCTGTTGAAGTATTTGTTGGAGCTGATCTGGGCGTTGGCGCAATTGGTTGCGCCCTGCAGCCAGGCCGCGTTCTCGCTGTTGGCGCCCGTTTCAACGGTTTGCAGGGGGATCAGCTGGTATCCGTTCAGCGGTGCTGATACCACGGTCCCGTTGCGGAGTGTGTTGCTGCCCAGATCAGATCCAACTGGTGGGTAGAGGCCCTGAAGGAACCCCATGGCCGAGTTTTGTAGGACTGTGTCCGATGGGGCTGACGCCGTGATTTGTGATTGTTTCACTAGGTCCGAGTTCAGCCCGTGGATCCGTCGGCTCGCGCTGCTCGACACATATCGGCTTCGAAAGTATGTCCCGGATGTATATACTTCTTGGTATCCCAGGTCTGTCAGGTTCGTCGGCGGTGTGCTTTTTGCGGTTCGGTCGCCGTGCCGCGAGAATATGTAGACTCCCAGCACTGTCTCGGCCGCCAGCGTAGTCGAAGCCAGAGAGGCCAGTAGGGCGATGTTTGCGTAATGCATTCCTTCACACGGGCGTGTTGTCTGTTGCGTTGGATGTCAGCAGGAAGGTCAGAAAGTCATTGGCAATAGGCAGAGAGAGAAAAATCGCATGGCAGAAGTTATGCTCTCTGAGGCCGAGTCTAACTGCGATGCGATGCGATGCGCTCGGCTCATCAACGCCATCATTGGGGTAGAATGTGACTCACCTTAGGTATCTATGCCGATGTTACAGTATACTCTCACTGTGTAACACAGTGGTGATGTCCACAGACTTGAGCACCGGGACAGAGGCAGACAATCGCTGACTTTTGGACTTGCGCAAAGGGACAGCAGCTGGACGGGAGTTGAAGATAGCCCAACGTGAAGTCAGATACCGTCGTATCTTCGGCGCCCTCGGGCTCTTATCAATCGATTGATGGCGAACATTGCTCTTTGCACTTTTGACTGGATCTGGCTCCGATTGCCGGGACCACATCGATGCGCGGGGATGGCCGAGGCGAGGGGCACAAAGTGGAGGGGCCCGAAGCTGATTGCCGTTGAGGCTGAAAAGATTTCGCAGTCTGCCAGCGGTCACGATTCGCTGCGGCTCCCACCATCCGCGCCGCATACCGCGCTTTGAGCTGTTCGTTTTGACACCCGGTAAAACGTTTCTAGACGGCGATGCTATCGTCTGAGAAAAATACCTTTATTGTGAGCGTCATGAACCCGTAAAAGCTGCAGCGGCCTGTGAGGGATTGATACTTCGGCATTTAATCGTGGAATCTAGGGTATAGTTGTACTTCGCCTGTGATCGCGCGTAAGTCGAGTCGATCCTTGGGATCCAGAACGGTATCATCAGCGGATAGACCCAGTCCCACAGCTCCGCTGATAGCATAGCACAGCATGAGTCAACAAGTCAACTGCTCTACAACTTGTAATCGACAGTCAACCTCCCCGCGGACATCCTCAACAGTGCTGGCAGTTGAGCTTCTCTTCTTCCCTCGAAAGCTGCGTATTAGTAACCGTCAGCCAGATATTGCCATTCCATGTTCTGAGCCCGGTTGACAGTGTCGTCTGCCAGTGGCACTTTGATGCCAATTATGCTCGTTGAAGAAAGTCCCTGGCCATTATAGGTATTCTCCACCTGTGCGAAGAAGAGGCGTCTGTCTTTTTAGGGGACCAGAGAACGAAGACCAAGAGCTGCATCGTACAGAAGGATTAACAGATCCATTCGAATATGGCTACACCAGCGACGCCCTCATGGATAAGTTTAGCTTTGCTGATTAGACTGGCGTTTCTTGCCTTAGTATCAATTGACATTATCCCATGATTTGACATGATTTGACATGATTAGAAACACTCTCCCCTCGCCTTTATGCTTGCAGTTGCAACATCAAAGAGCAATGTAGTCCTATTAGTAGCACAAGATCAAGATTGTACATCGTTGTGATAGTCGGCGAGGTGGAAGTCCCGACACTTTGCTGATATAATCTGATAATCTCCTTTCAGGCTAGCGTGGACCTTCTCATTCTGACCGCGCTTCAAGTTGAACGTTCAACTTCCACTTTATCATAGTTACATCTTTATCTTTATCCGACGCGGTGCCCTTGATCAGCTCTGGTTCACCATGCTTCTGTCAACCATCAGTATAGGGAGAAGACCCGACCTGACAGAGTGCTCTGCGGTAAGAGCTTACACTCTCTACTGCGTCTGCGCTTCGTCCCATGAACATGGGGACAAGGCAAACTATCCAGACAAACCATGAGTGACCAGTGCTTGTCCCCAGCTCTCTTTGTCGCACCTGGCCCGATATGGAGCTTATCTATCTCTTTTCCCCGGCGAAGACACGCCAGTGCTAATTGCTCGAATATCGCGATATATATACATTTGAGAATGTCCTGCCTTGGAGCAAATCCCTGGAGCAGCCTTATGCAAGAGCAGCTAAAGGTATAGAAAAGGTTGCCGGCTTGATCTATGCTGCCGCAATACTACCCCTGGGCTGCTGACTGCACATGATGTTTCGGGATGGGTAAGGAAGGTTCCTGTTCTTATACTTTACAATACTCTATCTGCCAAGAGCTTCCCACTCTAGCCTTACAAGGCTATATGCGACGAAGTGTATTAACACTATATTGTTCTCTACTCCAAGACGGACACTGTCGCGTGTCTATACATGTGCAGATATTAACCTTGGGGTCCTTGATGGGAGCATCCTGCGGCTGGTGCTTAATATGTCCCTTTCCTCTCCCGTGAAGACCTGCGTGTCTTCCAGCGATGTCATGGACGTCTCTTCCACCAAGGGTGAGTGCCTTTGGACTGAATTACACCACCACGGCGCGAGAGCACTTGGACAGGCAGCGATCCACTCTATCAAACTGCAAATAGCCACCACAATGGTCTGTTGCTGTGCGGCTGCGCTTTTTAGTCCTCTGTGAACAATACCACAACAGTGACATCAACCGCAATCACATTCGTCTCACACTTCTCCCTCTTCTCCCAGGCACCGATGATCCAGATTCACTTGATTCACTTGAACAGGTTCTATTCATCCATTCTTTCGGCCACTCTTCTTCCCGAGGGCTTGAAATACTCGTTCAATGAACCCAACCCACAACAGCGAGTCCATTCTCGAAGCGAATCAAGCAAGGCAAAGCAAGGATCTCTCTTCTCTTCTCCATCTCTTGCCTCTGCTTCTCCTTGATCTCCTACCTCTGCTTCTCCTCCATCTTCTCTGCAATCGAGCCAGACTCAGCCCCATAACTCCTTATCTCTTGACCACTCCATCGCAAGATGTCGCCAGACAAGTCGACTCAGACCGAGATCGCCATGACCTGCGCAACCTGCGACACCACCGACGGAGGACATCATGGTTCAGATCTATCCACCAAACCAGAGGACCGATCTCAGGACACCAAGGGTTTCGAGGCCACTACAACTAATCCTGCTACTGCGTCGGCTGCGCAAGACCAAGGAGTGACTGAACAGACTGCGCGAGTTGATTCTCCCACCCTTCCTGAATCTCCTACCCTTCCCTCCTTCGATCTCGACCTCCTTCGACCCCAGACAAATGAAGCCACAGATTCAGCGACATCAGAGACCAACACCAACACAGTCACTCCCTATCACTACGACAGTGACAGCGATGACATCAACGACACCAACACCCCAGTCCTGCTTCGAGACCCTCAAACCGTCACCCTCGCCATCACCATTCAAGTCCGCGCAAAGTCACACCAAACCATCACGCCGCAGGCATCAACCGAGTCATCGTCGTCGTCCTCCTTCACCTTCACCACCTCTGCGAGCAACTGTACCAGCCTAATGTCACTCCGCGATCTTCTCGTCGCAAAAAATTCACAGTCTCGATCCTTCCTGTCGCTCCACCTACTTAATGCCGCCGAAAACAACAGCTTGAACCTCGACCAACTCGTCCAAGACCTGGACCGAGCGACATTCAAGCTCGAAGAAGATGGCCACGTGGCCACCATGAACATGACACCCGCAAGGGTGGATCGGTCCCGTGCGTTCCCGGCCGCCGAGTACGAGGCGTGGTTCTGGCGCAACGTGCGCCGGGGCCACAAGGCCTCGTACGGTGTCCAGGTCAATGTTTTGCTTTAGAGCATGAGATTTGGGAACAGCGGGATCCGTGAGCCGAAAGAAAATGACATGAATTTGACCTAACTTGATTCCTCTGTGATCTCATTTGTTGTGTCTGTCTTGTGTCTTTCAGGTTTCCGCTTCTCTTGCTCTTGATTTGGGCACTACCTGTCGAAAGAACCGACCGTGATATACTATTCTGTGACCATCCCTTAATCAACGTACTGTATATCTCCGTTCTCATCCAGGTCGGTGAACCTCAATTCGTCACAGCGTACGCCCACGTTACTGAACCTGTCCCTTCTTATCCAGGTTAGGTGACCTGAGTCAACGTACTCTACATGTCCGTTCTCATCTAGGTCGGTAGCTAGGTGACCTGGAGTAGTAGCCACAGTGTACACCCGCATACCATTACTACTGTCCATATCCCTTATTATCCAGGTCGGTAGCTAGGCAACCTAAATCGTCACGGCGTACGCCAACGTGACAAAAAGAGTCTGGATATCATTTACATGCTGAGACTTCCGACGTGACAAATGAGCAGGATATTATTTACATAGCCTAAAATTCCAACGTAAAAAAAAGTAGGATACCTGGTATTAATGAATAGCCCACGGCCCGCAAGCATAGGTAAGTGCATGGGTCAAAAGTTCTTTCTTGGAGCGTACGCCCTTGCGATCGTGGTCATGATATGTTCGTCATATTTCCAGTCCCGACCCGCCTTTATGGAAAAGACGGACAAAAATATCCGAGGGACTCTACACTTAGTACCTTAGGTACCTACCTACATCTGCACGAACTTAGCACGAAACCAAATGGTGACATGCTCCACTGTACTGGGACAACAAAGAAACAGATCAGATAGTAATAAACCCCTTTTAACCCAAAGTGTTGCAACATCCCATTCCATTACTCCAAGAAAAAAAAGATCAAAAACTACTTTGCTTGATGGCAGACGAGGCTCAGGTCCATCCTGTTCAACATCGGCTACAGTCTCGCATCTTGTAGACTGTATTCCAACATTCTCAACCTCTGGGACACTTCTGTAACTTGCACAACTCAGGTGTACTGTTGTCCTTTTATCCCCATAAATCCAATCTGGGCAATTCGAGCAAATAACACAGCTTCCCTATACTCCAGGTTTGTATAGTATTGCGGAACGATTGAAGCACAGCAGCCACCTGAGAAATAGGCTTCATAACCCATTTTTGCTTCATCATTCTTCCCACAAATTCCGCCCTGTTCGAGTTTGATCGCCCTTGGTTCTTGGTGGAAGCCCTGTAGCATGTGGCGCCCATTCGCTTTCACTGCCGTGCGAAATCGTGAAATCAAGTCCTAAAAGGACAGGTATAGTAATACTGAGCGAAAACGAGGAAAGTCGACTGCGACGGGCAAATTCTGCCCACGGAAATAACATCCCCCTTCATACACTGCGGATTGTTGAACAGAAAAGAAGAACCCGGCGTGCCACCCGGGTTGGAGAAAAAGAGGGCTTTCGTACATCCCACCAATTCTATTCCGCACACTTCGGACGGGCCAACCCTTTTCGGCGGACATCGAATGCATGAGCAGCAACAGATTTTAGCCGACTCATGGCCAGGTCATTGGTTCATCATGTAGCACGATGTCGCATAAGGTGCCGAAGGTAAGGATGCCGGACTTCAACTTGGTTGCCATTCGAGCGGCTATAGACTAACGGTTCGCCAAAAAGCTCTCGGTCGCGGGCTGCTTGCTGGGCCTCTCGGGCAGCGCGTACACTGTTGTCCGGTTCAATGTAGTCGTTGGCACCCGGAGCAGGAGTTCTTGGGTACTGGCTGGCAGGAATTATGTCGGGCCGAGCTCCCAACTTTAGGGAGAACTCAGACTCGGTCGTATGTGAGCTATAGGACCTTTTTGATGCTGTTGGATCGGGCAGATCGTACTGTCGAGTAGTCTGGTTAAACAGGCTTGTGTTTAGGATGGGCGGAAGTGTTAAGCTAGCCAAAGAATCCTCATTGTCAGGGGTTATGGGCCGCATAGGAGAGGGTTGAGCACTCGTGGGAGTGAAAGGTTGGTAGGCTTTTGGAGGAGGCATCGATGGTTCTGCCGCAGCGGGTGGGTTGAGCATCTGACGCAGCGAGGAAGGATGGCTGTAGGTTGGAGGAGGAGGCATGGCATTGGTCGGTGGCAGGCTCGGTGGCAAGCTGGGCAAAGAATTGGTTGGTGGAAGACTCGGCAAGGAAGGGCTCGGCAGCGGAGCTATAGACGAGTGACGACTTGGAATAGCAGGGCGGTTATACAAGCTCTCGATCGAGGCCCTTCTCGCCAACTCGGCGTCGAATTGGCTGCCAAGGCTGTTTCGACTGGCGGACCGTGAATGCTGTGGGTGTTCCATAGAGCGGTATGCTGCCTGAGGGGTTCCATGATAGGAACTGTGGGCATCTTCCACCTCTGGTTCCTTCTGTGGCCGCTTCCTTTGGCGAATATCACGCCGGATGCGTACACGACAGCCTTGCTCCGCAACCAGCTTGCTCAGGTAGGTGCTGGTGTTGAGACCAGGAAACTTCTTCGCACTGTAGACTTGAAATGGGACCGACTGGACCTCTAACCGGTTTGCCATACTTTCGTGACGGACCGGAGGGGTCAATTTGTCCGCGGCAGGGGAATTGTGGACAAATGGCATTCCCTGGTCTGCGTCCATTTCGTGCTTGATGCCTTCGAACAGGGAAAACTTCAGTCGATACCAACCTTCATGTCGGACGGAGAGGTCAGGAAAGATGAAGTAGGCAGCTTTCTTTGGTCTATCGAGATAGGCCGCGCTCGCCACCGCGACGCCGGTCAATACGGGAATGACGGGCGGCGTATGCATCTTGCCGCCAGCAATCGGCCTGGCAACCTCGAGGCTGGCATACAGCATGAAAGTCGCATCATAGAGCATCGTGATGTCGGTGTCATTGCAGAATACGCGAAGTTCGACCACAGGAGGAGGGTCAACCGGTCTGCGGTCGGCGGATGCTGTGGGAATGTCAGTAAAGGCCTGGAGAGAGAGAGAGACGAGAAGTACTCACATCTTGGACCGGATCCGCAAGCTCTGGCTTTCTCGGGTTGCTGCACAACCTCGAGTTTGTATGTGATGCATCGTCCATCGATGGTCACCCTCGAGTGTTCACTCTTCGTTTCATTCGGTGGTTGAGCCATGGCGTAATGAAGGCCGCCAACTACGTACGTCCTAATAGGGACTTCGTCGATGTAGACAGTCGAGATGCCAGGAATAAAGAATTCGGGGATGAAAGCAGGCACAGGTGGTTGTGGCAGAAGTGGGCGTTGAGTGATCTCAGCCCCGACTATCTCCCTGAGAGCAGGAAGGCTCGCGTGATTGTCGGGGTCCGGTTGAACGGTAGATATGGAGGACTGAGACTCTGAGACACCCATATCGGCGGTTAGTGATTGACTAGAGTCGGGAAGCGCCTGTGCCATGGCGAAGAATGCAAAATAAAAATGGCAAAAGATGGAAACTGGAAAAAGGAAAATGAAGATATCAAAATAGAGGCGGGCGCGCCCGTAGATATCCCCAGAGAGGGGGACACGTGAGGTTGGTAGGGCAAGAGACATCAGTTTCATGGATATACAACCGGCCCTATATCTGACCATGGCAAGCCTCGAGTTCCTGGGTAACTGCGAGGGGCCTACCAAGGGCCAGCACGATCGCGATGGATCGCCGTTGAAGAAAACAAAGATCGCTTGTATGAGGAAGAACTAACCTGTGGTTTAAACTTTCACCTCTGTTATGGTCGTGCAACCCGAGGCGAAAAAAACACGCAGATACCGGTCCTGAACAAGCGGGTGGAAGCCAGCAAGATTGTCCCCGTCCGGAGGTTCGTTTTCTCAACCAAACGGTGCGATTGGCGCTTTGCGTCTGGTTCCAGGCGCGCAAGAAGAAGTGCTATAGGCCGGAAGAGGCGGGTAGTCCGTCGACTGGAACGGCCGTTCAAGTGTGTGATCCTCTGGTTCGCAGCCTTTTTGGGCGAAATCTTCGGTGCGCGTTGCACAATAACGGTGGCCGGAAGACACGACTATCCTTCGATCCTTTCCCAACAAATGTAGACCGAACCGGCTCGTCCAGAGGAAGCACACCGGGGGTTCTAAATATGGATGGTTATGAGGTCGCTGAGTGGGAGAAGCAGACAGTCGTTGGAGGAACCGAATTGCTGGAACACGTCTTCGGTGCCGGTAGAGCCAAAGCGCAGGAGGATCTGCGGGCGGAGATCTCAGGATGTCAGACCCGCTGTGAGCGAGAAACCGGACATGGAGCGACCGACAGAACAAGATCAATGCAAAAGCAGAGCGTTGATAGACACCTGAATCGTGGTGCCAAATGCCCTGATGTTGAGGGCAGTGAACAGTGAGAGGGATGAAGAGAAGACGATGGTGTGGCGGCGAGGAGGAGATGGAGGATTGAAACTGCGGACTGAGGCGACCGCCGGGTGAGAGAGCGAACAACTGGAGCGAGTGGGCAAAGAGCGGCGCAGTGGCCGAGTGGGCGAAGGGTCACTCACTGCAGCCAGCGAGCTTGAGGGGGGCAGCAATTGGGCCAGGGCATGCCAGTGGGCGCTGCCATGGTACGCTACTAGCACCACACAATCCCAGAAGCGAATCGAGTAGTGGGCAAGCCTACCGGGATAGGTGCTAGGTAGGTACCTAGCCAGGTGGTCCTGGGGATGCTTTAGTGGGCGAGTTATTGACCCACGGCGTGAGCACCTTGTACCAGGAAAGGGTGCGTTACAGACGGACCGTACTAACAGCAGCTGCTAAAGTGCTGGTGCACCTGGGTTGGCGGCAGCAAGCTGAAAAGCAGAGCCACTCACCCAAGCATGATTCGGTTAGGGAGCCCTGGAGCCCGGCTGGGGCTGGCCGCACTAGTATTAGTAGCTGCTGCTATTTGGCGCCACCGCGGGTTGCAAGCATTCAAGTTGGGCACAGCAGCCCGAGTGGGAACTGGTCTGCCTCAGCCTGCGCTCTCTTCCTGATCCCCGTCAGCCGTCAAACAATTAACAACCCAGCTCACCATTGGACTGCTACTTTCACTCCTGCTCGCCTCCCGAGTAATGTCCTCCCCTCCTCGCTCGCCTGCCGATAGTAGAACGCGAGTCAAGAAATACGCCAAAAAGAAACTAATTCAACACCAGAGGGAATGGCCGCAATAGGTCTACGAAGCGGTACGATCTGGCCTTCGCCGACCTGTGCAAGTCTTCCACCGTCGCAACCAGCTGCAGCCATGTCGCGGGGCCACGGCCGCAATCTACCGTCCTCACGGCCGTCAAGCCTTCGTATCCGTTCAGCCCTGGGTTGTGTCGAGGAATCTGCATACCAACGCCGTCCAATGGCGGTCGAAGTTGACGAGAGTACCGAGTTCCGACTTTGCAGGACATCTCGCCTGTCAGGTTGGTGGCGTGGAGACTTGCGAACTGGCCTGTGCTTGAGCGCCCCTTGACAGCCTTCAACACGCTCCTTGGGTCTGCCGACTTGGCTTTTAGCAGTCTAGTCTGGCCACCGGCATGGCTCCATAGAACCACCCTCGCATCCGCTCCTCGCTCTGCCGGGGTGCCAGTAGTGCTGCCAACCTTGGGGCACGCTCACTCGTTTACTTTTAATCCACGGGGCACTTTGTGCACCCCTCAGGAAAGAAGTCGTCGAAATTCTTGTCAACGGATCCACTCTGACTTGAATGTCACTCCAGGCTTCCTGGCCATCCTCCGCGTCCTGTGGTGTCTGCTCTTGGGCTAAACCTAGAAAAGATCCACGGGAATCGACGAACAACTTCTGTCAACCCACTAACGCCGCACTGCTGCTCCGATAAGACAGCCGCTTGAAAGCTAAAAATGACTAAGAGTGGTTAGGAGTGCGGGCCAGCCGCGTCAGGATGCGAAGTCTCTGGGGATCTAACGTGACGGACAACAAGAGGACACCAGCTGGGTGACCAGGAGACACTACCTAGGTATGCTATCCTGTATGTGTTGCGCCAGAGCGGAGAAAGAGGGACACGATAAAAGTCCGACGCCGACTTTGACGGATGGCCGGGTTGACGCACGAGCTATGTTTCTCTGGAGTACCAGAGGGGCTCAACTGCGACTCCCTTCCGTATACAGGGACCGCACAGGCGTGAGGGCTCACCTGACCCGTCCGTCCTTGTATTTCCATGTGCCAACACCAGCTACACCAGAGCAGAGGAAGCTTTGGATTGTCTGTCGAGCCGAGAAGCCAGTCTGAACAAGTGTCTATCTTGTTATGTGCCATGGTCGACATTCAAGCCACAAACTTCAGTCTTCTGTTACACCATATGCAACCATAGTCTGATGAGGGTCTTGACGTGGAAACATATGACTGTCACAGCTCCAGCAAAATTACAGCTTCGACCGCTTGTACGTCTCAGTAATAATGCAGTGGCCATGCTGCAAAGGCCATGGTGCACCATTCCAGGGAGAGAAATCTAGTTCATGGGAAAATGTGTCCGTGCACAAAATTTCAAGACCTCAGCGCTGAGAACCTGCCGTCCCAGCAGGAACCAAACGTGGTTGACGGCAAAATCCAAGGACATGGCCATGGGAAGTTTGACATGATGATGTGATTGCAGGGAGGCCAAATTACCATCCCGGGGCAGCATTGACAGGTCCCGGTAGACAAGTCTGAGGTACCAACAGGGCGCACGATCGCAAACTGCACAGTGCACGGAAAGACACAAAACCTCTACAATTAGAGTGCCCAGGTCCTCTGCCCTGGAGAGCGTCCGAGCTTCCCCTGCGGGCTCTCCCTCCCATCCTGCTCTATCATGAACGAAAAAGGCTCAACAGTGCTCTGCCACTGAGACCGAGGGGAAGCGACAGTCTTCCTACGGCCAGCAGATATACATTATTTCGAGCCTCGCCATGCTGGGGCCCCAGAAAATCCTAAAGATTGCAAAAACCCGTCTTTCGCTAGATAACGAAGGCGCTGCATTGGGAGGTTATAGGCGCCTTTCATCATGCCCACAACTGGAACGCTTATCCGGGTTTCGACGCCCTACGCTGTACTACTACTAGGTCATGACGCCTTCCCTCGCCCAGTACCTCACTGATGAGTAGCCGGTACCTGAACCTTACTAGGCGGTTTCGCGCATCTGGATCAGGCCAGAAACGAGATGGTTCTAGTCGTCGAGCATTATTGCAGAAGTGCGGCTGGATCCATTCAACCCTGTCGCCATCCGAGCCTACCATTAGGCGTGGTTCCACCCAAGTCCGCTACTAGCACCAGCCAGATCAGCCGGAGTCTGGAGCAGTGGAGCCGTACTTTCAACTGTCTCGCTTACAGGGTGGTGGCAAAAGGAGGTCAAGTTGTACAACGTACGCCAGAGCGTCTCGAACAACGCACGCATCGTACGGCTTCTGCAAAATCGACGCGTTCTGTGTGGAGCGGCACTGTCCATGTCTGCGGAATGATCTAATATCCGTGGCCTGATCAGATCTATCAGAGGGACTACGAGTCGATCAACGCTAACGCTGAACTTTTCACACCCGCGCAGCTACACCTAGATCATCCTCTAAAATTCTGGATGTTGACCCTTTTTCTTGTCTGGGCTGGACGAAAGGCAATCACTGTCGACGATGGGTGCTGCGCGCTGCTGCTGCCAGGTTTAGCTCTGCCTATCATTTGCGGCTGTCACCCTGGCCATAGATTCCGTGTCTGCGTAGCGGCACGCGCTTTATTATTTTGTTGGGTTTTCTCATATGGCTCCTTGATTCGACGTTCGTCAAGTTGCACAAGCCAGAGCTGAACATTCGGTGGGTCGATGGCTGTTGCCCAAATTTCCGGGTGTCACCAGTCACAGTCTCGAAGGTGAGTCGTACTGCGCGAACACGCTTCTGGAAGCATTGTGCAACTTTCGAAGGGGCGGTGAATGGGAGCGGTTACTGAGCAACGACGTTCCGTTGTGTCTAACTATTGCCCTGCCTACGATTGCACACTCTCCCCGTGCCAATAAACTTGAGGACAGTCTTCTCGAACCTGAATCGCAGCTTTATCGACATCCAGGCCCAGTCCAGAAAACTCGAAGAAGGTTCAGATTCTTCAAACCACCATCCCTGATGCCGTTGGAAACATATCGCCTGGCAGCTGCAGCGTGTTATTGACGCCCGCTGCCACGTGTCTCAAGGCGTGGCCTCATGCAGCGTCAATCGGCCTGTTTTGATAAAGTCTAGCCAGCTTTTTGGCGCAAGCGCCTGAGTGACGACTGCATGTGTCAGACTTGGTTCTGATAGTCGGAGGTTTCACCACCCGGGGTCGCTTCTCGTTGCTTCCTTACAGCCGTAAGCCGTCAATTCGACGACGGGCCGGCCACTTGTCAGGCAATCCGCAAGGCTTTTCTCATGATTGTGCAGCTCAGGAGCCGCTAAACATCTTTTGCGTCCCTGGGAGCTTTGCTTCAAGTGGTAGAGAAATACCCACTGTCCCGCCGATAGGTTGCAACCATGCTTGAGGCAACGATAGCGTCTCTCGGCGACTGATGTTGGGCTATTCTTTCGGCCACTTGTAAGTGTTCCACAGGAGATCAGGTACGACTCGATTCTTGTCTCGACTAGACATGGCGAGAGTTCAACGTTGCTTCGCGAAGCTCTTGCATTTCCTTGCGGCATTGACGGCTTTTCGAGTTGAGTAGTCCTTTCGGGGATGTCACAGATTCCCGATTGCAGCTCGAGAGCCGGTTGGTTCCCAAGCTTCAACCATACTGCCCTTTCAATCTCGCTTCGTCTCGATGTGAGGCGGAGCGTTTCCTAACACTTGATTCCCAGGCCCATTCTTCCCAGCTTTATCGGAACGTTCAGGTCTATTTGCGCACCTTGTATATGTTATCCTGAGCACCGCAGATTGTTTCTGTCAGTAGCTGAGGATAGTATATGCATTCACCTTCACAGTGTCTATGCCAACCAGCGCAGCCACCAATGTGTTGCACATTGCAAGAATGAGGGGGTTCGACCGACGCCTTGGCCTAAGAGATGTAGTCTGCGCGCGCATGAGGTCATGGCAGGACCATATTATGCCTGTTGGTAAAGGAGGTATGAGAAATCAACTCATGTCACTATGGCGCGTTACGTATGGAAGAGCAAAAGCCGAGCAGAGTTGTACGAGTTGACGAGATAGGAATTTTGCGAAGGAGTTCGCTGAGCCAGTTGCCCTTCGTCTGAAGGGAGTTCATGGAGAGCTATGACTATGGGGCGCATGTCCTTATCCTTCACCTTTGGATTTCTTTTCTTTCTGATGCCCCGTTGCATCCTACAAACTCTCAAGAGTTTTCCGCCTGCTCAAACGCATCTCCCGCCGTCAACCTCCAGATTGACCCCAGTAACAAACTCTGCCTCATCACTTGCCAAATAGCAGCAGGCGTTGGCGATATCTTTTGGGGTACTGCCTCGTCCCATCGGAATAGTGGAGACGAAAGCTTTCCGATTCTCCTCTGTATCTGGCTTACCCAGGAACAGATGGGTCCTGCATGGGCGTTGGTCAGCGAAGGGTTTCACGTCACAACCGTCCGGTGCAACTCACATTCCAGTACTACCAACTACCGGACACACGGCATTGAAGCGAATTTTCTTGGGGGCATATTCCACGGCCATTGTCTTTGTAGCATTGCTCACGGCTGCTTTGGAAGCATTGTACCACGTCAATCCGGGTCGTGGCCGGATTCCTGCGGTGGAGGAAATCTGGATGAAACAACCTGGGCGGTTATTCTTCAGGAAGTAGGGCAACAGCACACTACTGGACAGGTAGACGCTTCCCACGTTCACACGGAGACACAGGTCGAGCTCGTCGTCTGTGACTGTCTCGGTAGGCTTGTTGGAGTAACATGCGCCGGCGTTGTTGACCACAATGTCCACTCCCCCGAATTGGTCAATGGCTTTCTGCAGCACGGCTTCCCAGTTCGAGCGGCTGGTCACGTCTGCCTTCTGGAATTCACAGCCCAAAGACTGCGCAACCTTGGTCCCGTTTTCCTGAGCAAGATCGGTGATGATGACTTTGGCGCCTTCCTCGGTGAACTTTTTGGCAATGCCAGCGCCGAAGCCGCTGCCACCTCCGGTGACAATGGCGACTTTGCCCTCGAGACGACCCACCATATTTACGATGGGGATCTTGCTGACTTGGCTTTGTTGATACTGATTTCTGGAAAGGGTTGGTCAGATTTCCGGGCTATCCTGACAACGGTTCAATGCCTGTTCCTTTGGCTTGTGTTAGAAGGAGTTTCAAGAGGAGTTCGTGTCTTTGGAAGGAGTTCATGATTTCCAGAATTGAAGAACGAGGACACTCCTTCCTGCGGAGACCGAGGATACCGCAACCGAGGGAATCAGAGTGGATGTCAACCTGAACGGCTGACTCCGCGTCTGCCGCAGCCTCGTCCGATTCGGAGGCTGCAGGGCCAAATCATGCCAGTGGAGGAATGATGCGGGGTGATTGGCATGTCGGTGTATTGTTTTTCCGCGAGAAGCACCCTCCCCCACGAGAAAAAGCTCCGTGTACCGCCGTGATAAACTGGGCAGCAGAAGCATTGCGAAAATTGTTTTGCTGCTCATCTCCCTCGAAAAGGCACGACGCATAGGTATGACGGCAACATATGGCCACGAGATGATCCACATTGTACAGGTCTTCCCCTTCCCCTTCCCTGAACGCGCAGATGGTGCCAAATTTGAAGGTGGTAAGTAGCCGCACGTGTCCCGCTGTGCCAACACTTGTGACATCAGACCCCGACGCGGACAACGAACAATCCCTCGTCGTGGCGAGGTTCAAGTTGTAATATCCCAAGTCCATACCACCGTAGTACGTTGAAGTACTGTGAGAAAGGGTGATTTTTAACTTAGGTCTCATCTTCGTTGACGTCGTCCTGCCATCCTGCGTGGTGAACACATCGGTTGAACGGCCGGCTCAAGTATCGCCAGAAACATCACATCACCATCATGAGTACCAGTAGCACGACTGCTCCGACCATTTCCAACCTGGCATCATGGGCCTTGAAATTCAGTCCGACGGCCTGGCTCAAGTCATGGCTGTTGTACCTAGGCATCCAGACCCATGTGCGGGGGACCATCGAGCCGGAAATGAAGCCCCTGCACAACGTCTGCGAGTATCTCCATGCTCTGCACATCTACACCGACGAAGCACGGCGAGGAGAGGTCCGGACCGTGTCTGCGCACCATTTTTGCTCGCATGTTCGTAAAGGTTGGTAAAATTACTTGATCTTGTCCCCTGTTTGGCAGAAGACTAATTTGTTTCAGACCTTCGCCAGTGCTTGATCTACGACTCCTGTAAGCCCGACGCCCGGCTGATCGGGGTCGAATTCATGATCCCCAAATCCCGCTACGAGCAGCTCGACCCGGAGGAACAAAAGCTGTGGCACTCGCACGAGTTTGAAGTCAAATCGGGCATGCTGGTGCTTCCATACCCGGAGTCCCATGCCCGTCGCAAGGACGCTTGGGACGAGCTGGAAACCAGGGCAATGGAAGAGGTGGTCGGGCTGTATGGCAAACTATATCATTTCTGGGAGGTTGACAAGGGCCACGATTTGCCTTTGGGCCAACCGAAATTGATGGGCTCCTTGACGGAATGGGAGCAGTTGGACGTCGACAAGGCCATGGAGGAAAGGAATAAAGAGCAGGGCATCGATCAGAACAAAAAGCGGGAGATAAGGGATCACATTCCACGGCCGGGCATTCCTCCCAATGCAGACAGCTGGTGGAAGGAGGCTAAGGAGAAGAAGTTGGGTATCTATGCTGAGTAGATGGGCAATATTATGATGGAGGGAGCGTTTTGTCGACTGCAGTGTTCACGATTAAGGACCTTGTCTGTGGTATGGAGCAAGCAGCTCACGGTTGGCAAACATAGTAATAATCCCTATTCGCGTTTGTTGTATCTGGCTACGGCTCTGCATCTGAGAAGAGGCGTCGGCGCGAGGTTCAAATGACGTCGATGGATATTTTATTATTATAGTTCAAGTTGTAAATAATGCCTAATAGTGATGAGGACAGTCAACGTTCCACTCCGAAATTCAACCGTCTTGATCCCTTTTGCCCCTCGAGCCTAAAACTACGGTTGTGTTGGATGACCATAACCTCACGATTTGCAGTGACGCTCTCTGCAGGCCAGAGACACAATTTGACATATTGTTATCGGACAGAAACCGCAGACCTTGAAGGGCTCAACTTGAAGCAATCTTACGACGCCTCAGAGCCCAACCAGCCCGGACACCCATTTCAACCGCTCCGTCGTATCCTATCCCCCGCCAACAGGATCATACTGCCACCATGTTCAAAAAGAAGCCTCAAATCAAAAACCTCTCACCGCTTCGGTCCTCGGACCGCCGCAAGCTAGCAGACCAGATCATTGCCGACTACAAGGTCCACGTGCCAACCCTTGAGGAAATCGACCCAACATGGACCGCCGCCGAACTCCAAGCATCACAGGCCACGCAAAACCCTACTCCCGCCCTCTCGTCGACGCGAGCCAGCCTCGTCCCCGAGACATGTCTCTCAGCCCGCTTCACCACCCACGCCGGGCCCAACGCGACGCTGGTGTCCGGCACAGTGTACGTGGGCGCGCACCCAGGTCAAGAAGAGAGAGTATTATGGATCCAGTACGGCAAAGATTCACGCCTCTACCCGACGGTCTACACTCTGTGGCGCAATCCCGGTTTAGTCCCACTCCTTCACACTCCGGATTTTGTGGTGGACAAACTGCGCACAGGGGCGGATCTGATGACACCAGGACTGATTGGTGGTCCGCCGTGGCCTGAAGCCGCAAAACAGGGGGCCGTCGTCACTGTTGCTGGATTGGAAAGACCTAGCGTTCCTGTCTGGGTGGGTGTTTGCAAAATCGATGTTTCTAGTCTGGGTCGCGTACAGGGAGCAAAAGGTGCGGCGGTCGAGGGCGTGCATTGGGAGGGAGATGAGATTTGGAATTGGAGTCAAACTGGGAGCGGAGGTCGACATGCACCTGAGAGGATAGAGGGATGGGAGTTGGAAATGGCCAACACGAGCCTGGGAGACCGAGTCAAGCAATTGGACCTGGATGACGATGACGAAGACGACGATGACGGACAAGAAGAGGAGGGCGGCGTCGCTTTGGAAAAGCCGTCTCCCGCACCGGAGTCCGATAAACAAGTTGACCACGACATTGAGCACGACGACGGCCAAGACCAAAACACCCTCGAACCAGAAGCCGACAAAGAACCGACCACGCCCGAAGTCGACGACGCCTTTGTCCAAGCCTTCCTCTACGCCGTCTACAACGCCAAAAAGAACGGTGAACCACCTCACTACGGCCTAGACTTCCCCATCCAGCCATCATTCTTGATATCAAACATGGTCCAACCTCACCTCCGCGTCCAGAACCCGCACTACACGATGAAAAAGACATCGTGGAAAACGACCAAGAAATTCATCAAGTTTCTCGACAAATCGGTGCTTGTCAAATCCAAAGACCGCAACGGCGGCGAGACCGTCATTCTCGACATTGACTTTGAAGATGACAAAATCCGCAATTTCACTCCGTACAGACTTCCGAAACCAAAACCCCCAACCAACGAAACTAACAACCAAACCGAAAACAACAACAGCAACAACTCCTCCAGCGATCCCTCACTAAGCCAAAAACTCACTCTCCAAACCGTCTATCGCGCATCCCCGAAACTTGTGCCCGACCTAATCCCGTCCAAAACGACATTCTACACCTCATCACAAATTTCGTCATTCCTCAAGAAATACATCGAGAACAATCCCGACTTAACAAAAAACACCTCGTCATCACGATACGTCAAACTCGATCCTTTTCTCGCCAATAATGTACTCTCCGACACTTCCAGTCCCGACACTCGTCGCGCGTTAGCATCCGGCGAAATCGCCCGTGACGTCCTCCTCAAGAAACTAATGGACGTCGAGAACAACAACAATGCGCATCTCCTTGTCCCGCACTGGATCCTGTTACGCAACGACCAGACCTATGATCCAGAAAACCCAAGTCAAGATCCAGCACTCAAACCTCGCGCAGGCCCGCCGCCGCATGTAAATTTGGTCGTTGAGAAGCGGTCGGGAACGAAAGTCGCCACGCGCGTCTCGGGCTTGGAAGTGTTTGGAATTAACCCGCATTTGCTGGGTCCGGAGTTGCAGCGGAAATGTGCTGGCAGCGCAAGCGTAGGCCAGCTGGTAGGTGGGAAACCGGGCATGTTGGAGATTCTTGTGCAGGGCGATCAGAGGGATGTATTAGAAAAAGAACTGACCAAAAGAGGTGTGGATAGGAGGTGGATTGTTGTTGATGATAAGACCAAGAAGAAGGGGAAGAAGTAGGAGTGCCGAACATGGTGCGACGTTTGGTGGATGGGTGCAGATACTGTAGCCGTCCGAGACCAGTTTACTTAGCGAAGCCCTGTTATGAAAAGCAAAGCAAAGCAAAGCAATGTAAGGTGATCACACATACTGCAGCAGGCTTCCTCCCTACCTTACTTTCCATGATATCGTTGTGCCCAGTCGAAGTCGAGAACAAATGCCAGTCAGTGTGTGTGGAAGAGCTTCTGTGGTAGGTACCCGACGAAGACCATGCGCTGCTCACCGAGGTTGAAAAGCTGGGCGACCGCGACACCGATAACTGATACTACCTGACGAGAAAGCCGTCGGCGAGGTCGTGGTAGCGTCCTGGCTGCTGACAAACAGTAGTTGAACTTTGATGATATCTCGTTGACGAGATTCATTGGTGATACTATTTCCCATGTGAAATATACATCACCTACGAACGGCAGGGGTGCAAAAAGGGCAACTTGTGTGTGCTGCACAAAAAGTGCCAGTATGAGCGTAGGGACATACTACCGAATTGGCCGTGCTCCATAGGATGAGGTCTCTGTGGTGAGCTGGACTACCTTAGTACACAGGCCTGTAGTCAAGACTGAGCAAAGACGTGGCGGGGGAGGGATACAAAAGTAAAGAAGGACTCGGACCCTGCACTGTACCACCTGGAAAGATAAGGAACGCTTCAAGTTCCCTGCCACTAGCGGTCGCCGGTCTAGAACAGCATGACCACCTGCACAGCAACGACTGCAGTGTAACGTATGAACCTGGATGAGAACAGACGATAAAATAGTAAATAATATAATATTCATAGCATGCTGACACGAATTATCTTTTGGGTATGGTTATGGCGAGGACACAATCCAAGGGACACCGACCACGAGGATGTTGACATCCCCGGATGTTCCAATTCTGCTGTAGTCGCACAATAGTGTTGTAACATTGTCCATGAACAAGAAGTATATCGCACGGAATAAAGCCCATTCGTGGGTTGTGGGCGGTCCAAAAGCAAAAGTACAAATATCCACCATGCAATTCCTTGACCCTAATCAGATTCTTTACAAAGCAACATCATACTTGTAACAGAACGGGCCAGCCGAGGTACTGATCATATCCCTGATGGGATACCTCGCAGGGTCGAAATAACCCCAGCCAGGCTGTGGAGTGTCAAGAGTGACATTGGGACTCGGTGGAGCATTGTTGGCTGTCTCGGTACCATATACCGCATCAGCGAGATCGGGATGTCTGATCTGCCACGAGGTATAAAGATTGTCCAACATGGCATGGAGCGGCCACCAAATAGGATCCTGGACAGAAACGAAAATGCTCGAGGCTGGTGCGCCCACAATGAAATGGGCGCCAGAATGCAGACCCAATTCTGCGCCGCCGATGACGCCGTTGATGAGATGGTCGAAAGTCAATAAATCGTCGGTCTCCAATGCCTCGTACAGCGCCGTGTAGTTGCAATAGCGTTGGGCTGCGTAAGTGTTGAGATCACGCGTCAGACAGGTTTGATTAAGTTGGAATGTAGTGTTTGGCAAAGGAAGGCCTGCGATCAGATTGTCGATACTGATCTCGGCCATTGTGGTCTGTAGGCCCGCGAAAGGACCACTGGTGACACATCCGCCTCCTGATCCGTGAGGCAGCTGCAGAAACGGAGACAAGACCACCGGTCCATTATCGATGTATTCTCCATCGCCCGACATGGAGTATTCGGAGCCGTCAAAGACCGCGCTGCCATGCAAATTATCTGCGGTGGCAGGCCAGTTCCAATAAGGAATGAGCCCTGTATATCCACATTGCGCGGCCAGGTCCTGCTCAAACAGATGCAGGTAGTACCTGTGCCACGTCAAGAAAAACCCCGACAGGTGCACTTGTTGGGTAAGATTGACATGGGTCACCGCATAGTCCATATATCGATTCGTGGCCGCGGGATACAGGGTCTGGTCCAGTTGTGACGGTTTGGTCATCATGCATTTGATCGCGTCGGTGAAAGCCTTTCGTTCTTCAGGGGCCAACGAGTCGAAGTCCCTGCGGATGAGCTTCTTATCTTCAGTACAGGGCCCGTATTTGCCGCCCCATTTGCCAAAGGCCGGTGGTCCCCACGGCTCAGGAGCAGCTGCAGGAGCAGGAGCTGCGTCAATTAGGGACGATAGAGATGCTGATAGCGCAAGCGCAATCAGTGATAAGAAAGAGTTGATCATGATGGTGAATACCAGTGGTGGTTCCGGACAATGCCGTGGTCCTTGTCGATGTACTTGAAAGAGAGTATATGCGGACTGGGAGGGGTTAGAAAAGAAATATTAGACCACAAGGGGTCAACAAGATCAAGAGCGAAAGAGAAGTCGGATTCTTCACTCTCGGCTTTATACAAGACTGGGAGAAGGAGTCGCAATTGCCAGTTGCTGTTATCGGCAGACAAGTAAACGAGTGACCTGTCGATCTAGTATAAAAGTACCAGTGGAACTAGCGTCTGGCGGTGGAAGGAGCTCCGTGACCACTTTATACAAGTCTTGTTTACAAGCGCTGGCAGCTTGGTGGCTGGAATTGAGACTGGCTTTGTCCGACATGTTGACAAGTATTTTAGAATGCTGATCTTAGCCACAAACCTTGAACCTTTACCGCAGTACATCGTCCGGGGGAAGTACTGTAGGTGAGAGGCAACCCATGTGCGGGCCCAATGCAGACGGGATGCAATGAAGACGTCGAGTATCAGTGATGACGAATGGATCCGTGGTGTTGAGAATGGAGGACAGAGAACCGGCCTATGGACGATAAGTCGTTTTGCTATTTTGGTAACACCAAGCAAGGATGGGAGGGTTTTAGTGCATCTCATCGACCAGGATCTAGGATGACATCTCCAACCCACAGCCTGCTGCAGTAGTGGTGCCAACCTCTTCAAGTTCAGGGCATTGAGGCCACCCACGCCACAGTCTATTCCTTTCTCACATAGCCTCACCCTTTTTGCTTTTCTGCTGCCGGAAATGGGCTCATGCCGCGAGCATGCTACCTTGTTCGATTCTTCGTGTCTGCATCGTGCAAGGTGTGCAAAAGGTCGAGGCGTTGGGCTGGCCAGGATATCCTCTTGCTTGCAGACTCTGCCAAGGAGACCCAGTCTACTGATGACGGAGTGCGGGAGGGTGTCCGGCGTGGTACCTGTGGGGAATGGGATCGACGGGTTCAGGGCAAAAAGCATATGAAAACGGTTCAATGAGCTTCGTGTTGGAGGTTGAGGTTGAGATCCGTGGCGGAGGCTTGGACGATGCTGATGCTGAGGCTGCACTTTAGCTGTAGAGCCCGACCGCTTAACCTTCTTAGCGAGCCATTAGCATTAACTTTGCCGGCTGCAAGAGGCTTAGGCCTAATCGGGTCTTCTGTGTTCCGGCACCAGCAGAGTGGCGCAGCTTGATTCGTCCAGGGGGCCGGAGAACGCAATCTAAAATGCACTAATGACATAGCTCGAATTTTCAATGGCTATTTTACTCCGGACACGATCGCAGTCTCCAGTGGAGTGCAGTGTTGCAGTGGCTATTTCAGCCTCACCATCACTGCATCCCCCAGGACTTTCATGTTCGACCCAACTAGGACATTGCCTTATGGCGATGAGATTGGTCATGCTCGTGGTTCCGGGAACTCAGACCATGGTATCACAACTCTAGTGCCCGCAGTAGCATTGCATTTTCTCCGAATGTGCATGTTATGCTCGTCACAAATGCGAGGGCTCGAATTGATGGCCTGGTTGCTTAACGTGGCCACACCATGGCATCCCATGACACCCCCAGACTTGATTCATCGGCGAATCAGAGCAGGCCGGGTCACCTTTCGATTTAAGTCAGGCCGTCATACAGTCACTCTCCAGCAGCTTCGTGGTAGACTCCAAGTTGTCGAGGTCTCTGTGCGTAAGCACGAGTGACCTTTCGTATTTGTGTGGAGATTCCACAATTAATGCTGTTCGAGTTTGCGACATGGGCTGCCTGCACAGCACATATGTACCTAGATAAGAATTATTCCACATTCAGGTAATGCCAGCCGTCGGAGCTTCGTGACGCGGAGGGCCGCATCCATGCCGCTCGAGGTATTTGGCCCCAAGGGCAGCGAGATCGTCAGGAAGCATGGATAACCTTTCGGGTCATCCATGTGCTCGGACCGTACTCCTTACTTCCCTCCAACCTCCCTTGAAGCCACGGATGTTTTGAGCGGATACATAGTCCTTTGTCCCTGGCCACGTTTCCAACTCCCCTATTTTGTTTTGCTGTGGCAGGCTTCTCCCTGGTAACCCATCCGATGTGGCACTTTGGCATCGGACAATCAATCTCAAAACATGCATGTATGTCTGCCAGGGACAGATCGGAAAACATAAATGCCCCTGTCTTTGCTCTCGAAGACCACGGAAATGCACCTCGCAGTACTAGGACCGTAACGACGCTGCCGAGACAACCCAATATATCGGTAAGTCGGCTCCTCCGATACTTCAAACAAATTCCAGTCCACGCCACAAGATCACCCTTCACCCTGGTGCCTTGATCGGAACTCTGTATGCCCTTGTCCAGACCACATCGCCTGTCGCCGGGTCCAGAACAGCCGCAAAATGGGTGTATTCATTGCTTGTGGGCCATGCGGACAGCCATTCAATCAGCTTTCCTTGTGTGATCGCCACATCCGTGCGACCGGCATCGGTCTTTTTCCTTTTTGCCTGGCCTTGATCTTTCTGTACATGAGCTTCCCATTTTGAGGAGATACAGGCGAGCCTGTCTCGACTCTCGTCGATAAGCTCGTGCAACCCAGCAGCAACTCCCTTGGAGTGGTCTACCATCTCATCTGCTGCCGGAGTTATGGAGGTTGACCCTCCGTTGTGATTCTCCACGTCATGGTTGGTAATGGCAATGAAGGTGTCGGATCGACGGACCTTCGCAGTCTTGTAGTCCTTCTCAATCACGATTGTTGAGACCCCGTCACTGAAGGTCAAATACGCGGCTGTTGTTCGCCGGGAGTCAACGTCTTCCGAAATTTCGGCAAGTGTTCTAGGCTGGTCACGGCCTTCACTCTCTGAGATCATGTAGCTTCTCAGTAAGCTTGAGATTGATTGACGATAGCCTAGCAGAACCAGAAGGTGGTGGAAGTAGAATTCGAAATGCCCTCTCTTGGTGCTGGCATTGTGGACAGCACGGAAATTGAGAGACAAACTCAGGCCCTGGCGGACACCAGTCAGGAACCCGACGAATCCCACATAGGTGATACTTCGAGCAAGGACCTCGGAAGGGTTCGCTGATTCACTTCGAACAAACTCAAGCTGAACAATCACAGATCGAAGAGGATCCATTGTCCAGTCCAAGGTACGGAAATGTAACATTTTAGCCTTGCTCGGTGGCTGTCCCTTTTCGAGACATCGAACAGCACCGGATGTGCACCCCATAAGAAGATCCAAGATGACATTGAAAGAAACCAGCAGATACATTGGCACTCCGGTTACCTCTGCAATTCCCCGCAGCTCTGCATTTTCGATGGGTGAATGAACGCCTCGGAGGAGAAGTCGTGCAGCACGATTGACCAGACCATGGTAATGGCTTGCCAGGCCAAGGTCTCTGAGCAAGTCGTTGAACAGACCAGTCAAGCCCTGAAGTTGACTCTTGTACGCCTCGGCCAAGGCTTTGTAGCGGTCTTCAGGCGGCAGAGAGAGATCGATGGTGAACTTGGGAGCGGTGTATGCTAGCCTAGTATCAGACGCGCCGGCCATGCTTGTTAGACGCAGTTATAATTCCTCCTGTGAAACGAAGGCGTCAAACATCAAAACATTTGCCAATGGGGTGAGTGTATACCAGGTTCTGCGGCACGAGCCTAAGTCAACACCCAACTATTCTGTCCGCGAGCAGGGCTGCCGGCAACGGCTTTTCTGGCCATTCAAGAACGACAAAGCGCAGAAAGCGTAGAATCAAATGTTTATTCTCCCCGACCGCCTCCTCTACGTCTGGTCAGGCTCAAGTACAAGTATGGGGGAGGGAGGCCTGCAGTGTGGTGTTGATCGAGGTTGTACAATCGACGTCGTCGTCGACAAGATGCGGGTCGCCGAAATCGGAAGATCTGCAGCGTCCACTTTGCCTGCCGAGCAATCTTATTAGAGTCCTGAACCTTTACCAATAATTGCTTCATTTCTTGTCTTCTTGTTCTGTTGTTCTCACCGCTCAACGCTGTGCTGAACGCTCGTGGCAACTTGAGAGCCGAAGCCCCCGCACGGGTACTTTTCTGTAGACTTCACGTTGGTAGGGTTCTGGTTGATGGCTTCAGAGTCGCAGCCTGGGTCTTGCAAGTACAGCCGGTGCTGGTCAAATCATGGCGAGATGGAAAGATGGAGTTACAGCACGTCTTGGAAGATGCTGGTACGGTAGGTGGAAGAGGATCGGTTGAGCCGTGAATGGTGCAGGGTGGATTCGGAGGGTGAGGCTGTTCAGGTTGGGAAGCCTTGGAGTAGGCACACCGAGTACCGTCTGCGATGGAAGAAGGAGATGATCCAGTCCATCATGATGTTAACAGAAGAAGGAAAGGTGAATGAATGAACTTGCTTTCACTTGCGGCTTCGCTGGCTGGTCCTCGAGAAATCCTCCTGCGCGCAGTCTCTTCCTTTCGATCAGCTGCCTGCGCTCTGTCCTGCGCCTTTACCACAGTTGCACACCTCAACTTCGCTTTCCCTACCTTCTACTGACCCTTGCATTTGTATTCCCGGCCTCATAACGTGCTCTCACTATCATCATGTGTTTCTCCTGCGGTAGATGGCCGTGGGGCCAGCCTGTCCAGCTCGCCGCCGAGCCCGTCAAGCAAGAGTTCATCTTCCTCGAGGATAATGTCGCTTTCTATCCAGACAACCGCACAGTACGTCTCTTCACCTTCACTTATCAGTGAAGGCCCCCTTTCCAATCCTCCCTGCCTCGCGACCTTTCCACTAGACTCCAGCTCAGAGACCGAACCTTGTCTACCCGCTTATCCTCCCGACCACTTTCAATATTCTTGCTTCGCTCTCCGTACACTTCCACACCCGCCTCTCCTTGCTATTGCTTTATGCCTAGGGACATAAACCATGCCCAACTTCTACACCTACCAAAATCCCAATCCTTCGGCTCTCAACGAGGGCAATCAAGGGCATTGGGAAGACCCAGCTGACTGGCCTCGCACGTTTCTCTACGTCTCTGCTCACGAAGGCGCACAGGGCATCCACCCTCCAGCACCGGTCTATCAATCGAACCAACCTGCTCAGCAAAACATGTACTACTTTGCTGTAAGTGAAGCCGGACGTTTTATTCCAGCCTCACTCACTGTTTACCTAGGGTAGCTCGAGCGCGCCGGCTGGCTACTATGCCAACGGGATCTACTATGGAACAACACCTCCGGCTGCAGCACCTGGTTGGCCTTACACCTCTCCTTCTTCTTACACTTGTTACCCCTTGCCCTCTTCTAGCCCTGCTTCTTTGCCGCCTTACAACTTCAACTCCATGTACAGCTACTCACCATACTGTACAGCACCACAAGCAATGCCGATGCCGATTCCAATGCCTGCCCCGTCCCCATGGGCCCAACCTCCAGGACCAGCACAGGCCGCCGCAGCTGTCGCCGCCAACGCCGTCCTCGCACAGATGCCCAACGCCCCGGCATACTTTGTTGGTGCCACCGCAGCAGAGATCCAAGCTCAGAATGCCATCATGTACGCCAACCTCGCAGCATCTCAACAGCAGCCCCCAAGTCAGCTCGCACCGTACAAACCAGGCGCCAGCCCACAATTCTGGTGCAAAGAGCTGGATGGCAGTTGGACATTGAGAGAGTACAACGACGCCTTGAAGGCCGACTTTCCTGCTGGACACTGGGAGAAGCATGCCACTAGCGGATACTACTATTACGTTCGCCATGCCGGTTGAGAAACCGCTACACTGATGTCATCGCGGCCGCAGACAGATTGAGGCCGAAGAAATGAGTGCCAAACCGTTCTACTTGGCGACGACAAAGTGCTGGTTGACATGATGTTTTGTTGGAGGGGAGAGTCAATCCGGCCAGATGCTTAGTTAGCGAATACTCGGCACATTAGAATTGAGAGGAGATTCTATGGACGGTCGAGGTTGGTCTGAGTGGCGTGGCGATTGGACGGAGCCACACCGCAGCATGAGCTAACTCGTGCAGGAAGTGAAGTACTAGTACAGCGCTTTGCTCAGATCAAAACACCAATCCAGAATTGTATGTCCAGGTTATGCTTCGCTGAGGAGATCTAGATGGTAGTATTATTTCTTTACATTGCTCATAGCACTCTCCATCCACAGTTTCGTGTACAACTTATGCAACCACTGCATATTGCTCGACATGGGACCATGCGTCTTGTCTGCCGGCTCCCCCTCACCCTGATAGAAGATACTTTTGAGTCGAAATTCGGCAAAACCCTTGTCAAAGTCGGCTTTGGCAGTCAAGGCGAACAGGCCGTCGCTCGGCCGATTCTTGTCTGGACTGTTCAGGGGGGAGTCACCACACCGGATCAGGATCGATGTGGGAGTCTTCTCCAGGACCACGAAATGGTCGGTGATCTCAGTGCCGACGTCGTAGGTCGATGTGCGTAGTTGCTGTGGTGTCCAGAGTTGATGGGCGGTTGTGGTGTCGTTTCGGTATTTGCGTTCTAAGTATGCGCGTTGGATTTTGTAGCCTATATAAGGTAGAGTAGATTGAATGAGGTGTTAGCATGATATCCTGTGAACTTTGGTTGCAAGGCTTGGTTTCAGGGTTCCAGAGTGTGAAGGGAACAGGAAGGTGAAGGAAGTGCCTGGGAATCTCGATACCAGAGAACCCCCGACCTGGATGTGGTCCCAGGATCTGGTCCCAGTTTGCTCTCCAGCAAAGGAAGAACCAGGTCGTTGAGATGTTGATACGCCGAGTACTATATTGGAGACCAGGGGAGAAGGAGAGGGTGGAGGAGAGTGTTTGGGTAACAATTGATTCCACACGACATTATGAGAAGCCAACAAAACGAACAAAGCGCAATGGGATGGGATGTTCCACATACCAAACCCTCCCCAAACACCCTGACTAAAAGCCTCGACCAATTTCGAACCACCATTCCTCGCATCTTCGAGCAGCTCGGGCCGGATCTTATGTAGCGGAAGCCGTCTCACGCATTCATCGTGCGTCGTCGGGTTAGAGCCCGGATTGAATTTCTGGAACCATTGACTCCGAAACAGGGGTTCCGTGGCCGGGTTGAATTGGTCGTCCGGAGAGAATTGGCAGTGCTTGGTCCAGACGAAGAATCCGCCTATTGAGGCCAAGGTCGTGACGGTGATGCCTTGGAGGGTTTTGGAAAGGCGGGAGGGACCCATGTTGGACAAAACAGCTTTGATTTGGATTGGAGATATTGCAGTATGGTTGGTGTAGTCTTGAGGTTCTGTCGTGTGCTCAGCGAGAAGGCACCAGCACCGCCAGTTAAGCGGTTTTCTGATGCAGTTGTGACGGATTTCCCGCAGTATAGATATAACCTACTCAGTACGGTCTGGTAGCCGTTGCTGTAAGGCTTTGACGGTAATCTCGGTAGTATTTTGCTCAAGGCTGGGAGTTGAGATAGTTGTATCTCCAACTGAAGCATCGGCGTTATTTCCGCCGAGCCGAATCGGACATGCTCCGTGACCGACCTGCCCGCTCTGGTCCACCGTATCCGGGGTCCCCTTGTCCGGCGCATCAAACGGACACATAACGCAATATCTCGACTGTGGCAGTTTGCATCATTTTCTTCGACGACAGCCTGCAGTGCTCCCCCCTCCCGTATCTAAACCAGTACAACAACCTACCCGTGTATTCTGTGTGAACACCCGTCGAAGTAGTTCAAAGATGTCGACCGGGCTGTTCGCGTCTCTACCGAAACCCAAATACACGGGCGAACATGAAGAGGTGCCGACGCATGCACAACCGAAAGGCCCGCGAATTGTCGGGCCTGGCGTTATCGACGAATCTCAGATAGTTCTAAAGGTTAGTTCAGGTCATTCCGAGGGCTTTTCATCGGCTTTCATAGCTGACTACTCTGCAACATTACAGCGCAGTGGCCCACCTCCATATGGACAACGTTCAGGATGGCGACCGCGGTCGGTCGAAGACTTTGGCGATGGCGGAGCGTTTCCCGAGATTCCGGTGGCACAATACCCTCTAGACATGGGGCGGAAAGGGACGTCGTCGACATCGAACGCACTAGCGATTCAAGTAGACGCAGAAGGAAAGGTGAAGTACGACGCAATTGCGCGGCAGGGCCACAGCGAAAGCCGGATCATACATTCAAGCTTCAAGGATTTGATACCTCTTCGTCAACGAGCGGACGCTGGCGATCTTAGTCTCGAGCGACCGAGTCAGGAAGAAGTACAGGCGACGGCCGAAAAGACAAAACAGGCATTGGAAAAGTTGGTCTCGGGCGCAGTGGCGGCGCAGAAGCCCAAGAACGTCAAGGGTGCCTCGAGAGAAGAACCGACCTACGTGCGCTACACGCCGGCGAACCAGATGGGCGACAACAGCAAAAAGAACGACCGGATTTTTAAGATTGTCAAGCGCCAGGAAGATCCGATGGAACCGCCAAAGTTCAAACACAAGAAGATTCCCCGGGGCCCGCCGAGTCCGCCGCCACCAGTGATGCATTCGCCGCCTCGAAAGCTGACGGCCGAAGACCAAGAGGCGTGGAAGATCCCACCGCCGATTTCCAACTGGAAGAATCCCAAGGGTTACACCGTGCCACTGGACAAGCGACTTGCAGCCGATGGCCGAGGAATGCAGGACGTCACGATCAACGACAAATTTGCGCAGTTTGCCGAGGCTTTGTTTACGGCGGACCGCCATGCGCGAGAAGAGGTCAAACTTCGTGCACAGATGCAGCAGAAACTGGCCGAGAAGGAAAAACTGGCCAAGGAGGAACACCTGCGCGAAATGGCGCGCAAAGCGAGAGAAGAAAGGCAACAAAAGGCTAGGCGCAGAGACTCGACAACATCCAGAGGACGGTCACGGTCGGTGGCTTCCTCAAGATCAAGAACTCCAAGTGATACGGAAGACGATGAGGCGGCGCGCGAGCGAGAACGGGCCCGTCGAGAACGACGCCTGGAAAACGAACGACAGCTCCGACAGAGTCGGATGGGAGCAGAGAAGAAGATCCAGATGATGGCACGAGAACAAAATCGTGATATTTCCGAGAAAGTCGCTTTGGGTTTGGCCAAGCCCACTCAGAACAAAGAAACAATGTACGACTCGAGGTTGTTCAACCAGACTTCGGGCTTTGATACTGGTTTCAACGAGGACCAACATTACGATAAACCGCTGTTCGCGGCCCACGACGCCATCAATAGTATTTATCGTCCCTCGGCGGCGAACCAGGACGATGACGACGGTGACGATGCCGCCGACGCCGCCATGGGTAAGATCGAGAAGTCGAATCGTTTTGAAGTGCTTGGCAAAGCGAGCCAGGGGTTCAAAGGAGCTGATCTGGCGGAACGCGAGGCCGGGCCCGTGCAGTTTGAGAAGGATAAGGATGATCCGTTTGGAATCGATAGTCTTATCGGTGAGGCTTCAGCTCGGAACGGCGGTGAGGGTGATGCTGCTGGTAAGAAAAGGTATGGCTTGGAAGAAGCTGAATCGAGCGACAGAGGCAAGAAGAGAGCCAGAGTTGATGAGGACGACTGAGGATTGAAACCTGTGGTCGACCACGACAGCGGTCGTTTTGTCGTTTTATGATCAGCAAAACTGGCATGGCAATTGGACAAAGCTGGCGTCTTCATGATGGGAACGGTTTATATGATTCGGTGGGTCGCGCGGTGCATCAGTGCACCTACTTAGACAGGGCATCTGAGGTAATATAGGCAGCTGTATGAAGACTGTGCCTATCTCGGTCTCTGTCTCGGTCTATCCGCAATGATCTACCCGATGACTCGAGCACTATTATGAAAGGATGGAAGCCAAGCCCATTCGAATATTGGGCAATCCTGGGAAAGAAACATTTCCATCGTCACTGCTAACAGGGAATAGAAGACCGTCATGGCGCTTCACATACCAGCATCTCGCTCTTCGAAAGAAATCTTTTGAGAAACAGATATCAAAAGCCGTCATCATGACAGCTCAAATTCGACACTGGCACAACAAACGAACTGAACGCTCAAGAATTGAAACCCCACACATGCTTTTATCTGGTGACAAGTTTGCAAGTTTGCCTTCCCTTCACCACTCCTCTCTCCTCGACAACCTGACACTCACATCATGCAATGGACTCAAAGTCCCAATGCCCGGTTTCGTTCCCGGATGCACCCAGCGCCCATTGTTGTCTACCGGCGTCATATCCCACTGCATGAGAATAGCGGCAGCAAACAAGACGACTTCGCGCTCCGCAAACGTCTTTCCTTTACAGATGTGTCGACCACCGCCGAAGACTCTCATGGTGCCATAATCGACGCGAATGTTGCTGTGGCTCTCTTTTCCAGTGCCGTTGTCCGTTCCATCGGAGCGATTTATTTTCGTCCAAAACCTCCTTGGATCAAATTTCTCCGGATCCGCAAAATACTTGGGGTCCGTCTGATGAACGCCATGCGGAATACACACAAACTCGCCTTTGCGCAAGAGCCACGACTCCTGATGGCCATCGGGTCGACCAAGCCGCCCTGCATCATCTAGCGACTCGGTCACCACAAAATCCCTAAGTACTTCCTTGTAACTGACGCTCTGGGACTCGAGACGCATAGATTCGAAAAAGGCGCCTTTGAGAAGCGGGCATTTTGTCCACAGGGCATCGAGGTCCACAATCTCAAGTTTGGGAGCCTCGTTAATCAACCCTCTTGTTTCTGGTTTTCGCAACTTGACGTACGGAGCGAGTTCGGCGCGAATGTCTGCTAACAGATTCATCGAAGCTGACTCCGAGTACACATGCCACAACAACCAAAAAATCACTTGGTTCGCATTAACATTCATGGCCCACAAAACAGCAGTGTCGAGGGCCCCATAGGCCCTTGGACTCGCATTGGCTTTCCGCAACGCAAGTGCCCGGTCGACAATCACAGACGACACGTCCGACATGTCTGTCCATCGGTAGCCTGGATCATTGCCATCAAGATACCGATACAGTGCGTCGTGGTGTTCCTGTACCGCGTGAATCACGCGCTCGCGCGCCATGGATGCCGAGCGCATGCCGGGAAACCAACCTGGCATCCCGGCCATGAATAGGTTGAATCGTGAATCCATTTCCCAGAGGTCTTGCATGATTCGAGGGTTGTTGTCCATGAAGTCACGGCCGAACAGGATCGTGCTGGCGATGTCGCCTACGAAGTAGCGGATTAGAGTGTGGAGGTTTGCTTCTGCGACCAATCCACCGAATTGAGTCTGATGTTGAGGAGCAGGAGAAAGGCTGCCGCCGTCGATACCAGAGATAGGAACTACGTTCGCTTCGCGTTCCCAAACACTTTGATCAACGGGACTCTGAGCCTCCGACACAAGATTCCACGTCCTTTCCTCAACTGCCGCGACGGCCCGTTTCAGAGCAGGGCCCAGAAACTTTTCGCGCAACATACTCGACATGACGGCATGGATGTCGCCCCAGAGGGCACTAGGCGGGTCAATTGTACCCAAGGACCCTCGGTCCGCCCAGACGTATTTTAGGGCTCGGATTATGAATGGTTTCATGCTCGTCGGCGCGTCGGGCTGGAGGTCGTTTAGGATCTGTTGCGCCAGACTGGGGATTGTGACGATGTTGTGTTTCGTCCCGCCGAGTTTGAGTGCGAAGATCCCACTGTGCGTTCCGAGTAGGCGTGTTTGGTGGCCTAGAAAGGATGTTACTCCGGTTGTGAATGATATTGCGTGGCCGAGCCATGGGATCCAGTAGGGGAGCGTGGGGACTGTTTGGAGAAGTGTACTTTGCTGACCTGAGGTGTTTGTATTAGGCCTTGAGGTCTGGTGAGAGTTTGATGTCAAGGCACGGCGGAATTTCAGACCGCTCACGATCCGGGTCGTCAGGCATATGATAGTGATGATCGCAACAAGGGCCTCCCAGGGGTGAGAGATGCAGTTTTCGATCGTCCATTGTAGAATGGCTCTTGCTGTCGATTTTGATGCCGATATTGATGACATGGGGACATTTGTCCACCAGACAGGCAGTGGCCAAGGGTGTCGTTCTTCGTCCTTCGGTATGTCCATTTCTGATAAGGACGAGAAAGAAAGGAGAAAAACCGGTGTTGGTGTTGGAGCCGATTGCTGCCTTTATCTCCTATCGTCCTTCAACTTTCAAGGTTTGAAAGGAGACTCAGATTTGAGGTTGTAAAGGTCTGATCGATGCTTCGGGCCAGATGTTGTTGTTGTTCCGTCCTCGCTGCTTCTTCTCCGTGTCCTTTTTAGATGATGGTTGCCAGAGTCAACAATAACCGATGCAGGTGCATGATACCCTTGTAGAAGATCTTTTCTTGATTCGTCAGGCGGGATGAATGAATGCCTGCTGCCGGTCGGCGGTCAATATGATATGCAGATACTGTAGCCCCTTTTGCTGTAGTGGTGTTGATCATTAGCCACTCCGCCGGCATGGGCGATGGGAAGACACAACAACACACCGATAGATGAAGCATGCGCTTGAGGTATGCAGGCAGCAAGGAAATGGTGGACCGTGGTTTTGCTTTTCAACACTTACCTCTGGAATGTAGAGATTGAAATGTTGGTGTTAAGTGCTGTTATAATTTTCTTGATAAACACGAAATAAAGGGGTTCGAAGTCCAGTCTCGCCGTCTACTAGTATCTGAACCCTCGCAAAATGGGATCGAAGGAGTCGTGCTCATCAAATTTCACCCAACTTGAACTCTGCTGTTTTCTGTTTCTTATATACCTAGGGAACTCAAATGGACAAGGCCACCACTGCCCAGACAGACGACCTTCACAATCCATCCATCTATCCATCCCCAGCCTTCACAGAGGATCGTCACGGTGGCATCACCGGAATGCTTGAACTCCGAAGATGTCATGAGGCTGACTGCAGGAACCGGCGGAAGTGGAAACACAAGGTGATACACTGCTGACCGAATTCAACAGAGTCCAACGCAGCGATGGCAAAACGGAGGGAGAAGGACAACGGTTGGATATCGAAACACCCCTTGATCGGATAGCCACGGCTCGAGGGGACTCGGCGGAAGAATTCTATGCTGCACCAGGACACAAGTAATGTCATGTTGATCATATTACTACCTACCTACTACCTAGTAAACGTCAATCTGGCAAATAAATGTCCTATCAAAACACCAGTGAGTAGGATCGGTTACTATACGACGGGCCCTATGCCTCCTGGCCAAAGGTGCTTCAGACGGCAGAGCAAAAAAGGATATGCCATCAGGCTCGTATAAGAATGTCGCACAGCTGATGCTTATCGCCAGTACAACGCAGCCATCCGCTGACGTGTTTTGAGAGTGTAAGCTCGCCTTGGAAGAGCAATTCCACCTGTTCCAAACATAGATGGAGTAGAGACACCTTATCTTCAATCGCTGAGCTGGGTCGACAATATATAACAGACAGAAGTGGGTATTGACACAAACAAAGCAGTCAACCACCTCCCATATCTACTGTCTCCGTGCAACGGTCTCAGGCCCTCTCATCCCTTCTGTCTCATCTTGGACAGATATTTTTCCATGCTCGTGGGACATGAATCTTCCTAAAACTTGTCCGTAAGCACCTTCTTGAGTTCGCCACTCTGAGCTTCATATTTCTCAATCTTCATATGACTGGACATGGCTTTGTCCAACAACCATTTGATGCGTGGCTTCAGTTCACTTGGAGCGCCGGGCAACTCAGCCAACGTCCTCAGCTCGGTTTCAAACTTCTCCACATTCTTATTCTCCATTCCGATCAGCTGCGACAGGATAGCCATGTCCAGTCTCGCTTTGAGGACTTCATCGTCGGTGAGGTATTCAAAAGCGGCTTGATAGACGGGTCGGCCAGGTTTGATGCTGTAAGGTCGTCCATTTTTCGAAGTGATGGCAATCAATTCGGCCTGCTCCAATGCCTGTAGTACTGGCTCTCCATCCTTGAACAGATCGTTGAGGAGGAGCTCGTTGTACCGCAGCGTCTCGTTCGCCGCCAACTGTTTGATCAAAAGCCACGCTTGTTGCGGCGTCCATTTGCGACTGGCCGTGTCTACGTCAAGAAGGTACATTTTCAAGATCTCCGAGGCCGATTGTTCAATAATTTGTCGAACAGCTCCTGTAGCATCCGTTAGCTTCACGGAACAAAACGCAAGAAATCATCACATACGGCCTGGTGACTCGCCAGTCTTGATCCGACGGGAAAGGAATTCGAGATCCTGCAACCGCCCACCAAGAACGTCGATCACACTGTCGAGCTCGTCCAAATCACTTCTCCTCTTGCGAGCTGCCAACTTTTCATCTTCCGGAGCATCGCTCTCCTCGTCAGTCTCGGTACTCAGATGTTGGATCACCAATTTCTTGGCCACTTCGGGCGTACAGTCGCTTAGGGTAATCTGTCGGAAGACTCGATCGGGCAAAGCCTTGCTGAGGGACTTTGAGAATGAAACGTCGGTCGTCAGGAAAATGACATGCGCAATGTTCTGCGTCGTCAAGGCTGCGGCCCACTCTCCCATCTTGTCGTAGACTACGCTAGACGCGCCTTCGTTGTTCTTGTGCAGGAAGTTGTCAATCACCACCACCGGTCGATATTCGGGGTGAGCCTCGAGCCATTCATCCTCCGACATCTGAGCATCCTTCTCGTCCTTTTTCCGATGAGACAAAGCAATCTGCTTCAGCGCCGTCGTAGTATTGCCCCATATTTTATTCAGTTGAGTTTCCAGCGTCTCCGAAAAGCCGGTCTTCGTCCCAATCGTCCCCATGGCCGCCAGGTCGATCATGCTGCTCATGCTGTTCATCCATGAAAACACAGGTTTGTATCCCACTTCCGCGGCGGCAGCAGCAATAGTAGCGCTATCACCACGGGCTTCTTGGATCTTCTTACAGTCGATCACCAGCTTATTCGGACGGTCCTTTAGCGCCTGGTCTAGCACGAGCTCTTTCTTGCCTGCGCCCCGCGGCCCTTGAATCACAATAAACGTGTCCGCAGTTTCCATGAGCCATGTCTGGATTTGGTTGATGGCCCCTTGGCGATCCTCCCAAATGATTTTCAGGTTCTCGTCTTCGCCTTTCTGCTTCCGGAGTCTGATGATATCGTATCCACGAGAAAGCTGGCTTTTGATGTACCGCACAATGGGGTAGTCCTCCAATTTCAGGCCGTGAGTGATATGCATTTTGATGAAGAATGTTCGGATAGGGTCAAAGACCGCCACCGAGAGACCTGTCAACAGGGCCACCACTATAGGAATAACAATCCTCGGATGACCTGTGATCCAGTCTCTCAACCAATGAGCCTTCGTCTTGGACTCATAACTCAGTTTCAGCAACGTTCCAGTCTTGCCGCCTCCTTCTTCGGCGGGCACGACATACCCATGCATACAATTCTTTGCCACGGTCGCAAACCTCAGCCTTGCAAAGTCAATGTAAGCGTAGCGAGGCGAGACCTTGGAATCCGACGGTTGAGGGGCGATTTCAGAGATTTTTCCATAACGGCGAAATAAGGAGTAGAGTGTCTCTTGCGTCAACTCGGCAGCGGCGTTCTCAGGCGACGTAGGCAAAAATTCCACCTTCACCCTGGGACTAGGGACTCGATACAAATCCTCAATCCAGGGTTTGCCCTGAACCAAGAAAGCGCGTACTCGCCGAAACGGGTTGAACCATGGCTTAATAGGCTTCTCTTCCAGATATGATTTCAGTGTGCGTTCCAGCTCTTCTGTACTGATACCCTCGTCATGCGAGAACTTCACAAATGCTCCTCCTTCTCGAAGTCGAGGCAAGACTTGGGTGACGGTAAGTGGGAGCTTGTCGGGAAGAGCTCGCTTGATGATGCTCGATGGGTCGGCCAGAGCCAAATCTGGGTGGTTCACCTTGCTGAGAGAATTGGTAAGAGCCCTTTCGGCGTTAAAGAAGGGGATCCGGTTCAGCCATTGAAGCTTCAGAGGAAACACATCTGCTGCCAGTCAGTGCGCTCGCTCGATTGCGCTCGTAAGCCTGCAAGTACTCACTATCGAAAAACAATATTCCTTCATTTTGTTTGGTATCGATATGTCCGGTCTCGTTGTCGCCGGCTTCGGAAGTCACTGTTCTCCTACCAGCGGACACAGAGGGCGCGATGGGTCGTGGGCGGAAGCCATTGGCCGTATAGAAGTATTGCTTTCTGAATTGGACCGACAACCGGGGACCAAATGCCCCTATAGGACTTCTCGTGCTCTTCAACAAAACCATGTTGATGCGACCCTGTGCATTGTCGTCAACCAGCAGCCCACAGTAGGAGTCAGCAGGCCTGAGAATCACGCTAGAACGGTATATGGAGAGGTTAAGATAGCATGATACAAGGGACTGTTCATAAAAGAATCAGCTTCACAGAGCTGTTAGAACAGGTTCTCTTGATGCAGAGACACTGGCAGATGCCAGTCAGAGCGGATCGCATCTTGTTACTGCCAGTGACAACTAGTAGAGGTATGACGTTGATGGGTATGTCCAGTGGCTGGTGCAAGTACTACTGTAGTGTGGCTGAATTACCGTGGCTAACTCAAATAGTACTAGTGGCCGACAACTAACAGCACTAGCGCGGTGGTACTTTATTTTGTTCTTCAGACGTCGTACTTGGATATCTTACTGTCGCGTCCTCCTTCTACTATTGTCGCAACATACAACTCTACATATATATGAGCCATGGGCTGGTGGTGGTCGTCCAATCATGCTCCAGCTGAGCCGCGAGATCATGTCCCGGGTCATTCTCCTTCAACAGTGCACGATGAGAAGCCGTCAATCCCTCCGGCCACTGCTCCAGTCGCAGAGCCAGTTAAACAGACCCTGTCGCGAGAAGAACAAAGCAACCAGGAATGGATGGAGCTTCTAAGACAATTGCAGGCAGAAATGGATGGCGAGCAGAAACAAGATCAGAACAACCAAGAGATAGGGACATCGACATCGACACAGTCTGTGCCAGTGCCCGGCGACATATCTCCTGATTCCTTGTACCCAACGGAACTATCGTGTCGCTCTGCCCTGGACTATGCGATGTTTTGCCAGAGCTTCGGCGGCCAGTTTGTCAACATATACCGCTATGGCACGTTCAGATCCTGCTCAAATCACTGGGACGACTTTTGGCTTTGTATGAGAACAAGAAACTGGGACAAAAAGGACCGAGAAAAGGCCATCCAAGAACACTACCGGAAGAAGGCCGTGAAGTGGAAGACTGGTCCTAGTAGTGAGGATGTATGGGAAGTTCGAAAGGAGCCGGTGAAAGATGCATTCCAAGGTAATCTTGAAGAACTGGAAGCACGAATCGCAGAATGGCAGAAGGCAAATCCAGGGACACCAGATCCTTGGAGACAAGACAAGGCGCCGACTTTCAATACCACAAATGTCACTCCTTGAACCGGCCTATCAGCTCTGGCGCAGCTATGTCGACGACATAATCATCCATCCCACCATATACGTGTGATGCCAAGAGCAGCTGGCTTGACGCCGAGGGATGAAGTGATATAAGTTCTCCCACAACAAAGTTGACGGGCTCAACTCATCCTGTTTCTTCTCCCACAACAAAAGTTCACGGCTTCAAGTCATCCCCTCTCCTCAGCAGCAGCCCACAATCGCCCTCACCCAGTGGATTTCATTCAAGGTCGAAAGCGCTCATCATGGATTCTCCCCATCTACCACCCGATTTCATGCCGAACATACCGACCGGCGAGAACCCCATGCAGAAACTCAACCGCGGCCTTGCGCTGAGTGATCAAGCAATAGCCGCGAGGCATGAGATCGCACGGGTCGACCATGAGGTCACGGAGCGTCATTTTGAGGCCATAGCAATTGTTAATGAGGTCACACATCTTCAGGAGGAACGGGTGGCTCACAGTCAATATGCGGATATGCTTACGAACACCGCCTTTCGATTGCAACACGATGCCGTAACAGAATACATCGCAATCCGTCGTCTGTTTCACGACACCTTGTACTCCTACGGATGGGACGTTATCAATTTCTACATGATGATTCCAGATCAAGCACGGCGACTACAAGATATCTGGGCTCGGGTCGAACAGGGAACAGCTGCAATGGAAGAAGTTGTGGCTTTGTTTGACGACATGTTGACCGTCACTGCGATCATAAGGCTCGCACCCCATCCTCCGGCCGGAGGAAATACGTCGGCCGCCCCGCCGCCAATGCAAAACACGGCCGGCAATCAAGATGGAGACGCAAATGACCAGGCAGTAGCTCAACAAGACTTGCCGGAGAATGTGGCTGAGGAAGCAAATGATACCAACCATGACAACGACCAGATCAATCAAGCTACAGACACCTGAGCCGAAGTACTTGGAACAGACGCCCAAAGCTCTCAAGTCCCCGAATGAAGCAGTCAACGGTGAGCAGTCAGGAGACTGCAAAGGCCCTGAACTCCGGCCCACCTGATTACGATCTGTCCTGACTGCTCACTCACTTCTGACACTGGCAGTCTCTCATTCTCTCGCCCACCTGAGATCCATCAGCGTGGCAGCTATGCATTGTTAGACATCATCACCACCATCATCATCGGCAAAGCCGATAGAGAAGTCTACTAACCTCCTTACGAGGTCGAGTTGAGACTCGTTTCATACTCAATTGCACATGTCAAAAAAAAGAAAAAAGCATTCTCGTATCACTTCGCTCCCTCTTTCTCAGTGATATTCGCTTTAGCTCGTGCATGAGATTACTTACTTCAGCCTCTCCTCCCTACACGACTGAAGGCTTTGGTGCAGTGCCACTAACCCTACTTACTTGTCCTTCGCCCTTTCTTTTTGTCTTTCCTCGTCCTCGTTCCTTAGCCATCGTTCTCCTCCTTGATGCCACCTCATATCTTACCCATGATGCAGAATTGATCTTTCGTCTCTTGCTCACATAGTCCTTTATTCCTATCGTCATCCCTATCTTTATCCTTAAGCTATCTATCATGGCGACTACGGTCTCATCCAATGCAGCAGAAGTTCTCGATCTCCAAGCCGACTTCCTCGAAACCCAGTCCTCGCTCGTCCAAGATCTGGCCAACGACATCCATCAAGCCGCCAGTGTGCTGGGCTACAAGACCTACGATCTAGACGCCGAGGCAACGAGTCTGAGAAAAGAGGCATGGCAGGCGAGAAGATCGGTTGAGGAGATGAAGACGACGATCAAGAAGGAAGGTGGACAGGCCAAGAACGGACGCCAAATGTCTGAGTTGCTGATCAGAGCATCTGAGACCATGGATCGGGCACAGGGTGTCAAGAGTACCTTGCAGGCTTTGATCAAGGTCGTCTGCGGATCTGGATCTGACTCTGAACTTGCGGTTTCTTCATGGCGCATGCACAGCAACGGCAGCAGTAACAACAGTGCACTGACTACAAGTACATTCAAACACCAGGACGACGAGAAGATCCGAGTCAAGGACACCGATACCGATACTGACAAGCTGGAGCTGGAACTGAAGAGACATGCACTACATGGCAGCAGCAACCATCGCTCTCGCAAGGTGACTCGACTCTCAGCGCTGGGAAGCATAGCGAAACCTTCCTCCAGCGTCGCTCACATTGCAGGTACAGCTACAGGTACAGTGAGTCGTGCCTCGAGTCGTGGACACTTTGTCGATCTCAAGAGGAGCAGAGACAGAAACAAAAACAGGAACAGGAGCGCAAACAGATTCGTGGCCGTGAATCACGTTTGGGGCTCAGATATCTGTGGTGACAACCAGATCGGTAGCGATGGCCATGGTCACAGTCATAGTCACGGTCACGGTCTTGATATTGGCAAAAACCACTCTCTCATCTCACATCAGTTGGCGACCAAGCCAAAGCCTTGGACAAAGCAAAAGGCGAAGGAAGTGCTCGGTCCAAAATGCACGGCCTTAACTTCAGGTCCGGCAGATTCATACTATTCGACGTCTGTATGCCTCGAACCCGCCTGTCATGAGTTTGAGAAGAAGGGGGCGCATCAAGCCGCATTGTTCAAGGACATGGTGGTCTGCAATTGCGAGAAATGTGCATCTCCATCTCACGACCATTCTGAGTGGTTCCATCGTCCCGACACCGACCTCAGTGGAGATGGTGAAGGTGACGGCCACAGCCTCAGCACTGGAGAAGAGCTTGCTGATGAAGGAGGTTTCGTCCCGGACGAAGATGATACCGAGGAGCAGTCCGAGGACGAAGTCGAAGGCGAAGTCGAGGTCGAAGTCGAAGCCGAAGCCGAAGACGACAATGCTGATTGTGAAGAGGACGGAGACGGAGATCAACATAGACAGGATTCCCAAGCACTGACGGACTCGGGCTCGAACTTCCTGTCCTGGATCCCGGACAAGGTCACCATCTCGCGTCGCCACGTTCAGTCCGCTGCGGAAAGTCTTTACCAAAGTGTCTTGATGGGCGAACAAAACAGATTGATGAGAGAGCGAGTCGGGGGTTGAACAACGCGCAGAGCAGTGAGCGACTCAGTCAGCCATAAAATGCAACGAAAAACCATCACGACGACGATTTCAGCCTCCAAAAAGGGATGTCATTGGAGACAGGGGAGAATGAATAAGTGGGAATCTTGGATACGTTTTCAGGGCGGCAAAAGAAGCTGATGGATTTTCATTTTTTCTTTCTTTTTTGACATGTATGCTATACCATACCATTATGATACCAGGATCAGTCGCGGGATCAAGGAGTTTAAAAGCATTTGGTGATATTGTCCGGCGGGAACATTCCCCTGCTTCAGGCCGTTATTGGCATCTTTGAAAATTGGGGACCACACAAAAGCAATTGAATATTTTTTCATAGCCTCTTCTTTGCATTATATTATTGAATGGCCTGTAGGCTGAGGCGCGGACATACCAGTTTACTTATGCATTTATGGCGCAGGTGTATTCATAGGTGTTGGGTGTCGCTATATTCAATTCCACCGCCCCGACCATGGACGGTCTTCGATTTGTCCAACAGTAGTCATCAAGGTAGCGAGTGATAAGCCCGCGACCTTATCCAGCCAGACGTGTCAAACAGTGTAGTGAGCGAACCAAACTATGTTAAAGTGACAGGCGTAGCCTTCAAGTTCCATCAACTGAGGCGCACCAATCGTCTGTCGAGGAACACGCTGGCACGCTTCCATAATAGTACTTGGTGGACTGTCACTCGGTAGTACTTCAACTTGGTACCTCGACATCAATGATCAGGGGGGACAGTATCCGTACTTCCTTCCACACCTGTAGGTTCCTGTGACGTTGAATCTCGTATTCTTCTGGGGTGAGACAAGGAATTCCCAAGGTTTTATACCGTAAGTGGGACAAGTACGGCGACCAACATGTCTGGACCAATCAAGAAAGTGGTCGTGCTGGGGGTACGTATTGCCATATACCTACAATCTACGAACCCCAGGTACATGTTGACACACTGCTTGCGGTATACAACTTCAACAATATGCTGCATGGATGAGAATGTCGGAATAGGACGCGCTGACCACTAAATAACTGCCCATCTAGGCCACCGGCAACGTCGGCAAACCCATCACCACGGCCCTCGCGGACGCCGGCTACATTGTGACAGCAGCGTCACGCAGCGAGGGCAAAAAGTTCCCTGACCCCATCATCCCAGCCGTGGTGGACTACAGCTCAATCGACGCGCTCGTGGACCTGTTCAAAGGCCAGGATGCAGTGGTCGAAGCATTCCCACCCAATGCAGCGCACATGCAGCCCGCCATCGTGGACGCGTGTCTCAAGGCCGGCACAGTCAAGCATATTATCACGCCCGATTTCGCAGGCGACACTTTCAGCCCACATATTTCCGAGTTGCCGCTGTACGTTCCGAAAGTCGAGGCCCAGAAACAACTGGAGGAGAAAATCAAGGGGACCGATTTGACTTGGAGTGCTATCATCACGGGTGGTTGGTATGATTGGGGTATGTTCAGTTCCTTCATGATAGTTTAATGTAAAAGAGGTGTTGATCGAAGTGGTTGCCTACCAATGTCGTCAAGACTAGGGTGTCGCTAACCTAAGTCTTTGGATCGGCAGCAATACCACTCGGATACTACTGGATCAATCCGCAGACAAACACCATCACCGTCTATGGCAGTGGCAACCAGCGCAACAGTATGTGTCGCGTCGGCACCGCCGCCAAAGCCGTCTGTGATGTCCTCGCCGATCCTGCGAAGTTCAAAAACCGGCCCGTCTATGTCGCGGACCACACGGTCAGTATGAACCAGCTGATTCCGATGTTGGAGGAGGCAAAGCCCGGCTGGAATATTGTCAAGGTCGATCTTGATGCCTTTTTCGCCGAGGCAAAGAGACTGTGGGACGAGGACACGAAGAAGGGTGTCGAGGTCAGATTGCTCACCCCGGCGTACAATATGCTGGGAACATACGGCATTTTCGAGGAGAACAATAGATACAATGCCGACTTTGAGCGACTGATTGAGCCTGGATATGGGTATCAGAAGCCTTTGGATGAGCTGAGGGAGGAATTGAAGACGTTGGTGGGTGCGAAATGAAGCTACAGTACGCTCTTAGAGCCTGACTGTCGCTTGAAGCACTGCTGCATTGCTTGCATGGATGGCGTAGTCGGCGAACTCAACGCCGTTTCATGGGCGAAACTGTAGCCCATCATGACCTAGAATAGATGAACAGCAACTGCCAGTGAATCCAAACAGAATACTATAGTCGTTCAGTCCAAGTTGTAGATGAAGGTTGGCACGCTTTATCGTGAGTGGTTTTAATTGCCAGTTGTTGTGGACAAGGCTCGGCTCTTACGTAAGCACTCAAATTCAGTTCCGACGACATGCGAACTTGATTGAACTGCCAATGCCCAAAGAAACATCGAGCGCAAAGCATCGCCTATACATTCACGGTCGCTACCACTGTCCGCGGCGGGATCGAGCCTCAAGATGGCGCAGTCATTGACGACCCGCATGTCAACATGCTGCTGGAGGAGTTTGTTCGCAGAGTTGCGGCCGCAGAGACAATTCCAACGATCATTGATCACGGTGCAACGAGGCCCCATACAGAAACTTGAAATCCCTTCCGACCTCCCGCCGCAACTACTCCCTCAACTGCCAGAAAGATATAGACCAGGACGAAGTAAGCAGAACTGCTGGACAGGAAAGTGAGGGAGGTTGATGCTAATGCGCCGCGCAGACAGACGAGACATCGTGGTCCATGAAGCGCCTAGATCCGAAGCCGAAACCTGCAAAGACCCAGTCGGTCTCGTCGACAAGCAGCAACTATCCGTCCTCGATCCGACGGGTGCACGCGCAAGACTCTTCGACAAAACGAACCCTGACCGCGCAAAAGTCGGCGATATCTTGCTCACGACTTTCAAGACCGGAGAGCCGGTATCTGGGGTTATTATGGTCATCAAGGGATCTGGTCCACACACGTCGGTATTGCTGCGGAATCAATTGACAACCGTTGGAATGGAGATGAGTATCAAGGTGCACAGCCCTCTGGTTCAGAGTATGGAAATAGCCCAGAGATCACCCAAGCGGAAGAGGCGGGCCAGGTTGTACTACCTTAGGAAGCCCGAGCATGATGTGGGCAGCGTACAGAAGGTCGTGGATCAGTATTTGAGGCAACGGGCCATGTTGACGGGCGGCAAGCCTTCGAGGCAGGGCGGTGGTTTCAGAGGAGGGAAGAAGGGAAAGAGATAAGAAGTTTTTTGGTCTGTTGCTTCGTGAGACGGGCATGACGAGAAGACTGTCATCGTGCGGACGACGGCTGTTCCCGAAAGCATCATAAACGGCATCCATTTCAGCGCTTGGATTGAGGGTATCTTGATTTGTTTGGTGCTGATATGTAAGAGTACAATACAACTTTGCCCCGACTGACATGGAGGGATTGATATAATGTTCAAATGTTCGGACACTTACCACAGAAGCCTGCCTTCCGACTTGACGATACTGTTGGATGTTCAACTGGTGCTCACGTTGACTGCTGGCCTCTCTGTCTGCGCCCCTGCTCTGGCATAGCGGCCTCGCGGCGGTCTCACACCCCAGCACCATCCACCGGTCACGTTTTCATATCGATATCATGGCGGCCTCCCAACATCTACTTCCAAATTCATGAATTAACGCTTGGCGCGACTGAGGGTATTTCTATCTCACACTTTCGCGGGATCCTCTTCACCCTCTTCTCTTTTCTTTTCTCTCCTCCCACCCATCCATGCGCGCCTCCCAAACCATCCTCAAGCCCTTCAGACGCATTGATAAAAGCATCCGCCGTGTCTCCAAAGCCTCTGAAAGACCATTGACAATAGCTGCCAACACCCAAGAGCCTGTCGCGGAGATGAATGATCCTGGTAAGTATCTGCTACACAAGACTCCCTTGAAACAACCAGTCTTGAGTCATTTACTAACAGTCATCACTGATACAGGCGCCCATTCTGCGGGCAATGCCGTCAATACTACCAATACTGCTGCTGGTCGCCAAGTTGTGATCCCGCAACCTGCTGCATATATCCTTCCAGCTGGCACCCCGTACAATGAAGCTGACTTTTGCCTTCCACCTGGCGTGACTGAGGAGTATGTCTTTGTCTTTCACACTTATGAGCTGATTACCCACCCTCTCCAATATAATGGTGGCACTTTTGTGCCTGGCGAACATCAGAATCATTATCTCACTTCACTTCATCTCACTTTCACTTCACTTTCACTTCACACATGCCATGGTGAAAAAGATATATGCTAACCACAAGTTCATTTTTAGACAATTTCTCAATCAGCAAGTCTGCGTCATGGTCGACCTCCAAGAGTTCAAGATGACCCGTCGTGTCTGGGGTATCATGTTTCCCGGTCTGCGCATCCCAGCCATCATCGACGAAAACGCCACTGTCCCCGTCTTCAGCCGCTGCACTGCTGCAGAGTTTCGCATCATCATGAAGTTCATGCAAGACGGCAATGTCAACAAGTTGATCTGTGCTCTCAACCTGTTCCCAGGTCAAATTGCCACAAATGCATCGTACAACCGGATCTTCGAGTTTGCCAGAGACTACAACAACTACACCCTACTCGCCGGCTTGCTTCAGGGTGCAGGCTGCAATCTGTTCTCCGAGCAAGTCATTGGGTACACTGCTCGCATTTACGAGACAGGAGCGGCCAACCATCGTTTCCGTCAGTACTTCAAGGATCAGCTCATCGCCGCATTCGAGCGTGAGGAACTCCAGCGCAGTATTGGTCATTCTGGCGGCGCGTCTGTCATGTTCCAGCTCCAGGTGTGGTTTAGCAAGTATCCCTATGCATTCGATGATGTCACCAATGTTCTGCATGAGCTGTGGCAGGAGAGCTTGGAGCGTCTTGATCAATTTGCTCCGGAAGATGTTGCCGAAGTCGAAGAACGACGCGAAATTGCTGAACAGGATGCTGCCCTTGCAGCAGAAGCGAATGTTCACTTCGAGTAGAGCAGAGAATCGGCTGTGCATTCTGCCTCCTTTTGCTTTGTTCATTGATCCTAGGAAGAGAGGTTGGAAGTTGGAAATGGTTGTGGAAGAAAAACAGGAGAGACAGGACGGACTCACAGCTTGTGCGGTATTTAGCCAGTGGATCGGACACAACACAATGCAACTCCACTCACAAAGACAACAACACAACAACTGGAAGATTACCTCTTTTCTTGCCACGACATTCTCGACATCCGATCCACATGACTCGACCATTCTCTGGGTTCGTGGACAAAACAACAACAATGCCACTGGCGACCATACGACAACAGGGGCGGATGCACAGGAAATTCTCTGCATTTCTATTTCTTCTCATGGGTCGGGGCTTGTTTTGTTTTTGCTTTTTTTCAACAGGTGATGGAGCCATCATAATCACCACACAGAAACACAGCAGACTGCTTCTACTGTTGTTACTTGTGAGCTGGTGGTTCATCAGTTCTTGCGTTCTGTCTAGTTTAGAGATACCCCAGTACTACAGTCAGTACTAGTTAGCCCCAGAGATCCAAAATGAGATTCATCAGAGTGATTGATTCACAATCATTATGTCTTGAAAGACGCCAAAACTTCTTCCTTTTCACGTTTGCTGTTCGACCTACAATAATACTGCACAGTAGTATGCTCTTGAAGGTTCTGGTTCTGGCTCCGGATAGAAATAATCCAGTGATTTGGTTACTCGATTCAGATCCAGGCTCCAGTAGGACATGATATATCTTTAGCCGATGAGCTCACCATAGCAATTCCTTTACGAAGCAGTATAGTAGAGCCTGCTGGAATGGAAATATAAGAGAGATATTGTGGATCGGAAGGGAATTGCTTTTTTTTGTCTAGATTCTAATGGTTGGTTGCTTTAATATCATGAGAGTCTTTTGGCCTGCTATGTATATGACTAGATTTGCTTGGGTAAAAAGTAAATGATGCCTAGGTACGCAAGGCTGCGCTGCGCTGCGCTGCGACCGGCAATAGGTACCATTGTTGTTATGGTAGACGCATGACTTTTTGTCAAGACTAGACCAGAAGCAGAGTATGGTCTGTATCGATCTGGCCTTCGACGTCGAGCGAGATCTTGCCTCCGACGACGGCGGGGCCTTTGACGGTGATCTATAGGTAGCATCCAAGGAAAGAGGTTAGCGTTCCATTTCTCTTTGGTGGGAAATTGAGATGTAGTAATCTCTAGTACATACCTTTCCCCTCGGAGTGTGACTGTCCATCTCACTCTCGTCACCCGAGACATGGATCTCGACCGAACTCAGCGGAGCACCAACACAGACAACTCGATCCCCCTTGTCACGATAATCGAGAATATTAGTCTGGGCAATGGCCCCAGCGACCAGAGGCGTGGTCAGCGCATAGCCGAGACGGCACTGCAGCTGGGTTCGCAGGGCATGCAAGGTCGACGAAGACAGACGCGTTTCCGGCTTGGAAGTGGTCGACTGCGGAATCAGCAATACGCGCACCCTCGCCAGCGAAGAAGATAATGTGCTTGCGCTTTTGGCCGGCAGATTTCCTGCCCTCAGGGTCCGTTTGGACATGTATTTGGACACACTGGAAGGCTTGGTGGTGGCCGGATGTTGAAGGTACGATTGGACTGTGGATGGAGAGGCAATCACCACAGTCGGCCGGCTTAGTGCCGTGGCTTGCTCGAGGTTCACGTTGTCGCCGGCAACCGAGTTGAGTGATACGCTTGCGTTGGAGTAGAGGGCTGCCAGGATCCAGCAGAGCGTGTAGCTGTCTGTCAGGCTGGTTGTTGGGTGGACGGTGTCGTCGGGACTGAGCTTGTAGGCGCGGACTAATGTTGCTTGAAGGGCTGCGGTGCCTGAGACGAGATTCTGGGGTTGCTGTTAGTATTGCCGTCCACAGGGGGAGTAAATTGACGGATGGGAGATAGACCTGAGGACGATGCAGTAGGAAGGTGTGGTGTGGTGGTGTATACGTACCTCGGAGGAATACTTGACAAGATCATAGTTCCCATTCGCGCCAGGATAGAAAATAGACACGGGCGGCACCTGCGAGTCCTTGTCCAGGGGCAAGGGTTCCGAGTTCGTACTGCGATGATTCTTCTGGACGAGCTCGTGCCATGATGCGAGAGTGAGGCCTTCGGGCGCATTGGCTGACCAGTTCATATGCTGGTTCGACGGGTTGGTCACATAGATGACGTTCCTGATGGCCTTGCTCGTCGACTGCATCGTGTCGAGGTCGAGAGTACCGGCTTCGACGACCACAAAGTCCGCGTTTGTTTGGGATAGGAGAGCATTGAGTTTGTCGGGATTAAGTCCGTACGGGACCAATGTGGTGGAGAAGCCGTAGAATGAGCCGGCTGGTTCATGATACATCGTATTAGCTAGGAAAACGAAGAAAGAATAAAACATTTCTTTGCACAAACGATAAGAGAGAAACATCGTACCAAAGATAACAGACAGCAGTTCCACCGAGTTGGACAAGCATACAGCTACCGACTGCCCGTTATTGCGTTTCACGTATTGGCCGACGACGTTGATGCCAAGGGTCAATTCATCAAAGCCATGTTCAATGACCTGGTCCTTGCCGTGGACCGTTAGGATTTTGCTTTTCTGGCCGGTCGGCGTGCCATCCTCCTTGACGGGTCCTCGGACTGCCGCTCGCCAGATGTCACGCAGATCCCCTGGTCGGCCGGCGGTCCATCTTGGTGCTCCGGGATCCTTGACGCCTAGTCCTGTACGGAGCGGATATCCGTGAGGAATGTCGACGGCGCGATAGACAGCCGAGTGACCAGGCTGCCGTACAGGCGAGACCTGGGCTTGTCTAACCAGCAAAAATGGGTGGGTGTCAGGTTCTCGTCCTGATAATATGGGCCAGATGAGGACCACGGTTAGAATGATGGCCAGGATGGTCGTGTATATGTCCCATGTCGAGAAGAATTCGGCTATTGCCGCGTCAATGCTTGCAGCCGTACTATTGCTCGACATGATCAGACACTGTGTTCAGTCGCTGAGGCGTCGAGAGTAGTTCTGAGACGTGGTGTTCGTTTATACAAGTGCAAGATCCGACGTATGACCAGACGGGCCGCCTCGTCTCCCCTCAGCTCCGAATCCGCTCGAATTTCTTGGCCGGCCCGGGGAGCATCACAACCGTACTACTACTGGCATGTGGGGTTCAAGTTGCGCAGTACTATGTACAACAGTACCCGTGAGTGAGTGCGGAATAAATATATCATACTTCTTTTTCTCCGGCGGACTTGGGTTCGTTGTGATCATGGTGGTATATTGTCTTATCTAGTATCTTGTAAGAACCATGCTTTAAGTCTAAAGCAGCCATCCCTCCACCATTGCGCCAACCACATATCCCCCTGTGGCTGTATCATAGCTTGCTCTGAGGTTTATACAGTTTTCGGCATCTTTCAATAGACTCGACCGCCTCTCTCTCAATTCTCTCAAGCAAGTCCGCGCATGTCGGGACGTCGTGGATCAAACCGATAACCTGGCCGGCAGTCCATACTCCAAAGTCTTTGTCCCCGTTGATGAAAACCTGCCGACCACGCTGACCGGACACAAATGGTGCGATCTCCTCGAACTTACCCGTCGGGCTAGTCCTCTCCACCTCGTAAGCCTGCTGGGCCACCTTGTTCTTGTACAGCCTCGAGGTATTGGTCCACCGTCTCATGACCAGCTGGGTGTCGTGTTCTGACGCGTCGACAATTGCTTGTTTGATGTTGGCATGAATCGGCGCTTCTACAGTGCACATGAATCGGGTGCCCATGTTGATACCTTCTGCACCGAGAGCCAGAGCAGCTGCCAGCCCTTGGCCATCCGCGAACCCCCCCGAAGCGATGAAAGGAACCTTCAGTGTTTGTCTCGCACGGGAGAGTAGAATAAAATTGGTGATGTCTGATTCCCCCACATGACCGGCGCACTCGAATCCATCAATGGAAAGGAAGTCGACGCCCAATTTGACGGCAGATTGGGCGTGTCGGATGGTGGTGCATTTGTGCAAGACCGTGATGCCGGCTTCTTTCAACTTTTTGATGACAGGCCCAGGCGAGTTGCCTGCAGTCTCTACAACCTTGATGCCCTCGTCGATGACGACTTGAGTATATTCGAGATACGGCGGAGGGTTCAAAGTGGGTAGGAGGGTAATGTTGACACCGAAGGGGTTTTTGGTCATGGCCCTGCACCTTCGGATCTCTTTACGCAGGTCCTCGGGTGTGGGTTGGGTGAGAGCAGTGAGCTGTACATTGCCAGGTCAGCATGACTGCCACACAAACTTCGTGTAAACGGGCGTACTCACGATGCCCAATCCTCCTGCATTTGACACTGCAGCTGCCAGTTCAGCATATCCGACCCATTGCATTCCACCCTGCACCACGGGCACTGCTTCTGTTAGAATGGCGTACTGGTGAAGGACTCGTCTACTCTACCCTTGATGCCGAGCCGGCGAGTAAGTTCTGTGTCGAAGCCCATCTTCTAGAACAAGGTCGCAATTCACTAGGGGCAACGGGTTATGCCTGCGGACCAGGAGCGCGGTGTATAACAGGAGAGGCACCAAGAGAGGAGTGAGCGGAAGGAAGACTATAGAAAGGTAAAGATATAATGCGACGGATGTATCACTGGCACATATATTCAAATAGCCATTCCAGTCCTGCTGACCCTAACATTGGACCGAGGTGTTGTGCATGCGCAGCGAAAGTCACTGCTCTGGAGGAAACAAGATCTTGTGGGGGGATGATTGAACCCCAGAACCGGGGACCGAGGCAAACACTTCCCAGAACAATCACTGGCTGCGCATCGAGCGCCCAAGGATCACTCATCAAAGAATGTGTCAGGCTAAGAGAACCCCTGTTACGGCCGAAAGACAAACTCGGAACAAATGGTTATAACGCTGCAGATTGTCTATACCGTGTTTTTACATGCCGCCAACAACAGCGCCTCACAGAACTGTTGCAGGCGGCTTCGGAAATGGACTCGCCGTATCGTTGACCCGGTCCGCTCAGCACATGCAGGCGCAGCAAAGTGAGTCCAGCTGCGCTGACTAAGCAGACCCAGCCTTGCACGTGATGTCCGTATTGCCAAGTTGAACTAATCCATTTCGGGCACTTACTACGTAGTGCCAGTCGCTGACTGCGCAGTTCAGGGTCTCGGTGCAACAGTTCAACAGAGGTAGGACAGCATATACTGGACGCACTGCATACCATGCACTCCAGCCTCGTAAACCACTTCCATTCTCCTCTCCTTGCTCACCGGTCCTTTTGCTGCTTCCAAGTATAATTTGTACGCATCGGCCTGGGCGGCAATGACTTGTCTGCGCCATGGGTGCCTCAGAATCGAAGTTGGTCTTCAAGCAAGGCATCTTCAGGCTGTCCGAGGAGAGAAATATCCCGGCCAGTGACCCATATTGGACAGGTGTAAGTAGGGCAACCCCATTGTCAATAGCATGGCTGACTAGTATAGTTCTGGGAGCTGCCTGAATCTGTCGAAGATGTCTTCAGCCTCTTCACTCATGCCGATATTCGCAGAACCCGAGATGCTGCCCTCGAGAACTTGGAGACCCTTATACTAGCCGTGACGTCGCGCCTCAATGTACTCAAGAACCATCCGTCTTTTCCAGACCCAGACCTGGCCCCCGAAAGAGACGCGCTGAACTGCATTCGCATCCTGACAAGATTGCTTCCTTATGTATACGAAGCGGAGCATCTGGCCGACTGGGAGGAGAACTTCTTTTGGGGGATGCGCCGGCGGAGGACTCGAAGAGCACCGGTCGCCGGAGAGGTGCTGTTCGACGAACAACAAGAGGAAGATGAAGCGAACAAGAAGGACCAGGAGCAGGACTTCGAAGAAGCAAAGCCACTTGCCGAAGAGCTGATCGATACACTGACCGACCTCCTCTTCTATGCAGGGTTTACAATCCCTCATCTGCCTCAGGCAAAGAGTAAAGTCACATATGCTATTTGGCAGAGCGGCATTGGGAGCAGGACGTCGATTCCAACCAACAAAGAGTTGGAGAACAACAGATGTGAAGTACTCCGGCTTCTGTTGACATTGACCAGCAAAGCCATGTACATGCCTTCTGCGGTCCTGCCTGCCCGAGGGGTGAGATCAATAACATATATGGCCACAAACCCTGATAAACAGGTTGTTTTGTCCGTGTTGTGCTCTTTGATCAACACCACGATCAAGTCCAACGTTTCATCGTGGCGACTCCCCTATGACCACGTTGTCCGGCGGGATTCCAAGCAGACTCTGGTCGTATACAGTCTGCAGTTACTTCTTGTTCTCCTACTGTATCCGATTCCCGAGGATGGAAATGGACCGGCGCACAAGAACTACTATCGCCATTACCTCGGTCGCCTGCACAGACCAGAGGACTTCCAATTTCTTGCGGACGGCATGACTCAAGTGCTGAGCCAGCCAATGCAAGCGACGACTTCATACCTCCCCGGCAGCCAAAAGTCGGTCAAATGGGCCCCGGAAATGATCATGTTATACTGGGAAGCGCTCCAGTGCAACAAGAGATTTCGAGCATTTATCATCGAATCAAATCGTGCCCACGACTTCGTCATCCTGATGCTATTCTATGCTATCGAGTACAAAACAGACGTGTCGAAGCAGGGCATCGTGCGCATGTGCGTGTTTGTCCTTCAGACTATGAGCGTCGAGTCAAGCTTCGGAAACAACCTGAACAAAAGATTCGAAGCACAGGAAACTCTGCCACCGTCCATCCGGATACCGAACTTCAAAGGGACCTATGCGGACTTCCTGATAATATCAATTCACACTTTAATCACCGGCAGCAAGGGCAAACTTGAAGCTGTCTACCCAGCACTGCTTGCCATTATCAATAATATGGCAGCCTACGTGCAAAATCTTTCGGTTGGCGCCAGCACCCGCTTGGTGCAGCTTCTCACTTCAATGGCGTCGCCCAGCTTTCTCCTCGCCAACGAAAGTAACCATTTACTTTTGCAGGCCCTTTTGGAATCCATCAATGCCATGATTGAGCATCAATATGTGTCGAATGCCAACCTGGTATATGCTGTTTGGCGAGCAAGGAAGCGGATACTGGCCTTGCGAGAGTTTACCCTTGAAGGAGGGCACGCCGAGATTGAACGAGCATCGAGACGACGCAAAGAAAATGCCCTCAACGACGTGAGTAACGGCCTGTCGAGGTCGTCTACTATGGACACTGTCGCCTCGCCAACTCGAGGTGTCCCGCCCTCTCCAACACCAGACACCAGCATGGACGGCACCTTCGCCATCGGAGACTCTGACGACTCTGACCATGATGACGAGGAAGCGCCAACTGCTTCCCATTCTCATTCGGCTCACGCGGCGCCGCGCACATCACGGCCTCCTTCTATAGCATCATCCTCGGTTGCCGACGAGAGCGTACCAATTCAACTTCACGGCATGTCTGAAAAGGCTCGAGGAAAGATGCCCGCGGGCGCGCCAACGTTTTCCCGCCAAAACAGCACAATCAGTCTTGGAGGAACCTCAACGCACAGCGTTGGTCGGGGCGCTTTCACTCCAACGCCAGAATGGCTGGAGAGCTGGCTCCCCGAACTCCCTCTGCACACACTCCTCACTGTGATCAAAGTTCTTTCGTCGCATCCGCTGGCTTCAGCTTCGGAAAGATCTGCTGCTCGCAACAGCCACCATGGCCAGCCTAGTGATGACAACAACAGCAACCATTCCCCCTCGAACCCATCTTCACGCCGTTCCTCCCTAGCCCTTGACGACCGTGACCCTGTTGGCGGCATCAGTGACTTCCGAACCCAAATCCCCGCCACTGCAAAACAACCCGCCATCTCGGCCATTTTGTCCTCTCCCAGCCCTATCAGGGTTCATCTGTTTGAGTGGTCTCCGCTATCTCTGGGATGGTACATGTCAGTATTGTGGTCTTTGATTTTCACGGCCGAAATGAACATCGCTCCTACCTCGTCCACCGCAGCCACTCTAACTGGTGCTGGAGGAACGGTTGCCCGCGTCGGTGTGTGGAATGGGACTCATGTCAAGCTCTTCCAGGTTGCCACCGAGGGCAAGCGAGAAGGCCCCAGTCTGTCTCAACCCAAGGGTGCTGTCGACGCCGTCGGATCCAGACTTGTGCAGGGCGTCCAGGGACTTAATCTTGGTGGCTTGGTCAGTCGCGTTGGCGGCGCTGCCACTGGTAGAAGTGCCAGTTTTCAAGGTCAGGATAACGGCCACGGCCACGGCCACGGGCATGGTCACAACTTGAACTCTGGTACCGGCCCGGCTCCAGGCTCGGTACGAGAAGTGTAAGGGGGCCTAAAGTCGACGGGAAGTCGAGGGTCTCTTTCTTCTGGGGATCAATGTTCGACTTATACGGTGGACTGCAATCCAGGGAATTGCCTGTATGGGGCACTGGCATGGAGTAGTCAATTCTCACTGTTTAGAATCGAGGGTTTCGGTCACTGCTGCAGGGTTGCTTTTTTCTCCCCTACTAGTTTATTAGAGGTACAATGTAATTATAGGCAGGCAAGCGAGGCATGGCGCAGCATGGAGCATAATGCTAAAGTATAGTACCTTAGACACTAGGTATCTTATAGATCCTTTTTGGTTTATTGAAGCCACTGCTCGTACTGCATGGATAGTAACTTCATCATGATCAGTCCGGCCCGTACCACCGATGAGACCCGCAAGACCCAGAGGACGAGATACACTCGGCATGTGGTGGTGATTCAAAGTATATTCGAAACAGCATACTACTAGTATGCGTTGTTGTGACCGCCACCACCAGCAGCTTTCTCCGCTTCCATTCTCTCCTTCTTGCGCTTTTTGGCCGCCAATTCGCGACGCCGGGCCTCTTTTCGGAACCACTCGCTCTCGGGCATCTGGCTCTTCTTTGATTTGCGTTCTTGCTCGCGGTACATGGGAGCCATGGTACCTCCACCACTCGCATCAGCCATGAGAACAGCTTGTCTGCGAACCTGCAGCTTCTTGGCCTTTGCCTTTGCAGCCGGCCCATTGCCGGCACTCAAATGGCTCCACATGTTGTCGTCGACCTTTTCGACGTCAGCGGCAGTTTCCTGCTGGAGCATGACATGGGCGAGTAATTCGTTGCGCTCGCGGGCAGTGGTGTACGCGAGACCAGGCATCTCCGACATGCCGGCCAGATGCGTGATGGTCTTGAACGCATAGCCTTGGTCGACGAGAAATGCCTGTCTTTTGGCACTGTATGCCATCTCCGTCGTGTCTTTGGACACAAGAGAATAAAAGAAGGCGTTGAACCCCTCATCGTTACGCCTCTTCGCTCGTAGGATTCTCCCCAGGCGTTGCGCCTCCTGTCGTCGGGATCCGTAATGTGACGAGATCTGGATGAGACAAGTGGCTTCGGGTAAGTCGAGCGATGTGTCGCCAATCTTGGACAAGAAGATGGTGTTGATCAACTCGTTGTGCTGGAAGTTTTCGAGAATGCTGATTCTTTCCTGGTTGCTGGTGTCGCCGTAAATGAATGGCTTCTTCATGGTGACGGCATAATGTTGCAACGCGAACAAGTTGTCACTGAAGACGATGATTTTGTCTCCACGCTTCTCGTGGTAGTCAATGAGGTACTGGCAGACCTGATACTTGACCGGGTTCATAATGTAGTACAGCGCCTGTTTACGAGTGGTTTCCTTCTGGTATTCTTGGTAGAATTCCATCGACATGGGGCACCAGACCTCTGCGCACTGCACCTTGGCAATATGACCTTGGTCGGCAAGCTCCATCCAGTTTGCCTCGTAGAGTTTTGGCCCGATGATGAAATTCAGATCAGTGATTTTATCGTCTTCTCGTAGAAGCGTCGCCGTAAGTCCCAGCTTACAGTGAGCACGAATGTTCTCGCCGACCTTTCGGAACATCTTGGCGGGAACGACATGCACCTCATCGAGAATCATCAATCCCCATTCTTTCCTATATACCCAGTCCATCATCTGTTGCGTGTCGTAAGCACGTTTGCCCCCGGCTGTGATCATGGAGTAGGTCGTGACCAGCACTCCCGCATCCCCCGTGAACCGCCGCTTTTCAGAGGCGGAGAAAACAGCAATGTCTTCCTCTTTGACATCAGACCACTTCTTGAACTCGTTCGCCCATTGATAGCTAGACATTGCACTGGTGCAAAGAACGACGATGCTCTTCTTGATATGGCACCCAGCTGTAATACCGACAAGCGTCTTGCCTGCGCCACAGGGTAAGACGATAATGCCACTCTTGCCACGGCCATTGCCGAACATTTTACTAAGTGCCTTTTCTTGATATGGTCGAATTTGTGTCTGAGGCCTTAAGTCAATCGGGAGCGTGGGATTCTCATGGTCATCGGCAAAGTCATATTCCGAGATTGCAGGGTAGCCAATATCCAAACACTGCTTCGCAACAGTATCACGCTTGTTCGCGGCAATTTCGAAATTGGGCGCCTCCCGATAGGTATCTTCATCCTCCTCATCCCGAAGAGCAGCCATCATCGCCTCGTTCTCCTTTGTGGGGTCGTCTCTGGGCATTTCTGCATTGCCTGGGTCGGCCTGTTTCATTCCCTTTGCATTACTGGTACCCTGAATCACCGTTGCTTTTGTCTGAATCCTTCCAACCTGGACGTCGGTGCCGGCTGCCTTGCACGGCCCGATGATAGGATCCCTTAACAGCATGTCTATGATTTCGCGTTCATCCGATTCCACGTAGAACTTGTTATTTCTCAAAACCAGCCGGACCTTGCCGTAGGTCTTTGTGTGTCTGTTGATGAAATCGATCACGGTCTGAGGGACAGGAGTCTTCGAAAGCTTTTCTAAAGCACGGATTATGTCTTCACCACGTAGACCTACCGATAAGGCGGCATACAGACTATGCTCGGTGAACCTGTATTCGTGGAGATACGTGGGTCGGGATTGTGGTTCTGCGATCGTGGTAAGCAGGTCCGTGGCTTGCGCCGCCAACGGAGAGAAACTCTCAAGAATGATCTTGGGTCCTTTCTTCGACCCAATCGAGACGTTGGGATCTATCCATAATGGTCGATTCTCGTGGTCGGGTTTCAGGGACAGCCAGGAGAAGTCTTTATCGCCAAATATGGAGGAGGTCTGTTGTCTGTGCTTGGTCCCTTGAAAGGAGCTGAAATCCAGCTTCGCTCTCGCCTTACGAATGTGCTCTTTCTCGCTGTCGCTGCCAGCTTGCGAACGGGCGTCTGATCCCTCGTAGTCATCATCGCTGGTGATGCTCATAGGAGTTGACGGAGCAGGGGTAGAGCGCTTCGACGATCGTGCACTGCCATCTCCAAGGGCCTTTCGTTTGAGAGACATCAGGCTTTCTTTGCCGCAGTATCCTCAAGCGGCGATGATGAACCACAAGCCAGAATGAGCCAGAACGAGCGAAGGGCCTGTGGAAGAGTTGAAGCGAAGACGTTGGCAAGAGCGAGATGAGGTCCAACTTGAAGTTGTAGTTGTCAGTGGCGCAGGCTGCCTTGTGCCTGGCCGGCTGACTCATGCAAGGTCCTTTTCTGGTTGGCGCCCGGACTTGCGTCGGAGAAAAGTTTCTGCGGATGGAGCCAATCTAACGCCGTAACCTCCGGCAGAACAATTACTTGCATGAGGCTCGTATTATTGCCTCGCATGGTCCCCGAGTTCCCGACCGTTTTTAACATCCATATCTACCCGGAACTCTCACCTCGTAGAGAAGATTGTTCAGCTTGTATTCCATATAGAACCTCTGGGATGAAAAGAGGTGCTGATACAAAATGAACACAGTGAGTTAAAGTCGCTTATGCGCAACTGTCACACTTCGCTGACCTTTCTCAGATCAAATCAACCTGGTACGACAGCCTTCCTGCCCTGGTCCATACTCTCTGAGAAGACAAGCTTGGGCTGTATCTGCTGTGTTGGCTACCGCCTTTCCATCTACAAGATTATGTCCCTGTTATGGGCGACAACTGATTTGCTGTGAATAGGTACGGCTGGGGAGTGCTTTGCGTCGCTGGCGGAGGCGCATACTACTTCGCGAAGAAATCCATCAATGCCGACAGAGCTGCGCGTCATGAGGAGGAGATGAAGAGAAAGTCTATTCAACGTCGCCTAGAACAACAGGCTTACTCCTCCAATACCGCTTCTTCTACAAAGACCAAGAAGGTGAAGGAACAGACGGACCCCAACAGTGGCACACACAATACAAAAGGACTGGATCACGCAGGAAGCCCAAGCAGCGAAATTAGTGAGGATGCGGCTCCGGTTGGCCACGCGCCCGTGGATAATGATCAGCGAGTGCGAGAAAGGAGCAAGTACGAAGCCGCAGAACCATACCGCAGCAAGAAGGGTGACCGGTTCAGTTGAATTTGGCAGTTGCCTGGGATTCAGAAAAACTATACAGCTTCAAGGTATTCTCTGATGCTGGCAATGGGAAAGCCCATCATTCTGTACAACCATCGTCCGCGGATCCCTAAGTCCAGGACCGTGCATGCAATGTACCATGCTCCAAATGCACTTCAAATCTTCAAAACGCCTGTGTGTGCTGCGCTGATCCTTCCGTTGCAAACCAGTGCCCGTGTTCCCAGCCCAATGCATAACGCCCCGTCAAGTCTTGTGTGGTCAATATAATTTATTGTCCGTCCATCTTAGGCGTGGCAGCACAGAGGTGCATATTGCTTCTTCGATGCATTCGGATGCCCAGATGCTCTTTCTCGCTTAGATTCAATTGCCGGCGGGACAAAAGGTAGAACGACGGCCGAGGTAATCAAAGTGCCTGCAACGGCTGATTGAAGTCGCGTTGCCTGTCTGGGTGCCTGTGCAGAGAAATGGCGGATGGCGTTTTGTGAGAAAGAGTGTGTAGCGGCACTGGCGAGACTCATGGTGGCAGCTTTAATGTTTTGTAAAAACGAGGCTATGGTGTTCGCTATACTTTGGTACGAGTTCGCGGGGTGTGAGGGCTGATGGAGTGCGAGTGCGTGAGATAATGAGAGGGTCTGCTAAAGTAGGTACTTTAAGTTATGAGAAGGACGTCTTCGACGAGAAAAGTACTGTTTGTAAGGGACTGGTGCCGCCTTTGTGGTCGTGGAATGTAGAGATCAACAAACGAGGACCTTGTGGTTGTTGGGCATCGAGTCACCTGAGGGGAACACTTGAAGTACGTGGGATTTGGAGAAATTGCGTGCTTCCGAAAGGCATACGCGCAGGGGACTGGCAGGCTGATATATCAGGTAAGGGTCTGGATGCGGTGGCCTGAGATGCCCAAATTTCCCGGTAGCATCGCTGCCGAAGATCAGACAACTTGGGCGGGGGAGTAGTACCTTAGTACGCCGTTATATTCTAGTTGTACAGGATTCGAATTGATCATGTCCACACTGACAGGGCACCACAAAGACGTTCGCTGCGAAAGCCACGGCCTCACAGTCACGCCACGCGGAGGCAAGGCGCCAGATGGTTTCTGCGGAAGGTACATGCGAGACGAACGGAACGGGCCCGCAGCCTTGTCAGGTACAGTCATACTATTATTATTAATTCAGCAGCTTCAACAGTGATATCTGGCAAGACTCGCTTCTTCTGGCCGTGCTATACAACATAGTAGTGTAGATTATCTCGCCCGATGAGTGTAAATAATTATTAAGAATTATGGGCGCAATAGAAGGAATGCAATTCGCAATGCGGCGAGATGTCCCAAGCAATGTGGTCCACGAGCGAAGACTACCTGGTACCAACCTGGTACCTAACGGGTATCTACCTGTGTTCAAGATCTCTGCTGCGCTACAGCGAGAAGGCGAAATGTACCTCCAGTAAACTTGAGTACCTTCCACTACATTGTAGTAGCACTTGCAGGATCATCTTTCTACTGTGTAATCTACAAGGTACACCGTGACTGGCATGTGCTACTAGTACTGCTATAAGTCAAACAGTGGTGCTGTGTCGATATGCGGCCTGCGGTTGCTTATCGGGAATACTGCGCTACGATAAGGACAAGCCACCGCCGAGAATCTTGACTGCGATGCCCCTACCACTAGTGCTGGCACTTCACACTCCGCAAACCACGACTCTGCGCGCTCTCTGTTGCGCTCCATTCAGCAGTTCAGACCGCATTTCCTCGTCTCTACTTGTCCGCCATGGCTGCCCATCATCTGTCAATAGCCAAAGCGTCATTTACGGCCTCGCTACTCCGTCCAGATGTGGTCAAGGTCTCTCGAGATGATTTTCCCGAATTCCACAGCGCGTTCGAAGCTGCTCTGCTTCGCTGCTCAAGGCACAACATACAGGTCTGGAGAATTCCAGGATGTCGCACATCTTGAGGAGCTGGGTTGACTGAAGACTGATAGACATGCAAAGAATGGCTTTCTCAGAATGTCCTTGTCTCTGCTACGAGGACCACTGCATTGGGGAAATATTTGACCACAGTATCGAAGTACCTTGCTCCGCCATCAGATCCTACGGTCAAAACTAGCCTGTCGCGACAGCGATTACACATCCTGTACCTAGTGAATGATCTTCTCCATCATTCAAAACACCACGTCACCGAAGAAGGTGTCCTGGACCGTGCCACGAGCTCCCTGCAGCCTTACCTGCTGGACTTATTTCAGTCTGCCGCTTCAGAAAAGAAGACCAAAGTCAAGAGACGCTTGGAGGAATTAGTGGGGATATGGAGACAAGAACAATATTTCGGCAGGGATGTGTTCGCCCAGCTCGATGATGCTGTCGCTGGCGTGGAGCGTTCGGTCGTGAATACATCACAAGAACAATCCAAGTCGGAGAGCGAGGCAAAGCGTCCACTGTATATGCTACCTACAACACACGGTGATCCCTCTCTGCCATACTACGAACTACCTGCGGGTAACCTGATGCCTCACATCGTTCCTAACAGCTCACAACCGATCCGACCAGAGGACGTTCAGGCGTTGAGGTTCTCGGGCGGCCCAGCTGACGAGAGTTTGGTCAATGCGTTGACAGACTTCCTGGCTGATATCCAAACAATGAATGATAAACTGTCGAAGCTCGAAAGTAAGGGTTCAAAACCCGAGATGGATGAGATGGGTCAGATTTCCTACCGTGACGAAGCTGGCGATCTACTCGGGGACACTTACTACGGTTGGTCGCGCTCTTTCTGCGAGAGAATGAAGAGGCGCGGCAGGAGTGATGCTAGTGGCTCACCTCGTGCCGTCTCAAATAGTTCGAGCGTCAGCCGGAGCCGAAGTCGTGGACGTGCCCCTTACAAGCGTCGACGTTATAGCAACTCTACGGATCTCTCGCGGTCGTCGCGAAGTTACAGCCGGTCACCCTCTCGGCGTAGGCGGAGAGACAGCAGCGTGGAACGAAGTGACAGTCGCAAGGGAAGTTGGCCAAGATCGAGGAGCCGCTCGCATCCGCCAGATTGGAGAGGCGCTAGGCCCGAACAACCCCCGAATATGCCTGCCCCAATGTCTTTCAACAACATGCCGACAATTCCACCGCCCCCGACAGTTGCAGGCTTGCCGTTCCCACCACCACCACCGCTACCAGCATTCCAACAAAGCGGCGTACCCTTTCCTCCTCCACGGCCTATCAATTGGTCCGGCCAATGGCCACCTCCACCTCCACCACCTCTATATCATCCTGGGAACCCTGCATTCAATGGTTTGCAGTTTCCACCTGCACCACCAAACATGCCACCGCCGCCTCCGCCGCCTGCAGGTTGGCCAATGCCTCCAACAGACCCCTACGGAGGTAGTAACGGCTACACCGGAAGGCGGTAACAGTTGGGTACAACAGAGAATACATCAGCCTCCAAGTCTCGAAAGGAGCCCTCTCCCGAGGTCGCCAGGTCGGCGACAATGTAGAATGGCGAGATTTTGTTTGCAAAAGGGCCTGAGTCCTTCTCGACTACCGCAATAAAAGAACGCACAACGGTAGAATGATGCAACGTGTGACATGTGGGGTTACGACAGGACCCTTGAGGGATCGACACGATGTCCCGCTACTGCACAAGGCCTGAGTAGTTGGGGTTTTGTCCACGCCACAGGCTAGCTGCACTCACTACCTCGTGCGCCAGATGCGAGAATCGGGAAAGCGCATGACAAGAGTCACGGCAGGCAGAGCATCTGTAGGGAAGTTCCACCGACATGCCTCCAACCATGTCGCGTGCGCGTCGAACCCAGTTGGATGCCTGAAGGCCCTGAGATCCTATGTTAAGAAAAGTTTCGAGGCTCAAACGAGATGGGTCCGGCAAGGCAGCAGAAATGCGTTGGATGGTTAAAGGAACTCGCGCTGCCTCGCGACATGTACACCACAAAGCTGCGGCGCAAAATTGAACGACTTGCCGACGAAATGGTCTAGTTCCTATTTACCGTCCGACAAGGGTGTCTCGGACTGCTTTGCTACGTTGTACTATGTACTCTGTGTTAGGTTGTCTGTGGATCATCGCGTCAAGGCCACCGTTTGAAGAATCTGGAACCCTGCCACGAGCCAGGATCATCGTCATAGGTGTACATTGGTGGGCAGGGCTCTTGAGCAATGGACGGCCTTTCGACACGAACCAACCCTTGCTGTTTCAAATCTGCAGGTCGAACGTTCCCGACGACGACTCCAAGGAATTGGCTGGGGGTCTCAGACCACGACTTGGCACACGCAAGGCTGGCTCGATGCGCCCAATCGAAAAATCTCCGTCAAAATAGAGTTATTAATAAGGCCGCTTGGCATACATCATCGGGTCCCCTGTTTTCGTTGTCGTCTCTCTGCCCCTACTACTGCTTACGTAGTTGAGGCAAACGTCGAATAGGTACCTCAGGCTGGGTAGGTACAGGTAGGTAGATTCCCTCCCGGAAACTCGCACGGGTCTGGCTGCCTCAGAGCCTATCGATGACGATGTGCACTCTGTCACCGGTCAACCTCAACGCCAGCTTGCTCTTTCAAGAGTCAGCTCTTGTAAGTTGTCGCGAGGTGCTGGCATGGCTACATTGCAGGGGGATATGTTCACTGCAACTGACTCTTGATCAACGGGCGTCTAGCCACTCCTCCATATGAGAGTTGAGTTCGAGACCTTCTGGTGCTCCAGTGTGGCTCCACCGACAATCTTATAGAGTCCGGCCACTGAGATGCTGGATTGCTTATCAGCACACGCCCGGGTAGCTGGACAATTTTCAATCAAGTTTGAATCTTGACCCTAGCCATTGGAACACAGGCCATGAGTGTCTACCGACAACCAACAGCCTCCACTCCTCATCCAGAGAGACCAACCGTTTGGACGCGAGATGCGGTCACCATGCGTGACTCCGCCCTTAGACCCTGAACTAACCATCCCGCTCGAGGGATCGGCAGGGTCGCTCCCCCCAGCCAGCATGCCCTTTCGCATTGTGTCATTTGCCCGATCTGCAAAAAGTCGTTGGGAATCACAGCTTTGGCCGTGATCGGAGGCCGACTTGCCCTTCTTCTGATCGTCATACTATCCTTGTCGAGTTAGACAACGACGGCAGAGAGTGGCTACACTGACGGCAACTTGCATAAGCCCGCTGACTTGCCTACACGCCGTCACTGGCCCGCTGGACGCCACCCTCTTTGAGGAATCTGCGCGACAGGGGGTGCTTTGGCCCCCCTTTCAGTGGCCAGCCCGTGGTCTTCCCGTCTACTCGACTGATGAGATACTGTCCAGCCCCGGGGTGCCTCAACTTTCATCATGGTATATATTGTCTGGATCCTCGGCCGTGAATTTCTCTTCCCCCTTTCATCAGATTAACCATATAACATATAACATCAAGCTCATGTCCGCTGCATTCAGCATTTAGCGACTCTCTGCGATCTCAAACCGTCAAAACATCATCATTCCATAGACACCATCGAATCGTTCTCCCACTCTCAAAACCTCTCAAAATGCCTGCCTCAGTCGAATATCTCACCGCTCCTCAAGAGACCATCAACTACGAAGCCGACCCTGTCGCCGCCATGACATCTTACTCACGGATGATGCACCTTCACACCAGACAACAAATGGACGCAGCCACGCGATCAGCACGCCGACGGAGTCCTTCCCACGGTGTCGACGCCCACGGTGGACAATCAGGACTTTCCAAGCAGGGAACTCATAGCAGCTCTTCTTCGAGGTCATCTTTCTGAGCGCTCGACACATTTTTCGACATTTTCGTCAGCAATCCACTAGCATCAATGCCATTGCGCCCTAGACCAGCCTCATGGCTTTCAACTAACACCAAATACTTCGTCAGCTGAAAGTACCATGTACCACCGTGATGATGTCACTCTGGCTCCACGGAGACTACGATACCGTGCAATGTACAACACAGTCGATCGGTTCAAGGCTGCCCAATTCATGACAAAATTCGAGCATCTCTTTGCTCTGCCATTGCCCTTGACCCAGATGGTCGATTTGTGGGAATTTACTGTTTTCCAGCGACATTATGAGAGGTACTTCGCATTGGTCTGGCGTCACGCACTGTATTACTAGCCGTCTACATGCCCAGATGATTTTGGGGCATTTCCGTCATGCAGCATTCCGTATCGCTGGACGGTATTATATATGTTATTTGTCTCAATTAACATGATTCGCCATTTACACTGGGTCTTTTCTACTGAGCAATTAACTTTATGTTTGTATTTCAGTGAATTGTTTTAGATTTTCGTAGCGAGAGTGGTTCAAGTGTGAGCGGGGGAGATGGTTCACTGCTTGTAGCGGGTAACAGTTAATCTGTATTCTTTGGGAGAATATGTGAATGGAGATTTTTCAAACTACTCGTACCGACCTAACACCCACCAGGCTTCGTTTGCATGTTAGAACCACCGATGATGCGGTAGGGTTGTGTTGTTGGGGGAATGGGAGCATCCTGGAGTTCCGCAACAGCCTCGTCGATCACTTGCATCATGAGCGTCCACCAAAGGACGTCATGCTACACAGCCGCCCAAGGATTTCCCATGCAGATTCCCATTCCTCGATTCCTTTGTGCCAACCCCCCTTGCCACTTCTCTGCAAATGTTAAGCTTCCCTTTCTCTCCGTAACTGTCCAAACATCTGACCTGCCAGTGTGGGTCTCTTTTTTCGGATCGACTGCAAAATGGTCTGGATACTTCTCCCATAGGAGGATTCCAACATCCATTCGTCGTGATGACTTTCCCATTGTAAGATGATGGCAGATCTTGCAAAACGTGCCACGACTCAAGCAGGCGTATGATGCGCTGAATCCACGGATGATGTTAGACTGTCAGCCAGTTGCCAGCTGTCTCACGTCCGCCTTCAGAGTCCATTATTGTCATCAAGTCCACGCCTGAATAACATTCGAGTGCCTTCCAAGCTGAGGCATACCTGGGGCGCCCGAGACTTGACTTTGCTGTCCGGAAGGCCTCGGTAGGCAGTGCCCCGGCATGCCAACGGCAAGACGTCCGAAGTTAGACACAATAAGGCCAGCTTTATAGGCACCTTGTCACATCTTGCCACCCGGGAACTTTGGGGCCAGAGCAGGCGCCCTATTTCGCGTAACGATCCGCGCAGACAACCACTGCATCCACAAAGTTGATGGCCGGGACACAGAAGGCCGCAGTTGGGCGTCATAGCCTCAAAATGGGGCAGCTCACCCAGGAAACCCGCCATCCTCAAGACAAGGCATAATTGATTGTATTCTGAGCATTCAATGATGATATCGATTGTGTTGTAAGATGATGACAGTCATTTGCTTTGGATATCGCTCAGCATTCCTTGTCCACGCTGCTGCAAATGAACATATTTTTGCTTGCCTATATGACCTATTAGCAAAATAGGATCTGCGACCGCTGTGTCGACATTGCCTTTGCCGATCAGCCGGCAGCCTGAGGCTGCATGCACACCCTCGACGAGTGATTCAATCTGACGATACCGTCATGGGGTTGACCGATGACCGATGACCAGAACCCAAAATTTGACAGGCCTCACCTGCAGTGTGCTTTCTGACGTTCCAGGGTCCCTAGGATCTCGTGGTGCGGTTTCCTCTGCTGACGATGTTATCGGCACTGTGACATCAGCCGTGGCTGATCAGCAAGTTTATGGTGGCCTTTGGGCGTCATTCGAAGATCCTCATTGCCAGCATAATCGAAGAGGCTCGTTCACACCGGCCTGCCCGGAGCATCATGGTCATGGGGTTGAGAGGCACCCCTGGGCAGCCATCTTTTTTCCCTCTCTTTTGCTCGTGTTGGAGTTAAAATGACAATGCATTTCGTGCCCCGGTCGCAGATAAAGAACTGCTGGGGGTGAAATGTTCCGATGGACTTTTCACTTCGTGTTGCTAGAGTTTGAAGAGCGCCCTCAACACCGCGGAATTAATACTGCTGCACTGATACTTGAATCCCTCCAAGATATGATGAGGCTCGAACAAAACTGCTCGTGTGAACACCACAGAATTTCGCATGCTTTCATGCGAATACTTTTAACAGACAGGCACTCTTACTTGTAAGGAACTGTCAAATGTTTCTCAGATCCATGGAGTCGGGTGAAACTGCACTCCATGGGGCAATTGCACCAGGAACGTGGATTATCGAGCGCCTGAGGCTCTAAAATCGGACATCCTGTACAAATCATGCCGTTGAGTGAATCGATGCGTACATCCAAGATACCTGTACCTCGTATTCGGCGAAGAGAGCATTTCGCTCCCCACCTTGGCAGCCTTCCGCTTTACAGTGCAATCACGTTACAGCCCGAGTCCGTAGTGTGATTTCACGGAGGACTTGTCCTATTTCAACGGGGCCTAGGGCCTCGTCAGACTATATACTTTCTAGGGGTTATACGATAGCGTACGACGCTAGTCGAGATCGAAAGACGGTCCTCGACGTCTTTATAATACTTAGTACGTAGAGTACCTATTTTATTATATCCTCCTCTATCTAGACCGTTAAATAGTCTTATTCGTCGTCGAAGAACGTCGAGTACCTTTATTAATATTATAATAGAGAATAAAATAGTATTCCTATATTCTAAATACTTCGTTTCCTAAGTAGTTCTATCGTTAGAATAAGTATCTATAGTATCTATACCTTCGGTATCGATCGAGATATATAAAGCGAGTATATATCTCTTATCTTTAGCTATAGAAGTAGTATATACGCCCGAAATAGTAAAGCTAAATAAATCGAGGGTAAATTAAGGTCGTTAAGACGATAAGTAAAGAGAGTCTATACGCGTAATAGTACTCGCCGTTACTCTTCGAAGCTAATCCGGGGTTAATCTAGTGAGATTTTAAGGAGTATAAGTAGACGTCTTTTACTTCTTTTCTTCTTACTTTCTTTTATATCTCTTTCTAGTTATTTATACTTCTAAGCTCTAAGTCTTTTATCGATTAAAGCTAAATATTCTATAACTACTATTATAGTTATTATATTATCTAGATAAGTTAAAACGTCGACTAGACTATAAGTTCTAAATACTCCGTACTATCGATAAGTTAAGAAGATAATTAAAGATCTACTAGTAACTAAGACGATAAAGACGACTTCTTTCGTAAATATACCGTATTATATCGAAAGATATAGTTACTAATTCGTTTCTAGATCGACGATAATATTTATAGCGTTAAGCCTAGCGATATAGTAGTTAATTCTATTATTTAGGCGAAATAGTACTAGAAGTAGTTCTTTTCTCCCGATAATAGCTTATCGATTTAGCTATATAGCCGTATTTCTCGGAGATCTATTAAATTTTACGGTTAAAGAGATATTACTAATATATACGTTAGGAATACTCTTATAGAGTATATAGTAAATATCGTAAATAATCTATATTATAAAATATATCTTCGTATAGTTAAACTAGATTCTTATCGAGAGTCGATATTCTTAGAGTACGTTTTAGTATCTATCTCGAATTCGCCTACTTCTACTAATATAGTATATTTTTTCGGCGGAAAATATATAACTTACGCTATCTACGAAGTCGATTATTTCTTATCTAGTAATAGAGATATAAGTAGCGAAGCTTCTAGTCGTTATCGACCTACTATATCGATATTAACGCCTATTTAAACGCGTAGTACTAAGAAATATCGTACTCGATCCCCTAAAATATAGAAAGAAGATCTAGTAGAAGATATAAGAGAGATACGTTTTAGCGAGAAGATAAGTAGTCTATATATAGCCGACGAGGCTAGAGAGATAAGTAGTTATATAGCTATCGAGATTAAAGGTCTAGAGAATAGATTCGACTTCGTATTATCGCTATAGATAAATATAGAAGATCGATATCGAAAGATATTAATCGCTATCTAGGAGATAACGTAGTAGACTTTAAACCTATATTATACGTCGAAAACTATTAAAGTTATTCATAGAATCGGTAAATCCGATATATATATAGAGTAATATTCTCTACTAACGCTAATATAATAAAGTCGTTATTCTATAATATTTATATCTTTAGTAAGAATAGAAGTCGTCGAGACTAGTCCGAAGTCGGAAGAATACGGCTATATAGCTAACGAACTACTACTAAGGTACCGTTAGTATATTATCGATTCTTCTCTCGAGCTATTATTATAGATATAAAGTTTATCTAGACGTATATTAGAGATACGTCGTTATACTAAAGAGGCTATATAATACGTACCTACGCCTCCCGAGCTAGTATACGACTCTAAGCGTAGTTAGATTATAACGTAGTAATAATTCGTACTAGTCTTATCTTCTATAGATTTATCGATATAGTCTATATAAGGCTATATATCGACTTATCCGGTACTAGAATATCCGTCTTTTTATTATCTAGCGTATAGATAGTCTACTACTTCTACTTATTTAATATATAATATTTATCCGCTATCTACCTATATATAGTAATTAAGCCCTACTTCTAGTTTAGGCCTTTTAGGGTATTCTTACTATAAAACGACGGCGTCGATAGAGATATTACTATTAGAACCGGCTCCGATAGTATTATAGTAAGAAGACCGCGAAGTATTACTATTTTCTTATACTACTACGGTAGTAGACGATACTCTACGAATAGTCTATTTTATAGATAAGTCTTCTAGTACGATACGACGAGTAGAGAAGCGCGAGCGAGATTCTTCTACGCCTACTATATAAGGCGATTTACTATAATTTATTAGTTATTTTTAGGTTTTTAATATACCTAGAGCGCTTCGTAGGACGTCCCGATAACGTATAGCTAAGAGTTAAGACCTAATCTACGCTCTAGTTACTATAGATTATCTATAGAGAATACTATTATTATTAGATTATTTAGTCTCGTACTATCTTTAGTCTAGAATTAGGTCTTAGTAAGTATCCTTCAATATATTATTAATAAGAAACTAAAGACTCGATTATATTATAATTAATATTTTAGACTACTAACGAAGATAATAAATTATCTCGTCTCCGCTTCTTACGGAGTTTCGAGTACTCTTAAGGAATAAGATTCCCCTCGAGTATCGAAAGAGTTATTCTAGTAGAACTAGAAGATATCGTAGATATACTTTCTATAGTATCGATAGATATCGAGAAGAATAAAGTAGATATATTCTAGTTTATAAGATTCTATAGTCTTATATCTTTAGATTAATTTAGTCTATTAACGAAGTATAATTTCTTCTTACTCGAGATAGCTTTAGCTAACTTATTATAGCTATTCTCTATATAATTTATATAAAATAGACCTACTATATTATCTATATACCCTACGATATTAATAGGATAGATCTCGATATCTATCGATATAGATTCGAGTAGCTTAGTATAGAATAGAATAGAAGTATCTTATATAACGGTATCTTAGTACGATTCGATAGAATTACTCTTATTCCTTAAGATCTCTTATCTATCCTAAATATAGTTTTCCGTTCTTTTCTAGAGTATTAAAGAGATTTCGAGAGGATCTAAAGTCCCTTCGTTCCCTATTCTTCGCGTATCGAGAGAGTTAGACGATAATAGTCTATTACTACTCTTCTATTTCTATTTATTCTAGGCGTATAAAGAAATAAACTCTATTCTAACTATTTTATTCGATACTCTTAAAGTATTAATATCTTTATTACTCTTTCTAGCGACGAGATATTATCTATCTAAAGGCGGAGTAATCTACTCTAGAGAATTAGAAGCGAGAGCTACTTCGATTATAGTTTATTTCTCGTAGGCCGTCGTAGTCTTCTCTATCGACGTCGCGCCGTAGAATATTAGCTTCTATTCTCTATTTCGCCGATATCTATTTATTAGCGTTACTTTAGCTCTACGGCTCTTCTCTATCTTACTTAAACTATCTTCTAGTTATTCTTATAATATTTATTATTACTTTAATATTATTAATAGCTCGTAGTATATCGAGAGATTAGACTTATTACTAAGTATCTAAAGTACTTTATTCGAAGGCTTCGTTATACTATCTCTAACTATTTAGAGTCGTATTTACTATACTCTAGTAAACGATTAGATTATTTATTTATCTAAATCTATCGAGTAGTATCGTATTAGATAGTTTTTATAAATAAATAGGCGTAAGACCTTCTAGTCTATCGTTTCTAATATATAAATACTAAACTATAACTTCTTTAGAATCCGAAAGAGTCCGAAGTAGTTAAGTTCGAATTTCTACTTCGAGATATTATTTAGAAGGATAAAATCTCCTTCTTTAAGTAAAAGATATAGTATTTCTAAACGCGTTAATCGTAGTTTTCGAGAGTATAGCTCTCTCTCGACTAGTAGCTTATTTACTTCGTAATATATAATATATAGTTATTCTAGTCTCGAGATAAAGTCGATATTAAGGTTTAATAGATTAAATTCTTATTAATCGCCTATTAATTAAGATTTAAGACTATAGATAAGCTTATATAGACTTATTCTAGTTACTATATAAAATCTAATATAGATTATAAATAACGTCGATAAAAGATATTCGTTCTATAAAAGGATTTATTATCTAATAAGTTACTTTATAAGAATTTCGCCTAGTATTCTATTAAATCTTTTTATCTTCCCGTTAGTCTAGAGATAGTAAGATATTATAGTATAATACTTTACCTTAACGCGATCGAGATAGTACTTGATAATCTTCGAGATTAAATTAGCGCTATTATTTAATAATAATTCTTAAAATACTCTATACTAGTAGTAGATTTCGAATAGGAAGTCGATAACTACTTTATCCGTAGTATTCTTTATAGCCTTTACTATTAACTAGTCTATAGAGAAATTAATAGTCGTTAGAATCTAACGATTTCCGTAAAGTATAGTTAGTAAAGAGCTAACGAAGTCGATTATCTACTTTTCGAAGAGTCGGGAGATCCGTCTAATCTACGAATATAGTTCTTTCTAATTTTTCTTCTATCTCTAGACTAACTAGTATTAGTTATAAGTTTAGATATATATAAGAATATTCTTCGTTATAGATAGCTACTATTCGCGTATCTTAATAATACTTTCTATAACGGCCGCGCTATAGTATTCGTAGTACTTATAATAGTATTCGATAAAGTCTTAATAAAACGATATAGAAATAAAGAAAGCGAAGTAATTACTAATCTTTCGGAATAGGCGGCCTTCTTCTACGAAGTATTAATCTAGATCCTTAATACGCGCTAGCTACTCCTTCTAGACTAGATTTAAGTCGAATTTATTCTTCGTAGTTAATCGAGCTATAATAGTATCTTTCTATTCTATATCGTCGTTCGAATATACTATTTATTAGATATTTAGGAATACTTCTACGCCGCTAGAGATCTATACTTTATTAGTAGAGCTCTTTTCTAGAAAATCGAGTCGTCTAAAAATAGTATTAGAGATAATAGCTTCGAAGCCTTTACAATATTAGATATTTAAGTCGAACTCGAAAAACTTATTAATCTACCGCGTAAGGCGCTTTAAAGGCGTCCGAATAGTATTTAGATATTTTAGACTTTTATAATCGATTACGACGACCGTCTTATAGCTATTCTAGAGGTATATAATCTAGGTTCGAAGAGTATACTTAATAGCGAGAAGTTCCTTTTCGTATATAGAGTAGTTTAACTTAGCTCTATTAAGTTTCTACCCGTTATAGACGACTAGATACTACTTTCTATTAAGTCCTTCTTATAGAAGAATATAATCTAAAGTCTACTTAAAGTAGTCTATTTCTACGTAAAAAGGCTTCGATTTATCGACTTATTATAAAACTAGTTTAGTAGCGAGGGCCTTCTTAAGTACTTAGAAGGCGTATTCGTATCTCGCGTTCTATTAGATAGGTCGGAACTTCTTTTTTCGAAGCTCGATATCTATCTCGATTAATAAATCGGATAAAGGTATAGTAATCTTTATAAAGTCTTTAATAAATCTCTAGTAGTAGAAAGCTAAATCTAAAAACTAGCGTACTTTATATACGTTTCGAGACTAAGGCTATTCGAGGATAGCTTATATCTTTATAGACGTAGGTCGATACTCTCCGTTATCTACTATATATCTATAGAATTTAAGCTATTAGACGCTAATAACGTACTTCGACGACTTCGTATATAGTTTATAGTTATATAGTACCTTAAATATCTATTCGAGATAGTATTCGTATTCTTCTTCGATCTATAAGTAGATAATAATATCGTCTAAGTAGACGATTATAAACTTACTAATAAATTCTCGTAGAGTATTATTTATAATCCTTTAAAATATCGAAGAGATATTAGTAAGTCTAAATAGTATAGCTAAGAACTCGTACTTATCGAATCGCGTATTAAAGGCGGTCTTTTCGATAAATATCTTTTCTATCTAGATCTAGTAGTATTCTTAAATAAGATCGGTCTTTAAGAGCTATTAAGCGGCTTCGATAGTATTAAGATAGTTCTAGATTCGAGATAAAAAGTAGATATTCTTAACGGTAATATTATTAAAAAGACGATAATCGATATATATTCGCTATTTATTTCTAGATTTAGGTATAAAGAGTATAGAGAAACTCTATAGACTTTCTAAGAGCCGAATTAGACTTTATTCTAGTAAAGTACGAATTTATCGATCTTATTTATCTCGATATTCTTTCGATAAAGAGTAGTAGAGTAAGTTAATAGATTTAATATCGTCTATATTAATTTCGTACTTAATATTCCGCTTCGTTAGAAACTTAGTAGATAATTCTTCTCGAAATACTATTTTAAATCTTTCGAGGATACGCCTAAAATACCTATTCTTAGTTCTAGATATTAAAGAAGTTACTTTATTACTAGAACTCTATTCTCGTATAAGATATAAGATAAAAGTCTAGTCGAATATAGATAGTTTAGAAATCGCCTTCTAAGTCTTTCGGAAGCTAAGTAGATTTAATCCGGTCTCTTCGATATCTTTATAGTTAATAGTTCGAAAGGGTTAGAGAGATATCGAAGTTAATTTTCTAATCCTATTACGTACCGTTATATATAAGTAACTAAAATTCTAGAAAGCGCTATACTTCTTTAGCTAGTTAAGTCTAAGAATAACGTTATACGCGTCCTAATCTAAGATACGAAGTATCGTTCGAGCTCGAAAGTTATCGACGGTTAGGCTTATTATAATAGCTTAATTAGAGAGAGTCGTCTCGCTATTAGTAAGATATACTTAAAGAGATAATCTTTAGATAATTTTATAGTTCTTATCTAGTTATTTAGCGACTCTTCTTAAGATATAGAAGATATCGAAGCCTATATTAAGAAGAACTATAACGAGGTAAGAGTTACTATACTATTCTAGCGACTCGCTAGCGATATTATATCTCTAGATACGGTCTAAGTTATAATCGAAGACTTCGGTTATATTAATAGTAATATTTATTAGATTATTAAAAGAGAAGTTAGAGTCTAATAGACTTATATCGATAATCTTCGAAAGGTCTATAACTTCTTTATTATCGCTAGACGCTCTACTATCTAGCGACTCTTCTCTTTTTCTCGATAGTCTTATTTTATAGACTTCTTCGAATTAGAGTAATCTTTCTTTTAATAGTCGGCTTCTTTATAATCGAAATAGAGACTATCGTCTTAATACTTCTAACGAAAGCTACTTAAGAATCTACGTCTATTTTTACGACTACGCGAGATTTTAGTCTTAGTAGACGAGAAGAATCTTAGTCGAAGGCCGTTAAGGGCTATCTCGATATTACTATTAGCGTTCTTACGATCTAGTTAGATAGTCTAAGGAGATTAAGAAGATTTTCTTAAGGAAAATTTTCTCGACCGATCTCGAAGAGAAGCTATTCTATATATATTAATTTATATCTCTCTTTCGCTTTTATCTATAAAAAGAGCGTAATCTTTATAATTTTAGAAAAGTATAGTATCTAGAAGAAGTTCTATTTAATTTCGAATAGTCGTTCTAAGCTCTCGTTTAAAAATAAGTAGATATTCGATATCGCTAGAGCGAGAGTTAAGATATAGTCGAAGAGTTTCGATCTTCTATCGAAACTCTTATACTATTTCTATTTATTTAAGAGAGTCGAACTTATCTCGACGTTACTCTTATATTCTAATATTACTAAACCCCGTCTAGAATACTTTCTTTTATATCTTCTAGTTAGTTAGAAGTAGATCGATTCCGAAACTATATTTTATATCTTAGTATATAAGATTCTATTATATTAAGATATTATCTTTAAGATAAAAAGTTACTAGAGCGATACGTTCGCGGCCTATTAAAGAACGTTTATTAACGACTTTCTTCGCGTCTAACTATCTTTCGATATAGATTAGCTAAACTTATATCGCGTCGTTATTCTAATAACTCTTATATCTTAGAGGCTTTTTAAGCTCTATTCCGCTAATATCTTAGAATAAATCTAACAATAGATACTACTATCTAGATAAGAGTTTAGATATATTCGTCTAGTTTATAGATAAGAGGGTAATTCTCGATAGGCCGTCCGTAGACGTCGAAGCGAAGATTTCGAGAGTTCTATAGTATCGTAGATAGTCGGTAAGAGCCGCTATAGTCCTTTCTAGATTTCTAAGGCGATTCTCTTCTAGAAGTCTATATATTCTCTATAAATTAGCTTCTTTTATAGAGATATTAATTTCTAATACTACTATTACTAGAATTAAGAGAGTATTTATACGATATTTAGTATAAAAGAGCTTTCGGATATAGTTTACGAAATATAAGTAAGAAACGAGTAAAAGATAATATACGATAGAAGAAAGATAAGTAATCTTAAGAAGAATATATTCTTTATAGAAGCTTCTATCTTATTTAGCGAGAGCGCTTTATAACTAGCTCTCGATATTCGAGACCGTCTCTAGCTAAATAGTACTCTATTCCTCGAGAGATCTTACTATACGCCTTTCTTTAATCGATCTATTATTTTCTATCGTCTATAATAGTATAAATAGATCTAGATAGATCTAGATAACTATCTAGTCTCTACTAGTATAATTTAAATAAGATTCTAATAAAGGGTTCGTTCTAGTAGTAATATTTCTTTTTCTATTAACGCGTTAAGTCTCTCGACGATACTATTATTCGTAGTATCTAGACTAATAGAATATAATTAAGAATATCGAAGTAGTCGTTACTACTATATCTTAGTTATATTATTAGCTATTATTTATAGTTAAGGGTATCTAAGGGTAGCGAGACTAAAATTTTTAGAGAGAGAGAAGTTACTATTTACTACTATAATTTACCTTTCTCGATAAGAAATTTTTATCGCTACTCGTTATTCTAAGAGTATAATTCTCGTAAGTCTTCGCTACGAAACTAGAAGAGATTCGTTAGATATAAAAGACGGACTTCGAGCTAGAAAATTTCCTTATCGGTTAATTTCGCTATATATCGAGACGGTTTCGTTTATCTTTAATCGACTTTATATAAAAGGATATCGATCTTCTCGGCGATCGACTACGCTTCTCTTCTTCTCGAGAGAGTATAGAAGTTCTTACGGACTTTAGTTTAAGGTAGAGAACTATCTTATCGCCGCTACTAAATATAATTTTACGGAGAACTTATCCTATTTTAACGGGGCCTAGGGCCTCGTTAGACTATATACTTTCTAGAGGTTATACGATAGCGTACGACGCTAGTCGAGACTGAAAGACGGTCCTCGATGTCTTTATAATGCTTGGCACGTAGGGTGCCCATTTTGTCACAGTAGCACTAGTTATCTCCGGTCCAAGGCGGCCGTCAACTCAGCAAGGCTCTCGGCCGAGATGAATTTCCCGCCTCCGCTTTCTCCGAATCATCCTTGCACATCAACTGCGTTCCTCGATCAACAGCACTGCACAATATGCGAAAACTTGGTAAGTCTTGCTCTCGCAAAAGGGAAAGATGTAAATTGGAACGACAATAAATCTCCTACAAATCCGTAGGACCCGTCATGGAGAGTCAATCGCGGCCACAGCCACAGAATGAACAATCTGACCTTCAACGGCTTCACGACGAGGAGCCAGAGAGCCCACAACCACAACTGCGCCGACGAAGAAGGCCAGCACTTTCATGCCGTGAATGTCGTCGTCGCAAGATCAAGTGCGACCAAACCACGCCATGCGCAAACTGTGTTCGTCACAACACCCGATGTGTCTATCAGCTCTACAACGATGACCCCAGGCCAGTCATCCCTGTCCGGCGCTCGCGCCCGCGGACACCAGAATCGACAGCGAGCTATACTCCGGCAACTACCAGTCGCACAGTACCATCCTCATCGCTGGACGACATAAGCCAAGTTCGAATTCAACAGCAGAAGCCGGTAAACTCATTCGGGCCGAATGGATCATATGTACGACAAATTCTTGGTCATCGTCCATCCGACCATGTTACAATGTCGCAAGCAGGGACAGTACCAGCCGATCCTGAAGCTCCCGCGCAGGCCCCGAGCCCTTCCAGCCCTAATCACATTCCGGACATCCAGAATCTGCTGCAAAGGATCCAAAGACTCGAGAAATCCGCAAAGCGCCCTGTTGGCGAAGCTGAGACAGGCCACTCAGAGGCAGGCCGACGGACACCAAAGCGTCAATGTGCAGGCAATGGCGATCCATCCGAGTCTCTGGACTGGCGAACCGTGATGAACAAACCAAGAGACATGGGCAGGGGTGACTGGAAGGACATAGCGCAGGAGTTCACTCCCGTCATCGCCTGCTGGGGCGAGCTCATGGGCAAGCCTTATGGCGACAGCGGCCCCTATCAAGAACCAGAAACAGCAGCCCTCATTGCCGAGGCGGGAGAATACCTCGGGAAATGCAAGAATACAGCCAAAGCCATCAAACTTATCCGACCTACACGTGGCCTTTCAACGTCTGCAGACTTTCGAGCCCCTCCGCCGCGCGAGCTGTCCGACGACCTAGCCAAGCTATACTTCCAATGCTTCGAGTCCACACACCGCATTCTCCATGCTCCCAGTTTCTGGACGGGCTATCAGAGATTCTGGGACTCTCCGGACTCTGTCACGACTGATCTGCGCCTGACAGTTCTGCTAGTGATAGGCATAGGCTCAAGTCTATACGACCATGGAAGTCCTGAAGCAGCACTTCTCAATGCCGAACTGGTACATCACTGGATCTACGCCGCCGAGACATGGCTTGCGGGACCCCTGGAGAAGGACCGCGTGGACCTGACCGGTCTACAAGTTTATTGTCTGACAATATTAGCTCGGCAGATCTTCTCGATTGGCGGAGACACAGTCTGGATGTCGATGGGATCTCTAATCCACCGAGCAATGCAGATAGGGCTACACCGCGACCCGAAGAAACTACCGGGCCGCCCTGTATCTGTTCTCCAAGCCGAACTCCGGCGACGACTGTGGGCGACCATCCTCGAACTTATTGTCCAGTCGTCCCTGGACGCAAGAATGCCACCGAGAATATCGTGTGATGAATTCGACGCCGAACAGCCCAGCAACATCAACGACGACGAGATCGACGAATCGACCACGATCACAACACTCCAACCTCACCCAGAAGACCAGTTTACTTCCACATCCATCCAACTCGCACTTCTTCGCTCTCTCCCGGTCCGCCTGCGCATTTTGAAGTTACTGAATGGGATCGGCCACGATGAAGAACCATCCGAATCATCACAATCACAATCCTTTTACAATCTCGTCCTGTCTCTGACTGCCGAACTCACAGAATCCTTGAGCGCCAACACTACTCTAATGCGAAGCAACTCTCAGAACCCTACTCCAATTCCGTTCCACCGAAACCTCCTTGACTACCTCGTTCGCAGATTTATCATCCCACTCCACTACTCATTCAGCAACCAGGCCCGCATCAACCCAATGTACTACTACTCACTCAAACTCAGCCTCGACGCCGCCTTGGCAATCATGTCGCCTGAAGAGCCGGATCCGGGGTTCAGAAGACTCATGACCTCCGCCGGCGGATTGTTCCGCGAAGGTCTGCGCGTGGCCATGATGGGCCCGTGTTTAGAGTTGCTCGTCCACGTCCAGGCCCAAGCTTCGGATGGCACTCTCCACCTCACCACGCAGTATCGCGACCTCTTGAAGCAGGCTGTTCGAGACATGATTTTTCTCGCGGAACAGCGTATTCGACATGGTGAAACGAATGTCAAAAGTCACATGTTTTTGAGTATGGTGTTGGCTCAGGTCACGGCCATTGAGGACGAGGTGCCTGTTGAGTTGCAGTTGGCCAAAGGTGCTAGGGATAGTTTGAAGTATTGTCATGGGATCCTGAGGTTGAGGGCGGAGAAAATGTCGTTGGCGCCTACGCCTACTGGCACAACAATGTCTGATGCTACTACCGCCGCTGGCTTTGCAGGTGGTTCTGGTGTGGACATGAGTGATGGATATGGCTATGGCTATGGTCTGGACTTTGATTGGGAGTCGTTCTTGCCTGATCAGCCTTTTGCTACCTAGTGGTATGGCTGGACTGTAAACCCGCTTTGATCACAACGGTTGAGTTGTCGACCGGGCCCCTTGTAAGTATACTTTATCATTAATTAACAATTCTGTACAATCTCGACACCTTAGTACTTTTTCAGGAGATTGATTCAACACCTTAGTACTTTTTCAGGGGGATTGATTCTTTGGTGGAATGAATGAGATGCGATCTATTCTTCAGGGGTTGATACTTTTGGTGAGAATTGAGAGGAGAGTTCCCAAGCCATAATGCTACCATCTTCGACCACCAACCCTAAGCCTCACAAAACCCAACGCCGCCTCCCCCACCAACAATACCGTACAAACCATCATTTTCCCGGTTCCCTACAAGTACAGGTAGAAATGTAATGTCGGTCCGCACTTAAGCACTCTTCTTCTTCTTCCCCTTTGGCATTCTCACGACCCAATACAAGGCCACCGCGACCGCAATATTGAACACAACATAGACCCACAGCAGCCCAAAATTGCGCCATCGGTCAACATACTCTGAGCCCACGGTATGAAGATAGACATTCGTGTCCTTCATCCTGCAATAGCGACAATTGTGCATCTCAGCCGGGTCCAACAAATACCCACCCGCCGTCTCGATATAGTCAGCCATGTACTCTCCACACGTCTTCCCGGCCGGCGGATGGAACAAGGTAAACTCGTTATCCGCACAAGTGACCTGGACATTGGCGAGCCCCGTAGACAAGACAGCGGAAATAAAGTAACTCAGCGGAGAGGCCCGATACATAAAGATCCAGAATCCAGGCATCTGATCCGGCAGGGCCAACACACCACAGAAGAAGAAAGACAGGAAAAACAGCATGGTGGCCGTATTTGCTCCCGTGTCAGCGGACCCCGCGGACGAAATGCAAAGATGTGCAAACGTCGATACCCAGAGCAAGAAAACCCAGAACAGCAACCACATCAGCGATGCGCGCTCGGTGGCCTGGTGCGCCTGTTCGGCATTCGAGTAAAAGCCCACGGGGAAGTAAAATGTCACGTACATCAGCACAGACGAGACGGTGTACCAGGGCAACTCGGCGACGATTTGGGCGAGCATGAATACGGCCCAGCTGTATGTCTTTGCGGGTCGTTCGCGCACTTCGTAGAGAGAGCGTTGGGTCATGAAGTGTGGGACTTGTTGGTTGATCAGTTGGGTGACAATGCTGGTGAGTTCGAAGATGGCGAACATTTGGTTCTGGAGGCCTTGGATGCTGAGTGGTGAGTGGAGAAATACAAGGCCGATGAATAGACTGGATGCCGTGCATAGGATCAATTTGGAGTAGATGTATGATGGGGTTCGCCATGTTTGTTGCAATACGCGCTGCGTTACGACTAGGAACTGGTGCCATAATGGGGTCGCGAATTCTCGGTACAAGGCTCGCTCGTGTTTGTCGCTGTGCGAATGGGGATGTGGCTGGTCACTGTTGTTTTTGCCTTGGGATCGGAGACGTGCCAGTTCGCTTTGCACGGCTTGGTACTCTGGGCTTGAGAGCCATACTTGGTGCCAGTCGATGTCGGAGTGGCTGCCTGGTTCGGCGCCGATGGCTTCGAGCATCCATTCGGCTGGATTGGCGCCGGGGGCACATTGTTTGGCTCCGTTGTGCTCGAAATAGTTGATCATGGTGGTAGAGTTGTCACCCACGTCGCCTGTATGGACAGGAAAGGAATTCCATGAGTTAGCTAAAGGACATACAAGTGGATCAGGTGAAGATGAGACCTGCGTGGTTTTCGTGGCAAGGACAGATCAAAATGCAATGTGACTTACCGAAATAAACTGTCTTGCCTCCTTCAGACAGCAGCAATAGGCGGTCGAATCGTTGAAACAGCATTGCAGAGGGCTGGTGAATGGTGCAGAGGATAGATTGACCCGCCTTCGATAGCTTTTCCAGCAAGTCAATGATGGCCCAACTGGTCTGAGAGTCCAGGCCTGATGTTGGTTCATCCACGAAAAGAAGAAGAGGCGGTTTGGCGGCCAGTTCAACTCCGATCGTCAAGCGTTTTCGTTGTTCGACGTTGAGGCCTTCACCGGGCACGCCCACGACGACGTCGGCATAGTCCTGCATATCGAGCAGCTGGATAACCTCGTCCACGTAGGCTAGCTTTTCTGCCCTTGGGATATGCCCCGGTTGGCGGAGAAGCGCCGAAAAGTTTAGGGCCTGTTGTGTGGTAATGTCAGCATGGATCTTGGGCGGGTTCAATGGAAGGCAAGATGTCTTGTTGCATGCAAGCAATCGGGAGTTAACAAAAGGGCTCAAAAGTTGGCACACATACCTCACGGACAGTACTCGTTTCGAGATGTAGATCCTGTTGCTGTGCATAGCCGGTTTTGCGCTGAAAACTCTCATCACGAGGTTTTCCATCCACCAGCATCTCACCAGTGACAATGCCCACCCCACCACGACGGTCGGCCAAACAATCCAGCAATGTAGTCTTACCAGCACCTGAGACGCCCATTAGGGCCGTCAGAGTGCCAGGCTTCACCCATCCATCCACATTGTCGAGAATGCGCCGAGGCTTGCCCTTGATCTTGATGTCGTAGCACACGTTGTTCCAATGGAAGACACCGGTGGAGCCTTGAAAGCCCTTATTCTTTTCGCCATCATACCCATTGCCAGTGTGTGACTTTTCCAGGATAGTCGCGACAGGCCCGGAGACTGGACATTCGATATCGTTTCCCTTCAAGGCTTGCTTCGGAGCGTAGCCCCGGCGGAAGATAAGAATCTCTCCCTTTGACTTTTTCGCCGTGATATAGTCTCTGGCCACAAAATACACAAAGTGATTGAAGATCAGCATGGCAGCAACTATGCCGACATTACGCCATTTGTGACTGGCATAGTAACTGTAGGCCGAGTTGATGTAGGCGTCGCCGGTCACAGTAGACTGACCGGGAATGGCGCCAATAGCATCACATGCCACATTTGTCGTGCCGGGAGTACCATAACTGGGGACATAGGACGTGCAGGTAAACTGTCGGCCACTGAACTCGTTGACCATGAGTGCTTCATAACCATAGGCGACGGGGTTTACATAGTTGATCCATCGACACCACGCAAGCATATAGCGGAGTGGAACGACGAAACCAGTGACAATCAGCAGGGCTAGCATCATGACCGAAGCTGGTACCATGGCCTGTGTTTCTGTACGGGACAGAGCCCCACTGTGAGTTGTCAGTGGATTGATCTTTCAACATAGTGACCACAGGAGACAACACTTACATGAATCTGAAGACCCCCGACATGGCGAAAATGACAAGAAGGACCACCAGTAGGTAGAAGAAGAAGTTCCCAGGATGGCGATTCAGATTGGTCATGAAGTAGAAAACCAGGTTGAAGCCGATAGCGCCGGCCACTTTCATGGGCAAGTCAACCAGCACAGAAGCATAGGCTTCGGCCGACGGGCGATAGAATGCATACCGAGACTGCTTCTCCACAATGGGCCGCTCCGCATAAAGCGTCATAACCTCTAGGATGGATGCGAAAGCATTGAATAGGATCGCCATGAAGAGGACAACAGCTCGGCCCTTGAAGCTGTCTGTTGTCTCCTTCATGTTGTAGAACAAGGACGATGCAATGAGCGCCATGATCCCGTTCCCAATCAGGGTGAAAGACGCTGGCCCTGGATCCGCCCAGAAGCGCTTCCAGCCTCGCCACATACAGAGACGGACCTGCTGCGAGTAAGTCAGAATGAAGGGTGATTTCACGCTTTGGCCTTTAGCTTGATGAGCTTTCTTCAGACGTAGATACGTCTGGGCGTCCTCGCCCCCAATGACATGGGTTGAGTTGTACTCGGCGATCTCTGCCCGTAATGCCTTATACTCAGGACTCCAAGTCCAGGCAGCCGCAAATTCGTCCGGGGTGCGCGGCGGATGGCAGCCGGGGCGGACGATACGCTCCGCAGGAAATGTCATCGATGTGAGAAAGTCCGGGGTCGTCTGACGTGACGGGCATTCAAAGCCCAGATTGACAAAGTATTCCTTTGCCTGAGATGCAGGACCAAAGTAGATCTGACGTCCCTCATAAAGTAGTAAGGTTTTGTCAAACAGATCATAAGCTCTCTGGGGTGCTTGATACATGGACACCGCGCAAGTCTGACCGAAAATCTGCGACTGAAGCCTCAAGGTCTTGCAAAATTCGATTGCATTGGCCGCGTCCAAACCACGTGTCGAGCTTTATCAGTGGCAATGGTCAGCATTAACTCAAACTCAATGGAAGAACGATCTTATGCAGTCCATGGTGAAGGTGGCTTACTTATCCCAGCATTGGAACGGCGCGTTGGATAATGTTGCTTCGGCAATGCTAACGCGTTTCCTTTCTCCTCCAGAGACTCCTGGTACAAACTCGTTTCCCACCTTGGTACGACTGGTGTGGCTAATACCGTACATAGCCATGACGACATCGCGGAGATGATCACAGTACCTGTGAAAAAGGGATGGTTAGCATTATATCCCTCAGGGCAGGAAATGGCAATGAAAATAGACGCGGCAATGGTCACTCACTGCTTTCGAGTAATTCCCTCTGGGAGCTCCTTCTGGCAGCGCGCACGCGCAGCAAACGTCAACGTGTCCGACACTGTCAACATGGGGAAGTGTACGTCCATTTCTGCCGTGTAAATGGCATCCCCACGATGCGCAGAATGCATGTCCTGGTCTGAAATGCCATGGTAATTGAAGCGTGAGTTTTGGTCAACGTAGAGGCCATTGCGGTCACCTGAGATGGTCTTGAGGAACGTTGAACAGCCAGAGCCAGGGGGGCCCAGAACCACACACATCTCGCCGGGTCGAATCAGCCCGTTGAAGTTGTGTAGGATGTCGACCCTTCGCTGACCATGAGTATCGGAGTGAGGCATCAGTCGCCGCATGGCCATCTCCGGCAAGGCCAGCCAGATGTTGGCCACGGTCTTTTGAAAATCGGTAGGTGTGCCATAGCCGTAGACATTCAAATCCTCAAAAGAGAGACCAATCTGACGGAAGCCCTGCCCACGTTCCTCAGCAGCTCTAGCAAGATTCTTGGCCCAGGCGAAAGCGTTGAAGTTCGTGCCAGACGGATTGAGTGGAGAGTTCGGGTCTTCACTCCCGAATATAGGCTCACTCCTAAAGCTTCCTGAACTGCTGAATGAGAACTCGCGTGCAAGTCGTTGGACCCTGGCTTGCCGTGTGTCCATTGAATCCTGCTCTTCAGCTTGCGTCTTCAAGTCCTCGGCAAAGTCAGCTGAACTCATCTCGTGGTCATGAGGTGTGGCCGTCTTTATGTCGACTCGATTTCCAGAGGTCGGCGGGGTCGCCATACTAGGGGCTGGCGTGGCTGATCTGTGGCCGGGTTCGTTGTAAGACGATTGCTCGAGGACTCAAGACCAAGCCGTAGACGAAGTTGAATGTAAAGTGGAAGACAAGCCGCATGTACCAACAGTAGCCATGGCTCGCTGATATTAGTAGCAACGGGTTGTTGATTGAGATCTAGTTCTTCTCCTTTTCACCAACTTCGGCCGAGACAACAACGGCGACAAAACGGAATTTCCGAACTCGTCTGCAAGTGAATGCTCATGGCTGCGGGTGCCACAGACCCGTCCTTGGACCAATCACACCAGATCATAAGTGACGGACGTAGAGGCATCTTCTGATCGTCCAACAAAGAACGTGCGTCGGTCTTTTCGTCCAGGGGGTGGATCTTGAATTCTCCGTCTCCGGAGATACGGCGGAGATCGCCTGCTCCTTTGATCGTAGACACACTGGTGGTCACAGCTGCTGCCTGTGATGAATAATATAACGAGATGTCACAATGGAACGCGTGATCCCACGAGCAGAGCATGTTGACCCCAACTTAACCTCGCCTTGATAATAGGGGAAGAAACGTTGCTTTTCTAGCCATCCCTTCTCCATCACTCTCCTAGCCTTGTTACCTGAATACTTCCTCCCTCGTCAGGGTTCTCCATGCTCCATGGACATCTTCATCTCGTATGAAAGTGGACTCTTGCTCGGAATCTGGGCAACATTGCAAAGGACAGATATTTCAGCGTTGTCAAAACGCCAGCGACTTGCGCGACTCCGACTCCCTGCTGACTAAGCAGACTTAGAAGAGACAACTCGGGGAGTCGTCTCCTAGTGGCGACTCTTACGCTAAACTAATTCGGTAAGTATATACCTAGGTACCTAGGTACTACGTGGATTCGAACTAATATATTACGGCTTCCTGATATTGTCTACTGGTACACCAAAGTGGAATCAATACTGGCTTCCGACCTCACGCCCAGGACAGTCTTATGCTTGGATCGAAATTTGCACCATTAACAGGGCACAGATTCTGAAGTCGAGGCCGAGCGTGTGCAACCCAACCATAAATAGGTACACCGCATGTGTCCAGAAAGTTGCTTCAAGTCTAGCCCGTTAGCCTCGAGAAAAGATGTTCGATGCCAAAAGCTTCAAGAATCCGAGAAAGGTCCCACGTTTCCATGACAGCAACTTGCTCCAATTCCGCCCATCCAAGGAGGGGTCAAGATGGGTGGAGGCAACAACCTTTCGCTGCTCGTAACCTCTGCACGAAACAGGAGCCGAAATCGGGTCTATTCTGGTGCATGCATGTCTGGAATATCATCGAATGGCCGGCAGCAAAATCAAAGAAAGTGACCTGCACCTCCGCGATAGACGCAATCTGTCCTGGCCATATGGCTCGCTTCTGGAGGGGTCCTTGTGCATGTATCTGATTTACAATGTATATCTCGCCATCGATGAGTTTGATTGTCGGTATCGAGAATATACACCTTGTCAGGAGCATCCCGCGGCAGTGGTGTTCCCGACATACCGTCATTTTTTGTTTCTGCGCTGTGGTCCCTCACCGCTCCAAATCCTTCTGGCATTTCTGTAAAGAAGCTCAGAAGGTAAGTCATGTCGTTGAAATCTGCATAGACTGGGTCGGACGATGGAGAAGGCACTGCCAGTGTGGGGTCATAGCCTCATGCCAGTGGGTTTCACGGTAGTCGCTGCCTGTGGCACATGCCAATCACGCTCCGTGCCGCTGTTGACACAACTTGAACTGCCCGTAGTACTACACTAGTGCCTAGTCACTTTTAGTGGTGCCTTTTAGTGGCTCGGTTCCCAGGCGCGACGCGATGCGACGCGACGCTCCTACGCGACACTCCTACGCGACACGCGACGAGCCTGGTGACTCCTGCTTGTGTGTACCAGTACCAGCCCCAGTACCAGTGAGGTACCACAACACGTACCTAGGTATACTTTGACATCATTTCCCACTGTGTGGCAGGGTCAACACTTTGACACAACTACACCCTTGTACATTGCATGAGACACTCACAGGACCATCCGCCGTTATGGCAATAGCCACACTCCGCCGTCCGGACGCGGTCGAGGGCGTCAAAAAAGCGCTTTTAGAAGCCCTCTCACAGATTGAGGCTCCGTCATTCGCTTGTGGGGGTGTCATGAGTGAAAATCTCAATCCAGGCCTGTTTCTTAACGATCATGGCATCGTTGGACTTCCGTTATCCAAGAATGATGCTGGGGCCATCATATCCAAAGCCACACAGAGTCCCTTTGGCAAAGGGGAAGAGACGCTTGTTGACACATCGGTGCGAAAGTCCTGGCAATTGGAACCAGCACAATTTTCCATCCGCAACCCGAAATGGAACAACATGATCGGTCGAATCCTACATGACGTCTATAGAGCTCTAGACCTGGATTGTGGGCGTGACAATGTTTGCGCAGATCTCTACAAGCTGCTTTTGTATGAAGAAGGGGCTTTTTTTAAACCACACAGGGACAGCGAGAAAGCACCCGGCATGTTTGGGACTTTGATGATTTGCCTCCCCTCTTCGCATCGAGGTGGCGAGCTGGTGCTCACACACAACGACGAGACGGTTGAATTCAACACGTCGTCAACATCGGACTTTGACATCTCGTATGCGGCTTGGTACTCGGACGTTCTCCATGAAGTTAAGCCGGTGACTCAAGGCTATCGCCTTGTTCTGATTTACAATCTGGTTCGACGGGAGTCTACAACAGTGTCCGTCCCGGCGTCGCCGACCCAGCATCAGGACCGAATAGTTTCGGTGCTCAAGCAATGGTATGTGGACATTGATGCCCCCAAGTCGCCGGACTATCTGGTTTACGCGCTTGAACATCAATACACTCAGGCTAGCCTGCAACTTAAGCTTCTCAAAAGCCCAGATTTTGGGCGAGTTCTGTGCTTGGATGAAGCAGCGCTCCGGCTCGGATTTTCGTTATACCTCGCCAGCACAGAGCGCAAGGTGAAGATAGATATAAATGGGGAAGACGAGCTCAGTCGTGAGACGACTATGCAGCACGTCGTTACTTTGAATGGTGATCGGGTAGATGATCCAAGTGCAGACTACGGAATCAGCGTGTCCCAGGACAGGGTCATAAATGTCCATGACGATCGGCTCCCAGACGATGAGGATCATATTGAAGTTACAGGAAACGAGGGATCACTGTCATTTTACTGGTACCGGGATACAGTAAGTTGGGCCCACAACGTTGGATCGTCAGACATCTCATACATTTCAGGTTGTGGTGATCGTCCCGCCGTCGAAAAGGCTCGAGTTTCTGCACGAGTGTGACCACCGCCCGGAAACGATACTGTCACGGCTTCAAAACTTGCGGCAGGATACATTTACAGAGTCATGGGATATATTTCCAGGTGACTCTGCTGTACAAGATCTGACAGCGTATGCGTCGACTGTGCTGGAGTATCAGTATCGTTACAGCCGACCCTTCATTGTGCTTGAACACAAAAGAGCTAGGTGGGCGAAAATCCTCCAGGAAATCGTTGCGTTTGCGATCGAACGCGGGAATTGGACCCTTTACGACCAGGCGGTGCGCAAATCTCACGATGGCATGTCCATCGAAATTTTTCAGCGTTTGGGCCTTGCCTTGGCACAACGGGAGGGCGGCCGCCGCATTTTAGAGATAAGGTACGTACTCACGTAACAGATACCGTGGACAGTCGCATTCTCCAGATGGCGATGTTGGAACGAATTGGAATCTGACGTTGCGAAGAATCTCTGAAGCTTTACAGGATGGCTTCTCCCTGTGTGACAGGCAAGCAGCGTTGCACGCTGTAAAAGAGGGGTTCTTCCGATGCCCTGAGCCTCCCAAAGGGGACGAGAAAGAAATGGCCAGATTGATCCACTTGTTTGACGACTACTGGGTTGATACAGTGATAGGTGATGCCCGCTGCCATTACAGGACTATGAACAAGGCCGAAGGGGAGAGCATCGGACGCATTGCCCGGTTGTTGGACGATTCATATATCGACTTCAGGTAGGGGTCATTCTACGCCAATGTTCCACTGACATATGATCGGTGTTTGAGGTCTATGTCCGTCCTACTAACAGGTCTCTCGGCAGCATCATCGGGCAAGTTTTTTCAGTTCCTATCGCTTGCAAAATCGGATTTTGCAACGAGCTGCTGGCCCCAACCGAATCCTGGAACTACCCGCGCTATTGGATGGATCGCTATCCCAACGGAGCTCTGCCGCAACAACCACAGACAACCTTGGAAACGAGGCTAGAGCTGGTCAGAGAACGGTTATTAAAGAGAATATGGCACGACTTCGAACGTAACCCTGCTTTGATTAACTATCGTCCAACCAATAGACAATACACATTGACACCCACAACGAGATCCTGGATTGGACATGACCCGCAATCCCCTAGCGCACGCATTCTTAACGGCAAAGACTTGAGACAGCTCATCACCAACAGTTGTCTGGCGGGCATATTGACCGAACAGGATGCGCTAGACTGTCTGTCCACGGCCCTGCGCGCCTCGAACAAAGAGACATGCGTACATACACTGCTCCCTTTCGTCGACGAGATCATGACCAGCGGCTTTCTCAACGAGCGGGATCCAAACACGGGCCAGGTCCGGATTGACATACGACGTGTCGTCCTTGAGCTGCTGATGTACTATCTCCGGACCTGCGTTGGGCCCGAACCACCTGGAACGGTCAGTTGGAGCCAAGACCTCGATCGTGGCTGCGGCTGTACGGACTGCAACACGGTGCAGGAGTTTCTCAGGAGCCCGACGGAAAGGGTTGCCCGGATACCATGCACCACCGCATCTCGGCGTCAGCACCTACAGACCCAATTCTACAACCGACAGATCAAGTCATATACAATCGTGACGTTGCGGGACCGGACTCCCAACGAATGGCATATCACGAAGAAGAACGAACTATTCGACAAGAAGACCGTTTGGGAGAAGAACAGGGACGACGCTCGCGTCAAACTCGCCCCCCTCAATCGTGCAGGCCGTTTGAAAGACTATCTCTTCGGCAGACAGTGGGCCGAGATCATTCTCGCCGCCGATTATGATGGCGCCGTGCGCGCCGCGCATCTCAATAATGAAAGGGCCCGAGCCAAGATAGCTGCCCAAGGCGCGTCGACATCGGCATCGACCTCCACTGCCGCGTCCCCACCTACACCTAGAAATCCCTTGCAACCTGTCGTGACTAACACTTTAAACACCACACAAGCCCCTACTTCGTCGAAACGAGCGTCAGATGCAGGTTCCGGTGCTCAAGCGGAGCAGACAAAGAAGGTCAAGACTCAACCTGTCGAGGAGGTCAACCTCACTGGAGTTTGAAAGTTGCTGATGACTGGGGCACTGACTTGTAACGGCAAGACAATGGGGAATGGGTGTGTCAGTACCGCCACATGAAATCTTTCTTGGACAAAATCGCCCTGGGAGAGGCCTTTTCTGGAGCAATTATCTGCCAGATGGGGCGGGTAATGGTATGCTCTTATCATAGTTCTTTCCATAGTGGTGTCGGACTTCTTCTTTTGCGTAGCAGGAAATCAATATACCTAGGTATACATACAACCTTTGGGCACGAATAAAATGGTGTATCGGGTGCATCTGTGTACCTCTACACCCCCCGTTTCCCGACTCGGCTGACTGGCTCAGAGAGTAATAAGTAGTACCGTCCAGAGGCTGTTTATCACTGCTAACATATCAAGTGGGCTTAACAATATACGTTCAGGCGAAAGGAAGAAAGAGAAAAAGAACACGAGTGTGAGTGTGTGTGGGTGTGAACAACTCGACAATTCGTCTAGCTCATGTCCTCTTCGTTATGCTAGAGTACTCATTACCAGTCATGCATGGTCCGATCTCACCACTGATCATGAAACAACGTAGCTAGCTGAGCCTGGCAGTCTGCAGACTCGCAACTCTCAACTTTCAACGCAATAACATCTCCTTGGTATCCTCGTCATCCAGCATGTCTTTCCTCTGGTGTCCATGACCACGCAAATCCCCATAACTCTCCGAACTGTCCGTACTACTGCCACTCGTCTCCTGGGTCTCAGGCACCTCTGGCTCAGAATCGTGGTTGTTGTTTTGGAACTGGGCCTTCTGTCCCCTCGCTTGGCCAGCCACAAGCAAATCATCGTCGTTTCGTCTTCGTTTTCTTCTTCTGTCACCACTTTCATCATGATGCCGCATCTCAACAACAACCGCATCGTCGTCGTCGTCCTCGTCAGAATCATCGGTTACTTCCGCCAAAACCTTCGTGGTCGCGTGGGCAGGCTGGAGATGTCCGTGTCGAGTTTTCAGTGGAGAAACAGTCTGACTCTTGGTATCTCGTAGCTGACGATGGGTCTGCATTGAGGGCGAAGAACGGTCGTACAGAGCATAGCTTTCCAGTCCGGACAGGAACTCGGTCGAAGCGTTGTTAGACTGGACGTTTCTCCTCTCTGAGTTATTGAAGTGGTCGTCGCTGCTGCTAGTGCTGCTTGAGCGTCGCTTTCGCTTTCCCGCGTCTCTCGTCTCGTTCCGCTGGCGCAGATCTGCGGCCAATTCAGCAGGAGAAGAATGCGTTGCAATTTTGTCTTTGGTTCGAGCCGAGTCGGCACCTGAACGATGATTATCACCGAGTGGAGGCGACGCTGTTATCAAGACTTCTGCACCCGACTTGTCTCGTTCAAGTTGAAGCGTGCCATGAGCCCCATGCTTGACAGGGCGTAGACCGCAATCTCTTGGTCCCTTTTCTGTGGAAATGATGATCGGAGTTTCCGCTTCGTATGGGTCGCTTCGTTTGTCATCGGGTTTCCGGGTAGATGATTCTTCTTGACGGACAGTATGACGTGCATCTGCCACATCTTGGAATCGCTGTCGTGCCTCTGCTATCTCCTGTTTGCTCCGTTTCGTTCCTGAATCGTGAACTGCTGACAGTGGTGCAGGCGAAGGCTTCCTCTTTTCAATCATGATGCTGCCGACTTCAGGGAGTTCGACGGTTGGTTTCTGACCTTCTTGCCGTCGGTGCAATTCCAAGATCAACTCGCGGAGTCTGGACCTCAAGTCTTCACTGCGGATTTTCCGAGGCCACTGTTGGGCCTCTTCCTCCCGCCGAAGGATGTTTGAGACAAATTGAGACGGGTTTGCCACGAACTGCTCCAGATACATGCACAGATAGAGACCGCAATCGCTGAAATTGCTCTGCGTAGGTATGTCCTTCGCCGTCATCCCTCTCAATTCTGCCCCATCAATGTCTAGACCCTGCTTGGCTTTGGCCTCTGCGACAACGTACTGTCGTAGGAGTGAACATGTTGCTGAGCGTGACAAGCCCAACGAGTCCAGAGTGATAATGATGGGTTTGTCAACGTCGTACTTGGGCAGTGATCTTCGAGGTGCCTTGCGTCGTCCTGGACCCTTCTTAGGTTGGCCTTTGGATATACTCGAACTGTTCCCCTCGTCGTAGTCACTGAGCGATAGTTCAGCCAAAGATTTCTGTGTTGCTTCTGTGGCTTGAGTGGGCGCATCTCCAGTTCCTTCGCTGTGGCGGTCACTTGACTGAGAATCCTCCACAACTTCAATCTGATGACCATGTCGCGCTTCGTTTTCACCGTCACTTTCAGCCTTGGGGAGAAAGTAGGGCAAGTTGCAGATGATGGCGAGGTACCAGTGGAAATTCTCATTAACAGGCACAACTACAAACTTGCGCTTGAAGATGTTAATGTTCTTGGTCCATCGGCTAACCGCATCATAGTTGATGCCCTTTTTGCCCTTGACGTTCTTGGTGAGTGCTTCGTAGAAGTAAGTATTGAAGAAGTACATGTCCCGGTACAGCTCCGGGTTGCTCCGCTCCAGGTACGTCTCTAGATATTGCATGAAGAAAGATATCAGGTTGTCGTTGAGGAATTCATCGTCATCCAGTCGTCTTAGATCCTCGAAAGGAACAGTTGCTGATTTCTTCCCTGGGCCAGGGTATACAAGGTCCTTTTTCCAGGCTTCCCCTAGTGCATCAGTTGCCGATGGCCGTCGTTTCGGCGGAAGCTCTTCGATTGATTTCTCGCTGGTGATCTTTCTGTTATCATGTGAACGGGTCACCCTTCGAGGCTCGAGCACCTTGTCCAGATTCTTGTCCAGAGAATGTCCATGTCGAGATCCGACGGTGCTGTCCCGAGGCAAGGGAACTTTTAGCTCTCCCAAAGCACGTCGCTCCGCACCTGAGATCACGGTAGGCGGCTTGGGAGTTGGACGAGGTGGATCGAGTCGATCAACATGGCGAATGTGCTTTTCTCCGTTTGGCGCTGATGACTGTATCTTTGAAGGCTTGGTCGGGATCACTTCCTCTTTCGCTGCCCCGGCCGAGCGGAGTTTGGAAGAATCGTAGTTGGCTTGATCCTGTCTCGCTTTTGCAAACGCCGTCTCCATCCACTCACTAAATAGGCACGATTAGCCGAGTCTCTTCTTCTGGGAATTTTCGAACTTACGCCGATTTGCATTGCACTTTGATGTCGCTTGCGCATTGCTGCAACGCATTCACGAAGTCGATGGCTGCTTTATGCGACTGAAATCTCAAAAACATCTTATCCTCATAAGATTCTTGGCGAAGAAAGGTCACAAGCACCACCCGACTCTCGTCGGTGCCATGCTTGACTTCGCTAATTTTGGATATCGGCCGGGGCTTTTTGAGCACGGGTTCATCGACCAACATCCGTTCTTCAGTATTGAAAGTTATTTCTTTGGAGTCAGAGTGTACTTCGACGACGTAGATGTTGGCGTCCGGAAGGTTTGGATGGATCACCTCCTCTAACTTGAATGACTTCCGGCGTTTGTCTGCTTGCCTGGTGGCAGAATTCCCGATCTTTGGCGTGTCCACCTTGTGCCTTTTGCCCACAATTAAAGCACCCAAATCCTTGATAGACCAGCTATCCGCAGACGTGCCGGATTGCAGGAGCTGGCGCTGTCGTAGCATCGGCGGGTCGGCCTGTAGGGCATCAGGGCTATCACGGTACAGAACTTTATGACGCAAAGGTCGTGAAGGCGTATCTCCTGTTTCAAAGTAAGGCGAAGAAACTGTGGCTGTCCGCGCAGTGTTTGACATTGTCGAGGGCGAGCTGTCAAGTATCCTGTCCTTCAGGGCCTTTCTCTCCCTTGCAGCGCCTTTCGTAAAATCACCTTCGTCGACAGAAGACCGAGAATCATACTGGGACTCTGCCTGCGTACCATCGTGGGCGGGTTGTCGATACTTGGGGACAGAAACAATCACTCGTGGAGAGCCCCGGCGAGACCTGGCAATCCTTCCGTTTGAAGGCTCTGGACTGAGTCTAAGCTCATCGGGAGAGTGATTGTTGTCCAGTTTCCGCTTCTTAACGGGGTGGGCATGGCTATTGTCATCAACCGGGTTTCTGATATTCGTCGTCTTCTCATAAATGTGACGTGATCTTGTCCCTTCCTTCGTAACATCGAGAGTATTCACTACCTTGTAACCAGGTTTCTGCTACTCAACCGTTAGAGAGGCCCGTAACAGAAGGTCTGACATGTAGCATACCGCAAATCGCTTCGCCTTCATGGGGTCTGGTATCGTCACCGCACCCGGATCTCGCTTGCTACGGGAACATTCAGTGGCTCGATCATTCCAGCCTGTCCTCGACACGTACGTCAATGTAGGTAGAAGCCTCGCTTCGTCTCTAGACTCCGATCTCTTGACCTGGATCTCCGTTGGTTTCGTGCGCGCCCTGAGCATCCCAATAATCAGTGCCATATCCGATAACTGCGATGTTACATGAGAAAACCATACTGTTGGATTGGTATTCGGGAAGGGGACTTTGTTTTCTGGTCATGCGAAGGAGGCGGACCGTCTTCATCACTTGGGATCTGTGTAATCACAGTGTTAGTTATGAGGGAGCACTGGAACGGAAGACTGGACAAGAATCTGGACATGGCGACTTACCTCGATGGGGTCACAGGGAACGTTGTCGTTGACCTGCAGATAATCCTTGACGTTTCTGGTCAGATACTTCCTGGGAGGACTTGGAGGCATCTGAGCCCGATGTAGTTGCGACACGGAGGCATTGGGTTGAGGGCTGGCCGAAATATTGTCATCTGAACCAGGCGGAACAGAATCAGATCGGATGGTGGTAACGAAGGACTGGAGGGCATCCCGGACTAAGGATAAGGGTTCATTCCATGTCCTCATTTGAGGCAACGGTCGGGAGGGTATTCATAGACAGTCAGGGCTCAGGCCGAGGGAATGAGCTGCATTGCATGTTCATTTCTACCTAGGTAGTGGTGGTGAGCTGGTTTGGACTGCGGCGCGCTGAAGTGATAAGAATAACTTGAATGTGCAGTGCCGTCAGTGAAATCGCGGAGGGAATCCCCGCAGCAAGCGCAGTTCAAATTGATGGTCAAGTTGCCCTCCGATCTGACATTGACCGGAAAGAATGTCACTGCATTAAACATCACACAAAGCTGAATCTTCTGCTGCTGTACGAGCATTTTGCAGGGTTTGAGCATTACACGGTACATGTCTCATAGAGACATTGTGATCCTATCCAGGAGGTACATGCCAGATGGTTCTACAGTACAAACAGGGAGACCTCCCACCCATCGTCTCATGATGCTACCCTTGCCTTGTTCTTTTCCGGGTCGTCATGCAGAGTCTGGCGGCGCCTCTCCGCCCCAGGATGTCCCGGAGTGGCATTTGCCTTTTGTTGTCGTGCTTCGTCCAGGGCGGACCGCTGGGCGATGCTGTCATCGTGGCTCTTCCACACGATGTTGGTATCGGGCGGGAAAGCCAGAGTTCTTTTGATAGTTTCCCTGGTGGACCGTTAGTCAGATACTAGATCTACGACATTCGCTCTCTGATGGCAACGTACCTTATTTTGATATTCCGACCTCCGTCGATCTTTGTCCAGACACTCAGGACATCTTCACCACTTCTCACGCTAAGGACAGCACCACAGACTTCGTCCCCAGCTTCCAAAAATTGATCGCCGATAATGGCGAGCAATAAATCCTCCCAATATCGATCAGCAACCCCCTTCTTCAGCCTGACAACCCACTTCCCGCCCTTCTTATTGGCTTCGTCCTCCCACACTGGGCGGATGCCGTCTTTGAAAATGTGGTAATCTGATACTGTCGGCAACAGGGATGGCCGCTTGAGATGTGAATAGATCGTCCAGAAACTCTCTACCGAGCTGATTGAGGCAACCTTGAGAATGGACTTTTCGTAGTCGGAAAATTTGTTCGCCGGGGGTCGGTAAAAGAGATTCCAAGTATTTCGAAGTTGATGTGTCGGGACCGGCGATGGTGAAGGCGCCTCGGTTTGTTGCTCCTGTCCAGATGCGTCGGTTCTCGTCTCTGTATCCTTCTCCTTCTTCTCGCGCGACGAAAAATCAAAACCAGACCCGCTGCCAGGAGTCTTGGGGGTCTTTGCCGATCCGAAGGAGGCAAATGCGCCACTACCGAGCCCAAAGGCAGAGGACGCGCTAGCTGAAGGTGATTTGGTTGCAGATGGAGATAGGGCGTTGAAAGGGTTCGTCTTTCCGTGCGAGGACGAGTCGCCAAACCGTCTCGAATTGAATGCGCGTGGGGAATCTAATTTGGCACCGTCTTTGCCTTCTTGATCTCTCATAGACAAAGAAAGCTTGCCAGCACTGTTGTTGCCTGTCAGTTTCTTCGATCCCTACAACAGAATTTCCGAGAACATACTTCGAGCGCCTAGTCCACAGGTTTGCGTTTTCCATGGGCAACGAATGCGGCAGTCAGAGCTTGACAAAGAATACTAGCCACGGCCACTTCTGCTTCAGACTGCTCCGATGCAGGATCCAACGTATCCAATTCTAAACGTAGGTGACAGGGGTGGAGGGACAAAAGTGTCGGAGTATAACAATCGGATGGTTGGCACGACCAGGGCTTTGGAAGAAAAGAGTAAAAGGTCAAAGTAGACCAGCCAGAATAGTGGAAGAGGTAGCGTCGAGAACGATAAGGAAGTAATGCGTGTGTCGGTGGGCTTTCGTGAGTTTAGAGCTGTATGGAACGGATACAGATGCAGTGCTGCACGTAACTGGTACTTCTCTTTTTGTCGATGAAGCAGAGGCAAATGAGGATGGATTGAAGCATGCAGCGCAGGTCGAGTTGTTTGCAGGCGAAGAGCCGCAGCCCGCCAATCGAGTTGATCGCAGCCGTTCAGCCCTGGCGCCCGCCCGCATCCCCAACGCCGCTTTAGACGAGGTGTGGCATTCTAGCTGTATTCAGTCTGGCGTGGAAATGTGGTTTGGACCTCCCATATTTTTCCGCCGCGAATTTTCTTCCTCTCTACTTTATATTCCACCAGACCCCCAACTACTCAAATCATCGCCAGCGGAAAACATTCGTCGCCGTGAAGCTGGCGATTCCGAAGGGAGTGTCGAGATTGACTATAAGTCCGCATCTAAAACCATCATCACGAGGGCCCTCGTGGCTACCCATGATGCGGTGGTGACCTGATTCGCGGTACATACTGCTCTGATGCATATACCTACACCACCCACCAAATACATGTACGTAGATTCTCTCGTTTCTTTCGTAGCGTCTTGTCCTCATGAAGAGATCATCAACTCTGGTAAGCCGAACGCTCAGCCGCAGGAGTTTCTTTCTCTACCATTTGGCTGGCAGTGCATGAGGTTCCTAGGCGATTGTCTGAAGGGTGTTGTTGTTTTAGCATGAATATCATCATTTCATTCATTACTGTGCTGGTGCTGACTGCACTATTAAGCAGGCATTGCCTCTTTTTGCTATAGCAGACAGATCGTCATGGCCACGCAGTGGCTCTCCCTCCTATAAGAGTTTAGACGGCATCGATGCTCGCCCGTGATGTAAGCTGTTCATTCTGGTTGCCCAGTTTTGAGATCTGGAGGAACGCATCGACGCCGTAGCCCTCCAGACTGTGCAGCTCAAGCCCGCCTGCCCAGTATTCTGCATAGACTCGGCTCATGGGTAAGCCCATCCCTAGCCTTAAATCCGGCGGTCTCGACGCAAGGGTGCTGAGAGAGGAGTCTCTAATCTTCCCTCTGGGCTTTTCGTGGTGGGCATGCCGCACTTCTTGCATCGTAGCCGCCAACTTTGGAACATCCTTGAAGTTATGCAATCGCGAATTCCTTCTGGGTCCCTTGCAAAAAGACCACAGGAAGGGCATTATGTCACGAGGAATGCCGCCGCCCTGGTCTGATATCCGAATCACGACATGTTGGGCTGATTCGCAGATCAGAACATCAATAGGCGGGGGAGGTCTCGTAGTTTCTTTGTGCCTGTCCATGACTGCCTGGACCGAGTTTCGCAACAACTCCCCGATAATATATTCGAGATGACTCAAGACGTAGGGGAACGTGGCATGGACATGACCTTGGATCCGAATCTCTGGCACTATCGGGTCACCCCCGGCAGACGAACTGCAAATTTCTTGGGTGAACTGACCGCAACGTTCGATGACTTCTTTCGCGTTGCATCGCAAAAGAACTTCGCCAACGAATTCGTTCTCAGAGCTCGGCTGTGGCACATGCCATGGGGAGTTGAACGTGTCTGTCAAGGCAAGATGCTGCTCAGCAATGACTCGCCTGGAAATGCGGGCACGAAGCATTGCCTGTACGAAGTGGTCCAGCTTGTCAGGTGAGACGTGGTCCTGGCACTCGAGAACGCCCATGACCAGGTTTGGTATTACCGCCAAATGCTCTTTCAAGTTGTCGCTTATAACCTTGCAAAACTCATCGTTCTCTTCAAGATTTCTAATCACCGGTACCCGACGAAAGCTCTCGAAAGACTTGTAGTATAGTTCGTAAACAAGAGACAGGTGAGGGTTTGTAACGACGACGTAGGGTAACCGTTGCATGTCACGCAGCCGGTGGGCCAATCTGTGATAGGGTTAGTAGGTGTGCAACGAAATATCCCCAGCGCCAGCAGACCTTGTGGGCAGTTCCATGCGAACATAGTTGGCAGAACTGAGGAGCCGGCTCTCGGTCAACGTGCGACCGAAGAAGAAGAGCTGACGCAGACTGATGGGACGAATGGGACGGTCAACCCAGCTGTAACATTGAGGTTAGCATTTCGACATTGAGCATAGGAAGAGAGCCGTACTCGTCTAAGGTTGACGACGGCCGCCATGGAGGAGGGCTTCTCTCCCCTCGAGACGAATTCCATCGGCGAACCTGCAATGGGAGGTGCTGGTTCACGCAGAAGGCTCGTGGCCTTGAAAACGCCGCGACCCGAGGCATTTCATATCAGAAGAACTAATAGTCTGGTCAAAACAGGCTGAGAAAAGTGCAGTAAGGAACATGTTCGCCGTTTGCAGTCATAAACAGGTCAGTGACGAGACTGTGCAAGCAGATCCATCACTCAAGCCGTGGCCGTTCGGGGTAGCAGAGTCACAAAAACAAGCGACTAGAGGGCGAAAAGAGAAGAACAGAGCACCGTTTGAGGAACTTGACTTGACTGAACTCGTGTCCTTTGTTTGAACTATCGACTCGATCTCAGGGTGGTTCAAGTTGTCGTATAGTCAGACAGTCCGAGTCGGGGCACACTTCAGAGAAGCATTTTGCTTGCGCTCTGCCGTCATTCGTCATTCCACAACCGGCGCCCTCTTTTTGCCCGCCGACGCCCGTCCATTCCAGTATTACATACTGCACTGGACTGTGCTTTCGCGCAGTGCAACACCTCGTCTCAATTTGTGGCAGCCGAATACAACTGTTCTCTTCCATCTTTATTCGAGCTCCTACTGTGTCGTGGACGTCAGATCGGTTGCTCTCACGCCGCCCAACGTCCACACCCACACCTACGTCTTTTGTTCCCGTCCCACCCGCTTCTGGTCGCCGCCTCCTCATCAACGGGCCTTCGGTGCCTTCCTGCCTGCGGATACTTGCATATCAGAGCGCAAACCTTGAGGCAGGAGCTGCCATCTTGGTTGCTCGTGACAGCAGGCTGAGGTCTTCAGCATGGATAACGTATGTCAAAAAAAGCTTCCGTTTGTTCCGTGGTCTGCACATGTTTTTGTGGAAAATATGGACGCTGATGTTGCTTCTCTCTTCAACCGTTTACAGTTGACGGGGCCGGATATGTTGATTGATGGTTACGATCAGTATAACCAGCAAGAAAATGAAGTGGTCAATATCTCACCCGATGATGCCTCCGAGGGGCCCGCCCACGCTCTACCCAGGGCCGATGATTGTATGGACAAACAGTCTTGTGTTTAGCTTCTAGTACTGACCGGTTGTAGATGAGGCGATGAAACGGCACGTCCTCGCCGACCTACCTGATCTCGAGACCGAAGCAGAAACCTATCATACTTGGCACATAGAGAGATGGCGGGATCTTTCCAGAAGAGAACATGGCCCAGTGTTTGAATGCGGCGGTCATCCTTGGAGAGTACTTTTCTTCCCTTATGGCAATCAAGTTGACTGCGCATCTTTCTACTTGGAACATGGGTTTGAAGGCGATCCGCCGCCGGACTGGTATGCTTGTGTACAGTTCTCTCTCGTCCTCTGGAATCCGAACGATCCAACTCTATTCCGAAGCCATACTGCCACTCACCGCTTTACGGCAAAAGAGGGTGATTGGGGGTTTACGAGATTTGTCGAGCTCAGAAAGGCATTCAATCAACCATGGGAGGATGGATCAAGACACTTGGTCGAGAACAATGAAGCCAATTTGACTGCGTATGTCCGCATCATCAAGGACCCGACCGGCGTATTATGGCACAACTTTGAAGGCTACGATTCCAAGAAAGAAACCGGCATGGTCGGGCTGAAAAACCAAGGCGCCACCTGCTATCTAAACTCACTGCTACAATCCCTCTACTTTACCGATGCGTTCCGCAAGGCAGTCTACCAGATCCCCACCGAGCACGAAGCAAACCGAAGTAACAGTGCATGGGCTCTACAGAGGTTGTTCTACAAGCTTCAAAAAGACAGGTATGCAGTCTCGACGAATGAGCTTACTGCATCTTTTGGTTGGGACACACGACAGATCTTTGAACAACAAGATGTGCAAGAGTTGTCGCGAATTTTGATGGAGGTCCTAGAGAAGAAGATGAAGGGAACTCCAGCCGAAAGAACACTGCCGGAGCTTTTTGTTGGCAAGACAAAAACATATATCTCATGCATCAACGTCGACTACGAATCATCGAGAATAGAGGAATTTTGGGATCTGCAGCTCAACGTTCGAGGCAACAAGAATTTGCACGAGAGTTTCATGGATTACATCCAAGTGGAAACTCTGGAAGGGGAGAATAAATACGACGCTGGCGAACCCTACAAGCTTCAAGACGCACGAAAGGGCGTCATATTCGAAAGCTTTCCCCCTGTGCTACACCTGCAGTTGAAGAGATTCGAGTATGACATCAACCGAGACGCCATGATGAAGGTCAACGATAGACATGAGTTCCCGTTAGAATTCGATGCATCCCCTTATATGTCGGACGAGGCCAAAGCATCGACTACTGAACCTTGGATCTACCAGCTGCATGGTGTGCTGGTGCATAGTGGTGATTTCAACGCTGGCCATTATTACGCCTTCCTGCGACCCACCAAGGATAGTCAGTTCTACAAGTTTGACGATGACAGAGTGACCCGCGCGACAATGAAAGAGGTACTGGAAGAGAATTACGGCGGAGAGTATGCCAACGTTGCCAATGGCGGCCTCGGTCAAAGACAGCCTTACATGCGGGGATACTCGACCAAGCGATCCATGAACGCGTACATGTTGGTATACATCCGAAAGAGCCGACTAGACCAGGTGCTCCATCAAGTCACTGAAGCCGACATTCCCCCTCATATCGAGCGAAGGATCGCAGAGGAGCAAGCGGAACTCGCGAGGAAGAAGAAAGAACGTGAAGAAGCGCATCTGTACATGAATGTCGGGTTGATCACAGACAAGACCTTCCAAGCCCATCATGGATTTGATTTGACGAGTTACGACTTGGAGCAGGGTGACCCTGCTGCTGCTCAAATACACCGGATCCTACGAGCAACGAAGGTCTCGGAATTTGCCGCGAACATTGCCCAAGACCTTGAGGTCGAGCCTGACCAAGTGAGGTTTTGGGTCATGGTGGGCAGACAGAACAAGACGAATCGTCCAGACCAGCCAATCCGAGACGTTGACATTTCCATGGAGGAGGCTATGAATAAGTACGGCTCCAGGGGCCGGCCGTTCTTCCTGTGGGCGGAGACCGCACCCAAATCGGAAGACGGGAAGGTCCTATTCCCAGACGCTTCACAAGCCGTGGGCGGCAATGTCCCGATATTGGTCTTCCTCAAATACTTCGACGTCAAAGCTCAGACATTGACTGGCGTCGGCCATGTCTATGTTAGGAAACTGGACAAGGTATCAGAGATCGCACCCCAGATCAACAAGCTCATGCAGTGGGACCCGAGCACGCCGATTTCATTGTTTGAAGAAATCAAATTCTCCATGATTGAAGCAATGAAGCCAAAGCAGACATTCCAGCAGTCCGAAATCCAAGACGGCGACATTATCTGCTTTCAACAAAACCTACCAGACCTGGACCCATCCACAGTCACTTACACTGACGCCCGCCAGTACTACGATTATTTGCTTAACAGAATACCGGTCAGCTTTTATCCCAAGCCTGGCACGGAGGGAGAAGCCTTTACCCTCAGCCTGAGCAAGAAGATGACCTACGACCAGTTCGCGGCAAAGGTCGGTGAGCACCTCAAAGTTGATCCGACGCATATTCGGTTTGCAACGATCAGTACGACAAACAACAAGATCAAAATGTGGATCAAACGCGGCATGAACCACAGTCTCCAGCAAATCCTGCAATCTCAGTTTTCGTCTTATGGGGGCTATGCAACACATAGAGGTGATGCATTGTACTACGAGGTTTTGGAGACCAGCCTTGCCGACTATGAGACCAAGAAGATTATGAAGGTCATATGGCTTAGCGACGGCATTAGCAAAGAGGTGAGCCAGTGCCATAGTTGCACGCCGTGTCACTTTGAACCTAATAAAATGCAGGAGCCCCTCGAAATACTCGTTGCCAAAAACGGCATTGTTGGAGACTTGATTCAAGGTATTGCCAAGAAGCTCAACCTGGACGAACAATCAGCGCGCAACATACGAATCCTTGAAGTTCATGGGGGTAAAATCCATAAAGAATTGATCGAGGACTTCAATGTTGTCGGCATCAATGAGTTCACCACGTTGTATGCCGAAAAGATCCCCGAGGAGGAAATCAATGCTTCGGACGAGGACAGATTCATTTACTGTTATCACTTCGACAAAGAAGCCAACAAACCACACGGCGTACCGTTCAAGTTCCTGCTCAAGCCCAATGAGCCTCTCAAGGAGACCAAAGAGCGCATCAGCAAGAGGACGGGTATCAAGGGAAAGCTGCTGCAACAGATCAAGTTTGCCTTGGTACCTAGAGCAATGTACGCGAAGCCGAACTACCTCGACGATAACGACGTGATCGTTGATCTCATTCAAGACGGGGATGAGATGCTTGGACTGGATCATGTTAACAAGGCCCGCAGCTTCTGGGGCAAGGCCGAAGGCATGTTTATCCGGTAGGAGTCTTTGAGCAACCGGACGAACAGCATGTTATGACCAAGCCGTGGACCGCTTTTGCCTTGAGCTGGAGTTTTTGTCTGGGTTCAGGTCCTGGACACTGCGTGCGCTGAGCGAGATAATCGTGAAGTCCAAGTTCTTGGACAATCTGGACGAGCGAACATGCATGGACTTAGGGTGCTTGCTTTGCTGCTAGACTGGCCCTGGACGATGTACACGGTGGTCTGTTCGAGTTGGCGACAACCACCAATGAGGATTCCCTTGGGGTTTATGTTGCGCACCACTACCACCACGCCAGAGTGCTGTACGTACAGTACACTTTGAATTAGTGAGGAGGTTAGCGGGCGAGATCGGATCCCTGGCTTGCGCGGACAGTCTGCATATTCTAGATGGAAGCACCAACGACCATTGGAGTGGCTGAAAAGGCAGACATTGTACCCCCTGAAGAATACAGTACGCGCTGTAAGTAGGGTAGATAGACCTTTTTTTTCTTTCTTGTCGTCGTGTATACAAATGGAACAATCAGTCTATCAAAAGTGCAGCAGCAGGACCGGCACTGCCGGGGGGGTCTGAAGTGTGTGATGTGATGGTGATAGTCAGGAGTATAGTTTCTTGGTTTTCATAGCCTATCAGCTCTGAGCACGCAGTAGTCAGTCTTTATTGAGAAAGAGGTATAGATAGGTTGTTTATATGTTCTCAGATCAGAGTTCCCGCTTGATCCAGTCCCACAGTTTCAGGATGTATGCTTCATTGACGATGTTCGAACTTAGACTGGCATTGCTGTTGCTGTTGGCGTTGGTGCCGCTGCAGGTGCTGTTCAGTAGCAACGATGGCATTCGAGCGTACGTTCGCGTCATTTCGTAACGCATGACTGTTTTGGTCCCTGTTGTGGTGCCAGCGTCTGGGTCAGGGTATCGATCTCCGGTTTCTAGTGGTACAGTTTCACTCTGGGTTTTGTGAGGTATTGTGTCCCCAAAGGAACGAGATTCAGGGTCTCCGTAAGTGGCTTTCCAAAACCCAAGCAATTTCAAAGCAGGATGTGGATGGTCTTTTGTTTCTTCCTGGTTTTGGAGACTGGCGAGACGAGTGAGCCATTCGTTGACGGGGACGACTTTGAATGGAACGGAGATGATTTCGGCGTCGTGCTTGTTTGGATCTTTCTCGTTCCCGGCTGCATCCTTGCTCTTGGGCTTTTCCTCGTATGCGTCTGCGTCTTCTTGCTGTTCTTTCCGCGTTCGTTGCTTTCGCTGCTGTTGACTTTGCCCAGCATTTCTCGATGGTGGTCGTGGTGTTTGGCAGCTTTCGCTGCATTCAGATCGAGTTCCGCATACTGAGGCACCTTTGACCCGTGATGCTGATACTCTGACAGACGACCTCCGCTTGTGGAAGATTTCATTTTGGTGGTGACTGGGACACTGTGATTCAAATTCGTGCTGCTGGATCCACGATAGCAAGTCGGTCCATTGGATGGTTGGGTCTGGGTTTAGAATGTGGTAGACTGGTGGTCCGAGATGAAGATCGTCACTATCAGTATCGATATCAGCGTCACTATCCAGGCGGGAATGGGTAGTAGTAGTGGCACGATCTGGAGTGGATTCGGGGTTGTTGTCAATAACCGATTCTGCTGCAACTGCCGCTGCTGGTCGTGGCCCATGTTTGTCTGTACCCGGGACGCCAGCACTTGCATCTGATTCGGGCGCGTTGCGGCAGTCCCCATTTCCATTTCTATGATCACTGTCATTGAGGTGTTGTTGGCCATTCAAAGACGGTCGAGGAGGCACTCCGCTTTTGTATTCACCTTCAGGTATCGGGGCCTCTTGTCCCTCTTCCCCGATATCCAATGCATCCTCGACAAACGCTCTCGCCGCAATATCCACCGGCAACCAATTCAGAATTTCATTCTCCAAATCAGGCAAGACACCCGTGACTTTTGCACTCGCCAGCATCAGCGGATACGCCTCGGACATACTCCATACGCCCGTATCGCTTGCTCCAGAGAGCTGGCCGACGCGGGCGATGGAGATCCTATTTCTCAGCCGTGTCGTATCGTGCGCAGCGGCACAGATGGCTTCAGCGACCCATTTGGAGCGGGCGTAGCCTGTGGGGCCGGCCACGGACGGTGAGTCCAGGACACATCGCTCCGGAACTCTGGTTTCGTCGATGCTGTTGGAGTGTCGAAGATGATCTCGATCATCATTATCATTGGATCGGGACTGCTGTTGGTGTCGAGACTGAGAATAGTTCGAAACCGAAGCCACACTCGAGCAGAATATGAATCGTGGTGGAGCTGGTCTGTCCGAACATGCAAGAGCCAGATTCAACAGGTTGCGTAGCCCAGCGAGATGTGTGCCGCTGAAGCTGCGTAGCGGCAACAAAAAGTTCACGCTCCACGCTAGATGGATAATCACATCGATGCAATGCGATAGCTGATAGTACGTGGCTTCAGATAAGCCAAGGTCCGCTTCGGACAGCTTGCACGGCCAGATTGCGGTCTTGGAGTCAAAGTCGGCTGGGATGGGGAGCTTGCGGGCAGCAAGTGCTTTGGTGACTCGTTCCCTTGAGGCATGTTTGCTGGCGCCACGGACGAGGAGATGGATCTTTGATACTCTTGGGTCTGAGAGTAGCTGGTGGAGAATGTGGCTCCCTAGGGATCCGGTGGGTCCTGTCACAAGGACCACGATTCCATCTCGTTCAGGCTCAGGGTAGAAGTTGTTGCTACCTGTCTTTTGCCCGGATGATGACGATGGTAAATGACGTGGATTGTCCGAGGCGAACTTACTGTATTCTTTGACCAGATCATGCATAAGTTGATGTTGCTGTCGATTTGTTTCCTGAGTAGATCTTGCGCTTTGCATTTGATCTCCATCTTCAAGGCCTATTGATCGTAACCGCACAATCAGTTCGCTGAGCCGCGATATCGTCCCCGCGTCTTCGACAATAGTCAATGGTAGGGCTGCACCCTTGAGGTTTGGCACGAGTCGAGACAATGCCTGACGGATCTGTATGCTGGCCACGGAATCAACTCCGTAAGCGAAGAGATCCGTATCGTCTTTGAGTGTCGCACATTTATTGTCGGAGTTGTCGTTGCGACCTATTCCCGCTACGACCGATTCCACGATCTCACGAATCGCGTTTGGAACGTCAGCATCAGGCACATGGCATGACTTGGTGCAAAGAAGGCTCTCATATGCAGCATCAATGTGTTCTGCATATCGTTGGTCAGCCTTGCTTCGGAGAACTGTGCCTTTGCTGCTTCTCTCGAGCTGTTGGTCTCCGGTATGAAGCATCGGTATCAGCATATTCCTGGGTATGCGGGCGTGACCTTGACTTTCATTGTTTAACTTTTCGATCAGTGGAGTCATCTCTGCCAGGAGGGTCTCGTCGGATATCGAAGCGCCTGCTGATGATCGGAAAAGGAGGACACCAGGGTACGGTTTACCTGTTCCGAAAACGAGGGCGCCGCTGATCAGTGGAGAAGAAGTACATATAGCGTCTTCCAAGGGTGCTGGATCGAACTTCTTGCCGGTAATTAACGTCAACTGGGAATCTGCTCGGGAATGGTAACGCCATGCATTGGGAATGGTTGGATGGGGTTCGAAGAGGTCTGAAGTGGCGTAAGACCCGTCTTCACGGTTACGATTGGCCTGTATAAAAGTGAGTCCGACAGTGTCACAGAGTGGGGGAAGCAGCAAATGTATTCATACCATGTGTGGCCAGCCCGGTAGAACCACCAACTCAAGAAGACCACTTTCTCGAGGCTCGAATTTGAAAAATTTCGCTGCAGGCATCGGTCTGAGATATTGCCATTCCTTGTCCGTTGTGAAATCTCGATGGGAGGACATTAGAAACCCACATTCGGCACTGCCGAAGCGAGAAACCAGATTGACACTCTTGTTGACTAGTCTGTCGCCAACTTCTGTGGGTAGCGCAGCACCGCCTACGCCCACAATGTCCATCGATTGCAGGTATTTGAGACCATGTTTATCATTTGCCATCATCTGGAGCACGTATGGCACTGAAGAGAAGTATTTGACCTCAGGAGCTCGGTGTTTCATGGCTGCAGTGGCCGCTCCTTCAAGACACTTGCACACATTTGCGGCCGTGATAGGCATGTCTTGGGCGGGAAACAACCATATTAGGGCGTTGCTCGTCCAGGAACGAAACAAGTCTGCAACTCCTCCATGATATAAAGGAGTAGTTGTGAAAGTAGCCTGCTTACTGCCATCCAGAGTCGGAAGAACTCCGATGGCCGCATGGTGTGTTTGTGGAATGGGTTTGGGAACACCACTTGATGTGCCCGAAGTATGATGAAGATATGCAATATCCGTTTCATCCACTTTGATGTAGTCGTTCGAGGAGTCCTCCGTAAAGCCGTCGGATGGCTCTGAGATGGCATCAAAGATATGCTCTGCGTCAAAGGGAAGCAGCAAAGCGGATAAAGAACCACATCCCTGACCCAGTGACGTCCCTACGGTCGCCGTCGCCAAGTCTTCATACTTCACATCGTAGAGGAGATAAGACACCCTACACGCCTGACACAAGTGCGCGATTGCGGTTGGCGAGCACTGAGGCGCAATAAGCAAAACCGGATGTCCCAGTCGAATGAGGCCTAACCAAGTGAAAAGAAAGCTTGCAGAGCTTGGGCAGAGAAGAGCAACTGTCTGTCCGGGTTCCGCATTGATGGTCCTGGACAAGGCTTGCGCCGCGACTCGAGAGCCATTTTGTACGTCCTTGAAGCTGAGAATCTCCGTCTTCCACGGCTGACCAGAACTGGCTTGTCCCGGGACAAAGAATCCAATAGCGGGAAGGTCGGGGGTCTGCCCGGACTTGAATTCGATGAACTCGTTGATTGTCCTGTATGCCTTTCCCTGCTGGTAGTGGATTGCCTCGCCCAGAGTACAGGTGAAGTAGTTGACATTCATCACAAAGACTTGGCCTTGCAACGGACGACTCTTTGACAATTTGCCAGGGCAAGCAACAACCACGATTCACAATTGTAAAGTAATCCTCTCTGCATCCCACATACCTAGGTAGTACACTGAATAGTAGATACCTTAGTGACTGGTCCTGCAACGTCAATTTTTTTCAAACATGTACATAGTAGTGCACTGCATACCTCCGCGGTATATCAATATCATACTACTAGTAGCAGTAATTCGTAAAACCTAACGTCAAGCATCCAACTCTGGCACCCATCAGCTCCTCACCTGCCACTCCAAAGAACACCCATACCTACTAAGCACATACTTACCTGGTAGATACCTACCTACATACCTAGGTACATGCCGGCATGTAAGTCTTGTAGACGTACGCACTTGACTCTGTTGAGCGAATGTCTGACATCATGATTCACCTTCACCATTGCACATCCACATCCACATCCACACCGCCGGAGCGAGTAAATGAATACAGGTACCAATTGCTAGCGATGCAATAGTAATGCTCATCATTAGAAGGACACCTAACTGTACTAGTAGTAAGAGCCCCTTTGTCTTGACGTAAGCGGGTCGACACTTACATAAGCGATGATTAATTCAGGCGTCTGACAGATGAGGCTGAAAACCGGGGGCTAGTACGGAGACCTTTTTGAGGCTGTTCTCGCATCATCAGACAGAAAGTTCGGCTTCACACGGAACTACTAACTGCTATTTATACAGTATAATAAGGCTGACATGAGTGACTGATGAATTATGACTGGGCATGCCATATATTCGTATGCCACTGGCACTGATTGCGACGGACTAATAATAAGGCATGGAGAACGCCTCCCTTCCTTTTTAGAATCCTTCCGTGGGCCATACTGTAACTCTGCTCCAAGTCTGCCTGCCTCTGGCATGTATAGTTGTCAGTCCCTCCCTTCTTGCAACGCCCCTGCTCGCTGGTATAACACATATTACATTTTGGTGAATGACCATATCGAGGGAGTGTAGTAACCCTTTGATAAACAAAGCCGCAGCAAGTAAGCCCAGGTTCAAATCATTCGCCACCAACCTAGCTGCGGCGACAGAGCAAAGAGGTCTTCTCGTTAGTTTAGAGACATAGACGGGGATTATTCCATATATTCACAATCCCCCCGTTTTTAGAACAGCCAGTGCCTTACAACGGTCAGAAACGAACCTTTGGCCAAAAAGGTCAAACCAAGATCGGCACCGCGAAGGTTGTGTTATCGACCTCGCTGAGATCTCGGATCTTCTGGAAACGTATGATTGCGATGGCTTGGGGATCTCACAAGAAAGTTTTCGTGTGTCGAGACTGCATCGTTCGAATGCACACTCTGGCCAGAGCTCGGCGTTGGGACCTCGTGTTCGACTCTTTTGGCCATGAGCTCGGCTTTCTCCTGAAGCTCATCGAGCCGCTCACATAGGACTTCAATCTTTGGCCGGTTCTCCGGCTTGATCTGAAAACATTCCATGATCAAGTCCAAAACGCTACCAAGCAGGTTGGGACTCTCCGGATCCTTGTCCAACTCTTTTCGCACAAGATCGACGTAAGACCTGACGGCCGGTCGCAGTTCGGCGTTGTGGATGCCTGTACCCGTCCAGTAAAAGTCATCCTCCCAACCGGGGCTCCTAGATGACTGCTGTAGACGCTCGCTCACGAACTGGTTGAGCTCCCCATGAGGCAGAGTGAACCATATTATGGTTTCCAGGTAGACACACGCCAAAGCCCAGATGTCGAAAGGTCTCGTCTTGGCCCCCCGAAGTTCCGGGCCATAGTACGACATCGTGCCCCGAAGATCCGAGCTTTGCTGACTAGGCTTGTCAATTTCATTCTTGGGCCTGATATGGAACTTGCCCGCGCCGTAGTCCGACAGCTTGAACACCGGGTTTTTGCCTCTGATATGTTCAAATATCAGGACGTTCTCGGGTTTCAGGTCATGGTGATAGCCGTAGACAAAGTGATTGCGCGGCTTTTGGGCAGTCGTGGCTGACGTGTAACTGGGAGTCTCTTCTGTCATCTCATGAATCGTGCGCAGACCACTGGAGAGGCCATTGAATTGGCGTAGCAACCAGGCAGTGTTAACCCCATTTCTTCCTGGAGACGCATGTTCGTGCATGTGCGTTCGGAGGTTGCGTGCCGCTCGAGGATACAGGATGTAGTGATGCCCCTTTTGCGTCCAGGATGTTATATGACTGACCATGTGAGGATGTTGCTTTCTGAACAACCGCTCCAGCATGGAGAATTCACGCTCAAAGGATCTCCCCAATTCGCCTTGATCACTGAACTTTTTCAGCGCAAAAGTCCGATCAGGGTCCTGGTAATCATTGTTAGTTCATGATATCCCCACGGCCATATTGGCCATACTCACGCCTGTAAGGTCGTGATGGGAAGGGTCGATGGCGACGGCGGTAACGCTGCCATACGATCCTTGGCCCAATTTAGTTTCCCCCGTTCCTTGAGCTTCATCCGGGATGTTCAGGATCGGCATTACGTCCGTATCCTCCAGGCCATGGCGCTTTCCGTCGCACTGGATGATTCGCGCAAAGAAGGCTTTCACACATTTCAGCAGCCTCTTGACGTATATGTCGCATGATTGCAGCGTCTTACAGCGCGCTTCTCCCGTCTGCGGCAGTCTCGTATCGTTATACTTGTGCTCCAAGATGAGGTGCAAAATGTGATCAACTTTCAGGTGACTACACACGCAGGCAATGAATAGAATTGAGGCGCCTCTCTGGACAATCTCAGAACGTAGCAACGTAGGGTTTTGCACAAATCGTTGGGGCGGATCTTCGCCAATGATTTTCTCAATAATGTGGGCAGTGGTCATCTGGTCACGATGTACACGAGGCAGAAACCCCTGATCCAGGAAATTGTTGTCAGACATTTTGGATTCGATTTCGTCAACCACCATCTGTGAGTATTTCCCGTAGCTTTCTTGTGGGGTCTTGCGGATGGAAGAGAAGTGCAGACAAATTTCCAGACGGAAAGGCTCGAAGGGGCGTTGGTGGACAAAGCCACATATGTTCTGTACGGCCCTTTGTTCAAGTACTTCAGCGTCGAAGTCTTCGATGATGAAGTAGGGGCCTTCATTCCTGATACCCACTACAAGACAAGACCCATGTCGACGATAGACTTCGATCCCGACGTTTTCGGGTTGCTGGAGGATACTCTGCTTGTGGGCTTTCAACCGCTCTGAAATCTGCTTGTTCAGGCCCTTGTATGAGGCCGGCTCGGTCCACGCCTCCGAAGACTCGAGCACAATGTCGTGTCGGTCATTTCTGTCACCTCGGCCGTCAAACGTGATCCGTAGTTTACATGGAGTCTGCGCGGGTAAGATCCGAGGTAAGTTCTCATCCTCGGTGATTTCGAAAGGTCGTTCTGGACTCCGGCCGCTTCTGATGCTACTCGAACGTGAATAATGGCCGCGCGGATGTAGATAATTAGGGGATGTCGGAGCCGGTGCCTCGGACAGGTGATCAGAAGCTTGTTGTATTGAGACCGATGGGACTCGGGACCGGTCGGCGGTGGAGGACTCGGAAGCTTCGACATCATCGCCTCTGATGTGAGCCGCCGCCGTATCGCCGCGACGAGTCCGTGTGGATGGATTTACACCAAGCACATGGCTTGGGCGGGCGGGAGTTGAGGCCGGCGTAGCAGTCCCTTGAGGCAAGGCAGGTTGAGTATTGGAAAGTCGGCGGTGTTGTGCGTGTTGTTGGAGGCGGGTTGACGGTTCCATGGCAGCTGGGGCCTCCGACGGGCCGGCTCCGCCTGGACAACAGGTTAGTATCTGGTCAGGCTGAAAGCAGGCACATTGTTTCACGTACCGTTGGAGGTGTGGTGGTTCGAAAACAGCCTCTTGATAGAGCTCTTGATCTTGCCCATGTTGTAGGCAAAAGGCACAGGAAGATGGGAGCCAGATGACCCGGGAGATCAGCCTACATATTGTATAGTCGTGCACCGCACGGCCTTCTAAGGGACAGTGCATTGCTCGTGGTCCATGAGGTGGGCGTGAAAAGGCTGGTCGATACTCGATGGTCAATTGCTCTCGCTAGGTCCATCCAGAGAACTAGAGGCTCCATCCCTACCTCTCCCTTGTGGACTCGTTTCCAGCCCGCCTCCAGTCAAGGAAGACAACAAGGCAACCGAGGAGGGCCTCAGCCATGCCTGTGTGAATTGGCCGTTGGCTTGTGACTGAAAACTGGTCTTGCATTAGCGTTATGCGGGATGCTGTGACATTGTCCATGTCCATGCTGGACTGCGCCCGCCAGTGCATGGATCCGCACCAATACTATCCGGGGCTTGCTGGAGGGGCGAAAACGGCTCGCTCCTAGAGTCTCCCACATCGACCTAACCAAGACGGATTAGGACAAAGCTCAGCCTAATCGTCCAAAAGTTCGTTTCTTGGGTGTCGATGCCGGAAGGCAGGCATGCGCAGACTTGCGTATTTCCGCTGGACAGACTGCCACCAAGCGGGATACTCTCCGTGAATTTCCTTTTGGACGTAGAACCTCCAGATATAGATTGTGATTATGGTCAGTGGCAGTGCGGTGGCAAGGAGAATCCACCAATTGCTGGCCACCACGAGAAATGTGCTACCATCTTGCCTCGTGCTTGCATTGACAAACGACGTCGAGAAGAAGTTCTGAGGTACTGTTAGACTGATATGGGATGGGCGAAACCCAGACATACCGATATTACGGTCGCAGGGAGATATATGAGCGTCAGGACCGTAAGGACCTTGACTGCTGCCGCATCCTGGGTGGCCTTTTTGGTCAGCTCATGCATCACCGCATTCTCCCGCGCAGATTCCAGGGCCAGATTCTTCAAAGCGGTACTGTTGCTAAGGTCTAGGATATTTGAGACCTGCCGTTGTCAGCCCGTCACCTTATCGCCCGGGATGGGATGGATGGAGATACCAGATCAGAGGCACTCTTGACCTTGGTATGTAATATCTGTGTTTGGGCCTCGTGATGTCTCAGGTTGTGGATGACCTCCTGAAACCCCTGGTCCAGCAAGACGACATCGTCCTCTGAAGCCTCAGATTCAGCTGTAAAACCTTTGCATAATCCAAAATTCGCTCGCAGAATTTCTGCAGCTTTTCGTGTATGAGCTAAGATAGAAGCTGCCTCATCCACGCCATCTTCAAGTTGTTTGAGGTATTGTCGCTCATCAAGCCGTGCAAAGTCAGCATCTTCTCCTTCGAGGTCCGCGAGTACGGCATGATCAGCCTGTCTTGTCAGCAGTAAACTCTGCAACTGAGGCAGACTGCACAGACCTGAGTATTGACTTCGTCGCCCAAGTATGCGAGATAAGGGCGCCAGGTTGTCACGACCGCGTTCAGCAATACCAGATGAATCTCCCAGGCATTGAGTGCTTGGCGATCTCGGTAGCACAAGATATACTTCTGCAAAGACCTCACAACAGCTTTTCCTACCCCAGCGAAAATGATCGTTGCAACAGTAGGATCCTGAGACGACCGGTGGTATAACAGAAATTGTCTTAATGACCATGGCTTGGATTCTGAGCGGTAGTGCTGTTCCGGAAACCGTAAGATGTACGCACACTCTATCCGCAAGTCAGGTCAAGGACCATGATATTCTGCGGTAGCCTTACCAAAGTCCTCCGACACCCGATCAGCGGCCCCTGTGGCCGTGGCTTGGGCAGCCCAGGTCATAGGCGGTGTCAGGCGTGTTTCGCCATTTTTGGGCCCAAAGCAGATGATGAAGTCCAAAAGCCGAGTTGAGACATGACACGTTTCCATCAAGCATGTCAGAAGCTCGTGACTAATGCTCAGTGAGCTGATTGAATTCCGTTGACGGATAACGCTGTCGAAGTCAGCAGGGTCACTGGCAGCACAATATCTAGAGAACAGACATCAGCTGGAAGGAACCCGCCTGCTACTTCCCATCACTGCATGTCAGCCTGGACAGGACGCTCTGCATCAGGCAGCACCGACCTTCATCCTCCGTCTCAATTCGTCCTGGTCACGTACCACCAGCAATGGCAATACTGGTTCGTTCGTACATTTCACCGAGACTAGAAACCTCGTCGGCGATGTAGTGGAGTCAGTAAATGAGCCATAGGTCGAGTCACTGCCGTGGTTGCGTAGCGACTCCAAAGTCCCATCCACAAGGAGTTCAACAAAGGACAAATCGTCCTTGCCGGCGAGTGAGCTCTCGAGTCGTTCCTGCAAATAGTCCTCTGATGTTAGGGAAGGTCGCTGGCGCGCGATATCCTCGAGAAATGCCGACCGTGCCATGGATCGTCATGGACATTACTTTTGAATCGAATGCCTGGTGCAGAATATTGAGGTTTGGCAACAGCCTGAGCCGTGTCTGCCCGGACTAGGTCAGTAACTGGGCTTAGATTGCTCGATATCTTCTCAAAACGGCGAGGTTGAGATCCGAACCTCGACCGAGTGGTGAGTGAGCCCACGGGTCAACCGTACAGTCTGCCTTCCGGGTCGACGACAGACGATGGACGATAAGGCTGGGGAAGTCAGTTTTGAGATATCCTGGTCTGTCCGGATTGTCATGACCGTGTCCTGGACATCCATCAAGGTCCCCTGTTCAGCCGAGCGAGATCAGAACCAGGGATTGCATGGTCAATCATGAGGCCATGTCGAGCACAGCCCCGCTGCGGTGTCTGCCTTGCGATGCTGGTGCTTGCAAGCGACGTGAAAAGCCACGAACTTGCATCAGGCTTGACCTGCATCAGCCACCAATCATACCTTACGCCGTGGCATACTTGGCACCCTTCTGACTCGTTCGTTGCGCCTATCTCAGTCCTACCTGGTAAGTTGTACAGGGCAGTGTTCATGCAGACCTTCGCTGAAGTCAAGCTCAACACTTGGGGACTGTTCCGCCTGGCCCATCCATCCTATCCTACGGTGACCTTGACTCCTAGGCCGTCCCAAAAGCGCCACAGCAGCAGAATACACAGCACCTAGCTACTGTACCCTAGGTAGGATCTACTGGGCAACGTGCGATCATTACACCAGCCTGATCCTACTACCTGACTCGGGGGTGACTCCGAAGCCCCCCTTGTGATGCACGCGCCCCTTCTCTTGCCGCCCCTTGATATTCGTGGCCTGGGGCCAGACGTGTGGAACTTTTGGCATTTCCTTACAGGTGATCATAGACGTATTTCCCCTGGCTCTTCCCAACTCATTCATCCTGCTCTTCGACAACTTCTGATTTCACCCATATCTACTGTATCATTAGTGCTCATTCCCGTGCGAGTCACCTGAGTGCTGCCCGAAGCTTCTCGTCAAGATCAGGATCCCCAACCCCGAACTTTCCCAGTGATGAAACAAAAGACTATGCAACAGATCATCCCAAGCAATTTCATTGACAAACACAAACTGGAAGATTTCCTATCCACAACAAACGATCCTAGTTCCTTCAAAGTCACAAGGAAGCTGGACAAATACCACATTCAATATTTCATCGTCAATGGGAAGCCACCCCGGGAGCTTAGCTGGGTAAGATTAGGCCCCAAATGTGCGCCGTGGAGCTGGAGGTTTCTTTGCTAATCGTGTCGCACCACAGGAAGATGTTGCTATGTTGAAGAGATGACCACAAAACACACGGCAATGCTTTGGGATTTAGGTCATGGAGAGAATTGTATTAAGGGAACATGCTGGATTCAAGGCAGATCTTTGAGGGCGGACGGCCGGATATCGACAGGACACTACAAGCGGGCTCCCTGAGTTGACGGGCTGTTTCTTTATCCACTCATTTCCACGCTTGATCAACTGGGACGTGTCCTTGCTGAGTGGCGCAAGTTGGAGCTTAGGTCACATCTTTTATGGCCCTGAAGGCTTAAGCTTGATTGGTATTTTCGAGGATTAACGTTCACTCCTCTCATGGTCTATGTAATCCCGAGCCTGCAATCCCGCTCACCGCTTACTTGCCAGTCCAGAACAATGTTGAAGTTCTAGCCAGGATAAGGGAAGAGCTACAGAAACGAACAACAGAACTCCTTTGCTGATTAGAGATGACAACATTCTGCATACTCCTTAGCCAAGGGCGACCACTGGCATGGAGGGAGCTCCTTTCACAGGTTTGTACAGCATACAGTTGTACAATGCCGGAAAGCCCGACATGGTGCCATGCACAGCAAAAACAAATACAAGACTGGCTCGGATTCGGTGCTCAATCAACCAGAATCATTCGTTCTCGCCAATGCACCAGGCGCATTAGTCTACCAGAGGCGCGCCCACGCCCGACTCTAGACTCTCAGATTCTGCACCAAGCAGTCGGTAGAATGCAGCTCGGCTGCTGCTCCCTGTAGCATGGGGCTGACAATCTGTTCGCTTGAATAAAAACATCCATGTGGTCGCCTTCATTCAAAAGCGGCTGATATCTCCAGTAACACATACTTAGTGTAAGTTTCCTTGAAGTCGAGAATTCAGCCCGCTCTGCAGCTCAGCTGCAATAGTGCAAGCGTATCCTCCTTATCTTTCTTGGGGTGCCAGTGGTAGAAACTTGGCTTTCTTCAGCCTGCCTGCCTGCTTGCTTGCCTTCCTTTGGCGTTGCGGGCTGTTGAGCAAAATGCCTCTCCCTACTAGGCAAGACACCGCATCCTCTCGGTCGTCCACATCGACCAGCAAATCCAACTCTCCATCTTCGCCCAGCAGCAGCGGCGGCGGCCAAGTGCGACAAATCATCGACGACCGATACGTTGACCCAGACAGGCTAAAGAGTTATATGAAGAAGAACTTTGCACAAGGGACCTGGGCTGTTCAGGTATGTAAGACCCCTTTGCGTTGTCGTTATTGTCTGGCCCTGCCCTGGATACAGTGGGGAAGCAACATCATTTGAGAGGATCCAGGAACACACAATGCCATAATGATTTTGGGTTCCTTGCTGTCCAAGTGAGAGAGGCCTGTGACTGCAGTGGTAGACGAAACGATGACAACAACACAACTGTTCGTTGACGACTGAATAGTGGACTGGATGGACTGACTTACAAAACTGTGACACATTGCAGGCCAAATTGGGCATCATCACCATCACTGCGCCGCGACTCATTCCCAAGGTGAGTGAGCTGAGTAGCACTGCAGGCAGTGCTGGACATCTATCTACCTATCCACCCTGTGTTGCCTTGTCTGGATTGGAAGTCTTGTCATGAAACATATTCTTTTCGTTGGTTTGCTGAAAATGCTGTGTTGTGCTGAGCTGAACTCATTGTTTCTGCCTTGGCCTAGGAGGACTTCGCCCTCTTTACAGTGGGCAGTTACTAGTTAGTACCGAGGTAGTTGGAAAAGAGGCCCGGGCCGACATCGAGGCACGGCATACAAACGGGGAGCTTTTTTGTTTGGAGGTCTTAGGGTCACTTGTGGGTGCCCAAGGGATGGAATGATTCGTCAAGCAGAACTCTCAGTCATTCATTCGCTGCCCTGAAGATAGGGCGCGGAGAAAGGAAGTCTGGTCAGAGGAAAGAAGCGGACAACTAAGGCAGTTAAGCAATGCCCTAGACTTCGACTGTCACTGCCCGAAGAGAAATCCACAAGGCTAGGAAGGTGTAGGTCAACCGGCTCTTTGGCCACATGATGACCATGATTCTGCTTCATGCAAGTCTCGCAATGTTGTTCTTCGTGATCTTCCTCCCGGACAAGGTATTTTCTCTCATGCCACTGACTTTCTCGCCAATGTTTTCGTCCCACGCCCCAAGCCCCCAAGATTGTGTGTGGAGAAACCTGTCGGCCCTGTATTTTGCCTTCATGCGCCTAGTGAACGCCATTGGTGTGGACACCGTTGGCATTTCCATTCACCCCATTAGCAATGCCGTTCGAGTATCCATTGGGGACGGCATCGACAGCACCGCCCTGGAGACCATCCACGCCTTCAGGGCCAGACGCATGTTTGGTCGCCTTGGTGATCCCATTCGTCCTTTTCCCGTCAACGTCGACATGACCATTGGTAGCCACACCCGTTGCTTTCACGTCATCGTTGAGGACTTTCAGTTTCGCGTTTGTGGAAGAGCCATTCAGTTCCACCGGCAGGCCATTGACAGTGTATCCTGTGTCACTAGCGTCAACAAATGCTTCCAGACCTTCCCCGTTACGAGGATAGTCCTTCATGAGCGATTTGTGACGTCGGAGAGCGGCATACATGTCGTCCATGGAAACGTCATTGAGGAAGACGCATCTTCCCAGAGGACTGGGCACAGCCGCCCTGAGTTTTCCGTCTCGAGTCCTCAAGATGGCCTTTGTTCCTTTGTCGAGAATCTCCTCGTCAAACTGGTGATGGTCCATTGACAAGCCAGCACGTGAAAAAAGGTTCAGGATTCGCTTGTGATCTTCGTCGCTTAAAATTCCACGCATATTTGCCAGGGTTGCAGAGTATGCCATATCGATAGATATCGCATGACCGTGGCGAAGCGGCACGTCCGGAACCAGTTCGTGAAGGGGTGACCATCTAGACCTTTGTCAGCTGACTGTTGCAGCTCGTGTAAGGACGCCTGACTTACGTGTGACCATAAGCAATGACTCGATCCAAGCCAATCTCGTGAAGATTAGGCGTCTCCAGCTTCAACATCTCGTGAATGCCCGCACGGTTGATGTCATCTGCGGCATTGCGCACTTCCTGTGAAGCGCCATCCTTGCGACCAAAGCCGGTGCTGATCAATTGTTCACAATATTTGTCGAGCAAATTGAACGTTGGCAGGTGTGCACAGGTGGAGATCTTGATCAACTCCGCAAACCCGTTACGGATCTGTGCTTCCGGAAGGGTCCGCAGGAATGTGAAATCCAGGAAAGTGTGCATTGGAGCATGGTAGGCACCTAGACGGTTTTTGTAGTTGCCATAGTTGACGGCGACCTTGATCGACACCGAAGCATCAATAAGCCCAATCACAGTGGTGGGGATTCTGATGTAGTTGGTGTTTCTGCGGTAGGCGGCACATGCAAAACTGTATTGGCCAGCATTAGCACAAGCTTGCAAACGGTATACAACCTAAGGAGATGTATGGGCCAGAGTGCCTTGAAGTCATCTTTGGCAGGTGGAAACTTTTACCCAGCAACATCCGTGACAAGCCCACCGCCAATGACGAGTACTGGTTCCTGCAGAAACTGTTAACTAAATTCCGTTTGTGAGCAAGGCCTCGTTTCACTTACCTTTCGATAGATCCCGAACTTGTTCATCGAGTCCACAATGCTGAGGAACGTGTCGATTGACTTGGCTTTCTCCCCAATCATCGTCTTGTGGATGTCGAGCTCAATGTTGTGGTGATCAAAGTACTTTTGCATTTGTTCGCCATAGACATTGAAGATGTTGTAGTCCATGACGGCCAAGCAGCGACCCCATTGTTTGTAACAATCAGCTAGCTCGCTTCGCTTGATGTCAAACACCCCGTCAATGAAAGTGAAGTCATATTCGATCTTCTCATAGCCCTCGACATGGAATCCAGAGGGAGTCTCCGCAACGGAGGCTTTCAGGTCAGACATTTTGTAGGTGAACACAAACACAGGGGAGAACAGACACTGGGTAGCAGAGAACAGTTGAAACACGTCGATGGCAGCCGGCAGAGCAAGCAAGAAAGGCAGGATGGGTTCGCTTTTTGAAATAATGGCGTCCCCCAGCAAGCCACATAGCTGGCCACGATGGTACACTTCCATCAACAACATCTAGTACGTCTTACCGCATCGCTAGCCAGCTTCCGACCCAGCGGGAGTGGAAAGTAATGCTGGCTGCAGTGTTTACCGAACTCAGATATGAGGATCTTGGTTCCACTGCGGGTCCCGTTGAGCAGAGAGACCCTCAGGTACTGTACCTCTCGACATTTGTCCCGGGTTCCAGCCTCCCGCAATTCCAAAGAGGGCTTAGTTAGTATTTAGAATTCACACCAGGTACAGTCATGATGTATTCCAAGCCTTGAAAGCAGAAGGGCCTCAAAAGACGTGCTCCGGATGGTTCAGCCAGCTCCCCTAAGCCCACGGAAGCATCTTTTTCCCGGACACAGCATCCAACCGGAGCATCCCGATCAGATCAGAATTCTACGGCGTTTGAAAAAGGCCCAACGGCGGAACGGCGCCAGATACCCCGTGGACATGCCAGATCCTAGCGTCTGTTCGGGTAGATTGAGTTGCCCGCATCAGGGACCGATGGTGTTTCCGGCGGTGCTGACCATGCTAGAGTGGATGCGTCAGAGTAAGTCGAAGACGTCGTGTAACCCGCTGCTGCACATGAAATTCTCCGTTTATGGCCGATAATGACGAGCAAGCAGATGCCAATGTGTGTATATCTTGCTGGGATCAGTAGGAAGACTGCGATGGAAAGAAAGACGATCGAAGTGCAATCAAACGAGATGCTAAGCGAGAGAACGGCGCTAGACTAAATCGGTAGTTAGTGGCTTCATATGATTGGCTTCCGCGACATCATCGGATCATGACCTGGTCGGCCTCTCTCCTACCACTCTCTCTACCTCGACCACGAGCGTTGTCATTGACTCTTTTGCTTCGAAAGTCTCCATCCTACGATCGATCCAGGGCTTGGTACATCCTGCAGCTAGAAGACACCGTGCTTGTGGCTTGTCCCCACACTCCCTGACCGCCCTTCTGGCTCGAGGTCAGGGGCAAGCTCAGCAGCAGTGGTGGAAGATACTCCCGCCCAACGGTACGTCCATATCAGTATTGCGAAGGTTCAAGTACCGTACAGCTGACGGTGGTCAGGTGAGACCTGTGTACGATTTCGAAATCCATGATACTCGAGGCAGATATCGTGTATTCTTTTTTTGTTCATTGAGCATTCTCGGTCGGCCGGCGGTCTTCCGAATTGATTCATATCACACCTTGTTGTTCCCATCATCCTCGGATCTCATTATTTTCGCCATGGGTGAATTCGACCCCCAGAAGAGATATCAGGAGCAGGAAGAGACATTTGTAATATTGAGTTTGCCTGGTCGTGGTATCATGCAGCACTGACTGACCGGTAGTTTGATGATGGTCGAGAAATCGAGCTGCTGCATTTCGTCTACAGCAGACCGGATATTGACGACATCAGAGATTCTCCTGCAAAGGTGCTCGCAGTCATTGACGAGTTCGCCCGGACGAAGAAGTACCTGATGAACGTCGGAGAGGACAAGGGCCGCATTGTAACGGATCTGATCGCCGAAGTCAAGCCCAAAACCATGGTCGAGCTGGGCGGATACGTGGGTTATTCATGCATCCTGTTTGGGAATGCCGTTCGCAAGGCTGGCGGTGCACGCTACTTCAGCCTCGAACGGAATCCCGAGTTCGCCGCCGTCATTGCTTCGCTGGTGGACCTCGCAGGGCTAAGCGACATCGTCAAAGTTGTTGTTGGGTCTAGCGATGCATCCATCAAGCGGCTGCATTCCAAAGGAGCTCTCACTCACATCGATCTGATGTTTCTGGATCACTATAAACCAGCATACACGACAGACTTGAAGCTCTGCGAAGAACTTGGGCTCATCACGCCAGGATCAGTGCTGGCCGCCGATAACGTCATCAAGCCAGGCAATCCGCCTTATCTGGAGTACGTCCGAAGTACCGTCGAGGAGAAAAGGCGAGCTGCTGAGAGCGGAAACGACGCCAATGGCGTGATCGGCCGTTTCGCCGACAGAACGGCCAAGCAGTATCACAAGCGAGAGGGTGAAGCCAAACTAGATGAAAAGAGGGTCGGCAATCCTTTGTTGATATACGACAGCAAGCTTATTCACAGCTGGGAGCCGACGGGTGTGCCAGTAAGTTCGCCGATAAATCTCTTCCGGGCTCCTACTCACCTTTACTCGCAGGATGGCATCGAGATCACCAGATGTGTTGGAGTGGCCGAATCATGACCGAGGGATTTTGCAGACTCTGCGGGACACAAGGCGCTTGCATAGAAGACATAGAAGGCGAGGTACCAGGAAAGCCCTGAGGTCCATAAACGGGGTATCACATTGGCACCCTCATCCAGCTTTTGGAAACTCTGGAGATAACTGACTCAATCTCGCATCATGTGGAAGTACATAGGAGGCACCCCATCTCATCATTTGGCCCAGCGATTTAACCTTTGGTGAGGCATCTGTGAGCATCGAATACTATTATATCATGGCTGCGTGTCCTGGCAAATCTACACAGTGCTTGATGGGTGGTGCTGTCCATGCAAGCCAAATAAATGGTGGGTCTCCGGCCGTCCAAAAAATCTTCAAAAGACCCACCATTTTCCTTGCATTTCCAGCTCCCACTGGTTGCCTCTCTCATCGGATCCCCAAAGAAAGAAACCAAAGACCAAAAAAACAGATGAAGGACCACATCTGATCAAAAATGAATTCATTGCACATGGTCAGTATGGGGCTTGAACCCACGACCTTCGTGTTACACGATAAGTGGTATTAGCACGACGTTCTGACCAACTGAACTAACCGACCAGATGAATTCAGATGAATTTTCTGTGTGCGAATTTGTGACCAAAATTTTGCGGCTTTAGTAGAAGATTCACATAATTATTGGAGCCTCAGTGGTCATAACTTTTATCCTTTGGGCAGTAGTAGTACCTACAACGTACCTATCTGCCATATCAGCGTCCTTTATCTCAACTCATGGCAGTGTAGTCTGCGCCGTAAATGATATCATTGTTGGCCTCCCCAAAAGTACCTCATAATCATATCAAACTACATTGTACCGAATTCCTGCATTAATGCGTCCTCCGTCGTGGCTCCTCATAATCATGCTACCTAGATGTCCTACCAACATATATATTGTATATTAGGAAAAATGGATACCTAAGGTGCGGTACAACCTTGCTGTGTCACAAGGCTGTGCGCCATGTTTACAACTTGAAGTTGGTGGGTGATGCTTGGTCATCTATTTTCCCGCATCTTCCGACTTCGTCCTTCATTCGACTCTTTCACTGTAGAGCTTCACCACCAGATGTCCTATATATATGAACTAGGAGGTCTTGATCTGTTGTGAACTGCACTTGGCATGCCCTTTCGGTATGATTATATACACTGTTCCCAACACTCGGAGCACAGCGAGTGAACGCAGATGCCTACAGGTGAGGACCGTATCTCTCAACTACTGCGAGCCGTCGTCTCCACCGTGGTAAATGGCTTGTTAAGAATTTTAGTGACGTCGACACTTGCTTCGCAGTGTACAGCCGCTGCCGGCTCTACAAGACTTTTTTGTCCCATTCTTACCCTGAGTATAGGTGGGTGTTCATCCAGTTTATCGCTGCTGCTGCTGCTGCTGCTAGGTTTCATCCCCTTGATCATTTAGGGAGCTGCCCTACCTGCCTCCCTTCACCTGTGGCCTTTCCAGGGTACGGTACCTACAGGGTAAATGCCACCCTACGGTACACTCTTCTAGCTATATTCTCTTCTCATTACTAGCCTTTTAACTCACCTCCTACCCTCCATGTTGGACGGGACATCTTCCAGTCTAGCCCACCGGCTGCAAAACGCAAGCCTTATTGTTCTCAGCCTCGTGTTTCTCCCCCTCGACACAATCATCCTCGTTTTATCTTTTCTTCTCCACCAACCCCTATTGTTCGGGGACAAAGCCACAAAGTCTCGCTCCGTGGCACACAGCAAGCATGGCTTCCATCGACGCACCATCCTCGTGACGGGCGTGGGCATGACCAAAGGTCTCGTGCTCGCCAGACTGTTCTATGAAGCCGGCCACGACGTGATCGGAGCAGACTTTGAACCCTTTGGATCCGCATCGCTGGTTTGTGGTCGAGTATCGCGATCGTTGAAGAAATTCTACCGCCTCCGCAATCCACACAACACCGCCAACCAGAGGAGCAGCAGTCCAGACCCCGTTCCCGACCCGGGACCATACATCCAGAGGCTTCTGGACATTATTACGCGGGAAAACGTCGATTTGTGGGTAAGTTGTTCGGGGGTATCGTCTGCCCTCGAGGACGGTATGGCCAAGGAAGTGGTCGAGGCCCGGACGGGATGTCGAGCAATTCAGTTTGACGTGCGTACCACGCAGACACTGCATGAGAAGCACACGTTCATCGAATACACGAAGTCAATGGGACTCACTGTGCCCGAAACCCGTGAGGTCACATCCCGTGCGGCAGTGGAGGAGATACTGCGACGAAACAACAACAACAAACGCAAGTATATCCTCAAGACAATCGGTGTAGACGACGCTGTCCGCGGTGACATGACTTTATTGCCGAGATCTTCACCGGAGGAGACGGCACGACATCTTGCCCGTCTCAACATTTCGCCCGAGTCGCCGTGGATCTTGCAGCAGTTCATCCGCGGCAAGGAATACTGCACGCATGCGCTGGTGGTTTGCGGCAAAGTCATGGCATTTGTCGCCTGTCCCTCGGCAGACTTGCTCATGCACTATGAAGCTCTACCGGCAGATTCGCCTTTGAGCCAGGCAATGCTCAAGTTTACGCAAAGATTTGCTGCTTCTGCTGCTGCGGCCGGTGACACCGAATTTACTGGCCATCTCTCGTTTGACTTTATGGTCGAACATGGTGATGGGGACGGTAACCGCAGCACAGATGATACCGCCAGAAAAGGAGAAACACCGAAAGATGAGCCAGGCTCCATCACTCTATATCCCATCGAATGTAATCCCAGAGCCCACACCGCAGTGGCTTTGTTCAATGGGACACCGGAGCTGGTGGACAAATACCTCTCTGTGCTGGAAAACACCACCTCAAAAGAAGCACATGACGATGTTGATGACCATTTCAACCGTACACCGCAATCGGAAACAAATGGCCTTGTTCGTCAAGCTGGTAACGAGGTGGGTGATAATGATCATGTTGTCACCCCCACAAGAACCGACAAATACTACTGGATCGGCCACGATCTCGTCACCTTGCTGATCCTCCCGACGTTATCGTTTCTGACAGCACTCGACCAGTCCCTGTCCCTGCACGATCTATTTCGGGCTTATCTATCGTTCTTCCGTCATCTTTTCACGTGGCGGGACGGCACTTATGAATCGTGGGACCCTCTCCCTTGGTGGTGGCTGTACCATGTCTATTGGCCAGCGAGATTCTGGACGTGTTTGCGCACAGGCACGAAATGGAGTCGTGTCAATGTTAGTACCACTAAAGTGTTTCAATGTTAAGCATGAGGGTCCATAATATCTGACCGAGCAGAGACCGCTAGGTCTCGTTTTTGGGGGGAAACAGTAAAAGGAAAGTCGTATGAACCAGCAGGAATGGGCACTACCGCCTTCCAATTAACAGAGCGGCTGGTTTACTTCTCGAACTTTTCATTTGATGTATATTGTATTGTTTCTGATTCAATACCACGGCATCTGGATTTTGTAGTTGGCCTGATAAGGCCATACAATGTTGCAGAAGGCCGTAAACCAGACAACCAGCCTCCGTCTGATCATTCACCAGCGGCGGCGCAAACGGCAATGCAAAGCCAGGCTATGATTTGCTTCTTTATACGTATCCTGTAAACAAGAAGCAAAACTCGTCAGCAACCGAATTGCAACTCATAATGGCGACGCAAACAGATGTGACCATCAACGCGAAAACACACAACCCCGAAAACAACAATTACCGTCGATTTCGGCAAGTGCGTTCTACCGTCCCCATATTTGAGGGCCGGAATGCACCAAATGCAAATCGGGCAGAAAGGGACTTTTTGCTGTTCACTCACCTTTCCTAGCGCCCTGGAAAAAGAACCTGACCACCAAGACCTGCAAGGCAGCCATACCGACCATCATCAACACCTCGATCAGACTGAAATTGAAAATCCGCTGTTCCGTACTCCGGACAGTACTAAAGTTGCGGTTCTCCCGGGTCCGGAAATACTTTTGCATCCTGCTGATCGTGCTCAACTGGCTGCTGATTTTGTACACCATGTTTTCGAGCTCTGAGGTTTGTTCGGGCGACGAGCCTGCTTTTTGGGGGAGGAGTGCGGATGTGGATTCGTCTTCGACCTGTAGCAAAATAAGAAAGCGAGGTCAGTAAATGTAGGTTCTAAGGAGGGTCAAATTTGGGGAGTGTGGTCTGGCGCACCGCAATTTCAAAATCCACCATCTTGTCCGCAAATGTCGACATTTCGTTGTTAAAGCAGAACCGGTATTCGCCGGGCGTTTGGGCCGTGAAGACAAAGTCGCCCTGGCGCTCCTTTTGGCCTTCCATGATTCGCTTGTCGTTGGGGCCTACGACGGAGTAGTCAACGTCGAAGGAGCCGCCGGATTGGACCTGGTAAAAAAAGGAGGGTAGGAGTTAGTATATTGGTCAGAGTATTCATTCTTGCTTGTGATGGTAAGTCGTTCTTTGCGTGGGATTGTGAAGCCAGATCTATCCGCGTGTGCTCGGGCATCCGCAGTTTCTTCAATCATGGCCAGGGGACTCCTCTCAGAAGTAGCGCAAGTGATACTCCTCCGTGTTCGGGTGTATATGTCCGTCCTCCTGTTTTATGGCGCAGTCATGCCCAGTACCACCGCAACATGCCGCAGCAGCTCTTCCACGATTGATCCCAAGGCCCAGCCATTGAACCTCGAATGTACCGTATATTTGCCGCCCGCGTCGGCGTATGTATGTGTATGTGTATGCGATGTGTTCGTGTTTGTATCAATGCCCAACTTACAGCAAAGTAGAAAGCGACTTTGGCATTTGCCCGGCCGACATTGGTGAAGAAACACGCCTTTTCGTTGGCGCCGAGTTTGTAGGTCAGGGCTGTGCTGTAGACCCCGGAGACGGCCACAGCCAGCAGGCCGAGGAGGAACATTAACGACCGCATCTTTGGTGCAGCAGAGAATTGACAAGTAGAATGAGATCAACGTGGTGCGGCGACCATTGCACTGCAGTTCGACCTTCGGAGACTCTCTCTCAAAAGGGGCCCGCGCGCGGAGTTTGTACAGTTTGTCTTGAACTTCCAAGTTCCCCGAATTCTTGGCGCGTCTCCCCCTTTTTGCCCAGATGTGCAAGCCCGGGTGACTTCATACTTGTACCAGCATACAACGTTACCTGGTAGATACCTTAGTCTACCAGGTATAGGTAAGGTATGTACAGGTGCCTCTGATTCAGACTCGTAGGCTATAGCTGGTATGTTTACTGGGACCGGGTACGAGACTGTTCTATTGATACGATTGGTTGATAAAGTCGATACCATCTGTTACGTCCCCGGCTTCAGTTTGGTCCTTTGCCAGAACTAGGTGATTATCGTCCTATGTTCAGTGGCGAGATAACCATGCGTTTCATCGTGGGACTCTACTAGTAGACACTGAAGAGAGTCCAGCCACTTCCGAGCGAATGCGTGCTCCAGAAACTACCCCCAAGGCGTGCCACCAGACCCAGCATCAACGGTAACATTCCGCAAGTATTCCCGGTAACCCAATGGTGTTGGTGAAGAGTCGTGAACTGGCCCGGTTATTGATGTGCATGCCGCGCTACAGCGTGATCAAGCACCTCCGTCTTGATCTCTCTGAATCGAAATGCGCAAAGCCAATGCGAGATAATCCTCCAACGATGGCAAACTGGATGTCGTTGAGCTGGTAGATGGCCTTGACCAACAATTCTCGGTCTTCAATTGTGCTGTTGTAAAGTGACAGTGTACAGAATGCTATTGTATCCGACTCTGAATCAACAGACCTGTCCCACCTAGCAGGTCATGAACACTTCTTCACGCCTCGAAGGTCTTCCAGTCGCAAGTCACTCCGATGCTCGGCCAAGGAGAGCGGAGAACAAGTTCTGGTTCGGCTGTGAAGCCCTGGGTCAGCAGGAGCCGCCGTGACCGCCAAACGACCTGGCATCAGAGCAAGCATCAGAGCGGATGCAGTCGAAACACGTGGCTGGAGGAATGAAGCGTACAATAAAGCTGGGAACAGGTCTGCCGTGCGTCGATCCGCATGGGTATGGGTGGGCAATGGCGAACGAACACTCGGTGGCGAAGCCGGTAACACGGTCGCCGGACCTAAGTAGCGTGAGATATTGGATTTGGTTCTGTTCAAGCATGATCTGTGTGGAACAGCATCCTTTTGAAATCCAGGTCTGTAGACCTATAATTCAATGATTGGCGACGCGGAGCCAGCCTCTGGAGTCTTCGCTTCTTCTCTATCTTTAACAACGGTCGTCTGCTTCCCTTTCAAAGGCGGGAAATCAAAAGTCTCACTGACACCGGCCTTGCCAGCATCCCACTTCCCAACCCGTTGGCCTAGATACCCTTTATCCCAAACCAAAACGCCGACCCAAGGCTGGAGATTCCAACTGACCTGCAACGTAGCATTGGTCCTCTCGCTAATAACGCCGCTTGGGTCTGTGATCTGATATTTCGGCTTTTGATTCTTCAACGAGATAACGCCAGGCTTGACGAGATCCGTCGTCTTGGCCTTTGAATTGGAATCCCTCCGGTTCTTCGCCTTTGTCTTCTTGTTGTCAGGAAAGTACTTTTGTTTCAGGTTCTGCCAGGAATACGGCGTTGAAGTCGCTGGGATAATGGTGTCCCAGATGACCGCTTCGGAAATGCCTCCTTGGCCATCTTGTCCGCTCGGGTAGTTCGCCGTCACATATACAAACAACTGCTTGGTATTCCATGTGAAGAGACTGGACAGGTCTGCGTCGAGATCGAATCTGATCTGTGCGTATTCTTCTCGTTTCGACGAGTAGTAGTGCGGCCGGCCTTTGACGACTTGGACGTTGCGCACCGCAACCGAGGCACTGGGGGAGGACTCAGGCGCAGGAACGGGGATGACGGAGAGGAGAGCAATGATTGAGGCGAGCACAAAGGCGCAAGTGGTGAAGTGTGCGAAGACCGCTTGTATACGGTTTAGAGCGTTGTGCATGATGACGGCGGTCTCACCGTGGTGAGGCTGTCAGGAAGAGATCAAGGAACCGCTCCTTGAAGGTTCAAGGTCGTATGTAAATGAGTGTGGGATGCCTAGTACATCATCGAAGCAGACTCAACGACCTTGCTGGAGGAATACGGTTCTCTTGACTACACAAGTCTGGCAACTTGTATAGATAGGTGAGGTATGCCGTAGTGAATGGAAGTGGACAGCTGAAACCCGTCACTGTGTACCTTGACAATAATGTTGTACTACTGTCCACTGTTGTCACTCAGGAGCGCGATTCGCGAGGTTCCGCCGCCAAGTCGACCACTCACCGCGCCTCTCACACCAAAATATAATTCTCCAATCGCGAAACAACTTCTTCGTCTTCCTTCTTTTCTTCTCCTTCAAGGACTCCAGCCTGGCAGCTCACATTCTGAGCATCCCTCGATTGCTCCAGAAGTGGTTTCGGGCACTGAACCGAATCTTTCGGTTCGTGTTGCCCGCGAACGGAGTCCTAAAAGGACCCCCAGACCTGCCGTTAATCGCCCATGTCTTTCTCTCGATGAAGCACATGGGTTTCATATTCAAGGTCACATCACATCACATCCCACATACTATAACACACCATAACGCTGCTGCAAATGCAACAACACAAATCCAGTGTCACTGCATACCTATATATCATATTCAAAACAAAACAAAAAAATAATTTTGCATCCCTGAAAGTCTTCCATTCCGTTTACATTTGAACTGCCCATCACACCCGAAGAACGAGACATCCCAGTCTTTCTTTTCCTCTGTTACAAATACAGCAAATCTTTCACCATGATCCAATCCGTCTGAATACACCGTCCCATCTTAAACTCATGTTCCCCAACCCTCGAATACCCCATCGCCTCATACACGCGCTGCGCCTTGAAATTCCCCTCCCACACACCCAGCCATATGGCCCGATAATCCAAAACTCGCGCCGCCATATCCTCAATCGCCGCAGTAAGAGCCTTGCCCACGCCGAGGCCATGAAAATCCTCATGGACATACAGACGCTGCAACTCGACGATACCCTCGAGGTCCTCTATACAAGGCTCACTCGTGCCCTCGGTCAACTGGGCAAAACCGATGATTTGATCATTGTCGACGCTCGAACTCTCCACGGCCACGATCACATGTGTATCAGGGTTTTGGATATCCCTTTCTATCGCAGAGACGCTGTATGCCTCGTCGAGATAGACGTCCAGATCGGGCGTCGGAATCGAGAATCCAAATGTCGTTGTGAACACTGTTGATCCGAGCTCCGCGATGGCCCGGGCATCTTGAAGCGTTGCTTTCCGGAGCGAGAATGCTGCAGATGGCCTGGTAGTACGACGAGTACTGGGCAGCTGTATGCTCTCCACTGCTTTCGGTTGCACTGCAGTAGTAGTACTAGTAGTACTAGGGGACGAGATGTGTGTGTTGAATTCGAAGCGGTACTCTGGCGGAGGTGGAGGTACAGCGAGGGCCGGTTGGGCGAGCATATTGAATATCAATAATAGGATCCCAAATTGTGATGAGGTATATTTTAACCAAACCAACGTCTCTGTGTCTCTTATAAGGAAAAGATGGCAGACAATTGTATACGGCGATTTTCTTGGGTACGTCTCTGACTTCACATTTCAGTAGTAGAGCAGCGCGCCCGCTTCGAGATACTAAAACGTGGTTTATGTGCGCTGAGTGCCACTGCAACACTGGCCGTTGGGGAAAAGAAATGATGGCAAAACTTGAATGAAAACCTTACGAGATGACAGGCACGCCCTGCTGCTGGCGAAAGATCCAAGGATATCCAATCCTGCAGACACATTTGTCGTTCTCATCATACGAGGGCAGCCAGCTTGATGGTCGTGGTACTACTAGGTCGGGTGGTAATCGGTGGTCTTTTCCTAGCGTCGCGCCCTGTAACAAACGTCCAGTGCAGTGCGCCCTGCAATAGTAATGCAAGGCACGGCTTCGGCGATCGCAACTTTAGACGACGCCACGGATCTGACTTTGACATCTTGGAACCATGTAGTGTGTTTACGGGAATCGCCTGCCCAATCTCTGTCTTCGTAGTGGAATGATTTCCTCGTTAGCCATGTGAAGTAGGAGCTCGCCGTCTCCTTGCGTGTCCTCCCTCCACACTGCTTATCCCCCGAAAAAAACATGTCTAGAACTTGAATCATATCATAACCGGTGATATCCGCAGCCAACCATCGACGCGTTGAAGTCAAACATTTCTCCAACACAAAGTTACCTGGTACTAGATGGACAGCGGACCTGTGGGATCAAAACGAAGACACCGACGAGGACGACGGTCGCAACAGGCACCGGCGCAATCATGAAAGGGAAACAGTTCGATGGTCGTAGGACATCTTCATTATTGAAATTCTGGTCTCTTCGGACTTCGTACATTCATTCGTCAAGAATGATGATCAGCTAATCCAGCGCTGTACTCCAGGTTGGCATCACTCTTTCCAACCATGAAACAAACATCAAAACTCCATATCGCCACCAATGCCACACACATGGTACGTGCGGTTTTCCTGATCAATCATGACCACATCGTTTCAAGTATCGACGATACGCCTTGTCGGGGTCACCCAGTTCGGGATGATCTCCGGAAAACAACATATCCGTAAGGGCAGTCTCCAAGTTTTCAGCACCCAAACTGTCCTCGCTTGCGTCCTCTTTTGTCAAACAAACTTCAACGACGTTGGCCACAAGCAAAGCACCTCCCGCATCCATGCGCTGTTCCTCTTCCTGGACGTAGTCAAGGCCGTCGAAGATGAGTCCCCTAGATGCGGCTTTGAATGCCAACATCGCAGCCGTTTCCACCACCATCCGGTCCTCATTGTACACCGTTGTGGGATCCACGTCCTCTTCCTCTCCCTCTTCCTGACAGGCAGTAAGCTCCTGCGATCGGACCAAGTCGAGTTTAGCAGGTCGCAAGACTTCACGGCGGATGGTAAGTTTCTTCAGGCTCAAGAACCCTGGGTAGTCGAGGATCGTCTTCCAAATGGGAGTGTAGATAGTCTGGCTGTTTTCCATGCACAAATCTACAACAGTCCCTTGCTTGATGAATGACAAATGGTTTATGAACTTCGTCGTCCTTCTGCGGAGACCTTGTAAGCCATTGGGTAAGAAGAGGTGGGATGGGTGTGCTGCGATGAACGTGGTCTCGCCATAAAGAATCTTGGTTGCTTCCCGATAGACCTGGCTGTTCAATAGCAGAATGGAGGTTCGGACACGGGGTTTGGTCGCATTCGTTGCAGGCTGCGCATTCGGATCTGGGAAGGTGATTGACTTGCTCGGCGGGACGAGGAGATGGCGGTAAATGAGATCTCGACACTCGCGGCTTGCGCGGAAGAAGTCAATCATGCCTAACTGTACGGGCACATAGCTTGACTCGAAGTAGGTCTGCTGGATCTTCTTTGTCATCTCCTCGACTTCGGCGATAAAGGATTCCGCTGGATCAGGCATGTGAGGTTGGCTCTTCTTTCTCGACTTGGTGCATCTCTCTCGGTATTCTGCATCGTCGTCGTCTTCTGCGTCTGGCTCTGCGGTTGTGTTAAACTTCCATCAAACAATGTGGGTTGCTGGGCGTTATACTTCTTCTGGCTTGTCCGCGTTTCTTGCGTTGCTTGCTCATAGCGCTGCGGGGGCCATGCCGTGGACATGTCTCACGCGCCGGAGATGTCGCTTGAGATGAACAGGTGCATGGCCCAGAACGGACATTCTTTGATGTAGCAACACGCGCCATGATTACCATTCCATAGAGATCACACTGGCGGCAAGGCCGATGATTGGGGATGCAGACTGGTGTAATAGTAGTGGACAGTGGGAGGTATTGAAGTTGGTACAGACTGCGGGCATAGAATTCACATCGCGATGGTGCTGCGGCTGAGTTGGACGGGTAGAGGACAAAAACTCCTCTTCGACGCGACGTGAATAGTGTGAAAGCAGCATTGTGCCATAGGTACTTTTCCACTTGGATTATACTGACCTGGCCACCAGGAGCCCGCCAGATCCATCATGCACATAGAAAAGGTTGCAGCGAGGGCGCCTCAACTGTTAGGACTAGTACGTGGTTCTTGAGCTTTGAGACCAGAAGTGTTCAAGTTGGCAACCATCTGGAATGAAATTGAAAATGCCACGAAATCAAAGAAACTGTACTGGACACACCTTCCTGGTCAAATTACCCTGTAGTCCTTGTTCCTACCTGACTGGCGAGGGATAACATGCGCCTGCAATGGAGAGTACGCATGATACCGCCGTAGAACTCATAGCTCACTCACACATTTCGCAGCGACAATTCTGCTCCCACTCTAGCTGCTTCACCATTACAGACAAGACTTCACTGCTCATTGCACGGGTCTTCGACATGATCTTCTCTTCACCAACAGTGTTGGCACAGCGTCAAGCTCACAGTACTAGTAGTAGATACCTACCACGTACTTGCAAGGTAGTAGTAGTAGTGAGCTCGGACTTCAGCCCTTCAAGTTCTGCTTCTCAGCCTGGTCCAAGCCCCATATTATCCCGGCCCGGAGAAGCAAATGCACTATCTGCACTATCTCACCCACTCCTGTATCTTAGTATACGCTAACACCTCCATCCAATGATGTTGCTGCCAAATAATCGGTCATCACGTGTGCCGCCAAGCGGAAACAGCCGAGCGAATACGATCCATCGGAAGCAGGAAGCACTGGCAAGAGACATCCAACATCCCGGCGTCCGCGTTCGACATCACTGCATGAGCTGGGGTTCCAATTAATCACCTTCGTCGCCTTAACCAACCCTCCCCTCTCCCCAAGCCTCTGTGCAAGCGACTGTAGCTCCCATGGCTGCAAACATGTTCTCCCGCAGGGCGCTGCAAGCGACGACCCGGCGATGTAAGAATACCCTCTCACATCCAATGTTCCCGATGGACGGAAGAAGGCGCAAAAGTAGAGAAGCAATCGAGCTGACCTGAGATCGTCTGATAGTGGCCGGGACCAACACTTCCATTTTCACCAAGACGCCTCTGTCGAGATTACCTGCTCCTGCGGCGGTTGCGACGGGTCAACATCTTCAATACAGGTGAGCCGGCGCTCTAAACACAGAACCCTCCTTTCAGCATGCTGTTATGGATACGAGTAGAATACATTCACTGTCGCGAAGAGGAGGAAATGATCAATATGGCCGTCCATTACGCATCCCGACACAAGCAAGAGGAGGAAAGAAAACATACATATACATGACTCCCGTACTAATACTGCCCGAAAATGGTTCCGAGGGTCTTTCATATCTTCCACACGATCTCGGTTCGGTACCACTGACACTTTGTTCTTCTTTCACAATCTAGACCGGCAGCGAGCACAGCACACGTCTCTCAATCCGAAGCAGAACAAATCCTGGCTGCCCAGCGCCGCCACCGACCCGTCTCCCCCCATCTAGCCATCTACCGGCCCCAAGTAACGTGGTACCTGTCGGCTCTTAACCGTATCACGGGCGCCACCCTTGCGGGAACTCTGTACGTCTTCGGAGCCGCCTATCTGGTCTCGCCCCTGTTCGGCTGGCATTTGGAGTCGGCGACTTTGGCCGCGACCTTCGCCTCTCTCCCCATCCTGGTCAAGGTCGCCTTGAAGGCCTTCTACGCTTTCCCGTTCGCTTTCCACGGATTCAATGGAATCAGACATTTGGTTTGGGACACCGGTGCGACTTTGACGAATCGACAGGTCATCATTACCGGATGGACCGTGGTTGGGTTGAGCACGCTCACCGCTTTGGGATTGACTTTCTTCTAAACGAGGAGCGCATGCCATGCAGCTTGCGTGCTGGTGGGTGGTAAAGTCGAACTGGGAAGGTTGCGACTTCGCAGCTCAACGGCACATGGAAGGTTGACAAATTGTAGATTACGAGTTCATATTCCTGACAACTTGGAAGAAACAGAGATGCAAACGTGATGAATCCACAAACTGCTTTTTGATTCCGATCTGAGTGAGACTGGTGATTAAAGCTCGAGGCTGTCGGGCTACGTACTCTGAACAAATCACTGACATCAATGACATTAACAAACCCACCGAGCCATTAAACACATATCCTTCGTACCCTTTCCCGCCGGCGCAATGCTGTAAATCAGTTTTTTGAGCAAAGGCAATATACTTGATGGCAAAGCAAGCTCCTCACAGGGGAGTAACAGATTGATGATTCATTCATCGACATATGTGACGCCGTCCCGCAACTCGTGAACCACACTCCCGCTTCTCCGACGGTTATGGTCAACATACTTTGTGCCATCTCGCAATTCGTGAACCAGGATGGGCGACGCTCGATTCCGCGCGCTGCGGCGAGGAGTCGGCGTCTCCCTGCCTGCTGCCTCCCTGGCAGACGAAGTCGAAGGTGCCATGGAGACGGTGGACGCTCGTCGTCCACGTTGTCGGCTGGGACTGCTACTAGTAGTGGTAGGTGGTGGATTCGCATCATGTTTGTCCAACACTACTTCTTCTTCTGCTTCATCTTCATCTTCCAGAACCACGGCGGTGTTTCGCCAGTCGCCCTCGTTCTCGTTCTCGTCCTCATTGTTAACATTGTCAGTGTAGTTGTCTTTGCGACGGCTAGTAGTGGCCGCGGGCAGTGGCGAAGGTCGACTATGACGAGGGGCGCTCTCGCGATGCTGTTGCTCTTTGCTGCGACTCGGCGGCGCAGGCGTTCGCGGGACATGGACATCGGGGCTCTTCTTCCGGCCATTGTTTTCGTCGTGAGGAGCATCTTGGGAATGGTCTGCAGCTGGAAAGTGTGCTTGGCCACCTGTTTCCCACCACCGAAACAGAGAGTCCGCGCATGCCGTTTCGTCCAAGCCGTACTCGATCGGAGGACCTGAAACGACAATATCGGAAAAGGTAGACCCAAATCCCTGCGGGGCTTTGAGGACGGCCCAGGAAGACGTCTCTGAGCTAAGCAGCATAAATTTATGGTTCAAAGTCTGGACCTTGAAGTTGCGTAGCATAATGGCATCGCCACGGTCTGTCGTCGGCAGCGAAGTTTTGACCGGTCGGAAAATTTGAACGACCGTACTGCTTCCGCTTTCAGAGGAGTCAGAATCTAGCGAAGAAGGGTCCGCAATATGTAGGGTTGTATGGTAGTCCTTGGGCCCTGATTTAGAGCGTTGCGGGTCCGCCGATTTCTTTGCGCAAATAGCGATCACATCGACCAATTTTCCGAAATGCTCGTCGAGGGATATGAGATGCGCGTAATATGATAGAGGCGTTAGCGTGCCCTTTCGTGGTTGCAATCCTGCTTCGGGCTCTTTTGCACGTGTTGAGGCCCCTGTGTCGGCGCGATCCTCGTCTGTCTCGCGGACGGTCAAAGATGTTGCACCGGTTTGGGTACGTTGTTCCAACTGGGACGATGATGAATTGTTCAAATCTGACTCGGTGGCACTCGGTCCTTCCTGAACGAAAAGCGGCGACGAAGGTGCAACGACTCCATTCCGAGGACTGAAATAGGGACTGGAAACATTTACCGCCACGACGGACTTTTTGACGAAAAGACGCTGCGACGTGCGACGCATATGTGTTGACTCTGCTTGGGTCACAGAGACCTGAGTGGGCGTTGCAGGTGTTGCGGTTGCCGCGTTCAGCTGTGCCTGCGCGTCCTGCTCATCGGGAGTTTTTGCTGGGCCTTGGCTGATTTCAGGTGAACGAGGTGCAAACGGCGCAGTTTGATGTTCAAATCCTTGAGCAAACTCCATATTGATGGCTGGGTCCTCCTCCTCCTCCTCCCGGTCTTCCTGAGTCTGATCAGGGGTTGGCAACTGTCCTTGGACCTTTTGCTCTTGGATTGCCTCAGCTTTGGAAGGTGCAGGTGGCTGTTGTTGGGCAGAAGTCACCTGTACCGGCTCGCCGGGCGGATTATAAGTGTGCTGAGCTTTCTGTGGCGTAGGCGATTCATGCGGTTGCTCACCCCCATCCGGAGCAGTGAATGCCTGGGGAGTAGGTGCGCCTTCAGGGACTTCCTCTACGTAAGGTTGAACATAATGATGTCCTCCAGCAGAAGCCGGCATGGCAGAAGTCTCCGAAGGATTATCTTGCGGGATGCGCTGCGATTCTTCTGGCGCTGGCGCCGTGGGAGAAGACAATGTTGGAGAACCAGACTTGGATGAAATGGAGGGGATTTCGACTCGTGCAGCACCAAGATCCACCAACTGGCTGGTACTATTTTCAGGACTGTCCCGCTCAGTTGAGAGATCGGCTCTTTCGTCGACATTTCCATCCAGAGAATGCGTTTGAGAGTGATAGGAAGATCGACGGCTGGACGAGTACGACTCTCTCCGTTTGTGCCAGTTTTGCTTGAAAGGGAATGGAGGTGCTGGGTAAGTGCCTGGAGACTGACATTCCACGGCGCCAACTGTTATCTGCTCTTTCCAGGCTGCGGTGACATGTTCTTGAGCTGACGCCTGTCGCAATACTGGACTTTGAGCCACATCTTGTCCAAATTCACCCGCTAGCTGAAGCGCGTGGTTTGTTGCAGGCGATGAGAAGGATTGTTCCGCATTGTCGGAACAGCTTTGCGCTTGCTCATGTGAGGTCGAGTTCACAACTTGACTACTCGCTGTGGAAATCTCCTTAGGTGGTCCATACATGTCTTCATCTTCGCCCTCGACCAAGATTGCCAACGCATTTGGTGAAAGGGAAGGGCTCTTATCTGATAGCAGTGGTTCTTGATGTTGTTTCGCTGCATTGGGTGACGGTGATCGCGAGGAACGGGGAGCTTCCTGGGGGCTGCCTGGAACCTGTGGAATGGTGCTGAATTCGACTGACTGTACAGACCCGCTGGAGTGCGTTTTTGTGTCTTGTTCGGGCCCATTTCGATTGTCAGTTGTTAAACTGACTTCGCTGGCTGAGTTAAGTGGGACATGTTGTTCGTCTTTTGAAGAGTACTGGATGTCTCCAAATTGTTCAAGAACAGGACCGTCGCTTAAGATATTATTCTCAAGAGACTGGAGTTGTCCTTTCCCACCCCCAGAAGCATCCAGTTGAGACAAGCCCGTCGCAGAAGGAGGGAAGTAGCCGACTTCAGGGCCAGAACGTCGAATCAGTGGCGATACTAGGGGAAGACCTGGTGATGCAAGAGGCTGAAGACGAGGTGTTGATGTACGCTCAAACCGTTCTTCGGAGAGCGCATCAGCGTTGGCCGGGATTGACTGTGGAGCAATTCTCAGTGGTGTCAATGGAGGTCCCATCACCACCTTGGGGGCTGAGATATGTCCTTTTGCCGATTCGTTTGGAGCAACAGGACTGTGAAATGAGTCAGATGTTTGCTCAACTGGTTGTGCTACGGTAGGAGCATCAATGCTCTCTGTCGGTACGCTCTCAGTGTCGTCAGGCTCCCGTGGCGACTCTCTCTCGTGTTCAGCATGATCTGGCTCAACTGTCGCAGCATCGTGCTCTGGCTGTTGAGCGGCCAAGCTCGTGCTCGTAGGCACGACATCGCTGGGGCTTGCCTGAGAAGCGAATTCCGGCTCGCGGGCAGCGTCCGAGTCCACAAGGCTCCATGATCCACTATGTCTCGCGAACTTGGTACGTTTACGACCCTTCCCAAGGACATAGCCATCATCATCTGCAAACGGATCCAGAGAAGCATCAACGAAAGTACCGCCAGCTGATTTTCTAGCGGTCTTGAACGGGGTCAATTGAACTCGTATTGTGCTCTGACCATAGGGTAACACACTATTCATCGAAACCCTTGGGGTCTGTAGACTGTCTGTCGGTCCAGGTATGCCATTCTGGGCGGGGAAGTTGGATTCCGGCGCTGTATAAGTGACGGTGGACGTATGGCCATTTTCGCGAACGACTTGGAAAATGACCTGACCACGGAATTCAAGATCCCAGTCTATCTTCTTTCCAGGTGTTGACACCGCATCACCGGTTTCTTTCCACTCGCATCCAGCCAGTGCCAGTTTGACCGTGTCCCCAATACCAACTCTAGTCTTCGCAATTTCTCTTGCGCATCCATCCCGGAAGACAACCTTGACCTGGCCCTTGTGTTTGCGAAGACGGACATCTGGTTCGGCTAGCAGCAATGCAAGGTTTCCGGTCGCGCTAGAATAGGGCCACACCAGGGCCACATTTGCTGCAATGTAAGAGGAAGTCTGCACGGAACTTGGCGACAAATGGGCAATTGGGATAGAATTGGAGACTTCGAAAGAGGGCGAAGTTGGCTCTCGCCGCGCCACCGTGGTCATGACGAGAGAGTGGGGATGTCGACGAGCCTGGCAGCCATATCTCGCCTAGAGACCGTGGCAGGGCTTTTCAGTAACGATTGCTGGCACGGCCAAAGGTCTGGCCTCGAAGTTTTGTGATGTCTTATGTGTAGGAAGCGTGGTGTGGGAATGTTTGAGGAATTGTGACGCGGGTTGTTGAGAGCCAGTCAAAGAGCCGCCGATGGACGCGGTCAGACGCAGACTTGGAGTTTGTGGCGGCGTGGAATTATTTACTGCTGCCCAGCACTCACTCCTGCTATTACTGCCACTACTATGGGCGAAACGCGTTTCACAAGCCAAAATATACTATTTAGTAGCCCCAAGACAAGGCTGAACTCATGTCTTTGCTGTCTCCCATAGCCTCTGGTTTCATATTATCGTCCCCAATTCAATGCTGACTGGGCCTTGATGAGCCCTTCAAGCATGACAATTATCTCGAATGTCTCTCTTTGCTATGTGTTGGCCGCTGGCTCCAGATTTCACCATGCCACTGCTGGAATGGAATTGCTCCTTCAACGGTCCAGATGCCTGGCGGCCTCCCTGGTAACAACCCATCGCATTCTTGTAAACCGCAGGAGAGTGCCAGCACCACCAAATGGAGGGCACTCTACACGACACGTTCTCACGCGTGTGTTACTGTTTATGGTTGACGGTGAGCTGAGACTGACCTCCGATCTCTGAACAAGACAAAACTCCTTCCTATCCAAAGCACTTCATCTCTTTCTCACTCGCGCCATCACTCTTCTCTTTCGGGTTCCCTTTTTCATTTTCTTTTTTGACCAGACCTGTGGTCTGCAAGGTCCTTCAAGTAACACTGCATGCCCCGAACTGCAATTGACTTGCGGTTTTCACCTCATCGTTTGCACCTCTTCACGCGCCCACCGATTTCTGCAGAAAACCACTTTCTCCTTCACCTGCCTCTTTCACCCACAAAAGCCCTGTCAAAATGCTCTACAACAAGATCTTTCTGCTGCTGGCCAGCGTTCATTGTCAACTCACCTTCGCGGCCTATCAGCTGGTGCAAGATTACTCCGGGGACGCCTTCTACAAAGGCTTTGACTTCTTCACAGACGCCGATCCAACTGATGGCCTGGTACAATTCAAATCTCTGGAAGAAGCCAACTCCACTGGCCTGGCAGGCTTCATCGATGCTGGAAATTCATCGTTTGCGATATTCATGGGAGTCGACACAAAAGAGGTGGCTCCTCAGGGACGCGCCAGCGTTAGAGTTGCCTCTACCCAAACCTTTCAGCATGCACTCGTGATCGCCGACATTTCCCACATGCCAGGAGGCGTTTGCGGCAGTTGGCCAGCCTTCTGGATGGTCGGGGCTGACTGGCCAAGTAACGGAGAGATCGATATCGTCGAAGGTGTGAACGCACAGGCTGCGAACAGCATGACTCTACACACTGGACAAGGGGCGGTGGTCAGCGACGGGAAAGATTTCACTGGCGAACTGGTCACTCCAAACTGTGATATCAATGCTCCAAACCAACCGATGAATGCAGGATGTTCCATCGGAGACACATCGAACCTAACATTTGGAAGCGAGTTTAACAACGCGGGGGGCGGTGTTTTCGCCACGGAGTGGACATCGGACTTCATCAAGATTTGGTTTTTCCCGCGAGGATCCTTGCCCGAAAATGTTGCCAGCGGTTCTCCTGCTCCCAGTGACAGCTGGGGTACGCCAAACTCTCTTTTCCAAGGCAAGTTCAATATCGACGACCATTTTCGGGACTTGCAAATCGTCTTTGACACCACTTTCTGTGGGCAGGTCAGTTCACTTCATCCAGCGTTCCATTTGAATTATACTAATCATTCCCCAGTGGGCCGGCACCGTCTGGAATAGCTCAAGCTGCGCAACGCTTGCTCCGACTTGCGAGGATTATGTGGCCAACAACCCCCAGGACTTTACAGAGGCTTACTGGGCAATCAACAGCTTGCAAGTGTTCCAAGATGATACCCTGGAAGAATCCATCATCGCACCCTTGAAGCCCGGAACACCTGGCACCGGACGACCGACGGCACCTAGTGGTCCTCAGCAGAAACTTCGGTCCAGATCTGGTGCGGCCATCCTGCCGATATATGTCTAGGGGGCATGACTTCTACCTTATGGTTGATTCAATTAGCGTGGCGTCGGGTGTCAAAGGCTCATTATTTGGGGTCTCAGAAGAATACAGTACATGGCTGGAGTGGGAATAAGCAAAGTACAGCAAACTGCCGATCATACTAGTAGCTGGGGGATGTTCGTGGCGAGGATCATAACAGGCCCTCACTGCAGCAGGGCGAAGCCCGTCCCAGTGCCACTGCAGCTAGTGTTTGAGGATATAGTACACAAACAGGAAAATGCCATGATCTTCTTGCTTATGCGAATGGGATTCTCTGCATCCACTGATAGTTCTCATTAATTACTAGTATTGCACTTGGCGACCGATCGTCTTCTCACCGGCCTCAGGTGCCGGCCGGAAGCCTGACATGCATTAGAGAACGTGAATAACAGAGCTTCCGCATGTGGACCCAGTCATCACCTGAGATGCCCGCTATTCCTTTTACTACTAGTACTAGTGTTGAACACTATTCCTTCTCTCTGCCACTGCCAGTGCAGCCACTATTACTAGATTATACTAGCGCATGTCGCGTTCCGTCAAACATGCACGCTATCATACCATTGCTAACTTGAATAGGATTGAAAGACGGATAGTCTAGCAGCAAGTGGGCGATCCATTTCCGGCATGCCGAAAGGCGTAGCCGATCCAGGCCCTAAAAGCGGACTTTGGGCGTTTTTTGCGCAGAGCCTGCACATGGTCTCAACGTCATTCTCTCGCTAGTGTGTTTTTGAATTGTGGCCTTGCCAGATGATGCGAAAATCCTCTTTGCTCGTTGCGACGTGCGCTATGGTTCCTGTGATCCAGGATGCTACCGTGCAGTGCCACACGCGAAATGGTAGGCCCACGGCACATCGAACCCTAACTTTAACACTGGCAGGAGAAGTCGGTAGCTGAATGGTTGAGACGGCCTACGAGCCCCGATATCATCCCGGTGTTTTGTGAATCCCGTCAAAGTCGACCATCTTTCACGGACAGCGGTTGAAATTGTACCGTTGTAAATCTTCAGGTCAGGAGGGAGAGTCCCCTCGCTTGAGCCGCCTGTCCCCAGCTGTTACTCGGATAGACTTCTACTACTGTCAAGGAGGCCCAGCCTGACCCAGTGATGGAGAAAGGTAAGCCGGCCAGAGCCAGTGGTCGTCATGGTGCAGCCCTTGAGGTAACAGTCAGCCTCCCGCACCCCCCGGTCCATTCTGGCTCCACTAGTTCCCAAGAATTGATATCATACCTAGCACATCCCCGGAGGACCTGTGGGTTTTCTGCAGTCGATGTTTATTATTTAAAACAGGGCCACCCGCAAAAGGAAGCTGCGGTTTGTTGCTCAGCCAGAGTGCATCTCATCATTAATCATCTTCACTTGCTGATATCTTCTGTGCTCTTCACGCATACCACGTATCCATATGAGCCCAGATCCTACGCACACACTTGCATCATCAACTTTTACCATACATGGCGTCTACTGATCCACAGTCTACGCCCAACGTCCCTTCTCGCCAGCCTGGAGCATCGAACGGCGTGAGAGAGGAAAACGGGGAGTGGGAGAAGGCTTCCACCATGCAAGGAGACCAGGACACACAAAGAATGACAGAACATGTGGGCAACGCAGCGCCAAAAGAGAAAGATGAAACCAACACGCCTGACTCGGCATCATACGATAAGATCGAAATAACTGAGGAGGATTGTTATGACGAGCTGGGCTACTCCTTCCCTTGGTGGAAGAAATGGACCATTCTTACGGTCATTTTCCTGGTACAGCTATCCATGAACTTCAACACGAGCTTGTACTCAAATGGCCTGGGTGGAATTTCAGAGGAATTTGGCGTCAGCGCCCAAGCCGCGCGATGCGGCGCCATGATCTTCCTGGTTCTGTATGCCTTTGGATGCGAACTCTGGGCACCGTGGAGTGAAGAAGTCGGTCGATGGCCCATCCTCCAGCTCTCCTTGACGCTCGTCAACATTTGGCAGTTGCCAGTCGCTTTAGCACCTAACTTTGCTTCGATCATGGTTGGACGGGCGCTTGGCGGCTTGAGTTCTGCGGGAGGATCTGTCACGTTGGGAATGATCGGTGAGTAGAGTGCCTGATATCGCACGAACGCACGCTAATGTGCTCTCAGCGGATATGTGGGAATCAGATGATCAACAATACGCCGTGGCTTACGTTGTATTCTCGTCCGTCTTTGGATCTGTGTTGGGACCGATTGTCGGTGGATTCGTCGAACAATACCTCGCTTGGAGGTGGACGATTTGGATCCAGCTCATCTTTGGCGGATTTGTACAACTCTGTCACTTCTTTTTGGTTCCTGAAACTCGTTCGACTATCCTCATGGACCGAATTGCGAAAAAGAGACGCAAGGCTACCGGACAGAACATCTGGGGTCCTAACGAACTGGAACCGTTCAGCGAGCGCTTTTCTGCCTCGGAGATTATGATCACTTGGATCAGGCCTTTCAAAATGTTTCTGACCGAACCAATCGTCCTCACCCTCTCACTCCTCAGCGGTTTCAGTGACGCACTCATCTTCATGTTCATCCAATCTTTCTCGTTGGTGTACAAGCAATGGAACTTTTCCGCATGGGCCGTTGGGCTGTCGTTTCTCCCGCTAGGCGTGGGATACGCCTTGGCCTGGCTCTCCTTCATTCCCGCCATCCGACGAAATATTCATGAGAGACAATCTAAGCCTGGTGACGAGAAGGCACAGTATGAATCTCGGTTGTGGTGGCTACTATGGACCGCTCCGGCTCTCCCCATCGGACTATTCGGTTTCGCCTGGACCATTCAAGGGCCCCCTATTCACTGGATCGGTTCCATGGTATTCTCCTCTCTTGTCGGCCTGGCAAACTACGCGATCTACATGGCCACTATTGATTACATGATTTGCGCCTACGGCCCATACTCAGCATCCGCTACGGGAGGTAATGGGTGGTCCAGAGATTTCTTGGCTGGCGTCCTTACCATTCCTGCCACACCGTTTATGACGAGTGAGTATTGTCCTGTTTCGTTATCTGTCCCACAACTGACATGAGCTGCAGATATTGGTGGTCGCTACCATCTCGACTATGCCGTCACCATCCTCGCATGCATTGCCACACTTCTGGTGGTTGCGGTTTATGTCATCTACTGGTATGGACCGACACTTCGCAAGAGGTCGCCATTCGCCCAGTCTCTTGCAGATGCTCGTGCTGATAACGCCGGCCGACGCCTATCATACCTGCCATCGGTTTCTGGCATGTCTGAAACGAGAAGATTGTCGCGATCTAGTACCACGGCATCGCGCGAAGTCAACTCCCGTAGAACGAGTCAAGCGGAGTTCCGCCGGCGAAGTACGGGTATGCTGCAATTGAGCGCGCAAAGATAAGAGTAGACGGAGGGTTGGTTTGTTGTTTGTTGCTAGAATGCGTGTGGTTTGCTCATGGGGTTAGACAATATTTTTATCATAATTGGGGAATTCTGGTCGCCCTCGCCATTTGAGCGAGAAATGTGACTGGCCTGACCGAGATAGAATGGAAGCGAGCACGCATCCAACGTTTCTCAACGGCATTAACGCTCATTAATCGAATCAAAATCGCATTCAAGTGCGCAGGGCTTGTTCGAGATCTCTATGTATTCGAATAGATTCATGCAATTGTGTTGTACTTTCAAGTTGCACTCCACAGTAGTATTTGGAGAGGCGGATAAGCCGATAAGATAAGATCATCACTAATTAACTTTTCCACCGCGACTTGCACGCCTTCACAGAGGACATACTTTTTCGTCGCGATACAACCAATTCAGTCAATCAACTCATCCAACTCTTTTAGCATTTTCCGTCGCTAGACGCAGTGCATTGCAGTGCAACTTGTGTCAGGATGGCAGAACAGGCTGATCAGAAGCAGACCCCCTCGGGGTCTTCCGAAACAACCAAACCCGTCCACACCATCATCCTCGATTCTTCGCCCCTCCTCCTCAACACACCCAGCATCTCGACGCTCCTGGCCAACGGCCACGTCCTGGTCACGACGCCATCCGTGCTCGCGGAAATTCGTGCCCCCGAAGCCCGCCAACGGATCGATACCCTGTATAAACCGTTTTTGACCGTTCGGACACCCCGGCCAGAGAGTGTGAAGAGAATTAAAGAGTTTGCGCGCAAGACTGGTGATGGGGCTGTATTGAGTCAGACGGATTTTGAAGTGCTCGCGCTTGCGTATGATATTGAGTGTGAAAGGAATGGTGGGGATTGGAGATTAAGGAGTATTCCGGGCCAGAAGAGGGTTAATGGGCGGCCGCCTGTTCAGGAGGAGGTCGGAGGAGAGGGTGAAGGTGAAGAAGAGGGGCAAGAGTTGGAACAGGGAGGGAATACGGAGGATGCTCTCGAGCGCAGCGTTGAAGCGCTGGAGATTGCGGATGGAGATACTACCGGCCAAGAGGATACAGAGGTGACACAGGCCGTGGATGCCCAGGAAGGACAACCAGAGGCCGACACTACGAGTGCTCTCGAAGTGTCAGAGGGACAAAATGATACCAAGGCCGATCAACCTGCCGATACCGATGCACCAACACAGCAGTCACTTTCCTCGGAACAGCCGAGCGAACAGACTGCTGAAGTGGCAGAAGAAGCATCAGATGAGGAGGGCTGGATAACCCCGTCCAACATCAAGAAGCGGCAAGCCAAAGACGAGGCGGCCGACAGCAAAGCCCGCCCAGAAACAAAGCATCTACAAGTGGCCACGATGACGGGCGATTTCGCCATGCAGAATGTGCTCCTGCAGATGAACCTGAACTTGTTGTCCACCAAAACGTGTCAGAGAATTTCTCAAATCAAACAGTTCATTTTGCGATGCCACGGCTGTTTTGCTACGACCAAGGACATGACCAAGCAATTCTGCCCGCGTTGTGGGAAACCAACTTTGACCCGAGTGAGTTGCACCACCAACGATAAAGGAGAGACCAAACTGCACCTCAAGGCAAACATGCAATGGAACAACAGGGGTAACGTGTTCCCCATACCAAAACCCACGAGTGGAAGTTCAAACCAGAAATGGAAAGGACCAAGACAAGGCGGCGGTCAAGGGGGTTGGGGCAATGATCTTATTCTGGCAGAAGACCAGAAAGAGTATATTCGAGCCATGTCTACGATGAAACGGACCAAAGAGAAGGATCTCATGGATGAGGACACTCTTCCCAACATCCTGAGCGGGCGCAGGTCTCAAACATCAGGTGGGAGACCAAAGGTTGGGGCTGGCCGCAACATCAATTCCCGGAAACGATAGTTTCAGACGATGATTTTAAAAAATTTTATGAGGATGAAGCAGACCACTGCATGTCGGTTGGACCACGACTCTTTCCTGATATAGATTTTCCCTGCCTGTGCTTAATGACCACATTTCTCTCGCTCTAACCAAACGCCAATGCGCCCACGTTGCATCTCCCAAATCCCATTTAGTTTTTGTCCTCAGTTTCTATAGTCGTATGTTAGCCTCTGGATCCCTGGAGGATATCGCATTATATTTCATACTTTGTTGCGTAAGAAGGAGGCCGTATCGTTTCTTCAAGGTCACACGATGTCTGTAGAATTCATTAGACAGGGACTCATAGTAGTAAAACCTCCAAGGATTCTCACCTCGAGTATTTGTCGTCTGGCGAAAATCGAGCAGGATGCGCCGACTTGGTAACAACTCCGTCTAGGACTTTTTTCAATGTGTAGATTCTCTTGCCCGTGGCCGGGTCTTCGGTGTACATCAAATGCATATTGGCGGGGAGATTGAGTCGATGGCGAGTAAGTTTAGGATTGTCTGCTCCGAATCTCCTGCAGAACGCTCGTCTTCCGTTCGGGCAAGTTGTCGTCGCGGCTGTCGCTGGTGGTCGCGGATTGTTCTCGTGGCTGTCGCACGGAAAAGAAATTGCAGAGATGTGGTTGGAGAAGTCGCACTCGGCAAACTGCGTCGAGATTTGCAGGCCCGAAAAATTCCCCGCGCCAGGGCCAACACTCAAGTTTCTACCTTGCTACTACTACCCTAAGACAATCTTCCCCTGTGCTGTTCATCGGCCTTTCACCTTTAGCACCACACAAAAGCTCAAGTCCTCGCTTGTAGGGATTCTTGCAACCTGCAGGCTCACTGACAGTCGCTGTGCGATGTGAGATCCTTTATCAACCCGAGTTCCGGCCGGACGGCCTTGATCGACTCCTTTCCTCTTAGCATCTCGGATGCGACGTAAGTATGCCCAATCCGACTGAATCATACCACGCTCTACACTCTCCTTTCTTCCGGTGATGATCCTTTTTCGCCTAGGAGGAAGCACTTTGATTTCAGCTTCCTCCAATGCGGGCTCTTGTATTAGACTACAACGGTATCTGAGGAATAAATACCACTTTGAATTTTCTGGCCAAACGAAAAAATTCAAACCAAGCAACAAGGCTGACAACGGTTTTGTATGACAGATCCTGAAATGCTCCCATAATGTCGCAGACTCCAGCAGCTTCCACCACGGCTTCGACATCAACCCAGTCTCAAGCAAACACGTCAAGCTCCTCTAGGACCCCGAAACGGCCACGTCGGCCCAATTACAACTACATACACCGAAACCTCTTACCGGTCGAAGTCCATCCGCTTCCTGTACTTATTCCTCACAATCCGTTGTCATTAGTAGCTATCGCCCTCTCCTACCTTGCTCAAATACTCTCTCCACCGGCCCGACCAACGTATAATGGCTACTTCTCGTCAGCAACGTCGTCAATCCACGTTACGGATCCGGAGACGATCCGTAAACTGTGGGAGATGGGGTTCTTCGGCAAAGGGAGTTTGAGCAGGAGTGAACCCACTTGGCTTGAAAATCGCCAGAAAAAACGTGTCAGGGCTGAAGAGAACACAAACCTGCGGCGCCAAGAGCGGAGGCAGGCAAAGCAGGAACGAGCCCGCAAAGAACAGGAAGAAATCGAACGGTTGCTGTCCGAGGAAGGTCAATCCATAGCAGGTGCCAGTGACACGCCGAACGGTGTCCTGTCTGAGAACATTCTCAAAACCAATGCACGAGATTTCAGCGGTATTGGAAGTGTCCTGGAGTCAGCCAGTGGCTCGGTTACTCCAGAAGTCGAAGAAGATAAGGAGAACCAGTCGATACCAGAGTTTGATAAGTGGAAGCAGGCACTACAAGCAAATGGACTGCCGACACCTCCTCCCACTTCAACTACTTCTGAAGCAAGCCAAACAGACGCGCGGCCGGTAAGACCACCGCAGCGTACCAAAAGCGTCAGATTTTCCCCGACGATTGAAGCTAGGGAATTCGACCTTAGCTCTCCTGTGATCTCGCCTATCAAAAGCCCCGGGCCGTCGCCAGTTGAAGATGTTCATCCGCAAGAAACGCCGCTCCAGGAAGACCAGGAGCACTTGAATTTGTCCCTCGAAGAGGCTTTCTTCCTCTCCTACGGCTTGGGAGTGCTTCAGATTTATTGCGACGACAGCGACGCCGTTCTACCTCCTTCTTCTCTGTTATCTCTCTTCCGTCGCCATTCATACCATCCTCCTCGGTCACTGTCGGCACCCGCCGAACCCGATGACCCTTTCATGCTGTCTTATGTTGTGTATCACCACTATCGTTCGCTGGGTTGGGTTGTGCGTTCAGGTGTCAAGTTTTCCACCGACTATCTGCTGTATAATCGAGGCCCGGCTTTCTCCCATGCCGAGTTTGCTGTAGTGATCATCCCATCCTACAGCCACCCCAGTTGGACTGAAACACCTGAGCTGAAAAAGGCCGTTGAGAAAAAAAGCAAGAAAACCTGGTGGTGGCTACATGGGATCAACCGTGTTCAGGCACAGGTACACAAACAACTGGTTCTGTGTTATGTGGATGTCCCGCCGCCCTCAAAAAACGGGGCAAAGCGCAAGGATATTGATATCGGCCATCTGCTGTCGCAGTACAAGATCCGCGATGTTAATGTGCGGCGCTGGACGCCTAACAGAAGTCGGGACTAATCCTTGGTTATTGTTGGGCTGTGTGGACAGGTCTTTATCTCCTCAGCACAGGAATCATTAATGTTGTTATGAGCGAAATGACTAGCAAGGAGTGCACTGGAATGGGCGCGTGATGAGTTACTTTTCAGATTCATGTTTTAACATGATCATCTTTTCCACACTTGAACTATCAATTCAATTTTTTGAGTATTATCCCTAGTAGATTTGAGGCCGCATTTATGGGACATGTGTCCAACATAAAATTTGAAGCCTGTCTCAGTGAATAAAGGACAGGGACGAGGCTGAGACACATCTTTAGCATGTGACTTGACGCATCCGATGGCGAGGCAGCACTAGACCATCTAGGTACTAGTGTGACGATATAACCCCATTAGATTCACTAAACTGGGATCGCGCGTAAAGTGGCAGACGCGCCACGAACCCTGGCACGACTCTCCAAGACATGCGGTTTCTCAATGGTATGGCCAGCGCCTCATGGATTCGCACGGGCTTATGGAGGGTGAAAGTGAGAGTTTGGACATCTCAAGCCTGAAATATGCAGTTCTTCAGCCAAGGCAGGTGAGATGAAGCTCATCCTTGTTCTTTTAACCCCCTGGAACAAGAGGAGACGCTAATGGCGCAATGCATAATCAAAACAGTTCGATTCAGAAGAGAGCCAATTCCTCCAACACCGACAGCCAGATGTGACCGCGGCTACATATGCGAAGTTCTCACAGAGCCAACCTGCTACGCGGGTCGCAGCCTCAAGTTTACCGGATACCGTCCCCGGTCTCGCCGGCACCGTCCCCGATTCTCAACAACTATTACCCTTCGATGTCGGCCCTGAAGATCGACTTGGTTCCCTCCCACCTGCGGTAGCGCTAAGCAAGGCCGTGTCAGCGATACAGAAGATGAACAGTCAAGGCAGCGATGCCGCGACACAAGAATTGTCGCCGTCACATTTCGAGTCCATTCTCAACACCCGAAGTCGAAGTGTGGTGCAATACCATGGCCCAACGCAGGATGGGGACGAAGAGGAAGAGGGAAACGGTGAAACGCAGATGACGCTGCATGAAGGCGATGAAGGGCATATCGACATTGTATCCAGTCTTGTTTCGCCGCTCGCGAGGGGCCAGGCCAAAGATTTGGATTCGGATCCCGTGGACTTTTCGCCGTCGCAGAGCCAACGGGCCCTCTCTCAATTCCCCGAGTCACAGCGGTTCAAGACGCCTGCCACGGCTGGAAAGAAGAGGAGACACAATGGCGAAACTGTCGACAGTCCCGCATTGCCTCGGAATCCTCTGCTCTTGCGAGGCAGTGCTGATGACAATGATGCAGCCGTGATGGGATTGAGCCAGGCATTTGCAGCAACCCAAGCCAACACCTCGCCTTTCGTCGGCAACGGCGCCCTTCCAGAACTTCCGTCTGACCGTCCTTCTCCTAAAATTCAACTCCAGCCCCGACCTGTCACGGCTGCCAGCTCGTCGCCTAACATGCGACCCATTTCTACGCCGTTTCAGCGAGCCTCGACCGAACCTGCCGCACGCTATGTTTCTAGCAAGGAGTCACAAGCCGAGCGAGGGGAGCGCCAGGCTAAAATACGACAACAGGAGCTGGTGATGAATGGAGAAGAATCTGACGACGGGTTTGATGACGAGCCAAGCTCAATGACCAGATATCGTCGAGAACGACAAATCGAACAGCGGATCCGTGCAACTTTCCAACGATTGTCGTCTCCTCGACCGAGGTCTGCGCGTGGTGCGTCTGTGCCAAAGTCGTCACCTATTAGGTCGCGAACGCATCGGTCATCGGATGTGAAGTTGAGCAAGGCCAAGCGAACAGAAGTCGATGGGGATTCGAATTCCAGTTCCCCTGCCCCTTCAAGCCCTGTCCGACCAGGCGGAGAGAGTGAAGAGGAAACCGAGCAAGAAGACGATAGTCAAATTGCCGTCAGGCGGTCAAGTCAAGTTCGTGGCAGTCTTCCAGACGAAGATAAGGAGAATTGTTCGCAAGGTGGCAGTCAGATACCTGAGACTGCAGCACGGCTTCTCCGTGTCATGACAGAGCTGCCTGCACAGGTTCAGGATAGTCCTTTACTGCGACGCGAAAGAGGGCCGAACGTGACAGCAGACCGCTCTACAGTACCCCTTAGCTCTGGACTATTTGCTGTTGCGGATTCTCAACCATCACAGCCTCATGGACAGCAGCATCTCCCAGCTACCCGGGCACCCAAGTCTACGGATGGTGAAGGAGGAGTTGAGCGTGTCCCGCAGTCTCCGTCGGGGTCACCGCAGCCCACGGAAGTGCCGTCCAAGGACGGCTCTGAGCAACAGAGAACTGGTGGAAAGCCTACCGACTCTGCGAGTCACGACGTCGATGATGCAGATGCCGGTACAGACCAAGCACCCTCATCGCGTCAGCAACCGCGCAGTACCATTCCTGAGACTAGCTCGAATGAACAGGGCCAAACATCTAGATCCACTGGAAAGACGGGCGAAAAGGAGCAATCTTCTGACAGCCGTGGCCAGTTTGAAACAGCTCAATCTCGACTTCCTCCATCCTCTGCAGGTACCGGTCAAGAGAATGCATTACAATTGAGCAGCCCGCCCATCGCCACTACTCCTCCTGGCTATCGACGGAGACGTCTAGCCGAAATTGCAGGCGAACCATCCCCATTGAAGTCTCAGGTGAGCTTCAATGCCAGTGATGCCCTCAAAATCGACCAGAATTTCCTGAGCCCCCTGCAGAAATCCCCGATGATGGATCTGACAGCTGTCGAGGTGATACCGATGCCTCCCTCGCCTTCTCGTGGTGTGGATGTTGATCAGAGTGCGAACGAACAACCACAGACAGCAGAGGATAGACCAAAACCATACGAAGATGACATCAACAATACTCATGCAAATACCTCAGACTCTGAAGATGAAGCGCCCCGGCCTGGCGGTCGAGTAGAAAAGCCAGTATCAAGCTCTCTACGCCGAGAGAGAAAACCATCGGCCAAATTGGTGGCAACTTTGGAGTCTCACAGCAAGACGCCGCGCACGGTTTCCACATCTAGACGCGCAACATGGGACTTGGATGCGTCTCCTCCTCAGACGTCTGTGCCGGTTGTCAAAAGCTCGAAGCTTAAGCGAAAAGCTGACCCTTGCGAAGACCCACAATCTGCAACCAAACGTTCTCTAACCAAGCGACTCAAGTCGGTAAAAGACAAGCTCTCACCCAGAACTGCTGTGGTAAGCGAAACGCACCATGAGCAACCCCAAACATACCCCCAGGAGCGTCCAGTGTCGGCTGCGGCCGCAAGCGGCGAGCAAGGTCATGATCCTGCTCACCCAGTCGCGCCGCCTGCAGCCACGACAGAGTCGATTGTCGCCCCAAACATGGTATTTGCAGCTTTCAACGGCAAGACCATCGCATACTACCCTGCTCTATGCCTGGGTCCGGCCAATGCAGAACATACTCGCTTCCGGATCCAATGGGAAGGCTACGATCCAGACGAGATTGACGAACATGGGATTCGCGCCCTGGATCTCCAAATTGGCGACCAGGTCAAAGTCAATATGGATGGGTTTCCGAAAGTGTCGTATGTGGTTCGCGGGTTCAAGGACAAAGTGTCGGAGGTTGACGACCAGGCTCCGCCGGAGATGACAATCACAGACAGACAGGGACACAAGACTCTGCTTGTGGCGCCGAAGCAGCGCAAAAGCCTTCCGACAAACATGTCTACGGACGCCGTCAAGGAAGTGCCTGTCTCGGCGATCTATCTCGCCAGCAACATGTGGGGACAGATGCGAGACCGAGTGTACAAATACAAAGATTCTGCGGAAGTTGTAGGAGTAGGACCGACATTATCGTCATCTGCCATATCAACACCCAGAGAACGACGATCTTCGACTCCGACCACACCGTCGTCACGGAACCGTCGCAATGTGGCCGTGGTGATCCCGTCAATGCCCACCGGTACATCCGGTCTAGGAGGGGCAGCAGCACCACCACAGCAGCCGCTTGTTGGTGTCCAACGCGACGGAATATTTGCCAACATGGCCTTTGCCATTTCTTATGAGGATCAAGCCCGCAAATCGTCACTCGTCGACCTCATCCAAGCCAACGGCGGGGTGATTTTGGATCAATCGTTTTTGGATCTCTTAGAGCCAGATTCAATTGACCTCAAACCTCAGTTTGCCGACTTGTCGTTTACCGCACTGCTGACGGAGCGCCACTCCCGAAAGGAGAAGTACATGCAGGCCCTGGCGCTGGGCTTGCCTTGTCTCAGCGGGAAATGGGTCGAGGCATGTATGCGCGCGAACCGCCCCATGGATTGGACAACGTACCTTTTGCCAGCCGGTGAAAGTGCCGAACTTGATGGAGCAGTGAAATCGAGAATTTTGAATGCTGCTGTTGCTGCTACAGTCAACAACAACAACAATGCCGCGAATGACGACGTTGCAACGACCACAGTCAAAGTTAAAGATATGATCTTGGCTCGACCCAACATCCTAGCCGGCTCACGAGTTATTGTTGTGATGGGCACTGGCAGTGGCAATGGCAACGGCAACAACAGTGCAGCCCTCAGAGGGAAAAAGAGCGCCAAGGGTAATGGTGGCAGATTTACGAAAGCAAACGTAAAAGGCAAAAAAGCAGCCGAAGCCCGAACGGCCCAAGCTCGACGCAAACCGTATCTCTTCCTCATTCGAGCGCTGGGCGCAGCTACGATTCAAACCGAGCCGGATCTGGTTTCTGCAAAGACAAGACTTGTTGAGGAGCAGGGCTCGACGTCAAAGGCGAAGACGAATGCGAATGCGAAACCCACTGACAATTCGAAGATTCAATCCAGATCATCTCGCACATACACAGCAGCAGCGGGGAAGAATGATGCCAACGACCACGACGGCGACGGTGTTACTGCTGGTGGAGATGGTGACAAGGATGGTCAGGTAGGCTTCGACGCGACAAAGACGACAACTACTAGTACTACTACAGCTGCTGCTGCCACTACTGCCCCTGGTGTTACCAATACCTGGGTCTTTGTCGACGATGCAGACGTCACTGCCGCCAGGACTATGTTCGCAGGCCTTGGACATGATGGCAATGGCAATGTCAAGGTCTTGTGTAATGAGGATCTCGTGCAGACGTTGATCCTGGGGAAATTGTGGATAGGATAGGATAGGATAGCCTGGATCCGATGGGGTGGGCGAGATGAATTAATTGTTCTCTGTTGGTCTACTTTAGCTGACTCTTGAGTACGCATCCACCATTCCAATACCGTCCCATCATGGACTCGATGCAAGCTGTACTGTACATTAGGATATCAACCAGTACCGTTTTCAGACCAGTGTTTCACTAAACTCTCCTAGTCAATGGGACCAGAAGTCGTACAAAACCGGCACTGCAAGCTGCTTCTTCATCCAGTTTTTTGTCTTCTTCTTCCTCTTCATCTGTCTCTCTGTGGCTTGTCATTAATGTCCCTCCCTTCCGCAATGTGCCGCTTGCCTCTCGTCTTTTCTTCGGCCCTGTGTCTCCCGACTGGCTTTGCCGAATTTTCCGGCTTCATATATTCTTCCGTAGTGCCCGTAGTCACTGTGATAGATAGTCAGTGAGTACAACCGCGGGATATGCCACCCCAACGATCAGGTCAGCTTTTTTGATTTCTGAAAACAGCAAGCACTGGCATGTGAAATGCACCAATGGATATCTATCTGCACATAAGGTGGATCCCCTGTTGCACTGAAACACATATCCACACACAGGTTGCGACTTTTGGAAATAATGGTAGCCAGGCTGCTGGCCTCATGGGAGAAAATATGAGAGCAGATTCTCGGCTGTCATAGCCGAAGCTGGACCGGCAAATCAAGAAGAGTTCATATGTCTTTTGCCTCAAGGGGCGTTTATCTTGGTGGAGTGGTCTGGCTGACTGGAGGGATAGTAGGACTTATTGATTGATCCACAAAGATCAGGGGGGTAATATTTACGGACCAGTCATCCAGCCAGATTTCGACATAAATGCCAGAAGAAACCGCCCGTTGACTGTCTCTTTGTGCTGGTTTGGCACGATTCCCAATAGAAGTCCACCCACGGTAATTTGATAGTCTGCTTCATGTTCAAACGTCAAAGTTGAGAAGATCCTCAAACAAAAAGTTGTTGCTGATGCCCGTATGGGGCGGGAACAACTGTTCGAAAGTCTCATAGCCAAAGTCCGAAGTGAACGAAGACTCTTGAGTCGCAGGAGTCCGTGCTTCACTGGGCTGTTCATACAAATCCATGGACGGCTCAGCAGACCTATTCAGGTTGTTGTTGTTGTGAGAGCCGCGTAATGAATGGGTGAACGAGTCGGTGCCGACAAAGGACTCGACGAATTTCGGAACATTAAACTTCTGTCGTTTCGGCTGCTGGCCGCCATGGTTCGCCGGGTCATTATGGGCGCGTTTTTTGCGATAATCCGCCAGCGTATGGTCTGCACTAAGGCGGGCTTGCTCGGCGAGCAGCGACGACAACAGACGAATGCCTCGCAGGGCGATCATGCTGTTTTCAAATTTGCCCAGCATGCTGATGGTATTGTCGACCAGTTTCCGATGCTCGTCGTATTCCGGTTCGGCTGGTTTGCGATGGAAAATGTCCAACGCCAAAGTGATGCCCGCGGCGACCATGAATGCCTGGTCGATCCACAGCATGGGCCCATCCTCGTCGTAGGCCTGACGAGCCTCTTTGAGTATCGTCTTGGCCGCCGCCATGCACGTGCGGCGCGTGAAGTCGAACGCTGGCTCGGTGAAACTGCGGCCCAGAAATGCACGATGGATCATGATGATCTTGTGTGCGAAACATACGGTCAAGCTGCGTCGCGCCCACGGCACAAACGCCGGCCACTCTGGGGCTATGCCTTCTCTCGGGGAGAAATATGCCGGGCAGCCGTCGGTGGCCAGCGTGCGCATTTTCGCGTCGTACTCCAGAACCTGCTCATATTTTGTGTACAAGGTATTGGATGACAGGATTGCGTCGTGGAATTGCGGCCCGAGACATGCAATCTCAAACAGGAAATTCGCGAAACTGACCACAGTGGGGACGTCATCTCCCACAGGTTGCATCGTCAGTTCGTCGCAGGGCAGGGGCCTGAGTGTGGTGAAGTGCTTCGTTTGTATCAAATACATCTCGGAGAATGGGATCTGAAACCAATCCTGTATGCAAATTTGCAGCCATACCCTCCGTCCTATCTCCCGCTTCACAACCCGGTCTCGTTGTGCGGGCGTCAACGGCTCACCGGTACTGTTGCAGTCGTTATCCGCGCCAAGTCGTTGGAGACCAAGCCCCTGCGAAATCTTGAGCGCGGCCCCCAACAAGGTGCTCTGGGTGTTACTAAAGCCCAAGACATGGGCCGACAATATCAAAATACAGATGGCCTGGACGGAGTAGATGTGATGTCGCCACATATAGTCGGCAAGGTTGAGACAACTCACCGTCGCCTTATACCATTGTCGGTTGAGCTTGGCCCGTTCGCTCTTTTGGAACCCCCACGATAATGCCTGCTGCTCACTTGCGCACGTCATACTGGCGGCCATGATTGAAAACAGCAAGGCCGTCCATCTAAGATCCATATCTCGGATTTGCAACCCAGTGGGGCTTTTGTAGACTTCTTTGAGCTCTTCATAGAATGTGGGTCCATGGAAGCATCCGTGATACCACATGAGCGTGTCGATGTGGTACTCGACCAACTGGAATACTTGCGCCCGGCTGGGCAGTAATAGTTGCAGAAACGAGACTTGGGCCGCACCTGTGCCTCCCAGGCCATTTGAGATGTCCCAGTTACACCCAGAGTCGCGGGGATTGGCGGCTGGCCCGGAATTATGAGGCTCCTTCAAGAGTTCCAGGGCTTTGAGATCATAGTCCGATAACTTGGACCGGCCCCAGCTGAGATAGTCCGGGACGCTGGCTGTATGGTCGACATCATCGGCCGGACGATGGGCCGGCGTTGGGGCGGATGTGGAATGGTACGAGTAAGTCGAAGCTGGCGCCTCTGACTTACGTCGCGAGCTGGCCGAGGCCCGTTTTCTCTTCGATGGAGGATTGGCAGAAGATTCAGGCCCAGGCTGGCCATCCACCCCCTGGGGGGAGCTCTCTGTGACCGAGAGACTGCCGTCAGACTTGGCTGAAGTCCGTGGATAGATGCGGTGGACCTTCGGATCATAACCACCCTCGGGCCACTCGCGCGTACATTTCTCAGGCTCGCCCCTCTTTATACATCGGCCACAAGGGATATTGCGATCACATTTCTGCCGGCGCATGGAGCACTCGGTGCATGTCTGCCGTTCCTTGGGCATGGCTGCCCACAGGAGCCCAGTTGCGGTGTGGCCCCCTCGTACCACGGGCACAAGCGTGCGTGACCAGAGGTCGAACGGAGTGTTTGTACGCAGCCTCAAAGGGTTGTACGAGGGTGGAGGATGCGAAGCTCAAGAACGACGTTAAACTCTGGGGCACCGGCGGCGGGCCGGCGGCTTGGCATCTGCTTAATAATCTCATAAACTCCACAAGGCTGGTCAGCATCTACATGTTCAAGTTGTACGATGTTGTATGATCGGTTCTCGATGATCAAAGAGAGCAAGGATGCGCCGAGGCCAGAGTGAAATCTCCTGACACCTCATTACCCCCCTGATTGCCCCCAGTTCATTCAACATAATATTCGCTCTATTCTTCTAGATGCGGTGTGGGAGTCGGTTGAAGGATTTCACCCGTGCTCTCATTGACAACTGGCTCTGACGGCACCAGAACAAACAACATACGACAATTCTCCGTGCTCACGTTTTTCCAAGCCTGATTTGGATGTCAGCCTCACGTCAGCGTCTTTCAAAGAGCCCTGAACGTAGGTTGGGACCGGCCGGCGTCACTAACAACATGCAGCACTTACATGTATGGTAGCTCTTTGCACCACGACATCACCTTCGTTCATGGTCGTCTCCAATCCGTCGTCGAGGATCAACTTGATGGTGCCCTTGAGGACCACTCCGAAGTCCACGCTTTGCGTGCGGTGCATAAAGTTGACATCGTCCTCGAAATCGCCCACCGCAGGGAAGTCAACAATCCTACAAAACACACCCGATGGGTCGACGAGGCCAATCTTCTTGCCGTGTACGTCGACGAAGGGGGTTTGGGCCTTGGCTGGAATGCCATCTGTCTTGTATAAGTTTGTAAAGCCGGGGATGATGCCCGTAGAAGGATTTCCTGCAGGGTCAAGAGGATTGGCCGGGACCAGCGTCTGGTCGCTGGTGAAGATGGCCTTCCCGTTGGAATCATGGTCTGGTCATCCACGGTTAGAGCAAGACCAAGTGTGCCTGCGGCGATGGATACCTGTCACGACGCGGCGAGTGGTTGGCATAGACATGCTGGTAGATCGTAGTGCCTCTGCGGTATTTGATGAACGTAGCCGAGCGCGGACCGTTTAGGATAACGTCTCCTCGACGATGGTAAAAGACCTACTTGACCAGCAAATGCTTGGGGGCACTTGAAGTATTTGATTTCCCGAAGGGAGTTATGCACTCAGTTAGACAGTGGCCGTGTGTTGGTGTGTGACGAGAAGCCAGGCAGCGACTTGGGGGCACTCGGGTTATCCGCGTCCTGTACCCCAGAAAATGAAACCCCACAGCTACAGTCCCTACAGTATATAGTTCCCAGTAAAGAGTGGTCTGCGAGTCAACCCTCTACACTGGCTAGTGCTAGCAGATATCAGACATGGTTAGGCAGGCGCATGAGATGATGGATCGATCAACAAAAAATGCATTGACCTTGTTCAAAAGTTTGCACAATTATGGGATTGTTGACCGGTGGAAAGTTTTCGCAGAAAAACTACCTAAGTTTGCAGTAATCCATGTTCCGAGCTTTATGCAGAGCACAACTGGTAGAGCTCAACTCATGTCCACCACCTCCATCCAAGGACTCATTGAACTCCGATACCATAGTTCAATCTCAATATTGTTGACCAGAGTGGTCTCGTAATGATTATCCATTTGTCCATCGCTAGTCACGCTTTACAACAAGGCAGCAAGGCCCAGAAGAGCGGCACCAGCTGCGCCGGTCAATGCGGTTGGCAGGGCGGGAGCAACGTTGCCGGAAGAAGAAGCAGAGCCAGTGGCGGAAGCGACAGCTGACGATGCCGAATTTTGAATCGACGAGGCCTTGCTTGTTGCACTGCTCAAGGCACTGCCAGCTGCACTCGAAGCACTACCCAACACGGAGCTGGCGGCAGAGCTTAGTGAAGAGAGAGAAGAGGCTGCTCCAGAGGCACCGGTGGCGGCCGCAGAGCTGAGGCTTGAAAGGCTGCTGCTGAAAGCAGAGGTGGCCGAGTCGAAGCTGGATGCAACCGAGGATTCAACTGACGAGAGGGAGGACGAGGCTGCGGCGGCGGACTCTGATGCTGCGGAAGTGATGGATGAAACGGAGCTGCTGGCGGAGTTGTCGGTGGCAGAAGAGACGGCTGCACTGGCGGTGCTGGAAAGAGACGAGAGGACGCTGCTCGCGGCACCAGGGAGAGAGCTGGTCAAAGGAACGGCGTTGCTCTGAGCCTGGGCCAGAGCTGGCACACCGGCCAAGAGGGAGCAGATGAGGGCTTTGGTGAAAAGCATCGTGGCGGTTGATGAAAGTGGTTGGTGGCTGGATTTCTTGGATGGGATTGGATTGGGAATGCACAGGGTGTGGTCTCGTGGAGGTGCAAAGGTACAGGAAATCAGAAAAACAGCAGCTGTTAGTTGGATGCGTATATATACCTCAGGCTTGCCTCACAGCTGCTGCCCGTTCAGTGAACCCTGCAGGTGTCAACCGGCGAGCAGTTGTCACGGCAAGGGCGACGGGGGTCATAGTTGACTTCACTTCTGGGGAAGGAGACTCGGCTGCGGACATGGGCTGCGTCACTGTTCCGCCAGAAGCGGGTGCAATCGAGGCGACTATGCCACATCAGGCATTTGTCATTCCTTGATTCCAGGCTGAACTGAGCCTCGTCAGGAAGCCAGCCAGCAGATCATCTGGGTAACAGTTCTTCCGGCCCGGTGTCCCTCGATGAATGGCTGGCATAAAGATCGAGAAATACAGGCTGTACAATGTAACAAGAAAAAAGAACCCTCAACCGATGTGCACAGGGATCGAAATGTCGTCATGGTTTCAAGTGCCAGCCCGATTTGACAGCCAAGGCTGGCTAACTGCTTTCTGGCTCGGCTGAGGCTCCAGCCACAGCTGTTCGCCAATCATGTCCAGGCTGTCACACCCGTAACGACAAGGCTTCCGCCACAGCCGTAGCGCATCCGCCGCGACTCCGAGTCCGGACAACGGACACTCGCCTGCAGTCAGCGTTCGACTGGTTTGCCACTTCAAGTTGTGACGGTCAATGTGGTCACCTGCATGCCTCATCAGCCCAGGTCATCATAACCTGTACAACGTTGTAGTATAAGGTTATGATCACAACATCCTTCTCCACTAAGGTTCAATCAGGGCCTTTTTGCTGCGCTTCGAGAAGCCACTTGGTGCCAATCAGGTTGATACTCACCTGCCTGGGACCAGGGCTTCTTCCACTCAGACAAGAGGCCGCGTCAGAGCTCGGAGAACAGAGTCAAATCGTGGCACCAATCCAGCCTGCTCAACTGCACCACCATCCCGGGGGCCTGAGTGAGCTTGGGGGCGTTTCAGCTGGGACAGTCCCCGTAGCAACCTACGGAATAATGCTGATCATAACTGCCCACGAGCAGATTTGTGGTCAACTGAATGGGCGTCTACCAGCAAGTTAGCCTCGGCCTGCCTAGGTAGACGGACGATGTTGATGCCGCCTCTTTTGCGCCCGTATCACGACATGGCCAGTCATGAGCTCATAAGCTCGCAGGGAAGTCCTTGACAACAGAGCGTCAGCAACTTGAAGACCTCGAAGCTTGCTGTCAGCGCCTTGGTGCCAGGCAATGACTGGTCAGCCTTGTGCCATGCAAAACCAGACCAGGCTGACTAGGGTCAGGTACCTAGGTACTTACTCAAGACCAGCAGGTATGAGAGGGCAAGGCTGTCAATGAAAAGCAATGGACGTCAACCCGTGGGAGGCATGCCCCGTTAATAAATAGTAGGCTTCATGGGTTCTTCCAGCTGCTTTTCCCAACCCGAGCTAGCTTTTCTCCATCAGTCCACAAGGGTCATCTCCTATCTCAACCGCCGATATCGTTCAGCGCACTGTTGCTTCGCAAGCAAAGAGGACGAACTCTATCACTCTCACAGACCGTGCCCACCCACGTGGCCGGAGATTCTCGAGACAGTCCTATCAGTGAACTCAGCTACATGTCGACGTGTATATCTACATACGCTACTATCATATACCTATCTCGCGATGTCCCCAACTGAGGGGGG